ATAGCAACAAGCTGTCATTAGCCCTGAGAATAAAGCCAATCCCTTAGGACGGTCATCCAAGGAATGTGCTTTTAATATTATCCGTCCAATAATGGATATAAATACGATCCAAAGCCGACGTGTCAAATAACAACCATTACAACTTGCTCGATCAAACCAGTATAATGAAACTATCAATTGTTGTATTGTCATCGATATTGGCTGTTTGCTCGGTTACTACAGCCATCCCGGTCAATCCCAGTGCAGCTGCAAGTGCCGGAGCTAGCACTTCAACCGTCATTCCCAGTGCACAAGTTACACCTTCAACTGATCTTAGTCAACTTCCAGAGGAGGGTATGAAGTTGATCAAAGAGTACGCACAGACGAAGAAAAGTCGTGACAATGCAAAGGAAACGTATGGCTTGACACAATCTGAAATGCATGCTCAAGAAAAATTGGTAAAACGGCTACATAAAAAAATTAAAAAGCTGCCACGTAAATCTCAGATTAGCGAGAATGGTTCAAAGTACAGCGAAAAACTCCAAAAACTTGAAGATAAACTTGAACAAGAACGAAAAAATCTTGATGAACTTATAAAGAAGCAGCTGGAATTTGGTTGTGCTAGTCTTACTTTCAAATTAGGTAAAATCAAAGTACAACTCGTAAAGTACATATTTGGGGGAAATCTGCATTATCCATTCGACTATTACATGGAACGTTTGACAGCAAGTCGCCAGTTTATGGAACTTGTCAAAACATTTGGCAATTACTCACCAAGCCAACAGTTAGGATCCCAACAAGACTCTACTAGCGGAGCTCATAGTTCATCACAACAAGCACCCCAAGGCTATGATAATTCGGCCTTCTTATATGATGATGAAATGGAAGTTTCAGAAAATTCTGGTACTATGCACTCATCAAGCGAAACGCCTATAGTCCAACCCACTCAAGCATCATCCAATACACAGGCAGCATCATCCAGCACACAAAAGGCTTCCAAATCTTCTCGTTTACAGAAAGTTTATCGCGAAATTAAAGGTGGATTTGAATTAGGCTGGAATCAAGACGAAAGTGATGATCGCAAACTATTGATTGATTCGAATACTAATCTGGACTGATTCTAACCGAGTATGTTATATTTTTGTTTGAATAAAATACAATACAACTACCATTTGACATTTTACATTGGATGTGTATGCATTATATCTGATTATTACACAATCTTGGTTGGCATGATATCATATTGTACATTGACACTTGTATTTCCAATACAATACAATACAATACAGTTGATTGTATATTGCATAGTTGTACACATTGATGATACTGACATGCATGTGTGTATTGTGTTGATATGATGTTGTTTGTCATGTCGTATTGGCACATGCAATACCAGTACCAATAATGGTCATGTGTGTTGATATCAGATCCGATCAACTCGATCAACTTGACTCGTTTTACTCGTTGATTGTGGTGTCAAAATGGTTGCATCAATAGTCTGACTGATCACACGCATCAGTCGCAGTGCCAACTCTGTCGTGTGTCAAGTATCACATGTTGATGTATGCAGTGATCGTATACTGGTCGATTGGTGCAATATGATCACACATTCCATTAGAATGTGATAATCATGGTATTTGCAACAGTATACCATATTAAACAGTTGATATCGCACATCTAATGTCGACATGATCATCCAGATATACAGTGATGGATTCAAACAATCCATGCCATGATTGACACACTTGGAATGTGTATTTAATCAATACCATGTATTACCAATGCAATAGTATGCGTGATCATCGTGTATCAAACAACTATAATACACACTGGACTAATCCAATACATGCACGGCTTGAACATATCACACACATTACAATGCATGGCATGATACATCAGCATTGATCAATACTACCACCCAATTCAACGGGTGATCGTTTTGATAGCCTATTGCTGGATTGACTGACACTTTCAAAAGGTGATTCTAATGCAAGTCGAACTGCAGCAACCGCTTGCAACGCAAGTAGAACGCATTCTAGAGTAATCAACATTGTATCGAGTAGTGTAATGGAAAGCTTTGAATCTGATATATGACTGCCGTTTTATAATGACGGCAGCTTCAAGGGTGACAGTCGGCAATCAGCAATTCTCAAATGAATGATCATAAAAAACAAAAGTACGCCGTGTAGGGTGAGCAAACCCAGAAACACCCTGTAATGAAACCTAATATACAAGCATCGCTGTTAGTGTATAATCGACCTCGGTAGTATGCTGCATTAACATTTCCAATTGCGGTCATGTATCCAGTGATCGGATGGTGTCAGATTGTCACCCTGATCATGGATAATTATCATCACATATACAATCCATTACTACAGAATATATTGATCCATGTTCTAGTATACGATATATTGTGCTGGAATACAATATTTCCAGCCATTTGATGCTAATACTGATATTAATCTACACATAAAACATTGATCACCCACAATGGTATATAACGGAACTCGATACCACTTTTTTAATATAAACTGTTAAATTGACTCGAAACTTTAATCCGAATATTGAATATTAAAATGTTGAATAAAAGACTCGAGTCATTATATGAATGACGTAATCAATTGTTGAGTTGAATTGACACTTGATTGAACAATACAAATAAACACATGACAAATGTTTAATTTGATTGTAATTTCACACAAAATTGCTTATTTGACACTATTTAGAGCATGAATTTGAAAATCACGCTTATTTCTTTCAATTACAAAATGGAAAATCAAGAGTTTTACATTCGATATCTTGACAATCGACCAGTCAAGATTGACATTCATGTTAATAATGAAAGGACTGCTCTGCGGCCTTTTCCACTCCTCACTGTTTCACATTTGATTGCAGCCTACAAGATTGCCACCATTCCACTTCTTGACAATCTTTCTTTAGCACAACTCACTCTTCACAATGCATTAGATGGACCAGTCATTCCTGGAAATAGACTCCTGACCTCCATTCAATATCCTCTTGGCACATATGAGCAGCCACTCATAATCAAGTTCAAAAGTGTTATGGCTGGTAAAGCTCGAGGTATTGTATTTTGATCAAACTAATAAAAGATATGATGGTTAGTCAAACTCAGTACTGTATTTCTATCAGCAATAGGCACCAAAATGAGCGTGAATTCTCTTGCTTCAGAGGACGCCATTGAGAACTTTGCCCGGTCAATAAGCTTGAATAATTAAACAAACTCCATGCTCTGTCCAAGATTCAATGGAAGCCATCAATCTGAATAAATCCATCTTAAACCTCGATATCAATGATTCTGGTGTTCAGTTTGGACTATGATACGGGATCGAATGCAACGCCAACAGATAAGTCAGAGTCTGGTACCGGACACAGTTTCAACTGTGATGTCGTGTGATGACTGGGTTTGGAGCGGACCAGTTTGCAAGTCATTTAAACAAGGAAAACGTGATATGTCAGCTCATTGGTAAACGATTAATCTGATACTTCATAAGCGTAATATGCAGCCAATTGTGTACTGTGGGTAGCTAATGGTACTGAATATTGGATTGAAACGTTTCTAGATGTAAACGTATGGATAACAATTTTTTCAAACGAGTTCTATTCAAAATAAATTCGAGTGCCGAAACATGAAATAATTTCATGCAAGCAAGTCGTACTCTTTAATACACTATTGATTGACAATACAGGATGTTTATTGAATGAACGAAAATTGGATGCATGACAAGTGAGAATTAAACCACCATGCAATGCACGCTGAATTACAGCATATCTTGGATAAGATTGTTGATTGTTCACTTTGAGCTTCAATAATGTGACGAGTCTATGGTCAAACACCAGAATCTTAAAGTTGCACCATATCCAGACTGGAAATCACTATGATAAATCATTGTAAAAAATACTAAAGCACTTTTTAAGTCCGGGATATAAATCCAGGTTTGGCGTAGCAGCAGCCATTACTCCAGTCGTATCATGTCTTGTGAGGTAGTAATAAAACTTCGATTTTAGCTTGTCCAATCCGTCCTTTGCTTTTAAATAATCTGGCTCGAGCTCCTCTAAGCTTTTTTCAAGTTTTTCAAGAATGCTACGCTCTTCAAAGTGCTTGGGTTTAAGCTTGAGAAACTCTGATTCGTAAACTGAAGGACCACGGGTGTTTCCAACTTGAGTTGCCAGAAACTCCATTTTTGCATTCAGTTTACTCATCGCTTCTTTTTGATTTTCAATCTGTATGGTTTTCAAGTTGAACGGTTTCATTTTTCGGTCAAAATTGCGTTTACCATCCGCGTAGTTTTTGATCGTCACTATTCCATCAAGCGTAATTGGATAGCAATCAGCCATATACTCGCTATACGGGTTAGGATGGTCTGCAGAGCCAAATTCAATAGCTGCATCCGAACTGGGGAGAATTGGACTAGCGACAGTAACCGAGCAAATAGCCAGGATCGATGACAATAGAGTGATTGAAAGTTTCATTTTACTGGTTTGGTCGAGTAAGTTGTGATGATTGTCATTCAACACATCGGTTTTGGATCGTATTTATATCCATTATTGAGCGGATAATATTAAATCGTGTTCCATGGGTAGCCTCCCTAAGGAACTAGTGTTATCAGGGTTGGTATTACTTTATTGTCATCAATGTCGAAATAATTTTAAAGGGATATCCATTTACACAATGGCCTGTTGTTGAAGTTGGGATCGTGGTATCAGGGCTGGCGATTTCATCTAGGATATGCTGTGTATCCGCAGCATAGTGCGGCAAATATACTGTGATCAGCACATGCTGGTACAGACATTGCCATCCATACACACCATTACTCCAACACATTTATTACCAATCCAGTAGTATGTGTTTACATCACGCACACCAAACCAACTCCGTGATATACGAATGTTGCGGTTTGACCAAATCACAATCACCATATTATCGACTGTTCAACTCGTTGACATTCAAACCGTGTCATCACTAGTCACAATATAATGGTTGACTGGTTCGTTTGATTGACCTGACATATCGACACTTTGCAAACCTCGACTTGATTCATCAACTTGGATATTCATATAATATTGGGCTTGTATCATCACGTTGGACTCGCTATCAAACACCTTGATATGTCCATGCAGCACAAACTCGATATACACACATTAGTTACTGTTTGACATGACTGAGTCAATCATCAATACCAGACAATGCAGCTGTATTAGTTGTATGATACAATCAATCATGGTTGGTTCATCACCATCAAATATCAAATGTTGATCACGTATACATTGATTTGTAATTGCATGGTTTGTTGGCAATACACACTATGATATGATTGACAAGTTGTTGATTTGCAGTAATCAGATGTGCATCACCTGTAACATTGGATGCAATTGACGAGTTGTAACCGCCAGTCAACAATCATCGATATGTTGGTGATTGTATTGACTACATGATTGGTATTGATTAGCTGTCATGATCGATTGGTGGACAATACAATCCACATTGATTATGACGTGTCGCAACTGGTTGATATATGCAGACTCGACTGATGATCGACTATATGTTGATGAGTAACTCTGTCACTGTTTGGTTTGGATTGGTTGTTGCTACTGCTTGTATATGCAGTGTATTCATGTGTGATGTATTGGATATCGGTGTTGTGTATGTTGAATCTGTTGGACAATATATTGTCATGTCGCATCAGATTGCATCACATTTAGAATGCAATCATTGATTCGTTGGTTTAGTGATCGACTCGACTCACATTCGACTGTAATGGCCACAAATATGCATTGCTGATTGACAGGAATATATCAACATATATCAGACTCGGACATGGTGTATATCGGTTGCATATACCAGTCACTGATGCAGTTGATGATGATCGATTAATCAATCAATTTGATATCAACACCAATGTCAGTTCATTACCACATGAATACTTGCAGTTGTGACCTGTATTCATTCAGTAATATTGTTGTATGACGTGACTTGGTGCAGCATACAGCATGATATGTTGGACAATTGTATTGCAATACGGTTAATGGCATGCTGGTGATTTGTTGTGCTGTCTGACTGCGTTTATGGGTCGATCAGTGTCAATCAGTAATGCATTTGTATTGATCATGACTTGTGTGCAGTGATCTGGCAGTATTGTGATGTATGATACCATGATCAATGCAAAACACCATTTGATCAAACACGGTAATTGTGATTGTGATTACAATCTAGAATTGGATGTGGAATACAATCAAAATCGGTAGGATATTGGGTGACTTTGTGTGCAGTAACCATTATTGGTAGTTCAAACTGTATCTATACCAAGAACAACCGACTGTTGCATAGTATCAAGTTGACAAGTGATTTGTGGCATCTTTTGTTGAATATAATAAATCAAACAAAACACAATCCAATATTCAAATTAGCTCAATATTTATTATCAGGAACTGGTAATGAATTCAACAAACGACGCAACCTGCTCGCTTAAAATATTGCGCATATTGCTCTTTGAAACGACAACAACGATATTTTGGTTTCCCTCGACGCTGTTATAAGTATTTTCAGTTGAAACAGCACTGAGTGGTTCAGGCAGCTCAATCAAGAACCTTATTGAAAACTTTAACGGGGTATCAGATATACTCTGCTGCCATTTCAAATACGCTTCGTTATTCGTTGGCCGATCTGCTTTAATAAAGAAAAAGTCTGGATTTGTAGATTCAAGATTATCGGCAGACACTGCTGAAGGAATTTTTGATGTATATAGCTTGATTCCAAATGACACGCAGACTTGTTTGGATAAAAACGCAAGGATGTCTGGTCGAAACTGGCTTGAAGGACGAAAAAAGACTCCTGTTGGTCTATCGGATATGATTGTGCCATCTCCAGCCTTACGCTCTATTGTTGGCAACTGTAAACCATCAAGACCAGCAATCGAAACACCAAAACTAGATAGGACATTTGAAAGATGCGGTCCATTTTTCTGGATCATACCAGCCAAAATGACGGCTTCAAATGGTGTTCCTTTGGCTGTAGTTTTTTTACCTTTTGTGCCAGCGATGCTGCTCAAAAGATCCAACGATGACAACAGATTGAACTGTTGAAACTCTGTTCGGAATAAATTGAGAAGCAAATCTATCACATATCCTTCAGACAAAAAGTATCCGCCAGTTTCACGAATGAGATGTATAGATCCAACAGTATTCATGAAAAAGTATTCTTGATTCTTGTCCAGTTGGCAGTATATTGGTCCATGATTGGAAAATATGGAAGAGTGTAAAATAAGCTTTAACATAATCTGTGTGTGTGAATGAGCCCTGATGGTCCTGGCAATAGGTTCGATCATATGAGTGAATCGACCAATTACCGCATTGTAAGATTCCTCTACTATATCATTGATATTCGAAAAGGCATGTTGTTTTTTCAGTCGTATGCGTTGTGCCGTTGCCGAGTCATTGTCATTGATTCCAGCACTGAACAAGTCATATACAAAGTTTTCCAAAATTCTTGGTCGATAGTTGTCGGTAAGAACAGTCTTGAGAATATCCGGATGAATATCGACAAAAGCAGTCACATAGTCCAACGCCATTTCACAGTCCCAAGTTATGAATTCATTGAGAATAAGAGGACCAACAGGGTTCGTTCCAAATGATTTAAAGTTGTCAATGTTGCGTAGTTTTGATGATGTTCCAGCAAAAATAACCTTTTTGGCAAACTCCTTATTTTTGATAACATACAGCAAGACCGAGAGTGTTCCTCTTTTTGAATCTTCATTCACATCTCCGTTTTGTTGGATGTGATTTCCCTCCATTGACGAGATAATCGTGCTTCCAAGATGTTCGGCCAACACATGAGCTTGATCAAAACAAAAGAGGCAGCGCAAATCATCGTCAATATAGTTGAAATGTATGTCGTTCAATTTGTCCAAAGACAATAGCTTCAGTTTCAGAAAGCATAGTCTGATGGCTCTTGAGTTGAACAATTGGTGAATGAGAAACTGTGCTGGAGTTATGTTAGGATATCTTTGAGATATTTGAGGAACAGAACACGAGACAGTAGAAAGGCATAGGTAATATCATAGAGTTGTGGCAGGTCTTGATTCGGTTTTTTCCATTTTGAAGTGATGCTTTCAAAACTTTCTTTCAATGAGAAGAGTGAGGCATCATCAGAGTCATCTAAAGCTGGGTAAGATCGAGCGTCAATGAAGATTGTGAATTGCTTTTTTGCCCTATTGATAATCTCATGGGTTTTTCCACAACCTGTAGGTCCTATTAACAGACCAACGAGTTCGTTTCCATCCATGAATGAATCTACGCGCTTTTGAATGTCCGTTTCAAAATTGATGTCCTGGAATCGCATATCTGGCAGACGACCGCTCTCCAAACGCCATTGATTACTGTAGAATAGACGCAACTCTTTCGACTTGATGGTCTGTTTTGACAACTTGTATGGTCTCATTAATATCAGAAACTCCCTAGTAAAAAGGCTTGTCAAATGACTCCAATCATAATCAGCATTCCTAGATCTAATGATAAGCGGGTTGAGCTCAGCAGCTCCATTGTTTTCAGTAGCAGCAAGTGAATCCTATGAGCTGTAATTACTTTCCATTCCATTCACTAGAGTAGAGAGCAAGTTGTGCTAAAAAACCTGTCAAGGAAAGAGTGATGACAGTCTTGTAAACTGAAATCACAAAAACAGTGAACATCAATCTCATCAATGACAACTCTTGTCAAGTTGAAAAAACAAACGCACTCATTTGATATTTTGTAGTTTATTGAGAGATTCAAGAACTCGATCAGCACATTGGTGTTGACTGTAAACCAAGTGCTGTAAAGACGCAGATTTGTTCATACACTGAACATCCTGTCAAAACTTTATTAAACACAAAGTCAACCATTCAATATTGAGGAGTAAACTTCATCAACAGTGACTTTGTCAGATCCCCAGTTTCATCATTGGAAACATCAGTCCATGTCTTGAATACATTTGGCTCATCAATTAATCGCCAGTTGGGAGATGCTTGTTGTCGAAGCCAGTTAAAGTCCTCAACTTTGTTGAATTCATTCCGAATTGCAACCAATCCAACAGTCTAATACACACGAAACCATTCGTTAGAATTACATGCGCTTGTAAAGCGACTTGTCAGCAATGTTCATGCAATAGTTTAAATCACCTTTAACGATTCATCAAAGTTGGTCAGCAACAAAGGTTCAAACGATGTAAATCCAATCTCATCACAATCTTCGATAATTGGATGACTTGCTACATGCAGATGGAATATACTGCGATGAGAATCATGAATACGACATTGACGACATACTACAGCAACAGTGGACTGAATGCATTGCTCCACGAGAATAGATCCTCGAATGGGACCAAACAAGACAATGCTGTTGGTGATGTTTTTGAGATGAACAGCACCTGCTGATATGCAGCGTAGATCAAGTACAGAACTGACAATGTTTGATACATAAAGATCTTGTTCACTCGTGGGTAATGTCTGAGCAACACATGTTTTGCCATTGATGTTGGAATAAACTTGGCCATGCAATGGAAGGGTTGATGCTATAATGAAGCAGATGAGCAATCATCAACAGTAACTTGTAATACAATGTGAATGAATCATTCAAGAGCAATGATCATTACCAGTATCAGAAACAACATGTTCAGAAACAGTGAGTTTAGTATTCGTAGATGGTTTGGATTTACTAGACTTGAATGAGAACTTGGCTCTGGTGCCTTGAATACGAGTGACTTGATCATTGAGGTCTTTGAGTTGCTGTTATACTCAAAAGTTAAACCAAGATTAACAGCAACAAGTGTTTAGCAACACTTACTAATGAACACTGTCGTTGATCATACAATGGAAGAAAGAGAGTTGCGTCCGTCACTCTCTTGCTCAGTATTGCAATTTCGGACTTGACAGCAACCAGCTCATCAGAGAGTCCTGATGGACACTGAGATAACGATTCTTGAACATCTATTCTCAAGAGTTATTATCATGCATGTATGGATCGTGCATGCATGCATGTATTCATCACCTTGTTTCCATTGTTGAAACTGCAACCAAAACTCTTGTGCTGCTTGCTGTACATTCTCAGTCTTGATTGCTGTCTGTTGCTGGTTGACCATTCTGCAATAATTTCAATCATACAATTGGCTATTTAATACGAATTCATGCTGGATAGTCGAATTCTTAAACTCCATCTTTAGATGGCTTATCGTATCAACCGTTTTTTTATTGGAAACCATCGTTAGTTTATTAATCATGACTGCACGAACAAGGATAAAAATAAAACTTCATTGACATTATTGGTGTATAGCAACAACTCGGAGCGGGCGTCTAATAGAAAAACAGGGGAGTTGTGAAGTGGTTGATCTTGCTACTGGTCAGATTCCAGTTGAGTCACCCATGTCTGGACAATACCATGAGCTATCTTTGAAGACAATGGAATCGACTCAAGGTAATTGGAAAACACAGAGGTTTCAATTAGATCAAGCTCATGATACATGCGCATCAAGTCGTGGAAATAAGCTTTCATTAAAAACATTGCAGATTTCCATTCATCACAAATACAACACTCGTGTTAGTTTAGTTAGATTATAAACTCACTGCAATTCAAAACTCACTATTGGGAAATTTCTTGGATGTGCAGAATGTCTGGCTCGCTTTAAGTACCTCGATTTTGGATTCATTCGATACCAGGTATGGCATCATCATCTTGGTAAACTGTGTCATCAATTCCTTTTCTGCAGCATAGAGTTCGGGTGATGGAACTTCTACTTTGTTGTCGCTCGATTCAAATGTTCGAGATGCCACACACTTGACAATCGCTGTAGTCAATGCCTTTAAAAACTTGGGCGAATCGAGTATTGCTGAATCCGTTTCTGGATTGAACCATCGGTAATGCGCATCTGAATCTAAAACAACCAGTTCTTTGCGGATACTCGATACTACATCTGCCAATAATGCAAGTGCTGGCAGTTTACGCATCTGTAAAAACTTTTTTGTGGCAGTCTCGCTGGCCTTGTCTGCTGGCCACAAAGACTGGAAATCAATACCCTCTTCAACCATCAATTTCAAAATAAGCGATCCATCAAGTAACTCAAGAGTTCCTGCAACTGCAGCGGGTTGAACAGGAAGCATCGACATGTATTCACTGGTAGCTGACATCACATCAAACAGTTCCTGTAGCGACATCAACTGCTTTTGCAGTAGTGGTGCAAAAAGATGACCAAGAAGACGCCATGCATTGGGATAATCGGGCAAATCGCATTCAATCTGAATAATCGCTGCCTTGACGCTATCAAACATATACAAGGTTTACAATTGAGCAATCATATCAATGTGGACCACACGCTTCAATACAAACATATAATTGTATGACCAACTTACCCTTCCAAGAACCAACTGCTGGAATACACATCACCATAAAATAGTCCGGCCACAATCTCATTGAGAGACTTTGCGTTCTTGCCGTTTGTTTCTAGTTGCCAAACAACAATCTTGTTTACAAGTGCAAGAACAGCTTTTTCGCTAGTCACATCTGCAAGATCTTCCAACAATTCCTTGTATGAAAGACCCTCAACAAATGTTTTGAATGATTCCACAGCCTTTTCAAGCTGATCTTCTTCAGTCAAATCTTCCGCGACAGCCCCATCACTGTGAGATCCAGACAAACTGCTATTCGAATGAGCCTCCTCATCCTCGCTTTCGTTCTTGGAGTGGTCGTTATCTTCATTCTCCTTACCCATCAAGGCGGCAAACTTGTTACCCTTGGGTTTAGGCGGCTCTTCGTTTTTGATGGCCCAGCTATGGCGAGTACTGCTGTTGGGTCCAGTGTCACATTGGCACTGGTTGTGCTAGCAACTTTGCCAAAACGTTTGAGATCTGGTACACGCGCATTGCCACGAGGTGCACTTTCCCATCCATCATTGCCAGTCTCACCACGCACATCACCTCTGGTGTTGCTAAAGTAGCCGCTGTTTGAATCGCGACCATCTCGGCGAGAACCACCGTGATTTTTGGATTGTTGTGCTCGTCCAGGAAGGTTCCGAGCACCACCATTGGATGATCTGTGATTGCGTGAATTCTTTTCAGCCTCACGACGCTCTTTTTCTTCTGCCTCGCGACGGATCTCAGCAATTTTCTTTGGTCCAGTAACCGTCACACCAGCACGCGGAACCCAGTTATTGGCACGCAGATCAATCACGTCCAAAATCATAAACTCCACTCGAGACGAAAGTCCTTGTCGTTTAGAGATCTGCTTCAAACCTTGCATATACTCATTCATACTCTTGACAGATGTAGAATCATTTTTGGACACGGTGCTGCTCTCGTACTCGAGTGCCTTGCCGACAGTGGTTATAAGCTTGCAAAGTGACTCGAGCTCTTCTTCATCAGGCTCGCCTTTACTGGGCCACATGAGTCCCTCGATGCACCGTCGAATGATGTTAATGGCTATGACTTTGTTGGGAGTCATGTACAACTCACCAATAAACTTGATATTTCCAAGTGACCGACGTTTGATTTTGGCAATCTCGTAGTCTTCATCTGCAATGCGTTGACGCTCTTCAGAAGTTAGATTTTCAATATTTCGACGCTTCTCTGCTCGCTCTGCTTGCAGTGACTGATCAGTAATTGCCCATTTTTGTTGAGACTCAAACTCTTGTTGGCATGATTTCACAATTCCACGACGGAACTCGTTAAATTTATGTGCCTTGTTCATCCATAATTGCACACTAGGAAGACGATTTAACAAAAAGTCGCACAATTTGGCATACATGGGTGCAAATGTAGATTGATCCAGCGCTTTTTCATATATAAGTGAAACAATTGCATCAATTATTTCCTGATTGTCAAATCCAATATTTAGGATCTTTTCAGACAACTTTTCAAAGTTTTCAATTGTCAGTTTGTTGAGCAGACCCTGTGCCTTGCGCAATGTAACTTCCATTTGTGACAACTCTTCCTTGGTAGGAGGAGCCCATGCATCTTTGCTTTTTTCATATGGAACAAAATCTGCGGGTGGAGATTCCTGGGGTGTAGCACCATGGTAAGAATTGCGATGCTCACGACCATGATGATCGCGTCCATACCCATCACGATTGTGATTATGGTGGGATCGAGGTGGAAGCTGTGAGTTGCGACCTGATGACAACTGGCGACTCATGGAATGGCCACTGTTGGACGATTGACGAGACAATTGTGGTGGAGCAGGTGAATACATCTGTCCCTTTCCAGCATTTGACTGTGTGCGATTATATCGGTTTGTGCTGCTACCACGAGAATCAGAGCTTGATTCTTGGCGTTGAAGACCAATACCACCGCTACTGCTATTAGAGCGACTAAATGACAGTGAGTTGGATTTGCGCATGCCATCAAAAGCAGACATGTCTAGCCCAGCTGGAATTGTCTTGACAAACATAAGACTCATTAATGCAGCTACCGAGTACCTGCGATCTCCAGATGCCAAGTCTGGCATCTCTACACCTTCTGGATATTTAATGTTGCTATTATCCGTCAATTTAGTTGCAGCATTAAAGTCGGTAGGCTGTCGCTTGGGCTTTGCTGGTTCATGAGTTTCCTCCACAACCTCACCTTCCTCTTTTTCAGTTGCGTCATCTGTGACGGGTGTAGTCGCTGTGACGGAAGTGATTTCCGCTGCTTTTGCTGCAGGAGGAGTGGTTTTGGCTGATGTAGGTGCCAACGGAGGTCGAGGTGGCAAAGCAGAGCAATTTGTAGAACTCTTGGTTGGCTTGATATCTACACCATCTGATTTTAACGCCGAGGCAGGGACTGGAGAAACAATAGGAATACACGTAGTTGTTTTAACTGGTTTGGTATCTACATGCGTTGATTTAGGTGCTGAAGTAGAAGTTGAAGAAACAATTGGAATAACTTTGGGAACAACAGGAGATACAGTTTTGGATACAGGCGCGGTAGAAGGCTCGACGGCCTTTTTTGTAACTAAATTTTCCTTGACAATTGGAGCTTTTTTAACAATTGGAGTCTCTTTTGATACTAAATCTTCCTTTACAACTGGTGTTTCTTTTACAACTGGTGTTTGTTTTACAGCGGGTGTTTCTTTGATAATTGGAGTATCTTTAACAACTGGTGTTTCTTTAATCACAGCAGAACCAGTTTCCTGAGCCTTGACACGACGTGACGGTGACACCGATCGCTCCTTGGTAGAAACAGCTACAGCAGTCTTGGGCTCTACCACAGTTACAGGGATTTCAGCTGTCTTGACTAAATCAACTTTTTGGAAATCTCTGGTGTAGCCGTGGCAGTAGCTGCATTGACAGGTACAAAAGCAACTGGAGTGGCTACAGATTTGGTGGGTGACATGATCGATGGTCCTATAGTAATTGGCTTGCCAGTGACAGGATCCTTGATGACAAGCTTTTTATATTCAGGCTTTACAATAGGAACAGTTGCAGAATCAGGCTTTTTGATCTGAATGACTGCTGATGCAGGTTTGTGCAGCGTGGCAACCGTGGTTGGAATGATGGCTGCATTAGCTGTCACGGACGCAGGAACTCCAGCATTTTCTGTCAAAGAGCCTGACGTGACTCCAGAGCTGGATGAAGATGACAAAGTAGGACCAACACTGACCACTTCCTTTGTATTAGGATCGACAATTTGAATGGCTTTGGACTTGCTGGGTGATGGAGATACAAGTTTCACACCTGCCAAAGTAGTTGGCGGTGTTGTGATTGGAAGGCCTGGCATGGTTCCTGAGCTTATTGGTGCTGGACCATGTGAGCCTGGCTGTACGTACATTGGATTGTATGCGAACGGATTGTACGCAGGATAGAATTGGTTTTGATACTGTGGCATGTACTGGTAAGGCATCGTACCGTTGGATGGGTGGGGTACCATTCCTGGTACCATATTTGCAGATCCTTGTCCAGGTATAAACTGCATATTAGGAACATAGCCGTTTGGATGCATCTGCATGGGTGTCAACGATGATGGCTGATGTGGACCCATCATGTGTGTTTGCTGCTGGCCCATGTGGCCCATTTGTGGGTATCCTGGCACACCTCCTGTAGGTGATCGCATCTGACGATTATTCTGTTGATAATGTGGAGCATTGCCTCGATATGTCTGTTGTCCAGAAGCTTGATTACGTGGTGCAAAAAATGCTCCAGATTGCTGATATTGCTGAGCACCTGTAGTCTGATGTGTATGTGTAGATGATGACTGTGATGTCGCAGGTTTGACAGCATTATCAACAGCTGTTGTCATAACAGGTTCTGTTTGAGCAACAACTGGTTTAGCTGCCAACGATGCTTTGGCTGGCAAATCAGATTCAACCACTTTAGCAGTGGATTCAGAAGCTGTGGTGTGATGTACAGATGCGTCAACCTTTGTTGTTGCCTGTGACTATCAATGGTTTTAAACAGTTAACTATTGCTCATGTGTTGGTATCAACTGGCATTTCATCATCACATACACGAACCTGTGACTGTGCCGAATTGACAATTTTATTGCCGACATCAAATGATCCAAATTTAGGTTTGGTTTCAGTAGAGACTGCAGTACGATCTAATAGCATATCGAGTGAGTATTCAATGCATGAATCATGTAAAACAAACGATTGAATACAATCATTGCAGTCGCAATCTCGAATAAACTCGTGTATAGTATTCAACCAACTTACTTTGTGGTTGCTGTGGCACGTTGCGGAATTGAACTGCAGATGAGTCGCTGATTTGGTCATGTATGATATTTGAATGACATTACATCGTGTAAATCATTTTCATGGCTGTTAGTATTGTACCAATCATTCTACTAGTACAAGAATCAGTCTACTCACGTTGATCCAGCTGCTGAAAAAGCCTCACTAGTTTGTGGTTTACGAGGTACAGAGGAGCCAGATGACACGGTGCGAGATGCAGACACACTTCCAGTGGGTGCCTTTTTTGATTTCTGAATGCCAGGTTCAGCCATTAAACTAGATCCTGAACGAGCTATAGATGCAAATGAAACGCAACCAGTTTTGGATGGGATCGTTGATATGACGGCAAGCGGTACAGTTCCAAATGTGAGGTGGGTAGTTGAGGCTGTAGATGGAATCTGATGAGTAGAAACCGATGCAGCTGTTGGTTTTTTTGGCAGCTGCTTGACATGTGTAGATGCAGCATTTTGCGGTGCATCAGACAGAGATTGTGTCATTGGATTGGGTACAGAATGTGATGGTGCATATGTAGACGATGTTACAGGTGCAGTATGATTCTGCTGGTTGTGATGGTGATGACGATTGGTATTGTTGTGCTGATGCTTACCACGAGTCCCTCTTCCAGATCCGACATGAAATCCGGCGTGTGATTGTCCACTGACAGCAGTAGGCACAGCTGCAGTCGTGCCAGTGTCTTTTTTATCATTCACATCAGACACTGCGGTTGATGGTTTTTTGGCAGTCTGAGCATAGCTAATCTTGGATGGTATTGCCTGTGATGATTCAGTAGTATTAGATCCAGTACTACCCGTAGCAGATGTGTGCTGATGGACTGCCGTATGTTGCTGCTTTGCAGTATGGGAAGGCATGATGACAGATAGTGTCAATCTTGGTTTGCAGTAGACTCAATGAACAATAATATTGATATTCCAACAGTGGATTGATAGCAGCACTGGCAGAAATCTATCAATGCAAGGATTATCAAGTTGTATAAGATATTCATGGCAGTTTAGTTGGTTGAGATTGTAAATGGCTGGGGTATGACATGCATTTATTGACACTCTTGACTCTACTATTATAATACACTCGACACAATATCCTAACCATGCAGCTTCATTTACCTTTAGTTTCTGCAGTAATAACTGCGAATGTCTGGCCTGAATTCACGGGAAAAAGAAAAAATATATTTTTTGATTTGAATCGACAAAACTTGAATTACAAGACGTGATGATTGTCTATAATAATCATCGAGTAAATTATTCATAATAATAATTACAATAAATTGTTTATAATAATTATAATAAATTGTTTATAATTGCTTTCTTCCATTTTTATTCTCTCCCGGCTTTCGTATTATATAATCAAGCTGCAAACTCAACAAATGTTCATTCGTGATGGCAATTGCTTACTATGCCAATTTTTTTTCAGTTTAAAAATAGGCAATGTAGTTTATACATCGCGACACTGGTGTTTTCTAAACGGTTGATAAAGCATGTGTAATGACTGAATTCGTAGTTTTGTAAAATGGAGCGTTCAAATAAAATATGCGTTTGAAAGCATTTTACCCATGTCATTATTTAAAAAGTTTTGAAATATTACGACCTTGATTTCTCCTTTGATCAGTCTCCAAACACACCGACCATCATATGACGTACACAACCAAACTATAGTTTTGATCTGATGTTTTAGACCTTGCTTCTTTGCTTTTCTTTGTATACTTGTGCGTTGTACAATTACCATACTGATACATTATAATCCAGATATTGAGTTTGACTATTATCATGTTCTCAACACAACTCTTTGTATTCTGAATCTCAGATCATTCGCGTTATAGCTCGAAAGAATAGAGATTGTATATCTTAAGAATGCAATTGTTGTTTTCATACAAATTACCATGAAAAAAACCAAAAGACACATCATTCAGTAAATCGATGTGAATTATCATTTCATGAAACTGCTTATTCTGCATTTTGGCATTCTTATTAGTGTTTTATTTTACGTGAATACAATTGTAACAAGCTACTCATGCATAGTGTCAATCTGACTAATAGAAATGAGTTTATTAGTCAATAAATGTAAATTTAAACTTTATCCTTCATTAGAATTTTCTTCTGCATCAACAGAGCCAATAGTCACTAAATGAGTTTTTACGCCAACAGTGCGACTTGTAACCAGACTTGTCGAGTTATCCCATAATAGAGTATACACTCCATACTTGCCAGTTACATCCATTGATCCAAAAGTATGTCCTCGTGAAGAGTTGACACGAACAGGCTGGACTAAACATACTCGATGTGGTGATCCACTACTATTGAACTCTGCATTGGTATGGGGTTGAAAAGCCATACGTGGACCATTTCCTCCAGATGCCACATCACGTTGTGTGGCATTAGACCGTGATGCTGTTACAAGTCGCGATGCAATGATAGATGCCATAGTAGATTTAGCAGAAGACAGTGCCATTGAAGTCACTGAATCGGACTGGGTCGTATGTGTGGCTGTCAACAATGGAGACGAGGTGGTTGAAGACTGATTCGATCCGGCTGGCGGAGTGTGCTGATCTGATACTAGTAAGCCATCTCGACCTACTGCTGCTGCTAGTCGATCCGATAGTGACCGACGGGGATTAGACTCTGACTCTATTTCTAACACGTTTAAGCGATGAGTCGCAACAGCAGTCTGATGTTTTCCCGATTCTGTTGAATTTGCTGCTTCTATAGCATCTGTAGTGGTGTTGGAAGCAGTAGAAGAATGCACAACTGGCCCGGAAAATGCTGCATTATCCTCAACAATAGTCTTTAATGCAAAATCGTGTGTGATGCCCACAGTTGATTTTTTCTCGTCCAATCCAGGCGGATCTTTTTTTTCTGAAGTAGAAATGGGATCAAAATAAATCGCAAATGTGATGTCATATCCACCTGTAGTAAATTCCCATTCTAGCGTGGTATGCATCATAGTTACATCAATACCCGAATGTACCAGTCGATCATCATATAGCAGTGGTAGTGAAAAAAATGATTTTCTGGGTATAACAATTTCTACACACGTTCCAGTTCGAATAGTCGAGCTGCGATATTTGTTGGCTGGTCCAATAGTAGATATAGTGTCATCGGGCGATATATCTAAATTATGAATTAAACATTTATAGGCAAAACTCCGTAATTGTTTTTTCAGTTGTGTGCCTGGACCCTCCCACGACAACACAAACATTCCTGATGCAAGACTAGAGATATTACTGGTACCATATGCAGGACCAATATATGATTGTACAGAGGCAGTTGGAAAAAGAGAAAACCCAGTTGCAGGTGCATGAGAAACAGGCAGCAGATTTATGATTGGATACGTGCCACTTTCGAATGTATTAGGAACGTAGATGATACTGAAATATGCAGTAGATTCGACACGCATCATATATTCCCATTCAAACACAACGGCCGGCCCAAATTTGGATCGATCGTATTGAATTTCTACACGTACAGCTTCTTTGGCATAAAGAACCCTTTCAACATAGGGCTCTCGTCCAAATTCAGATAGTTCATGCGCCAGTGATCGACGAGGTGCAATGATTGTGAAATCAACATTACCACTACAGCTATTTCCTGATAATAGCTCACTACTTGGTTCGGGTGCAGAAATCGATCGTTGCTGACTGTTCAACCATAACGCTGATAAACTTTTTGGCTGACGTAAAGAGGATGGTTTTGAATCTGTTGTTGGACGCCCCTGATCACCAGGAACTTCATTGTTGCTTGGTTTATGTAGATAGTCGGCTTCGGACTCGACCTCGTCAAAATAGTTGTCCATGTCATGCTTAAAGTTTTCATTTGAAGAAGCAGTTGGCAAATGAAGTTCACCAGATAGTGCCATATCATCTCCATCAAACTCTTCTCCGCTATCGTGATCACGAGCAGCAGACCGACTAGCAGACCAGATCGCATTCAACCCTTTTCTTCCCTTCATAAGATAGCTAGCAGTAGATCCCAAATAGTTTTTAATTTTGTCAATACGCCGACCATCAGCAGAAAGCAGCGAAGGATCATTTGGTTCGCTAGATCCACCAAAAGGAAATAGTCGACGACGATTAATTTCATTGCCTGCATCAGTGTTTTTGAGACTGGATGGATGCGTTCCTCGAGTAAACTGATCCAATTCTTCAATGAATAACTTTAGTTTACGACATGTGTTGAAATCCATATCCAAACGCTGGAGTTCAGGAGACATATGAGAAATTACAGTCACTTTGGAGTGATTTGGATTGTCTGGACAAGGTTCAATTAAATAGCCATAAAGATAGACATCAGATCGTGCCTTCACTTCAGCTGCAATCTTTGTAGGAGTGGTTTCAGAAACAGTCTTTTCATCAACTGGCTTTGGAGTTGTGGTCAAACTGGCAGAAGACAAGTCAGCGACTCTATTAGTAGACAAGGGAATTTCAAGCGATATATTTTTGACTGATATTGATGCAAGAGAATTGACATGTCGAGGGGTTTTGTGTTGTATTGCTGACGAGTCAACAGGTAATGTTTTGGAAGTATCAATATTGAATGATTGCGATCGACGACGATGCTTTAAACCTAAATAAAAATGCAAAAAATGCCAAAAAAAATAGTCAGCCCAATAACGTATAAAAACTAGCTTGACTGATAAATATTTGCATTAAAAGTATATATAAAACATACTCTTTGAATCAAGCTTGGGCGTTTCAGATTGAGCATTTAATCCATCATTCTCATGTTCGTTTTGCTCGACAGTATCAGATCCAAACCCTGTCACTGTAGAAGAGTTTAGTCCGTTTAGATCAGTTTGACTTGCTGCAGCGCTCAGCGATAAATCAGATGTAGAATAAACTCGAGAAATTTTTTTTGGGTCAGAAACGGTAGATTCATATTTTTGTGGTTCAGAAAAATTAAAAGATTTGATAGACCGCATGATAAAAATGAGCTTTTGAGGTGGTTTTTTGATTGGCTCGTCATTTTCAGTCGATGCATCAGATGCTAGTGGAAGTGATGTAAGGCTATCATTAAGCATAGCCATTTCAGCCTCTTCTGGGATATCAGTGGAACAAGGCAGTATACGACGACAGCAGAATAAAAGCAATGATTTTGTGATAGATCGCCCAAACTTGAATTTTGACAACATAATGGTACGATTATTTCCAAACTCGTGTACAAACCGTGCACTTTCAAACGAGTCGTAAATATGTCCAAAATGCTCAGGATTGCACAAAACACGGCCGACACGGTCAGGATCACATTCAATGGTAATAAATGCACGAATCATGTCTGCGTAAACTGAGTCTGGTTCAAGTCGTTTCTGAATATGAACACCCAATCTGTTGCGAATAGTCTTCCACTCAAAAACTGGCTGCTGGGTTGGGGCAGTAGACTGCTGCGAAGCTAATGGTAGTAGTGATGATAGTCCTGGATTCGATGTGGACTGAGTTAAAGCAGACAGTGCCAAAGGCAGATGTGGTTTAGCATGTTCTTGGGACACATCTAGCACGTTATTTGTTGATGCATTATTGCCCATTGCCAAGTTGGAAATACTGTTGGAACTGATACTTCCCTCCTCTGATTTTTTAGAGACTGCTATATCTGCAGTGGCAGGCAATGCAGAAGCAGTAGCAGTAGCAGACTCTTGTACAAATTTCAAAAACAACTCTGAAAGTGATTCCTCCATATCTTCTGGTTGTAAATGACAAACAGGTGTCAATGCAAGCGTAGTGTTAAAGGTACTCCCCTGAAGCATGTCTTTGTGCTGCAGTTTGGATCCACGTAAAATTCTGGATTCCCAAAGGGCCGTAGCTCGACCAGCTAAAGTGTGTTTTGACGGTTGAAGAGGCTGACCAAAAGAGTCTTTTCCTCCTTGATTAAATGCTGCCTCTGCTTTCAACCGAGACATCTCATTATATTCCTATAAATACAGTTGTAAAATAGTCGGTATCCAAACCATACATTAGTAAAGTTTAAAAATGTACATTCCATTGCATGCAATAATAAAATTGTGGTGGAGCAAAAAATAAACTGACCTCGGCCGATGGCTGCATTTGTGGAAGAAAGAAAGTTCTCCAGCTAGGGAGTACCCATAGCTCCAAAAACGTCTTCCTAACAATTGAAGCAACTGCTTTATTGATCATACTTCTTAAAAATTCATTAATTCTTCCAGTTCCGGTGTCTACAGTAAACGATATTCCAGGATCTTCGACAAATGTAACACCAATCATATCAGGCCAAAGAACCGAAGGAGTACGTACTCGAATCTAATTGTGTGATGTCATTCAATGTACAAATGAGTTTAACCATGACATCGAATACATGAACAACAATGGTGAATCAAGGTTATTTACCGATCCAGTAAACTGATTCAAAAACACACGTGCAGGAATAGTGATTCCAGCAGTAAGTACCACCTCGAGTAAAATGGATCCACCTCCATTATAAGATACATCTGCTTCTCCAATCTAATAATTTGATATTAAAATTAACACACTTGTAGATATAAATTTTCAAGCATCAACAATTGCATAGATTCAATGTACCACGGCCAAGTCTTTAGTGACTCCTTTCAGCAAACGAATTCCTGAAATCTCTGGAGAATTATCTCCTAAAGATAGTTCTTTAATCTGAATGGCGCTCTGTAGATTCACAAGCAATTAGCATAAAGATTCACCAATTCAGTCGTGAAAATAAATCATTTGAAAGCACCATGATTGGTTGACCATTTCAAAGATTGGATTGACGTACCACAAATGTATTATTTTTAAGTTTCATATTGAGTTTTTGGGACATGCGTTCCGTCCACCGCTTTTTAAACAAGACACTTCCACGGAATGTCAAAAAGAAGCGATGTAGGATGACGTTCAGCCAGTGACAATGTTCCAATTCACCCACAGCAACAGGATCAGTTTCATGTGAAATGGAGGCAATCGTATGTGTAACAGGTTGATGTGATGGTTCAGCAGACAGAGTTGTATTTGCTGCAGTGGATGTGCCAGTAGCATCGTGTCCAGCAGACAGTTCCAGATTTGGCTTGATGGTAGATCCAGTAGTAACACAAGTAGCAGAAGTGGAAGATGGGATTGGTTTTGCAGATGTAGATGTAGATGCAGATGCAGATGAATGCAAGAACTGGATGGCATCAAAGGTTGCTTTGTGAACAGGTTTCCCATCAGCCAATGGCCAATCATTTAGTTGTGGTGTTAATTCCTTTGAAAGAAATGCCACAATTGCTGCAGGCCATGGACGCAGATGCTCAGGCACAGTGTCAGAGTTGCTGACTGCAGAGCCAGTGGAATTCACACTTGTAGAAGCAGCAATGCCATTTGATCCAGACTTTGGAATGTTAGAAACAAGAGTTGGGCCTTGCTCAGGAACAAGATCTTTGGATGAACGGTCACCAGCGGATGCATTTGTAAAGCGATGGTGAGGATCAGCAAGAGCTTTTAGTAGATACAAAACAGCAGCAGTCTCTAACAACAGAGTCAGAAGTATGCCAAACAGAGTGCCTCGTACAAAACTAGCAGTTCCGTCCAGTATGAACGAGCTGGTCGCCATCACCCATCCCAGCATTTCAACTCAGATTGGTTGAATTAGAAACGCTTGAATTGCTATTTATAAGCTTTCTTGATTGCAATGTGTTGTACTAAACTATCATATAATTCACTCGAAGCTTTTATTCATCACTGATGTGCCTTTTTAACTGGCTTTGTTGGTGACGTCGAGTCTGCGTTGTTCTTTCGTTTGCCAGCACTCTGAGAAAATTCCTGTAAATAGTTCCGATTAATTTAGGAATTGATCTAGATAGTTTGATAAACGATGCGTTCAGGGAAAGTAGTAAATGCAAAGGTAAAGTGGAATATGGCATCGAGTTGGAATAAAGAAAGTATCAATCAACATGATCAAGTTGTTGCTATCAATTCATCAAAATCTGAAACCATGAAAAAAGTATTCAGATTTACCTTTTCAAAGTAGGCTTTGGAGCCGATGGGATCGGCTTTCATCGAGTGAGATCCTTTTTTCCATCCAACGGGGCAAACTAATCACCATCATAGTATCTCTTATTAAAACCTTGTGATTGAGAGCAAATCAAAAGCATGCCAAAACTCACCATCTCCATGCTTTTCATGGAACTGGAGAGCATCAATCAAACGGAGAACTTCATCGACACTGCGACCAATAGGAAGATCGTTGATTTGCACAACACGCACAATCTGATGTGGATCAATGATGAATGTACCTGTTGGAATTCAATTGATATACATGTCAGTATGAGATTTAAAAAACTGATGGATTGACCAGAAAAACTATTCAAATGTGCAGCCATGTTAATAAAAACTCATACCACGAAGAGCAACACCAGCATCAGATCCACTTTCAACCAAAACACCGTAATCGCGGGAAATAGTCTTGGTGATATCAGCAATAATGGGAATCTTCATATCGCCAAGGCCGCCTTCTAAACGGGGTTGCTTGGTCCATGCAAGATGAGAAAATTGAGAGTCGACAGAAGCAGCAACAACCTATTCAATTTAAACAAACCCACTCATGTTAATATCGGTCATAAAGCAATCAACAATCAAAACTAGTACATACCTCAACACCAATCTTTTTAAACTCTTCAATGCGATCACTAGAGCAAATACATTCAATGTTGAATAGTTCAAGGGTTACTACACCCCTATAATGCATATTTGAAATGGGTGTACAACTGCATCAACATGAATTGATTCATCACTCTACAAACCTGAAAGCAATGATTTCCGTCGGACACACAAATGTGACTAGGTATGATTATAAAAAACAATCATTATATTTGACCACAAATTGGAATTAGCAACCACACTATACACATCTTAACTAGTGAGTTTTAACCACACTTGTCAAGGAAATTACAGCCGTATTCACGCAAAATATAATATTAAATAAGAATGTCAAACAGCCAATCTGATGGAATGGATGCCAAATTTACTGAACAGTATTGTATTTTTTGGTCTTTGTGCTCATTGTTGTATGGATCAACTAGGTGAATGCTCACATCACAGTTTTAGTCAATCCTACGTGTTCAATATCCAACTCTCCTTTCCTCCAAACATTGAGTGAATGACAAGGAAACAACAGTTGCATTGCTGGGATGTGCAATCTCTTGAACTAGAACGCGAACGTATCTGATATTAGAGTACAATAAGGGTTTGTACAGTTGGACAAGATCAGAGCAAATTCGAGATTCAAACTTGATGTTTGTAAAGTGTATGATTGCCAAATGATCAAAAAGGGGATTCAAAACCAAGTTTGATTTTGCGATATCAAGAATGGATTTGTGTTTGGAGCAAAGTTGAAGAAGCAGTCGAGTCAATTGTAATAGGAATACGTAATCATTATATATTCCAAAGACAATCATTGCAAGATAAATACAAGTGTTTCATTTTGCATGAATACAATCAACTGCTTAAACATCCATGTATTTGTCCGCTTCATGTAGCATGCAAAAAAAGCAGGTTCCAACTCCAATTTTTCCATTCGAAAAACTCATCAAGGAATGCCATAGATCATGACGATTATCAAGCCATTACAACTCAACACACTTACAGTCAAGAGGATAGAAGAATAAAACAAGGTATTTTCCCTTGTACTGATCGAGAGTGACTTCTTTGAATGCACCATTGACAACAGCCTGGGCAGTGAAAAAAGGAGCTTTTTGTTGAACCGTTGCAACTATATTTACATGATGAATTGGTAAAGTATTTAATTAATATTCAACATCTATGCGTTGATAGCAATGGATCCCTGACACCACTTGAATGTAAATGGCAAGATTCAAATAGAATCCAGGAAATGACAAACAACAAGTAGATAATACCCATCGTGGCAGAGCAAGAGTCGATATGAAAGGATGCGGTGTTGAGAGGAAGATTTGCGATTTTTGGATTTCGAGTTGCGAATGGCAGACACAAGTCATGAGCCACGTGGTCCTGACTGCATGCTAGACGCGAAGTCGACTCTGGAGATTGGCTCAACTTGGATGGAAAGTTAGATCTCAGGTTGGTTTCCAAGGCTGGGAGTGCCAGTTGTGAATCATTGGATAAAACATCAACCTGTTCGTATCGTATACTTTTCTTTCTGGTATCCATGGCTCCATGCTGTTTTACTCTATACACCACAGGTGGCTTGGGATTGAACGTTTGGCTGCTGCTCTTGTGTTGCTGTGTTGAAGCAGTACTTCCCATTAGTCAATTCCAATTTAAATATATATATATTTGGATTTAGCTATCTTCAAGGTATAGTCAGCCCACTATTATCTTTGAATAGTCTTGTCAAATCTGCGTAATGGTTGGTAATAAATGTGCTGGTAAGATGCAATGCCAAACCAATATCTCTGACTGAAAATACCTATATATTGATATGTTCTTTATTGGAAAAGTTTAATTTTTAAACTTGGTTCGTAAGCCATTATTCAACATCGTATAATGACTGGCATAAGCTTTCAGATTGCTTTGCATAGGAAGCAGTGGGGAATTGCTTTATAGCCATTGTTGAACAATTATCCACATGATACTGTCTAGATGCCATCGGTTTCCAATCAGGCATGCATAACCAAAGCAATTAGACAAGTTTGTGTAGAATGGATTCGGCTCAATCCTTTTGGATGTCATGCTGGATCTGTCAAAAGGGTCGAGTCTTTAAAAAGCAAATGAAACGTATGAACTAGAAAGGATTGAAGGGACTGAAAGGACTCAAAGAATCAAAGCAGTTGCATCACCATCTCAGCCAACCAATCCAAATAGAATCATGTCTGTCACTGCTGCTATTAGCACTCGTGCCTATATTGGTTCACTCCTCTGTCAAAGAGACTCCTTTGCACGCACTATTCAGACTGTCGTCATCTCCTGTGTTGAATCGTCAGTTTCTGGCTCTACTGATGCTGTTCATTCCAAACCAAAGATGTTTGAAGTGGTATTGGCTGATACTGGTTCGTTGGCATCAATTCGGCTGGCTAGATGCCTGTTTGGGTTTTATCTGATAGTTGTTTATTGCTAATTAAAATAGTCATCTTTCCAACTGGTGGTGGTCAACCCAACGACCTTGGTAAAATCAATGGAATTCCAATTGTTGATGCTCGAAGGGTCGGACTGGACTGTGTTCATATCCTCAACAATCCTGTCGAAAAAGACCAGGTTGTTCAGGTTGATTTAGACTGGGATCGTCGCTTCGATCACATGCAGCAGGTACTTGCACTAACGCTATATTCATTATGCTCAAACCTAGCTAGATTTATTTTATACTCACTGCAAATTGTATCGGGATACAATGCACATTGCATTCTAGCACTCTGCCCAACATCTTCTCTCAGCGATTGCACAGAAAGAGTTTGACATGAAAACTGTTGGATGGAGTTTAGGAAAAGCGGTCTGTTACATTGAAGTCACAGCTGAGCCTAAACAGCATGTACTGGATGCGCTTGAACAACAAGTCAACGCATACATTCGCAAACGGATCGCAGTGTCTGTTGTTGAGCATGACATGAATGAACATGATATGCCCAAAAAACTTCCCAGCGATCTGGATGGTGCTGTGGTACGATGTATTACTTTTGATGGATTGGATAATAATACGCAAGTGTCATTGCCTTGATTCGTGTTCTGATCATGACTGTCTGAAATAGAAATCAATTACACGGCTTAATGCTGATATAAATATCCTGCTTATAAACACTATAGATGCTGTGGAACCCATGTGGAAAACTCGGCAGACATTCAGTGCTGTAAGCTGTTGCATACTGAGCGTGTACGTGGTGGAAATACTCGTGTGTTTTTTGTTGCTGGCAATAGGGTTTTCCAATCCTACCAATCTACCTTTTTACGTAACCGCAAGCTCACTGACCTTTTAAGTACAGGTAAATTGCTCAAAAGTTATTTTACTAGTACAAACTTTTCATTGAACTGCGTTTTACAATGCAAACATATGCTAACTGACACGAGCTTTAAACGTTTGCTTTTCAATCTATTCTATTCTATCGTGCTCAACAATTATGTTTAGGTCCGGAAAACTTTGTTGAGCGTGTGGAAGGACTCAAGAAAAACATCAAGGAGTTGATAAAGACAAATAAGAAACAGTCCAAAGAAATTGCCGCACTTGAAAAGTTGAAGCTAGGCGATTTAGGGACTACTGCCAACGCTAGTCAATCGATTGCAAAACAGTAAACAAAGCAATGCAATGTTTGATTATATTCTTGGTTACAAAAGATATGCATGCTTTATAAAAACAAAATGACTCCATAATCAGTTAGCACAAGCAATAAACTAACACTTGATCTCAACAATGTAACGAGCAACCCATACTGATTTATTTTTAGCAGGTGTTGAAATAAAGTCGGACTTTAAAAACATTACAATATATAATTACAAGTATGCATTATACAATTGTTAAAACCTCATAACAATCGAGCCCAATATCTAATGATTGCACTATTAATGTGTCAAAAAAGGATAAAAGACACGTTTAAAACTATAGTTTGATTATGTATCATACGATGAACGTTGTGCCAATCGAATTGAAAGTGTCCATGTGTACTACAAAAGGAATATTCTGGAAATACAGATATTGTATTGATCTTGCAGTGATTGTCTTGGAATAAATAATGGTTAAATATTCATTGTTTTATTGAATTTCTGTTGTATCCTAATATCAGATACGTTTTACTCGAGAACATCTCAGAAATGCAACTATACATGTCAATCGCTTAATGCCATAATGTTTGTTTGAAAAAAAGAAAAGCTAGAGATTCAACAAGTGTTGAGGATATGGAATGTGATGCAAACATTCGCTCTGTATTTTTGTACAAGAATGAACAAAGAGTTCAATAAACCAAGAGTTTCAATGGCACATTGCTGCACAGTAAGATTGGCACCAATCAAACATGACTGTTTATCATGTATTTTGGCACCCTTATTTAATGTTTTATTTTACGTGAATACGGCTATAAATACATGACTGGACAACGTAATATCACCCAAGCTGAGCTACTGCAATGGTCAGTAATCAATTCTACTACTGAAACCGAAGATGCTCCTGCTACATCAAACCAGAATGCTCCTGCTCGTACTGAACCCATCGTATGTATGCTTGTTTCATATGATTCGGCAACTGGATTTTAATCCATGTTTTTTGGCATTCTTTGCATTAACTTGTTGTATGATTGAACACTGCTATAATCATTTGTTGCGGTTTAGGATTCCAAATGGATTGACTTGATTCTAGGAAAGGGGGACGCTGTGCGTATGAAGGGTAAATTGGAATACTTTATGGTTGGCATGGCAGTAATTGAAAGTCTACTAGTAAACAGCTCAATTGATCAAATGTAATGCATCATGTATTGATTGATTTAGAGTGTGTCGAGGCTGCTCTGGATGAAAGCAGAACTGAACAAGTCCGAGTTCTCGCCTGCGATGAATTGGAGCTGGTAGGTGTCTTGAATGCTAATACGAATCCTATCATGTTGAAAACACAGTTTCAATCTATATGGCCTTTATATTAATGCACTCGATATAATATTTATGCAGTTGGTAGAATCTCTAGATAATGCAAACGGTGAGTTGAACCATTTCAACATGAATTGGATTTATAACAGTTTCTGACCATTTCATGACTGGACAACAGATTTGAAATCACTCAAGTTATGGCAGCCCATCATTAGTCTTCTTTCATCAGATTTGGCTCAGTTGCGCATGTATGGGGCGTGGGTATTGGGCACAGCGGTTCAAAACAATCCCAAATCTCAAAAGGATTTCATGGATGCCGGAGGCATCGCTCCTATTCTCAATCTATTGGAAACAGATAAAGATGACACTGTCCGCACCAAAGCATTCTACTGTATATCGGGTATGTACATCGACTTTTCTGTCTAACCATGAAACTCGCCTTTGGAATTGAATATTAACGTTTGTAATCTGTCTTGAATGTCTTGCTTTAGGAGCCATTAAACACAATAAGCAGGTGTTCGAGGCATTCTATGCACGTAACGGATTTAAAGCAGTCTTGACAACATTACAAAATGCAGACATGAGTCTCTTGCGCCGTGCAGTATTTTTTTGGCGTGCATTGCTTCTTGATCATGGTGGTGACGAAACACACGCAGACACGACCGTATCTGACTTGACTGCTGCTGCTATCAGCGAGTTTGCTGTTATTAGCATGGTCATTCAGATGATTGAAAGTGGAGATTTGGATTTAATTGAAAAATGTCTGCAGCTATTAGAAACAGTGCTGACGGTGTGTCCTACAAGTGCAGATGCAGACTCATTGCATGCTATAAAAGGAAAATTTTATTCCTTGACTGAACAAAGACTAGCCGAGTTGGAAAAAGACAAAGAAGATGTTGGCGAAGCAAGACTGCTACTCCAGAAATTGGCATGTACCGCATCGTCTCTAATACAATAAAAGTAGTTTTAAAGTGATCAATAGTGTTTAGAATGTGTCTGCTGTCTTGTTTATTTTGTAAAAACATAAGCACCAATAAGTGATTATTGGATTTCAGGGGAAGATACAGATGTTGACCGCTGTGGAAAAGAAGGTCGTGGTGACGTGGGAATGGCAGAAGCAGGAATGGCGACAGAAGCAGAATCTGTAGATTCAACCAAAGACTGAGTGTGAGATGCTGCACCGGGTGACGAACGACCAAGTGGTGCTGAAGACTGTCCAGCAATCGTATCTTGCTTAGAAATGCGATCAAGTCGCTCCTGAAGAATACCAAGTGGCATGGTTTCTGACAAAGTGCTATTTAATTCAAGTGATTCAACACCACGCTCTGGTATTGATGGTGGATAGGATGGAGCATCGCTGAGAAATGATTGTACATTGACGGCAAGAGCACTGTTGGGTCGTACGGCTTTGATGCTTTTAAATATTTCGTGCCTGTTGGCACATTGAGCTACTCCGATTCGAGCGTAAAACATGGAACTCTTGAGTACAAGCACTTCCATGTACAAGTCTTTTGAGGCTCGAGTGGTGTAAAGTCCTTGTCGTACATCACGCACAAAGTTATAAAAGTCGCATACAGCTACCAAACGATCGCGACAGTTGAGGCAGATTGGGAACCAAGTATCCTCGGACACATCAGAAATGCGAAAATGGTAGCGATACTCTTCATCCTTTCCGCATGTAGAGCAACCAGATGGGCCGCCGCCTGACCCGGAATTGTCACTGGATCCCATACTGCCCAAGTTGGCATTGGACAATGCATGGGTTAGTCGCTCAAGTACTGTTTTGTTGAATACACCTTGAGTTGGGGTTTGCGTTTGTAACCCACTTTTTCCAGACTTGGTATTAGTGGAGTCTGAAGACTTGGCAGCAGAGTTTACCTTTTCTGCAGCAATTTGTGCCTGTTTTTTGTCTCTAGATTTTAGTTCATCCACTTGTGTACTTTTCATCTGCTCGATAAAGCAAGTATGAGCAATGATTGCATCAATAAACTTTTTTGTGGATGTTCGAGGATTTCCGCCAAACCGAAGACACGGTGTCACATCATCTTCTAGTACATTACGCATAAATGTTAGTGTGTGCAGTTTATTGGCCTTGGCCTTGGTAGCCAGTTGCAGAAACTCTTCAAAATGACCAAATAGTAATGGGTTGATGAGCTGATCCTGTGCATTTCCGGCGTAATCTGTTTGTACTCTCAAATTTGCAGGCAGTTGATTAGCTCTAGATAGAGCAGGAGCGTCCAGTCTACTTGTAGTCGAGTCGTCCAATTTAGCAGATTGTAGCAAGTGAGAATTTGTAGCAGAATTAGCCATCATGCGAACATGTGTTTCTGTAGCTATTCGCAATCTTTCTTGCTCCGCTTGCACTTCTGCCATGCGAATACGAAGCTCCCTTAGTTGTGCTTGTTCCACCTGCAACCTAACTTTAGTTTCGCCCAATTCCGCAGCCATGGACTGTTCCCGTACCTGCACTTCGTGTCTCTGTCTTGCTTCATTTGCAACCATACTATTTGCTTCTTCAAACAGCGACTTTGTGAGTTCTTCTAATTCATCCTGCACGGTTTCTTTAGAATGTTGCAATTCGGCTCTTTTTTCAATCTCATCAATTAGCTTTTCTCCAAGAGTTTCCAAATCCCGTTTGATTTGAGTCAATTCATATTGCTTATACTCGAGCATCTCTTCCAACTTTTCCGACTTTGCACGCAGTCTTCCCATTTCAATGGTGGATTCATCTTGACGAGTGTTGGCGGTATCGAGTTTTTTACGATAATCTTCAGCTTGTGCTTCGGCAATGATTTTCTCATCAACTATGCGAATGACCGACCCGATGCCACCGCCACATTTGCTGCAGCGACGAGGGTCAGAGCCAAGAATATATCCACATGGACATTGAGGATCATTGCCAGGTAATGGATGCTGAGAAATAGCCAAAGCATCAGTACTGGGAGTTGCAGAAGAGAGAGTGCTAGTAGCATTTCCAGTACTCAATGGAGATATGGACAAGCCTGAAGGCAGTTTAGAGAAAAGACCAGTAGAAAAGAATCCACCACTCGTTGGCGACTTTTCAGTCTTTGTAGGATTATTAGTTGAGCTAGGAAGACGAGACATACCAGACGCATTAGAAGGAATAGATTCAGTAGTTGTAGTAGAATGAAAAGTCAATGCAGCAGTATAGCCAAGACTGTCTTGTCTTGGATTGGTAATCAAGGATGGTTGCTGTAAAGTGTTTGCTGATTGAGTCGATGAGTCCAACGAGTCTTTGCCAGTTTTTGAGGGATTGACAGCAGCATTACAGGTTTCCGAGTAATAAGCATCGGGATGAATAGCTGAAGGAGAGAGTGGAGAAGTGATGGCCAAAGCAGTTGCATGTTTGGAAGAAACAGCATTCAACCGATGCTTCAAAGCAGCCAAGCGAGCAGATGCATCGTCTGAAGCCAATACAGGAGAAGTCAATTCATTCCCATTAGGAGACGATGCATTGGATGGCAGCAGAGAATCTGACATTCGCAGTTGTCGATTTGAATGTCAAGTCGATTTGATTTTTATTGCAAATGACAAAACTGCAAGATGTTGCTGATGCTGCAGTCTCGATCAACTCTCATTACTTTAATCTATCCAATGCTGTCATCAGTGACACCACGTTGAGTGACGTTGTTCACATTCACTCCGAATTGTTAAAGGTTGTTTGGTCATGTCAAGACTACATTGACTTTATCTAACCTCGTTGACTAGATAACATCTGAATACAGGTCAGTTCATGCCGATACTCTGGCATGGGAGTCGACTGTTCTTTTCAACCAACATTCTCAGTTACTGGACCAACTCATTCATTCACTTGATACTCTTCTACAGTCCAGTCTGAATGACTCCCAGCTCTTGAACATATCTCCACTCGCAGAGTTGGTTTCGAATCTATCCAAACAATCTCGACTTGTTCCATTTCAAAAGTCTATCTTGCCGTAAGTTTCATCAAAAACTATTCTCACGATTGGCCTTGTTAGTTTCTGACTCAAAACTACTATATAGACAATTCAAAAAGGCTTTACAGGATCTTGTATGGATGGTCGAGGCATGGACATCTGACTCGCAAGATAGATTCAATGACGCACAGCAACTACAGTTGGTGGGATCTTATGCGAGGCAAGTCAAAGTCATGGACAAGCTAAAGCAGACTTTGTCTGATTTGCAAGCGTATCGAAGTTTGATTGCTCCCCACTTGAATAGTTTAGACTCTCTTGGTGATTCACAGCCATATTCACATAAAATGTAACTTTTGTATTGATCTTGCAGGGATTGTCTTGGAATAAATAATGGTTAAATATTCATTGTTTTATTGAATCTCTGTTGTATCCTAATATCAGATACGTTTTACTTGAGAACATCTCAGAAATGCAACTATGCATGTCAATCGCTTAATGCCATAATGCTCGCTTTGAAAAAAAAGAAAAGCTAGAGATTCAACAAGTGTCGAGGATATGGAATGTGATGCAAACATTCGCTCTGTATTTTTATACAAGAATGAACAGAGTTCAATAAAAAACTGGATGCAATGTTTGGTATTTCTCTGATTTGTAAACAGTTTGTAATAAGCAATATCTATTCATTGCTCAAAATACAAGAATACTTGGATTGAATCTCGCTAAGATTTACGCTGCTCAAACTTTTCAAAACGAGCCAAATCCTTTCGAGTGATTGTGCCAGGTCGCCACCATCCTACTGTAGATTGCTCCTGAATCTGCCGGATACTGCTCTTGGTATCGCTGCCGCTGTATAGTTTTCCTTTTAAAGTGCATTCTAGAGCCTTTTTCACGTGTCGCATTAGTATGGTTGTGCAGTCTGTTGACTCTCTCATTGCACACATCCCCGCTTCCCTAAATTCAAAAAAATACATCAAGTTGCAGTAGTAGAAACTGTAAATACAATCAAGAGTGCATGTCTTGTCAAGGCATGCTACCAAATATCTCAGATTTATACCTGATGAGAGACTCGATATCTGCACCCGTGTAGTTGCTAGTTGCCTCAGCAACGCATTCGTATTCTTCATCGGATAATACAAGAGCTGTGCCGTTTAAAGGATACGATTTTAAAATACTCAATCGATCAGATGCTGTAGGCAGACCAACATAAATATGTCTATCCAGTCTTCCTGTAGAATATACAATCCAAATTCAGAAAATGCCGAAAATCACAACTTTATGCAAATTTTAAAACAATCTATTCAACCTACCTGGTCTTAAAAGAGCATCGTCCAATTTTTCTGGTCGGTTTGTACAGGCTATAATAGTGACTTCCTTGCGTTCTTGCAAACCGTCCATCTCATTTAAAAGTGTCGAAAGTACACGCTCATTGACCCCACCAGTTCCATCTTCTGTCCATTCTCGTCTTGTTGCAATTGCATCAATCTCATCAAAAAAGATAATACAAGGCAAAAGCTGTCTAGCAGAGGCAAATAAAGATCGAATATTGGCTTCGGACTCGCCAAGATATTTAGAAAAAAGATCCTGACTAATTATTCAACATAATGGTTTAGCTAAAATACACTACAAAACATATCTACACCAATCTTGCTTAAATCTAAATTAAATTCAATATACCTTTTTACCGTGATAAAATTCATATTAGATTCCGTAGCAATAGCATGAACAAGCATGGTTTTACCACATCCTATTCAACACAATCAATCAGACTTTAGCTTGACAATATTTTAATCATGTCAAAAACAGATACATTTAAAAATACCTGAAGGACCATACAACAGCAGCCCAGAAGGCGGGCTGACACCAAGTTTTAAAAATGCTTCTGGGTATTGAATTGGCCATACCACTAGCTGGAAAAGTCGTGATTTTACATGATCATATCCACCCAATTTTTTCCAAGAAACATCTCGTTTGGTTGTATCAAACCCAATACTTGCTGAGTTTGATGGTAAAATTTGAATAAGCCACGCTGTTAGCGAATTCAAATATCTATCAGACTTGATAGTCTCATGCTGATTTATATTCAGCGTATTGATTTGTTGTGACAACTCTTGAAGTGCTGCTTGATCTGTTATTGGGTGCTCTATTAGCTCTTGTTTTACAAAAGTATAATCTCTAGTTTTCAAGCATGCATGTGTAGCTCGCGTAATTAATAAAAACAGATCGCGTGTTACATATCCTGCAGTAAGCTGCACACAAAACATTAGCCAATCAGTGCCAATACATATTTAAAAAAGCTTGGTATTCGACTGAAAATAACACACTCACCTGTGCTACTTTCTTGGAAAGCACAGAAACGGTTTCATCGTCTACTATTTTACCATGGACTTGCTCAAGTAGTCCAAAACATGACTTTATCAACTGCTCTCGTTCAACTGCAGTTGTAATACCAAGCTCAATGTTTTTAGAAAACAACGCGTGATTGCTTGAACTAGGCTGCAAACAGGCTGATAGTTTGGTTGGATCTACAACTGTTGCCACTATGCATACAGTCGCACTAGTCATTTCTGATAGAATCTGTACAATATGCCGCGTAGCTTCTTTTTGATCTACATCGTTGAGTTTTGCATCTGCCATATAAAAAGTTGAGCATTCGGCTTACCAAAAGCACGATACAAAGCTTGGAATGCTATTCAAACAGTGGCTTACCATTGGAAAGAAGATCCAACCCATCAATGTATAACACACTTGGTGCACTTAAAATAGCTTTCCATACAGCCTTCCGTAATGGAGTCAAGTCTCCTTTTCTACTTGTATTGGTTCTTAATAATTGCAGCTCATCACAAATGTGAAAGTATATCAATGGAAGTTTAGCACGTTTGCATACAGTGTTTCTAAGTATAAATTCAAAAGAGATTTGAATATTCATGTGTTTAGACAGAATTAAACACGGCAGCTTATTAAACAGTTGTATAGAATCTTACACAACAAAAAACTCTTTTCCAGTTCCATGTGCGCCAGATACAAATACTGCGCGTGTAGGCTTGATTCCAAGCACTTCATAATGACGACGACGGTGCAAAGAAGACCCTATGTTTAAAATACAGTGTTGATTTCATACTGGTAAGACAAGGTAATGCTAAACATTCGACAATTCAGTTCAATCAAAACTGACTCGTACATATTAATTCGTTGAGTGAAATGGCCTGTTGCTCATATGCAACCAGATTTTGGTGTATCATGCGCCGGTGATAGTATGTTGGATTAAGAGTGATTGGCTTTTCAAAAACAAATCTAAATAGATTGTCTATTTTAACAGCCAAAGAAATTTCACGATTGTTGCCAGTAATCTTTTCAACAAAAAAGACTCCGATGCGTTTGTTTCTTGGAATCATGATAATGGTCCCTAAAGCAATCTAAAATTTGATAGATTACCAAAAAATCAATATAGAGCGGGTAAATTTAAAGAGCTTGAGATTAAGACGGACTACTTGCACCTACCACAGTTCCGTGCATTTCTTCGCAGCTCATAGTTGTCCAGTTTTTTGCACTATTCAATACCAAATGGCCAGACTCATCAAGTTCGTCAATTGTTTCTTCTGCATAATGTATCCCTGCTGAAGTAGGAGTCCATGGAAATGTTGATACTCGTGATAAATGGATTGACAAGGTTTCCAAAGTTGAAGATTCTGAATCTTCACGCAATTGAACGTGTGATGAAATATTTGATAGTAAAAACTCTTGACAGCATACTTGAATCTGAGTTACTAATGGAGTAGTTTTAGCCCATGCCAGTGTATCAGAGTTGACCCACCAGTTAAAAACCCAAGATGGAATAACGATCATGGAACATTCGTTTGAACCTGTGCTGGATTGAGATTCAGGATTTGCTGGATCAGAAACGTCATTGAAAACTGCTGGACTTGTTTTTGTGTTTGACATGACAATTACCCTGAAAACTGCCGGCAAGGCATTAGAGTCAGATTGAGGTTGTATGCGAAGGTATGAGCCTGTTGACCATCCATGTTTCTGTGCGACATAATTGCTGCAAAAAACCACAAAGTGGGTATTAAACAACTCAAGATCGCATTCAGTATTTAAATCTTCTGATGAAGAAACACAATGTGTATTTGATGGATTAGATGGTATTGCCCAGAATACTGATGTTGCCATTGCTAGATTAAATGCAATGAATTGTAATTTTGAGTAAATTTAATTTTGAATCACGTGACTATTATTGACATTCAGACTTTGACTTGTAAATCACTCTCTATCGATCACTACACATAGCAATCCATGTCTGCAACAAAGGTAGCAGACGTCTTACACAAAATAGTGGGTGGAAGCCTCTTTGTGTTCACTGTTTTTGGAGCGTTTAACATGGTCAACATGTTTATATATAAAAATCGCAGAGCCAATCTTGCTGAGCAACTGCTCCAAGAAGAAACAGCTGTAAGTATTGTTTCCATCTGCCATGCAGAGCTATTAAATGCATGAAACCACTGTGACAGGAGCTGTGCTTGATCAATCTATATAGAACACTCACTTTTAACACTGCCAACTAACTTGAATCTCATTATTACCAACTAGGATGTTTTTGCTGCGCATTATTCTCCAGCAATAGAGAGCTCAGTGCCATCATCGCAATAAATGCATGTTGTTGCTATCTAAATGAATATGTTGTGCTTGCATTTGGAATAGATCAATGACTATGCCTATGGCTGAAGTTGGTCATTGCGAGTCTACTAATGTAAAGTAGTCACTAGAGCTTAACTGATCGTCACCCAGACCCAAAAACATTGAATATATTCTAGCATATACATGCAAACAACAGACATTGCTGCTAGATCGATGAAGCTTGATTGAGATCTCATACTAAACTACAGAATACATTCGTATCATACAAATAATGAATGAAGCTCACAGTCATATTCATTTGGTAGAACATTCCTCCATAAAGCAGTGCAACGTTGACACTGCTCACATAGTGCATTTAGTGGTGGGCACCATGGCTTCCGCTTCTAAATTAATCATAAATGCAATAACGCAAAATAAGTAATTGCAACAACTGTGCAAACCAATGATTAAGTGACAAAAGCTTACCCTTCAATGTTGTAACCAATGACGGATCCACGGCCAACCATTTCACCTACAAGGAAGAAGCCATAGATCTTGACACCATCCAAGGCAAAGGAAGTAACCTGGGAAAGAGTTACCTTTTTCCATTCACCATTATAAAAGGCCTGGAAAAACTTGGCAATACCCTCCTGAGCAACTCCAACATTGGGGAAACTAGTGACTCGTTGGTGTTTAGCAACTTGAGAAGCAAACTCGAGACCAACACGACCATAGTAAATCACTGGATCCATTAGACCTGAACTCGGATAATATATCAATGCATGGTGCAATAATGGATCAAGCATTCGAGTCAGCACAACGGATCATGATTTATAACAGATCAAATTCAATTGGGCATGTAATAAAATGATGCAAAGAATCAGTATTTGAAATGAACACAGGAAAAGTATGGTGTTGTGACTATTAATTATGAGTACTATTAGATGAGGATCAAGATCTAAACTTCAATCAGGAAACTGGGAACTGGCTAGGATAAAGAATCTATCATGCAAGAGATCAGCCGCTGACTAGTGTCAATAGTCAAGATTGCCAAGTGATAAGCCAGACATGGATTCTGAAATCAAAGCCATAAACAAGAATCCTAAACTATTTACTACAGAGTTCAACAGTCCAACTCATCAAGAACTATTGATATGCTTAAAGTCTTGTTTCTATCCTGTATGTTCCACATTGAAAAAGGAGTCGACAAAATGAAGAAAATGCCATTTCCAAGATAGGTGAAGCCCAAAATAAGGATTGATTGGAAATAGAAAAGTTACCTTGAAGACGAGTAGCAAATGATGAGACAACAGGCTTTGCCTTTGAAGCTACAGTTGAAGCATCAGTTGAAGCAAAACGACGGCCAGTCAATTGGGCAGTGGAGCGAAAGAAGAGCCTGCTAGCCATTTGGGTTATTGAGCTGTTGATAAAGATGAAAACGTGCAATCGATTTCAATCCAAAAATGACAACTGTTGAATTTCATGTGTTGCATATTCAATCTGTTATAAGCATAAATGTATGAATTGTCATTCAACATTCTAATTTCAATCCATCGTTGCTAATCTGGATAATAAACAACCAACACATGCATTTACATTGTCATGTCTTGCTTACTTTTAATGATCGTGTGAACCATTTCACACAGTACTCGACCTATAAAACCATTCAATTCCTGCACCAACATTGATATTCACCCATTGCAATCTACAACTTACTACTACTACACGCTCTTGACTGCTTTAATACAATGACTTCAATCAACCAACTGCCATCTTCGTATCAATTTGCAACTTGCAACCCATTGATGCAATCTTGCATGTCGCCATCAGGCAACTACAAACAGAATCCATTTGAAGTCGTGCCATTTTCCAACCCCGCATTGATTCAGCAACTCCAACAGTTTGGAGTTCCATCTGGATTGAGTGGTGTTCATCCTAGTGTTTATTCCAATGTTGGATTGAGTGGTGTTCATCCCAATGTTTATTCCAATGTTTCTCCATTCAACACGCCCAACACGGTCAATGCTTTAAACTCTTTCTGTCCAGTTGATCCATTGAGCCATCACATGCAGATCCCTCGATTCAACCAGTTCAGTCAACTTCCATTGAACCAGATGAACCAGATCCCTCAGTTTGGTCAAATCCCTCAAATTCCTCAGTTTGGTCAACTTCCATTCAACCAGATGAGCCAGTTTGGTCAACTTCCATTCAACCAGCTCAATCAGTTTGGTCAACTTCCTCAGCTCAACCAGTTTGGTCAACTTCCATTCAACCAGCTCAACCAGCTCAACCAGATCCATCAGTCTTATCCCCATGCTGGTATGAATGTCCACCATACTGGCTTGAATGTTCCCAACGTCACTCCCATCCAGGAAATCACCAAAGGTAAGTTGATCAAACTACATTTTTTTAAATTTGCATCTGTGTAGTCATCGAGTATATGCCAACACTTTACCATGCTTGTCAGATCTTATTATTGATCGTACTCGCGACTTTAACAACCTCGAGCTTGTGTCGGATGTTGCCGATGCGTGTTCTCAGCCTCGTGCTACTGATATGATCATCAGCCATCTTGCCCAAGGTGTTGTGCCAGCTACCCCTCAGCATATTGCCATGATACTTTGCAATGATCGTTGCATTGACAAATCCGCCAACATGTTGATTGGAAATGTTGCAAACAACATTCGCTTCAATCGTCGAACCAACGAGATTCTTTCCAACCTTATTCGTGGTATTCCCCACACTCGTCGTGTTGATGAAGAACGAAAAAACAAAACCGATGATGCGATCGATCTTGGACTTGCTCGTTCTGCTCAGCAACTGCTTGCTGGTTCCAATCTTGGTAACTCAGTTTGGGTTGGCCGTCAAAAAGCTGAGCGCAAAATGAAAGCCGTCAGAGAATTGATGACTCCCAATGCATTCGGTCAGATTGATCCATCTGTTCAGATTATGTTGAACTTGATTCCCCAGGTCGAAAAACTGTATGCTAATGGTGTTGGTCCCGCTTCGGTTGTTGAACATCTCTCCGCTTCTGGAACCATTCTCCCCCGTGTTGCCGACTCGTCCATGTTTTTCAATGCAGATGTGTTGGGTCAACGTCAGATTGGATTCGGAGGTATGACAGGATTCAACGCACCTTGGACCAACTCGGTGCAAATGGGTGGTCAGGGTTTCCCCGGTTCGTTCATGGTTTAAATGCTGTCTAGGCAATGATGTGATGATCTGACAGTTCAATCTCATTCACCATTCACCATTTCCAACTATGCCGAAATGAACACGCTTTTCCTTATTTTGTTATAATTACGTTTTACAAGTTTCTTGACGCTTCTTATACACTATACATTTAATTATATCGAGTTTGTCTAGATATACTACACGTTTTTGAAACAGCATAGTTATGGGTTTATAATCTATATATTTGTTTTACCAGTTAATCTGTTTAAATTCACTTGGCTACGAAATGATCGTTTAGGCTTGTTGGGTGTAGTGTTAATACAAGGCGCCTTTGATATTTGCAAGTCAGCCATAGTCGTTACACTATCTTGGGACATACTCAGTTCTTGTGAGCCGTGCAGTTCGTGCACTTGACTATGTCGTTGCCTATGGATGAAATTCGAGGCAATTGTCGATGCAGGCCGTTGCTTGAGTTCCATTAATGGCTTTGAAATGCTATTTTCAAATTCATTCATGGTATCCACACGACAAGGTGGTGTGCTTGATGCAACAGGTAGAATCACATCCAAAGGAAGCGTCGTTTGCTGAAACCCATACTGTGATAATTTTTTTGGTGATTTTCTGTGTATTTTAGCACTCATGATGGTTGCTGTGAATCTGTCCAAGGAAGCTGATCGGTATTGTGTAGGTGAAGTATCCGCACACCAAACTGGAATTCTGACTTGTGTTAGTGTAGTCTGATGTTGCTGTGGCAATGTAGGAATATAGTAACCTCCGTTGGAAATGATATGAACATCCTGACTGTGGGCTTGTATTGGGCCAGATGAGGATTCGCGATTCAAATCATATATTGGATCGCTAATGCTCATATCATACGCTTTGTTGTTGTAAACAGATATATGCGATGCTATTTTTGATGATCCTAATCCTTTGATTATAGGGTTGAATGACACTTCACCTGGGGTAATATGCACAGATAATGCTGATGATATCCGTGGCAACATGGGTTTGTCACGCCTAGATTGTGATAATACTGCTGCTGCAGTTTTGGGTCGTTGAGTAGACTGAGAATTAATATCATTTGATTGACTAGATTGACTAGCAGGTTCAGCTTTATGATACTTTCTTCCTGTAATCACCGTGATTCCAGTTAGATCAAGTGGGACGATGGTTCCAGCCCCACTCCCATTTCCAACTACTTGACTTGATCTCCAATGCACTTTGGCAGTTGTTGCTGATGAAATTAGTTTTTTGCGCATAAGTGCAATTTTTTCAATTGGTTGAGTTTCAAGCAAGTCGGTATGATGTAAATCAACTGTATTTCGTTTAGGAATGGATGTACGCGTTCGAAGTTTAACGTCGGAGCTGGGATCGATAATTGGAGGTGTACCACATTTTTTAAGGCTGTTGTTGCTTCCACTCATGCTTTGGGATTTTTCCTTGGCCGTCAAATATTGGCGTCTTGCTGCTTCAAATTGATCATCGTCCATTTCAACACGTTGCGCCTGTTGCTGAGTACGCGTTGTAGAGTTTCTATTGGTCGGAACAGTCATACATGTTGCAGGTCGTTGCTTGATATTTTTTGTTTGATGTTGTGGCAAAGTGTTGGAATTAGTGTGTCCATACCAAGCTTTAGATTTTTTTACAATACAGTCTAGGGTAGGGATGGAAGTGGATGGATCAGGTACATCGAGTATATCATTATTTGCTTTTGTTGAAACAACAGACTGTGATGAATCATCTTTTATATCGGCATCTTCTTTTGTACCAAGATTCTTATTAGATATTTCAGCATTTGCCTGTGTACTTGTTTCTTCGCCCAGATCTAAAAAAGGATTTTTTACATTTGAAGTTTTGGGTGGTGGTTTACGTCGAAACAGTTTTTTTTGAAAAGTATTGGGTGAACCAGTTGGCTCATCGACCGAAAGAGCTGGACCTGATTCATAAGTTAAATATTTGTATGATGCACTGCTTGATGTATTCAGCAGACAAGATACAATATCATCAACAGTATCTTCTTCCCATCCAGTAATATCGTCAAAAAAAGTGTTGTATGGATCTTGGGCAGAATTAGTAGGGCCACGAATGAGCTCGGATAGCATTGATGGCTCGTCATCCAAGTCAATTTGGGGATCGTGTTGTGGTGATAATGCTTGTAAAGGTAGTTGTGGTGGACGAGGTTTTGGCCGGATATGAGAGCCAGACAATATGACAGGGTTGGATTTTTTAAGTCTATCAGTAGGAGTTTGCAAGCTTGTTGGTGGAGCAGGAGAGTGTTGGTATGGAAGTGACAGACTCGCATTCAGTTTGGATGAAATGTTGGTCGTGTAATTTGATTGCAATGACGATAGACTGCCTGTAGGAGCTAATGACAGTACTGAGGGCTGAAGCAGTAATAAGCCCTCGTGATTTTTATGTATACGTTTGCTATCATGGCGAGTAGTAAGGTCTATTGCCTTGTGGTTAACTGCTGCAACAGGCATCAAAATAGGCTGTGAAATCCCAGTCGGTAAAGCAGATGGTTCTAAACAAGCCGTGTTACCGAGTGTTGTACAAGTGTTGGAGACTCTTGATGGATAGTTGTGTGTAGTGTCATCTCGATGTGCCATGATATATTTATAGATATCCAAATGTAGTATGCATGTATCTATCCGAATGGTTTTGGAAATCTAGTCTGAAAATGCCATTTTCGCGTCGGCTTACCAGCAAGATGGTCTAGCTATTGCTTGCAAAACTGAAAGTAGTTCCACGTGATTAGGTGTGTAGAAATTGCTGGCTGGATTTTGACATTTAACCCGTAGATTAGCAATTATGGTCGTGTTTCCAAGGACATTCGCTCAACTACTTAAGCAGCGTAATACTGCTTTTGAAAACAAAGAACTGTACGCCGTCAATGATGATGAGGTTAAGATAACTGCTTTAAACTCATCCCAAACAACGAATGCCTTGGAAGCAATGATTCAGCGTTTGAATGAACAGATTAAGCGACACAATGAGTTAGGTTTGATCAATCCAGTTCCAGTCATGTTTTAATGTCATACTAATCACTTATTCTACTGTCATTCTGACCATAGATTTAATTCAGCTGTATCTGGTGAGTTTTACTATTTATAGATTTGCTTTGTTCATAAATACATTGTGTTGATGGCAATTTGATTTATGGTCCAAATCCAGTAGTCAATCCTGCACTTGAGAGAGATCTCCCATTTAAAAGCCAGCTGGATATTTTTGGTGCACCTCAAAAACTGATGGAAGATACTTTTTCGATTCATGCGCTCGTTGATGAAACTGCTACAAATGTTGATTCAAGCGAAGAGTCTTTGACCTCGGTAGCTGTTGAGGATTCGTTTGACAAAACTTGGTTGTTGAGGTATATTATTCATTATATTATTCAGCTTTCTTGTGATTGTATCAAATAAATTTAATGCTCATTTGATGTATTTTGTTACACTAGTGCATGCAATAAATTCATACACGAAGCCTCCATGGAAATATCTGCTGAGCAATTGTGCACAGACATTTTTTCAATCCTGCGAAACAAAAGCAATGGTAACATGTGCTTGATTTGGCTGATGCTGATATATTTGCATTTTAACTTTTATGATTGTTTTAGATGACGAAATTCAAGCAGCTCTTGTCGATCTAATGGGATATTCAGATATCGATTTTGTATCAACTTTACTGACCAACCGCCAGATGATTGTGGATTCGATCATGCAAGAAGTAAGCCGTTTGCAAATATAATTTTTAATCCATGTTGATTTACTGACACACTATAACACACCAGGCAATTTGTTCTGGAAGGTTGGAAGAAGCCACCAACGCTTCTTTAGTAAATAGAAACGAAGATTCCAACATGAATACAAAAGCACGCCCAATTTATGGCACTCAAGTAACTGTCCAATCTGAATCTGAAAAGCAATTGCAAAAAGCTATGAGAAAAGAATGGAAAAAGCAATCCAAACATGCTAATGGTAACCATCTATTACCGTACTATATATTTATAGTATTTATACTGACGTGTCTACATAAACAATCTTATTAGACGAGTTTGAAAGTATTGACTGCACCACATTGCTTGGATTCGATGGGGATCGACTCCGTCAAGCTCGTGCAAATCAACTTTACTCGGCCGCATCTGCTCCACCAGTCTCCAACAAAGTAAGCGTGGCTTAATATCAAGACGATGTATTGGTTCAAGTCTTATCATACTGACGCTGCTTTTTATAGAACCCTGGATCTGGAGGACAACAAGTATCATACCCAAATGTATATCAGTCTGGTACTGGTGGATCCACTCTTTCACTATTTGGATCAAAATATGCGCTGCCAGTAGGAACAGTAAGAGTCGACGAAAAAGATTTTGAAGAGGTCGAAATTCCCATCACAAAAGCATCTCCAGTTCGAACGACCGAGTCTCGCGTTTTGATCAGTAGCATGGACAAGATTGCACAATCTGTATTCAAAGGCTATGAGTCTTTGAATCGTGTCCAGTCAATTGTTTATCCTGTTGCTTACGAGACTAACGAGAATATGCTAGTGTGTGCTCCGACTGGTGCAGTAAGTGTTTTCGAATTTTTCAGTCTATTTCTATTATAATATAAGCCAACTTTATTTGTTTGACTATTTAGGGGAAAACTGATGTTGCAATGCTTACCGTTTTGCGAGTTATTCATCAGCATTGTGTAGATGGAGTGATTGACCTCGACAGTTTTAAAATTGTCTATGTTGCTCCCATGAAGGCTTTGGCTGCTGAAATTGCTCGAAAGTTTTCTACACGACTTGCAGCTCTCAAAGTCAAGGTTCGAGAACTTACCGGTAAGCCTTTTAAACATACTGGTTCATAGATTTTTTAAAATGTTTAGATAATAGCTTATACAGAACCCTTTAGGTGACATGCAGTTGACCAAAGTGGAAATTTCTGAAACCCAAATGATTGTTACTACTCCTGAAAAGGTAGCATGATTGAACATGTGCATTTTACCTGTTGTTTTTCTATTATTAAGCAATCTAATTTTGTGTTTTATCCTGGTGCTACCTAGTGGGATGTTGTGACTAGAAAAGGCGTTGGCGATACTGAGCTATCTCAAAAAGTGAGATTGCTTATTATTGACGAAGTTCATTTACTCCACGAAGAGCGAGGAGCAGTCATTGAAAGCATTGTTGCACGAACTCTGAGATTAGTAGAGTCAAGTCAGTCGCTTATTAGAATTGTTGGGCTTTCTGCTACCCTTCCCAACTATGTGGATGTAGCGGCGTTTTTGAGGTAAACTGCACATCTTTGGCTGTGAATATTTGCATTGTTTATATTTTTGTTCGAGTTTACTAAATATACGTCAATCCTTGTTTGAATAGTGTCAATTTATATCAAGGATTATTCTTTTTTGATGCTAGCTTTCGTCCTGTTCCTCTTGAACAGCATTTTATTGGTGTTAAAGCCAAAGCTGGATCTATTGTTTACAAAACAAAATTAAATGAGATTTGTTTTGAAAAGATTGCTGCTCTCGTTTGCGAAGGTTATCAAGCGATGGTGTTTGTACACGCTCGTAAAGAGACCGTGAATACGGCACAAGCACTGCATGATCTTGCAATGAGTTCAGACAAGCTTGGTGAGCTGATATTCTTTACAAATTGATCAAGTGGTAGATGCTGTTTTGTAGCCAAGAAATTACACTCTATTATTAACCGGCTTGTTCTATGTAGGCATGTTTGATTGCACTCAAGATCCCCAATTTGGCATTTTTGTCAAAGAAGTTCAAAAGTCCAAAAACAAGGAGATGAAGGAACTTTTTTCAAGTGGATTTGGAATTCATCATGCTGGTATGCTTCGTTCTGACCGTACTCTTACCGAGCGTTTATTTGAAAAGGGTTTGATTAAAGTTTGTATTTCATGCTTCAATTATTACGACAGTATTCAGTCAATATACAAAATTAGTTTATTGATGCCTTTTAATTGGGTTGATTTTAGGTTCTTTGTTGTACAGCAACACTTGCATGGGGTAAGTAGAATTTGGTTTCATAAAATAGATTACTGTGTACATGGCTTGATTGTATTAAAATCATTGTAATATAGGTGTCAATTTGCCTGCGTATGCTGTTGTTATCAAAGGCACTCAAGTTTACAATGCCGAAAAAGGTGCTTTTGTAGACTTGTCAATTTTGGACGTTTTACAAATTTTTGGACGAGCTGGGCGGTAGGATTCTTTTTGCAATTCTAATCTGAGCTGGAATGACTATATTTAACCCCATGCTTGTGTTTTGCTACTATTTATGCATAGACCTCAATATGAAGATCGCGGTATCGGTTACATTATTACCACGCACGATAAGCTTACTCATTATTTGTCATCCATGACCCAGCAACACCCAATCGAGTCTACCTTTTCAAACAAACTTGTAGATAATCTTAATGCTGAAATCTCTCTTGGCACTGTAACAAATCTAGATGAAGCTGTAAAGTGGCTTTCGTACACGTATCTATATGTACGAATGCGTAAGAACCCATTTCAATATGGGCTTGGATGGGATGAACTTACAGCAGATCCCTTGCTTGGAAAAAGACGGCGTGATCTTTTGGTTAGTGCCGCTAATACTCTTCACAAAACTCAAATGATTGTATTTGATGAGCGTACCGGGTATTTGACGCCTAAAGATCTTGGTCGCGTTGCAAGTAACTTTTACATCAGTCATTCTACGATTGAGATTTTTAACACTATGATGAGACCGCGCATGACCGAAGCTGATGTCATTGCCATGTTGAGTATGAGCAATGAGTTTGAAAATATAAAGCTTAGAAACGAAGAGACTGTGGAAATGAAAGGATTGCTGAAAGATCAGTGTGTTTGCGCTGTCAAGGTAAATTCATCGATATGGTATTTAAAAAATACACTCTGTACAGCATTGTGGTGTTTTGTTTGACTAAACTTTTCCGTTTTACTGTGCACAATACTATAGGGAGGAGTAGACACCAATTATGGAAAAACAAATATCTTGCTGCAGTCCTATATATCTCGCTCGCGTATCGATGATTTTGCTCTTGTATCAGATGCCGCATATGTGGCTCAAAACTCTGCTCGTATTCTTCGTGCTATTTTTGACATTGCCATGAGTCGAAACTGGGGACCTACAGCGTCAGTTGTTTTATCTTTGTGCAAAACTGTGGATAAGCGCATGTGGTCATTTGAACATCCTTTAGCTCAATTCGATCTTCCTGTAGAGATTATCACCAAACTAGAGCGATCAGTTGACTCTATTTCAATGGATGCTTTGCGTGATATGACTGCCAATGAACTAGGTGATCTTGTCCGACATCACCGAATGGGAGATACTGTATCTCGATGCGTTATGCAATTTCCCACTTTGTATATGGAGGCTAGTATTGCTCCAATTACTCGAACTATTTTGCGCATTTCTCTTCATGTTACTCCCGATTTTGCCTGGAACGACAAAGTTCATGGAAAGTCTGAGCCCTGGTGGATTTGGGTTGAGGATCCTGAAAGTACTGATATTTTGTATTCCGAGTATTTTTTGGTTCGCAAACGTGAACATGGCCAAACTCAAAAACTTGGGTTTACTATTCCCATTCCAAAAACGTTGTCTACTTCCGATGAGCTTCCTCCACAAGTATACATTCGTGCCGTATCGGATCGCTGGATTGGTGCAGAGAATATTTTGCCGGTATCATTTAAACACTTGATTTTGCCAGAATTGAATCATGCTCCATATACCGATCTTTTGGATCTGCAACCTCTTTCTATCACTGCTTTAAAAAATCCTATTATTGAAGAAATCTGTCGTCCTCGATTTCAATATTTCAATCCTGTGCAGACGCAAATTTTCCATACATTGTATCAGACCCGCCACAACGCACTTGTTGGAGCTCCTACTGGATCTGGTAAAACTATTGCTGCCGAGTTGGCTCTTTGGTCTACATTCCGAGATTTTCCAAAAAGCAAAGTTGTTTATATTGCCCCACTTAAAGCATTGGTTAGAGAGCGAGTACAAGACTGGCGCACTCGTGTCGCATTTCCCATGTGTCGCCGTCTGGTTGAACTTACTGGTGATGTAACTCCAGATATTGCTACAATTGAAGGTGCTGATATTATTGTTACTACGCCCGAGAAATGGGATGGAGTGAGCCGAAGCTGGAAAACTCGAAAGTATGTAACGGATGTATCACTTGTCATTATTGATGAGATTCATTTGCTTGGTGGTGATCGCGGTCCTATTCTGGAAGTTATTGTGTCTCGTATGAATTACATTGCTGAACAGACCAAAAAGCCTATTCGTGTAGTTGGTTTGAGTACTGCGCTAGCAAATGCATGTGATCTTGGAGACTGGTTAAACATTAGAAATATGGGCTTGTTTAATTTCCGTCATTCTGTTCGACCAGTACCACTTGAAATTTTCATTGAGGGATATCCAGGCAAACATTGTAAGTAATTGTGTGGACTACCAAGTATTGGAAATATTTGATTTTTTATTGGTATGGCCATTACATGACTTACAATTGCTCGTTTTTCTCGAATATTTTTTAGACTGCCCACGTATGATTTCCATGAACAAGCCGACATATGCTGCAATTATGACCCACTCTCCATCAAAACCTGTAATTGTTTTTGTGTCTTCTCGTCGCCAAACCAGACTAACTGCACAGGATCTGATTTCATTATGCGCCAACAATGACAACCCTCGTCATTTCTTACATATGCCTGAAGAAGAACTTGAAATGTTAGTAGCCGGTGTCAAAGATCAGTCGCTTAAACTTGCTCTACAGTTTGGTATTGGATTGCATCATGCTGGTTTGATTGATACTGATCGCAAGCTTTCAGAGGAGCTGTTTGTTAATGGCAAGATCCAAGTGCTTATTGCGACAAGTACTTTAGCTTGGGGCGTTAATTTTCCTGCTCATCTTGTTGTCGTCAAAGGAACAGAATTTTACGACGCCAAAACAAAGGGATATGTGGATTTCCCCATCACTGATGTGTTGCAAATGATGGGTCGTGCAGGACGGCCCCAATTCGATGACAGTGGAGTGGCCGTGATTCTTGTTCATGACGTCAAAAAGAACTTTTACAAAAAGTTTTTACATGAGCCGTTTCCTGTCGAGAGCAGTCTGCACACATGTCTGGAAGATCATTTTAATGCTGAAATAGCTGCAGGGACAATCAAGTCGAAGCAAGATGCCATGGACTATCTTACATGGACATACTTGTATCGTCGCGTCAGAATGAATCCCACTTTTTATGGTGCCGAGGACGCATCTGATTTGGCCATTGTAAGATATCTGTCCAACTTGATTGTGGATACACTCGAGTCTTTGCGTGCTGCAGAGTGTGTAAACATTATTGATGACTTTGATGTTGAATCCACTCCGTTTGGTAAAATTGCATCATACTATTATTTGCGGTACAAAACAATAGGCATTTTAAAGAAACGCCTTCTGAGAAAATTCCACGAGCGTCATAGTTTGCAACCCGGTCAGAAAGTTGGTGGACACTACATCAAATTGGTGCGCATTATTTCCGATGCTGCAGAGTATGATGAGCTTCCTGTTCGCCATAATGAGGATATCAAGAACCGTGAGCTTGAAAGTGTATTGCCTTTCAAGGCTCGTGTTGCCAAAGACTCGCAATCTGGGTTTGATGCTGTAGGCTCAGATGTTGTACAGTATGATTGCCCACATCTCAAAACGTTTCTTCTTCTCCAAGCACACCTAGTTAGACAAGACCAACTGCCATGCTCAGATTATCACACCGACACGATTTCTGTGCTTGATCAATCTATCCGTATTGTCCAAGCTATGATTGATGTTTGCGTGTTACAAGGATATCTTGCAACAACGCTCGGACTAACTTCGATTCTGCAATGTATTAAGCAGGCAAGATGGGAATCTGATTCTCCTCTACTAACTCTTCCTCATATGACACCGGAGCTACTCGGCTCCCTCAAACTAAACGGTATAGTCGTGCAGGATCTTGCCCAGCTATGTTTCTTAAATGATCATGACCGTGGTAGTGTGTTGCGTAATATACCGGGACTATCAGTTTCACAATGTCGTGATATCTTCAACGTTGTTACCAACATGCCAGCCATGACTATAAAATATGAAATCAAGGGTGCAAAGGAAAAGAATGGACGATGGATGGTATCAGCAGGCAAAGTATACTGCATTACACTGAGTTTTGTTCGTGAAAGGCCGTATGTGTCCAACTATGGAGAAAAAGGGATGTATCAAATCCACTCTCCAAGATTTCCCAAACTTCAAACAGAAGGATGGTGGGTCATTCTTGGTGATCAGCGTTGTGATGAGCTTTGGGCTTTGAAAAGATGTTCTCCTGTCAACAAGGAAGCTGACAAAAAAAAGATTGGCAGGGTTTCTGATAAGAAACGCATGGATGTACTTTGTACGTCCATGTCGATTGAAGCACCATCTCTTACTGGTGAATACGACTTTGATATCTTTCTTGTTAGCGACGGGTATCGTGGGCTGGATAAACAACAACCACTTCGCATTTATGTTGGTTGATCTGAAAATAAACACCACTGGTAAAAATGCATCTTTGTATTTAAAATGGAACGTTGGATAAATGTAAGAGCAAACTAAAAGCTTAAATTAGATGGCACTTCGCAGTTCCTTAAGCTCGGCAAGCTTTTGAACCAATTGGTCATGCTCCTCAGTTCCTTCATAACTATCTTTTGTCCTAGCAACTGCGGTTTTAGTAGCTTGATGAGCCTGGTAAGCCCAATCCTTGCATACCATTGACGCCTCTCCACTTCCCATTCGCACCTCGGACATCTGTGGCCCAAGCTCCACAAAGGCATTAACCACCTGAAAAGTATATTTTGTCAATGATCTGAAAATATCAATGTTTGTTGTCAATCCTGGATGATGAAGAATAGCCCTGTACGCCTTTTGGTAGTATTCGAGTGCTTTGTGCAAGTGCTGTCGATACTGCTCAAATCGAGCACATATTAAAAACAGGCGCGGGGATGATAGTTTAGCCAAGATCTGTTCCAAAAGCTTTGCCATTTTTAAAGTAAGATTTTCAGCAGATTGGCCCAAAGAGTCCGAATCGCCATTGACAATGGCAAGAACGATAATGTCAAGAATCTATGCATATACAATAGTGTCATGATTATGAAGTTGATGATGCAGTAACAAATATAATCAAAAACTTCAGCAAGTACAAAAAAACATACATCAAGATCGACCAATGTATCCTTGAATTTTGGCTTATTTGCTCGAATGGTTAAAATACGTTCCATTGCACGGATTGCTTCGGAAAACTCTCCAATGTCGACAGATACAAACAAATAGTTTTCCCATATATTAGATGCTTCAAAGTTGTGCTTCAAAGATTCTTTTAGGCAATTGAATGCTTCGCGACTGTTTAGATTGATAATGAATTGGTAAGCATATTAGCAATCTGATAAAACTAAAACCACATCAGCTGTCTTGTTGAATTTATATACAAACGCACAGTTTCTTGTTCTTGATGTATACAGAGGCAAGATTGTTCCACGCTTCACCGTTCTACCCAATTGGCAATAAATGGATTCAAGTTAATTTTAAACCTACCATAGCCAGCATCACCACATAGTTGTCAATAAATAATACCTCTGGATCAATGACTGTCACTCGATTGAATGATTGCTCGGCAATGTCATATTTTTCAAGATGCATTGCAGCACAACCAAGAACAAACCAAGAATTTTCAAACAAAGGGTTAAGAGCAAGTGCCAGTTGATAGCACTCTACGCACTTTTCCATGTTTTCCTTTTTAAAGTAATGAGCTCCCAGGGATCGCATTGCTCGTGCATATCGACGACCAGAAACCTCCCATGCCTGCATGTAATACTGCGGATCCCCATTGATGTCGCCAAGAAGACAAATCAGTTTTGGAGAGTCGGGCGTTTGCTCAAGCAAATTACAGACAATAACCTTGGCTTTTTCAACCTGCTCCAGCATAATATGGCAAGAAACCACATTCTCCCACATTTCCAAACGTTCAAAAATTTCCAGTGCAGATCGAATAGCACCAATTCCTTGAAATCGCTCACCAAGCTCGCGCTCAAGCTCCCATTTTGGTGGTATCAAAATGGAAAAGATGTGCTGCATGCGTTCTGCTACTGGGGAATCCTTTAAACAAAATTGATCGACAAGTGCTTGGAGTTGCAAAACAGATCGCTCTGCAGTTCGAGATTTTTCAATTTCCAATCGAGATCTCAAAAGAAGACCCATGGTATGTACCATCCAGTTATTAGAATGCTCCAAAACACGACGAACATACGGAAACATTTGTTCGGTGGTCAGACCGTGAATGGGATTTGTGTTTTTAACGTTGAGACATAGTGCTAGCAGAATACATTGATCCACAATGCTAAGATTGTGCTGTTTTGCAACATTTTTATCGGTAATTTGCATTTTTTCAAGCAATGTATCATCATTATGATCTAAAGCTACGGGTGTAAACATATGATCGGCGGACGGAGTAGCGGATTGTCGAGATTCAGCCAATACGACCAATTGGGATGTTTCGAATGTTTGGAACTTGGTTCGTTTTCCGAGGACACCCGTCATTTCCCATGTTAACATGCTAGCCTCCTGTGCAGCTTTAAATTGAGTCTAAATCAAAGAGTATTTTTGCATTCTTGGTCAATATCACGATCTAATTGTACAGCAATATACTGAATAATGTTACAAGGCATGTTTCATACTAATGCTTTGGAATCTTGTGTGTAATAGTGGTACACGAGGCCATACTCGAGATAAAAACGTGCTACAATATCCCTTTCAAGCTCAACATCGGGAAGAAACATCTTGACTAAACAATCGAGACAACAGTCAGAATATAAAGATCAAAGTTTTCAAAAACAGGAATCTTACCTGCATCAAGAGAGTCGATAATAACACCTTGAAGAGTGGCAGAATGGTTTTCAATAATGCGCTGTTGGATAAACGCACACCGACACGACCACCAACGAAACGTCTATACACAAAATAGGTTAAAATTGCAACAAGAAATCAGACTGAAATGTATCAAATTGATGTTTACCTTGAACTCGAGCATTTCTGTTGCAGAATCAATCAAAATCCATCTAGCCAACAAAAGCAACAATGGATCGATTGTAAGAGTGTATGCCTCTTCATAGTCGGACATGAGCAGTTTTAGCAAGTTTTTATGAAGTGTCTGTTCCTATTCAATCCAGTATCATTATCGGCACGTTACTAAAGAAATCATGAATAGACTTTTATAAACAAGAATCGGTTCATACATCCACTGTTTTCATCACTGCAGGAAGCAAATCAACTGCCTTGAATTCAAGCGATGGGCCAGTCCATGCGCCTTGAACAAAAGAGTTTAAAAGAGCAATGCCAATACAGAAAATCTCAAACTTTGTTTCTGTAGATGCATTGGATAAAACAGTAGCTAGTCTTGTGCGAAACCAGCTGTTAATATCTATCAATCAGATTTATATTTGCATTCAAGTTGTTTAGTCATTGGAAATAATAAATGTCATTGAGAACCGAAAATTGCAGTTAGTTTGAATGGCAAGATTGTAATATGAAAATAAATACGCACTCTACCTTGCTGCAATGGCATGGATACATCCACTTTATTAGGAAAGTCAATGGCAAACAACGATCGGGCAGTTGAGCTCGAAAGAACGTCGTAGTAACTTCCATTAAGAATATTGATTGCAGAAAAAGACACAGGTCCTTTTAAATCCGTCACTTTAATAGATTCTGTAACAAAAGACCCCCGAATAAGTGCCCATTCAGCATCAAGGATAGCAAGATCAGCTATTGCCATGTTATTGATTGATGATGATTTGAATTCAATTCAAAAAACGTCGAATAATTTTTTTGGAAATTTATCGTATTTTTTTAGACCCCAAAAATAGTGTTTTGCGTTTAGTCCACAAAACCTCATTTGCCATATTCATGTAAAATAAACCATTAAATAAGAGTCAAAGTATGACGACCGGTCAGTTTCATGGTAGAAATTGTATTGAAGAAATTGAAAGCGTCAATTTGTAGTAGAAAAGTGCAGCAAATACTCGCCATTATTTACTCCAGAGTCGATTGCTGCAGAATCTACAAAAATGATTGATTGAAATTTCAAGTTTTGCGATCTCGACGCTTCCTTTGAGTTTATATTCGCTATTTGAATTGCTGAATATGCTGCACACATCTATTGACACCGATGTGGATACATTGAGTCGGGTTTTAAATGGAATTCCTGACATGAGTCCAGTGGGTTATATATTTTATATGTTAGGCTATAATCAAGATTGCAATCATAATGGCGTTTATTACTTGATACCAACCCAATTCTACAACTCATTCAATATAGGCCATTTCTGATCCAGCTCGTCATGAAAAAATCCTAACGTATATAGAAAGTGTCTGCATTCAGTCACCACAGACTGTTGCTGTGCTTGTAAACGAATTGAATGCTTTAGCCATTTTATCAGTAAGCAGTCATCCACTTGCATTCGCTCGACAGTATTGACACTGAAATGATTGGTTTAACAATACATTGAATTACCTTGCAGACTTGTATTCCACATCCAGTAGACGATCGCATTACGTCATTGGCATTGAGATTCATTGGACGCTTAGTGTTTTCTGCTGCTACTCAAAACACATCAAATCTAAAAGTATTTCAAATGCTAATAGCGAATCATTCAACAGTATTGGAATTTATTCTAGATGGATTTTGCAGATCCGTGACGGAACAGCATCAAGTACTTACTTCTGGAGAAATATTTGGCTGTTTGGAAACTTTTCGACTAATGCTTGCTGATGCAGATGCACTCAGATGGTAACCAAATCGATTCACCTCTTGTTTGAATTAATTTAACCAAATTTTAAAACTAGGATTTCTCAAAAACAACAGCCAATAGTACCATTTATTACACTATCACTTTGTAATCAAAATCTATTTGTGAGTTATTTTTGTTGTGGCCAACTGTCGACTGATAGAATGTGGGCGGCCTTTAGTTTCTTGAAAATACATGCACATTTACTCAGTTTCGACATTTGTAGCTAATAACTACTTGACCCTTATGATCCCCAGATTGTGCATTCATGTTGTCGATTGATTGTTGCTATAGTTTGCATAGATGACGACAAAGTTCAATTGGATCGTTGTTCTATTCTTGCGGCTTTCAGTATCACTGGAAAAATCGAAGATACTTTTAAATCCATGTCGGATGCTCGCGCAGATTCAACCTCAAAGCTGACTGTACTTGAAATCGTGTGGCTTTTGGCTGAATCAAATCATTCTTATGCTATTCAGTTTATTATTCAAAAAAATCTGGTTTGTTGTCACTGGCATATGGGTTGTGTAGGCTATTGGATAGTGATGAACCATATTTTATTAATTTCTTTTCAATGTTATAAAATCAGGTGGAGATATGTTTAGATATGCTGCTGGATACTGATCGACTTGTTCAGCATCGGGCATCAGATGCGCTTAAGCGGTTGATATCATTTGATAGTATCGATTTGTCTATTTTGTTTCCAGCATGTCAAGCAATGGGCACATCAGTTTGGGATCATTTGGTCGAGACTGTATTTTTTCGTATGGTAGATCTACAGCCTTCAGTTAAAACATGTCACACCTACTTTAGACTGCTTGAAATTCTTGCTCGTGTTGTGGATAATGACGACGCCGATCATAAAATTCAAACTGCGCTGCAATCGATATATAAATCTCTGATTTCAAATGACTTTGATCAAGAAACTTCTGACCAAACCAATGTTGATAAAAACGGTAATAGCATCTCATCTATACCTTTTCTGGATTTATGCACTGCAGCAAACCAGGCTATTCGAAAAAACTGTTGTCTTGGTACTATGCAGCAGCAAATAACAAACAAACAAATAGTTCTTCATGCATTTGTAACAATGCTTTCGTGTCTTGACAAATCAGCTGTTTCTTCCTTGGTAAGCTTCTTCAATCTGGCTTGTTGATGTGTGTTTTATTGCGTGCGACTAACATGGTTATGTTAAAGATGATTGTAGAATGGGCACTTGGCTGTATAAATTCTGCCTATGCTTTACCTAAATCCGTTTTTCTAGGATTACAGATCTTATCTAGAGTTTTACATTTTGACGATTCTTTGCAAGCTCGATATAACTTTGTATGGTCCAATATTCAAGACTTGTTCCTGTCTGAAAATGCATTTAAACACAATGTTCAAACACACAAAGCCATGCTCGACGTTATACTTTTTCTAGTGCGTTCTGAGCTTATTGGAACCGAGGTAATAATTTTGTTTAGAGTACCTCACATTCTAAGAATATTTATGCTTGATTGAAATTGTAGCTGATAATAATTTAAATTTTTGTAAATCCAATATAAACCTATAATGGGTAGATTGAGACTTGTTTAAAAACATGGATTCATGAGATTATCACTACTGCATCATGGGAAATTATAGATGCTACTTTGGATTGTGTTATAAAGGTTCTATCTGAGACTCCACAAAAATATGATGGGAAATTTCTGTCCAATTCGTTGCAGTTGTTGTTAGATATAGCAGGGTGTTTAAACCACTCGAGCCCATTTGTTCGATCAACAGCCTTGAAATGTCTAAATGTAAGATATTGATTTGCGTGAATGTTCAAATGTATCCTGCTCAACTTTAAAGCCATTCACTATTGCTGATATTGCTTTTTTAATGGTATGCGTGTGTACATAATTAGACCATGTCGAGCATTCCCCTTGTAAGGCTTCAAATTGATTCCAACGAGTCACTTTTACAGCAAATTTTAGCAATTATGACAAAAGACAGCGAAGCTTTTGTTCGACGATCCGCCATTGGGTTGGTATCTACTCTTTCCAAAGATGCACAGTATTTTCAGCGTCTTTGTAGTAGCGGCTTTTTGGTCCACACAGTATTGGACACATGTTGTTTTGACGAGGATCTAGAGGTTCGAGTTCAAGCTGTTTTGTTGCTGCTGGCGTTTTTTAATTCGGGCGATGGAATAAATTTGCTGGAAAATCCCGACGAGCATTTCTTTTTTAAACTCAATGCCGACCAGTTGTTTTTAAAAATGGTAAATTGTTATTCAAATGTATATACTCTGATTTGAATGCTTAATAGAAACTTTCAACTTGCCTAAATTGCACTTGTTTAAGTTAAAGTTACAATCTAATTTACTGTCTGGTACACTAGGCACAAGATCCATCGCGACTAGTTCGCCTACAAGTTCTGGATGCCTTTGCCACACTTCGGTCTAGCAATACTATCAATCAAACACAAGTTCAAGGAAAACGTGGTCGGCATTCGGGATCGCGACTGGAAGCATTCATTCATGAGCTCAATAAAGTCGATTTGGATGAGATACGGCTTCGATGCGAGCCTGAATATCTGTATCAGGAAGCATTGGATATGGATGCAAGTGTGCTAACGGAAACTAACGAAGCTGGTAGCGGCAACAATGTACTTTATTGTTATGATTGCTAATGGGCAGTATTTACTCGGGATTTTCCTGGCATGCATACTTCAATTAAATATTATTTTCCTATTCCATGTAATGGATGGCGATTAAGACTGGTGATAAAGGGAATGAAGATTGTCATCAACCTTGTAAACGGAGAATCCATGTTTTAAACTGTTTTTTTTATCGAGTTTATTTGTATTAGAATGTGGTCAAAACACAGCAAAATTGGGTTGAAATATAAATAAATATTTTTCATCACTTTTGTGTTGAGCAATTGAATTGACTAAATTTGTAGAAAACCTTTCAAATAACCTGATAGACAATGAAGTTGAAGCGACACAAGACCAATCGCAGATATATGGCGGTTTACCAAAATATGTTTGGATTCAGACAACCTTATCAAGTGTTAAGTATGGACATTGATTCGATGATTAAATAATAATGATCTGTTCATCTATTTGATACTGACATGTGTTGCCAACACATTACCATTACTTTAGTTGATGGCAATTTTTTGCAGATTGCAAAGCAAACTAAAAAAGACTTGGATACTGCTTTGCCAACACTACTCAATGGCCAGGTGCGAATGAGTAAGTTTTCAAACAAGGTGCAAGCCATACTTGATTTTATATCCATTATTCTAACTGGCGTTTACACATTTTTTACAAACTAGTGACAACGTATTGCTGCTATGCAGAACTTCGTAAACTTGGAGGTGAGCTTAGACCTACTGCAGCTATGGCAAAAACATTTGAAAAGCGTCGATGCACACATCAGCCTGCAGTATCAGCCAAAGAGTGTCTTAAAGAAATAATTGGTATAGTCATCTTGCAGAATATTATTTTGGATGCCATAATTACTTGGAGTGGTTTGAGCCAATTTATTGATTTCAAATGTATGTCTAGGTGAAACCAATCAGTTCAACTATGCAGTTGCTACACAAGATCAGGAGCTAAGAGCATATCTAAGATCCATTCCAGGAGTGCCGCTTATCTACATTAATAAGAGCGTGATGATTTTGGAACCCATATCGATTGCAACATTGAAAAAAGTTGACGAGGTATTATTTTAGAATTGAATTATCTCTAGATTCTATCGGTACAACCCAGCTAACACATTTTGACTGTATTTTGATGGCTTGATAGATAGAAGTGAGTAAAACACTGCCAAAATCCAACGAGATTGCTATTTCAAAGGAAGAGCAAGATCAGATCTTGCAAGTTCCTGTTAAAAAACGAAAGCGAGCAAGTGAGCCCAACCCACTTTCTGTGAAACGTAAAAAACCAGTAAATCCAGCTCAGAAAACGTTAAAATCCGACAAAAAACCTTTAATCAAAACAACCCAAGATGGAGCAAACACTGAGCTGATTGCACAATCATCGGAATGTATGCCTTTGGATCAGTCCAACAAAGATTGCGATACTTTAGATGAATTTTGTAAAGACTCTGCTGAAAAGGAACCCCTAACAAACACCACAGACACTATACAAAAGCCTGCACGCAAGCGTCGTCGTAGACGAAAGCCCAATAGTGCAGCAGAAGGAATAGCGGGTGAGTCCGATAAAGCCGAAGATAAAAGCGACTGTCTTGAATAAACTTGTGTTGATTGGACTGTTTATGCGTATCCAAATTTGTAATGATTTCTGAATATATGAAATCAGCCTGAAAAACAAGATCTGTTTTTTCTTGACTTTCTTCCACACTTTTGGGCTGAATCAACTTCAACATTGCAAGTTCTTTAATAATCCATCAGCTAATAGTAAACAAAATAGTTCTAAATCCTTTAATTCTGTTAATCTTATTGAAACCTTTAGTATATCCACACCAGTCATGCTTCAGTCAGTAATCGGCAATATCATGAGCGTGCCATTGGAAGACACTTTCCTTTTACTAGCTTATAAGGGTGGAGATCTTCTTTTGCCATATGTTAAACCCATGGAAGACCTCGTCTTAGCTCTTCTTGATCGTCACTTTCCAATTCAGAGCGCACTTTTCTTTGACTGGGTTCGCACACACCAAAGCCCACTTGCATCTAAACTTGCTCTTATGAATCCCATTCATGTCGCACTCGTCATTATTGCTTACCTTTCAATTGTTTTTGTTGGCTGTATTGTCATGCGTGGGTTTTCAAAGTTTACTCTTTACACGTACTCTTTCTTTCACAACTTGTTTCTGACAGCCTTGAGTGCCTACATGGCGTATCGAACTTTGGTTTTGTGTAAGAAACATCACATTCGTATATTCCAGTTTGATAATTCCGTTGATCATAGCGATGCTGCATTGGATGTAAGTTTATTTTGCAGATCTATTTATTTGTGATTAAATCTAATTATACCAGATGATTTAAACATTGGAAATTTGATTCTAACTTGTAATATACAACAACACTGTCGACTTTATACCACCTGTGATCTCTGATCTTTACATTGCTGCTTTAAATATGGCTCATCAGTTGGCCAAGATTCTCTGGCTGTTTTACTTTTCTAAAGTTCCAGAATTCATCGACACTGTAAGCTTCTCATTTATTGTTGCATCTTTTGATTGAGTATTTTTATTGAATCTAATGTTTCATGTATGTTGTGATCATGTTGTTTAGTTTATTATGATTTTAAAAAAAAACTTTCATCAAGTGTCGTTTTTGCATGTATATCATCATGCCTCGATTCTTGCTGTCCAGTAAGTCTTGAATACAATTAACCAACGAGTTTAGAATTGTTTGATCATGCACTTACCTTTTATGCACCATGGTCAACTGTGCTGAATCTATCGATTTATTTAGGTGGTTGGTTGTGATGTGGGCACCAGGAGGTGAAAGCGCTCTTTCTGTTTTTCTCAACTCATCTGTTCATGTAGTCATGTATGGCTACTACCTTTGTATGGCAATGGGCTGGAAATGCGTGTCGTCAATCAAACCTTTTATTACCTTGTTTCAAATGGGCCAGTTTTGCTACTTGATGGCACAGGGTATTACTGGATGGTATGAATCCAGTCAAGATCCAACGTATACAAACTATCCTCCACTTTTGGCTGCTATGCTTGTGTTTTATATGATGAGTATGCTGGCGCTTTTTGGCAACTTTTTGGTCAAGGATCGCAGACGGGCTGCCAAGGTTCGTCTGGATGCCAAAATCAAGGCAAACAAATCGCAATGATAAAATGGTTACTGGGTAATGGTTTTATTTGAGGGTTTTTAGTCCAGTGGTTTAAGATGAGGTGCTGAAAGCAACAAAATGATATTTGGATGTAAAAGTCCTTGTATAGCATTCGCTACTTGAACCATGCTCAAATAAATATCATTATAACCTACTGACTTTAACATTTAATCGATGCACAATCACTTGATTTGTAATTTATGCCTCACATGTATGGTTTGGTGCTAACCGCCATTTCATCATATCAAGTAAAGCTAAAAATCATAAAATCATAAAAACCCAAGATCAATGCAAATACACGACAGAGTATGAATTTACAGCAATCAGTGCACATTACCTGCATATAACATCCAACATGCTGCCATAACAAAAATATGCCAGTTCATATGGCTATGAAATGCCAAATCAAAAAACCCTGGTGCAAATCTAAATCACAAAAATTACAACGAGTTTGTAGCCATTATGTTTATACATTTGAACAACACAGCCAACGGAATTTACGTACCGTTCAGGAATACGAAATACATAAATAATCACACCAAATGTATATAAAAAAAGCATGAGCAAGATTCCTGGAATGGCAAAACTTGTGTGAATGCTAGGCAAGTTTTTGACGCCGTGAATAGCCAAGTAATACATGATTGGAGCACAGCTGCATGCACCACTGCTCAAATATACAATTGCCCTTCCAGCACGGAATGAAGCGCCGCTCCAAAACCTAAATGTTTTAAATAAAATTACTTGGCAGATCTTAAAGCAGCACATATTTCCAAAAAACTCACTTGAATATGGGTCCAATAATTCCAACAAGATTAACGACGACTAAAGCAGATATCCACCCAATACGAGCATTGGGATCGCAATATAGAAAGTAATATGCAGTAGTGGCCGATCCACCAAAAATAGAGGCAGATATGCCAGAGTAATCTAGACACCCAAAAAAAATAAACACGGTGGGTGATACGCCCAAATGCATATGAAATAAGCTGGATGTAATGAATGTATATGCAGCACATCCCAAGTAGACTGATATTGCTATATAGTCAGCATATGTTGCGTTAGGGTGGAGATCATAATAAATTAGATGCAAGATCATTCCTGTCATTGCTATAAAAAATGGAGCAAGATGTGTCCATATATTTCCCTATTTCAGCATATCATACATGGTAGCAGAATAGTTGTCAACTTTCCTAAAGACACGATTTGTACATTGCAGTTCTAATCATGCACCTACAGTTTCATTATGCAAGTGTAGAGTTGAGATCCAAGCCTCCTTGTATGTCTGATGTGCACGATATCTAATGTTCAAGTTGTTGCCAGATAAAATATAACATTAGCAAACGAATCGACGAGTGTCGAATTGATAAAATTTGCAATTGAATTGTGCCAAAGGCAAGCAACTCGCTAAGCTGATTAATGAAGGCACATTCGATCCAACATTGCAATGATTGAAAAGACCAATAAAATGGAGTAAAGCGACACATGCAATAAGAATATCGGATAAATAAGAGAGATCTGGGATTGGAATTTGAGAGTAGTTACTTTGTTAGAATGCAATCATTGTCCTTCAAGTACTCGGGACACTCATCGAATTTGTAATAGACTAAACGGTTAGAAGACCACCAAGGAAGCATCTGAGCAGTTTCATGCTCCTGATGTCGTTTTTCTGCATCGTCTTTAAACAAGCCAGACATGGAATGGGTCAACGTAGTAGTAGAATCTAGACTGACAGCTCGCTCAGTCAAGGAATGTGCCATGGTAGACTTGCGCACTCTAATAGATGAAGATTCTGAAGTGAGAGAGGTAGTGGCAGAGCTACTAGTTGAAAAGGATTCATTAGTGGGGTTTCCAGACCTAGGCCTTTTGTAGGCTACAGGACGATAGTCAGTATGCATCGTTGTGGAGTTCAAGATTGAATTCACCAATCAAAAGTGTGTTTGCACTCGGCCTGTTGCATCTGCACGATACTCGATGACTGGACATGCATTTAGTCTACAAAAGTCTATCTACCGACCATGAGCAGTACTCGAGCTTATTTGCGTACTATTCTCATCCAACCACTCTCCCACGTGTAATCTCGTTATGCTTTCCCGTTGCACAAGTTCATGTGGATTATTACTATCGAGTTTATTTATTCTGTGGGTTTGGCACATTTGCGATACTCGGTGACTTTGGTCTTTGGACATACCATTTCTTCCCATGATATCGGCACCATTGTGCATCCTGTGTTGAATCATGACCATCAATCAGTCGAGTTTAAGAATATAATCATTACAGTTTATAAATGTTACCTGCAAGACTTTGTGCAAACACAACTCCCAGTTCATTCTGCGCTGTTGACAAGTGATAAGATCGTGCATCTCCTAATGACAGCACTTTGGCCCTATACAAACTCGTTAGGTAACGCCAATAGTGTACATAGTAATGCATCATCTAGAGCCTAGCAGCTCACACCAACAGCTTCCAATGACTTTATTTAGTCAATGCTTCAACTCACCTAACAATATCTCCAGGTCGAAACGATCGGTAAATCTGTACTTTATCCTTTTCGGTTGCTCTGACATCCTGTACTCGAATGATTCCTTGAAATACTTCAGAACATGGAGTAGAGGAAATCACCATGATATTAACAGAGGCAAAACGAGGGTTAATACGAGTGACTTTTCCTATAATCAGACTGCCAATCTCTGGAACTCCAGAGTTTGCTTGCTTGTCTTTAAAAACAGAAAGAGATGGCTTTGTATTGAGTGGGTCAATGGAAGGAGTAATGTGTTTGTTTCCCATGACAGATGCATAGACAAAGCCATCTTTGATATAAGTTCCAGTAGAAGCTAGAATAGATTCATACTGTATGAGTGGAATTCATTCCTGACATTCAACTAGCATGGCAATACCAACCATTAGTGTCCGCGGCTAGACCCAAACGTTGACCAGGCAAAACAGTCGTCATGAATACAAAACTGTCAAATGATTCCAAGCAAAAAAAGTTGACCCGTGAATGAATGGTTTACCATCAAACTGCCATCGCTATCTGACCAACAATGAAACCTACTTTGGCTGCTTCTGTCCGTCCAAAACCAATTATGATTTATACTTCGGATCATCGTAGTGGCTCTGTTCACAGTGGCGGTGGCAGTCTTACTTTGGACAACATTTCTATTTCCTCGGTTGCTCAATCCACTTGCACCGAGTTACCTACTCCCATTACTTGCTCGGATTCTTCTCCATTGTCGGACTCTACCTCTGGTTCTACTCTCATGGCCCGTTCAAACTCTCCTTCAATCGCTAAATTCGCTGCTTCGTCACCCATGCGTCGACCTCACAAAAAGGGCCACTTGTGTCATGTCACTGTCAGAGTCAGGTATCCTTAGTGTGATGAACCTACAAAAATCAAACCCCACTCAGCTCGAGTGATTGTGTGATGTGGTGATGCTAAATTGCTCAAGCTTCAAGTTTAAATCCAAAACTTGCATGGCAAACGTAGATGGGCTACTTTTTGCAGGCTATACAGTCATCTCCGACTTGACGTTTATTTATATGGACTTGTACTTACCTCGACTGTCGCTTGTATAATAATATAGACCCCCATCTCAAGACGAACTCAATCACAAAAATATATGGATCGTTGATGAGCAGAATTCCAAAATATCGCTCTCTGAGGATTTCGCAATCGAGACTGGACGTAGAAGACTGGACGAATTTCATTTTGGTATCCAAGTACTTTTAGCATGAAATAATAACTGCGTTTGTATCTGATCAACCATTCTACTTTTTGTACTCTAAAACTACTATTAGATTCTGTATTTCATGGAAGCGATAATCAACTCATGTACAATACTGCCGTCAAGCGTGCCGTTTCTTCTGCAATGGATGGCATCGATGCCACTATATTTGCATATGGTCAGACGTCATCTGGTAAAACGTATTCCATGATGGGATATGAGGAACAGCCGGGTATCATTCCTCAAGCAGTAGATGATGTGTTTCGTTTTATTGCCACTGTGAGTCTATATTTCTTGATATTTTCAGGTAAATTGTATTGACTTTTGAATTTTAGGAATCTGGAGATAGAGAATATCTGCTGCGGGTCTCATACATGGAAATCTACAATGAAACTATTAAAGATTTGCTTAGTCCCGAGCAAACAGATTTGCGCATACACGAGCATCGCACAGTAAGGCATACTTGAAATACACTAGAATCTATGCCAAGTTCAATCTACGTATACTAATATGCATGTTTTATTTGATCCTTTTGATTATAGAAAGGGATTTACGTATCACCATTAAAGGAAGAGATTGTGACTACACCGAAACAGTTGATGAAGGCCATTGCTCGAGGTGAAGCAAATCGCTCTATTGGAAACACCGAGTACAATAACAAATCATCACGGTCTCATACTATATTCACTCTTACCATTGAAAGTCGAAAACGCAGCGATAGTGCTAGCTCTACTTCATTGCCTACTTCTAACGATAAACTTAAAAAAGACGACAAATGTGTGACGCTATCTCATCTAGTATGTCCGACACTTGATTTTATGCTTTCATTTTATTTTATTTTACTCAATACGCTTCAATCCTATTTTAGAGTCTAATCGATCTTGCGGGTTCAGAAAAGGCTACAAGTGATACTGAACGTCGCAAAGAAGGCTCTTTTATTAACAAATCACTTCTCACTCTTGGAAATGTCATTGCCCGTATCACAGAAGAAACAGGGTATGCTGAATTGTGTTGTATGTGGAATAAACGTGTTTATTTAATGATGCTGACCATCTTGAAACTCTACAGTGGACATGTTCCATACCGTGATTCAAAACTGACTCGTATTCTGCAGTCGTCACTTTCCGGACACTCTCGCATCTCGGTGATTGCAACACTCGGGTAATTTGAAATAGACTTGACAGTTGTAATAGAAACACGCTTGGATGCACTAATCAGTTTGATTGTGAATTTGAATAGCCCATCCGCAAAAAACTTGGAAGAGTCTCTCAACACGCTCAAGTTTGCCTCTCGTGTTAAACGCATTGTTCCTAAACCTGAATTCACCTTGATTCTGGACGATAAAGCACTAATTCAAAAATATCGTCGTGAAATTGAAGATTTGAAATCAAAGTTGACCGAAACCAATGAAAAGCTTGAGCGTGAGCGCGAGCGTGAAAGACAGTCCTCATCTACCAACGAATCTGGTTCATATGGGCTAGGTGAACTTGAGCGTCAAAAATATGAAGAGAAGTTGCACGAATCGAGATTGGTACGGTTTGACATGGACCAAGTGCATCGGTTGTATTTTATTGACCCTTTTGTCAAATATTAATATAGGCTCGTACGGCACTCAAGGAACGTATTGATCATTTGACCAAGCTTATTCTGACATCATCTACCATTTCTCCAAAGCCATTGCTTGACTGGAATATTGCTGCCAACGATACTGATGTAAATTGTTTTGTTAAAACTATTTTATTTATGATTCGAAAATATTCAAGCTTGCTTTATTTTTTGTAGGGAAAGCGATCTTCGGTTATGCTTTCTGCTGGTTTAATTCCACCTGCAGATCCAGTCACTCGTGCAAGTATGATGTTTGATTTTCGCGCAGGTCGTTCCTCTCGTGTACCCATATCCATGGCACATGCTGCCAACCCTTACAACAGCCCGACAGGTTCTGGCCGTCCTTTAAACCGTCAACTCAATGATCGAAATTTTATTGAAAAGCATATTCAGGAAATTGACCGTCGTGATGTCCGCATTAGTTTACTTGAAGGCCTGATCACTTCCATCAAGTCATCTACCAAAGAAACTGGAATCCGTGCCAAACTGTCTGAATTTGAAAAAGCCAACAATATTATTTTTCCCAGTGATTTTTGCAAACTGGGTGCAGAAGTCAAATCCGAAAGCAAGGGCAGTGTTGGCGGGATGGCCACTGTTGCTGATGTATCTCGACATCTTCGCCAATACCAAGAGTTTGAGATTGTTATTCAAGAACATGAGCATCAAATCAACATGCTTCAGCGCAAATTAGATGAATCGAACCAGTTGATCAAATTTAGCGAAGCCGATCATTTTGAAATGGGTAAAATGATTGAAGAACAATACGAATTTATAGAAACGTTAAAGGAGCGTAACATGGCACTTGAGCGACAAGTAAAAGGGATTCAGGACGGTACAAAGCGGCAATCGCCGAGATTGAGTCTCGATAGTTTGGGATTGTTTTTAGATCTGGCCAAAAAACAAACTGCTGGAATGACTAGCGGACAGCTGCGCGAGTCTGGATGGGACCATCGTATTGCAGAAGTTGCTGCCGTTTTGGATGCCGAGAGAATGACAGGCAATGGAAGAAAATCGCCAATTACCTCTGAACTATAAAGCCGAAATGTATTTTACTCGAGGTGATTGATTTGCCATCGCTGATGTTGAGCATATTTCAAAAACTGTTTTTAGCTCGTTTCCAAAGCGACTCTACTGGCTCAGATTAAAATTAAAATTGTAATGTTGATTGTAGCTTGGCTAGGTTCAGACTACTCTATAATTGCTAGATATACAAGCCATGCTTTGTAAAGTGGGCAAGCACTCCTGATTAAGAATAAAACATCAAATGTAACAGCTGTAGCGTATGGAATGCATGAATTCATTTCTAATGGGTCAAAATAGAACTGGGAGTGGTATAAAACAAGACCTGTAGTATATATCAATTTGAAACTGTGTATGAATCAGTCATGACTTGTCGACAGTTTTTGAGGTTTTGAGTGGAATGCCAGTCAATTCCTGAACGTCGAATGCAGCCCGAGCAGTCTTGAGTTCTTTGTCCAGTTTCAACAGCTCATGGGCTCGTGCTAGTTTTTTTGAATCTTTTGCCAATGCACCCAGATAATCGGATGTCTTGAGTTTTCCTGTAGCTTTCCGTTGTGCTGTTTCGCACTAAGCTCCAGATCAAGTGTTAGAAGGATAACCATCATTAGATGCGATATTCCATACATCTTACCAGGTCATGAATAAACCATACTAGCAACTCATCCATTAACTCGACAGACTCTGGAAGGGGATTAGGAACATCTCCAAAGCCGTACATCAGTCCTCTCACTTCCTTTTCAAACTGTTTCTTATGTTTCATGAATAGTCAATCAGCCGAATGAAAAGATGGGAATTCGGTTTATATAGTCTGATTCCTGAGGGTGTTGAGTTGGTTTGCTTGTCTTTACAGTTGGTGATAAAACAATGGAGGGATGAATGAGAAATCATCAATCTGGTGCTGTTTTGGAAATATCGGTATATTATTGATTTGAATGACATGATCATGCATTGTATTTCGTGTATCACAGCGACAATATGACTTGTTAACATGAATAGCGTGTTGAACAATCCACCAATCCTGTTGATTCAATATAGGACAATGTATTATATTTAATCCAACAATGACTGTTTATTGAACTTGTTGGTTTAACGCGAGTTTGAGGTTTCATCTACAGTTTACATGAATCTAAACCAATCGTACAGTTTTATAACGAAAAACTCTTGTTTTTGAAATGCAGCAACAGTCTGCTCGATACTTTCGAGTGTTGTCAAAATACAACAAAATTGAATGTTTGAAATATGAATAAATGTCATCTTTTCATTCCCATTTCTTGTCTTTACAATTAACCAATTCAGTGATGACGGTTACTGCTGACGGATTTATATATGATGACACTACTGCTCAGCAGCATGAACCCATTCAAACCCCTTCCAAGTATAATGTAATTCAATCTGCTGCATCGTTGGATCTTTGTCTGAGCTACTACGTTCCACCCATTCAATCAAATCAACTATTCAGTCCAGTCTCGTTGCAACCTGAACTTCAAAAAATCCAAAGACAGTTGCTTACCATCAATATTGATCAAGCACTCTATATCATCAAACTGCCAGATGCTGTATTTTGGAGTTGTGTGCTGTGGCAACCCTTGAATCAAAAGATCGAGTCATCTGCAACACTCTCAAAAGATCATTCAAACGACGACCCCACTCCCATCCTGGCATGGCTGGACTCGTATCTTGAGCAGAAAAACATGTATTTACAGCGTATTTTATTCCATCAAAAACAGGACTCGCTGATTCATGAACCAACAGATTTATTGGTGGGATTGGAGCGACGACTCGAGTATATCATGTTTTGCATCGCTGTTCGACTATTGACTCCACCTTCAAAATACTTGGCATCGTCAAATTTGCAATCTCAGGAAACACATCTGACATTTCTCTCATTAGACGATCCTACCCATCAGAACTGGTCAGATTGTATTTGGCTTGACATCTGTCGTTCCAAATCTGTTTTTACAAGTGCAAGACTTGTCGAAATCTGTAAACTCTACGCCATCGCCAACACGGAGCTTATGCCCCCACTCATCTCGCATGTTTTTTTAGAGTTGCCAGCCATGTTGGATGAAATTATCGAGGCATTTGTATTTGTACTTGACAAGGTGCACAGCATTCAACGACGGAGGCAGAAGGGAGCAAATGTAAACTATTCTAATAATAGAAAACAAAAATCAAAAGCATCATTGGACGTACCAGACACTGCTTCAACCAACTCTACTACAGACTCAGTTTTGGCTATTTCTGACAATTCAGATATTTTGAACGAATTGGAATTTTTTATGGATCTAGTGCAATCCATTGAAGCTGTGGTGTGTGGTGGTGGAGATCTGGTAATCACCAAGTTATTTGACAGTCCTCTTGTCCAGAATTTAGTCGGAATCTATGATCTTTGTACATTACACTTTCAGGCCTCGACTGGTATTCCTTTAGAGTATTCAACACATGTATATGACTCACTAGATGGATTGGATAAAGAAGCCAATCCCATTGCAAGATTATCCAAGTATTTTAAAGAAGCAGTCTTGTCTTTATTATGGCGACTTGTAGATACTGCGTTTCTTCAACGTGCTCGACAGCACCTCGATAAACTTGAAGAATTCGAGTCAATTCTATCAGCCTTGTGCGATTTTTCTCTTCCTGCGCTAGAACTTTGTACTGTAGAAGGTCATGCACGCTACCTTTGCGATGCACCTCTTTTGCTTGATTTTGAAATCAAGTTTGGGTTTTGTGACCAATTACAAAGCATCATTCAAGCCCAAGAAATTCTACTTGGTGCGGATCAAAGCGAGGGATTTGATTCTACCAGAATTGACTATCTTGTGATGTCGTTGGAACAATTGGTTACGTTTAGTGGAAACGCAAATACTAGACGTGCTGCCTTGCGTGATAAAGAGAATCAATTGGCTGCTGCTTGCAAGAAAGAAACTCATCAAAACAGTCCAGAAACTCTACATACTAATAAGCCATCTGATAATGTAAGTAGAGTGATTTGAATGTGTTGGTGTGTTTGAAGTAAAAACTCAACCTTTTTGTTTTGCCTGATGATTGTAGACCAAAAACGAGGAGCTCATGAACCGTACTATTTCAATTTCGTTGGTACATGATTTGTTTCCTGAACTTGGAGATGGGTTTATTGAGGCATGTCTGGTCGCCATGAACGACGATCATGAGCTAGTCACAATGAAAATTCTTGAAAATGATTTGCCTGAATATGTCAAGCATTTAGATCGCAATTTACCAAGGTATATATGAAATTGGCTTGAATGAGTTTATTTTTTAATAGTTTTAATCTGATTATATAAATCTAGATCCCTGCCGAATAACCAGGAAATGGCATTTAAAACTTCCGACATCTCGACTCCTTTGCAATCTAGCAACCTCGTACCAGTATCTGAGACTCCTAACAATTTGATTCCATCACATGCGCCTATTGATACTATTCTTTCTCAGCGCCGAAATATTTTTGATGGCGACCAGTTTGATATATTTAATGCAGGCACAGTAGTTGATACTGCCAAAGTTAGTCTTGGCAAAACCAAGTGAGTTGAATTATGTTTATAGTATTGTAGTGTAAGCGAGTGCATGATGAGTACTCATGTAAATATCAATGGATGGTTTAGTCGTCTTGCGAATGTTGAGAGTGAGCGACCAGGATTTATTCAAAAAACCAAGGCACTTATTCTTGAAACTCAATATGAGGATTACGATGATGAGTATGACGACACGTATGATTCGTCGGATATCAAGTTGGCAGGGACCATTGAGTTGCATATGATTGATGAGGATGAGAATATTGTAGATGGAAAGTCGCAGAAAAAGATTCAAGTAGACCAGTTGGTACATGCACAGGATGCGTTTTTGATTGGATTGTATAGTGTAGAACCAAAAGTGTTTGACAGATCACAGAGAAAAACAGCACGTCGTGCACAGATTCGATCGCAAACAGGAATGTCAGATGAGCAGCTTGAAGGATGGTTCAAGATGCTTGAACGAAATGTAAGTTGCATCAAAATGTGTGGCTTGCTGAGTGGTCCAATCTAACCAACTTTGTAAATAGCCTCGCAAAGATCTTGTGTTGGAAAAGCATGAATGGCGAGGAAACAAGAGTCTACAAAATGTAAAGACTGAACCCTCTACAACTGGTTCTGAAAACAACAGTGACACCAATATACGTGATCCTGAATCAAGTGAACCGACACCATCCCAATCACGAAAAAAGCGTGAAAATGGACCAGCTAGTCGGGGTGATCGAGGACGAGGCGGTCGTGGTGGTAAAAGAGGCGGAAATCACAATCGCCAAGCTGGATTTGATAAAAAGATATCCAAGGGTATGGCCAAGCCAGATGTTTAACATTGAATAAGACTATATTGAATGCCATTGCAGCACATATGCAGGAGATCTTAATTACAGCGTATTTACATGAAATGAAACACAGGATGTCTATAAAAACAGTCCATCTTATAAAGTGATTGATGCTAAATTTACTAAACACATTGTCTTTAAAGTTGATTGGTTTTCTAGTGTGTATTGTTGCATTTTTAGGAAATACTTGAACTAGAGCGCGAATGTATGGAATTAAAATGCAGAGATTGAAAGCACCAGAACAGTCGAGTTGGTCTGAAACCAGATGTTCAAAAAGACAATTCAAACGTATAATTTGTGATAAGAATGCTGCGTTTATTGAACAAGAAACCAATTTGTAGTAGAAAAGCCAAACATTGAACAGAGCAAAATAGAAAGTCGCAGTAAAACAGAGCTTCATTCTACGTACGGCTGCAAATCGAATTCAAGCGAGGATTCTAGCTGTTCATTCAACATTCAGACATCATCATCGTATGTCATCAAAGATTCCTTATACCATCGAGGTACGTTCATTGAGAATGATCTGTTGTTGGGCTTTGATTCAGCTTGATTGAAGGCTACATTGGTTGGAATGCAAACGTCTGTTGGTTACTGATCAACCTCATACATCAACACTTATAATCAGCTATCGAATGCAGCTGCTCTTGAATATGAAGTCAAGCAAATGGCAGCTTTGTTTGAACAGCGAGAGTCTGAAGAGAACTGGACAAAGTTTGAAGAAGCGCTGCTCAAGCTAACTGCCATCACTAGAGGATCCCACCAACTGTCTGGCTTTACAGCCATCATCAAGACTAGACTCAAAACTGCTCTAATCAATTGTGTATGTGGGCTCTTGTTTGTATATGAACTGGATTGTTGCATCGATCTAGAACTGATTCCTTGTTATGTGCTACGACGCATAGTTGTCCACTGAGCGCACTCGTCTGGCTCGCACTGCAATGCTGCTGGTCGAAGCGTTGGGATCCTTTTTAAAGGAAAGATTTGATGCTCTTTCGGACCCTCTGATGTCTGCTGTTCTCAAGCTCACGGCAAGAGCCAACAGAGTTTATGTATCAACCGCATCATCAACTCTCAAGTCATGCATCGAGTCGTCTGGTGCTGTCACTTTTATCCCCACTTTGGCAGATGCACTCAAGAATGCAAGTAAAACGATGCGTATTGCTGCAATGGAGTGTATATGTGCCGTGATTCGAGTCAATTCCGTCGATGCGTTATCCAACTATATTGTTGTTCTTGAGAATGTTCTTCGTGAGAGTGTTGTCGACTCTACAAACGAAGTTCGTAGTCTATCTCGAGATATGTTCGATACATACAGAAATAGGTTTCCTGATCGTGTCGACAGGTAATCCAAACTTGAATTGTATGAACAAGACCATTTCCATGTCGGTCTCATTTGTCTGCTTATATTTATTTTTATCCGTTTCACATTAATCTAGATTTGTTGACGATCTACCCGAAATTGCAAGAAAGTATATAAAAATTGAAAAGTCAAAATCTGGCAAACTGTCTTCAAAACCTCGTCCAATTTCTAAAGGTTACAGTCATGATAATGGATTAGGTGTAGATGATGCTTCCTTGAATACACCTTCACTTGCTAAAAATGCATCTACGCTAGAATTGGATAGATTGGCATTAGTCGGTGAATCTACTACTACCTCGGCACAGTCTACGGTTTCTGCTCCTGTTGCTTTTGGTGGACCACGTCGAGTACTTGGAGAACCTGCCCGTGTAATTTCCTCTGGATCCGACCAGTCTCACGCAGATCAGCCAAGATCAACGCAGGGTCGAATGACATTTTTAACTGAACATCTCGGTGGTGCGCAACGAGTTGTTCGTCCAGAAAAACCAGTTGCTAACGTTACTTCAGTTAGTTCAGATTTCACTGGCTTGGCAAAATTCAAACCAATGCGAATTCCTCCAACCTCCACTAATACCCACAGTTCATCTCGACCAACATCCTTTCACTCTGAAGGCTCTCGACCTGCATCACAGGCTAGCACACATAGTGTTTCATCCAAGCTCTCATCCGAGTCGCTTGCGAATGCATCCGATTTTTCACAACCACGGCGTGCTGCAACAGTTTCGCGCATCAACCAATCCAACATGATGTACCAGGGCTCATCTGCAGCCAATCATCGGAAAGCTGGTTCAATGGTCTCTTTAGTCACACCATCACAAAATTTGACTGGAAAAATCAAACGCAACCACTCAACTGCCTCGGTAGGATCTACACGAAGCTTGGACAAATCGCGCCATTCTCAACATAGTATCAATTTAGCAAAGCTCAAGACTGATATGCGAAATTCAGACTGGTCCACTCGTCTCAACTCGCTACAATTTATTGCAAATCATTTCACTACACTCAAGGAAAAAGGCGAGGCGTTGACGGATTTGCAGACAAGGACTGAATTAAAGATTCTGGATTTGGTACTACAGGGAATTACTGATGCGCATTTTAGAGTTGTGCATACTGCGTTGCAGGCAACGCAACTTTTTGTCGAATCTATTGTTCTTCCTCGTGCAGTCATAGAGCAAGTCCTCGTCAAAGTATCCAGCATCTATTACAATCCCAACTTGAAAAACAAGCACGGTGTAGGTGAAATCTCTGCCAATATTCTTTCACTGTGCAGGGATAAGTATGCGGGAGATGTTCTTTGTGAAGCAATCATACAGGATCTCAATAACCCAGAGTACGCTATACACTTGAAGATGCGTGTCGGATGTATTGGGTTTCTTTCTGATTTAAATTCGACTCATTGGAAAGCATTTTTAAGCAAACCTGCAAGTGAGTTTTAAACCCATTTTTATTTACAATCAATCACTTGCTATGATGGTTAAATGTGGATCACTACTCATTAATGATTGTTTTATACTGATGGACTAGGTTGCAAACTGATGATGAATCGACTCATCACACTAACTACTGAAACGGATCCATTTTTTCAGCGCTGTTTGAAGTTTGTCATTCAAACCATCAGTGAACTTGGTGGCGAATCATTTTGGACAGCAATCAAGTCTCTTAGATCCATAGACAAAAAGGCAATTGATGCATTGTTTGGGGGTGATATTGAGCATGATAAGAGCATTTTAGCAAGCGTTGTCAAGGTAAACGTGTAATCATGCATTCCATCACAAACTATTTTATTAACTGATATTGATTTTTGTGTCAGCCGACAAAGATTGGCCAGTCGGGCTCTCCCGCCAACTTGCCCCATAAAACAACACCCCGCTCATACTCGAGTGTGTCGCCCAAAGTTTCTGCAAAAAACCTCGCATCATACTTGTCACCATCCCGATCTCAGTATTTCAAGGTTTGTATTTTGATTGTTTTTGATGTATAAATTTTCCTACTGTTTATTCACATTGGTTTAATGTTTGTATAGAATTCGGATGAACTTGTAAGCGGTAATAAGGATGATGACTCGCTAACCACGGTGCATAGCGATACTTTATCACGCAGTTCTTCAAGACCAGTGTCTATGATGAGCTACTCTGACGATCAATTTGCCGATGAGGGCAGTACGGGTAGTCTGGAGAAACATGGATGGCTTCATGCAGACAATATTGACTCTGTGACAGGGTTAAATGGATTGTATATATCGCCGCGTTTGGATGATATTGACAGACAAGCTACGCCCACTCCTCGCTATGATATGGGTAGTTTACGCATTCAGACCAACGATGATGCTACGCCACATCGTCATATTAGACATTCTACGGCGTCTTCTGCTAGTTCTATTGAACGTCACACTCTTTTGAACCCCGATGCATTCGATCACGCAAGCTATGATATGACAAGCAGCACTCGCTTGGCTACGCATATTCACACATACTATGATCCACATTTACAGCAGCCTACTCCTGAAGCAGAGGATGTGATGGTCACCAATGGGTTTGAATTTGCTGCCGAGTTTGATGAACCAACAACTGATATTGAGTTTGACCTTGTGCAACCTGATATACTTGAAGAAGTGCTATTCTCGGACGATTCTTTGCAGAGCGATTTTAGATTTATCACATTTGACTCTAATGTATCGTCAAAATCACTAGAGGGACTTGTTCGAGTTTCTCGCAAACGCCGTAGATCGTTATGGGGATCGTGTGCTGGACAATTTGTGCAAGTGATTCTTGACGCATTAGCGAACGAGTCACGACTAGCTTCTAGTATTAGAAACGCACTGATCATGTTACGGGAATTAATATCAAATCAAACCGAGTTTATACTTGAGCATGCAACAGAGATTTTAAGCTCTGTTTTGCGCTACGAACCAAATAGCCATGTAAGAACAGTTTGAGTTTACAAAGTATGCATTGATTACCTTTTTATTGCATGGTTACTAATCTCGATATAAATTCTATTGACTGGCTAACTTGTATAAATCAGTATTCCAAAAGTGAAAAAATGGACATCTTACTTGAAGTAGATAGTGTGCTGGCTACATTTGAGAATCGGATTCAAGAAAAGCAGCTGCTTCAAAGTAGCATTGCTCTTTTGAAAATGGATATTGACAAGCGATTTTGCTTTGAACTCCTAACAAGGCATCTAGCTGCTATGGACAATGACAGTCTATGGAACGACATGGAACAAGACGATATAATATTCTACCAGCTTGCATCAGTTAGTATTTATTTTGTAAAATAAGGTGATGGTTTTAAACAGCGTATTGAATTTATTTTGTAATGATCTACAGGGCTTAAATTCAAAGAAATCTGCCACGCGAAAAGCTGCCTATGACTGTGCCTTGACAATTCAAACTCAACGAGGAGAGAAATGGTGTGAACAACTTTATAGCGCCATTCGCAAATCGGCAGGTATTCCTCGTGAAATCGTTGTTCGAAGTATGATGGGGCGTATGCGTATCTCTGCTGATGTCTGCGAACCAATCGCATAATATAACTGTTTAGTACTATATTCATGAAATAATGTGTTGAATGTTATTACACTATTGTAAAAATATGAGATGAGTATTTGAATAAACTTTTTCATTTAAACACATGCACGTAAATGGAACACTATCTTGCAGTGCTGTTTTGAGATACATACTGCTTGATGATTTGTTGCACTTTCTCATTACAAATCGACTGTTTTTTCAATCAACGCAACGTCTACTATATGATACGCACAATCAAACTGTAGTTTTGAATGTTTTTTCTGCGTTTTACCATAATCGTGTATTGCATGATTGCCAAGTTTCGAACCAAATATTGAGCTCGGTTGTTTTGATGTCATCACTCTATACACACTCATATCTGTTGTATTCTGAAATCAGATACATTCACAGTCTAGTTCAAGAAAACAATGATGGCACATTTCAGTAATGCAATTGTTGTTTGCATGCTGATCACCATCAACAATACCAATGCATTGTGTTGACAAGCTCAAAAAGTACAATGTTGCCTAATGATTTAGCGAGACTCGTTATTTGTAAGATTGGCTGCTACCATGCACTTTAGCATTCTTATTTAGTGCTACATTTTGTGGATACAGTTGTAAAGGTTTAACCTATTGGGAGTTAACATAAGAATGCCAAGTGTACTTTTATACTAATATGCATTGAGTAACTATTAAACAAAATAAGGAAAAGCGTGTTCATTTCGGCATAGTTGGAAATGGTGAATGGTGAATGAGATTGAACTGTCAGATCATCACATCATTGCCTAGACAGCATTTAAACCATGAACGAACCGGGGAAACCCTGACCACCCATTTGCACCGAGTTGGTCCAAGGTGCGTTGAATCCTGTCATACCTCCGAATCCAATCTGACGTTGACCCAACACATCTGCATTGAAAAGCATGGACGAGTCGGCAACACGGGGGAGAATGGTTCCAGAAGCGGAGAGATGTTCAACAACCGAAGCGGGACCAACACCATTAGCATACAGTTTTTCGACCTGGGGAATCAAGTTCAACATAATCTGAACAGATGGATCAATCTGACCGAATGCATTGGGAGTCATCAATTCTCTGACGGCTTTCATTTTGCGCTCAGCTTTTTGACGGCCAACCCAAACTGAGTTACCAAGATTGGAACCAGCAAGCAGTTGCTGAGCAGAACGAGCAAGTCCAAGATCGATCGCATCATCGGTTTTGTTTTTTCGTTCTTCATCAACACGACGAGTGTGGGGAATACCACGAACAAGGTTGGAAAGAATCTCGTTGGTTCGACGATTGAAGCGAATGTTGTTTGCAACATTTCCAATCAACATGTTGGCGGATTTGTCAATGCAACGATCATTGCAAAGTATCATGGCAATATGCTGAGGGGTAGCTGGCACAACACCTTGAGCAAGATGGCTGATGATCATATCAGTAGCACGAGGCTGAGAACACGCATCGGCAACATCCGACACAAGCTCGAGGTTGTTAAAGTCGCGAGTACGATCAATAATAAGATCTGACAAGCATGGTAAAGTGTTGGCATATACTCGATGACTACACAGATGCAAATTTAAAAAAATGTAGTTTGATCAACTTACCTTTGGTGATTTCCTGGATGGGAGTGACGTTGGGAACATTCAAGCCAGTATGGTGGACATTCATACCAGCATGGGGATAAGACTGATGGATCTGGCTGAGCTGATTGAGCTGGTTGAATGGAAGTTGACCAAACTGAGGAATTTGAGGGATTTGACCAAACTGAGGGATCTGGTTCATCTGGTTCAATGGAAGTTGACTGAACTGGTTGAATCGAGGGATCTGCATGTGATGGCTCAATGGATCAACTGGACAGAAAGAGTTTAAAGCATTGACCGTGTTGGGCGTGTTGAATGGAGAAACATTGGAATAAACATTGGGATGAACACCACTCAATCCAACATTGGAATAAACACTAGGATGAACACCACTCAATCCAGATGGAACTCCAAACTGTTGGAGTTGCTGAATCAATGCGGGGTTGGAAAATGGCACGACTTCAAATGGATTCTGTTTGTAGTTGCCTGATGGCGACATGCAAGATTGCATCAATGGGTTGCAAGTTGCAAATTGATACGAAGATGGCAGTTGGTTGATTGAAGTCATTGTATTAAAGCAGTCAAGAGCGTGTAGTAGTAGTAAGTTGTAGATTGCAATGGGTGAATATCAATGTTGGTGCAGGAATTGAATGGTTTTATAGGTCGAGTACTGTGTGAAATGGTTCACACGATCATTAAAAGTAAGCAAGACATGACAATGTAAATGCATGTGTTGGTTGTTTATTATCCAGATTAGCAACGATGGATTGAAATTAGAATGTTGAATGACAATTCATACATTTATGCTTATAACAGATTGAATATGCAACACATGAAATTCAACAGTTGTATAATTAACCAAAATTACACTTTCAATGAATCTGTCAGTTGACATCCAGATTTGATTAGATTTGAAGTCTGCATGACGACTGGTGACAATGAAAGTCGAGTAGATTGACAAATTCAACGCACAGCGTGAAAACAACTTGAGCTGAACACTTGATCAATCCAAATCAGAGGCTAGTATGGATCATGCAGAGTATTTTGCAACAACACCTGCACCCTGCAACTTGCAAGACGTAGCTCAGCGCACAAGAGATTTTGTAGCTTACAATAGCAGTTTGAATCGAAGAGTGGTGTTGGTATCTGTAAGTGTTCAACTGGTTTAGCAGGATGGATTGTTTTATTGACTGTCATTCTATCATGTTATGAATACTGTCTTTAGTCGGGAGGAACCACAGTTCCACTAGAGAACCAGACAGTAAGGTTTCTGGACAACTTTAGTGCTGGCACTCGAGGCGCAACATCAGCTGAATACTTTATTCAAGCCGGTTATGCCGTCCTTTTTCTACATCGACAGTTTAGTCTAGAGCCATATACTCGCCATTACACTCATGCCAAAAACTGCTTTTTAGATTTCCTCACTGCTGACCCGGATGGGCATCTGAGAGTGGTTGATCAGCACCAGTCAGAGATTGCATCCGCTCTAGTCAAGTATCAGGATGTAAGTGTATGCACAAGTATATCGAGTCTTATTCTCACTTGATCAGTCATGATCTTCAGACTAACTTGGCTGTATGAGCAGGCAAACAAAAACTGCAAGTTGCTCAAGATTGGGTTTGTGACCGTGCACGATTACCTCTTTTACTTGCGTCAGATTACTATGGAAATGTCCACTTTGGGATGTTATGGAATGTATTATCTGGCTGCAGCTGTGAGCGATTATTACATCCCTCATAGCAAAATGGTAATGAATCGGTGCTTTCTGGATCTGGGCTTTACATTTAATTTAAACTTTTATATTTGTAGATTGAGCACAAAATTCAATCGGCTGATGGTGCCTTGAGTTTGCAATTAGAGCAAGTACCAAAGGTGATCAAGCCACTTGTGCATGAATGGGCCGAGCATGGATTCATTGTGTCGTTCAAGCTCGAAACAGATGAATCTTTTCTGATACCCAAATCTCGTAAAGCGCTTGAGCGCTATGGTCACCAGCTCGTTATCGCCAACATGCTTCATACTCGCAAGCATGTTGTGCATTTGATCCATTCAAATGCAAACGAGGATATTAGACTGACTGAGCAAGAAATCAAAGACAATGTCGAGATTGAATCTCACATTATTTCTCATTTGATGAAGCTACATGACAAGTGGATTGTTGAATCCATAAACATCAAATAGGCATGTTCCAGAGTATTGACCAAAACATTGAAATGAAGCATCCTATCCATCACATTAAGCCTACAACTACAAGTTCTTGTAAAGAGTGTTGGTTTTCATTTGCAGAGCATTTAGAAAGAAAGAGCAGCACCCTGTATATAAAAATAAAACATGTCAGTAACCCAACTAGTCCAAAGTATCACTTTAAAACCAAAACCAACCTTGGTCTTCTTGTCACCACCGAGCTCAAAGTGTTTGCAACGCTTCAGGGAAACCTGCTGCTTGTGCTTGCAGACACTGCACTCAAGACGGAGAACAACTTTCTTGGTAGTCTTGGCCTTCTTGTGGAAGACGGGCTTAGTCTGACCACCATAACCGCTCTGCTTGGCATCGTAACGACGCTTACCTATATGAAATGAAAAATAAATGGTTATTGACAAGCAGCTCACTATTGGATGCATCAATCATAAATGCAGCTAGATCTAAACCCAGCATCACATCCAAATACTGGCCAAACAGAGATCAACACACCTTGAGCAAAGAGCGAGGCTTTTCCAGTCTTGTACTGAGTAACCTTATGGGGGGTGTGCTTCCTGCACTTCTGGCCCTTGCAGAATGTGTTGCGAGTCTTGGGGATGTTGACCTATTTAGAATCCAAGATACAATTACCATAACAAAGGGTTGATCAGTATTACTTGGATTATTGTTTAAATCACTCAACAAGTCCAGAGCACTCTATAATCCATTCCGCCCATGCATCTTTCTATAGCATGACAGATTGAGCAGACAATATGTAGATATGCACATCAGCATGCACAACATGATCAAAATGCTCTTGAACAATAATGACTAGATCAATCCAGAGCCTCATTAAACTGTAGTCTGAGGGTATTTCAGTGTGTTGATGTGCTGAACCACTTGAAAACATGTCCAAACGATTCAGCCATCACTAAGAATGCAAGTGAATGACTTGATCAAATACTTGGATGCATGCATAAAGGAGTATGAATAGATGCATGCATTGAACGTATGGGTTTCATGGATGCATGCACTGGATGGATGGGTTGGATGAGCACTCTATACACACCATTGCAAATCGATTCGTGTAACAACCAAACTTGCAGCTTCACTCGCAACAAAACTCCACCAAAATATTGTTATCCTGAGGACACGACGCGTTGTTAATCGCTCACTAAACCATTAATATTTATTATGGCTTATAGGGAAACTCTGTACGCCAGTGATGAGCTACTTCTTCTCTGGTACACACCCACACGTCCTTGTGACTTGCCACGTACTCGAGAAACTGCGCAAGTGCAGCTGCGCGACCAGGTTTACCGACCAAACGGCAATGGAGTCCAACCGACATGAATTTGGGTCGTGGATCGTGTGGATCTTTACCTTCTTGGTACAGCACATCAAATGCATTTTTAAGGTATGTAAAGTATCCATCAGGAGAAGTAAATCCGGGTGGCTAAGTATTTACACAGATTGTATATTTAATCATCAATGTTGAATCCTTGTCAAGCAATTCACACTGCAGTCCAAATGATCCGAGTCAAAACAGTCTAATAAGCATAGATGATCAAGTCTTGATAAACTTACCACACAGTATTTCATGTCATTTTGATCCAAGGTGTACGGGATCACTAAATGGCCTTGTTCATCGAGTCCTTTTACCCAATAAGGCTACGTTCATTCTCATGGTTAGTCGAATCAACAAGACATACAACCAGCGCGAATCTACATTTAAAATGCATACCAAATCATCATTGTAAGCGTCCGAGTCATACAAGAGAGGAAGATTCAATTTCTGATACTCTTCTAGAACTAATCGGCGTGAATTGATCCCAATACGGCCAGTATACCATCCAACCGGTGCACGTCCAGTTACTGAAGCATTTCGAATTGCCAGGATTGCTGATCGAATATGCTCTCTCTCAGTAGCCTCGTCTACTCCATGATAGTCAATCCAACGATAGTCTATTTAAAATAGCGTATTGACATTCATGCAGGTTATATTCAAAGCAGTTTATCTGGACATTACATTCAAAAGCATATTGCCTCGATATGATGCAATACAAGCTTACTGTGCGATGCAATTTCATGACCAGATTGCTCCATGGTACGAATCACCACTGGGTTAAGCTCAACTGCCCGACCCACTGCATAGCAAGTGAATTTAAAATGATGCTTGTTGAACATTCTCAAGATACGCCATACTCCACATCTGGAACCATACTCGTATTGGGTTTCCATGTTCATGTCACGAACACCTTGTTTAGGAGCACTGCCAGGAGTCTAGTTTAAAACAGTTGGAAAGTATGAGTGAACATACATGAACAGTGCAATAGAGCCAGTGTGTACAGTACCTCGTTCAGAAATACTTCAGATGTAGCATCTCCGTTCATAACAGTGTGTTCACCTCCTTCTTCATAATTGACAACAAAGTTGATGGCCAAAGCTGCACCATTAGGCCAGTGTGGATGTGGAGGTTCAGCACCATATCCTGTGTGATCTCTTTCGTTCAACTGCTTAATATCAACCATTGCCTTCAAAAAGATCAACTTTTCAAGCTGCTTTATGCTTTGAACTCGACCACGTGGGTGGAATGTTGGCTGGATAACTGCCATTCCTGAAGTTCATGTAAACCCCAAAGACTAATATCCGAGTATATAAAAACAGCACGCATCTATGCGGCCCATTTCGCTTCATTATTATAAATCAAATAGAAAAATCACATTGCCAAATAAAAATATATTCAGTCATGCAAAATGCACAAGCAAAACTTGCTTAATTCATCCTCTGGATAAGAGCATTGATTCTGTCTTCACGGTTGCCAGATTCACCACCTTCCATAAAGTGAGGAACCTTCTTTCCAGTGAATCCACCAGTGGGGTTAGAAAGCTTAAAGGCCCACAGGAAGGCATTGGCCTGCTTAAAGTTGGGTCCAACAGTAAAGATCTCGTGAATAAGATCTTCAACGCAAATTATGCCGTACTTTTCAAGAGCCTTCTCAATCACTTGATTGTCGGTGATAGGAATGCGCTGTTTGTCAATCTTGGCGAATCCACGCTTGTAGATCAGCTCACGCACAGATTTGAGGTTAGGATATCCCCAGGCAATATAGGGACCAACCCACTGAAGCATCTGGAGAGTGGCCTTGGTAAGACGAACAAAGGTACCAGAATTGATACGGGTAAGACGCAACAGTTGGAGAATCTTGCGGGGCTTGGGAGCAATCTTGTTGATACCCTTGATACGGATAACAAAAGCAAGTTTGGCCTCGGCAGGAACATAGAAACTGTTGTTGGCCTTGGCCTGACGGTGAAGGAAAATCTCGTCACGCTCCTTTGAGCGGTATTCCTTGATATAGGTCTCGGCACGCTTGAAGATGATGGAGCGCTTGGTCTTGTTGAGCTATAAATCAGAATCAACAGAAAAGACGGTAAGAGTCTAGATATTCATCAATTCTGACAGCAAAAGTAGATTTGTTGAGGTCAGTCCCGAAAGATGGTTGACGAGAGCGACATTGACCTGTTTGGGTCTGGCTACTCGGGTTAAAGTCATCATACCTACAACAAATCTACAGTCCAATGCTTACTCGACAAAATAAAGTTTAAACAAGCACGTACCTTCTTGGCCTCAATAGCCTTTGTAGCACGTTCGGCAACAAGCTTCTCAAAAGTCTTTCTCTTTTTGAGAACAGACTCGGGGGTCACTTGCTTGACAGCGTTTTTGGTACTGGAAAGCCAAACACAAGAGTCAGAACATGACAATGTACAGAAACATTGCAATGAATACAATGCAGTCTACCAAGATAGTGGTGACTAGAAAAATAGACAAATCTTGGATGGATTGGCCATTGGTGCGCCAAACAAAAGGCAGCAATCCACACATGAGTGGAATTAGCCAACTGCAAGGTGCATCGCTATTTACCACTCTGCAGCACACTGATTTGAAATGTCACCATAACCATATTACAGCCGTATTCACGTAAAATAAAACACAACTGGGAAAATACTCAATCTCATACAAATATTGAGTGATTGACAGAGAAACAAAAACAAAATTGATTTTGTGCTTGGAACAAGAATTAAGAATGTCAACTGGTAGAACACAAAAAATGGAAATGGCTGCAGAACAAGTGTTGCGTTTTACGTGAATATGGCTGTAAAATCAAGTTACAGATGTAATGACAAATCTCAACCGTAATGCACAAAGCAATGGAGCCAAAGTAGCTAATTTAATCACAGTGAAGCACAAGCCTCACAGTGACAATTCTTTTGATGCAACTATTCAGTCTGTTGTATGTTTGACCCTATTGCATGCATGTAAGCATAGCAAAAGACAGACTATGAGTAGTAAACAGGTGCATCAAAAACAAAGAACAAGTCCGTATAATAACTCTACTACGTCCCATTTATTTTGTTGAAAATAAATGAAACGAGCACAAACAAAATGCTTGAAATCAAGTTTAGGACTTGTCTGAAAAATAAATTTAAGAGGAAAGTTCAAGACTAATCAATCAAGATAGTCAACACTTGACCTCCAAATCCCCACTGTGATAGCCATGTCTCAATCCAAGGATCAATAGGCCTCACAGCAGGATATATACATTTGAGGAATCACAATCATGGATTCCATAGTCCAAGCGGCAGGTCGACCAAGCAAGCTAAAATCCCATCATCAGATTAAAAAATTCCATCAAAAATACATGTTGGCCAAAGAAATCCAGCAGGTTCACTGAATCAAGGATAGTTGATGTCTGTTGAACCAAGCCAGATTAAAGGATCAATCAATTCAAGCCAAAGTGTGCTTTTGATCTCGGGCATTCTTGGAATCGTATTAAAAACAAAGACTTACGCAGGAGCCATTTAGTAATCTGTGAAGTAAAAAATGGGGCAAGTGCCTGTTAGTGAAAGTGTGGAAAGAAAACGTTCATCAGACTCGATTATAAAACAAACAGTTTAATCACGTGTATAACTAAATCACGTTGTATATAGCAATTGGCTAAAATACAAAATTCTCCGCGGACAATTTACAGTACCATATGAATTCCAATAGTCACGTGAAATGAAACACATTCATAATAAACAGCTTCAAGTGATTTGGCGCCAGTTTACTGAACAAGATGGTTCTATAAACTTATTGGTTGATTGGCCTTTTGCCTGACGATCGCATAAAAACATTCATTCCTGATACGTGCAATCTTTTTGTTGAATTAAAACGCAAACGTATCTAAACCTTCAGAATACAAGAGTTTGTCAGTTTGATTGAGATCACAATATCTGGATTGTAATGTATCAATCTGGTGATTGTACAGTGTATGGTTATACAAAAAGATGGCAGTTTTGGTTTAAACCTATGGTTTAAATTATACAATGAATGTTGAGTTTATTGAATTGAGAATGTCCAGCAGGAAAACACAACATTCAATCATTTCTATTCCAATACAATTTCTGCTGGCCTTTACGTGAATATGGTGAAAAACTGCATAAACACGTTTTTGGTTGCGCGTTTACTTGGTAGCGACCAAATACCAATCATGGTGCAATCAATGGAATACTTTACAAGCTCAACTTGCTCAAACACATTACTATTCCATCTCGACTGTTTCAATCATTATTCCTGTATCAATACCATTGTAGTAACGGCTTGGTTGAGTGACTATTCAACCTAATCTACAAACACGTGATGCTAACCGTTTGCGATTCAATACTCAATCACGATGCTGATCCAACTTTAGCATATGAATTCATCAAACACCAAGGACATGCTTTCCTGGTCATTCAACACTGTGCTAGGGGACATTGGACTGCAGCGTTTAGAAACTCATGGATGGCATGTCCTGTCTACTACTGTGGTGACACAAATTGTATTCATGTTGGGATGTTATTTTTCAGCTCCCATCTCTCACTATGCCAAACTCTCTCCATCCAAAAAGGCTTCATGGGGAATGCATATAGTATCCATGATCTTTTCATTGCTGATCTGCACTATTGCGGTTCCAGTCTTTTTTACTCCGGAACTTGCTGCCGATAAACTGTTTGGGTACTCCTTCTATGCCGGTGTCGTTTATTCTATTGCATGCGGGTAAGTTTATATTGAGCATGTGCTTGCCAAGATTTGACCGATTGCTCCTTAATGGCTATAGTTGGCTTGATATGTAAAGACTAGTCTACCATTGGGAAGATATCAACACACTGCTGGGTTGAATGCTATTTTAAACCTTTGACAATCGCTTGATGTGCAATGTATGTGAGCTGGAGATGGCAAAAAAGTCGATTATCTGATTCAACCATTTCATTCATAGGTACTTTTTATGGGATATTGCAGTTTCGATCTTTTATATTCAAGAAACAGGGCTAGGATTTGTAATACATGCTGTTGCGTGCTTCTCAGTCTTTATGCTCTCTTTTGCAAGTATTTTGCCACAATGCTATACAAAGTGATACTATCAAATGCATCTGGATTTTTGACTAACCGATTATTGGATTATAGAGGCCATTTTTGTATTACTATGGAAGTGTGTTTTTAATGTTTGAAGCCAGGTATGCCTTGCTTGGACAATCTTGGCACAATTAACTCGTGCAAATCACTGTTTTTGGAACGTTGATGCTAATTTAAGCAATTTGGTCTTTTGTGTGAAATGCAAACAGTACCATTTTTCTTAATGTCCATTGGTTTTGTGACAAAACTGGACTGACCGGCAGTCTATTTCAGTGGGTGAATGGCATTATTTTGCTTGGCTCATTTTTCTCGGTTCGCATAGTTTTTGGAATATATCAATCCGTTTTATTTTTTGGTATGTATGGAACTTTTGGTTTAATATATTTCGAATGCAACTACATTTTGATACTCTGGATTGATTAGACACAATCTCAGACTGTTTTGCACTTGTAGCCATAAACCCGACTGCTTACTTTTACAAATCTATTTGCCAACTTTATATGAATCTAGTCACATGCATTCAAAGATGGGATGAGGTACCAACGCACCTGTTTGTTGTGTATGCTATAGCCAACATCCTGCTTTGCTCTCTCAATGTATTTTGGTTTACACGCATGATCAAATCTGTGGTTAGTAGATTCAAGGGAGGATCCAATGCTCAGGAAGATGATGGATATGGTAAATTGAACAAGAAAGCCAAGACAAATACTGCTGGAGCAACCAAAAAACATGACTGATTGTGTTTAAAGATGCAAGTTGAGATGGCTCGTTTGCCACTTATCTGAGCTGGATATGCCACTTTTCAATGAATAAAGTATGCAGATGGTCTGCATCTTATAAGAATCCATTTCATTTTAACCTAGTGTATCCAGATTGGCAGGTTTTAACATGCCGAGTGGTTTGGATGAGAAATAAGCTATACAAACGAGCGAGGGGTCTGAATGCATGGCAATACCACAAGTATTGTTTGCAAGGCAAACACACCTACATGTGAAAGCCAGATGCATAGTTGACGCAAGTCGTATGTGACATTCTATGTATGATCGAATGCTTGGATGGTATGCTGAATGCGGTACATTTATCCATATGGCTGTCATTTCAAGCATTTACGGGCATTAAGCCTGCCTCAAGTTTCCCTTTATTAGCACTCCAAGAATGGATCAGAATGCTGCCAGGGATAGTGCTGTAGCACACACTGCTGAAATGATTGGCTCTCCAGCACCAACTCAAGAGCAAATACTGGAGTCTGGCTCTGTCCAGCCCAGCGCATCTACTCCAGATCCACTGTTTATCCAGCCTCCTGCCTACAAAGAGCCGTTAAACTCACTACGCAACCAACTTTCTAATGAGCATATCAAGGCTAATGCCAGAGCTGCCATCTATACTGCCTTGGTTGCTGAATCCTCAGCAAACCCCTTGGTCACAGATTCTAGCCAGCCTTCGTATCTTCCTCCTCAAGGTTGAGTATTTTCGTTTGTTAAATTCTATATAGACGGATGAGGTGAACAATCCATTTTGATTGTGCATTGAATTGGATATTTAAACTGTCATTTACAGTAGTCTTTACTTCAACTGCTCATGGATTCATCATTGCTTTGTAAATATTCATTAATCCTACCCAAAACCATGGCAGATGACTATGGTTTAGTGAAAGCTTGAAAAGGTTGTGTTAGGTCAGGACATGGCTACATGAAGAATGAGCTTGCATTGGCCTGATCCTTTGGCAGCTTGTTTTTGACAAGGTTGGCCATGTCAATCAGTGCCAAATTGCAATACATGGATTCATGTGGAGTTTGAATTTCACACTGTTCCGATCTAGCGTCACGCTGTGCATTGATGCCAGTAACATGATTCTCTCAACATGACCAAACTGGATCATTCAACTCAATTGGCGTACCATTTCCAACATCATATCTCTCAAGATGCTCTTACACTCCTATTTACGTCTGCTTGGCTTCAACACCACAACTTGTTACAAAACTGCATTATAGTTGCATGCTTCTGTTGAGATTCCCAACTTTTATTGCAGCCTGATTTCCATTTTTTCCCTTGAAAGCCCATTCCAAGTTCCTGAACACGATTTTGTGAGGCTTATTGTGATTTATTTTCAATTGATAGAGCCTATCAACTCAAAACCCGCAAATTTGAACCATCCAAATACGCCATTTGTATTACATATACCACTAGTGAAATTTACCGTCAAATTTATAAGCTTGCAATACTCTGATATTCGTCATTTTCTTCAACCTGATTACTGACTTTTATTTATTTTTAATACACCTAATCCAGTACCATCGGATATCAAAAACAATGATGTCCAGCTTACTGGTAACTTGTTTGGGCCAGATGGTGGCCTTCCACCTGCTATTGTCAAAACGCTCACCAATGTTTCCAAAACGGTTCAGACTCAAGTAGATACTGTTCGAGACCTGATTGACCCTTTTATTCCGTTCGAGAATATTCTTGCATCGAGTATTGTTTTGGGCACAGTGGCTGTTACATGGTTTCTCACGTATTTTCGATGGGGATATGGATGGTATGTTGTTGGCGGCCTAATGCTTGCAGATATGTATAGACGCAATCAGTCTCGTCTAAAGGTCAAAATTGCAAAGGAACTATACAAACAATCGGCCATTCTCAAGGTATGTGATTATTGCGACCCTTTCAAGTTGCTATTCTATTCTAGTTTCAAAATGCTTAGATCTTGCTGATAATCTTTTTTTTGTTGTTATGCAAATTATAATGCTCAACCAATAGCTTAATGATGATACAGAACATGTCGAGTGGCTCAATCTTTTTTTGTCTAAATTCTGGACTATTTATGAGCCTGAATTGTCACAGCAGATTAAAGAAACAGTAGATGGTGTTTTGGAGTCGTCCAAACCCGCATTTTTGGATGATCTCCGTCTTGTCAAATTCACACTTGGATCCAATGCTCCTCGAATTGAATCCATTCGCACATACCCTGGAGCAGAGGCTGATGTTTTGATGATGGATTGGGATCTCTCGTTTACGCCGTTTGATGTTGACGATTTGAGCAAGAAAGACAAGGCTAATTCTGGCATCTACAATTTTCATATGGAACTTGTTGCTCGTATTGGTGCTGGCCCTGCTTCAATTCCACTTTCAATATTGCTCAAAGAAGTTGCATTTTCTGGAGAGGTATATGATTGATTGGCTTTTAGGTCGCTTTGTTGAAAACCCCTAACACATTTGTTGAATATTCTATAGATGCGAATCCAGCTTAAATTCATCACTGCCTATCCACATATTGGAATGGTTGAATTTGGATTTTTAAATGTTCCTCGTTTGGATTTTATTCTGCGACCTCTCAAAGGCATGGATCTGAAAGATATTCCTGGTCTATCTACATTTTTAGAAGACACCATCAATGGACAGTTGCGTGCAGCCATTGTCAACCCAAATAAGATTTCTATTGATTTGGCAGCAATGATGAATGCTGGCGATAGTGCCGATCGTCCCATTGGTGTCTTGCGTGTAACTATTTTTGACGCCAAGCAGCTGAAAAATGTAGACATTACTGGCATTAGTGATCCATGCGCAGTGATTATTATTGGCGGAAAAGAGGTTGCTCGCACCAATATCATTGACAACAAGTACGTTTTAATTGTAAAATTGATACAATGGTTTCAATCGTTGCTTTCTGCTGGCACTGACTTGAAACTTTTTCGTGCTTTTCTATTTGATTTGAATACTCAGCCTCGATCCTGTATGGAATGAGACTTTTAATATTATTGTGTACAAATCCACATTTGGTCAGCTGGCGAGTCGCTCTGACGAATTCAAAATTGATATCATGCACGTTAATGCCTTGCAGCGCAAACTTATTGGGTCTACACCAACACTACGACTTCAACGATGGTCTCGCTTGCTTGACCCTGTTTCTGTAGAAGAGCTTCCTGATGATATTCCTCCAGAGCTTAAAAGAGACCAAATGCGTCCAATGACCCGCAGCGAGCATGAATCACTTATTTCTAATTGGGGAACACCGCTGTCTGAGCCAAGCGACATCATCAAGCAACTATCTCGTCCTGGTCAAAACGAAAAGCGCACTGGTCAACTCCGACTTGATTTGTCTTACTTTCCTATTCCTGAAGTTGCGCCAGAAGTACCGCTAGACTCTCGTGCTGGTGTTTTATCCATATCTGTACATCAAGCCAAAGAACTTGCTGCTTCAAAATCTGCTTTCCCTGAATGCTCCATTGAAATGGACAATGTCGTGATTGGTCGAACTTCGATCAAAAAACATACCAATACCCCCACTTGGAATTTTTCCTGTAATACCTACTGCAAAAACATTGACACTGCCAAAATCAGATTTGTTGTGACAGAGAGAGGATCCAGTCTGGGTGATTGTAATGTGGAAGCAAACACACTCATAAAACCTGAAAAGGACGACTGGTTCAAACTGTATCACACTACTGGTGGCAAGCTTCGTATCACTGCCAAGTTTATTCCTGTGGACATGCTACATATTACCACGGATACTTCTAAAATAAAGCGCAAAGAACCCTGTGGTTTACTTCGTATCAATGTTCGCAAAGCCGAGGCTCTAGCCAATACTGAAGTGCTAAGAAAGTCGGATCCTTACATTAAAGTCAATGCCGGAGGAAAGCCATTTGGTGCTACGCATGTCAGACAAAACACGCTTGATCCAGAATGGAATGAGATTTTTTATTGTATTGTTTCTACTCCAAAAGATCCTATTTTGTTTGAGGCGTTTGATTGGAACGAGCTTCGAGGCGATAAGAGGCTAGGAAAGATTGAACTTCGATTGGACATGCTTTTGCCTGATAATCCGGAACTTGGTGGGAATAAGCCGGATGAAAAGTTGGCAGAAATGATCGAATCCCTTACTTCTGACGGATTCTCTGCTACTCCAACTTCTTCATCAAAAGCATCAATTCGTACTCCACTTTATCTTTCTAAATCTGATGAATTGCCGAGTAATGGTAAGGATGAGCCCGAGGAGGATGAAGAAGAAGCTAAAGCTGCCGCTGCCGCTGCTGCTACTGCTGCTGGTACAAAGTCCAAATTCACTCCCGCAGCACTTTTCAAAAAAGATATGTTTAAAATGCCAGTGCTTCCTACAAGCACTCCTAAAATTCGTCAACGAGGACACTTATACTTTGACGTTGACTACTTTCCCGTAATTAAAGATCGCGTTATTCGTCCCCGTTCTGAGAACCCCGCTTTATCCACAGCGAGTGCAGCTCGATCGAGATCTGCAAGTGAGACGGCTAAAAAAGACAATGTTGACGCTACAAACCCTACAGCGGCTACTGGTATCACTACTATCCAAGATGATATCAAGCTGGTTGAAAAGGTAGCTGAGACAATCAAGGACGATGCCAAAGATATTGTCAAGTCTGTATCAAGCACAGATCTTAAAGTTGATGCTAATCCTCCCACAAAATCTGAAATTGAACCCATGAGTTCTTTGGCTAAGCGGATTGTTGATCAAAATCGTATGTATAAGCACTATTTATATGAACGACTATTTTGCTTGTTATTTTCTCGTATATTTTGATTATCCTAATCTCATTTAAACCGTCTAAACATTATGATTGGCAGGCTCTGGCATTTTGCGAATCCGAATCACTGGTGCTAAACTGTCTCGACCTGCTCGTGCTTATATTGAGATTCATGTGGATGGAACTGCAATCTTTCGTACACGTACATCTGAAGAAACCATGAATCCCATGTGGCTCGAGGCCGCTGACAAATTTATCATTGACATGGATACTGATGCATTCTTGATATTAATGCGCCACCAAATCGGCGAAGAGCGTAGTTCAAACGACTTTATCTTGGCTCAATGGCAAGGTGATCCTGTTACTGAACTAATTGGCACATCACACGAGGAGTTGAAAATGCGTCAGTACACTACATCTGGTAGATCAAATGATCATCTGCCATATATAGCAAGACTTAAGGCTGAGTTTTGGTATGCTCCTGTCAACATTGATATGGACATTAGCTCTAAATTCAACTCTGGTATGCTGAATATTGACATCATCGAGGCCAAGGGACTTTCTTCAGCTGACCGGAATGGTTTGAGCGATCCTTATTGTGTTTTTAATATCAATGGCACTAGAATTCACAAAACAAAGGTTCAGAAACATACTCTTGACCCAGTGTTTAACGAACAGGTGTCCGTTGCTGTCAAGTCGCGATTACGGTCGACTTTGGAAATACAAATGATGGACTGGGATGCTGTTGGTGCACATACCTACCTTGGACGAGTTTTGATTCATTTGGCAGATCTTCCTGCATCAGAAGTTGTTAATCAGGTGTACCCACTTGAAGATGGCAAAGGCTCAGTTACTTTACGTTTCTTCTTTGTACCTCAGACTGTGGATGAAAAAGGGTCTAATTTGGATCCTGAATCAAGATTGGAGGCTGGATCACAATCTGGCGTCGGCAAGTTTTACAAGGGCTTGACTACTTCGTTTGCCAACACTGCAGCCAATACATTCATGTCTGGCTTTGGAAAGAAACCACAGACAGGTGGCGGTGCTGCTTCCAAATCCACAGATTTGCGGTATGGACTCGAAGGTGGTCGACGACGTGAACTTTCTGGACCTATTGAATCTACACCTGTTGGTGCTACTGGTAGCGAACCATCATCTCGCCAAATTCCTGCAGGTCCGCCGAGTAGGCGTCCTATGGGAGTATCTTCAAATACTACATCTGTAAAGAATGCTTTGGAAACAACAGGAGTTTTGGATACTGCTGCTAATGTGACTGATTTGGCGCATGCCACTGTAGCATCTGTGTCTGCTCAGTCTTCTGAATTTCTGCTAGCATCAGCCCAAGCAATTGAAAATCATCCCGCAGTAAAAAATGCCTCGTCAATTGCTACTGGATCTGCAGAATCACTTTCTCATCTTGCTAATAGTTCAACATGTGAGTTGGATTGAAATAGTGTTTAAAGTGCCGTACTATATTGTTATCAATACCTTTTGCTGTGAATATTTAAACTTGACAGTTTGCTCAAAGTCGCCTTTATTTTTACTAACAACTTGATTTGATTAATCGGATTGGACATGTAGCGGAAAAGTTTCCAGAAATCTATGTGCGTAGCCCATCTCCCGTCAACCAAACACTTTCCTCGGTAGACAATTTTACCGCTCAAGTTATGATTGAGATTTTACAGGGTCGAGGTCTTACTGCTGTTGATACCAATGGCACATCTGACCCGTATGTCAGAGTCATGCAGTACAAGAACAGCAGCGCGGAATTTAAGACACTTCTTAAAACTGCTGTAATCAAAAAGACGACATCACCAGTATGGACTAATGAATCTGTGGTGGTGCACTGTCCACCGCCAACAATTCGGATAGTCATCAAGGACCACAACACCTTCAAAGGTAGTGTGGATATGGGTCAGATTGGATTGGACTTGTTTGGATTATTCAAGAATACCAATACTTTTGATGAGTATTTCCCTGTGGATGGTGGTGATGGTGAACTTCGTATTCGTGGAACACTCATATCGAACGGAGTTGATGCAAGTGATACTGCCTCGATGGTTGAAAAGAAACGATCGTTTTTTGGATTCAAAAAAAACTCTGAGCTGAACAATTCCAATGGAGGTTCACCTATCGAGATAGATGCAAAACGTTCGACTCATGGAAGCCTTTTTTCAGGATTCAGGCGATCATCGGGTGCGAGTATAGTATCTGTTTCTTCTGTTCAACAAAAGTCTAGTATGTCGTCCATTCAGGATAGCGTGGCACAGTCTGAGCACTGAATCAACTCATTTGCACCTTTTTGTCATTGGGAAATTTTGTTTTTACAGCCGCATTCACGTAAAATGCAACTTTTGTATTTATCTTGCAATCAGAGCCTCTATTTTGCTCGGCAATAAACAATGGTTAAACACTCGCTGTTATTGGACATTAATTACTTTTATTAAAACTCTGTTGTATTATAATATCAGATACGTTCTAGTTCAAGAGAACATCTTATGGATGCGACTATACATGCAGGTTACCCAATACTCACTTTAAATGAAAGGAAAGTTGGAGGTTGAAAAGATGTCAAGTATGTGGAATGTAATGTAAAGATTTACTCTGTATTTTGTACAAGAATGAGCACGAAAGCCAGTAAACTAAAAGAATTTAAAAAATAATGCTATCCAGTAAGATTGACACCAAGCATGAGATTGTTTATCATGTATTTTGACTTTTGTGCTTCATTCTACATGAATACGGCGGTAAATGAGCTTTCAATGAATTGCAAGTCGAAAAGAACTCATGTCGACACACTTGAGCCAATTTGATGTTTTGTTTGTAATTTATTGACACGTACTTTTGGCAAGTGATTTCAAGACATCATAGTAAATGACAGTCTTGTTCAAACTAAATATAAAAAGCCTGTCAATATCTAGTTGACAGGCTTTTGACAGTTTTTTGGCAGAGTTGCTTGATTTGAAAATTCTAAATACCATTTAATTCCACCCAATCCATATAAACAACTATATTAAACTCTGCAAGTCTGATTCCACTTTTCAACCTCTCCCAATCAATTGATTTTTAAATTATATTTAATATTTTTTCAAGCAATCACGACGGTACCCAACACTGTCCTGTTTAAATTAATTTGCCAGTCCGCTTCGAGAAAGCTTCTTTTGTGCACCTGACGTAATTCCATTTAAAGTAGCTTTCTTGCATAGCTAATTTCATTCATATAAATCGAGCATTTTAATCAAATTAAGCACCCAGATACTCTATTTACTTTTTTGACAGTTTAATCCGACTACACTTGACACCGATCCTTGCTGTTTCAAGTGTAAATACCTATTGACTATATTTAGGCAAGGCGTTCATGACTTTATACTATGTTTAGCCTATATATTAATCACATGCAGTATTTTATACTTTATTGCGTGCAAAGTAATAGATTATAAAATTGATACAAATGAGCAATCTTGAAAAGGATAATGAGCCTGACTCACCAACCTCGCTGTATATACTGGAGACACACGACTACACTATGCAACCAAGCTCAAGCAATTTAAATTTTGAAGGTAGATCTGCATCACAAAATGATTGGAGTCGGTTTTTTCTTGCGGCCCCACTATTGTCCGATGATCCTGTTTATTTACATGCAGACCACATTGAAGAATTGGATATACCCGTCATATCTACAGTGACCCATATACAGGCACCATCGCTTTTTGATCCCTCTTCTAGTCTACAGGAAATTGATATCGATCCAGTACTGGATCAGATTTCCACTGTTGTTGCGCAGACTCCTCATCCAACCAGCATCACGGTTCAGGCGACTAGAGATGAAGATTTAAATAGCTCTATATCGCCATTTGCTTTGGATACCCTACCTTGGTTCAACACCCCCTCCAAATTTTCCACTCTTACTACGGCTTCTGGTGCGTATTGCTCTACTCTAGATAAAGGCTTGAACCCATCCAACTCTAAAGCATCCTTAATACCATCTCGACATGCATCGGATCGACGCAATATTGAAGATATATCATTGGAATGTCCTACTATATCTAATGCAAACACTAATCTATCGAATATCAATGAGTTTAATCTGAATGCATCAAGTAAGTCAACCTTGCTTGGCTTTATCATATCCTTGAACTCTATAGAAACAAACTTTAAACGGATAATTTGCCACATTACAATGCGTGACTCATTATTTCGAATAAAAAACTGATCGTGGGAAACATGGCTCGTCGAAAATTCACTGGATACACTGCTGGCTTAATAGACGCCGCTCCAATGTTGACAAGCGGCTTTGGTATCCTGGATTTTCCAAACGAAATCACAGGAAATAAAAACTACAGCTCCGCTAATGTAGAGCAGCTTCAATATTCTAATTTTTGGTCCACTCCTGTTCCAAACGATGCAGTATTTGCAAGGCTCCCTTTTGCGCAGGCCACTGAAAATATGGCCACTAATGATAATCCGTCCAGCTCGGTGTGTCTGAATAGTTGGAAAGAAAATTCCCAAAACGATACGCTAAATCCTAGTACGATCATCTCGGGAATGCTTGCAGAAAATACAACTACCAATGACGCAATATTTGGTGATCGACCTGAGATTTCTGACTCATCAACAAGATCATTTCTTCAACACTATGATCATGACATCAACTGTCTTTGTAACGTTTGCCATACTATACGGATACAAATGCAGACTTTTGGAACCATGTATGAAGGCGACATCAACAATGCATCTGATAATGGATTCACAACGTATCCCATTTCCCAGTCATCTCGATTTAATGCACCTTTTGAATCTGATAAAAACTTGCAATTTAACAATAACAGCAGTAAAAATAGGGAATATTTGCTGGCTAGAAATATCGGAGTAAACAATCAGACGGACAAAACACTTCAGCAATTACATCTCCAAAATACTTCCAGCTTGAATAAATTACCTACGCAACCATCCCTTGAAACTCTTGCTTTCAAAGAGAATGCCATAACCACACTTTGTCTATCCAATCTTTCGCCTACAATATCCGAGCAGCACTTGGCGTCTGGATATACACCCAAGTTTGAATTTTCCTCGACCCTCAGTGGTGTAGCACATGTACCAGGAAGTCTAATTCTCGCTGCTATGGAAATTTCTTTTCATGGATTTTGGAATCGACTGCGAACACCAGACGATATGGACATTCAATCTCAAAGGTAATGGTTCATATTGGCATGCCATACCCAACGTATAAACAGTTGTCTGGTTCTAGTGCATTTATTGCATATTGTGTTCTATTACAATCCTCTTAACATGCATCATTTATTCGATAATGCAGTGTGTTGGTAGAGAAATTTCTTGGGCCACGGAATGTAGAGTATACAGTGCTGTTGATCCATCCTCGTGTTGTGCAAAAATCATATGGCAAAGAGAAAAGGTGAATAGAATCAGACCATTGATTTAATTTGGCATCAAAAGTATGGCTCGTATTAACCAAGTTGCATACTTGTTTGTCTTTTTCATATTAAATGCCATTGTTTTGGGGTTTTAAATTACCGACATCATCTGCAGATTCTTTTGTCCTCAGCCAATTATATACCTCATTGGTGCTGGATGGCCTAAGCTTATTGGTGATATCAAAAACAAGGATGGTATCGAACAGATTCACCCACACGCTAAAGCATCGTTTGTGGACAACAACCACATATCATGGACTTCTGATGCCCGTCTAACTAAAAACCAGTTTCGGTATACAGCTGTATCTCCAACTACATCATCGAACACCAAAAAAGTTACCAAGCAACGGGATGCTCATAATATCAACCATCGCGATCGTACTCGGTCATCATCATCGTCAAAATCTATTGAAGTCATAGACCACGATTCAGACACAGATGACTCTAGAACGGTTTTGGATGGCGAATTTTTGAGCTCTCGCCATGGTGTCAAGTGCAATCTGGAAATGGAACGGCGGCGCGTAAACCTGCTAAGTAAAACATCCTCATACGGTAGATGTGCTACTCCTTCCATGCAAGGTCCAATTCACTGCATGTCAGCGTATACAAAGGGTTTGTATATTAGCGATTTTGACAATCGAAAATCATTTCATTTAAATTTTAGGGTATGTATACACTAGACTATTTCTGTCAAATTCAATATTATGCGAGTTATGATGCTCTAAACATTTAATTCAACCGTTGATATGACACTTTGCAAACTATTCAGATTTATGGAAATGTATCAAAAGAAGAAGTGTGTAGGATTCGGTCCAAAGAGATCAAGGTCATTTCCAAACCCTCGCGAAACAAGAGTGTCGCCAAGTCATCTGAAAGTATGTCCTATCATTTATACTTTTCCAGCCTATTGCATGTATGATTTTATTCTCACTTGATATGAAATATTTTAGACATCATTTGCTCTGGACATTATATTGCACTTTTTAATCGAGTTCGATCACAAACAATCAGTACTCGATACATGTCTGTATCTCAAGATGGCTCTAAACTAACCTCACGGCATACTCCATGGGACACTTTTATAATTTGGCTCGAGTCTGATCCAGTATATATTGCACGAAAAGCAAACTTTGATGGAAATAACAAATCCGTCGTGTCAGATGATGGTAACTCACTTGAAATTCGATAAAACAGGCTTCAAACTAAATATTGAACTAATGTCCGTTTTAGTGCGTAGTTTGGATTTTGAATCAAACAGTCGGAAAGAAAGTCTTTGGAATGTAGACGGCGAAAATTCGCAGTTATTCAAAGACAAGCCCGAATCAACTATCCACTATGGCAATACAGTGGTGCTCGAAAATCTGATGACTGGCTTGCTCACTGTGCCCCTAATTGTGCGAAGAGTAAATGGAAAGTCAATGGCTGTTGTACAAGAATGTAAGTAAATGACTGTCAATTTAATTTTTCACTTGGTAATCATACCTGTATCAAAACTATATTGATTAACATATTTTGTTTTTAATCAGCAGACTCACCAACACTAGCTTCCGAATTTACTCGAGCCTCGTTATTTCTTTCACAAGATCACTGCCATGGCAATATCGAATCTAAAACAAAAGATGCAGTGTCACAGCTTCACAAGATTTCGTTTCAAGTCAAGTCACAACCGGGTCATTACATTTCTCTCCGTGATGAAAGTATTGTAATCTATCAGGCCCAATCCAGTTTGTCACAACCTGATGATAAATCTACGTTGGATATGGCTGAAAAAAAGACAGACCATCAGTTTAAAGCATCTGATTCTTTTAAACTGACCAAGCCATTATTGCCACTTCAAGGCAAATCTCAGCACGCACACAAGGAACCAACTCTGAAACCCCTCAAACGACCTTTACAAAACACGGTGGAAGCTTCTAAAAAGCGGCTTAAAGATATTCAGTCTATATGGGGCGATGCATCCAATATTAGTATGCCGCAGTCCAAAACTGCAGACTTTTCAGTACACGCTAGTCAATACAAGACAGATTACTCGACAAAAAATAGTACAGTAACTACTGAAGATATCACAGAGCTTTCTGTTTGGTCAATTGTTGGCACAGAGGTTGTTGAGCATACATTTTCTCTACCGCCAGATGATATTGGGTTAGACTCTGACACGATTTCTCCAACAACTCTCAAACAGACATCGCTACAGCCTACCACTACCAAAATACCAGCATCAACTCAAAGTAGTTCCACTGAAAATATATCCAAATACTCATCTATACTAAACTCTCCTGAAAAATCAACTTGTCTCGGAGCCCAACCTATGCCAATCATTGATCGAATCAGCCAAGAAGGCACAAACGTACTTGTTTGCATTGGATCTCAATTTGGTGTCAATTTTTGGATATTCGCCGGAATTGTTCCAGCAAAACGAATGACCATCAGATCAACCTTTATCTTTATGGCCGAGTTTCAATGTCCAATTGAAATCATACGTCATAGCTTTACAGGAAATAGAGATCACCCATCCAACGCAAGTAAGAATCGCAATATACCATTTACCGCTGCCACCAACAAGGCCAATAACAAGCCGGAGCCATTTATCATTGATCAAAATGATAGCAATGCATGTATCACGGAAATAGTGCCGCTACTTGTATTGCGTGATAAAATGGTTTTCCGTACAGAGTATTCGCTTCAGCTACAATGGCAAAAATAAAAACTGATCATGATAAAATAAACTATCAAGTTTTGCATTGGTCTGATCAACTTTGATTTGGAAATAAGTGATATTTTGAATAGATACTAAAACTACAAGCCTATTATGCAGAGCTGAACATCAAATTAAACTTGTAATCAAAGCATGCTGTTGTAAGTAATGGTTTCTAAACTAGTTAAAATAAAAAGTTTTTCAGACATGAGCTTCCGTGGCGCAATTGGCTAGCGCGTCTGACTGTTAATCAGGAGGTTGGTGGTTCGAGCCCACCCGGAAGCGATTACTTTTTTTCATTATTTACGCATTTTGGTTTTTCATATTACCAATTCATTTATTTTTATCAAGCGTGTTTTTACCATGCTCGGTGCCTTTTTGTAAAAACCGTCAATAACCCAAGTCTGATGAAATGATTCAAGCATTAGTTTTAGCGGTAAAAAATACCGTGAGCCGTTAAACCTATACAACCAGTTTCGAATAGTCAGTATAAACAATGCATATGTTACAAAGTGCACAATGCCTTTTGTTGAAGAGTTGGATATTACCAATAGGAATGCATTTTAGCTCGCATATTTATATTGCTGAACCAACGCTTTGTGCTCTCATTATTCAGTTGTCGGATATCCATCTAGTTTATTGAGTGTCATTGAACAGAATTACTAAAATAATAATAGCATTGCTTCATTTACGCACCCATTACGGGGTACAGTCTTGAAGACTGAATACCCAGTCTGTAACAGTGATACATATTGGTTACAGCAATCAAATATCATGTCATGTAGACTTTGCTCATGATTGATTTTAGACAGTCAGCGCAATCAACAAGCTGTTAATGAGCAGTGTTTTGGTATTACAGCTATTATACGGTTCATTTACCATGACTGCACATTGTGCATAATTACTTGTACTTTCAACCACTATCCGTATCAATACTTTGCTTCTTACTACTCTACCAGTTTGTACTCAAAACCATGCGCATCATTCCAAATATCCTTGTACAATATACATTGTTTTCAGAATTGTGGTTGTATCCACTCAAATCTAAATAATCATATACACCTTGAACATATTTGACATGACCTGATTCAATCCCAAACCAATGATTGCGGGGATTTTCCGAGATAGTTGAAGCTGCATCATTAATGATTTCAAACGGCGTGGTGGTATGACAAGCTTGGTTTAGAAATACACGTGCTATCAACTGATTCATCACCGTCCAGTTTTGAATACTCAGCTGATTCATGCTTCAATCAGGTTTGCTTGAACATGTACAAGGAATGAATACAGCCAATAAAAATTAGATATGCCAGAATACTAAATGCAGAATGTGTTTCATGTGCATGCCAAGCATCCAATCAACTATAATAAATTGCTACAGGGTGTCAACAGTTCAGCGCTATCAGTCTGAATCCAACACTTGACTCAATACATGTGAGTTTAGAACCACGCGAGTTACATGTGATAAAGTATAGTCTGATTATATACGCTTTGCATTGATTTTCTCGAGTCTAATCGATTTAAAATCGGAAACGGGTATCAATATTACATTTGAATATGATTTTGATGGGGCTCCTTGAAATTTGTTGTCTATGCAGTTAGTTCAATCAAAAACAATGCGTAATACCCTTATTTAAATCTATAGCTTGGATACATGTGGTTGCGAGCCATATGCATTTGCATATGATATTCATGTGTTTTTGTCAATTGACATATGTATATTCAATCATACCATTCAATCATTGCATAGTATGCTTTGTAGATTCAAGATATAAAACGGCGTGAAATGGTATGCAATCAATTCCATCAATCTCTACCATTGTAACACTTTGATACTCTACTTGCTACATATATACTATAGATATTGAAAATACTGTCTAAAATGTTTGTTTCTACCGTTTCTCTTGTTCTTGCTCTTGCCACCTCTGCAATTTTTGCGGCTCCAGCTGCCCCGTCTACAAAAGATGCCTCTAGCGATTTTCCATTCTACTTTCCCAAGCCTACTTATCAAAGTATTCCTTATGATCACTCATCCAGCCTCGCGGCTCCATCCAATGCTGATTCAGTCAAGATTGGCACTGCGTATATCCGTGACAAACTCAATCTCTCTCCTGACGAGTTTAGGGTTGACAGTAACTTTACAGACAGTGCTGGCGTGACTCACGTGTATGGTGTTCATCTGGTTAATGGCGCATCTGTAGCCAATCACCAGGCTGCTGTCCATATCAAAGACGGTCAAATTACGTCGTACTCTGCTTCGTTTGGTACTGAAAGCCATTTTGCCAAAAGTGAACTTTCAGTCGCAGAACCCAAAGCCAAACTGACTTTTGAACAGGCTTCTGATCTTGTATCCAAGGCCAAGGGTCTGCCAGTTTACTCTGACTTTAAACATGAGCTCGAGTATGTTCAACAGGCTGATGGCACGCTTGTGTATGCTTACAAATTCCAGCTTCGCGACGCGGATGTTAATTTCTGGTTCCAAGTTTGGGCCGATGCCAACACTGGTACGGTATTTCGTGTTCAGATACTAATTTTTGTGGATTCAACACTAATCTGAATGTAAATGGATTGATATTAGGTAAACTGATCCAGGCTGTTGATTTTGGTCATCGTGCAACATACAAGGCTATCAAAGTTCCTGGTCTCACTCCTGATGATGGCTTTACCAGCATCAGAAACCCAGAATACAGTGCATCGTCGCCAAAAGGATGGACTGACGGAACTACCACTGAGGGTAACAATGTCAGTGCTCTTGATTTAAGATCAAGAACACCGATTCCAGGAACTGGTGTTGACGGTGTATTCGACTCCAAGTTCAATCCTAAAACTGAGTTTACCGAGCCAGAAAACATGCAAGCGATTGCTGTCAATCTGTTTTACGTTACTAATCTGATGCACGATATCACGTACCAGTATGGTTTCAACGAGGCTGCTGGCAATTTCCAAAATGACAACTTTGGCAAAGGTGGCAAAGGCAACGATGGTATTATTATCAGTCTCCTGGATACTTCGAGAAAGGAAAATGCTGATTTCCATTCTCCAACTGACGGCCAGCCTGGTAGAATGAGAATGTTCCGATTTGCTCACTTTACGCCTAATCGCAATCCTGGTCTGGATAACCAAGTCGTTATGCACGAATATGGACATGGTGTCTCAGGTCGGTTGACTGGTGGACCTGTAGCAGTTGGATGCTTGTTTGAAGGTGAACCTGGTGGCATGGGCGAAGGCTGGTCTGATATATTTGCCATGATCGTGACTGCCAAGCAATCCCATAGAGCCAACACTCCAATTTTCCTTGGTACATATATTTCTGATTCACCCAGAGGTATTCGCTCCCATCCTTACACGACTGACATGGAGGCCAATCCCCTGACTTATGGCGATCTTAGGCAGCGCCAAGAAGTTCACGATGTTGGTGAAGTGTGGGCAGCCATGCTTTGGGAAGTCTACTGGAACTTGGTCACCAAGAACGGATTCTCTACCGATATTTACAATGCCAAGAGCAATTCTGGTAACACTATTACTATGCAGAATATGATTGGTGGTATGATGCTCCAGCCATGCTATCCCACTCTCATTAATGCTCGTGATGCTTTCATTGAGTCTGATGTTAATCGCTACAAAGGTGCCAACAAGTGCGAGATCTGGAAAGGATTCGCCAAGCGCGGTCTGGGAGTCAAGGCTGCTAATTTCAAGAACGATTTCTCTGTTCCTGCTGAATGCGGTGGTGATTCACCCTCACCCTCACCTTCTACCACTACAAAGAGAGTTACCACTACTGGAAGAGCTACCATTACTACAAAGAGAGTTACCACCACCACTGCTCGTGGTCCTAAGCCTACTTCTGGATGCACTCGCATGGACATTTGCTGCATCTATGTTGGAAAAAGTTGCGATCAAAACTAGATGTTCAAGTCTAGTAATTGTTTCTACAATTTATTGAATGAAATTATATTGTAACAGTGTATAAAAAGTTTATATTGGTAATGGCTATTTGGTGTGTATGGCTTTGTGACAAGTAACGATATTAGTTTAACCTCGAATGAATACGGCACACTTGCATGGAGTTATCTATGCTTTGATATTCGAGTTTATTCAGCAAATAAATCCATTCAATATCAAGTAAAGGCTTGAATGAAATACATTCAGATCCATCAACCCAGAATATGCTGTTTTTACAAGACATTGACTAGTAATACAATATGTCCACCATTGGGTAGAGTTGTATCAATCAAAACAAGTATAGGCTGCATTATCACAATTACTGATGATCGATCTCAGAATTCTGTTTAAACATATCAATCAATGGCAATGACTGTTGAAAAGGCTAGCATGGATGACAAGTGCAAAGTAACTGATTGAGTCGAGAGTATCAATTACACAATCTACCTGCACAATATTCAACTATTATTGACATGATTGGAGTATTGAACATCAAGTTTGATATGCGGTGTCATGGAATCATCTGGTTGTCCATATGATTGCCAATCACCAAACGTGTAGTTGTCAATGTTCAGATCCAACATAAAACAGATGACCATTGGTGATGAGAATGTCATGCAGTATTGATTTACAAATGCTGACACCAAACCACAATGCATTTGACAAACACACCTAACGAATATTACCGTATAATTGGTTTCAATCAACATCTACGGCCATACACACAAGAAAATACCGGATCCCGTTCGATCTCCGAAGTCAAGCTTGTGATGGCTCAGTCAGTACTGTGGTGGGGGACCACACGGGAATACTGAGTGCTGTAGTTTTTGCTAAATTAACAATCTGATATCGTTTTGGATCAAATCTCAACTTGAATTAATCTTGTTCATATTAGCTGCATTCAGACAATTACAGCATTATGTTTTCTCAGCTTTTCGACAAAATCCACTAATCTCCCGGTGATCTTGCAATGTGGATTGTGTATCGAGCAAGTAATGCAATCGATTTCTAATAAGAATATAGCAACTATTTAATCATTGTTTATTCTCAAGTAAAATAGACGCAGCCAGTGAAAGATGAATACGGCTGTAATAAAATGAAATAGTATATCCAGCTCTAGGCAATCAAATAGACAACGCCAAGAAATAAAATTCAATGAAAACGTATCAAAATTAGGTATCATATCTCATTCAACATGACTCGAGCGAGTTAAAGTAGCATGGGATAAAAAAGCAGTTTAATCAGCGAATCGTCATTCGAGAGTATGTTTTTGCAAGAACTTCGTCAACATCGTCACCGCCACGTTTGGTTTGAGCTGTTTTGTTTTTGCGTGACTCGAAAGCTTTCCAAAACTTCAAGTTCTCGTCACTGGCTGTAGATGCAACAGTCTGTCCGTCCGGACTCAGTGCAGTGTGAAGTACACGAGAATCGTGGCCAGACAAATCAGCAACTTTGTTGAGAGAAGGATAGCTCCAGATTGAAAGATGATTGTTTGGGAACCCATGGGATGTCAAGAGTTCTTTGTATTCGCGCGACCAAATGATGGATGTAACTTGTGATCCAGCATGGATTGTGGATATCTTACCAGCGGTTGTAGTGTTCCAAAAATGAACATTTTGGTCAGATGTTCCTCCACCCGTTGCAAGAAGATTGAGCTGCCAAGGACACCAGGCGAGAGCTTTCACTGCTGCCATATGCTCAGTTTTGGTGAATTTTGGGGTAGTGGAGCGAATATCCCATATATTGACCAGATTGTCATTTCCCCCACTTGCAAGCATTTGACCATCTGGACGCCATTTCAGTCCGCATACTTCTGAAGAATGGCCCAACAGTTCAGCAACTTTGTGGTTTGCAATTCGAACATCGTGGTGCCAAATGCTTCCATCTCTAGACCCAGACGAAAGAATATGCTTGTCCCATGACAAAACACCGACACGACTGTTACGGCCGCGCATTGTTCGAATTTTCGAGTTAGAGTCTAGATCCCATATTTGTGCATCTCCATTATCAGTGCCTACTGCCAGATACGAGCCATCGGCAGTCCATTGTAAAGATGTAATAAAATTATCATCGGCGGTTTGACAAAACTCTTGCACACTACCTGTATCTGCGTTCCAAATGTACACAGTTTTGTCAAGAGCAATTGCAAGTTGATTTTTGGAAGACCAATCCAACAAGCTAAGGTAAAAATCATCAATCAGACCAGGAGCATCAAGAACTTTTTCTGCAATAGTGGGTATACGACGCTTTGCAAGCTTGACATTTGGAGCACGAAGCGGACGATTCCATGTTGTGCGCAGATCTTGCCGCTCAACACCAGGTGGTTCAATGTTGAATGCCAAGATACGTTGGTCAATGGCAATACCACACGCCTTTGCCAACTGCTCCTGATATGCAATGGCATCAGCATCCATGTGTTTGGGAGGCTCGATCGGACCTTTGACACCACTGAAATGTGACGAGTTTTCCATGGCATCTCTGTTTGGAATAAAGCGATCGTACGTGGTGATCTTGGATTTTAAACGTCTAGTACCAGGACTACATATGACACTACCAACACTGTGATGGATTGTACGCATTAACTGTGCATGAGGTTGAGGTGGTAAAGAGCTTTGATGCTTTATGGGCGATTGATAAGACCGATGAGTAGATGGCGAGGATGGAAACGCAGCAAGTTTTGCAAGCCCGTCCTTTGGTGATGACTTTTTAGGAGTGAGATGCATTTGCCGTTGGAACTGGGCAAGAAGCGAGCCTTCTGACGAGGAACTGGGCAATCCCATAGACGACAAGGTGCCATGAGTAGAGCCAGTGCGAGTGGTAGAAAATATATCAGATTTGTCAAGACCCAAGTTGATCTTGGTTGGAGTGGATGCTCCTCGTCGATAAGCAATAGGAGAAGTTGTACAAGAGTCGTTGCCAAACATGGATGCTGGTCGTCGAGTCGTACTCGCTGCAGCAGTGTTGGATGTAGTCATGAATGGGTTTCCTCCACATGGTGCGACATTGCGAGTACCTGCAGGACAACGCAGACTCGTAGCAGTCACTGAGAGTGGAGATCCAGCTGAAGCCTTGGATGCTCTGTGCAGTCGAGCACTCTTTGGACTGAGCAAGATAGCACTACTAGAATATGCAGCGACAGTATAGACTTCTGACAGCGATACTTTGGAAGGTGTCAAGACAGCCATGCAGTTACAGTCGAGGCTTGGATAGAAAGTCTGTCTTGTGGTTGGATATAACTATTGTCGAGGATTGTGTATCTGCCAACAGCAGCAATTCAAGCAGATTCCAGCAACTTGGCAATTGCAAATCAACTGCACAGAAGCGCGATGTCCGACTTGCTGTTTGGCCATGAATACTGCTGATAATCCATCTGCTCGTGTCTGGTTTCAATAAAACTCATCACTGCATACTCTCATCTAGTCAAATAAACTCTTGTTCAGAGTCTGATGGTTGCAACTGACATTCTAAACTCGACTGGTGTTAATCCATCATCAGCCAATTGATTCAATCTCATTTTCAGTCGTGATTTGCATGTACGCTTTTCATCTAACCAAAGCAAGCAATTATGGTCTCGAATTGAAAATATCTGCGTGATTAAGTTTCGCTTTGGCATTCTTATCCTTGAAATGTCAACTCACAAAACAGTCATAGAAGCTACTGCCGCACACGATGCATTTCTTGCCAAGGTTGGTTATCAATGTACATTTAAATATATGCATTTACATTTTCGTGTCTAGTGCTGCCTTCATTGGTGACATACATATCAACTATCAAATGCAGACCAAAGTTTTTATTTATCGAAATGGATAGCGGGTTTTACCATGGACACATTTCTATTTAATTTACTCGACTCAGCTTGCAATAATGGTCAACTCGAGTATAGCAAAGCGTGCTAGGCCAACTAATCACTCACATGTATTACTATACAGTTTGAAAAGCTGGTGATTTCTTCTATACCTGTACTTGCTTTGGGTTGTGTCGATAGACACTACTAGCCATATTTCTGCAAAAAATTAAGCAGGTCTTACGCGTTGTTCAACTTGCAAACCACCATGTACTCTAGTCAATAATGTATATTCAATACTGACGCATTCTGTTGTCATTGCTATATAACTTTGATAGATTGGATCAAAAATAGTAATATTGAGCAAAGATGGAACCACAAAATCACTTGCGTCTGCAATTTTCCTAGACCAAAAAGGCAGAGGCAAGAGCATATCTACATTACCCACACATTTTGTAAAGCCGCTCAAACAACGCAGTCTGCCCATTATTGCTAAACGATTCATTCGAAAAAATGGGAAACTACCCAATGCATTAGCTGCTAATTCTGAACAAAACGGCTCTGTAATGTCCGTATCCATGTCAGATTCATCGGCCATGCACCATTATGCGAATCTTGACAAGAGCAGCAAGTCTAAAAATGGAAAATCATTGGCTCAAAACAATTCTATCACCAAGAAACAATCAAACCAAGAGGAAAAAAGTTTCTTGCTACCAATTCAAGATGCCAGTAATTGTCAATCAAGTGTCAAAGAGTCTCCATCAGAAGCCATAAATCCACCATCAATATCCAATCGCTCGATAACTGAAAACTCGCATATTTCAAATTTCAGCACTAAATCAGAGCTTTTGTTAAATAACAAGGCAGTATACTTGGATGCAAGTTCTATCCCCATGCATAGTCCTGCATTGGACCAACGGCAAAAAGGCCCTCAAAATCCAAAACAAATTATGCTTCAAAAACAGAGAAAAATTCGATATGGAAATCTTATTTTTCAAACTCAATCCAACACAAACTCTAAAGCACATGATTTGCAAGCTGTATCTACAAACATAATTGATTCAAAAAATTCACTTGCAAGCTTTTTTCAAAAAGTAGACAGTATGCACTGTAATACTGCCAGCAGCAATACTTGTATTCGCCAGACATCAATAGAAGCATCCCATTCAAACTGTAGTCGCATTAAAAGTGAACATCAAAATGATTGCAGTAGTACTGATGAAACTAGAACTATCAATCCTGTCAACCAAAATATAGATGTGTTAAACCAATCAGTTCTGGAAAGCACCGTTGAAGCTATATCACTAGACAGCAGCACAAATGTACCCTCTCACATCAACGATCATCCAACTTATGATGGTGGCCAAATCCCTGAACCTAAAATTTTATCACGTACCGCATTAAATAAAGTTGAACACGGCAGTCAATCACAGACAAACCAACACTATATTGCATCTAGTGTGGTGCCTGATTCATCCAAATGCATACCAAATGCTACATCTGAAATTTCAGCCGCGTTGGCTCTTTATGCATGGACAGGTGCAAAAGCAACCTTATCAACCAAATGTCTTGCAAAAAATACGTCCATCTCTGGACCACAAAACGCTATTCAAGTAAAACAGACACCATCACTCACATCAACTCGAACACCCAACTACTTGGAAAAAAACAGGATTGTGATTGAATCACCCTCACCCCTTACTCCATTAAACTCTAAGCCACTTTTTTACAGTCATACTGTATCCACAAACGAAACTACCCAACTCGAGAGTAACGTGCTGGATCGTATTCGCGAGTGGACAGCGTGGGATGTTGCCATGCTGCGCGAATTAACTCATATGATTGAACCAGTTTATGCAGCAGACAAGCTGCATGAAGCAGCATCAAATGAGCTAAATGCAAAAATAGAATTGAAGCCATCTACCGACTCTGAAAACACAAAAAGTGAGGGAAAAGAAACCTTGCACAATCGACCATTTAAAGATCATAAGGATGCCAAGCATAACAACATGCACATTTCATTCAAACTTTGTGACTACGATATCAACAGTTGTAGTGGATCTATTTTGCAAACACTCTGCTCTACAGACAATCATACTTTTGAAAATGACTTTGAAGCTTCTAGCTTAATGAATCCAAGTGATCCACTGTTGAAGCCAATACAGAGCATTATCCATATCCATCAAAACCAAAATCCCAATATTCCAAAATCTACTGGAAATCACGACACTCGCAAATACGTTCGAGGTATTAATGGTGGTCTAGAACTCACATCAAATTCCAAGCCTGCTCAATCATCACAGTTTTATGACAATGGAATGAAATCCCCTCGATCTAGCTCGACAGCTGGACTACGTCAACTCATAACGACAGCTATTAATCCCAAGTCTTACACACCCGAAGTAATTGACTCGTACACTCAGCATGGGTTTCAACCTACTCCACAACACTATCCATATATGCGCAATTTGCCACCTTCGATCCCAAACACAAACTTTAATGTCGTGTCTATCAATCCAAACCAGTGCACTTCCTCTCCTGCCGTATATTCTCATCGTGCAACTCTAGATCCATCAGTCATTAAGCGACCAAAATTACCAATTAAAAAAAGCAAGAGTCAAAAAGTGGGTCATGAAGCTACTGGCGGTATGGCGCCTCGGAATACTGGAGTAAGTGGTAAGCCAAAACACAAATCTAAACAACTCGAACCTACTCGTAAAGCTATACCCCAACAGCATACATCGCTACAATGCAATACTGAGTCGGTGGATGAAGATGAAACAGAAATTGACAATGATTCTAGTACTCCTATACCATCCACAGACTTACCGTTATCCATTGCATGCACGTTTACAAACCCATTGAAAAGCGCAGATGTGGAAATAAAGGAAACTCGAGATTTCAACATGGACAGCGTGGGCCAGTACGTTTTAGATTCAGAGCATGCGAATGCAAATACTACTGCAATTGAATTTTCAAATAAGCATTGGGATGATCCGGATGTAGAGGCATCAACAGATAATATGGCGTATAATCTGTGGAATGAGATGCCTATGCCGTATTTGGAACAATCTTCCGTGCCTGAAGCACCAACTCTTCCTGATTCAAATTCATTGTACCATATACCAGTACACCACTCGAATACTAAGCCAGCACAACTGTCAGCCTCTTCTATTGGCAAGACACTTGGAGTTAAAATGGGCAGTCTGGGTCCTGACAAAGAAAACGAAACATATTTACAAAAGGTAAACCACTCTGTATCTAAATGCGTGCATGGTATTTTGATTCGAATTTATAATGTTTATACCAACACCAACATTTAAGCTGGAAAAACAAAATAGACAAAGAGAATATAGCAATCAGGTCAGAACACTAGCAATGGTAAGCTATTCCAGACAAGGCAATACCAGATCTTTGACCGACTCTCCATCCACTCCATTTGATGAACAAAGAATTGACAGTAGACAATCCATTAGCGAATCAGGATGGAATAATAATGAAAAATCAGAATCAGTTTTGCAGTGGTCGCATACTAAACGATCAATACCCCTGCGTGCACCTAGCTCGGTTGAATCAAAAACCAAACTACCAGTTATATTTCAGCGCAATCCAGTTGCAGAACAGTTGGCTGAAGCACTTTCAAAACGAGAAAAAGTACGGTATTATAAACTAGATTCGACTGTAATGTACAATACAGGTTAAGCAATATTAAAAACTGAATTTGTATTGACTGATTATTTAGATGAAAGCTTATGCTGCAGGAGTTCGCAAATCAACACATGCAAAGTTTTTTGAAAAGTCCACGTCATCTTCAGCACAAGGAGAGACTCGGTTTCCTCTCATTTCACTTGCCAAAAAGAGTATGAGTTTGAACGAAGCAGCATTATGCTCATTGAAGGAAATTAAAAATCTGGAAGATACACATGTACGTGATATGGCAGCAGCAGATTCCATTAGAAAGGAACTTGGATTAAAAGTGTAACGAAACCATCATCTAAACTTTACAGTCGACTAAATAAAATATTAAACTAGCTTATGTGATAAATTGGAACATAGATGCGTAAGATGCATTGCAAATGTAAATCAAATGTACAATTCCAGTCTTTCATAGATTAAACACGCATTCTCCGACCTGGATCAGGCTTTCCAGTTGCATAAATTCCTACAGTAGCAATATAGCTCAGAAAAGTTGCATCTACAGTTCCAAATACTATTTAAAGCCGTTGTTTGCATAGTATAAATTATGACTCCAGCACACTCGCTAGTTAGATACGACAACCCAGTTTTGGTGTCTCGGACAGACGCAGCAGGAAAGGTTGTTGGAGGAAAAACCGCAGCGGGGCAGTCAACAGACTCAAAGAGACCACTCGGTGGTCTGAAGAAACTCCCACCAGTTGATGACAAGGGTCGTGTAAAGACTCCTACACAAACTGAAGATATTCTCAACTCAATCCTACCTCCTCGGTAAGCCATTGCCATCTTTGATAGTATATCTTGAAATGATGCGTGTTTTCAACAGCATCTGCAATAGCGGATGTTCTAAACGTGGCGGATGAAGAAACGACTTTTATGCTTCAAGAGCTTGAAACTAATCATGTTTAGGATTGTGTAATACTTTTATTATTAGTGAGTGGGATGAAAATGGGCAACTGTGGGTCCAGAAAGTATCCAGTACTCCTGCAACCCGTCTAGATGTGATCAATCTACAGGTAATGGTACAACGTATCATGTATTGATGAATATAAATAGACTATAATATGCTAAAAATAGACTATTTATAGGAGCAACTGGACCACATGCTGCAGAAACGCCAAGCTAGGGAAACTGGAATTTGCCCAGTGCGCCGTGAACTCTACAGCCAATGCTTTGGTAAAATTGTTTTTCAATATGCAATGAATCGTAGCCTAATGTGCTAATCAAGGTGTTTAAAACGACTAAATAGACGAACTGATTCGTCAAGTCACCATTAGCTGTCAGGAGCGTGGACTACTTCTTCTTCGAGTGCGAGACGAAATTCGCATGTCCATTGCTGCTTATCAAACGCTGTACGAGAGTAGTGTGGCATTTGGTATGCGCAAAGCTCTTCAAGCAGAACAGGGCAAATCAGATATGGAAGTCAAGGTATATTTAGTCACTGACAGTTTTGCATAGTCCAAGAAATGATATAGCCAGACATTTGTTGACGAATTCTACACCCTATCGATAAACTATCAATTTCTGTGACTTACCATTGAAATTGCATTTAGATCAAGGAGCTTGAGGACGATAAACGTCAACTCGAGCAAAATGTACTTGAACTCAAAGCCAAATGTGAGGCAATCGAGAAGCGAGAAAGTGAGCGACGCGCAATGGAAGAAAGAAAGCATGCCGAAGAGATTGCATTCCTTAAAAAGACAAATGTTCAGCTCAAGGTAATACCACGATTTGATGTTTGGAAAAATGACGAGTAGCAAGTACCTGATTTATTTTTGTGTAAACAATATTCTAGACACAACTTGAGGGTATTCTGAGCCCTCAAAAAAAGTAGTAATTGAAAACATTACAAATCACTTTTAAATTTTTGATCTTCAGTTGACGTTTAATAGAATATGATCTTACAGCACTTTAAAAGGTTTTCCCAAATATCGGTCAGCAACAATCAGATGGCCGTGATCTCAAATAAATAATCTAGTCTGCAGAAAAAGGAATGCCCACTGGCTATTATAATGCAATTTAAAATGGCTAGAATATCCAAAAAATAGCTGGATACTGTATGATAAAGGAAAACTAGCAAGAGTAAATGATGGCAATTGTTTTATTTTTAAAAGGAACATCAATGTAGAGTTCCAATTATCGAGCAGTTGAAAAGATCAAGCGCATGGCCAGACTCGTACAGTACGATCGTACGAGCAGGACACCAATGCATTGGCGGCCACATCAAATGTAATACCGCGTACTAGCCCTTCATGTCCAGTTAGCTTATTGATAATTCTTCCAGAGGCAATATGGTACACAATGCACGACTTGTCGTCGCTGGAGGCAAACAGAAATTTACCACTTGGATGCCAGCAGCAAGAAGCTTGAGTAAAGCCATCTGCATCCACACCCCACAAATCATGGACAATTCGGGAAGTACGTGCTTGATAAATGATAATTCTGCCAGCTTTAGAATCGGTATATACAGCAACATGGTGTCCAGAAGGTGAGGGAGAGATACACACGGGAACAAACGATACCCATGTGTCACCATTGGAATTCATGTTGACAGGAGTGATGGCAAATGTTTCGTTTGCATCCAAGTCAATGTAGAGCAGATTGTGGTTATCTCGAACACCGACAATAAGAGTTGAAGATTGCAAGGTGGGGTTTGAGGGCAGGAAACAAACTGACTCGACCGTTCCTTTAAAGTTGACAGTGTTGCGTTTTGTAAACTGCGGTTGCATGATAGAGTCCTCGGTAGACGATCGTCGGTAGATATTAATGGAGTGATCATGCGATCCAGTAACAAGCCATTGACCATCCGTTGAAAACGCGGAGCAAGCAACGTATTTTAAATGGTCCTTCCAGGAACATAATACTTGCTGAGTGGCAAGGTTGGCCAGATGAAGAGTACCGTCCATTCCAGTAGTAGCAACAAGCAATGGATTGCATGGATACAGCGAGACACTCAGTATTGGAGATTTCTGATGAGTGAGGGTTGCAATGGTTTTACCAGAATCTGCCTCGCTTAGTCTGATTGTCTGATCTGTAGATCCAGTCACATATGCAGAAAATGATGGTGTCATGTATGGAGCATCTGGAAAGCTAGACACTGGTAAAGATGCAGCAGCTATACAAAGAATATTTGCTTGATGGATGCCAAAGTAAGTCTGGGGAGTAGATGTAAATGCAAGGTCTAGTTCACCAGGCTGAGTTTCCAGCTCAACATCAAAGTTGCATCTGATTCAGTCAAGGTTGAACAAGGATTAGTACCAACAAGCTGGTAAAAAGATGACAAAGATCATCTTGATGGATTATAACTGTATTGCTTTACCCCTGCATAGCAAGTTGATTCATTTGAGACTGGATAGCCCGAGTATCGTTCTCTTCAAGAATAGCAACAAGTGGTCGAGTAGTGGTTGGGACCAGGCCATCCAGGTTGTGAAGAGCATCAGCAGCCTCGTCCTCCAGGGCTTTTAGAGTGTGACTTAAATCATTGTCTTGCAAGAAACGGCGGACTAGATAAAGAGCGGTACGCTTGTACTTGTTGGTGGTATCTTCTAGTCCAGACATTTAGATAGTTGCAGTTGGGATGGTTGATAAAAGGTATAAAACAAGATAACAATGGCTTGCATCCACATGGCAGAATTCATGAAAACTCGCATTCGTTTGTCTGACAATTCAAAGTTTACTTGGCTATATTACTCAAATATACTCTTAGGCCAAGTATCATTTACTCATGAGTTTCATCAAGTGATTAAGCAATATATTTGAAACCCATCGCTTTGGCTCTGTTCAGAATCTGATTTTCAAGCGATTGAGCTGCTGAATGAAAAGCTAAAATAGTCCGAATGTTTTAAATAGATTCAGCAATTAGAAAAACTTGATTGCCGCCATGTTCATATAAAATGAAACGCTAAACAAGTACATAATAAACAGCCAATTTCAAGAATGGGTTCCAGTTTACTGGACAATATTCTGTTTTTGATCTCTTGATGATCGACATGGAAACAACAGTTGCACTTTTAATACGACCTTTGGTTTGTTGAACTGGAATGCAAGCGTATCTGAGATTTTAGGATACAGCAGAGAATCAAGCCAGGTTCAAAAATATAACTTTTATTATATGATGAGTATTGTGTCTATTCAAGATTGTCAATTTGTAGTAGGAGAATGCAACTAATTGACTATTTTATGTGAATACGACTCGCAACAGAAAACTTGGCATCAACAGTAAAAACTCTAAAAGATCTCATGTTTATTCAGCTAGGCAAGTGGCGAGTTCCATTGACTGCCAAGTATGAGGCACTCAGACCACAATTAACACTTGTTCAGGCATTCAAACCATTTCAAGAGTGGGTACAGCGATTGGGTCATCAGCTAGATACCACATCAACGGGGAAACAGCTGGTAGTGCATGGTGTTCAGATTACTGATGTAGATTACTTTGGGAAAGGCAGGATTGGGTTTGTCAAGTTTCATGCAGATATCCGATGGGCGGATCATGCAGATGGAGTGCCGGTGCCAGGAATAGTGTTTTGCAGAGGAGGAGCAGTAGCTATTTTGTTGATTGTTCGTCCTATCGAATCAGAATCTGAACCGACTCGAGAGCCACAAGAATGGGCAGTATTGACAGTACAGCCTCGACTGCCAATTGGATTGCTTCAAGAGACTGCATTGCCAGCAGGAATGCTGGATGGAGATTCCAACTTTAGTGGAGTGGCAGCAAAAGAACTGCAAGAAGAGTGTGGAATCACCCTTGCTTCATCCGATCTCATTGATTTAACAAACTACAAACTGCTGGATGATGATGCATGTGCAAGCGATTGCAGTGTGGACAGGGTGGAAGATGGGCTTTATCCAAGCGCAGGTGGATGTGACGAGCAGATTCGACTGTTTCTATGCGAAAAGCAGATGCCAATGGAGCAAATCCAAGCACTGCAAGGTCGAGAGGCTGGACTGCGCTCTGAAGGAGAGCGTATTCAAGTGCGACTAGTTCCATTGCAAGATCTATGGAGATCAACTAGAGATATGAAGGCATTGGCAGCCTTGGCACTCTATCAGCAGCAACGGAAGCATGAATTATAAAGTCATTGCTGCAATCCAGACTGTGTTCTTTATTGTGACTAATTTAGACAATTGCCAATGAAATGGTCAGATAATTGATGGCTATAATCGTACAAATTGAAAAAATTGAAACTTGAACTTTACCATTTCAATACCTAGTTTTGAAAATTATAATGCTATTGACTACTGTTGCTCTTGGTAGGTTACTGGATTATCCCTTGATTGAACCAGGCTCTATTTCGCTCTCAACATATTGGTATTCGATACATGCTAATCCGCCCTCATGCTCCCTGCATTACTGAATATTCACCTGTAAATAGTTATTACTTCCTCTACCTATGTGGCGTTTGCTCAAATCCTTGGTAGTAGTTGTGGAGTTGGATTGCCAGACTGTCTATTGATTCAAGCATGCTCCGTTTTCCCTTCTGGGTTGAGTTTTTGTGCCTTACCACCAGTAGGACCAGGCCAAATCTGTCTTAATGTAGTTCCAGGCCCCGTTTGTGTTGCTGGCAATTCATGTGTTGGAGGAATATGTGTTGCTAGCACGGTACCACCACCTGCTCCGGTGCCAGCACCTGCAACTACCCTAACCATTACAACTAGAACGACACTGACTGCACCTCCAACAACATCTGTTGTACTGCCACCAGTCACTTCCATAACCTCTATAAGCCCTGTTCCTTCAGTAGTACCACCTGCTAGTCCTCCTTCAGCTTCTTCTCGCGTGGTTGCAGCTCCTCCTCCACCTGGTGCTGTTGCTGGTGCTGTTTCTGGCTCTGCCAATGTTACTCAAAACGGGGACATTGCTCTAACTGCTCCGATAGTCGGAATCTCGTTAGGTGCTTTGCTGATGTCCTTGATACTGTAACAGCATCACCTCGCGTATAATTGTTTCATGTGTACTGGCTGCACCACACAGCTTTGGTGTTCCATGTATATTGACTAGTGTATCGATTCGCTCAATTGTATGTTTGTTCATGACAAGCCCTTTACTGATTACATTAGTCTACTGCCATTTACTTTTTAAATAATACTTTAAATAAATTTGATATTAAAAGTGTTTTGGAATGGACCAGTTAAATGCCTGTGCTCTTTTAGAGATTTTACTCAATTCAAACCACGTTTATCATATGATGCTCAAACTATAGTTTTGATTTAAAATTGTCCACTTTTGAAAGCCATATATTGTACGACTACCAAATTCATCCATTGCAATCTAGATGGAGGTTTAGTGTTTCAATTTCTGTTGTGTTCTAGAATCACAGATACGGTTTAATTCGAGAAAATATTGCATGTTAGGAATACAACCACCCAATGCTTGGGAAAGAAGAATTGGAGATTGAACAAGCGTGGGATGTATTCAAGTTATGATTATCCACTCAGTTTTTTATACAGCAATGAGTACGCAAGAGAAAACCAGTAAACTTTCAAGTTTAAAACCCACAATGTTGGTTTAGTAAATTTGGATAGATTGAGGCTTTTATTTGGTGTTTCATTTTATATGAATATGGTCAAGTTTTGAATGTCTGAACTCGTTCAAAATAGCTTAACCTCACGTGACAATGGACTTTTTATTTTTTGGGTTGTCATTGAATTTCATGGCTTATTACTTGACAAATAGCAAAGACAATGACAAACAATCAGCCATCTCAAAAGCGACCTATGGGTCTACGCAAAACCAAACATAATGGGTCGGACAACTCTACTGATTTCGATCTAGTATCCAAACGTGCCAAGTTGGATTCGACCTTGACAGATTGCACAACTCAAAGTTTGACTGATACCAACTCCAAAGCTACTCAGCCAAAACAACTTGATACAGATCATGGAATGGATCAAAATACAATTAGTACTGATGAAATTCAAGACACTATAATTTTTGAAGTTGCTTCTGAATCAGACGAGGTGGAAGATGTTGAGCAAATGCTTATTCGTGGTCACACAGATATTGGTGAGTTTCAATCGCTTCTTGGTAAATTCAATCAAGCCATTTTAATCGAGTTTTGATCTAAAATGTGCTAATGTGTTTATGATGTAATGCATATTTACCACATTATAGAGGCTGGACAGGTTCAAGAGGGTATTTTGCTTCTTCGTGGATGTATACATGAATGTGATAAAATGATTCGTGTGCGTAATGGCAATATTCCTAAAGCTACCAAAGAAGAGCAGCAACTTCAACAAGTTGCAATAGCTGAAACTCCCACACTTTCTGCTATGTTTTATTGGGTATATGGTTGTGCATTGTATTATCTCGGTCTGGCCGAAGCGCAATCACAGACTTTGGCTGAATCTGGTTCGGAGGAGTCGAATCCTACTAAACTGGCCGATTTTATCGAGGCTGCTATAGATCGCCTTGAAACTGGACTCGAGTTGGGAGAAAATGATCCTGTCGCAATTTGCAAGATCAATGGTTTTCTTGGTAAAATCAAAATGCACAAGGTAATTTACTAATACTATGAGCACTTGTGATTGTAAATCTGATATGTAAAAAACATCAACACTTTCAACCGTTATATTTAGATTTCTCTTGTTTTTGAAACGCCTAAAGTAGTTGAGCAACTTTTGAACGAATGTCAGGTGCATTTTTCCATTGTACTTGATTCCAAACTGGAGGATAAGGTTACTTGGATTTCAATGATGTCTGATATTGCTCAGATCTGCTATAACTACTCGGAGAAAGATGACATCAAATTGGAAGATAAAAAACAGTTGACCGAGTTTTCTCAGAAAATCTGGAAAATAATCCTTAAAGGTAGTTGATGTTGGCAGCCAATTTATTGGTTCAATTGCAAAACCTCGCGAGTTGCTGAAAGTTTTATGGTATTTTGTAGAAGACGATAGGGATGTCAATTCATTAGTTGGGTTAGGATCTGCATTGTTGGCAACTGCTGATGAATTGATTGAGGCGGCTGAGCAAAACGAGTCTGAGGATCAGTTGGAAGACGCACTTTCTTTGCTTTTACAAGGTGTGTTTAAACTTTTACAAATCGTGTTGAATGGATATTTTGGTAGTACATTTTGAATGACGGCTAATATAATCATAATGTGTATGTATATGATTTTGATCAGCTGCTCATTACTTTAGATCAGCTCTTGATCTTACCCAAGACCAAGACAAAGTCAATGTTCCTGTTTTATGCTTACTAGGAGAAACGTGTATCCATCTTGGCAACTTGAACGAAGATGACGATGAACAAAGTATAAATAGCCAGACAGCTGTTTCATTTTATATAGAAGCAGTTCAATCGTTTAACAAAGTGCAGCAATCAGATCCTGAAGCACTTCCAGCCCAGTTTGCAGAATTCTTGCAAGAATGGGATGCCGATATGCACTAAATTGGAATGAATTTAAAACATGTTTGGTTGACGAGTCTGGACCAAGATATGAAGTCTATTGTTTTATGTGGAATAAATATAATTCAAGATTAGATTGCAAACATTTGATTTGGCCAGTTTGGTTGTCATTGAATCTACTCGACTCTTGGTCAGCATATTTTCCTTTTCCTTTAACCACCGTCAACAGCAGCATCCTCGAGACCATCACAATGGTCAGTACAACCCTTGCTGCTACTATTACTTTATGTATACAGCTAACCAACTCTACTTTAATTATTACGCTTGACAACATCACACTGCTGCATTCTACCCAACCCAATCTACCATCTCGGGTTTATGCATGCATTGCTACAGTCCATCATGGAGTACAACGGGTCGGCCATTATTGCAATGGCCGGAAAGAACTGTGTAGCTATTGCTGCCGACCGTCGGTTTGGTGTACAGGCTCTGACCCTGGGCACAGACTTTCAAAAAATATTCCCTATTACCGACAAGACTTACCTTGGACTTGCTGGATTAGCAACAGATGTCACTACCCTGTATGTAATCATTGCAGCTATGAGTGTAGATTCAACCTTGTTATGACGTCTATTTTGTTTCTTTTATCTATTGGCATGAGGCTCACGACTTTGATGGGCAGACTGATGGCAGTCTGTCAGTTCATTCAATCTATTCGAAACCCTTGGTTTCCCTAATGGCCATATCACATTCAGTAACTGGGCTTGGTGTAAATCCAGAGATTGTATTTGGTCTTGTTTCTTATATTTTAACTGTATATTAGCAAGGACCGCTTTAGATACAAAGTAAACATGTACCATCTTGAAGAAGAGCGAGAGATCAGCCCAAAAACATTTTCTCACATGGTGTCCTCTACTCAGTATGAGAAAAGGTAAATATCTATTGCATACCATCTTTAGATTTGTCTGTCTGTGTGCAACTCGACTGGATTCCATTGATGGTGTTGGTATCTTCACAGTCCCTTGTTGGAGTTTAAGCTTTCCAATCTAATATCTATTCATGAATATGCTCAACCTGAATACACGTTACACTAGGTTCGGACCATATTTTGTTGAGCCCATTGTTGCTGGACTAGAAAAAGACAACACTCCTTTTATCTGCTCAATGGATACAATCGGATGCATCAACTTTGCCAAAGATTTTGTAGTGTGCGGTACTGCTTCGGACCAGATGAACGGCATGTGCGAGAGTCTATGGGAGCCTGATCTTGTAAGATGAAAAAGTTTGGAATTCAAATACTCTGACTTTTTTTGTATCGTGTTAAAGTATTGCCACTTTTCTGATATATTGGCACTATCTCTATTTGATATACTTGATATTTAGGAACCCGAAGAGCTTTTTGAAGTTATTTCTCAAGCTCTTCTTAACGCTATTGATCGTGATGCTATTTCTGGATGGGGTGGTATTGTTCATATTATTACCCCGACGTCTGTTATTACAAGAACACTCAAGGGTCGTATGGACTAAGATATACTGGTCTACTATCTGTGAGCATTTGTGCTGTGTTTGTGCGCTCACATTTTTTGATCTGAGAGTCTGTCTAATTGCACAATTAAATGACTTTCTATTATAAAACGCCAAACTATTTAATTTTTTCAACATCTTTGGCAAGTTTCTTGATGTCTGATTCAATACCAATGAGTTATCCCTGATCACGAACGAGCGAAATGATATCTGAAACTATAGATATTAAATGACTTGAATGCCTGGCGAATCTAGAGGTGGATTGTCGAATTCGTCGGCAGCAATCATGTCGATATATAGGTTGACAAACTCTTGGATATCATTACAGACAGATTCAAAAACCTCGTCCACACACTCTGTCGTGATTCTATATTTTAGAAATAATCAGGGTTGAGAAAAATGTAAAACTAGATGCAATTCTATACACCTGTAAACCAAATACAGCATGAATTACATATTTAAGCTACCTTTCAATAGAGTCCCACGGCCCTTTAACAGAACGACCTGTTTCAACCAAAGATATAACCGCACATTCCATATGAGCAGCAAGATGTCTCATTCTTCTAGCTCGCCCAAGCTCAATTCTTGTCACAACTGACTGTGGTAGCACAAGTGTTTGCAATGACTGATCTATAGTATCATCTTGCTCCTTATTTTTGCTGGCAAGTGCCATGTCTTTTAAAATATGCCTTTTTGCCATTTCATATGCCGATGGTTTCTCAATCACAATGGCTTCAAAGTCTGTCGAGATTTTTGTTTTGGATTCACTGGTATATATCTGGCAAGTCTCGACTAGATTTTCCAAATCGTTTGGTGCAATGTTTTGGTTTGAAAATGGGACTGGAAATGCACTTTGAGGCGATTTGGTATTAGATACTGTTGTTTCCAAAGTATGATTTGATGTGGAATGCAAAGATGTTTGAATTGGAGGCGGTTGCAAAGCTGGTTCTGGAAGAAATGGAGGTGTCGAAGCAACATGAATCACATCACCTTCAGTATAGCGTGTTTGAGAAAATAATGCATCACTTTTGCTACTATGATCCAATTGTGCATCTACACTAGAAAACTCTTTTGTAGAACCAATCACATCTGTCTGATTCTGTAGCACTGGTGGCTGTGGCGAGGAAGCAGAATTAGATACGATTGGTTTAGGCGATTGAGCTCGTGTGGTTTTCATAGCATCTTGTACTTGCATCTCGAGTTTATCGGCAGAAGAGTTCAATTTCTGTTGAGCGCTTTCAAGCAGTGGATCAATTTTTGAAGCAACAAGTGCAGTCATACGCACCATGAGAGCTTCTGGAATTAGCTCAAGCAACCGGTCCATGTCAAAAGGTATATTTTTTTTAGCAAGAGGCTCTAAAGAGTGTAACAATGTTGACGTGGTATTTACATCAGGCGAATGAGCAATAGGGTGAGCAGAAAGTTTGTGTTTGGGACTCATATGGTCTGACTTGGATTTAGCTGAACCCATCCGATTTTCGGATGAGTTTGACGATACTTTTCGAGGCAATTTAGATACATTTGTAGTTGGGATTACTTTGGATTTTTGAGATGAAGCAGTAGTATGTGCGTGCTTATTATTTATCAAAGACTAGTCAATAAGTAGAATTTTACAAAATATTAGCAAGTATGTACGCTGACAGGTATCTGCCTGTTTAATGTCTAGATTTTGTCTGATTTGTTCAAGATCAATGTTTTTACCTGACTGTTGGTAGTTTGCGACACTGTGCTAGCCAATTTAAGGTTCCTGTTGGATTTAGAATGATGCGATCTTGCAGATGCCGCCACAGTCTGAGTATCTAGTGCTTTGATGTATTTATTGTATGTGTTTATAAGACGAATATCCATATCACGACGCATATGACTCATCTCGTCAATACTAGCCTTTCCTGTTTTGATTCGCAACCCAGATCGTGTTACCATAGGTGCAGATTGGGATACAGGCAACCGAAACTCTTTTTTTGTTGGTTTAGTATGTGCTGGCTGTTTCTTGGTCAAAAGTGGATTTGACAGTGATTGAGTAAACCGGACACTGCTTTCATTAGGTTGACTAGCATTCTTTAAATACACTGCCTTTTTTTTTGTAAAAAGTGGAGCGTTGGATGGTGATATACTGGTGTTTTGAAGTTTAATTTTTGGAGAATGGGGAGTCGACTGGTGTGCTGGTGACTTTCTAGGACTAGAAACTCGAACAGGAGTAGCGGAACGAGCAGTTGGAGTAGAAATAGCCCATGCTGACTTTGGGGTTTTGATAGTATGGATAGGTCGTCCAAGAGAAGTAACTGGCTGAAACTGTTTACTAATTCCGTATGAAACAGGGTTTTTGCTATCAGTTGCTACAACATCCTCCTTGTCAGATACTCGGACTGATTCGGTAGATTTGGACAATGATGGACTGCACGCAAAAGTGGATAGTTGATGACTCTGAACAAACGGGCTCGAGGCAGATTTGGAAGATGCTTTTTGGATCTTATCGGATATAATAGCTCGTAGCAGAACTGATTGAGTGGATGCCTTTAATACTGCAACTTCCTGAGCTGCAAGCTGCTGAGCTCGTGCAAGTCGGTCTGATATTCGAGTAGTTGTTTCTGTGAAGCTGCCTGTAGCTGAACGAGTAGATTGATTTGGTAATGAATGGGATGTGCGATTCCTCAGAGTATTTGGAATGGGTGATGCAATGCATTCAATGGTTACTGCTGCAGTCATCAAGTCCAAGTTTAAGTCGGACAAAAGGAATGAGAACGCAGAATATTTATTTGAATTTCAACTCAATTTATCACGTTTTTCGATATTGTCGGAATGGTTTTAATATGAAAATTGAGTTGTTTAACCAAAAAAAGTATTTTGTTTTCATCAATAGTCGTGTTTGATTGGTTGAAATTTTTAATCTGTTTTTTTGGCAAAATTCAACGCCAATTTGGCCAGATTCGTTGATTGAAAATCCAGTTTCGGTTTAAAAACCATTCAAGTAAATAATATTTGTTGCTGTTTATCGACAACTGGTCCGACTTTGCATTGTTGGTACAGCAGGTTCATTTTTTGTAGGATTTTCTGATTGAATAGACGAGAGTAACAATAGGATTTTATTGATCCATAAAGCGCTAAACTATCAGCCTTGGACACTCGAAACACTTTTCTACCGATTGTCTGGTTGGAAAAAAATGTCAAATCCATCAACATTTAAAACTCTTGAGCGCCAGCGACATGCCATTACTCCATCAAAAACCACTACTCAGTTTCCCAAATTGGCCAAACTGACGGACCCACATATTTTGTCTTTCAATGATCTATTTCCTTCTGGATCCGCTACTGGCCTTTTGGAGAAAGGTGTGAGGGATATTGGCGCCGTCGTTGTCTTTGATGGCCAAAACGATACACCTCTCTCTGGTCGCAACAAGCTTGAATGTATGTAGTATTTTGTTCAAAAACTTTACAATGCAACCCTTCAACATGGTTTTGTTTTTATAGAATCCAATCTACAATGCCTGTTCAATTTTAATGCAAAAGGTTTTTTGTCAGACTAATAATGTTCCAATAATTCAATCTACCCAAAAACTTGATTTTTCAAAAACTATGTATAGTATGGGTCTCCAACTTTGCAATAGGTAAGCCATATCTCGAGGGGGCAAGGGGTGCGATTACTACTCTTTTGTATCCATCTGAATGCCGCGAGCGAGGTATATCTTACAAATCAAAAATGCAGATTCGTATAAATTGGCGAGTTAACGGTGGTCCTATCCAGTCCGAGATTTGTGGTCTTGGAAGTCTTCCAATCATGGTTCGCGTAAGTTTTCCAGCAAGTCTGATATGCTGATTAAATACGATGAACGATATAATTAATTATATCTTTTTCAACAAAATTGAATATGGCTTGAATTTTAGAGTTTAAAATGCAATCTAGATGGAAAGTCTCCAAGCGAAATGGTGGCCCATCATGAAGATGCCGATGATTTTGGTGGCTATTTTGTGATCAATGGTATTGAGCGGTTGATTCGTTTGCTGATTGTTCCTCGTCGTAACCATCCAACAGCTATTATTCGTCCGTCGTTCCAGAAACGTGGTCCTACCTATTCCAAGTTTGGTATCATTATGCGTTGTGTGCTTCCTGACCAAAGCGCTCAAACCATCACAATGCATTATTGCACTGATGGTGAAGTGACTCTACGTTTTTTCCACAAAAAAATCGAATACATGGTTCCCGTTGTGCTTGTTATGCGTGCTCTATGCAATACTAGCGACTTTGAGATATTTGAGCGTATTATTATGGGTGTTTACACCAACACCTTTTTAATTGATCGTGTCGAGCTGCTTTTGCGATCGTTTCGCCGATACGCTATATATAACTCTACACAGGCTCTTGCCTACATTGGAAGCAAATTTGCCGTTATGCTCGATTCCCCCGAAGATCAGCTTGAAGTAGATGCTGGCTTGGAATTCTTGAGACGCATGATTTTAGTTCATCTCACTGATGCCAAATCAAAGTTTGATTTGCTCATGTATGTACTTTACCAAAGTCGATGTATATTTTCAATTTTTATCTTTTAAAATATGCTATTACAATTTCTTATGAGTGTCTGACTAACATGTATTATCATTTACTTATTTCAATGCGCAGATACATGCTACAAAAACTCTATTCTTTAGTTTCTGGCGATACCGCACCAGACAATCCCGATTCTCTTCAATTTCAAGAAACATTGCTTGCCGGTCACATGTTTTCTGCACTTATTAAAGAAAAGCTGGCTGATTGGCTTCTTGCTATAAAAACAACTATTAACATGGACATCAAAAAGCAAATTTCCAAGTTGGACTTTTCGGACAAGAAATATATTCAAAAGCTTTTTTCCAAAACATCTGGCATGTCAGATATTGGCAAAAAAATCGAGTATTTTTTGGCTACTGGAAATCTTATTAGCAGCTCTAATCTCGATCTTCAACAAGTGTCTGGATATACTATCATTGCAGAAAAACTCAATTTCTATCGTTATATTTCCCATTTCAGATCCATACATCGTGGTGCTTTTTTTGCAGAACTAAAAACAACTACTGTTCGTAAGCTTTTGCCCGAGTCATGGGGATTCTTGTGTCCTGTCCACACACCTGATGGATCTCCCTGTGGCTTGCTGAATCATTTGAGTCATACCTGCGAAATCTTTTTGGATAAAATAGATGTGTCGCATATTCCAAGTATCGTGGCTGGTCTTGGCGCTGGACAATTTGTCGGGTTTGGTCCGCGCTACAACAGTACTTTATCTAATGCCGCCTCAAACACATTAGCTGAAAACGTAAACAAGTCAAATCAGGCCATCTTACGGGATCGCGATGCTGTGGTTGATCCAGCTGCCGAGTTTGACAGTCGTGAAAACATAGTCATGACCATTCAGCTGGACGGAAAAGTGATTGGTTGGGGCCGTACATCCGTTGTTCGTAATATTGCTCAAACTTTACGAGACTGGAAAATTCGTGGTATAAATAATGTGCCCTTGAAGCTTGAGATTGGCTATGTACCACCTACAAAAGGCGGACAATATCCTGGTTTATTTTTGTTTTCATCGCCTGCACGTATGATTCGGCCTGTCAAGTATTTGGCTACTGGCGATACTGATTTCATTGGCCCCTTTGAGCAAGTGTATATGGATATTGCCTGTATGAAGGAGGATGTTGTTCCTGGTATCACTACTCATCAAGAATTCAACCCAACAGATATGCTCAGTGTGGTTGCCAATCTAACTCCATTTTCTGATTTTAATCAGTCACCGCGTAACATGTACCAATGCCAAATGGGTAAACAATCGATGGGAACCCCATCACAGTCTCTGCATCATCGTACAGATAACAAGCTATATCGTCTTCAAACTGGTCAAAGTCCAATTGTGCGTCCTAATCTTCACAACGATTATGGATTGGATGGTTACCCTAATGGTATGAATGCGGTTGTGTGTGTTATTTCATATACGGGCTACGATATGGAGGATGCTTCGATTATTGCCAAATCATCACACGAGCGTGGCTATGGATATGGCACAGTGTACAAGGGTGAATGGGTTGATCTTTCAGATTTTCACCGTCAAGGAGATATAGTGACGCACTATTTTGGATTTGTAGCCTGGAATGAGAGCGAGCCAAATCTTTCGGAAAAGGCACTTGCTCGTGCTTTGCAGTTTATTGATTTAGACGGATTGCCGATTATCGGTGTTCGATTGACTCGGGGTGATCCTATGTACGCATTTGTGGATGATGTTACTGGTAAAGTGACAGTTAAAGAGTACAAGGGAATGGAGGATGCATATGTCGATCAAGTTCGACTGATTGGTGATGATTCTGGAAAGAAACCACTTCAAAAAATTCATATCCGTCTTCGCATTCCTCGCCCACCCCTCATTGGCGACAAATTTTCTTCTCGTCATGGGCAAAAGGGTGTGATTTCTCAAAAATGGCCGTCGATTGATATGCCTTTTTCAGAGAGCGGTATTATCCCTGATGTGATTATCAATCCCCATGCTTTCCCCTCGCGTATGACGATTGGTATGTTTATCGAATCCCTTGCTGGTAAAGCGGGTGCACTTCATGGGTATGCTCAAGATGCAACGCCATTCAAGTTTAACGAAGATCATGCTGCAGGTGACTTTTTCGGTGAAGAGCTTCGTCAAGCAGGATTCAACTATCACGGTAACGAACCCATGTACTCTGGTATCACTGGACAAGAGTTCAAGGCGGATATCTACATTGGAGTTGTGTATTATCAGCGTCTACGTCATATGGTGTCTGATAAGTACCAGGTGCGAACAACAGGTCCAGTGCATAATTTAACCCAGCAGCCGGTCAAAGGTCGTAAACGTGCTGGTGGTATTCGTTTTGGTGAGATGGAGCGCGACTCACTTCTTGCACACGGTGTTTCGTATCTTCTTAAAGACAGACTGATGAATTGCTCCGATTATTCACAGTGCCATGTATGTAGTATTTGTGGAAGTATTCTTGGGCCCATACAGCGTCGTGCTGGTGCTTCTGGCGACAATACTAAAGATCGCAGTGATGGTCCTGAAAGATTTGAACCTATTGGAAGAACTGTTGAGTGTCTGACTTGTAACACCAACAAGGGCATCGAGGTTATTGCTATTCCATACGTTTTCCGTTATTTATGCACGGAGCTTGTTGCCATGAATATTCGTCTACGATTAGATATTCAGCATCAGAATTAATAGTTTGGTACACATGTAGAGCTGAACCTTTTTATGCTGCCAGATTTTACAAATCTGTATCAGTGCTTTTCCCTTATTGTTGGCCGTATGCTTTTTCTTATTTTACAATGCTACTACAAAATAAAGCGGCTAAATGGAGTTTTATAGCTTGCCAATGGTTGAATAGTGCATGTGATGTCGGGTGTAAAATAAATGACAAGATTTCAATCCAATTGAATCACATCAGTGAAATGGCTAATGATGAACGAGCTGCAAGCCTAGAAACATATATTTACAGCCATATTCACGTAAAATGAAACACTAGATGGAATCAAAATGCATAATAAACTGCCAATCTACAATCTTACTGGACAACACTGTGTCCTTTGAACTCATTAGTTGACTGATATCCGTGCTCATTCTTGTACAAAAATACGGAGCGAATGTTCACACCTCTGTTCCAATACATTCTTGACATCTTGACAACCTTCAACATTTCAAGTAAACATTGGGTGATCGCATGGAAACAACAGTTGCATTCCCAAGATACGTTGAACTAGAACGTATCTGATATCAGAATACAACAGAGTTTCAATAAAAGTAATTGATGTCCAATAACAACGAATATGTAACGATTGTTTATTTAGGAGCAAAATAGTGACTCCAACTGCAAGATAAATACAAAAGTGTTTCATTTTACGTGAATACGGCTGTAAAAGCTACAAAATATGTTTTTCCACCTTTAGTTCCCATAATTCCGACTTTGTTATAGTCCAATTAATATACGCCGTATTTACGTAAACCGAGCATTAAATAAGGATGCCTGCATAATAAATAGCTACTCATGAGTTTTACTGGACAATAGTGCCATTTGAGCTCCTGAACAAGGCTTACTGGTGACTGGCATGAAAATAACTTGCATTACCGAAATGTGCAATCGTTGGTTTGTTGAACTAGAACGCAAACGTATCTGTGAGTTTTTAGAATACAAGAGTTTATACAGAGCTGTATTGACAACAATCAAACCCAATATTGGGATTGCAATAAATGAATCTGTTGATCGTGCAATGTATGATTGCTAAAAATGAGATCATTTCAGTTTAGAATTACTGTTTGATTCATGGTATCATATGATGGCCGTTGTGTCAGGAGACTGGTCAAGGGAGCTTTAAATGCTTTGGTATTTCAAGATTTTCTAAATAATGATATTGAAAGGACATTTTGTAATGCACATCTGGTTTTAGACCATATACCATTTTACAAAACTACACATTCACAGATTCAACATGATTTGCTAATCATTTAATAAACAGCAATATCGCGAGGTATACAGCTTTATTACACTAGTCCATGTTGTCCATTCGTAAATCTTGCTGATAATTGTATGGGCATAATAAAACATGGTTCCAGACAGGAAGAATTGATAATGTCCATGAAGAGGCAGTGTAGCCAACTTTTAGCAAGAAAGCGCAATAAATATTTAAGCATTGTTTATTCCGAAGCAAAATGGTCACCAGGATAAATACAAGTTATATTTTATGTGGTACGGCTTTAAAGTTTTACCAATTCGACTCAACTTGCAAAATTTACTCTGGTCAAGACCATGCTCAAAACAGTAACAAAGACGGTTCTTTCAAAAGAGCAGGCCGAGGGCCAGGGTGCTCGAGTGCGCCGCAGTATTGGCACTTATGAATTACGCAACTTGGATCCATTTCTCATGCTCGATGAATTTATTGTTAGAGGCAAAGCTGGGTTTCCTGACCATCCCCATCGTGGTTTTGAGACGGTAACCTATATGCTTGATGGGGTGTTCCAGCATGAGGATTTTACTGGCCATAAGGGCACAATTGGTCCTGGTGACCTGCAGTGGATGACTGCTGGTCGAGGCATTGTTCATGCTGAGATGCCAGCATCTGAGGTTGGTACTGGTCTGCAGCTATGGGTAAACCTACCAAAAAAAGCCAAGATGATGCCACCATTATACCAAGAGCTGATTGCTGCAAACGTTCCGTTTGCAACCTCTCCCGATGGACTCACTTCCGTCAAGGTCATTGCTGGCGAATCATATGGTGTGCACGCCAAGGTCCACACAGTCACTCCCATATACTATCTAGATGTGTCCATGCAGCCCAATGCCACATTCAATCAGTTGATACCAGAAGGTTATACAGCTTTTGCATACACGCTGACAGGTGGTGCTTCATTTTCTACGCTAGCAAATGAACAGCTTGCAGATCCTCATTGCACATTGGTCTTTAGCTCTAAGGGTGACAGCATAAAAGTAGTCACTGCATCAGATCCCGCAAGATTTGTTATTATTGCTGGCGAACCGATCAATGTAAATATACAATATTGATATCAAGTAGCAGTATGCTACAAATAGTTGCATGGGTTTATATATATTGCCAGTTTATCAGGTTTCTAGTCTGCATATTAACCATGCTGATAATATAGGAGCCCATTGTCCAGCACGGTCCTTTTGTCATGAACACAGAGCAGGAGATCAGAGAAGCAATTATGGACTATCAACTAGGACGTAATGGATTTGAAAAGGCAGCCAGCTGGGAATCTGAAATTGGCAAAGTCCACACCAAGACAGCACCTCAGTCTGCATAATAAATGATGATTATTTTACTTTGCATACAAGTCTGAACTTTTGGTATTGGCTGTTGGTAGAATGAATTACACGTGATCAAAACTCACATTATTCACAGTCTGTGAATTTGCAGCGAATCTAAAAAAAAGACATTGAAATGGCTGCTATGCACATATCTGCTGGGTATGGTGTTTGTTGATTATGGAATATTGGTCCTGCATTGCATGTTTTTGATATAAGATTCTTGAACACACTGTCTTTCAATGCTAAACGTGCCATTGTATTTTAGAGCTCCAGCTGCTTCTCGTCAGACAGAGGACTGGCTCGATGACGATGAAGGTGAGTAGGAAGTTGGTCTTGTTGCTACTCTTTCGATCGGGATTGATTGGCACATGTATGCGCACTGCTATTTGGCATTGTTCTTGTAGTCTGATCCACTTTATTTGCAGGTCAAAGTCTTCCTGCCTCCACCACAGTTGTTCAGGCTGATGGAACACATGTTGTTACCACCTACTCTTTTAATGATGACGGCAAAAAGGTCAAGACTGTCAAACGGATTCGAATGAAGCTAGTCAAGGCCAAAGTAAACCATGCTGTTGCAGAGAGAAAGGTACAGTGGCAATCTGTTCAACTTCAATTCTACATCTCATTGAGATTATTATTTTGGCTGCATGTTCACTTAATTCTAAGCCATGTCTGTAATCTAACAACTGAAATGTACAACATCTATGGGGTTTGCCACATTGCTTGAATGCATCCAGAAATGGAAAAAGTTTGGAGAAAGTGCTGGGCTTCCAGCTGGTCCTGATCCAGGATCTACTTCTCTTGGTGAAAAGGTTTTCCTTAAACTATCCATGACCTCTAAAGACTTTGACAGTGCTGAACAAGAAAAGAAAACAGTCAAGCCTGTTGGCTCATTAACGATCAACTGCCGTATCTGTAAGGGTGATCATTATACAACTCGTTGTCCATATAAAGACACGTTCAAGCCAATCAATGAAATAACTGCTCCAGCTGCTACTACACGTAAGTGTATGCTTTCAACAGACTGGACTGCGATAGTCTGATATATATCATGCTGTTGATATGCAGACATATACAGATCTCTACCACTGTCACCATTTGAATAACTGACATTGCAATCATTATGCCATTCAACTGTTGTAGAGAATATGCCAGACAAGTACATTCCTCCATCCCAACGTAATCGTTCTTCAGGGGGACCTGAATCTATAGGAACCGGCACACGCATGGATGGTCGAAAAGATGATACCGACACTGTTCGTATGTCCAATCTTTCAGAAGATGCTACTGAGCAAGATGTCAGAGATCTTGTTGCTAAATACGGAACTCCAGCTCGTGTAGTACGTTTTTATTGGCTTATTTTGTTTACCAGCATCTTATCCATGCTTTATTGAGTGATTACAATTCTAACTGAATATATTGAAATACTACAGCGTGTTGTCACAGACTACAATACTCACCGGTGCAAAGGCTTTGCATTTATTAGCTTTTATGACAGATCAACTGCAGAAAGAGTTATTCAAAAACTCGATGGCCATCCATATGATAATCTCATTCTTTCTGTTGATTGGTCAAAGAACTAGGTTTAAAAATCAATAAAACAAGGACTCGAACGTTTTGTTTAAAATAATGTGAACAAGTCGGAATACAAACCGATGGATGAATGCTATGCTATTGACACAATTTCTATTATCTTTGAATATAACTCAAGCACACTACCGCATTGCTCATGCTTTATGCCAATCTACAGTCCATTAGATACGCTCTAAAATCTCACGATTTAGATGATCACGTGAACGAAGTTTGTTTTGAAATAGAAATGCGATTTTCTACTCTTCAATCTCTTGGTGAGCACTTTGATACGCTGATGGACACTTTCCAATCGCAATTGATACGGACTGCCATTCAGTCTCTGGCCTCTATTTATCCCACTTTTGCTTCTCAAATTGAATCTGCAGCAAGCAGTCTTTCTGCTGAACAATTACTTGAACTCCAGTCTTTGCTGGTTAATGTTCAACTCAGAGCTCAATCTACCAGTTCTGGCGAGCAGCCTAGTCTGTTGATACAGCACCAAGATGGACTAGCTGCTCCAACTATTGACACACATTTTTCCAACCAATCTAACTTTCAGTACCAGTCAACTCATCCACAATGCACTATCCAGCATTTACTACACTCCCAACCACATTTACCCCTTTCATCTTTGACATCCACTCTGCCAAATACCACTCATGTCAATGAAGATCCACTCGCCGAGCTATTCACTCAGAAGAGCCAAGCGTACGACTCGTTTAATAGTTGCAAACCAATTCCCACAAGCTTAGTAAATGCTCCAAAACCCTGCTATGACAATGGAGTGAATCATAGTCCATTCCAAGAAGCACTGTTTCTTGCAACTCAGCCCGAGTCCACAATACTGCCATATACATCCCCAAATCTTGCAAGTGATCAAGCGCCGGTACATCCACTTTCTTTTGACAATTATCAGCCCTGTATCAATGACAAAACCACTCATTTGCATCCTGATGATCATCTCGACTCGAGTGATTTGGGCGACCTTGACGATCTTGAAAATGAAACGTGCGAACCTCCTGCTTTGCGTCAAAGTTATACCAATGGTCAGAAGCTGAAACTAATTCAAGATGTAGAAATTGTTGGTGTAAAGGAAGCCATTCGTCTTGCTGGACTGGACGTTCATCCTTCTATGGTGTATCGTTGGATGCGTACCAAAAACAAACTTGAGCAGCATCGCAGCACTGCCAGGAAATCTGGATCTGGACGGCGTCCTGCACTTTCTCTTGAATATGAACAGGCAATTGTAGCTTGGATTCAGGAACAGCAATCTCATAAATTTGAAATCACCTTTTCAACTGTGCGAAAGTATGCTAGATCGCTCATGCCTCCTGGAACAGGAATGAAACTCTCAACTGGATGGTTTATGGGTTTTTGTAGGCGTAATAATATTGGACAACTATGCGAATCGTCATCTTAGTCTTTTGCATTTTTCAGTACATGTAGATTAAATTTAATATTTCACTAGATTATAATTTTGGATTCCAATTGGGTTTGTCGACTTGCTCCAATGTTAGTTTTATTTCAACATTGTTATTGATTCATGGTGGTTAGTCTTGGGTCGACCAGTTTGTGCAGCCAGCTGGTTTCCAACTGCATGCACTTGTTCGCCGACTCAGGCACGTGATGCCATGGAATGTTTTTTCAAGCCTGAGATTTGATTGGCTCAAAAAACTTTGCATTGAATCCAAAAATCACAATCGTATTCCAGAATGAAGGAAGATATGGCTACAGAACCAGCTAAAGATGTTCCAAGTGATGATGATATTTTTTTCCCATCAGATGTGTTTGAAGAACCAGCTGGCTTTCGACCCCCTTCACCACAACCCACTATCGTCAGTTTTGCTCGTGACAGTGCAAGCGTTCAGCCAGGTTAATCAACTCTGCAATCTTGTGTTTATATGCATTTAAATGATACACCACTATATAACAGTAAATACTGATAACTTTGCATCTAAATCTTGGTGATCGTCATTTTATTATTAATGATTGTAGGCTCATTGACCGAGTTCAAAGTCAATCTCGTTGGAAAACACAGGCAGGTTGCACTGCAATTATTTACATTATATTTACAGTCGTATTCATGTATTGGTCGTCTTTTTGGAATGGACAATGACTGAGTATCCATTGACTCTGCTACTACACATTCTCAATTCAAAACAGTATTCATCATACAATGCAAACCATACTTTTGAACCAAGATTGTCTAGTTTTGGTATGATCACCATATTCATCTATTACAATCCAGATATTGAGTTCAACTGTTCCAAGGTTGTTAATCAAACCCCTCTGTTGTATCCTGAAAACTCGGATAGTTCGCGCTCTAGTTCAAAAGAACAGATATTGCAACTGTTGTTTGTATGCCAGTCCCCTAATGTTTAACTTGAAGCAAAGGAGAGTTGGATTGGCTGGAACTGTAATGTAAACATCTGTTCAGTTTTTATACAAAAATGAGCAGAAAACACAATCTTGTCCAGTAAGCTTCATGAAGTTATCATTTACTATACATATTAGTATCCTATTTACGTGAATACGACTTAGAATTTTGCCGACAATTAGGCACAGCGTACTGCATTTACAGATCAAACTGACATATTTGAATCTTTAGTTTATGGGCACATTGGCTTTGGAATGCTGGAAAATCAATGTCAAACTACTTGGATAAAAACAAAAACATGGTTGCAGGCAAAAACGTGCTTGAGCTTGGTGCTGCTGCCGCTCTTCCAACCATGATTTGCGCATTAAATGGTGCCAAAAAGGTAAAAAATAGTTTGTAGTTTAATCATGCAACTTTACTCTTACCATTATTGACCTTGATGTTCAGGTTGTCAGCACAGACTATCCTGATCCAGCTCTTCTCAATAACATCATACTCAATGCACGAGAAAACACTCCCGAATTTTTAGAGAATAACACTATTGTTGTAGAGGTATATAACTGCTACTGTACATTGGGATTTGACTATGTATCCATGGTGCTTATATCAGATCTGATTTTAAACATATAGGGATTCATTTGGGGCGAAGACCACACCAAGGTTCTCGAGCATCTATCCGATGACGGATCAACAAAATTTGATTTAATTCTTTTGGCAGATCTTATTTTTAATCACAATCAGCATACAAACCTACTAAAAAGCTGCCGTGAAATGCTTGCTCCAGGCGGTGTAGTATACACCACCTTTACTCATCATGTTGTCAAATGGGCATATAGAGATATGAAATTCTTTGAGACTGCCACTGAAATGGGATTTAAATTTGAAAAGATTTACCAGGAACGTTGGCAGTGCATGTTTCCTGAAGACGATGGCGACGTAGATGTACGCAGTACTGTCCATGGTTACAAGATGTGGGTTTAATAAATAATTGACTTTTACCATACTTTTATTCAAGAGTCGCTGTATCAGCTTTGATCAAGCTTATAATTGCCGTGATGTATGTCTGATTGATTGCAATATTTGCTTATTTATGATTGTGCCAAATGCAAGATATCGAGCATTCGCATCCGCGATATCTAAGCCAGATTCTAGCATTGAAAAATCGGATATCTCTACTCTGCTGTTGATGCAGGGTCAGTTACACAAGAGGTATGAGATGAAATAAACCCACACGATATCCATCACATCAATGTTACCATTTGAGCTAATTTGGAACGTGTCGGGCCAATGCATTATTACTGAATCAAAAGATACCAATAGCAAAACGATATAAGCCAGCCATAACCTATGCTATTAGCTTGATACAACAACTTGCACAATATGACTGACAAAATCTCTGACGAGTTACTGCAGCTATGGCCGTATGCGTCGGACCAGTTTGTTCAGATTATGTCAGTGCTCAATCGTCTAACAACTTGGAAGGCTGTTACAAATGTACATATCCTATTTTGATTTATTGATTCTGGGCATACTTTATATAGCCAACATATAGATTTAGTATCCATTGAAACTATACTCGCTCATGCCAACATTAAATATATTTTCAAAGGTGTAATGAAGAAATTCGCTGATATTTAAATATAAATGTATAGACTTTGCTCAACTATTTTGGTACACTTCAAGATACTGAACGACAGCTTGGAAAAGAGCATGAAAAACTACACAAGTCTCTGGAAAAACTTGAACACTCACTTGGTAGGTGATTTGAACCAATTTATAGCTGCATTCACATCAGATGGAGTACTTTTCTGTATCTGCAATGACTGCCCTGGAGTAAAAATGGTTAAATATTCGTTGTGCGTTTCTACTAGAAATTGGTATTTTCGATTCTTGTTTCAAGCTTGATCATACAATACAATCAAACTGTAGTTTTGAATTAAGATTGCTCCATTCTCATTTGATATGGCCATACATTGCACGATCACCAAATTTGAAACCAGATTCATTTATTTCAATCCAGATATTGGGTCCAACTGTTTTGACGTTGTCAATCAAATTCCTCTTTGTTGTATCATGATCTCACAGATACTTTTGCAATCTAATTCAAGAACCCAAAATCACAGTTTTAGGAATGCAACTGTTGTTTCATGTCAATCACTAGAAGAAAAGCCAGCAAACTTTGTCAAAAAGTTCAAAAGGCAATGTTTCCCAGTAAATGTGATGCAAAGTGTCACCAGTCATGTCATGATATTGACTACTTATTATGCAGTGGCATTCTTAGTGTTTCATTTTACGTGAATCCGGCTATAGATTTGTGGATGCAAATGCATTCCATTTTGGCTTATGGATTTAATCAGCATGAATCAAAATTGATGGTGGTGAAACCGTTGGCTACAAAATTGCTAAATATGTTTTATTCTAATTTTAAATGCTCAATGTATAGGTGGAGAAAGTGGAGCTGTACTTCGGCCATGGAGAAACTATGCTCAGTTTTTCGAGTGCGAGTATTTGTCTACAGAAAATTTGGTTGCAACCTCAGCACTCCGACACTTGAAAGCACTCAAGGCAGAAATTAAAAGAAAGATCTGCGTAAGTGATTGAACAGTATGCTTTTGGTTTAAATGATCCTATTTGATACAATTTGCCAACTCACGACATTATCACAGCAATGCGAGTCTGATATCAAATCTTACAAAAACGGTGTGGTAAAGGCCCGAAACCTTACTCTTTCTGGCATTTCAGTTTACGAACGTAACTTGTCAAAACGATCCAATGCACTCAAAACCGACTCTGGGGTTTCACTTGGCACGACATATACTAGTGATCCATGGCTTTCCGAGCGCTCACTCTATTATCAGTTGCAGATGATGGTAAAAGGCGAAAATGATTTTCAAAAAAGTATTCAAGCACTTTTTGAAAATATAGCCACGTTTGATAGTTATATTGTAGCCACAATTATGCAAACAATGAACGAATTCTCCACAGCTCGTATCTCACAGTGGGAATCTATGCAGGTTAGTATATGGATTAAAAATACGGAACAACTGTATAGATCATGATCATTAATCATTCAAATACTGGTTCTGTAACGGATAATAGAAACATTTGACATCGGTTCAAAGCTTTTCGGCACTGTCTGAACCAGCTGCACACTTTGAGGTGTTTTCTTCTGCACATCACATACATAGTCCAGAGATCTGGCAACAAACACGAACCTTGCAAGACTTTCCCTATCAAGTGCGCGAGATTCAAATTTTAAAGCATGGAGTTTTGCATATTCCAAGCAAGTTTTCTAAAAACAGCTGGCTTCCAGTGGTTGCTGTGATTACCGAAACAGGATTTTTTCATTGCTTTAAGATTTCAGCACACAAACACTCTCGACTTATGGAGTGGATAGCTCAACAGCAAATGCCAAAAGAAATGGCAGATAATGAACTGAACTCTCCAGCAAAATCTTTTTTGCAGTCTGAAATTGAAAGCGTTACATCAACTTCAACAACGTGGCCATCCCTTTCTACACTACGTAAAAGTCAATCTAATTCCATCCAACCTCTTTCTCCAGAAGAAGTTTACAGAGGTGCTGATAGACCTAGTGCAGCTATCAGGTAGATTTTTTGTTTGAAATGATCTGTAGTTTTCAATTTTTAACCAAATGCTAACGCCTAATCCATTTCCAACATGTCCAGTGTTGGGCTGAAGCAGCCACGAATCACCATTCAATTAGTTCCAGAAAAATCCAACCAGCATATATTTGAATTGATCATTCAGCGTCGAAGGCCGCGATCTGGAGGATTTTTTGGAGCATGGGCTCGACCAAGTGTAGATGCGTGGACACGGTTTGAATTCAAAGCATCAAATGAACTCGAACTCATTGAATGGCTGGCTGCTTTACAAGGAAGGATACAGTAAGTTTTTAAAAATGACCCGTCTAAATCACTACTTTATACAGCATCCAGTCCGATACTATGCTTAAACTGATGAGTTAATACTAAACAAACTTTTGATCTTTTAGAAACTTTGTCCCTCAAGGTCCACCATCTCCTCTGTTTAAAAGTCAGCAATCAATTGAAAAAAGCGTTGAAGCCATGATCAAGGAGCACCATGAACGTGCGCTAACGGATATTGTCCATACCAACACATTGCATTCTCAAAACCAGCAGCTGCTATCAAGAATAAGACAAGCCACACTTCCCAACCCGCCACTTTCTACATCTCAACATGAAGCAGAATCTCAATCTATGTCGCTGTCTACTCTCAAAAGCGATTCATGTGTAATTTCACATGATGAATGCCATTCAGCTATGCCAGATACATTGTCATACAAGACAGTATCCATGCCAGAATCTAAACCAAGCATATATACTACTCCTAGAGTAAACAAAGATCATATATTGAATGCTGACGAAGAAACCAAACTACAGGAATGCACGGCTCACAGTAAAACCATTGTAGCTGCGTAATAGTTCAAACCCACTTGATCGTTTGTAATGGGTATTTTCCTGTTTGAATTACGGCCGTATTCACGTAAAATGAAACACTTTTGTATTTATCTTGCAGTTGGAGTCACTATTTTGCTCCTGAATAAACAATCGTTACATATTCGTTGTTATTGGACATCAATTACTTTTATTGAAACTCTGTTGTATTCTGATATCAGATACGTTCTAGCTCAATGTATCTCGGAAATGCAACTGTTGTTTCCATGCGATCACCCAATGTTTACTTGAAATGTTGAAGGTTGTCAAGATGTCAAGAATGTATTGGAACAGAGGTGTGAACATTCGCTCCGTATTTTTGTACAAGAATGAGCACGGATATCAGTCAACTAATGAGTTCAAAGGACACAGTGTTGTCCAGTAAGATTGTAGATTGGCAGTTTATTATGCATTTTGATTCCATCTAGTGTTTCATTTTACGTGAATATGGCTGTAATTCAATTCATCTAATTATGTTTATTTTTAAAAAATAAAGCTGTGTATCTTTGACTTTTGATATTGGGTGCATTAGAATGTCATCAAGTAGTAGTCAAGGGTCTGAATTTCTACATCAGTCGAATGCGCCAACAATTTGATTGTAACCAAGATTGGGTCAAGCAATATTACCCGCACTCAACATTAATGCGGCCAACTGTTAAACAATGCTCACAATGATTCAAAGATTGCATCACAACATAATTATTTATTTTTATTCCTGAAATAATCGGCTGTGACCATTTGTAATGAATTATCAGGGTACATGTTAGATCATATGTTGAATATACTTGGCAAACATTGATTTTGATAACTTGCCGAGTTTTTCTACAGCTTCTACAGCGATACTTGGATACATGGTAGAATCGTATACAGCAATGATATAGTGTTGAATTGTCTTTGATATAATTATTCCTGCTTTATCCTTAAAACATGGTTATTGCTACAGTCAATGCCTTGTTTTTGCAGTTATAGACTCGAATTAAAATTGCAATCAGTTGAAAGCTTATTGAAATATGTGATGCATACATTTTTTGCATAAATGGAAAGGCTGTCGGCTCTGACTGCGCGATAGGGAATATCAAGAAATGAAATGCTACTGTCGCCGCTGCGAGCATCTCTGGGATGTTCAAATGCAGCCTCTATCTTGGCCAAATCTGTGGGCACCAACTAGAATTTAAAAATAAGATACATGTTGGTATTAAAACTAAGAATATTTGAAACTAGCTGTTTTAAGAGATCCCATATGATGATGGTATCACCAATCTAGTAGGAACATTCCAAGATATTGGTCAAAACGAATAAACTCTACCAAAAAGTTTGGAGACTTTGCCTTGATAACACCGTCCTTTTGTCGAATAATACCTGCATGACTAATGTGTCTTGTTCCCATTAAGGCTTCCTGTAATAAAGAGTTCATTCTAGTTGAATGGAAAGACCACGAAACTTGCAAGCGTGTTCACGTAAAATGAAACGCTAAATAAGGATGCCGAAAACATAATAAGCAGCAAATCTCATGACATGATAACTTACATTTATCGGAGAGTATTATTTTTTGATTCACCAACCATTGGATACTTTAAAGCAAGATAGAGGCCTTGATAGCAAGATACAGAAAGGCTTCATTCTGTGTGAATACGGCTGTAAATATGCGGTTTGGAAGGATAGACAATTTACGCCAGATCCAGAGTGGAAAGCAGTCTTGAATGGACATTCCCAAACTCCAATCATTGACTATACGTACAAACCCTTATTAGATCAGAGTTTGACTTTCAAAACACTTTAATCTAGCGCATACCCGGTGGCTGTGGTCATTCCAAAATCCCAACACATTGTTTCGACGGTGGTTTATGCACCATCAGATTAGAATTAAATTCTGGGTTTTACCAAATCTAAAGGTTTTGGATGTGTATGGCTGTGTGGAATCTGTTATGGTTCTGTATATCAACAAATATTTTAACCCGGAGTTGCGCATGAATTGCATGGGTCGTATTGAATCGAGCTATTGAGTGATGGCGGATTCTTGAAACTGTTTGTGAATATTACTAAAGCATGGCTGTGTGGTCTTGTAATTAGTCATTTAAAAACTAACGATTGGAATCTCAGGCTTGCTTCATGACACCTGGATTTCTATTTAAACCAAAGATTTCTTCTTGCTACTCAGCCCAAACTTCCATTAGTCATTCCAAAAATTAGACATTTTTATTCTAAGCATTACAATCTACTTTGGTATATATACAGGTAATTTTGAGCTGATACCACATAAAGCAACAGGTTGCTATTATAGATTCACGTGCTTGAGTGAACTTGAATCCTATATTTATTGCTTTACTTTTGCTACCGTTTTTATTCCTCGCTGCCATTTTTAGCATGTGATGTTTATTTGCCAAATAAACATTTGCACTATGTTACGCTGGGCTTAAGTTGGCTCGTACACATCCAATGATATTCCAAGTCCGTGTGGTATACTGTTCTTTTACGGTGAAAACTGCTTCACTCGAAGCAGATATCGATTTCAACTCGACCATTTTATACTTGAAATATTGTCCCTTGTACTATAGTACTGAATTATATTATCCCACCACAAACTCCTGTGCCATTATTAGTTGACAATCTCACCAAGTATTTAATTGTGGATTTGCCTGTATCGGCTGTTTAAAAGCTAGTCTGATCAATTTCTTCCAAATTTATACACGTCATGGTTTAAAGCATTGATTGTATACTGGTATTGCTTGGATAAACAAACAATTTTCCTTAGAGTCGTATGAGTTCGAGTCGATGCAATGAACTTGGTATATCTCAGTGTCCGACTGTATATTTTTGTTGCTCAAGCATCATCCATTCTATCCAGATTTCAATCAGTTCTGCAATCCACCATTAACCTTGAGTGTATTCCAATTTCCCTTGATTGGGGTTACGGGTTGTCAATCAATTTACTTATTTCTCAGTACATTAGTCTAATCCACTCCCCATTGATTGAGGCTAAACGCTGCCAGTTTTAATCTTGCTATTTTATCTGACAACTTTTTATTTTCAACACCTGGTGCCAAACTAGTCTCAAGTTCTTTACACTTTCTCATTTCAACTTCTATCAAGTCAAACTTTCTTAGTGCACTGCCACCTTTCCATCGACCCATCTTTAAACATTGCATCAAATCATGTCTAGCCAGTCGAGGGCCGTTGGAGCAGAACGGTCTCGCCAGTTACATTTTTCTGCCGACTCCAACTATCCTTCGTATATCGATACTGGCATTTTATTCAGTACCAACTCGTCCCAAACTTCACGGGAGGATTTTAAAAGCCCACACGGATACCCTCACTTGCTTGTAGTAGATGGCAACGAGTTTCCTAGATCTAGCTTAAAAGCCATGAACTACTTTTCACCTTCAGCCATAAATAGTATTTTGGTCTCAGAGTCCAGCAGTTCTTTAGACTCGACAGGAAGTAGAGCTAGTGCACCAAAGGTATGTGGATTCTTCAACTTGGTGCATTGTTGCTAGGCAGGGAACATCAATTTTGTTCCGCCTTCGTGTTCCCGAATTTGTCGGCGATTGAGTAGTAAATTTTACTGCCTCGTGATGGCTGAGTAGTTGTCGGTGAATGGGAATGGGAGGGAATTTGGTTCCATTCAAAAGAATCTGCATGGGTTTTGCCAGACAGTGCTCAGCTGATCGCTGTTGATAGAACCCATTCTAGCACTGAATGGATTGCATTGTCCAGATATAGCTTTTTTAAATCTTTACTAATGCCGTGCTAATGTGGATTAGGGCCAGCCCGAGTACGAATACAAGGGGAATCATCGTCGCCCCACCTGGCCGTCGGTATACCCACATCAGTCGCTTCAAGAAAAAATGCAACATCGCCATTCTACTGTTTCAATCAACTTGAATGCCCATCAACCGCTTTGGTCCACGTCCTCGATGCTACAAGTAGAGGAGCAGACACCTCTCCACAGCGACTTTGATGACGTATCTCGACAGCTTGATCAGATACGAAGTCAGCTACAATCAAGTGGTATTGCTTCCAAAAATAATTTGTCGCTTGGTAGTATGCAACAGAATGTAAAGCAACCTTTGCACGCATGGGAAGTCCATGGCTTACCACAAAAACCAATCGGTAATTCGACCAATATGCAGCATCACCGCTATTCCCAAAAGCAGCAGTTTCAGCAACTAGGGTCTCTTGAAATATCGGCTGATGCGCCTTTTAAAAAGCATATGTTTCCAGATCTTCAAGTAACCAATGAAGGTGATCAGGCTTTGCTTCAAGTCATCTCTTCATCCAACAGTACTTTGGCGACACCCAGTAAAGCCCCATCGGAAGTCGGAGATTTGGAAAACTCACCTGGATCTCAAATGAAAGTCTCGAGTCTAGAATTACTTTTTCAATCTCGCCCAAATATTCCCGCCAATGCACACTTTTCGGTACTGAAAATTATGAACATCAGCTGGGATCTGACCATTCAAGATGTCATGGCATTTTTTGCTGATTCACAGGTATGTATTGCTTTATATTTCTGGCCGTGTTGGATGTTGACTAGATTTATTTACAGATATTTTCACTGCGCAATGCTCAACTATTTCTGAATTTTAAACTATGACATCGCTAGATTCCTATGGGGCATAACGCTCCTTATTATCATAATGGTATACATATTATTCTGGATCGAACGACTGGTAAAACGCTCGGTGAGTGCTATGTCGAATTTCCAACACAAGTCCTGGCTGCGCAAGCTTTACGAACTCATCGTCGAGGGTTTCTCAAAGGCCGGCCAGTGTCGGTGGAGCCAAGTACCCAAGATAAACTATACCATGCTTTATTCCCAAACCTTCGGGCATCACTTGAGCAATCTCAAAAACGTTTAGATTTTCAGGCTGAAGAAAATATCTCTGAAGGAAATAGCCAGAGTACACTTGACCAAAAGAGCCGACCCGAGCTTGTGTATATGGCTAGAGAAGATATTTTTATGCTTTTAAGCAGTTGCAAGCCATCAAGGGTGAGTATTTAACCCCACATTTATGTCGGTTTGTTGATCTTTTGAGCAAGCACCATGATTAAAATTGCTGACGATTTTCTTTGAATAGACTCATCCAAGCAAAAAGAGCTCAAGGCGTCCATTTGAAAACATTATTTCCATTCTTTCCAAAGTGCCTTGGCACCGGGCCAATCTAGTCCCAATACTTCAACGAGATCATTTATTTGAGATGGCAAAGCTAGGCACGGAGAGTCTTTTATTTCAAACACAGCGTGTCAATAGCAATCTAAACACCAAGTTTCTTGATACGTTTGTGCGTGCAATCCTGTGTGTCCCACTTTTTACCGAAAAACAAAAACTGATTGTGCTCGCAACTGCGGTTAGTGGTAATGTTGTCAGAAATTTAATTTAAATTTCTAAATTTCCTAAAGGTTTGAATGTGATTCTCATTATTAATGTACGTTGATATAGCATCTAAAATGTCCACCAGAATTGAAGAAATTTGTATATATGCCGGTTGAGCCAGAGGCAAAGTCTCAGACAAGTACCAATTTTTCTTCTAGGGTGGCACAGATTCAGGATTATTCATACAATTCTGATCCACAAATACATAATATGACTTTTCAAACACTACCAGTCGAAAGCCTGCCATCTGAAAACTTCACCCAGGTATTTAAAACGTTGCCATACATGTTTGATTTTAGATTAGGGATGATTACTGATATGTTTTTTTAGAAACATCGAAGCGAAAGCTTGAATGATTTGAAAATGGAGGCCATGTTTGCAGATTTGGAAAACAATCCAATGCAGTTACAATCGTTGCATCGATATGTTTCTGCACGATCAAGCCCAGTTTTGCACGAAGCTTTACTCCAACATTCTCGCCACGCTGATTCTGTGACAGTTCCCACTTCTTCGATGTCCATGCCATTAAATTCTTGTATACTTGATGTCAAGCAACCCAATGATGCCACGGTTGTTTTGGATCATTGTCAAAGCAATTCCGAGAAAGCATTTTCTAATTTTCAGTTTGACTCCAAGGCATTGAAACTGAAGGTCGCAGAACTTGAGCATGAGCTGCACTTGTCTCGACAACAGTACAACACACTGGCTGCTAATCGCGACGAAGTGATTGCAGCTTTAAAAAAGGAAAACCAGCATATATTGGAACGTAACAAACAACTGGGACGCATGTGCGGAACAATGTCGTTTGAATGTGTTCGATGTGGCAAAGAGCAAAGTGATACTATGCCTTTGCCCTGTAGTCGCCCGTCCCCTGCTAATACAGCCCCCTCTGTCTGGGACTTTTGCGAATCGACCGGAAAAGCCGAGTTTGAGGACGTGTATGATATAGATTTACCTCAATCTTCATCTTCTCCAGTTGATGTATCATTTTAACAGCATACACTAAGACCGAGTGTTTAATTTGAAAATATTTGAAAACGGCAATAATTCAAGCATGCATAGTTTGATAGTTATAACATTTGGCAATCGATTATTGTTTTCCTCTATAATTCTGTATAGGTTGAAAAACTTGATGATGTATATGGTAACAATAAAAGTAATTGCACATGCATGTATATCAACTCTACATTTGAAGTATATTGGTGGTTTGTTAACAAATCAGTATTATACTCGGTGTGTGCAGTTTATTGATTCCTTGTATTAGGACGGTTGAAATTGGTCAATAGCTATGCAAACCAGATTTGAAATAAGCTTTGTTGCATTTCACAGTAGTACGAGCTATTGGTCAAAATCAAAATAACTGGATGTTTGGTAGTATCTAATCCATGACATTCAGGTTTGCAAACTCAAAGGTGGAAGTCACTGGGGTTGTAGTGACAGTAACTTTTTGATCAAGATGATTCAATCAAGTCAGATCTGTACCATGGCAACAATCTGATTTGTTGACACGATCAGTGTATTAAACGATCTTCTTTTGAATATAAAATAGTGTTTTTTATTTGGTCTAACGACGGCTACTTGTTGAACTTGTTGGTTTAACGCGAGTTTGAGGTTCCATCTACAGTTTACATGAATCTAAACCAGCCGTGCGATTTTATAACGAAAAACTCTTGTTTTTGAGATACAGCAACAACAGTCTGTTGAATGCCATCAAAATGTTGTCAAAATATGGTGAAATCGAGTTGTTGAAATATAAATATTTTTTGCATTCTCGTTGTCTTTGGCTAAACAACTAATACAAACACTCGATACATGTCGCTTTTAATCAGAAAAAAGGTCTTGGTTTGTGCAGCGTCCTTTTCCAGGACATTGTCAGTATTTCCTACCACTTCCAATGCAATTCGCTGTCGATCTCTCTCTCTGTTATCACGCCCGTCTATCCAAATCAAGTCGGTTGTTTCTGCCACTGCTATTAAACGGCTTCCCCGTCAAGTTGCCATGTCTAGCCCACTCAGTACAAAGACTACTCCTCCTCCAGTCGATCCTGTACAGCATGCTGTAGTAAGGCAAGTCATTACTCTTGCACATGGTTATTGTTGAGGAAATCCATCTCGACTTGTGTGGCTGTAATTTCATGCTATTCAGGCAACCATGTCAATGTGTCTAGTTTATTACACTGCATGGATTTTTTGGAAAGATTACTTATTTTCTTTAATGGATTAGCACATTTGATTTGTTCTCTATTGGTGTTGGTCCATCGTCATCACATACCGGTAAATTATTCCTGCAAACATTGCCTTCTCTTTCAATACTATGCAAGATTACACTCACTGTAGATATGCTTTAACCTAATATCTTTTGTTTTAGTGGGCCCAATGCGTGCAGCCAAGATTTTTGTTGAACATATTGCTGATCTAGGCAAGTCTAGATTTTTGCTTGAAATGTGCATCTGTAGCAGTGGTTCATGAATATATACTGACTGCACTTTGTTTTCAATAGGTGTCTTGGAAAAGACTCAGCAAATGCGTGTTGATCTTTATGGATCGTTGGCGCTTACTGGAATTGGTCACGGAACTCCCAATGCAGTCTTGGTAAATCTGAATGGGTCTCCTTAAGCACCAGCCATCAATATTTACTGACAAAAGCACGTTTTATTTATATGCTTGTAAAATAATACAACAATCATATTAGATGGGACTCGAAGGTGAAACCCCAGAGGGTGTTGATACACACTCCATTATCCCTCGTGTCGAAACCATGTACAAGGACAAGACTCTCAACCTGAATGGCCATCACAGCATTCCATTCGTTCCTGATAAGCATTTGATTTTTCGTAAGTTTACTATTTTTAAATCATCTCATTTGTCTTGGTGACTGAATTGATCTGTTGATTTTGAAGAATTCAAGCCGTTATTGAATGCACTAACACGACCATGCATATATAGATTTTCGTGAATCTCTTCCTCAGCATCCCAATGGTATGCGCTTTTCTGCTTACGACGGAAAAGGTGATCTGGTTAGTACTGTTTATATCATTTTAATAGATATCGGTTTATTCAGCACGAATCATTATACTAAACTCTTGATATTCAGATTGCTACCAACGAATTCTTTAGTATCGGTGGTGGCTTTGTTGTCAATGAAGAGACTAAATTGGCCGAAAACGCATACTATAAGGATGCACGTGTCGATCATGCTCAGGATATCACCATCTCTGCTGCTGCCGAAGAAGTTGCTAGTCATGCTCCTCCTCCACTACCAGACCTTTCTACACCCATCGAGCCTACTTCAGACTCTTCAGTACCCGTTGCCAAAACCCAGTCAGATTCGATCGTTGCTGCTTTGCCTTTTTACGATGCCGAGTCGCTTTTGCGCATTTGTGAAACAGAGAATCTTTCGATCGCTCAGGTGGTCTTCCGTAACGAATTACAGGTTAATTAGAATCTATTTAAAGTGCATGCATTGTAGACTGTTTAGTATACTCATTATCCATTTTTACCAATTTTATAGTGGCGTTCGGCCGAGGAAGTTGCTGAGCGTACCCTCAAGCTTTGGGATGTCATGAACTGCAGTATTCAGGTATCTAGAATATGATTTTGTTGATAAATTTGGAAATATTTGCAAATTGCTTTAGAGTGCTGACAGTATCTTAATTTTAACGTGTGTTGTAAATTATGAATCTGATACTAGAATGGTATTGCGTCCGAGGAAGAATATCTTCCTGGCCAACTTCGTGTTCGTCGTCGCGCGCCTGCTCTTCATAAACGTCTTATGGCTGGGTACATAACATTTGATAGCCATGTACTGACATTGAATTACTTGGTTAATTTGATGATTTTGAAATAGTTTATTAAGCTATAGTTTACTGACATTTTATGGCGTCGATTGTTTTAATATTGAAACTGAAATTTAATTTATTCATTACTCAAGTATTGCGGACTATGCTGGATTTTCGTCTGGCCCTGTTGGGAATACTGGCAATGTGCCCAAACCTGTACCTAACTCTACTAAAATTACCCGGGGTGCTGTTCCTTCTCGACCTGCTCGTCGTAATCTTCCCGCTCTTGATTGGATCTCACTGTATGCTCTTGCTGTCAACGAAGGTATGCTGACATGTCCGAGTTTAAAGGTTGTTCTAGTATATTGTAATGCTGACCTTTTTTTAATTTAGAAAACGCTGCTGGAGGTAATGATTCAATTGAAACATTATGTGTGGGGTTGGCCAATACATCGATTATTTCATAAAAAATAAGATGTATTGGCCATAACTCATGGTATCATAATCGCGATATAAATTTGGCTGTTTGTTAAACCACTATATGTGCAGGTCGTGTCGTAACTGCTCCTACAAACGGTGCTGCTGGAACCATTCCGGCTGTTCTCAAATACTATCTCGAGTTCATCTGTCCGTCCCGGGCTCAAATGGAACAAGATATCATTGAATTTATGCTTACGGCAGCTGCTATTGGTATGCTGTATAAGCGAGGAGCAAGCATTTCGGCTGCTGAGATGGGATGCCAAGGCGAAGTAGGCGTCGCATGCTCCATGGCTGCTGCTGCGTTTACAGCCGTCATGGGTGGTACTGTCGAACAAATTGAAAATGCAGCCGAGATTGGTATGGAGCACAACTTGGGTCTTACGTGTGATCCACCAATGGGACTGGTGGTCATTCCGTGCATCGAACGCAATGCTTTGGCGGCAGTCAAGGCAGTCACGGCCGCTCAACTTGCTTTAAACGGCGATGGATCACATCGTGTCACTTTGGATCAAGTTATTGCTACCATGAGGCAAACGGGTATTGACATGATGTCCAAATACAAAGAGACCAGTGAGGGTGGTTTAGCGGTAAGTTTACCCTTTTATTATCAACAAGTACATGGTTTGCTCTAGACTAGATCAGCACTAATCTGTCGTTTACATTAGGTGAATGTCCCTGTGTGCTAACAAAAGCGATTTAAACAATAAGAGTATCAAGAATACCCGATTCTGCATTTCTCTTTCAAATACAATAACATTAAACTCGTGTCTGACTGTATTCATCTGGCAGGCATCAAAGATGATGGGAATCTGGTACATTTTTAAAGTAACCATGTATCAACTATTCAAATAAAGTTTAGTTTTTATTCCAGTTTTCGACGTACCAACAAGCAGTAGTCGAGCCACACTCGATGACCTGGCAGACCAAGAACACGTACAAGCAGTGAAGAATGTTGCGAATCTAAAAAGGGTGTGCAGTACAATCGCTTCCACGTCTCAGTGTCCATTGCATAAATAGGCTCAACAGAGTTTGGATCATAAACCAAGTGTTGCTCATGATCATGTTGCTGTGGACTTGTATCGATAATATAGTCACATTGATCGACCGACCACTGATTCAACGTTTCAACCGTAAAACAAATCAATCAAATGTACAACCTTGTTAAACTATGGGTATCATCAACATAGTATCCTGCTACCCAAACACATGAATAAAACACCTACATATCGGTCAACCTCTTCGCGATTCAGATCATTCATGGAGTCAACAAACTCTGCAAAGTATCGTTTTTGTCTTCGTTCACCATATTTAAACGAGTTCCATTCTCCCTCGCGTAACATTCGATCCAGCCATTGCGTGGATTTCATATCTGATTTAAAGTATTTGGGAAGCAATCCCTTGAACGCGCTGGGTAAAACCCGCAATCGCATTCCTGGCTGCAAAAAATAATGAGATGGAAACCGATACCATTCTTTTCCCACACATACATTGACTGTTCGATTTAGTGCTTGTGCAACAGTGATTATAGGTGAATCGGATGAAGCAGTGGAATTCAAACCAATGCTTAGGTTTCCTGACCTATTCGCCGCCTCTGGTGATAAAGTACCAGTGTAGTTTGCATTCAACCCAAATGGCGGAGCAGTAGATGACAAGATAGTGTACACATCAATAGGAGCATGATAGTGTATATATCCAGCATATATCCGAAGTGCTGATAGGACCACAAATACTCCCAAAGTGAAAACAGTAAATATCTTGGCAATGGCTTTTGGTGAAGACTAAAAGGTAGAATGAGATTTGCATGCACATTTTGTATTAGATGAATCAACTTGAACACATCTGCAAGACTATGCCACTACACGGAATATGTATACTCACAATTCTAATGCCAAGGCTCATTAAGAGCATTTCCAAAATACCGCGATACAAATACAGGGTAGTAGCGGCATAGAAGCAGATGATAGGAAACACGACAAACATAAATCGCTCTTCTTTGTGTGACTGGATTGTAAAAATGGCTAACCACAGATAGAAAAAAACCAATTGAAAGCTTCCCTTGGATGTGACTGCTAGAATGCGCTTGTCACCCCCATTCACTAATGTAGGAGCAACCAGTATAATAAACAGCTATTATCAAAGGTAGAGTCGGATTAACTGACTGGAATACAAAGCACACTATGCTTTGTAGCAGTATTTTCTAATTTAAAAAAGATTCAATCCAAAGCATACACTTACCAAAAGGGGACCACAGACTAGAGCAGCCACATATGCCAAGTTAAAGTTCAGCAATCCATTCAAAAAATAAAAATACCACGGTTCAGTGCCATAAATATCTGGACCGCGACCAGAGCTTCCGAATACATTGTAAAGTACAATATTGAGAGATGCAAAAACCCATTTTTGATAATAAAAACGATCCAGAACAAGTAAAGGTGCCTGCAATGATTATACTACTATTAGTTCTATACCATTTTGTAGCCCAACACGGTTATAATTGGGCAACGAATGTAAGTTGAGACGTAATCAGTGAGGCCATTTACCATGACAGTAGATACCGCAATAAGCACGCCTTCAGCGATCCAGCGTAAATAAGTTGATCGCTTTTTGGAAAATAGCATTGCTAAACAAAATGGAATGAACATGAACCCAGCAAATGGCCATCCCCAAAATGCACCTGTTGTTGCCAACGCCATCAAGATCCAAGTATTTTTTCTTGAAGGTGGAGCAAGATACAATGCAAACGCCCAGGTGACAGTATACATTGAAAAAGTAGAAGGAAGATACGCCGTGGATGCAATAAACATCCCAGGACTAGCCATGAGTAGGACCAGTGTATATCTCGCTATTCTAGGATGAACATGTTTACGAATTGTTTCATATAGTTGAGCTTCCGTGTATGCTGATGCCAATGCAAATACCAATCGGGTTAGATAAAATATCTGCAACTAAAATATTCGGATTTAAAGAGTAAATGATTCATCAGTTTGAGAACACGGTATGGTGCATTGAAAACCGAGTCAATCTAGTCCAGATAGATGCACCTTGTTTGTAGTAAGTGCATATTCAATAGAAATAGTGATGATTGCATGAAAAGTTATATATGCCCAAGACCGTATTGCATACTGTGGAGCATACTCCCATGTCTGTAACGCTGTTCCGTACTGTAGATAGTGTGTTGGTTCCCAATAGTTGAATACTTCATCACAGTCTAATAAAATCAGCCAATTAAGATCATGTTTTAACCGACTTGAATAAAGATGAATTTCTGGCTCAAAAAACACTAGCAATTATTTCGAGCCAAACAGAATCATTAGTATAAATTCTAGCACACCTTGAATGTTGGAATATATGCCAGCCAACATCCTAACAAAAGCAATGGCCTTTATAGCATCACTGAAGCTTGGTGTCCAGACCAAGGTAGTGTCTAAAGTCGATAGTCCAGCAGTGAATAGTGTAGTTTTTGGTCTAAATAAAATGGGTTAGTATAGGGAATTAGTTGAACAAGAAGCCATTATGTCCTAGTGGATCTGAAGGGTTGTATCAATAAATACCTGCGATTTTTAGATTGACGAGTATCTACAGAGTCTAAATCATGTTCAGGTACAGGAGAATGTTTTTTAGTGGATGGCCTGGAATGGGGAGCCTTTCGTCGTCTAGAAATGGCGGTGTCGGTCATTCTGGAAAGATGAATAATTGATGAAAATCCAAATGAAATCCAGATGAACCCAATCAAGACCCTCAGGATATTCTGATGGCTCAAAAGCCGAAATCAATGGATTGCATGAGCAGAGTTGATTTTATTTCAAGCCCGTTTCTAATTATGACTGCAGTCCAATCATGCATCCACGTGACACCCATCCTAATCAACTCAAGCATTTACTAAGCAGATCAACAAAGTCAAATTCTAGAAACCACTCGCTTAAACTAGCACAATCTGAATCTTAGTGTAAAAAGATATCCCAAGTTTAATCGAAAATAATAATAGTAAAAGAGAGGTACACACAAACGAATGAGGTCAAGTCAGGTGTGAATCCAAGTAACAAAAGGGAAGAAATCCCAAATGGTGCCAAACTGCCAATCACTCTAGAATGATAATTATAGGAGGGACTCCTATTTGGTAAAAGGCGCTATAACAAAGGCAATGGTGATAAGAGATGCAGGTCAGGTAAAGGGATTGCAGATGAGGTGGCAGCCAGTGGTAGATACAGTCTATGCAGCCAATGTGATGGCACTGGCTGCAGAAGAGTTGGGATGTTGCGATGCAAGCTTAATTGTAGACGTAGTGGATGCAGAAAAGCTCTGCTGTACAGTTTGTGAAGATAAGCTATTATTGGTATTTGCCTTGGTAGCGATGCGCTGGTGATGATAGTGGAGCATACTATGGTTAGAACCAGTAGCATTAGCAAGACCAGCATCGTTCAGAGGCGATACTGCAGCAATGGATGAGATATTTGCAATAGCATTGGAAGAACCATTGTATTTGTGGGCTGTTTTGGGCGAGGGAGGCTTGATAGTGATGGGAGAGCCATTAAACTTTGGAGGTGACCTAGTAGAGCTATCAGTAGGACTCTGAGCTTGCTGACGGTTTGCAGCATTACCACTGTATAGAGCTTGGGGGTCCCATAAATGCAACAGATAACCATGTTCACCCTGCCTGTATGCAACATGGTGAGGGTCAACCCACAAAGACAACTCAGCGGGAAGACTCTTTGCCAATTCAGCAAGAGAAATGCCAGCAGCCGAGGCGGCCGAGCGTAAAAGAGAGTCGGGAGTGTTTGAATATACAGTGACTGCCCTATAGCCAGACCCTCTATTAGGAGTTTCTGGATACCAATGACCAGACAGTCGTTCAGCAAGCGCAGAGCAAAGAGCAATTCTGAACGCTTCCTGGTGACCAGCAGGAGCAAGTGTAGCAAGAAACTTGGCAGCAACAGCAATTTCGTTGATCATATTCGAGGTTTAAACTAGACAAATCGAACAAGTGCGAATAAGTGATGTTTGAAGAAAGTCAAAGTCTATTTATCAACAAAAACGCAGTGGTGCTTGAAACTGGTACAAAATTGCAAACAGGAAGCGCAGTCTGGAGCCAATCGAACCACCAACAGGCTGAATACACAACAGACTTGTTGCAAGGGTGTCTCTTGACACTCAAAGGGAGACTCGTCCTAGTGTCAATACAAACCAGGTGTAATGGATTGTAGCAGGCTAGGACTGGCTAGGGCTGGCTAGCCTTGAATATGCCCTTCTCTGACTAGCTGCAGTGTGGCTGTTGGTTTGCCTCCATTTTGTGTTGATGCAAACCAGCTCTAGTTTGCATAAGATCGTCTTGAATGCTACTCTTGTGTGCCTCATCATTCATGTGCCTTGGCTTGATCATTACACTAATAAAACCAATACATGTGGCATTTTCAGTCATTTACTCGGTCAGATCTCACAGCCATCAAGTTTGTACTCGGCCTATTTTCCAACAGTCTCGTACTCTAGCAATCTCACTATCTCAATTGATTGTCATTGGTAAATGTCATTTCTCAACTCAGGCTGGAAATAGTTTAATTTGCAATGGTCTAAAATCAATTCTACCTTGCTAATTTCTGTTCGTTATTTATTCATTCATAAAAATAAGCCATGTCTGGTTTTATATTCACACTTGAACTCTATTGTATAAACTAGTTTCAATAGTCGCTAGGGATATATAACCTAGTATGTTTTTTGAAAAACTTTCCTACTTTGACATTCAAAATGCATCTTGGTCGCACTTGGTATTGTTCGTTGGCCCATATCAGCATTTCATGGATAGGAGTTCAACTCTACCAGTCTTTGATATCTTCAGTGGATGCTCGAATGATATTGGACTTTCAACTGACGCAAGAACTGTTTCTCCAAAGTCCCACATCCTCCTCAGTGTTGAACTGCAATGGCCATTCACTGGCAGACATTCTTCCTGCAAAGTCGGAGCCTTCTGATTTGGCTTGGGATCCATTAAAACAACTGCTCTATATTGTTAGTGATAATGGCCATTTGGTGATACTGGGACTATCTCCAACCCAGTCTCAACAGTTGCCTCAAATGCAGCTTATCGATAAAATCAAGGTTAAACATAAGCCGGATCTAGAGGGAATCACATTAATACCAAGCAGGTAAGCATTTGAACCAGTACTGAAATATCTACTCATGATGGCTACTTTGAGAATACTTTGCAAGTGCAGTTCAAGATAATATACTCACTGCTGTTTAATTTACAGACCAGGCTATGTTTATCTTGGTGTTGAAGAACCTGCAGCAATTTTAGAATTCCATATCTCGAGCCAAACTATCGTATCTAAGCTTGACCTAGACAAGCTTATGAATGATGTTCAATTGGGAGGTTTAGACGACCCTCAAGTGCAACAAAAAAACCAAGGCTTAGAGTCCCTGGTTTATATCCCTGCAGTAAACCCTCACGAGCATCCAGGTTTCATAATTGTTGGGCGACAGCAGGACGCCCGGTTATTCGTGTTCAACATCACTTCCAAATGGACTGCTGACTCCAATGACGAAAGCCAAGATAACCTTGAGATGAAATTCATGGGGACTACCTATGCACCTGGACCATCCAAGGATCTGTCTGCCATAACACTTTGGAGATCGCATATCTGGTTACTTTATGATAAACCCAAACAAATGCATTCCGTCCAACAAACCGACTTTTACAATTCACTCAACCTGCTCGATCCCGCAAAGGTCGTTTCATTTGAATCCACGGCTCAGACCAAAACAGTCGAACCGTTTTCATTTAAAACTCGAGGACAGGAGGGGATTGCATTTGCTGACAATATACGCCTTGAAACTGGCCAATCTGGTTCTAATCTGGTGTTTATTGCTGTGGATGCACCACACAAGACTGGACAAAAGGATCTGCTGATGTTTTCATTAGATTCATTTTTTGGCTGCTTCTCAAGCCAGGGAGTATCTGGAATACCTTTATCGACAAGTGCTTGATCTTTATATAATAAATCTGTAATTATCTTGGGTTACCCGGTCTATTTTACCACTGGATTCACGTAAAATACACCACTAAATGTCAGCCTTATAACATGATTGCGTCAATTTACTGAATATTGTGACAAGTATGAGTACATGATATCATGAGCATTGTGCTTATTGAATTGAAAGTGCCAATGTGTAGTAGGAAGATGCACCGAATATTCAACCACTATTTCAGAGCAAGAGGTAATCATTGCATGAATACAGAAATGTTTCATTTTACATGAATACGACTGTAAAATAAATTTGCCAGTACACCATGCGCTCAATATTTCAAATTAAAAAGTGCCTATACACAGGATTGTCGGTTTCTTCAACAATCTCCATGTATCCAGCTTGGCGCAAATCTTGAACAAAATTCTTAAAGGTGTCGAGTTGTTTAGGAGGAACTTGCAAACCAGCCAAAACACGTCCAAGATCTGCTCCGTTATTGCGATCTGAAATACCATTGTAAAATGAATCAAAAAATTGACTAATAATCATCAAGCAGGTTTCACTCAAATATCAACTTACAATGAAATAGAGTGACATTATAGGCACCTTTTTTAAGAAGATCCATAAATTTAAGAAGTGCTCCAGGTCTATCAGGAAATTTGAAGCGATACAACACTTCGTCTTTTACCATACTGCTTCTACCACCGGCAAGAAATCTGCCATGTGTTTTGGCCAATTCATTATTGCTGATATCAATCACATCCCAGTCAGCACCTTTGCTACGAATTCTTTCAGTGACTTTTGCAACATCAGCATCGCGATCTGATACATCAAACGCTGCAAAAACATGTGCTGAAGTAGGATCATTGAATCTATATGCCAGTTCAGTCACAAAATGTGGACTGATTGATTGATGCAGCTGCATAAGTGTACCTGGTGTCTCGGGCAACAACACAGACAGAATCGCTTCTGTTCCTTGACCAATCTTGGCTCTTTCAGCCACGAATCGCAAACGATCAAAGTTCATATTAGCACCCGAACTAACAGCAACAAACACTCCATCCTGAATAAATGGATTATCTGCCAAAAATCGCTTCAGTCCAGCAAGTGCCAGTGCACCAGCAGGCTCAAGAATGGACCGCGTGTCATCAAATGTATCTTTCATGGCAGCACAGATTTCATCGTTGGATACAAGAACCATATCGTCGACAAACTGTTTGCATAGGCGGACGCATTCAGTACCAGGAAGTCGAACAGATGTTCCATCAGCAAATAAACCGGCCTCTTTAATTTCTACTGCTTTTCCAGCACATAGAGATTGGTACATGCCATCTGAATCGTATGTATTGACCCCAATGATCTTCACTTCGGGTCTAATGCGTTTGACATAGCTGTATTAGATTGAACCAACAAAATCATAAATGTTAAATTATGTTCAATTCAAAATAAAGCAATAGACGCCCACATCTATGCAGATATAGAAGAGTGCTAAACCAAAGCACAGTAACCCTCAAAATGGGTTTATATCTGGGTAGATAGAAGGTAAATAATAGTCGACAAAACTAGGATTAAAATGATTCTACTCACGCTGAAATTCCAGAAATCAGACCACCACCACCGCAACAAACAAAAATAGCATCCAAACGATCTTGCTTGATTTGACGAAGAATTTCCACTCCAACAGTCCCTTGACCTGCAATAACATACGGATCTAAAGTATTTAAAAATAAAACCGTGGCCACATTATTTTGTTGATTAGATGATGGTAATAGCATGCATTATGTTTTGAAAAAATACAAGGACAGTAAACAAAGTCGAATCAATTCATACACTTGTTGATCGTCCTAGTTGAAAAGTTTGTGCTTACCATCAAACGCAGGAATAAATACCCAATTCTCTTGCTCGGCCAGTCGCATGCACTCCTTTTTTGCAGCATCAAAATCGCTTCCAAAAAGAACTACAGTAGCACCAAGGCGACGAACATTCTCAACCTTGATCTCAGGAGCAAATGTAGGCATGAGAATTGTGGCTTTTATACCAAGCTTATTGGCTGCAAGAGCAACACCTTGAGCGTGGTTTCCGGCACTCGCACAGCACACACCACGAGCCTTTTCAGCGGGAGTAAGTTGATACATCTTGTTGTACGCGCCACGGCATTTAAACGAGAAGATGGGCTGCAAGTCCTCGCGCTTTAAATATATACTACTGCCAAGACGAGCAGACAGCTATTAAAGTTTAAAAACAGTGTCAAGATCGGATACAGGATTAAAAAGCATGATATAAACGCATTTTAGTTTGAGTATAGGGTGTACAAGACTCGATCAGCATGCACTCTAATATCTAATCCTATTTTTGATATATATTACCTTTCTAGCATAGGTTAATGGCGTTTCATTAGCAACATCGTACACTCGCGCATTTAAAATAAGCTTTAAATAGTCGGTTTCTAAATGCAAGGTTGGGGCTTCTACTTGAGTCTGTTGAGCAGCCTTGTGAGAAAGAATGGATTTAGGCCATTTAAATGGAGGCTTTGCAGACATGGGGGTTTCCAAAGGCAGTTCCAAGACTTTATGCTCATCATTGGTACTCATGATTGTGTTTTTGGGAAAGTCTAAATATAGTTCTTCAACAAGCTTTTCATACTAAGCGTGTATGTAGTTTACATTCAATTTACAGATTTGTACAATTTTACAGCAAATTGGTACAAGATGTCAATAATTTATTGCAAGAGTAGTTTATCACCGCTATATATTGGGATTGCAATAAATGAATCTGTTGATCGTGCAATGTATGACTGCTAAAAATGAGATCATTTCAGTTTAGAATTACTGTTTGATTCATGGTATCATATGATGGCCGTTGTGTCAGGAGACTGGTCAAGGGAGCTTTAAATGCTTTGGTATTTCAAGATTTTCTAAATAATGATATTGAAAGGACATTTTGTAATGCACATCTGGTTTTAGACCATATACCATTTTACAAAACTACACATTCACAGATTCAACATGATTTGCTAATCATTTAATAAACAGCAATATCGCGAGGTATACAGCTTTATTACACTAGTCCATGTTGTCCATTCGTAAATCTTGCTGATAATTGTATGGGCATAATAAAACATGGTTGTTTATGACGTATGGTTTCAGAAACCAAAGAGTTGGGAATGTCTATCAAGTCAATTTCTAATAGAAAGTACAATTTAAACATTTATTCCAAAGCAAGATAAACAAGTTATATTTTACAAGTCAATACACTCAAACACGTCCCCAGGAATAATATGATTCACTAATAAATCCAAAATGAAGAAAACTGTTTTCCTGCCAGTGCTGACTTGTTGCTGTTGATTTGAATGTAAGTCTCTGCTGTTGCTCATGTTGAACCATAACTTCTCATTTGCACTATGATGCCACTGTCAGTCTTTTCTTTACCCTGTTTTATGTAAAATTGTCTGAGTTGTCTTGCCATCGCCAATAGAAAGACAAGTGTGGTACCAACAGCCCAACAACAGCTGTGTGTTGGTCAGCACTGTCTGACAGGTCGACACTCATGTATCATGCTTGGTGTGATGTACTGAAATACTCTTTATTTTGGTCGTGGATGCAAGAAAAGCTCAACACATGGTGGGAATAGCTTGCCAAAGTGGCTCATTGTATTGGCTGCGATTGCATGAGTGCTTTTGTGATTGGTGTGATTTGGTTTGTTTGGTCAGTTTGATGATGAATGCAAGACCTTGTCCATCACTTTGGCCGCTTTCAGTCCCACAATCCCTTTTCCCACTTACTATAAACACCCACATTTAAGCATTTTCTAACCTCTTACTGTCTGTCCACCCTGGCTGTAGTTTGGAATTCATTTTCTATAGCCAAACTCTTGACTCCAGTTATGCCAATGATTCCATCAACTGCCGTTGAAAACAGTACCGCTGTTCCTGATACTGCTACCTTGCTAGCAGTGTATCAAGAATTCCGTACATCTCTTGGAGACCTCACATTCAACTCCAAGCCTATTATTACAAATCTCACCATCATTGCTCAGGAAAACATAAATTCTTCTTCAGCTATTGTTCATGCTGTAGAAGAGCGAATCAAGAATGTAAGTTTGATTGATTGCCAACCTGCATTTTAGTTTGATTTTGTATATTGCTGGATGGTATTTTCCATGGGTAGGATATTTCTACTGCTTGGCGATATCTGAATAGAATAAATGTGCATTGCTTGTTGCCGCCATTATTCCCTTTACTATTTTATGATGGCTGTTGATATCTGGTTACCAATTATTGGCACCTTGTGCATGTCTGGATACGGAGTATTGGGATGTTTTATCTTGTTTTCCAAACACTGCCTTTGTTGTACTTGCTACTACTGCTACTGCTACTATTGTCTGGTTCGTATAATTTACCAAAGAAATCCATCCTGAGCAATGTCAGTGCCATCGGATGGTTGGTTTCAAATAAGGATATGCAGCCAGGTATTGGAATATGTTAGCCACTTGTGCCTTTAGGGTGGATTCGATGTCAAGATAAACTCGATTGTTTACCACAGCCATTTTTCTGTCTTGATTGCTCAATATGAGTCGGTACGAAGCTTGCTTTAATCTCTGGCGCACTCTGTATGTTGCATTCTTGAAGCATTTTAGTGATAATCTTGTTTTTGTAATTTTTAGTGGTATAGAATTCTACATAAATACTGGTTCGGGGTTTTTATTTTAAAGTGGGGGTTGGCAATGGCAGATCCAACATTTATACTCGATTTTGAGATGCTCTTTGAAGGCTGATCTGAGTGCTGGCGTGACAGCTAAGGATGTCGTCTAGTAGTAGTAGCAGTAGTACGCTTTGTTTTTGTGCATGCAATTATAACAATTGGAGCCGGATTTTGTGTGAATGGACAAGTAGCATTTACAGTACCAATCATTTAAAAGCATTTCTTTCAAACTTCTTATTTCATTCTGAATACTGTTCAAGTTTTTGAAAGTTCGTTTATTTACTCAATTTAAATTTTCTGTTTTTTAAACTGCAATTATTGGATGTTGTGTATGGGATATGGCCACGAAAAATTATAAATCTAAAAATGATACGATCTTTTCAATATCCTATTCAACCGACCATCTACACTTAAATCACGGTTATTGTATTTCAGTCTCAGCCAAAACATAGAGTTCCCACCATTTATCTCATGGATTCCATTATCAAGAATGTTGGAGGTATCTATCGGACTTTGTTTGCAAAGAATATTGTTTCCGTCTTCTCCGACGCGTACTCGGCTGTTGATCAGGCAGATCAGCTACGACTACAGAAACTGGTTCGGACATGGGCTACATATCCGTCTGGCCCGCTATTCTCTGCAACGAAGCTCTCAGTTCTCGAACGGTTGTGTGCCAAGGCTGGATCTGGCACCTCGAATGAGAGTGGTGCTACCGAAAAGGCAGTCAGTGCAGCATCTTTGAAAAAACCTTTTAAAGGAGCCACAGTGGTATCTGCAAAGATAAACTCTGCTACACGAGATATGGTGTGTTATTTTAAATTCTGTGTTGTGTGTAGGGGAAAGTTGAGAGTGTTTTTGGAATGGGTTTGATGTTCAATCCGAGTGTTGTGGTTTACATCTTGGGTCAAGGAGTGCATTTTATTTCCTGGACTAACACGATTTGTCAAACGTTTCTCATGTGATAATTAAACTAAATTTAGCCGACAGCGCCATTAGCCGATAAATCTGCTTCAAAAGAAGTACCGGTACTTGGTCCTAATGGCAGCACCACTCTATTGGTTCAGCAGCAGATTGGATTTCTTCTTCAGAAAAAGCGTGCAGCTGCTGTCATATATCCTAATGACACGTCCGCTTCTCAGCAAATCCAAGTGCTCGAGCAGGTAAATTTAATTTAAGCGATTTTAAACCCTGTGTACTGCTGGATAGCTAACTATTTTAACTACAGCTATTGAATGTCATTTTGACCACGCAACTTGATCCGCAAACAATCAATCAAATTACCTTGCAGATCCAGAGCATGATGACTGCACCAACTCCTCCCGTGTCAAGTGCTCCCGATCTAAACCCTTCTAATGTACCACCTTCCTTGTCTGCCCCAGTCGCAATACCTCGAGTCAGTACTCCACTAATAAACACACCTGCTGCTGGAGCATTCGTGGCTACTTCTTTTCAACCCGCACCTGTATATACCTCACATTCTGGACCCGCTTTTGTACCTTCTATTGTAAGACCTCCACAGAGGGTGCAATCGGATAGTTTGCAGGCTCTACCACAAATCGATCTTGCAATGCTATCGCAGTTGGTAACGAGCAGCGGTTTATCAGCGAATTTAAATACCGCTGCACTAAATTTGCCACGCGGAGCTGGCATCCCATCTTCGTTGCTGTCTGCACAAACTTCCGGCTTCACCTCAAAAAACATTTTTCCTTCTCAGTTTCCTTCCACGAGTAGTGGAGCATTTGTCCGTCCTCCCATCTCTACACATATTCTCCAACCGCTTCCACAAAATCTACCCTCCGTGCCTTTGGCTTTTTCAGGACTGACTCTTCCTACCAAGCCCACTCTCAAAGTTACATTGGCACACAAGGATATTCAATGTGTGCATCCAAATGCTGTTTACAGTTTATACGATGGACTGCCGTTACAATGCAAGCAATGTGCTCTAAGGTATGCCAAGTTGCCCAATGGCGATCAGCGCATGGCAGCACACCTAGATTGGCATTTTAGACAAAATAGGAGATTGAGAGAAAGCAGCAAGCGTACCATATCAAGAGATTGGTATACTAGTGTTGATGGATGGGTTGATGAGCGTTATGGCCAAGAGCAAGATACGCAAGGTACATTCTATAGACGATCATGCTTTTTATTAATTTCATGTTGGACAAGTATTTTTACTAACATCACTTTTTCATTTGGTGTATAATTTAAACTCTATTTTTGAACATGTCACAATTTCATCTAAAAACAAATATCAAATCATACTGTTTAATTACAAACTTGTTTTTTGGTTTCAATAGCTATTGTATCTGTATTTGGGGAAGTTGATTCTGGTAAAAAATCACCTACACAAGCTGTAGTGCCCACACTTTCAGCAGATGGATTTCAAGATCCAAAATGTGTTGTGTGTTGTGAACCTTTTGAAAAGTTTTTTGATCAAGATGGTGATATGTGGATGCTTCGTAATGCTGTTTTAGTAGATGAAAAGGTGGGATTGCTTTATTTTGTAAACATGCTTGTCATTCAAGACAACACATCTAATAGGTGATGGTTCAAATTTCTAACTGGTGTAATGCATTTGAATGTTAATTTAGCTTTACCACCAAGAGTGTCTAGACCAAGAAACTACTTTTACTTTGAATGCTGGTTCAAAACGCAAGGCAGATGATGAAACTGATACCAAAGCAGCAAATGCTTTGACAGAAAACTTTAAAAAGTCCAAGGTGTGAGCCAGTGTATGAACCCAACATACAACATCTGCGCTATTATGTCTGATAAGTTTTAAAATAAATTCACCGTCACATCTTATAGCCAGCTTGTCACATAGAGTTGGGTTCAGAGTTGGATAAAAATAAGCCAAGAATTGGCCAAATATTTCTGTCCATTTCTGCCGGTTTTTCCAACAGAAATCTACATTTTGATTAGCAGTGAAACCAGACTACAATGATGGCAGCACGGACAGTTTACAGGGCATCAGCCTTGTTGAACAGAGCAACAGCATTGCGTCCTGTATCTACTCCATTAACACTGAGATGCATTTCCTCTACCTCTACTACTCATGGCGGACATGCTATTGCCAAACATGACCACCACGACCATCATGATGATCATCATGGTCACCATGAACAGTTTAATGAGCCTGGAGGTCCTTTGTTTGGACACAAGGTAACGAGAATTGTTTGGATTCTGCTTGCATGGATATGTAGGCTACAGAACAGTTTTCATCAGTCTTTCAAGCTATCAATGCTTTGGTTTATATCGCCTGGCAATCGAAACTATCAATTCGACTTACAGACATATTCATGTAAAATGGAACTCTTGTATTTATCTTGCAACCTATCTTTGTTTCTCTTAATATAATGGTGTATCCATTTGTCTTCCTATCAAGAGTTGACTTTGAATAGACAACATCCATGATACAAAAGTCAAACTATAGTTTTGTACTGAATAATCTCCTTTTTGGCATATCCATGCATTGTACGATCATCAGACTCATCCATTGCAATTCAAATGTTGAGTTTGACTGTTTTGATGTCGTCAATACAATTGATATATGTTGTATTGTCAAAACTCGGATACGCTCGCGTTCTAGTTTGAGAACAATGATTGCATATCTCGGAAATGCAATGGTTGTTTCCATACTGATCATCAAAAAAATGCCAGTCAACTTGACAAAGTTTACATGACACAATGCTGTCCAGTAGATTTTACGATACTGGCTATTTTTCATGCACTGTGGTATTATTATATTCCATTTTACGTGAATACGACTGTAAAATGATTCCATGTATCCCGAGTGGCTTGAACTATGCTCAGCAATCACGTAGCTTTTCTACCTCAATCTGTCTGATTTATACAAAGCCAACACGTCCAACTCTTACCAATACTTGATGTCAAATATTTTTTGGTTCAATACAATTTTGTAGAAGGGACGCAGACTCTACTGGTGGGAGCCTTCTATCTACATGGGTATCTACGGTAGCATTGCGCTGTTTGCACTTGCTTGCTACATTCGTCCCAGAGTTAGGCAAGTGTCTTTTATTCTCAATCTATACTTGCAGACTTGAATTTTATTGGCAATCTACTCAATTATAGAGTTGCGTACTGTCAAATTCAATTTGATACAGCTTTTTAATACAGTCTGCGACTCCAATGACTAATACTATGTTTTTTGCCTATTTTTGACTTGAATACTGAATGTCAGTCCAATGGAGGTTGCTCGTGTCGAGGCAATTCGGCGTATGGCTGAGCGAGGAGAGAAATTCGACTATCCACTACCGCCGCATTATACTGAGAAATAGGCCGACACAACCTAATTCTTGAAACCGAATTGGCAGTTAAAATCTCGACACATTGTGTCTCAAATGAAGCTATAAATGACTTTGATTCTCCATTATTTTCTGATGCTCAATAATATGAAAACATATAGGACGATTATTTTTAATGATGCTAAATGCCTGGAGTGGATATAAAAGCACTCGATTTTGAAAATATGATTATGGACAAGGTTCGATATCGTCTACTTTGAATATCTCATCATACGCGGCAACGCTGGGATCGCCATCTTCAAACCGAACAGCAACACCAGTCTATTGAAGCAATTATTTGAAATAAATGATTAGTAAAATACGTTTAAATTGCCAAATGAAAATCATGGCGTTATGTATGCATCAGATCAATGCAACTCACCTTGAGAACGCGAACCACTTCTGCTGGATAAAACTCTGTTGTTTGTTCCTCATCACTGTCGTCATTATCTCGAAACAATGAATATACCCGATCACCAACAACATAAGAACGTTTTTCCTTGGCTAGTCCTTTGAAATCGACAATTTTATGTTCCAGCACGTCCCAAGCAGTCTGATCACAATCTGAATCTGGATCTGGATCCACAACATGATATCTTTGAGTAGCAGGATCAAATGAATCAATGACAACCTGATAACACGATTCCTTGGGTGTAGAGTTGGTGCTACTATGCCCTTCCTCTGTATCACTTTCTTCCTCTTCTACCAACACAAATGCTGCTACAACTGAGCCAATGCGATACTTTCCTTTACGTTCGCTATTCAGTCGTTTTGAATTAGGTTTGCTACGTGAATCTGCGCTTGTGGTATGTTCTTTTTTTGATGGTTGAGCTGTATTATCAGAAGAGTCTATTGTGGTTTGGGTTAAGGATTTGACTGTGGCTTTACCTTGAAGTGGTTTGGATAGACCAATGTCTTTTGCATCAGCATCACTAGAGCCGTCATCTCCAGTCTGGCTATGATCCAAAATAGTTCCACGAAAAGAATCTTGATCACAATCTTTGCCAATGGATTGGTGGTTGCCATGTGATGTTGAAGGCGAGTTGGATTGAACATCTTCACGTAGTGTTGACCGTCGTGGCCGCTTCACAGACAATTCTTTGGAAGAATCTATAGTGTCACTGACAATTCGCTTTTTTGCTGAATTATCATTAACAGTTGAAGAGAGTATCATACTATTTGGCCCTACTTCATCGAGCTGTGTTTTGTGTGTGGATTCGGTCATAGGAGTATCGTCACTCAAGTTTTCAGTAGTAGATTGATTTTTATCAAACTGGCTGTTACTTTCTTGCATATCTTTACAATCGTGCAAATATACATCACTTTTATCTTCATGATGGTCTGTTGTTTGGATGTTGGAAGGCGCATAGGATTCTGACTGGGAATGAGACGGATTATTTTCAACTAAAGATGTAGTTACAGCAGATTTTAGATCATCCGGCAGTGTAGCACTGGCTGTGTTTTCTGTGGAGGACTCGCTCAATTCTCCAACCTCATGTTCTGAATCCATCTTGCTTTGTTTGGAAAGTTCGTCAGTTGTAAGCAACTCAGTTGGCTCATTGGTGGTCTTTTGTGTGTGCGGTTCAAGACCTGTAAGGATATTAGTGGATTGATTGAGACGATCTCCATCAGTTATTTTTGATGCATTTTCTAATGGATTTGAAGCAAAAGGTATCAACTTGCTAACCGGCAGGACAGTTGATTTAGAATCTACTATTGGTTCGGAAGCCATTGCTTTGTTTTCCATTTCCTCCTTTGCAGCTATATGATAGATATCCGGTCAGGGTTTAGTCAGTTATACATGAGCAAGCATCTAATTGGTGCTCAAGATTGAGCACGACTTGAACTTATACCTTGGCGAGCATCATTGCGGATTTTGTCCAATACTCTATAGACTCCGTTTCGAATACGTCGTCGATTGTCCTCGGATGCCAAGTGACTATTGATTGCCTGTGGAAGTTGATCCAGAATAGGGGATCTAAACAGCCCGCATCGTATTGAATAGATTATACATTATGAGGATTAGTTTCAGAATAAGCCGATTATATCTCGTTCCCATATGACTGGCTTAATCCAGATACTGAATAGCCTTGAAACTGGAAGATATCCAACACATACTTATTCAGTACAGATAGCAAGTGAGCCTGCATGCCAACATTTCCAGAAAGTGCATCCTCGGTAGAAGGAAACAGCTTGGTTTGGTCCATCACCCTGTTCGCTTGTGTCTTTAGATAAGCGTCGAGTTGATCAGCAAGGTGCTTTCCTTGTGCACTAACTTGGAAGTCTTCCAAAAGGGATTTTCGTAGAGCATCAAAGTGACCGCCTCTTTTAAATCCATCAATAAGTCCTTCAGACGTAGGTGGCTGGAATAGATCAGGTAGTCGCTGGACAGTAGTTGCTGCTCGAGACTGAGAGCCGTTTACATATGGCCGTAAACTACTGTTTGAATTATGATTGGCTGGTGGGTTAGTGTATCCTCGGAAAGAAGTACTAGAATACGGCTTGTAAGATGGGGGCGGAGAGCCTGATTTACGAGGATGTCCTCGATGATTGCTCATTACTGGAACCTGTTGTTTGATTCGGCTTACTGAAATGTTCAAAGTTTGGACTGAAATTCGTCTAAACTTCCAAAAGCATCAACTTGCATTCCTGGAATGTGCAATTGTGAATTAGAACGCATCTGATATTCAAATCAAGAGTTGCTTGAACACCAAACAGTCGATCCAATGTCTGCATCACAATCAATCTGCTGATTCTACAATCCAAAAAGTAGGCAATCTCAGTCCATTATATTTGGATTGTGGGCATTGTGTTTATTGAAAATGTCCAAAAAACAATCTAATAGATTTTTAATAGAAAAACAATGAATATTTAGCCACTGTTTATTCCAAATGAATGCAGAAAAGTATTCTTTTCGTAGATACGGCTGTAGACGATGCGTGTTGAGGTATTTCTTGTGAGTTTTTTTAGTTTTTTTGTGTCAAGGACACTAGAAAAAATGAAGATGGAATTGTTTTACTTGCGGGGAAGAGCTGGAACTTTGGAGGACTTGGTGCTAGTGTGTTTTTGATCAGAGGCCATTTTGTTGGTTGGAGCTTGAGTCTTGTCATTCTTTGATTCGCCTTTTTTAGATTGAGCAGATTGTGGTTTAGCCTGAGCAGATTGTGGTTTAGCCTGAGCAGATTGTGGTTTAGCTTGAGCAGATTGTGGTTTAGCTTGAGCAGATTGTGGTTTAGCCTGAGCTTGAGCAGCCTTTGCCTGAGCAGGCGCGGGAGTTGCAGGTTTAGCTTGAGCAGATTGTGGTTTTGCCTGGGCAGGTGCGGGAGTTGCAGGTTTAGCCTGAGCAGATTGTGGTTTAGCCTGAGCTTGAGCAGCCTTTGCCTGAGCAGATTGTGGTTTAGCTTGAGCAGATTGTGGTTTAGCCTGAGCAGATTGTGGTTTAGCCTGAGCTTGAGCAGCCTTTGCCTGAGCAGGCGCGGGAGTTGCAGGTTTAGCTTGAGCAGATTGTGGTTTAGCTTGAGTCTGAGCAGCCTTTGCCTGAGCAGGTGCGGGAGTTGCAGCCTTTGCCTGAGCAGATTGTGGTTTAGCCTGAGCTTGAGCAGCCTTTGCCTGAGCAGGCGCGGGAGTTGCAGGTTTAGCTTGAGCAGATTGTGGTTTAGCCTGAGCAGATTGTGGTTTAGCCTGAGCTTGAGCAGCCTTTGCCTGAGCAGGCGCGGGAGTTGCAGGTTTAGCCTGAGCAGATTGTGGTTTAGCCTGAGCTTGAGCAGCCTTTGCCTGAGCAGGCGCGGGAGTTGCAGGTTTAGCTTGAGCAGATTGTGGTTTAGCTTGAGTCTGAGCAGCCTTTGCCTGAGCAGGTGCGGGAGTTGCAGCCTTTGCCTGAGCAGGTGCGGGAGTTGCAGCCTTTGCCTGAGCAGATTGTGGTTTAGCCTGAGCTTGAGCAGCCTTTGCCTGGGCAGGTGCGGGAGTTGCAGGTTTAGCCTGAACAGATTGTGGTTTAGCCTGAGCTTGAGCAGCCTTTGCCTGAGCAGGCGCGGGAGTTGCAGGTTTAGCTTGAGCAGATTGTGGTTTAGCTTGGGCCTGAGCAGCCTTTGCCTGGGCAGATTGTGGTTTTGCCTGAGCAGCCTTTGTCTGGGCAGGCTTAGATTGGGTGGGAGTTTTTGAGCTAACTAATATCTGGGCATATGAGAACGTACCAGAAAGTGCGGTATTTGCATCTTTTACTGGAGCAGGTTTAGCTTGAGCAGGTATGTTCTTTGCATTTGCGGATTGTGGCTTTGCATGTCCAGACGCGTTTTTGATCTGCGCTGGTTGAGCAATATGCTGGTTTGCCTTTGGTGCGGCCTGAGTTGACTTGATAGACGCATTGGAAGTATGAGTAGTTTCGTCAAAAAGAAAGTGGATACATGACAGAGTTTCGTCATATTGAGCACTCATGTGAATGTCGGGAAGATGGGTTTGAGTTTTAGACTGCACAGAGGTTGCCTTTGCATGATTGACCTGTGGTTTAGCCTGAGCCTGAGCAGGTTTTGCCTGAGCAGATTGTGGTTTAGCCTGAGTCTGAGCAGCCTTTGCCTGGGCAGGCGCGGGAGTTGCAGGTTTAGCTTGAGCAGATTGTGGTTTAGCCTGAATCTGAGCAGCCTTTGCCTGGGCAGGCGCGGGAGTTGCAGCCTTTGCCTGAGCAGATTGTGGTTTAGCTTGAGCCTGAGCAGCCTTTGCCTGAGCAGGCGCGGGAGTTGCAGGTTTAGCTTGAGCAGATTGTGGTTTAGCCTGAGTCTGAGCAGCCTTTGCCTGGGCAGGCGCGGGAGTTGCAGGTTTAGCTTGAGCAGATTGTGGTTTAGCCTGAGTCTGAGCAGCCTTTGCCTGGGCAGGCGCGGGAGTTGCAGCCTTTGCCTGGGCAGCCTTTTCCTGAGCAGGTGCGGGAGTTGCAGGTTTTGCCTGAGCAGATTGTGGTTTAGCCTGAGTCTCGGCCTTTTTAGGTTGAGCTGCAGCGGCTTGTTTTATCTCAGATTTTGCATTTTGAGAGCTAGCAGTACTGCTTTTGCAAGTGTTTGCCTGGGCTCCATTAGGTGCGCAGATATCTCCGAAAATTCCGGCAAGAGCAAATGCTTCGGAATTTTCCCAAACATCGACATTGTGGTTGTGCGCTGGTATATAGTGAATTGAAAAAAGTTAGCATTGTAGGACTAATTAAACAAAATCTAATTGCGATATTCAAATATTATAACATACAAGTGTGATGAGAAGTAGCCTTTGCCTGAGCAAATTGTGGTTTAGCCTGAGCAGATTGTGGTTTAGCTTGAGTCTGAGCAGCCTTTGCCTGGGCAGGCGCGGGAGTTGCAGGTTTAGCCTGAGCAGATTGTGGTTTAGCCTGAGCCTGAGCAGATTGTGGTTTAGCTTGGGCCTGAGCAGCCTTTGCCTGGGCAGGCGCGGGAGTTGCAGGTTTTGCCTGAGCAGATTGTGGTTTAGCCTGAGTCTGAGCAGCCTTTGCCTGAGCAGGCGCGGGAGTTGCAGGTTTAGCTTGAGCAGATTGTGGTTTAGCCTGAGTCTGAGCAGATTGTGGTTTAGCTTGAGTCTGAGCAGCCTTTGCCTGAGCAGGTGCGGGAGTTGCAGGTTTTGCCTGAGCAGATTGTGGTTTAGCCTGAGTCTGAGCAGATTGTGGTTTAGCTTGAGTCTGAGCAGCCTTTGCCTGAGCAGGCGCGGGAGTTGCAGGTTTAGCTTGAGCAGATTGTGGTTTAGCTTGAGTCTGAGCAGCCTTTGCCTGAGCAGGCGCGGGAGTAGCAGGTTTTGCCTGAGCAGGCGCGGGAGTAGCAGGTTTTGCCTGAGCAGATTGTGGTTTAGCCTGAGTCTGAGCAGATTGTGGTTTAGCTTGAGCCTGAGCAGCCTTTGCCTGAGCAGGCGCGGGAGTTGCAGGTTTAGCTTGAGCAGATTGTGGTTTAGCCTGAGCCTGAGCAGATTGTGGTTTAGCTTGAGCCTGAGCAGCCTTTGCCTGAGCAGGCGCGGGAGTTGCAGGTTTAGATTGGACTGGAGTATCTTTGGCCTGTATGGGCTGTGATTTTATCTGGGAAAAACTTTTGGGTTGAGACTAGTTTCATATATACACATGGTGAGACTCACAATCGTATTAACAATATACAGTCGTATTCACGTAAAATGGAATATAATAATACCACAGTGCATGAGAAACAGCCAGTATCGTAAAATCTACTGGACAGCATTGTGTCATGTAAACTTTGTCAAGTTGACTGGCATTTTTTTGATGATCAGTATGGAAACAACCATTGCATTTCCGAGATATGCAATCATTGTTCTCAAACTAGAACGCGAGCGTATCCGAGTTTTGACAATACAACATATATCAATTGTATTGACGACATCAAAACAGTCAAACTCAACATTTGAATTGCAATGGATGAGTCTGATGATCGTACAATGCATGGATATGCCAAAAAGGAGATTATTCAGTACAAAACTATAGTTTGACTTTTGTATCATGGATGTTGTCTATTCAAAGTCAACTCTTGATAGGAAGACAAATGGATACACCATTATATTAAGAGAAACAAAGATAGGTTGCAAGATAAATACAAGAGTTCCATTTTACATGAATATGTCTGTAAAAGACGCGTCGTCAAAACCAACATAATCAGTAATGTTACGCTGATTACACACCTTTTCGGCTTCATTTTTAGGTGCTGGGCTGGCATTCTTGTTTGCAGGAGTTGCAGGTTTGCTTTGGGCAGGAGTAGGAGTCTGTTTGGGTTTGTCATTACTTTTAGTATTTTTATTTTTCGGAGCTTGATCCAGGTCTGAGCGAACAATTTCCCAGTCAGAAAGCTTTTGGGAGCTTTTTTGCGCTGGCTTTTGGGAATTTTTTGCTGCTTTGCTGGCAATTTCTATAGCTTGAGCCTATTTATTTTGTTTAGCAGACAACAGTATTTAGAAACAAAATGATTAGCAAGTCATTGCTCTTTTAGTGACATTTACAGCAGCTTTTTAGGCGATTGCAAGTACAAATGGTGCTACGATGAGCATATACCTTTGCATCGTGACTAGCAGAGCGAGAATCAGCAGAGGCGAGTTTGGTTTTGGAAATAGGCATGCTGAAGATTTAAAGGTATATAGCGGCGGGTAAGCAGCAAAGTGAAGATCAGCGTAGTGGGTATGAGAGACAGAGGCCGGTAAAGTAAAATGAACGTGGGACTAGAATGTGTTTATATATCCAAAAGTGCTAATACGATTTCCACATGATCATAAGATAAAATGGGTGGATATCTTTTGTGGCAATTGATGTATCCATGCAATTATCTGAACAAAAGTTCTACAGCCACTACTTTTCAAAGATCATACAATATCTTAATTGAGGCGCATAATAGCAAGGGGTGGGAACGTACTTTTGTATCTTTATTCATGTAAAATGCGATACTTTTGTATTTATCTTGGAGTCTATTTTGCTTTGGAATAAACAATGATTATGCTTTCCTACTAAAAGTTGACTACACTGCTTATTCGATAGACATTTTTAATTCAATAAACACAGCGTCCATCATATGATGCACACAGACAAACTATAGTTTTGTACTGTAACCATCTTTTTTGAATCTGCCCTTTCGTATCGCTGTTGTACTCTAATTTCGGATATGTTTGTGCTCTAGTTCAAGAAACCAATGATCGCATGTCTCAATAATGCAGCTGTTGTTTTCATATCAATCACTCAATATTTAAAGAAAAGCTAGATATTAAACAAGTGAGATTTACTGGAACTGTGATGTGAACGTTCAGTCGACATCCTATACAAAATGAGCAGAGAAAAACAAGTAAAACTTGTCAAGGAGTTTGTATAGCACAATACTATTCAGTGGATTTGATGAGTCATCATTTCATAAAACTGGCTGTTTATCGTGTATTATGGTGCTTTTTAGTGGTTCATTTTATGCGAATACGACAAAATCATAAAAAGCTACGGATAAAGACAAAATGAATGAGAACAGAGTAAACTATTTATTCATTCACGCGCAGAAATGGTATATTTTAGTCGATTGTAATCATTGACTTGTTACCAATCATACATGCACTCTTGTATACTGATAAAAATCGTTAAAAATATTCAAGACATTGCGCTTGATCATGAATGGAATATTTAAATGTATAGATTGAATAGTCAAGCATTGATGTGAGATGCCAATACAACTACAAACACATTCATTTCTTATTAGACAGCTTTGATTTACGGTTGGAAAAATGCTTTTGATGAGTAAATGCATCTTTGCCCATTTCACCTCGTTTTTCACGAGTCATTTTTTCAATATCGCCAGTATCGCTGTATCTAGAACGCTTTGATTGTTGCTCCTCTATAAACCTTTCTGTGCGCTTGTTACGTTTTCCCACTACTCCTTCTCCATATCGAGCTAAATCATCCACCTCCACGGCGTGATGAACTTCAGAAAGATCACGAAAGTCGGCATCCAAGTCTTGAAACTCATTTTGAAATCGCATGAGATGACCCTTTGTTTGCATAGTGCGCTCAATACGTTTGTCTTTTTTGCTGAGATTCAAACGAATAAAGTTTTCTTCTTCAAATTCTTCTCGCTCGCGCAACTTTTCGTCTTCCTTGGTGATAGTTGCACCTCGTGCACCATATCCAGTACCTTCAGCGTCCACCTCTTCTGGTCTGTCATCAAACTCTGTTTGAAGATCACCAAGCAGTCGTGATCTAGATGCCTTGTCCTTGAACTGCTGTGACAAACGCCCATGCTGAGCATGTGAACTATCGTCATATCGCATAGGAGCAACTCGTGGTGGTCTATATACACCACCCAATTCATCCTTGGATTGTTTACTTTGAGCATCTGTGAATGCATGAATATGTTGTAAACAAACAAAGGAGTAATATACAATTAGTATACTGCATTGATACTTTAGATGAAACACATTGTTAAAATATTACACATGTGGATAGTTGCAGTCATACCAGTTTTATCAGATGCACCAAGTAATGCGGATGGATTAGGCTTGAAACTAAGAGGATTTTTGATCATTGCATCATCGTCACCAAGATCATATGCCATTTTTTCACCATCCTCGTCCATAGCCGCCGCCTTTACAAGCTTATCTATCTGATATGCTAGTTTCTGCTCTAGTGGCTTTGTTTTTTCCAAAACAGTACGAAGTTCTATCAAACGATCAACAACCGGATGATTTTGAATAGAGCGACCATTTAATTTCAAAAGTGACAAGTAGCTTAGATTCGTAATGTAACTCAAAAGACTATGAACACGAACTTCAAGAAGACTGACTCCATGAGTGGTTTGAGTTTTGCCATTTTTAACACTAATCAACAAGTGAGAAAATATCGAAACTGGTGTAAGTTTTTTTGGTTTAAAAAATCAAAGTGTAAACAGTAACCGCCAAGACAACGTTAGTCTGCATTTGAAAATTCAGTAGCAACATACTTTTCAATCAACGGAGCAATACGAGATCGCACCTCGGAGATTTTGGCTTGAATTCCTTTTGCATGATTAACAAATATCCTAGCCTAGTATATAAATGCAGAATGTCAAGTCAGAAATACAGTGTTTACACAAACAAGTGTCCTGGTGAATCTCATTAAAATGTGCAACAGTAATATATGCATAGGTGGTCTCGCATACTGATATGAATCCAGAGTAAGGATTTACAGTATACTCAAATTGCATTACAAGTTTATATTCCGTGGAAAACCATCTGGCTCAACATGTGTTGAATTAATGAGCCAGAAAAGAAGACAAGAGTGAAGCTCGATAAGGAAACCAACCATATTGAGCAAAAACAGAGCCTCACTTTTATCAAGCCACGGATAAGCAATGAGATATTCAAGCATTACACTGGTTTATATTTGAAACAGGCGAGTGCATTTACTTGATCGATATCCTCAGTAGGTTGCGATGCCAGTCCAGACATGACTTTGAGATTAAATTCAAAAAATAAAAAAGATTTCCAGCAGCGGAAAACTCAACAACAATCACGTGGTGTGCGGTTGATCAAGTTTGATTTCAATTCTTTTTCTTGAGCAACGTAATCATCAGCATGTTGCGTAGTGTTGCTTCTCAATGCCATTCATATGGCACAAAAACTCTGTTGAATCGTTCCAAATCAGCCATGAATAGACCATTATTGTATCATTCTAGTGCCGTTTCATTCAAGGTAAAGCTAGATCCCTGCCTGACAAACTCTGCTCATTTCTTACTCTTGTGGATGTTTATGTCAATTAAATATATCCGATACTGATCGGTATTTCATACTGGTTGCTAAAATACTTTAGAGTCATATCACACAAGAACCTTTAAAAGATGGTGATTTTCACACTCATTCTGGTAAGCAGCCTACTCAGATTACCGAATTATCCAATGGTGTGCGAGTAGCTACACACAATTCTCTTGGACATTTTGTTTCTGCTGGTATCTATGTTGATGCTGGCAGCAAGTACGAGTCTTCAGAAAATGCCGGTGTAAGCCACATGCTTGATCGTATGGCATTCAAAGTAAGTTCTATACCAGTCAAAGGAATGCTCCTTTTGAAATTGCAAACCATGATCAACGCACGATCCTGACTCTAGTTGTGCATGCCTACATTAGAGTACGGAAAAGTACACCACTCCACAACTTATCAAAGAACTGGAGTCTCTTGGTGGAAATGTTATCGCGCATAGTTCTCGAGAAGGAATCATGTACCAGGCATCGGTATTTCGACATGATCTAGCTAAAATGATTGGAATTTATGGACAAATGGTACAGCGACCACTTTTTTCTGATACAGAATTAGAGGAAACAAAGGAAACTACTCGGTATGAACTTCGAGAGATTTCGCACAAAATGGATATGATCATGTCTGAAGTAGTTCATTCGATTGCTTTTCAGGAAAACTCGTTAGTTAATCAAACTGGCCCAGTTGTTGCAGATGCTACAAATATTCTACCTATTGCATCAAACACTCTTGGAAACCCTTTAATCGTTGACGAACAGTCTCTAGAGGCTTTGTCCAGCAAGACACTAAAGGATTTTCACCAAACCTGGTATACACCTGATCGCATTGTGGTTGCTGGTGTGGGAATGGATCACGGTCGCCTTGTGGATCTTGCTGAGCAAGCATTTGGCAACATGAAAATAGCTACTCCAGAAATCGCTGCTGCTCAGAAAAAACATACTCTTTCTCCTCGATATACTGGTGGTGTTCGTGTATGGGATACACGTATACTTCCACCATCACCCAATCCAGACGACATACCTTTTACTCATGTTCACTTGGCATTCGAATCCATGTCCATGACAGATCCCGACATCTATGCTCTTGCAACCCTGACATCCTTAATGGGTGGTGGTGGTTCGTTCTCTGCGGGAGGTCCAGGAAAAGGCATGTACACTCGTCTTTACACACAGGTACTTAACCGATGCGGCTGGGTCGATTCTTGCAATATGATGAACTATACTTATGCAGACACTGGGCTTTTAAGCATTCAAGCAGCCGTCATCCCTGATCGAGAAACACATCGCATTATTGTTCCTGTTTTGGCTGAGCAGTTGGTTAACATGACCCGCACTATTCACAACAGCGAGTTATCTAGAGCCAAAAACCAGCTCAAATCAAACCTGCTTATGAGTTTAGAATCCAAGATTGTTGAGCTGGAGGATGTGGGCCGGCAAGCACTTTCGCACAATCGACGACTTGATGTGTTGGAGATGTGCAAACGGATAGATATGCTTACTCAACAAGACTTGAATCGTGCTGCTCGTCGGGTGATTTTTGGTGAAGACATCACATCTCCGCTTGACTTTGGCGATCCTCTTGCCAAACACTGGCAGCGCAGTGGTGCCGGTGAGCCTACTGCCATTGTATATGGCCCATTGGTAGGTGCCGAAGATCCACTGTGCGAGCTTCCTGAGCTTATTTCCAAGTTTGGACTTGGACGCAAAACCGCATCTTCGTCTACAAGTAAATCATTATTTGGTAGTGAAAGACGAAGTTGGATGTCCAGTGCTCATTAAAACTATTACAGCCGTATTCACATGAAATGAAACACTTCTGTATTTATCTTGGATTGACTATTTTGGCTGGGAATACACAATCGTTAACTATTTGTTGTTATTGGAAATTGACTAATTTTTCTATAGGAGATCTCTTGTATCTTTATCAGATATGTTTGCAACCTAGTTCAAGAAAGCAAGAACGCGACTGTTGTTTTCATGTAGGTCACCCAGTATTTGGTTTATAGAAAAGTTGGAGATTAGATATACCAAGGATGTGAATGTAAACATTTGCTCTGCATTTCTGTGCAAGAATGGGCACGGAGGAGAAAGATCAGCCAATAATTATCAAGCGCATATTCACGACTTGGATGTTGTATAGTATATCCAATATTTATTTTTGGATTCACCCTTGTCTAGAATAACTTGGATATACAAAGCAATTGGCTAATCTTGAATCAGGTTGGTCTGCAAAGCTACAGTTTAAACAGTGCTTCCACGTCTGCAAGAATATGCTTATCATCCTTGATCCACTTGGTACACATATTCAAATACATTAATCGTGAAAGATCAACAGGCGAGGTTGCTGAATACATAGCTTTGCTTTTGATTGCATACTCAACTGCGTCGTGTACTGACCGGGATGGTGGGATGATGTTTCTATAATATTGAACCAACATTTAACCCATGTGTTGACAAGTATCAATCTACATATTAAACTTGACAACTAAAAGCAACGAGTGCATCTCGCTCACCTTGACGCGCAGTTATTGGACTGGAGTTGCTCAATACAAGATATTATGCCAGCTCCAATTGCCTCAAGTTCAGTTGCTGTCCAAGGCTCTGATGATGCAACACATCTGCAAAATGTATTGAACTGCAGTTTGATTTTCCCCAGCAAGTATTCCAGCATCTCTGTATTTATGTATTAGATGATGAGCAACTGGATTGAGTTGGCATGATTTCTGGTGAACTTGAGGAAACATGTAATGATAGTTTGATATCATATATTTTTAAGCAATCAGTGCAAATCCTACCATGATATATAAAGCATACTCTCAAAGCAGCTTTGAATATGCTTGATGGAACAATTGTATTATCTAAAGCACGTTGGATAGTTTATAAATTGCGTAATGCGCTAGTATTTTGATATTACATGTATAAAACATACTTGATATTTCCAAAGGTTGTATTTCCAATATATGGTAAACAATATCTCTGGTACTTTCTATAATGCTCAATGGAAAGTCTGGACAAATCAACTCTGCAAGCTGGTGCAATTCGGTGATTGAATATTTACCATCTGTCATTCAAAATAGTCATTGGTTGTAATTCTATCCAGCCATTACAAAAAGTAGATGTGTTAGACCAACCTTGATGCAATGCTTGAGAGTATTTTGACATGAATGCCGCTCGATTATGAAGCGATCCCTGTACATATTCAAATTCGCGACCAATTATATTTTGTCCACGGCGGACAGTATCGAAGCTTAAAACAACCATAGTTTATCCTGTCAGTATAGCATATAGTGTTCAACAGTTTAGATTCAACACAAATACTTGCTAGTTATGAAGAAACAACAGCTGATTGTCTGTTTTGGAATCAAGCATCAAGCACACAGCATCCTGGATTGTAATTCACAATAATACTCGATGAGTAGATACTATCCATGGCATCATCCCGTATAAAAACACATAATATACACCATCAGTGACTACCTCCATATAAAAGCGAATTCGATGTTTTTCTAAAAATCGATATTTTGCATGGTTAGTTTTAATGAGTTGATAGGATTCCAACCGCGTATTCAGATGTAACCAGCCAGCTACATCATACCCAAGTAATCATAAGAGCCTGGTGCAGGGAAAAATGAACATACTCCAATGCTTTGTGCATTGAATGCATTGTCAGTGGTAGATGTTTGCTTTGAAACTATGCTTTCTTTCAAGTTTTGAAAATCAACTCCATGTGCTGAACTAGACGAGTCTTGAGCCAGCACAGTTTGTTTTTTAAAATACGTATTCATCTGAATATTAGAGAATAGTGCAAGTAATGAATAGATTCAAGCGCATGAGCTAAACTTGAGGCAGGCATTGGCTGGCAGTGCCAGATTTCCTGAGGACAGGTATGCAGTTTTGGCTGCAAACTTTGTCAATGAACTTGGCCAGACAACAACTTCGATGGACGCAGCGCTGAGTGCGATTGCGACCACATGTCCTTCAGACCAACGTCCCGCAAAGTACAAGGAACAGCTGGATTCTCTTTTAAACCTAAAGTCAGCTTCAGATGTATTTGAGCAGTCTCGGGTATTTATTCTCCATGCTGTTCAGGACTCTATTGGTCTTGTTTTGTCCAGACAGCTGCTTCAAGATTTTACCTCTTTGTTCTTGACATGGAGCAAGGAAAATCCAGACAAAGAGAGTGTCAAGAGTATATGGCAGTTTATGCTTGAGCGTATGGCCTCGAGAGCCGTTGCTTTTGAGGAGCAGGTATGCTAAAGATGAGATCGTGTATTGATATATACAATGGCAGTATCCAGTATAGCGTTGCTTGTCATTTCCCTCTATCCACTACATCACTACTTGAAATGAGCAAGTTGATCAGCATGGTTACACTATTAAAATATAGCTGTTTAGTGCTTTTTAAAAGGTTGCTCAGACCCTTGCATCTTGATTGCTAGTATTTCTACCCATCTAGATCCAAGTAATGTTGTGTCGGATTCAATAGATTCGAGTATAAAAATCTAATATGATTATCTACTGATAGATTGCTCAAGTACGTGAAAATCTGGCAGATCTTTTCGAGGCAGAAGAAGAATGGACACTTGCTGCCAGAGTACTCCAAGAAATCTCGATGGATTCTGGGCATCGTACCATTACACAGGACTACAAACTAAGAATTTATATTCACATTGTACGCCTGTTTTTAGAGGATGAAGATGCAGTTTCTGCCGAAGCTTATTTGAATCGAGCTGCACTACTTTTCCCGGACTCGCAAGACAAGGTAATGCAACTTCAATTCAAAGCATGCCAAGCACGCATGTTGGATTTTCGTCGATCGTTTTTACAAGCCGCATCCAAATACCTTGAACTCTCGTATATCGTTGATCTGCATGATTCTGAGCGAATCAATGCCTTGATACAGGCAGTAACATGCACGGTTTTGGCTGGTGCTGGTCCGCAGCGCACTCGTATGCTTGCTGCTCTATATAAAGACGAGCGAGTTCGAGAACGTCCAGAACTTAAAGAATCTGGTGTTTTTGCTATTCTTCAAAAAATGTATCTTGGTCGTGTTCTTCGATCATCCGAAGTTTCTGAATTTGCTGCCACACTCAAACCCCATCAATTGGCCAAGTTGGGAGATGATACCACCACTGTTCTTGATCGTGCTGTTATTGAACACAATCTACTGAGTGCTAGTCAGCTATACAACAACATTACGTTTGAGGAATTGGGTGGACTATTAGCAATTTCTGCTGAACAGGCCGAACAAGTTGCAACCAAAATGATGGAGGAAAATCGGCTTATTGGAACTATAGATCAAATTGATCGACTAATATATTTTACTCCTTCGCATGTGTTGCCAACTTGGGATACTCATATATCAGGCGTTTGTTACCAACTGGATGCCATTATTGATGGATTGAAAGAACATCATCCTGAATGGGCTACCAAGGCACTGGCATAATACTATTGGACTCGCATTATTGACTAATAAAGCAATGCTTTGACTTTTTGCAACGGTGAATATGTGGCATAAATCTTGGGCTTACAAGATTTTGGTTAGGATTCAAATTCAAGAGACGGGATCGAATCCAGTCGGATTTAAAACCACCATCAAAACATGAAAATCAAGTTTTATTTAATCAGAATATCTAGAAAATCACACGCCATGACGGATTCTGTATTCCACAAGATCTTTGATTGTAATCATTTTCAGTGAGAATCTGGAAGCAAAAACACGTAAATCGTCTCTGCGAGCCATTTTGCCATCATCCAATACAATTTCGCAAATAGCAGCCACGGGCTGTTTTTTTGTCAGTCGGCACAGGTCTACAGCAGCTTCAGTGTGTCCAACACGTTTTAAAACACCTTCTGGCACAGCACGTAATGGGAATACATGTCCAGGTCGTGAGAATTCAAACGGGCTAGCAGATGGATTCGCCATGTTTTGAATAGTCAAAGATCGATCTGCAGCAGAGATTCCCGTAGTAACACCATGCAAAGCGTCGGTGGATACCGTATAGGCAGTTCTAAGAGACTCGTTGTTGTTTTCAACCATAAGAGGGAGTTTTAAGCGATCTAAAACTTCACCAGTAGCTGGTGCACAAATCAAACCACTCGTGTATCGAATCATAAATGCTGCTTTTTCAGGTGTAAAATCTTCTCCAGCAATGATCAAATCACCTTCGTTTTCGCGATCTTCATTATCAACAACAACAAGGAATTCACCCTGACCTGAACGTATACAAACATTTTAGTTTTGGATTTTAAAAACACGACACAATAGTATTTAAACAGGCTTACGAAATGATTCAAGAGCAGACTCAATCGAGTCGAATTCGCCGCGTGCCAAACCATTGGCTGTTGCTGAAGCAGAGTCGAGAGCTTGAGGAATAGTTTCATTTCTATAGTAGTTTGAAAGTCGAGCAACCTTGTGTATATTCATAAACTCGTCATCTGCATATACCAATTGTCCATTTTTGAAAACAGCGGCTATCTCTGGTCCACAAGACGATTCGCGCAACAAAGATCCCAGAACATCTATGCATGTATATAGAATTTACTAAAATGCCATGACTGCCCACTACAAAATGAATTATAGCGGCTACACAAACACATGTCAAAATATACCTTTCCAGTGGAGTGGGGTTCTAACAAAAACAATATCTGCTGGTGAGCCCGTCTCAATTATACCACGATCTGGTACAAAAAGTGCATCAGCTGCAGCTGTAGTGATCTTTTGAATAAGCGATACTGCATTCAGACTAGATATATATTGGCAGCAATCTAAATAAGTAATAGACACAAAATTCTTGACAGTTGCAATTGAATGATAAACCAACACACCTAGTTGGCAAGTTGCTCGAGTTTTGGCAGACAAGTGGCCAAATATCCATTGTTCCTGTAAGTGCATTTCCAGTTGCAATCAAAGAGCCTAAAATTTGAATGCAAGGTCAGCCATATAATAAAATCAATGCATTCAGTAAAAACCAAGATTCTAGTCAATTCATAAAGCTTGCCTAATGGAGCAGAAAATTCTGATTTGATGTCAGCAGTAGTTACAGCAATCTTGCAAACAGGTGTTCCAGCTACAACTACAAGCCACTGTCCTTCTGATCGATCGATGGCCACATTTGGCAAAAGATTGCTTAGATTGGATTGACATGAGTCTAGCAAAGGAGTGTATAAATTGGACTGGCCAACACTGTTGGATAGAATGATCAAAACACTACTTAGTTTTTGATCGTTTGCTAAACTCGACTTTGCATAGCTGGACAGGTTTTCATGATCCATCAGCACAACAAGAGTGGTGAATCCTCGTCGTACCAATTTTCTTGTCAGACTTTCCAGAGCAGACATCATATTCTAAACAACCAGAATTATTATGCAACATTAAAACACTTGTGATGAGTGCATCTCAGTTGGGTCAATAGTCAAAATCGTACCAGCTGTTTAGCATCGTAATAAGCCGAAAGGCTCGAGTCATTAGCAAACAATGCTGAAACGGATGGAACATGGATAGCAGGATTGATTAGTCCTGGCATGGCCAAAAGACTATTGGATGGAGTGATTTGAATGGTCGTAGCAAGGTCGTTGCTGGGTGCTGCGATGGCAATTTGGCCATTGTGTTGAATAGTTAGCGATGTATTCTTGACAAGATCCAATTGACGGCCTTTCAAATAACTGATCCCAGTCAGCACAGTAGATGATGCAGTACTGGGCAGCAAGGCTTCCATAAATGCCATTCGTATACCAACCAGACAAGTAATGAATCAGCTCAAGAAAATTCAAATTTATCAAATATTATAATTCATTATTTTCTTGATTGCATTAATGGCTCTGCATGTGGTTTGAAACTTTAGAATTCAACATTCTTGGTGGTTCAAATATTTCGTGCTCTAACAATCTATTGCTAACCAGAATCAATTTCCAATTAAATTCGATTCATTTAAACAAAATCTTACGGCGCAGACTTTTCATCCCTATAGTCTTCGTCAAGACTTTTATGAAGTGGCAAAGTTACCGAAGTATCCTTTAGGGTAGATGATAATTCTGCAGACTGCTGCATCTTGGCAAGACTATATACAATCCCGCCAGTAAAAGCTATCAAAAGTTATACGAGTCAGTTTAAACGCATATTTGCAATAATCCGGTGGAAACTAAAACTTACCAAACAAAACACCCATGATACTTGCAAAGTTGACAACCGCATCAAAAAAGATCATTCCTGCAACGGCAATGGGCAACTTGTTAAGAGCCCCAGCCATACTAGTAGAAACAACATTATTTCAAATGTAACAAGTAAGCATCTTGAATAAAATAGCGTATTCCAATTCTTCAAAGCAAGCACAAACGTAGTGGAAATACCTGTATGTTGTTGAAGATGTAACTCGTACACACCACGACGTACTGTAACTGATTCCAAATGCAGACACACTACTCACGAGAATTCCAATCGAAAGACCATAAAACTCGGAAGAGTATAGATCACTTGTAGAGCCATAGTAGCGATCGTAAAGACGCAGTGCTTCTGGCATTTCATTGATGATTGACATGATCAATAGCGTTGGAATGGACAGTAGATCTATTAAAATACACTGTTAGCATGAATCGTGCAGTGAATACATTTTCAGTATAAAAATATATCGACCAATGCCCAGACATACTATTGTAGAAAACGGTATCAAAGTCCTTGAAGCCGCTCGCCTTGAGTTTTCCCTTCATGAAAAGTGTAAATGAACAGGTCGCTATACAGTTGGAAAACATCCAGCCATACGCAACAACAATATTGGCTTGATTGTCCTTTAATAAATGGCCGGCAGTGATATCAGCCCAGCCAGCTATAATGGACGAGGCCACAATAAGCGAAAACGAGACCAACATCAGATGAGTGACTGCCGCGCCTTTGAGAATTATTCGCTCCGCATATGCAGTAATGATAATCGTCAGATTCTTGAAAATAGTAAAGACTGGAATGGACAGAAATTGAAGTGACTTGGATCCAGTATAAATCATGAGCACCAGCGACAACGACACGATAAACCAGTTCTTGGCCTCACTTGTGCGGAAGGGTCGGTGCGTGAGCAAGCCCAATCCTACGGATATCTCTAATAAAGCCACTGTGATGATGGACTAAATACTCATTACAAATACAATGGATTAGATTAGGACAGTTGAGCCAATATTAAAGCATAGCTATAACTAGAGAGCTGAGAATAAATACATGTATACATGAACATGCAAAAGAGCAGGTTCATGGTATGAATGTGCATCCATAATAAAACGACATGATGAACGAGTGGGCCAATACCCAGCATCAATAAATCATTACTATCAGCCTTGAAAAATTCAATATCAACATACCTGGATAGCCAGCAACAAAAAGTTGAGCTTAAAGTCGTACGAGGACAGCACCAGTTTATTAGTGACAGTCATGAGGATAGAAGCAAAACAGTAGCTCAGAATGGCCAATGGGGCAGTATGGTGGGTTCCTGATAGGATTCTCATGGTTCAGGAACTTTTACAAGTGTGGAAGTCGCTCAAGTTGGTGAAGGTGAACAAAATCAACCCAAACGAGCGATAGTTGCCAACATTCAAACGAATTCAACCATATGAACGCTGAAACAGGGTTGCATGTCAACTGCACACAGGAAGGGCTTCATTTGTGCTGAAAAATAACCAACTTCCTATTGGCAGCCCTCATCAAATCCACTTGTCCTTCCTAAACTGCAAGCTAGTAGCATGTCCATGATATTGACATCAAGATAGTGCCAAAAGTATATTCCAACCGGACCATGGTTTGTATAGCTATACAAACAAAGCATGGCATTCAGACAAGTTGACACATCCCAATTCGAGTATAAACTGTACAAAAAGGCTCATCAGCAGAACAGTTGATCATCATACTACGTGGTAGTCAAATGAGCACTACCGCGTATCAATGCTCTAATACTCGAGCAAATTGGTGCTCCTCAAGGTGCCATTAAGAAACGACACCAAACGGAACTCTATCAAGTGTTATATAGGCAGAGCAAGGATTCGATGCGGATTGCAATCGACCTTTTTTTAAAACTATACGTATTAATATACAATAGAGTAGACTATATTTGTACTACATTATGATCTTGGCACAGCTAGGCCTATGGTTGGCAGCCTTTGTTGTCAGCATGCACGCACAGCTTAACCCTGATTGTACACTTTCAGCCAACGAATTCCTGTTACCTACATACTATGCACCGCCTACTACTAGCCATTACCAAAACATTCAACCTACTTTTACTAATATACTGAGTATCACTGAACTTGAAAACACAGCAGTCAGTTATCTGCAATCTCAATTCAAGTTTGGTCCTGGAATTTCTTTCGCTAAAAAATCATGCTTTCAGGATTCGCAGTCACAACAGTATCACTACTACGCGGTGCAAACAATCAACTCGGTCGAAATCGCCAATATGGTAGCATCACTCGTTTTGGATCCTTATGGCAATGTTCGTACTATGCATAGCAACTGGTTTGATATCCCGCCTCAAGAAATGCAGTCCTTGAATAATCCCTCAACTAGCCTGTCTTTAAACGAAGCTGTTGCATCCCTTTCTGTTATGCTTGGTGGAAATGTCGATCCATCTGCCCTAGGCACTCCAAACAAAATTCCCAATATGAACAGATTCACATACAATCACATCCCTACCGTTTCAAATGGTAACGTTGCGTGCTCTGAAAAGTATTATAAAACTCGGGACGGTATTTATGCAACATGGGTAATCAACATGCCTCTTGGACCATCATGGATCAATGCCTATGTCGACAAGACGACAGGAAAAGTGCTCGGAGCATCCGACTACTCTTCCAAATTATCTTCTGCTACTAGAAATGGATGCGAACCACCTGGGTATCATATTTTTACCAAGGTCAATTATGACGATAATTGGAATCCAACTCCTATACTTGCTAAACGTAATATTCGCCGTTTAAAAAAGCGTACTCTAATCCCAAATACCGTATATACCGTGGTTCCTTTGGGAGGGAAGAATCCACTGCAAACCCCTCCTACACTGGTCTATAATCCTGAAAATATCATTTCGTCGCCTTTTGGATGGCACGACCCTTCTAATGGAGAGGGATCGGTACCATCTACTCGTGGAAATAATGTTGTTTCTCGTTTCCAAATATCTGAGGATAATGATACTCTGACCACTGTCCATTCACAGTCTTTTTATTTCACTGACCAGCCTGACTTGACTCAAGATCCCTCGACTTACATTAAATCTGTTGCCGTTAATGCATTCTATTTGGCAAACATGTTTCACGACATATTATATCTATACGGCTTCAATGAGGAGGCTGGAAACTATCAAGTATCGAATCGAGACTTAAAGGGAAATGAAGCCGATCCAGTCATTATCAGTGTAATGGACGGAGATGAAGAAAATAATGCGTATTTTAACTCTCCTAGTGATGGCAAGCCTGGAATACTACGATTGTTTGTGTTTACTGGAATTACACCAAACCGCCATTCTGGATATGACAACAGTGTTGTGTTGCATGAGCTAACTCACGGAGTTTCTGAACGACTAACGGGTGGACCTGAAAATTCTAATTGTTTACAACAACTTGAACCCAACGGAATGGGCGAAGGATGGTCTGATGCTATTGCGATTGCCCTAGAAATGAAAGAAACCGACACGAGTGCCGATGACAAAATCCTGGGAGCTTATGTAAAACCAAAGACCAGATATGGATTTAGAAAATACCCTTACTCGACTAATACAAAGCTCAATCCACTTGTTTACAGCAGCATCAACGGCGTAAATCAAACTCACTATGTCGGTACTGTATGGGGGACTATTTTATTTGAGGTCTATTGGAGTTTGGTAAACCAGTATGGATTTGAGCCTGATTGGACCAAAGTTACTTCGACCAAAGGAAATGTGGTGTTTTTACAGCTGATGGTAGATGGTATGAAGATTCAGGGATGCAATCCAACATTTCTTAGTGCACGAAGTGCAATCTTGACCGCCGAGAAGTTTAGATATAACGGTGTTTACCGATGCAGTTTGCTGAGAGGGTTTGCTAGGCGGGGACTTGGATTAGATGCCAGAATGATTGCAGAAAATTCAACTTATATTGATGGGACTTTGATTGACAATAATTGCCAGATTCCAACTTGAATATATTACATTAAATTTTATACGTCTATTTTTTAATTTTTTACTGGTGTTGATTATCCACACAAGATTTACCAAGTATTGATGCAAGTCAGTTTTCAGATATTCAAGGGTTTATTATGTTTGAGTGCAACTGCTACTCAATAAACAAAATCGGGTCTTTTTCCATAGTAATATGTCAAAGTAGAAACATCAAAACAGTTGATTCCGAGTCGCGCATTTAAACTGTCGTGTCCAGTCTGACGAAACCAAAGTACTCTATCCAACAAGACAAATCATTCTGTATCAAAAATATGATCGTAGTTTCCAACAATGGTTTCAATCACTCGGCTTTGGTACTTGAGATCAGTTGCGTCAGCAGTGGGCTCTGGTGAGTCCATTAGAGTAGGCCCCCACACAATTCCCAAATTTCCAATTGTCATTTTGTTTGCTGCTGAATGACTTTGTACTCTGTTTTAAAATAGATTAGTTTTGCTTTGAATCCACTCAGTATGTCTATGACACTACTCAGACTTACTTCCACAAATGACCGGCCAAGCATTTTAGGGTGGCGTAATGAACATCGTCAAGAGTGTTGATTAACTCGTGGGTTTGGATTAGTCTCATGCGATCATCGTCAATCTCTACGAATAATAAAGTAAATAGTCGTATGCATTATTATACTAAAGCCTGGTATGTGTAGGTGAATAGATGCAACATCACGATAAAATATACACTCACTGGAAGCATCAATAAGCTGATAATACATATGGCGAGGAAGAAGAGGCTCGGGAAGTTCTCGGAAAAAAAGCTTGAGAGTACCAGTAAGCGCATGGATATCATCCACAAGCTGATCAAGTCGAGCAGATGCCGGATCTAATATAATCCACATTTTAAAATGTACTTGGTTAGTTCAATAAAATTAATTCATCCAATTCTTATGACACAATCGTTACCCTTGTCCAAAGCTTGTTTAAGTTTTTGCACTTGGTTGGTTGATCCAGAAACACGATACAATCCAGGTAAATTCATTCCAAATGATTCAATGTACTCGATAGAACGAACAACTGGAATTGGAACTGGATCTGCAGAGGTATCGTTTTGCATTAGTTGGTTTAAAGGAATTCCAAAACAATTGCCGCTTGAGCTATGGGTGGAATGAGAAGTCGGCAAAGTGCGCATTGTGTTAGCCTCGGCAGTAACCGATGATGTGCTTGTGGATGTCGACTCATTTGAGTTTTCTGTCAAACTATGTGATATAGCGCTCTAAATATCGCACATTGATAAAATAAGACCAATAGTGATTAGTTGTACAAATTCTACTAAAACATGCACAAAGATAAACGACTATTCAACGCCCACACAAATATACCTTGATGGGTATGTATTCACGATCGCTCTTGTCGATTGGTTTGGTTTTTGTCAATTCTTTAATCATTTCTTCATGATCAAGTCGAGTATCTATACTTTCAGTGATATGACTTAAGCCTATACAGTCAGTTGATGTCAAGTTAGATTATGGTTGAACCCCAATGCAAAACAGACTATTAGTAGTATTAGATTTGAACAATTGTGGCTACCTTCAGTGGCTTTGGTAGGATTCATGATTGCGTCTTCATCCATTTTTTGCTCCATAGTTAGCTCACTGTATCTTACAATAAATTGAGATAAGCGATCATCTGCTTCATCCAGCGTTTGTTTCAAATTCTAATAGCATATAAAAATCAAAAAAATTAGCCATTATTACCACATGATATTATTGTGCAATTATAATTGAGGTTCAAACATACCCTAACAAACTGTGGAAGATATGTATTGTAAAACTCTTTACGAACTGAATTTGTTATTTGCACTTGGATTTTGTAGTTTTCCTTTGCAGCGTTGGCTTTGGCTTTGAAATCTTCCTCAGTTCGCTATTGGGTTACTTGTGTTAGATGACAATCATATTTCCTAGCAAAACTGTCTTTACAGTATACCAGCGTTGTATTGTAACCAATAGCCAAATGATGTACATACCTTGAAGTTTTTTTCAATTCCAGCCTTGAAAATCAACAGAGGATTGGATGCCGGGCGTGTAAAACCGTATCGTTTCTGATTATTTCCCATAATGCCATTGGCATGTTCTGCAGCAGCAGTTTTTTCCCATTCATCATTGGTGCTTTCGTGTTTTTGTCGTGACTAATTTGTCAAATGGCAAAGTGATGGCAGTGTTAAAAATCAAACATACTACATTGCCAGCATCCTTATTTTTTCAAAATAAACCGTACTTTATCAAGGGTATTGTCTGCATCTTGGACTTCTTTCCATCGACGCGCATGACCTTCTTTAAGCTATATATTTCAAGTGTCAGCCTCATGATTGAATGCCTTGATCAACTATAAAAACATATACTATACATTTTTGCGACTACGTTCGGTATCTTTTTGCACAAGCAGCATTTCTTCAACAAGACTATTGAGACCTTCAGCATATTTTGCTCGGGATGCACCAATCTTTTCGTGGATTTTGCCATACTGCTGCCACATGTTTCCAAACGACCTAGAAATAGAAAAGGCTTAGCAGCTTGATCATATATTCGTATAACCAGACACCATAGATTGATATTTACCCATTCTTTCCTTCAGTTTTCAGTGTCAACTGGGTAATGCGGTACATATTTTTTGCAAATTGCTCTTCAGCCTCGGCACGTTTTTTAAACACACTTACAGCTTCCTAATCAGCATAGACATAAAGCAATATACATTAGTGTTTGATAAATATATTGTAGGGTTAGTATCTACATGCTCAAATTAAACATGGATTAATTGATAATGGTTATACCTTGGTGCTGAGAATTGTTTTTTTGGTTTCACGAAGAAGGATGGGAAACCCGTCCTGAATCAAGTACCAAACATACCCGGTTAGATTCAGAATATAATTTAAAGCATTTCTTAATTAAAACATGTCAGTATCAATGGTTTGTTTCAGTTTGTTTCAACTTACAGAGTATTCAGATAGAGTATTCAGCAATGTTTCTTGTTTGGCATCATCCATTGAAATTTGATCGTTTTCAAAACTCGTGTCATCAGCATGCTTGTCATCATTTTGAATTGTATCATTGTCAAGTTGACTGTTTCCCGTCGACAATACAGACATGCGCTTATTTAGTGTCGATTTATGATTTGATGCATTTCCAAACAAGTACGAATTGGCTAGATCTATTTATAAAAAGTTGCAAGTTTTTAAACCAAAGTTAAAGTCAATATGTGCTACAGAGTGCGGTTCACTCTAGTTACTTTACAACTAGATAGTGTTTATCAATATTGAGTTTCATAGAATGTTTAGATGAAGTGTTCAACTGCCATCATTGGATAGATTTAGCTACTGTGTAATTGGATGCAAGATTGCATTACTAAACCCATACTCATACACTGTAATTCAATTGCAATAGATTCAATAGAAAACAGCTAGTTAAGTAGCAAGCAGCACTCAAAGAATACATATTCGCGAATGTATAATGGCTAAGCAATGCAATGAAACTTCAAAATTGAAACACCATCTTGAACTCAATACTACTAAAGTGATGACAACTTACCAGATCCAGCAGGTGAAACTCGAGGAGATTGACTTGCATCAGAAGCTGCCTCAGCGTCATGTGTGCTCTGCTGGTAGTGCATGCTTCCGTGTCCACCATTACGCGATAAACTCGCAGCAGCACCATTTGGTCCACTTGCAGAATGAACCAACTGCGAAGATATTGAATTTTTGGAAAAGTTGTTCTGGAAGAACGACATGCCTACTCTTTTGCTTATCGTTTTTTCACGAGCAAGGAACTGTCGGGTTGGATTAGCATCAGTGAATTCTGTTGGATCGGGCTCATAATGAGAGTTTTGGCTATATCTGGTAGCCGTTTTGTCACTTGAAGAAGACAGCAGCATGTTTTGCTAGATTCAAGAATATACTGGATATCAAAGTGGCTAAGAATATAACTCGATAGACAGGCTTGAGAAGATATGAACAGGCTGGCCCACAAAACAATTATGCTTTGAACTAGGGAAAGAATAGGAATAGAAAATATATGTTTTCAAAGGGCCAAAGATGGGCAAGATGCTTGGATATAAGATTCAAATAGTCAAAAATGTTGGATCTGTTGTTTGTTGATTTATTATTATGGGGCCAGATATAAACGCGTTACGTATTCTAACAAGAAACCAATCAAGACGATGGGGTATTTACCATTGTAGTCAGCTCTATCCAGACATTGAGCTAGACATGGATATAAAAATGAGTGATATTTCTACAAACAAATGCTAGTCTGCGGTAATATTCTATTTCACGTTGATATGACCTTCTATTCTTGATGGGGATATCAGAGCTGGTAAAACTCCACTCTCCAATCTAAGATGGAGTCTTTTATAGAATCCAAGGTTTGCCAACCCTGCAACATGCTTACATTTAAAGATGAATGCTACCAACAAAATATTCCATTAGAACTGCAACTGTTGCTTCAAGATCATGGACATATCGTTGTAAATCGTTTCAAATATCAGTCTGTTACCCCATTTTAAACCAATCCATCAATCTCTGATTCGGCTCGCTCAATACTCTCCAGCAGCTTGCATTCCATTCCTACAACGACTTGTTCATCGTATCCATGTTTACAGCGTTTGTTGTTTTGACTGCGATTTGTATCAACCCAGAATAATGGAATTTACCATTTCCTTTGTAGAATCTGTCCATAATGTCTGTTTTAATGTAATCTTTTGACTGTTTTTCGATACAAAAGTTGACAATCATTGCTTTATCATCGACTTGACCGCAGTTTGATGAGTTGACAGCACAATCGCATATACACAGGATACGAAATATCAAATCCAATCAAAGTGGAGCATTGTTTGCTGTATCCTTGTCAACTCGGACAATAGCACCACATGGCAATACTTGATAGCAATGTAGACTGTTTTGGTGCTGTGAGATGCAATGATACAACGAGTTTCAGAACCCATTCCAGTATGATGCAGCATATTGCAGACAAACAGTTCATTTGTATCTGGTTGTCTGATACCTTTTACATTGTATTTTGTGGGTCTGTACTGACGAGTCTTGATGTAGCAACAAACAGTCAGTTGTTGTTGACATTCCAAGCGAATCTGGTCTGGATTCCGTTTTTCTTTGGAGATAATGAGATGCCAAACAACTGGTCAATGTCAGCCTTGCAGTGTTGAATGACAGTATTGATTGACAGCAGTTTGAATCGGTTACGTATTTCCATCCAGATACTGTGATATTGGCAAGAAGGATCTTGCAGAGTTGTTGGTTGTTGATGGGCAAGTTGGATATAAAGTTGTTTTCAATCAATCTGTTGACAATCATGATAGCATACTTTGATTTGTATGTACGCAATACTGCTGTCATCTTGTGTATGATGTTTTCTATTCCTACAAACGCATTCCATTTCCAGCTGTTTTTTGTAGACATTTGATGTTGTGTAACAGCGAGGGTGTAAAATGTAGTACAGAAATAGACGACTAAATTACAATTATTCCAACGGATTTAGCACTCTTGTTCAAGTAAAACGGTATCATCCGATATTCATTAAATACAACTGTTGGATGAAGATTGAATTTTTATCCAGAAATACATTTACACCAAATACTATATTATATATTTTAAACCAATCTGACCGAGAAATTGGTGTAATAAGTCTAGTATTAATACTATTGTTGGAAAGACTAAATTCAGCCATGAGTAAATTATTATAACGTTTATACCAGCTGTCTAGCTACATCAATCTCAATATGAAGCAATGACCAAATGTAAGTATAAATCACGTGGTATAATTTCATTTTGTAGGCGAGATTTGAAGTTTGATTTCATATTTGGAAAGGACTGATAGCAATCTATTGGCGACCATAGGACGCATACACCCTCTACAATCATGTCTGAACCCTTTGTCACAGTACTTCGGAAAGCCAATGTAACAGGCATTCAGCCCAGTCTTTGGATCGACGCGCAAGGCACTCTGGCAACATCTGAAATGGACTTGGCTACTCATGTTACCTTGAACCTATCGTCCACATCCAGCAACCCCATTTTCAAACTCACAGATGCATCTGGATACAAAGAATATACTATTTGGACTGTTCTGTTCTTTTTCATGAAAAAAGAGCTGGACCATCCTAGCTACTTGCGACTATTGGGTAAATCAACAAGTGGAAGAGATGCTGCACCAGTGTCTTTTATTGATCGAAAGGACTTGCTGGATTATCTTGCTGGTGCTACTGAATCTAGTGCAAATATGCGACCTGCTGGTCCTTCTAAATCTGACAGTCTTGGTGCTGCTGAAGGTAAAGTGAATGGACTGTTATGGCATCATACTAAAAGTGTTCATCGAGGATACTGGATCTACTGATTAGTCTAATCATGATTTTAAAGTGTCTGCATCAACTACTCAGGAAGCTTTTCTTGGAGATCTTCAGCGAAAACGCATGCTTGTTACTAAAGAAACTCGGATGGTTTGTTATTTCAACGGATACAAAGTCTTGTCATCATGTATACAGTTGTGTTTTTTGACATTCGATATACTTAGGATCTTGAGATAGTCAAACGAATGCAAGTTTTGGAAAAAACTGTCAATACAGCCGCATCAGTCATGTCTATTTCGGGACCCAAGGTTTGGAATCTTTATCTTGTCAATTGTATTCATCTAATCTTGGGATTCAACAAGAGTTGTAATGGACATGGTAACTAACGACGTGGTATTTTAAATTGCAGAATTTTGCTAATATCCAAAAGTTGGCATATGACAAGTTTATTAGAGCAAAAGATGTCCGCTCATCTCAAGGTAGTCAATCTGTATATATGCCAACATACCATGTTTTACCAAGATAAAAGATCTACATTAAAGCCTACACTAGTTTCACTATGCTGAATGTTATTGTATTTACATTAATCTAGCTGCGGCCAAAAACTCTTTGCAAAAGACGCTAAACACTAAACAGGCACCAACTAGTATCAAAAAATCATCTCAAAAACATGCAAAACACGTTTCCAAGCAAGCCAAAGAAAGTATGTTATATTTGCGATTGTTAAAAGTGTTTTTTAAATAGCTGGTTGTTTGGTGGAGCTGATATTCTTTTTTAAAATAATGGCCAATCTATTTCAGTTATGCCGATTATCATTGTTCCTGCTGCAGCACAGTCTGTACTGACACTTTATAATGTCAAAGAGTTTTTGATTGATCAAAAGTATATATGCTATGCATTTTATAAGTGGTGGATGATGCCATGTTTATCCAACTCGATAGTATATTGAAAAGTTGCATATAAACTCACCCATGGTTTGAACAGATTTATTCCTACAGACACGTATCGTAATCGGGGAGAGAACAAGCCTGTGGATGTTACTTTGGAACGTGATCCAATGAAGCTTGCACCTGGAGCACATCAAAAGTTTCTTGTACTGGATTCTGTAGAAACCCTTCGACCGCATGATTGGTGAGCCTATGCAACTTGGCTTGAAACATTGTATTTGGCATACTGTAAGATTTATCAATAGAGTACTGCGGATCTAATCAATAGGGACCGTGTTGTGGCGGTTATTACAATGGGTCAAGAATGGCAGTTTCGTGGATGGAAATGGGAAAAACCAGTAGAGATTTTCCACAATGGTGAGTATTGATCTATTGTATATAGCCGATTGACACTTGGTATACTGATTTGAGATGCAATGGATGAAACCGCCAGTATTGGGATTCAGTCTCAAGTTTGTGGACGAACCACCTCCAGGCCAGGCTTCATTATGGAATGTTGAAAACTTGAATGTGAGTTTTTTAAAGCGAGTGATCTAGAATGTATTGGTAGACGTGATAGTTTACATGTTGTGTTGATAGATTCATCGTTCCAGACGATACCTTGACGGAACAGTAGTATACAGTTTTTGGCAATTGATTGATGGGTATATGAGGGGACCCAAATCGTCTGTATTTCAATAAAATGCAAGTAGTTTGAGATTAGGATTTTGATTGAGAATCAACAGCAACATTTTAAGCCATGATTGCAGAGCAATTTGTGAATTAAAAATGCAGTTTCAAGCGAAGCTTATTCAACACTAGTAAATATCAATTCCTTGCAACACATCGATATAGGCTACGAGGGTAGTGAATGTCTACATTGGTAGAGCCATCTGTACAACAGTTATCTATTGCTACTGCATCAATGGAATTCCAACAGAACGACATTACTACATCCAGCAGCAATGAGTGTCCTTCCAAGACATCTGTGGAGACCAACACTACTACTGCATCATGTTTAATACAAATACCTCCACTCACTCCACCCAAGCCAAAGAGTAGTTCAGCTAAAGCAGCAGTCGGTAGGAGTGGTGAGCCAACCAGACCTATTCCATCCATTCCTTTATGCAATGGCTCAAGACCAGACGAAACACTCAAGCAGACGAGTCATGCCAATCTGACCACTGTGCAGACAAGCAGTTTTGATATGAATAAGAACAAGGAGAGTGTTGATACTACTTGCAGTAGTGGGCCATCCTATGAGTCCACACCCTTGCCTTGTATCGGTTCTAACCAGCTACCTATTCAAGTACCGCGACGAGTTTCTTCCATGGCAGCAGGCATGAGTATGGCGATTGCAGCACAAGCAATGAGAGAAGCCAATCAGACACATGCCATGATAGCACCACTCACTACTGTAGGTGATCGCATTCTATATAAAAACAATGGCTCGCAAGAAAAGCTTGGAGTAGTAGCAAATCCATCATCATCAAGTCTATGTCATGACATTAAAGAGCCAATGATGACCATTACAGAGTTGGATTCGGAAGCCGGCATTGCAGCAACCACCAATGTTGTGATTCCATCATCTGTAGCAGGAATGGTCTTGACACCACCAGCGCTGTTGCCCAAACCCATTCATCTAAAAACACTCTCCAGTTCTACTAATGTAAAACTGGATCAACACATCAAGATCATTCAAACTATACCACAACCCGCATCGCAACCATCAGATTCTGCCAACATGACATTGGATTCTGATGGAGCGAGATGCGCTGAACCCGCGCTGTCAAGCGTGCCCAGCGTGAACAGAAAAGCCCTATCATTGACAATGCCATCCATACAGTCTGAACAGAAGCCAACATCCATTGTACAGCCTCACCTTACCACTAGAGGTTATCTTGCATCCCATCAACTTTTATTAGAACAATCACATTCTCTCGCAACTCAAACACCATCATCGGATACTGTCGGCATCAGTGTGACGGGCATTGGTTTAGATACGAACTACAACTCAATGCTTGGCACTAACTCTCATCGCATTTACAACAATAACAACCGTTCAAGCTCTCGCTCAAGTACATCAAGCAATGGCAGCATTTATAATAAAACTCGTTCAGACTCTGGTCGCTCGCAGTCTTTGGCTAAACGCATATCATCCAAGGTCATGAGCATATTCTCATCCCGCAAGACTATAGCTGATCATCCAGAGTTGGCAGGCATTGATGAGCTGAATGAGCCTGAATATATCAATCAACCGCCTCATACTGGTCTTGCAGATCATCAAACAGCCACAACCCATTCTGACAACTTTACAGTAGGAAGAACATCAGTAGAATCCAACCACTCTGCATTGTCATATCAATCAACATCGTCTGCCAAGACTTCTGGGTTTGAAAAGCGTCTGTTTGGATCGTCCAAGATGAAGCAATCTCATACCAACATCAAAAGCTTCGGCTCTGATTACAGCCTTGGTCACATTGATCCCTCCATACCATCCTCAAGCAAGTTGCTTCCTGAAAGCAATCCTTCTTTACGTTCCTTGGCATCGTCATCGCTTACTACCACCATTCCTCCATCTAATGTCACTCGCACTCTTGAACCTTTCAATCCATCCATCGTATCATCTGCACCATTGGACTCACTTGATCACTCTGTCAAGGTAATTATTTATCAATGCGACACTATGTTGGACTCTTGCGTTGTACATGTAACTAACCAAGTATCGAATCATGTAAATTTGAAAATCAAGACTTTGCTTTCTACACAGAATGTTGATTCCAAACAACAGTCGCCTATCACTATTTCTGCTGTTACTACTGCCAAGTCCAATTCAGATCCTTCTCCTGTGTCTGAACTCCTCACTTACCCGGTTTCTTCCGTATCCACAACATCCCACTCAGAAAATACAAGCATTGAAAAGTCCATTCCACCATTGCTTTCATCTTCACTTGCACCATCATTGAACCATTTTTCCACAGTGGCTGCGGATCCGAGTTTATCTAATACTGGCTCAAGTCGTGCCAAATTTGAATCCTTGAATCACGCTAAACCATCACTGCCTTGTAATACCAGCGCAACTACATCAATGTCTATGCTACCCGTTTTACTGGTCGATCAACCATTTGATTTATCATCATCTATATCTATTCCGCCTCCAACATCTATATGGTCACCGTTATCGACTTGTGCTGCGTCATCCATTATTCCTCAGTCACATATGATGTTTATGTCATCGACATCGTCCAGTATAGCTGCTACTGCTCCTTTAGGAATACCATTGTTACTCGACTCGCCTATGCTTGTTTCGACTTTGGCAGTATCTGTAGCACCAGAAACTTTGACTACTTCAAACATTACCCATAATTCTACAACTTCTTCATCTCAATTGATTTCCGCTACCGCGCCTGGTATCACTACCTCTGGTGGCTCAGGTTCATCCATACAACTGCCTTTAGTACAGATTTCTCCTTTGATGGAATTCGAATCTTGGACACCACAGGATCTTGTACACGATCAGTCTCTTGCATCTAGTACAACTGCCATGCCTAGTAATATACGGCAATCTAGCATGCATGCGACATCATCCCCAGTGAATATTCCAGTGCCTTTTCCCCATCAGCTTTCACTAAGCGCCAGTATACCATCGTCACATATGTCCATGCCAAGGCCTGTTAGAATTAGCAGTAGCACCAGTCCTAACTACAGAGGAAGGCTTTTAACCTCTCCTCGTACCATTCGATCCCCATCTTCCTCTCCGCCCAAACATTTAACAGACTGGAATCCGTCTATTTCTCCTGTTGCTTCCGAGGAAGAGCTTAGTGATTTTAAGAAATGGGTGCTGACTCGTGAGAATACAGATGTTACAGTTCACTCGATTGTTGCCAGTCCAGTTACTTTGAAAAAAAAGAATTCATTCAAACGAACCAAATCGTTTGCTGAGCGTCATATCAATATTACTGCTGCATCACCCAAACACATCAGTTTTGACATGGTTGCTCATTCCAATACTATGCATGGTAATCAGAACCGTTTTACTAGCCTCAGTGATAATGATAGCTATACCAACACGCTCGATACGGATTTGGAAACTAATGATACAAACCCAAAAAATGTGTTGCCCATTTTTGACGAGTTTTCAGAGGGTGATTTGATTCAACCACAGCTCTCCACGGACCATTCTGCCTCGTTATCTAGCAATCTCAACACGAGCCCAAAGTCGGAAAAACTACTTCGTTCTCATGTGTATCGTAGTCGTAATCTGAGGCGTGGTTTATTTGCAAATGATCCGTCACGAAAGACTTTTTCAGACTCTAGCCCTGATACGAGCAATGTTTCTGATACTCTCAAGGTATCAGATGATGAAAAGCATACAGACAAGGATCAATCTACACAAAAGTCTGAGATTGCTGATCCTGCCTTTGCAGAAGTTTCACAAGACGTTGATCCTATGCCATCGCTTCAGTCTACAACATTGGCTTCAGAGTCGATGGCTGTCAATGCATTCATGCTATCTCCTACAACCGATTCGCTTGACCTGGCATCTATTCCTCCAGAAGGCACTGCACGTCGTCGTCAAACCAAAAAAGCGTTTGCTGCTGTAACGCCTACAGTGGTGCATGCTGACTTGACCCATCCCTCAACCAAATCACTTCTTGGTCCAATAGAATCCTCTGACTTTAAAAACTTTAATGATAGTTATTCCGACGATGCCTCAGATTCATCCGAATCATCCGAATCTTCATCAGAATCTGTTTCACCAACTTTTTCTTTGTTACCAGCACTTAAATATGATGCTGGAAATACCCCTCGACTTCTCACCTCGTCCAAGAGTTTAGATTTGGGCGAACTGGAACGCAAACCTATTGGCGAGTTTCAAAAATCATCTTCACTTGCATTACTTTTAGAATCTTCTTTTCATTCTTTTGTCAAATCAAAGCATAGTGTTGACAAGACGAGTACAGCAAATTCTCAATCATCCTCAGCAAATCCTACAGCTTCAAGGACTTCTACAGACCGCTCATCCACCTCTACCAAACCAAAACATGCATCCAAAGAACCCAGTAATAAGCCATGGAATTGGATCAAGGATGTACTTTATCCCAAGAAAAGCAAATCCGTCGTGAAAGACGTGGATACGTTTAGCAATGATAACAATCCATATGATCATGATTGGAACCCATACCCACAAGATTCTTTAAATGGCGAATATGGTACTGGAGATGGATCTGTACTATCCAATAGTGGTTATGAGTGGTCTGGTGGCAGATTACCATCTGATGATGAAAAGAATATTTACAAACTATCGCATATGAAGCTAGCACAGCTAGGGCGGCCGTTGGAACATCAGGTGGCAATCTCTAATCTAATGATGTATATCTTGAGTGTGCATGCGGATGTGACGCTGAAACGTCGCGGACCTCGTGTGCGCGGTTTGCGTAAAGGAGGGAGTCGCCGTCGCATGCGACATCAACAGCAGCAGGAACACATGCAAAGCCAACAAGAAATGTATGATGGCCAAACTGACATGTCATATTCTTCTACACCTCAACAGCCACTGATTGACATGCAATCAGCGGGTCAGCTCGCTGTTGGGTCTAAATTTATCCCACAGCCTGCTTCTTCTGTATTTGCCAATGATACTATGTTTAGTGGTAGTTATGGTGAATCTTCTCAACTGCAACTCAATGGAAGCAGCACATTATCTGAACTTGACAAATCTTCCAGGACAAAATCATATTCAACGCAAACCACCTTGAACCCTGACAAGGAAACTGCAAATGCACAGCTAGATCACGCCAGTGCTAAAGCAAATGGAGATGGCGGTCAAAGTGATAGCGATGGTGAAGAAGCAGACGATGAAGATGAGAGAAGTAGCGGTGATAAATCTGCGATGCAGTCTTTAGAAACCACTGGATCAGCAAAGTCTAAATTGAATCATGTAGGGAATGGCATGATTTCTGGACGACACGGTATGAGTCAGTCTCGTTCCTCTGCACCATCTAATACATCAAGATCTGGTGTATGGAATCAACTCAAACGTTCAGGTTCTCCTCCCTTGACAACGATGCTTCAAAAGCCTATATCGAATACGAGCGATAGTACCCAAGATGAAGATGAAGACAATGTACCTTTGGGTATGCTACAGGGCCGTCGGTCATAGCAGTTTACGCATAATACACTATTGATATCTTTATAAGCATCAGACAAAGGATCGAATCTATTGACCAAGACTGGGATGAAATTCTTACTCTTGACCTTTTTTGGACCAATACAATCCTGGTTTGATATTTTGTTATAATTAAACTCTTGTAAGACATTTGTAAATGAATAGCAATTCAACCGTTGCTGAAGCGTAGAGATTGGTTAAAGCGAGATTTATTGAAATTTGAGAATCTTGAAATTGGCGAGTTGACTTTACACAACAGTCATGAATCCACAACCAGAGATTTCTCTCAGCACTGGAATCTTTCAGTCCAACAATGAGTTGCCAGAGGGCACTGCTTATCCTGAAGCCATTGTTCAAGTGCTTAATATCAAGAAAGTACCCAATGGACAAGGTCAGCCTGGCATGGAGCGATACAGGTATATTGTGCTGTTGGATTGGATTGGTTTATATGACTGCATTGAGGAGAGCTGTTACAAGTGATAAATGGTTTATTTATAATCATGAGTTGGATTGCAAATGGTTTGACCAACTCATGAGACGATTGTATTGAACTGCCAAATTGGCTGTTCTATTGCACTCTTCACTACAGCTCTGCTTGCAATTCATTGTCTTTATAATGTCATGTCTTGTATGTGCTCTAATGTTTAGCCTGTGAATCTGTACAAACGATCTGGTCTGGCATCAACCATTCCATTTCATTGTTGGAATTTCGGACATTTTTATTCCGGCCCTCTAAACTGCTTTGCTCATCAGACTGATGATTTCGGACGGAGTCAACTATATTCAATGTAAGTTTGATTCTGCACTATTAGTCCATACTGTCCGATTTGTCATGGAACTTACTTTTAGTATGATTCAGCCATGATCGCATCACAGCTGAATGAATTGGTTAGTTCTGGAAGCATCACCAAGTTTGGAATCATTAAACTACAAAAGTATATTTGTAACACTGTTTCATCCAAGCGGTGAGTTTGCTTTTTGTTGATATTCAACATGCTGTCTGAGAACATCAAAGGTGGCTTTGCAGATTACCAACTTGACATCTAATTTCATTTATGATTAGTATTTTAATTATTCTTGCATTGGAAAATTTGACTCCATTCAATGATACTATTCAACGAGTTGGAAATCCTGTGAGTTTGGATGGTAATACTGTTACAGATCCTAATGCAGCTACACACGCGCCAGCAGTTGGTAGTGCATCTACATTCGGACAACAACATGCTCCTGCCTTACCCACATCCTCCTTTTCTCGGCAACAGGGACAGCAACCCATGGCATTACCATCCAATTACAACCAGCAGGCGGGTAGATCTGCTTTATCTGGTAGTGGTAGCAGCAATATGCCTTATGGGGGCGGCGCTTCTACTGTTAACAATGGAGATACCGCAGGTCCATATTTTGCCATCAAAACTCTTAATCCATATCAAAACAAGTGGACAATCAAGGGTGTTATTATCAACAAAGGATCTGTTCGTACATGGAACAAGGCTGGCCGCGAAGGCCGTCTCTTCAACTTTACTATTAGTGATGACTCGGGTGATATCAGATGCACTGGATTTAACGAGGCTGTGGATATGTTTTATGAAAGCATTCAAGAAGGTCAAGCCTATGTCATTTCCAAAGCCATGATCAAGGTTTCTAATCCAGCTTTTAACAAGGGCGGCCATGATTATGAAATGACAATCGATCCTCATACAAGCATCACTGTTGTAAGATTGATGTTTCTAAATGTATGAAATTGATTCTGCTTGAACTGACCAAAAACGTCGACTTTTAAACTATTTTCAGTGTAATGATCCTAAATCTATTCCTCAAATCAAGTACAATGCTTTAACTCTTGACCGTTTGCTCGAGGTGGAAAAAGATGCAGTGATTGATATCCTTGCAGTGGTCAAGGAATGTTTCCCCGTGAGCGAGATCACCACCAAGGCAAACAACAAGGTAATGTACTTTTTGATATTTACATGTTTTTGGATTGTTAATAAATGTGTTGTTTTTCATGTATATTTAGCTCAAAAAGCGAGATTTGAATATTGTGGATGAATCGGGCTGGCTGGTTCGCTTGACCCTTTGGGGAAGCCAAGCAGAAACGTTTGAGCATTCTGATAATCCAGTGATTGGCATCAAAAATGCTCGAGTTGGTGATTTTGGAGGACGCACACTGTCAGTAGCTATGTCGTCTACTCTGACCTTGAACCCAACTATGCAAGATGCTTTTCGTCTTCGTGGCTGGTTTGATGCCAAGGCGTCAAGCATAGATTTTCATACTTATTCTAAAAGTAGTTCTGGTGTTACTAGTGGTAATTCAACACATAGCAACCTCAAGACCATTCAACAGATTCAGGATGCCAATCTTGGCAATGGTGAAAAGGTAAATCTCGACATGATTTTACTGAAACCCAGCAGATTTGAGTTGCCGTATATGATTTCGAGTGCTCATGATGAAACTATCGATCATTAGCCCGACTATGTTTCACTAAGAGCATTTATTTCGTTTGCCAAACGGGAGAATTTATGGTACCCAGCTTGTCCCAACGAAGCTTGCAGAAATAAGAAAGTTGTTGAAATTGGATCTGAATGGCGATGCGAAAAGTGCGACTCCAACTATCCTCATCCAGTTTATCGATACATTACATCTTTTAGTGTTTCAGACTACACAGGCCAAACATGGCTTCAGGCATTCAACGAAACGGTCGAAAAGGTTTTGGGAAAAACTGCCAATGAGATGCAGAAATTGGTTGACACGGACAAGGATGAGTTTGATCGTATCATTGAGCAGGCAATATACCAAGAGTATGTGTTTGACGTTCGGGCCAAAGCAGAAATGTATCAAGATGCCAAGAAGACGAGACTGACGATTGTTGAGGCTAAAGAGGTGGATTATGCGGCAGCAAGTCGGGAAATGCTGGCCACGATCAGCAGTGTATTGGGCTGAATCTAGTCACTTGTCTTGACTAGTTTTATTCCGACTTGAAGCGTGAATAGGTTGCATTCCAAATGAAATTGGGATTTTATACCAAACATTGAATAAAGGAATCTGCATATTGAATTGAGTTGAAGATTTGAAACTGAGCCAAGTCGCGCAATTTTGATTTTTTGATTTTTAACACTTTACATTTGCATCACTCAGGTAGGAGAATATCGACTGACTTGTCGATTGACTTGTGGATGCGTACGCATCCATCCACTGATGAATACACACTCGAGCATGCATGCATTCATGCATGCTCACCTTCTAATGCATGCATGGATTCTATATGCATTGATGATTGAACCAGTGGTGTTGACCACTCGACTTTGGCTCATCTGTCTTGTACAAGACTACTGCAGATCACACATGTCTCAACCTAAACTACAGCCAGTAATTCTTGGACTAGTCTACACATCTACTACACTTTGAAACCTCGATCAATCCAGCATCACCCCAGTCTCGAGTACTTCATCTTTAATACTGATTGCCCAGTCTATTGACTTGGTTCTTGAATCAATGATGACTTTGGACCTGGGACTGCAATGAGTGTCTTGTTGACGACAAAGTGCTTTAGAGCAATCCCTTTTATAGACTGTCTAGTTTGAAGCTACAACAAGTTGTATCTTTGAGATTGCACATTGATTTGAGCATGACCGATTTCAACTCAATCCATTGTGGATGCATTCAAATCGATTTCATTGTTCAAGATGTGAATGGTGTTTTTCAATCTGGAACGTTTGACTAACTTGCTCGTTTATCACTCAATGTTCTCATTCTACTTTCAATTGGTTAATTAGGCGGTTTCATCTCAGCAATGAAGTCCATCTCCCAAGAACAAGAAATCACCATCCCATCGGAAGGTACGATATTGTAGTTGTGTTGACAATCTGGACTGATGTATTCTCCAATCCATTGCTCATTCTTGAATGCTCTATAAAACATTGTAGTGACTCTCAACGTTGCCGCCCGTGTATTCACCGTCAAGGGTCCCCGTGGTGAACTCACCAAGGCCTTCAAACATGTCCAGATGGATATCACCCGCCTTTCCAAGGAAAAGCTCCGTGTCCGAGTTTGGCACGGTGGTCGCAAGCACGTTGCTTGCATCCGTACCATCTGCTCGCATGTTGAAAACATGATCAAGGGTGTCACAAAGGGCTTCGAGTACAAGATGCGTTTTGTCTATGCTCATTTTCCCATCAATGCCAATATTGCTGACGACAAGAAGCTGATTGAGATCCGTAACTTCCTCGGCGACAAGAATACTCGTCGTATTCCCATGCTTGATGGTGTCACCGTCGATGTGACCTCTACCAAGGACGAGATTGTTTTGATCGGAAACGATATTCAGAACGTCTCTCAGTCTGCTGCTTCCATCCAGCAGTCTGTGCTTGTCAAAAACAAGGATATCCGAAAGTTTTTGGACGGTATCTACGTTTCCGAAAAGGGTCTTTTTGTCAAGGAATAATCAAATATAACATTATTTCTTTAGTATTCAAATCAGTTGTTTTTATTGGCGTTGGGTATTATAATTCAATGCTGAGTGTATAGTTTTCAGATTCGAGCTTCATACATTTACGGCCGTATTCATGTAAAATGGAACACTTGTATCTTGCAGTCACTCTTGGAATAAACAATGGTTAAATACTCGGTACGCTTCCCCATTGGAAACTACATTGCTTTTTCAATAAACGCAACGTTCATATAACAGTCGACCTCTAAACTCATCCCTGCTGTATTTGATTGAACAAGTACGGAATGGACTAGACTATGATGTGAATGCTATTTTGAACATGCATTCAATCCTTGGTTTATTTTATGTGGACCTGCTACAGATACACGTATGCAATCTACAGTAGATGAAGCAAGATTGGATCAAAACAAGTTTATTCAAGAATACCAAACTTTTTCATCTTGCGCTGGAACCCAGCATACCCATTCATTGCCATCCAAACAACAAACACTGAAATCACGGCAGCTAACCCTTCAATCATGGTACCCATAGCACGAACGACAAGCACTTGTGCTTGTGTGTCCCAAGCGTTCAAGATATCCAACTTGTTTCCAGTACCACTTACAGTAGAAGCCGATACCATCAGTCCGAAAATTTCACCCAATAGTAAAACACCCGCAATCACTCCAAACCGTACTGTCAATGCAAATGAAAGCTCGCGAAGTAATCGAGATTCACCTCCTCTGAGACAGGGACGCTTCCATAAAACAAATAGTGCAGGTGCCAAACTACCTAGAATGAGATTGGGTCCATACACTCGAGCAATCATCACAGCTGTTGAAGCTGCCATTTCAAGATAAAGCGCCATGGATGTTTTTACTGAAGTTGAACGAGCTATTTTTACACCACCAAAACCAAGCGAGGCATCAGAAGGAAGTTGACGGGAGAGTAACTCGTATGAGGAATGTTGTGCTGAAGCAATTGCCACGTATCGGATAAGCAGTGTAAGGATACCCATAAATGCTGTGGTTAGATATGGATCTGCAAAGACTGCGCGAAGACTACGACTCACGTCTTGAGCATCAGAAGAGTCGGATACAACAGATGTTCGAGGACTATTAGAGTTTACACTGGACCTGGGTGAAGCGGGTGTGCCGCCGATGGCTGGTTTAAATGGACCACGACTCGATCTAGATGCTGATTTACCTTGTTTCGAGCTGCTACTAAATTTGAAGAGTGTGCACCATGAAGCAGCCTCGGCCTTGTCGCGCCAAAAATGATACATTTCAAGCAATGCACAGATCTGTAAAATGGATACGGTCAACGCAGCACTGCCGACAGAAACTTGCAAATAATTGAGAGCCATATAGACTGACAAAAAGAAAGAGAAATAGCTGGAACCAATACCGTTGGCAATGCCGCGGAAAAAGATGGTTTTTCCTGAAGTCTTTTCGGTTTTGGCTTCTTCGGGAGAAAACACTTGGCTTCTCTTGGTAGCATTATTGTCAGTTACTTCCATACCAATAGTGCTGGGATCTGTTCCCCACACGTACATACTCGTAACACTAGTTGACATGAATCCGAGTTTACAGGTCCAATACTGCACAAAATTGAGGGTATCGCTGATTTTGAGAGTCATTACACCAGGGAAAATATGCAAGGTTTCAAGCATCCAGTAAAAGGCAGAAACAAAAAGACCAAATGGAACCAGTACACCACTGATGACAGCACCACTAGAGTGCAGATTGTCAGAGCTGTACATAGTGCGACGAACAACATAAGTGAAAACAAACGCAAGTACAAAATTGATGGCAGCAACAGCTGCGGGGATAACCATGGTGGAGATTTGATGGCTGGGATTGCTAAATAGCGGAGATGTTTCGAAATCAAATACCAGACCGATACGCAATAGCACAATGAAAAGAAGTGTTGTTTTGACTAGCGAATCGCGGTGCTCAGTATTAGATACAAAAAATGCATTTATAAACAGTAGCAGTGCAAACACCTGCAATCCATATAACACGACGTCACGCTCAGTTAAACCTAAACCAAGATTGTGGGCGAATGGAGATGCAAAAAGTAGTGCAAGAGTTACACCTGCAAGCAGACCGTTGAATGAAAATATGCCAAATGGTAAGCTAGGTGCGCCTGCTATGGGCACGGCAGACAGAGGGTTTGGGAAAATCAAATCTTTGATGCGCAGCAGTGAAACAACAAGTATAAGCAGCATAGATCCACAAAAAATACCCTCGTGGTATGGATGAATGTTAATTGAGTAGGCAGGAATCAGCATGTCAATAGATTTAGTCAGACCACCAAAGAATCCGCCAAGCGAGCCAATACTAACAGCCATAAGCACTACTTCGTCAGGGATTTTGGGATCATCATTGAAATAAACCACTGTTTGAATCAAAGCAAGAGTAGTTGCACCAATGATCACAATAAAGCCAAGAACAATCAGAACTGCCTTGATCTCAGTGTAAGTGGTTTGAACTAGTTTTGATAGGATTTTAGACATGCGATAGTCCATCTTGCAATCCTCATGCATAGCCTTAAAATGAACAGGATGATCGGCAGAGCGGTAGATTTGGGAAGTCGTTGCTCCAAGAGCCAGTACATCCTTGTAAGTCTCCTGTTTTTCATCAGAAAGCTTGCGTCTAGTCAACGTATTTAACTGCTCGGCATTGTGGCGAAGACTAACACGTAAAGATGTTAGTTTTTGGTAGTACTGTCCATTAGAGCCGTGAACTATCATCTCGGGAATAACGACGCCTTCGTTGGATACAGGAATAGGCAATCCAAACAAAACAGAAAGAGTTGGAGCAATGTCTTCCAAAGCAATCTGAGATGGGTTACTCTTGTCCTTGTACGATTGTGTGAGCTTTTTAATATTATTATCTTTGACTTGACGATCAAAGCGGCCACTGTGAAGCAGCGCATATGATCCCTGAGGCGAGTGATGAATAACAACTGCAAGTGTTTGTTCATCAATCAGTGGAAGGGCAGTGTGCAAAAAACCATCTAGACCTGACTTTTGATCCAAATGTCTGAGCGTCAAATGCACGGCGAGCAACGAGAAAGTGGATGATCGCAAGCGATGCAATACACGCGGCGTAATATTAGTGGACTCGCAATCAAAAAATGCAGACGGAAATAGCGTTGACCAACCACCGTCACCATAACATTCGGGCACGTACGCAACACTGGGTTTGGGCTCATCTTCCTCTTCCTCATCAGAAGTAGGGATCACACTACGACGAGCAGTAAGACTATCAGCCATCTGGGCAACAACACTGTCATGTGGAAATGAGGGTACAACGATGCGCTGCAAAGATTCGATCATGCGGGCATGCACACCCGTCAATGCACTAACTACAGCATCACGGGAAGAGTGAATAGGTTGAGGCTCAATATTGTATAGAAATCCATTGGAGTTGACCGAGGATTGAACAGAGGGAAGTTGATGAAAGGGCAGAACGCCAGATCCAGCAGATTGGGTCTTGGGCACTAAAGTATCACTATCAAACGTAACGATCAGCAGACGCTCAAACTGTTGATGAGTTAGACAGGGAAGGGCAGGCAATGAGGGTTTATTATTAGCAATCAGAGAAGCTGCTTTGGCAGCACATTCGGAAAGACTCATAGGAGCTGAATCTTGAACAGCAGTAGGCTTCGCTGATGCAGATAGATTACTACCATCAAATGGCAACATATTCCCACCCACTGCAACCAAATACAGACCAACAGCCAACAGAACAACCATCCATAATAAACTCCATGCCAATACAATAAATCCTTGACGAGGCTCAACGATAGGAGATAGATCGATACCAGTGCTTCTAGTATGTTCAGGTTTCTTTTCAACAGCAGCTTGAGCCTGCTGCTCTTTTTCAGCCTTGAGTGCTTTCCTGGAAGCAGGAGCTCTTAGCATTGAATTCAGTCAAACGTAACACCAAGTAAACTTCAAAAGTTGATTATAAATAGAAATATTCGTCCGCGTGGACCCGTTGAATTCTTTAAACTGAATTCCACTCGAGAATTTACTCGACCAATTTGATGTGTTCTTGCTCACAGTAATTTAAAATAAAATCTGTCACATCAATGTAGTATATTGATGATATGATTCTTGGATTTGAACATCATGATCATCATTTGATTGAATATCGACATGAATGGAGTGTCAATGCTACAACTTGAATCGTATTCAATTACTAATTCAAACATACCTTCAATAACACGTGACTCGATTTCACACTTGACCAAATATTCGTTGTTTTTACATTCACCATCAAAGATTATGAGTCTGGGCAAAGGAACGAGCTATACAGAGTTTCTGAAAACCATTTCCAAAATGGCTTACAAGGTATCTACTCATTCATGCATGTTTTCGAGTCTTGATTCGTACTGATCTTGTCATGTTAAACTCTCAACTTACATTACATCAACCATGTCCAATCTCATCCAAGGGACCTGCACCACACAAACTGCACAACACTCACTTGCAAGTAATGTCTCCATTTCACAAGAAACCACTTGGTGCAGTTGATCCATTCTTGAATCCAATCGCAATAAAATCTGCTAAATTTGCAGAATCCGTTAAATCTATTAGTCAATCTGACACTGCTGCACACCCATCCGCAAGCTCAGATTCTAAACAAGTCACAGATATTCCATTCCCAAACGTACTTACCCGTCATATGATTCAACCTATCACAGCTCTAGCTCAAGGCACACCGATTGGCAAGATTATTGGTTTCAAAATCACTTCCAAGGGCAGAAAGGGTCCGCGATCGGTCAAACAATCTGTCGATTATGGCAAACTTGAAGCTGGTTCCATTGCAAATGTCGGTGGTGTGTATGTGGATTATGGTAAATCATTTTATGTGGACAAGAAGGGATCAACTGGAATCAAGGTTTGGATCACCTATGGTTCAAATTAGGAACGTATCTCAATAATTGGATCTAGGAGGCAATACATACGTCATTATACAACAATAAATGGATTTGGAGTCCATGGACTTGGTTTGCTTAAAACAGTCAGACTAAATCATCTATCTTACTAGACAAATGCATATATACCCAAGTGTCTGTATTGAAAAATTTGATATGCTCCTTAGTGTGTTGCTTTATTTCTAGTGCACTAGAGAAATACCATTCTCCAAACAGTCGACATTTTGAGACTCGATGAAAAACGTACCAAATTGTTACCTTGACATATTGTCATGTCACACTTGATTCACTCAAAACTCTATTATATATTTGACTCGGTTTATTCTTTGATCTTAGTCTGGTTGGCATCCATCTCAACTCAATCGCGATATACGTAAAATGGGTAGTTTAAACTTCATGTCACTAATTTATTAGTCCTATATATGAAATATAAATCAATCCTAAAATACCCATCACACATGCACCAACATGGCTCATAGAAAAAAATATAAATTTGGGTCCCCACACTCGCCACGCCTGAGAATGCTTCTGGAACCATCCAGCAAATGCCGTTGCACTTGCCAACTCGAGAGCTGACATGACTCCAAAATAAACCACGGTTACAAATACAAGCTGAAATGCTATTCGCTTCAAAGTAAACTGTCGTTTTTCAAGTGACGCATCCTTGGTATGCTGTCCTAACAAAACAAATAATGGAACAGAGGCTGCAGACAAAATAGACCCACCAAACGTGTTTAGCCCAATGAAAAAAGGAGATAAAATCCAATTCACTTTTGAAAGACCAACAAATCCTACTTCGTATTGTATCGTTGGTAGAGCGTTTTGATGACCGGTAGAAAAAAACAGCTTCTGGCTCCATAAAAGTAACATCACCATATGCAAAAGATATAGTCCATAGAAATTGTGGTTTGGCACCATTTCTTTATCACAATCAACCATAGTTTGATGCGTTTGAATCGATTTGTCAAAGACATCCGCGTCGAGTTTAGGTTTTACCGGCGCACGCTTGAGCTGAACTTGTTCAGCATAGCGCCAAACTGCAGTAGTGTCTGCCAAACATAGAATTTGTACAAACCCAAGTCCAAAAACTACTCCACCCATTGGTTTTTGAAAGAATCCAAGGTGGACGTATACAAAGGCAGCAAAGCACAGATATAATTGTCCTGATGCATTGGTGAGTGACTGCTGTGTTGGTTGATCGCGATTGACAGCATTTTCTGATGCAGTGTTTGTAAAATCACCTTTTGACAAAGTAGGAGCATGAAAAGATCTAGATGTAATCCATGGCCAAATACAAATGTACCATAGCGATAGAGGAATTGTACACCAAAAAGCACCGGCTATATAATATTTAACCGATTGCATTGCAGGATGTATGAATGAATTGTGTGCTTCAATTGTATCAAAAAGCCAGTAAATATAGGACAATGCTACACTAATAGGAAATATATACGTTGAAAAAACAGTCACGCTACAGTATATACTATCCGCTGCAAGACCAGTAGATGAACCATTGACAGCGGCGCGTTCTCGCTCAAGTATGTATTGAAATACCCAGATTACTGCAATAACTACACCAAAAAGTATGATTGGTGTATGATAAGCAGTGATGGATGATGTAGAAGATGCATTGAATGTAGGGACACAGAATGGACCTTGGTCTGGCCGACATATGGTAGATCCATGAATAGCTCTTATAAGCACAAATCCTACAAAGGATCGAATAACAAGCAGGCGTCTGGTGGAACAGTCAATTTTTTGAGATACTAGTATCCATAGTGTACTTGTGATTGAGTAAAACTGCAGAAAATGAAGCAAAACATGGTCCTCAAAAATGGTAAAGCTATCAGATCCAGCACACCCAGCATACATAATACATAATACTATTGCGACTATACCAGGTACAAGTTGATTAGACAAGATACCACTATTGCTATGCAAACCAAGTTTGGAAAATTGTTTCTTGCTCGAGTCTGCTAAAGCAACTGTTTGGGATACTGGCAGATGATATATTTGCCAAGCCAACGAAACAATCAGTCCAATCATTCCAAAAAACAAAATCTCATGGCCACGATGAATAATTAAAGTCATTGGATCTTCTTCTGGATGCGTTGCAGCTCGAATAAAACTACCAAAACCAATCAGCCCAAAAACAATAAAACTTCCAAATAGTTTTCCAAGCTTAATGGCCACAAATACATCTCCGCTAAAATTACATCCAATCAATTGAGCCACAAGAGCGCAGGTTGTTAAAATGCTCATCAAAATGATAACCACGCCCATAATCATCAATACCGATTCAAACCGGGACCAGATCTTTCGTGCAATAATCAAGGTAGAACGTGTATACTTGGTATATGCCACATAACATGCAATCAAGTTCTGCTGATATTCTTTCGGATTTTTAGACATGTCTTGAAAGGTAGAAAGATCTGAAAATAGAGATTCGGCTTTGGTAAACATATGCAAGGTGTCAGCAAATGAAGTCTGTGCGTCCTTGCGCCTTTCTCCATACGCTGCAATATATGCATGGATCTGTTGAGCATTGGCACGCATGACTGCCAATAAATGTTCTAGTGGTTGGATTTTGTATTCTGAATGTTGTGATGCCGATTCTTGAGCTGCTGATGCATTTCCCTTGTCCGATCCAACAAGCCCATTCCACCAAGATCGGGTATTCCTCATCTGTGTTGATAAAAATGAATCGCTGCTATCCTGATCAGTCAGATAGTCGCCACTCCAGAAAAATACTTCTGGGATAACAGTTCCAAGGTTTCCAAATGGAATAGGAACACCCATAAGCATAGAAACAGTCGAGACAAAATCGATTTGGGAAATACATCGGTGTCCCTGCCAATAGCCAAATGGATGACTGCCTTCCAACCCTGCTTGATCGACTTGAGAAATCGCATCATAGAGTACACGGTATGGCTCAGTATTCACGGTTTTGTCATCACTAGAACTTGTATCGCCACCGTCTGCATCCATTAATGGGACTTTGCTGTATAAAAACATAGCTGCATCAAGTTCGTTATCACTGTCACCACCGTGATCACCCTTGTTGTCCATTCCGTGGTCGCCCATGACAATAACAAGCGTGTTTTCATCTACAATATCGATTACACGCTGGAGCATTTGATCCATTTCTACAAGCTTGTCGCCCATGGCTGGATGACCAGGACCATACCGATGCCCAGCATGGTCAACACCAAGAAAATGTGCAATCAAAAGCCCCCAAGATGTCCATTTATCGTGATCATCTGATTTCCAATCTTGAGCCTTGGATTTGGAATTGGAATTAGCTTTCATTGTAGCATCTAAAATAGGAAACAGATGCCGTTTAACAGCCAGATCTACAGTGTGTAGATCCCATACATCGAATGACGGATACGAAAAGGTTTCGTTCAGCATGTTTGGAAACAAACCCTCCCAAGTATCGTCACCCATAGTCATCACAGTCTTATTCAGTATTCCTTGAGCGGCATACGCTTGCAAATGGCGAATAAAGTTGTCCTCCTTGATAGCAGTGCTGGCAAAATTACTTCCAGCATCCACGAGAGTGGGTAACGCACCTGTCATGAGTGCCATGAGTCGTTGCAATGTCGTGGTGGGCGGATCAGCCAAACCACGAAACAGCAGTGCATGTGTAGGTTGTGTCTTGAGTAAATGATGAATAGTTGGCATCTTGTTGATATAATGTGGAGTTTCTGATGGTTTGAGAGATTCATCGTAAGCGATAAAGTCGAACCGTAAAGCATCGATGAGGATCAACAATGCTCGTTCGTATCTGGGTTTAGGCCAGCATGACTCGAGTTGCCGAGTAGAACGAAAGGCATCGTCATTGGTATGATCATTGCTAGAGGATGGAGTTGAAGTGTTTGAACCAGATGTTGAATCTACTCTAGCAGTCCAGGGTGAATGAGATTGGCATGTACTTGTCTGCTCCAACTCCAGTCTAGTTAGCAAGTATCCCTCCTTGAACAAAAATAAACCAGCAGCATGAGTGCCTAACAACACTATCAACAGCACAACAAGCTGTCTAATCTGAGTTCCTGGCGTGGTTGCATCTTTGGAATTCAGTTGAGCTGAGCGTTGGAATGGCTCAGATGGATATCGAGTGTTGCTGTTGACATCTGGCACAGGCTTCCTGTTTTTTATTCCATCGCCTTTATTATTATGACGATTGCCTGTCTTGATACTCGTGTCTGTCATGCTAAACTCGAGTGTTTCTAAAACCTGGAAAAGCAAATCTCGGCTGGTAAACTCAAATCTTCAGTTCATGTCTGCGCATTTCAATGCATTCCGTCGAGTGAACATGAAAGATTTAAAAACTTTATTTGAAAACATCAAACAATCCGCTTTATTTTTGACGGCAAGACTTCCATTTGTATTTTGGTAATCCAAGACTGTCCACTCCAATCTTCTTGCGAGCTCCTTTGCCCTATTCAAATCGAATTGAAGGATGTTAGATACTGTTTGAATACTATACTGTAAAGGTGTTTGAAAAAAATCACACTAGATAGTCAATCATCGCTTACCATGAGATTCTTTTGAAGTTGCAATTCAAGTTGAACTTTGCGCAGGCTTTCCTCTCGTTGCATGCGAGTTGATAATTCTGCTGCTGCTGCATCCTTTTGCTTGGCAATATACTATAAATGTATGCAAATATATAGCCACAGTATTAGAACTAAAAACGCGGTTTGCTGTTGGTCTCGGGAAATAGTAATGAAATGATCATCTAAAGACTCAAGAAACATATTACATACTGCTGCATCCTCGGGAGTTATTGATGGAATTTCCACTTTTTCTAAAGTAGATTTCCGAAGTCTATTGAAAGGCTTGTTGACTAATTCGGGCACGGTTTCAAAATAGCTTACTGAATCAAACGACTTTGCTATATACTCGATTTAAAACCATAATTAAGCAAATATATTCAATTGAAAATGATATCTTCCTACAAGGAAATTGCTACTGAAATACCTTGTGCTTTATCATCGACAAAGATAGTATGAGATGGACCAGATTTTCGCAGTTTTTTGGTTGGTTGCACAGGCTCTGGCTCGTCAAAGTCGCTCATGCTGTTTTTCTCATTATCTTCTGAATCTTCTTTATCAGATTCCTCCTTGTCTTCTTCAACAAAATGGATATCTTCTTGAAGTCTTTTGATTTTCTAATCAACATTATAATATGGATCGAGTATGAGCAACTAAACTCGATATAATTCAAGTGGTATTCACTAGCATATTGTAATGGTATACCTTGAGATTAATACTTCGCTGATAATTGATATAGTTTTGATCTTGAGTTTTCATAAGTGATTTGAGTTCATGATCAAACGTTTCGGTACGCTGCAATGTATGGACACCTTTCTATAATCCAAATGAATCGTCAACCCAAAAAAACATTAGCAAATCCAATGCATTCTCTACATCTCTGCAGCTAAAATACATACATTGGTTTTAGCATTGACCATGCCAAAATAGAATTCATCAGGGTTTCGAAATGTAGCTTTTTCTTTTAATATTTTGAGAGCTTTTTCTTTTTTATGAAAGTCCTTGGCTCGCTTGACATAATCCTTGTGTTTCTCAAGAAGACCAAGATTTGAACGAGCAGATGGCTGTGCTCTTTCTCTATGTGTGCGCCGTGGAGCTGCTTTCCGTATCGACGACATGATTGCAACTGTAGTTTTTCAGGTTGATTCAAGAAATATTTAATCAATTTAAAGATTTCTTGAATTGATTGAATTCAAGTTTCAATTATATCACGTGTTGATGGGTTCACTTTTTAGATATTTCAGATTTCAAGTTGACCAGCAATCTGCAATTCCAGATGAAAGAACATTCCAACAGCAATGCCAAAGCTAGGAATCATCGAAAATCAAATAGCAAAAACAATCGACATCATCCATATAGCAGTCATAGAGATGACACAAAAACATATCACAAAAATAACTCACATTTACAAAGAAACTCTGACTGGACAGCAAAGGATCAGGATGAGCTGCGTCGTCCAGCACTCCCCCTTGTCGAAGACTGTAGACCTACTAGTTTAAGATCGAATGAACCACCTTCATCAGGATTTCAATATCTATTAAGTGTAAGGTACGAATTGGACCTTTCATCAATTCTCTCGTGATGGCTAGAATGTGAACCAACTGTTGAATGTATATAGAAAAGAGGCAGAAGCTGCTCAACAAGTGGTTATAGCAGACATCCCAGAAGAAGTGCTGAATGTACCGATTGCTTTAAATATTTTTGATCGGCGCCAGCAGTTGTTTGAATTTGCTAATACACTCATGCCATCTCCTAATCAAAGTGGCGATTCCGTCCTATCTAATCATACTGTCCATTTAATGCCATCATCAAATTGGATCTTAACCCTGATTCAAGAATCAAACAAGCTGAGAGATGTAAGTACTCGATTCTGATTTTTATAGCGCTCTACTTGGTTTTTTGACTATGGCGCCTGGTTAGACCAAAACACTAGATTTTTACATAATAATGTTTGATTTAGATCATGACAGCATACAGAAAGAGTAAACAGGCATTTCAAGCTGGAAAGAAAATATGCCACAACCTTCCGCCTATTTCAGATTCAAATCAATGGCATGTGTTTTGTTACGGAATCGCACAAAACCAAACAGGATCAGACTCAAGTGGTAATATAGTGCTTTATGAAAATTCCACACGGACGCTGCCAAGTTTGAGTATGATCGGTGCTTTATCTCATGAAACTGTGCTTCGACTTGTTCAGATGCATACTTTATGGCTAGAAGAAAGCGGTACAATCACACCTGACAAGGTAATTTTATGCGCAAGTGCTACCTTTCATTCTAATATTGAATAAACCTCAAACTGACCATCATACTACCGACTGTACTATATTAATGTTACTAGTCAAAATGGATCTTTGCATTGCTTATGCGACTTGATTCATTGCTCACAGGTGACGAAATATCTCTACTTCGTGATCTGAGTAAAGTGTGTTTGCGACTTCGATCAGACACTATTCGTGATCTCATTACTAAACATACCGCTCAAAAAGACGATTCCATTTCAAGCACAGATACTAATTCTATTAGACGCGACCATCGTATTGTATCTTGTACTATGGTGATTTCAATCGTTCATCATATATTTGGACAAAAAGATTTGCTTTAAATCAAGAGTGCAAACCAATAAAAAGGAAAGCTGCTAAAATAATCAACAACACCAACATACAGTTTGAATTCAGGATGCAGTAGCACGTGCCAACTTGGCTCATCTATTGAAAGGATTGGGATTGAATATAAAACTCGATTTCAGCGCGATTATTTTCAAGATTTTCTATAAATGTTTTGCTCATCCAGAGATTTACAGCCTCGCACGCTTTACCGACTTGCTTTCCTTGTAGTGTCGGATGATGTTTCTTCACCAATACGCCAATAGATACTTGTTTGGGAACATTGTTGCCGTCAAACTGTGACAACGATCCAGAACTTCCACCTTGCGTTCGAGACGATTTGAGGTCCGTAATCATAACACGTTCAAGAGTGCCATACAGCTCTAAAGGCTGAATGGTATTCCAATTGGTGATCTCACTGGGATCATTAAGGGCTCCAGTTGAAGAAACGCATAGAGTGATGTACATGGTTGAATTAGCCGAAGCTGTGATACATGACAATGCGTTAGATTCAACACGCACGGCTTGGGCACGACCATGTACTTCACCAAAACCAGTAGCAAGCATATATATCCGAGCACCTATTCCGCCGATTGCCTCAATAACAGCGTCTGGCGCATTTCCAAAACTCACAATCATATGCCGTGCATGTGGTTTCCATTTATCCGGAGTTGGAAACATCTTTAATAATGCACTGCGAGAATCGTCATCTAATGTTATACTGGTAAATCGAACCGTATCAGTTGGCTCAATCAAAACTCGAAAATTGGATATGCTGATACGTCGAGATGGCAAACGACTGTTTGTGGCAGAGGAATGTGTGTTGTTAGAACTGAATTGTCGCTGCAGCTTTGTAGATATGCCAGAATCCAGCTTTTTTGTTTTTATAGTATTGGATAGAGGTATGCTATTTGATGTGGAAAGTTCACTAGGTAGACTAGCGTTCAAAGTATTGCAACAGGATTCTTTAATAGCAGACGATTCATTAATGGATTGTAATCCGGCTGATTTTGAATATACAGAGCATGAAGTTTGAGCATTTTCCGAGTATTCGATGGGTTCGGCCCTAAGATTAGAAGGATTTGTGACAGGTGTAATGGCTCTGGAAGCGTCCATTTCAACTTCACGGGCCATTGCATTTCGAATGCGAATGTTGCAGTTTTCGACAAGTTCCAAAACAAGAGATTTTTCAAGGTGTGGAGCAATAAACTGGTTTAATGTTCGCTCATGAACAACATAGTGCATTTTAAACGTGCTAATACGACGGTGAGCCACCATGGCTTCGCATTGTCGCTGAAATAGCTTTAAATGTCGCTCACGATCGTCATGAATCTCGATATGATCTATGTGCGGAAAAGTCTGCAAGAGTTTGTCAAGAACAGCCAATTTGAAATCCAAGGTAGTTGCATAGTGGCGAGATAAAGTAGAATCATGACCTTCTCTCATAATGAATCTAATGTCAATTCAAGGCATGTAGATTAAAGTGTCAATAGTAAATATATTATTCATAGACTAGGTTTTAATGGCATCTAGATCAATGAGCCATAATACTTACAGATCAAATGCAAGAGGCTCTGGCTGCTTGCTTAAACATAGTTTCTGAATACGAGCAGAGAATCGATCATGTCGTCGCCCAGTAAGGAGGACAGTAAGAGTGTTTTTGTTGGACAGAGCATTGAGAGCATGCGCAATCGTTTCGTCATGCCACCATGTATTTTCTGGTACCAGTGGAATATATGGAGTTTCTAGCGTTCTAGGTTCAGAAAACCAAGCACAATCGGCCATAACTTTTCCCTTTAAAGCAGGAGTCCATAAATCCGAACTGGGTAGCGGTGAACGGAATAAAGTCGAGTCGAAATCATATATTTCCAACCTTGTAATATGTCTGAGTTGTGTATTAGGTTTTGAGATTGAATCAGTCGCAGAAGAGTATGAGCCATCCAACGGTAGTTGTGAACTGCTCTCTAATGTGTTTGGGGAGCAGTATGTTCTTGTAAAGTCTGCAATATACGGTAGATTCATGACAATGTTAAAAGGTTTAGCAGAACGGAGCTGTTCAAGGACTGAGATGAAGCAACACAATCCACTAATTGAATTACATTGTAGTTGTCATGGCATGAACAACTACAAAGTGACCAGACAGCATGCATCTCACCTATTATTGATTTTTCATATTCAAATAGCAGCACCTCTTGCTGGTGTGATGCTGATGGCTGCTGGTTATCCATTGAATTCTTTTCAAATTGTTGGACAAAAAACTTGATGTTCAACAACATAAGCTTTTCCATTCGACTCAAACTTACGGACATGACTGGACACTTGAATGCAAGAATAAAGTACTGTTTGGCATGAGTTTATTAGAAACATAGAATAGCATCGTTCACTGGTTTTAGATTGCTGTTCACCAATAGATATTGCATTTTATCAAACCAAGCAGTCCGTATACATTGAATAGTTCCGCCATATTCACGTCTGATTGAAATGCATTCGTTCTGGATTTGCTCGCATGGAAACTCGCTTACTGGCAGTGCAATCTTTAACAAATAATCTATTTATATTCAGTAATGTCATGAATCATTCGCCAAATATGACCATTTTATACGAGACCAGCTTACCCGCTGTTTTTAGGAATATATGGCTCTTTTCGCAATAGGTAGTTGTCGCTAATAGTATCTGGAACCTTTCCTGCAGAAAATGCTTTATCAGATACTATATTGAATGGGTTGGATCTTGGAGTTAGTGCTCGCGTTTAGTGATCATCCAACACACACCTCATCCCACTCACTTCGAAAAGCCATATTTTTACGCTTTTCTTCGCTAGCAAATGTTTGAAAGTCATAGTAGTTGGTTTCCACTCGCAATGAAGGATGAAGCGGCCTTTTGATTCTTTCAAGCAATCGATATTTTGGCTGTATTCAAATAATTGTATAGTTGTAACTCGATAGAAATTGGAATCAAAGTATAAAACCCTCGAGTATATGCATGACACAATAAAAATACTGTTGGAAACTACATACCAGAAATGGGCCCTGTGCAGGTTTGGCGCTCTCGGAAACAGTAGGTTCTGGCATCTTGATTGGTTTGATTCGAATCCAATTTGGATTTTTACCAATGTGCTCATGAATCCATTTGTCTAGTCCGGGATTATGACGAAGTCTTGATTCGGGGATAATAACCGAGACATCTACATGGCCACATGAATCTATAAAGTCTGGTTGTCGAACAGCCGAGGCGGTTTGAACGCGAGCGTATACACCTGGTACAGCCTTTGTACCAATCAGATGATGTCTATTGGATGCAATCTGTAATAGCTTTTCTTTTTTTCGAATAATGTCTTGAGATTCGAATAGTTCCTTCTGTTGAACTTCTTTTACTTTGAGCAACTCGCGCATGTCATCCATCTAATAAATCACTCCAAGGTTACTAATTGATCAATGTAGTTGTTTAGTGGAAACACTAGTGAAAAACCTGCCTTTTGAGTGATTTGAATAATATAACGCTTTCTAGCATAAAAATCAAATTGTTTTTTACGACTTGACCATCCTCGCCAACTACAGATAATACACAGAATTTGGTGAGCAATTTGTTGTTACATAGCAGTCGCCTACTATTAGGTGGTCCAAACATACACTTTTTGAATTTTAGTGACCATATCGCTATAGAATTTTATGCGTCTCTGGCGGCTTAATTCAACAGCGATCTTTGCTGCCTTGACTCGTCCAAGATGGCCACGAAAAACACGCTGTATTCGAAGAGCAAGAGCACTAGATGTGTCAATGAATTGCATAATGTTTGACATGTAAAATAAAGGACTATCAATCAATGCCCACTCTGTGAACCAAAAAGCCCATACTAAATATGGTGATTGTACCAAAAGTCATACCTCAAGGTTAAAAAATACGTGCGGCATACATATCGTCGCCAATATTTTTGAATTGTAGCTGCAGCATCATATTCTTGCTGACTGTTTTCATCAGCATCACTATTGTATAATTTTATTAGATATTTAGGCTAGGATTTGAGACGAGTATATATAACATTGCTTTACTGCAAAACACGAAGTTCCATGTCATTTTACCTAGCCCATTGAAAATAGTCATCCACAATAGCTGTGCTGCGTTGGCGCCATATCTTTGAAAATGCCAATGCCATACGTTCTGGATACGACTGATTTTTAGCAAGTTGCTGATTTATTTTTATAGAATACCCAATCGGACAGTACATTTGGTATGACCTGAGGATAAGTTTTGTATAAAATAAATGAGCAAGACAGAGACTGACAGACTAAAGGACTAACGCAGGAATCAACGACACGATGAATAGACTTGCAAGTGCTTGACACTGCTGAACTTGGCTGACAAATCTGCAATCGTGTCAAAGCCAGTCAACGGGTCGCATGGACTGCTCGAGTCGAATAAAGTTTGCGTTTGAAGCAGTTTAATTTCGATCAAAATGACAACCAGCGAATCTGCAGTACGCAGTCGTCCTATTGCTACTAGCAAGAAGCAGGATGACATTGTTGAATCAGTAAAAAAGACTGCTTCTGGAAAGAATGCCCAAAAGGGTGCCAGTAATTGGGGTCGTTCATGGAGTAGGTCATACTTGCATTCAGGCGGATATGTTCATTAGTCACAGATCATCTTGTTTTCTTCATGTGCTGTTGGATAATACAATATGCTATGAGTGATGGATCATCTCAGTCCTCTTTTATGATCCATTCGTTATATTCGATGTAGCCTTTTTGTCTAGACCACTTTCTTGGCTATTTATGATTTGTTCAAGACTGCTAACCATGTTATTGCTCTTGGCTTGTACAATCATGAATGCATAGACATTGGCATCCTTACCGTTATCGGATGCTACTTTCTTCTTGCTTTTTGTCCTGTGCTCGTTACTTATTTTTGGCTTTCATGCGATTCGTTTCAATGCTCCGTCGTTGCTCCTATTGAGTATGCCGTTGCAAATGGACTTGAAAAACTGCTAGAAAACTATCTTCCCAGACCTACTACTTGTATGTGATTTATATAGATTCAAATGTGTTGATCTTATTGGCTCATACCGATCCATGTATTAATGATTGTGCGTTATTGGCAATGCCATCTGGTGATATTAGTTGGATTTCAGCTCTACTTTGGATGGCTGGCTTTTCAGGCTGTTCTCTACTCTGTTCTTCCAGGAAAGATTGGGTACGGCCAAACTACTCCTGCTGGCCACACCTTACCATATGTTGTAAACGGTCTACTGGCTTGGTTTGTCACTCATGCTCTCTTTATTGCTGGATCTCTGTACTATGGATTTTTCAAGGCATCCATCATCGCTGATAATTGGGGTGCGCTTTTGATTGCTGCCAACGTGTACGGCTACTTTTTGACATTCTTCTCGTACTTCAAGGCATATGTCTTTCCATCACACTCTGAAGATCGCAAATTCTCTAGCTCTTTTGTGTACAATCTCTTTATGGGAATTGAATTCAATCCTCGTTTTGGAAAATACTTTGATTTCAAGCTGTTCCATAATGGTCGTCCTGGAATCATTGCCTGGACTTTGATCAACTTCTCATTTGCTGCTGCTCAGTACAACAAGATTGGATATGTGACCAACTCTATGCTGCTTCTCAACTGGCTTCATGCTGTATACGTTCTTGACTTTTTCTACAACGAGGTAATACTGGCTGCGTTTTTATATGGTCTACTTACCATTCCAACATAGAATGGTTGCTAATAGGACACGATTCACATATTGGCGTGCTAACTCTTGATGTTCTGTTTCAGGATTGGTACCTTCGGACTATTGACATTGCTCACGATCATTTTGGGTTCTGTAGGTTAAATGGCTTTAATTCATCACATTGATGGATGACTTTGTTTTTGACTCGTTTTATTTTATGTTTAGATCTTGCATGGGGTGATACTGTTTGGCTTCCATACATGGTAGGTTGATTAGTGGTAATGAAATTATGCTTTTCTACTACTGTTTAGGAAATATAGTACTGATCAGATTTATATCAGTATACTTTGCAATCACACTTTCTTCTCCGCAACACAACTGATCTTTCCTGGCCTGTTTTTGGCGCTGTTTTTACCATTGGTATGGTTGGGTACTACATTTTCCGTACTGTAAACAACCAAAAAGATCTTGTTCGCTCCACCGATGGCAAATGCTTGATCTGGGGAAAACCTGCCAAGATTATTCGTACCGAGTTTACTACCACCAATGGCAAAACCCATCGTTCTCTGCTTCTTATTTCTGGATACTGGGGTATGTTTCTAGTTTCATGCAAGTGTGTTGTATTGATTTCAAGATATCAATTGAATAACACTGTTTTTAGGAATCTCTCGTCACTTCAACTATGTCGGTGATCTGCTGATTTCCACTGCCATGTGCATGACGTGTGGGTTTGACCATATTCTTCCCTACTTTTATATTGTTTACATGTCGATCCTGCTGATGCAGCGTATTGAACGTGATCATCTTCGATGCCAAGGAAAATATGGCAAGTTTTGGGACATGTATTGCGAGCAAGTCCCTTATAAACTTATCCCTTACCTTTTCTGATGTGTCTGGGATCTGTAATGGTCTTTGATTTTCTTTGCATGCTCACTATTTTATTTGCCAAGAATTTACTACGCCAAGTGCTAGAATGAATGTGCGATTTTACTGGTTACTGCTAAAACTAAATGTGTATTTGAATGATTTGGCTTTGATCTATTGTCAATATAATACTCGGCATGTTGATTTTAGAGTGATATGGGGTTTAAAAATGATTGAAGTTGGGCGAGTAGTGTGCATGTACGCTGTCATTGAATGGCTGCCAATATGAAATTCATAATACAGACCTAGCTCTTATGTCAAAATAAGGACTGGCAATTTCGCTCAAGCTAGTTTTAACCATCCCTCTTGCAAAAAGTACGCTTTAAAAACCTGACAATTTCTGCCAGTTACAAAATTAAACTTTACACTTTAAAATGATGCAAGACGTCCTGCCCAATCTGCCAGAAGTGTCTATGGATAACAGTTATCTACCTGATATACTTGCAACACAATCCAAAGCCAGTATACCACTTCCACATATTGAGCAGGATGACACTTTGCAAAAGCACTATGCCCGTGTCCAAAAAACTCTGTTTGATTCAGTCGATAAGCGAGTCTTGGAAATTGAATCTGAGCTACGGGAAACTCGACTTAATCTAAAACATACAAATGAGGATAAGATTAACATGGGTCAGGCATTATATTTGGCCAAGTCTGAAGTCACTAAATTCAACTCGGCTCTAGCGTCAACGTGAGTTGATAGGCTTTTATATCATTTAGGGTTTGAATTCAGTCTCGGGTCATGTCAAGTGTTGGTATCAATCTATTTGATCCTGACCTACTCACGCAATGCACTAAATATTATAGGCGATTAGCACTGCATCAAGCACAGAATGAACAGAAAACCATTTCAAAACTTCAATCCGTGACAGAAACGGATATTCAAAATGTAGCAAAAACAAACAAGGTAGTGATTTATGTATTACAGGATCTTTAGTCCATGGCATGTCTATTTTTCCAACACAATATCATCTACTCTGTTTACTGTCACTCACCCGACTTGATGACTTGCAATTGTGCATAGCTGCTACAAAGGGAATTAGAAAATACAAAGAGTGAATTGGAACAAAGTACGACAAAAATTCATCAGCTACAAGAAATCAATGCTAATTACACATCGGATATCAAGATCCAACGACGTATCCAAAACAAACTTAAAAAAGAGTTTGAATTCTCGGAACTAAAAAGAAAACAAGCAGAAGAGATTGTGGAAAATGAAAAGCGGCTTCTTGAGCAGGTAGTCATTTATTTGACAGGATTGCGATGTGATTGGATTGGCACTGGTTATGCAGTTTCAGTTTATATTCTTGATGTGGTCGTGATCTGACCCAGATTGTTTATATTGCGTTTGTTTAGGCTGCTCTTAAGCAACAAGAGCTTGCATCTACTATAGATGTTCAAAAATCAGAAGCTCTTGTGGCCCAAAAGGCGATTGATGGCATGCATAGAGGTAAATAAATCGGATCAAAATCAAACTATTGTTGAATTCAGCACCACTTATGTTTAATCCATGTGCTAATTACAAATATATTGATTAGAAATCAACATCTTAACCAGCACAAAGGAGGCTACTGAGAAACAGTGGTCCGAAGCCATTACAGCCATGTCAAAACGTGACACGGCTTTTCAGGCCATAAATGAATCCAAGCAAACTCTCTCGTCGCAATACCTTGAAGCGCAAAACACAATCCGTGTACTTAAACTAGAACGAAACGAAGCTTTGCAGAAACTATCAGAAAAAAAAACAGGTCGAGTTGAAAAATCAAAATTACTATATATTTTGTAGTGTATGCTGATCCTTTTAAGTTCAAATGATAGATTATGAAAATATAGAAAAAACACTTGAAGATCTACGAACTCTGCACAAAGGCACCGTTGAGCAACTTATCCAAACGCGAAATGAGTTGGTACAGATTGAGAGTGCTGAAACCGCATTCAAAAATGAGGTCAATAAGCTTAAAAAAACCAAAGAGGCAAGCAGTTTTTTGATTGATAAATCATATCTGTAAAAAAGTGTTTTAAATGACAAAAACAAAAATCATGCAACGTCAAGCGATATGATTTGAACATTGGTGTCAATCTAACAAAATGCTTGATGATCTTGCTTAAATTTCATTCAATAATATTAGGATCAATCTGCCGAAGTGGATAAAAAAACCACTGTGATTTCCAATTTAAAGTCAAAAATATCACAACTGAAGAGTGATTTTGACGAAAAGATGCGACTGCATGTTCCTGTGGTAGGCAGTAATCTTTCATGAATTGCACTTTATGTTGTCTGGTTGATAAAATACATGTCTAAACAAGTAGCCTGTCTTTTCAAACTCCACTGAAATCAGAATCAAGCCTTTCATCGTGAAGAGCAGATTAAACAACAGGCCTTGTCTGAAATAAAAAGCATTACTCGCGATGAAGAAACAAAAAGTATAAATCTTCGACGTCAAAACGCTCAACTTCAGATGAAAGTCAATGATACATCTGAAAAAATGGTATAGTTTTACAAATATGATGTAGATATGCTCGGTAACTTGTGGTTTTGAATAAAATGGCATGGTAACAGTGTATGTCTGATACCAATAGCTGCACATCACTCAAGAGCGCAATCTTGTAAAAGAACAGTATGAGGATATTAGTGCACATTATGCAAAGCTCTACGAAGAAACAAAATACCTCATTTACGCTTTGGAACGTCGAGAACATGATCTCAATTTTCTCAAAGGGAAAATGAATCAAAAGGAAATTGGCAAGTATAATTTAATTTTCTGGTTAAACATGAACTGATAAATCATGCATATCTAACGAATATTTACTTGCTGGGAATAGACAACACGGGAGCATTTAATATTATCATGGGAAAACTACAAAAAAAACTGGATGAGTCTATTAAAGAAAAGGATCGATTACAGCAGCTTTGGCTTGAATCTCAAAAAGATGCCTTGAAAGCCAAAGAGCAAGTCACGAAATTGCAAAACGAAAACTCTTTTCTCCAGGTGAGTCTAGTATGCAATTTGATCCATGGCTTGAAGCTAGATGGTGATCAATATAAACTATGCTTTATATTTTGGACTCATTTAATTATATAGACGAAATTAAGAATCGATCATACTGTTAAAACAAAAACCAACGCCGAACTTGATGAAAGCAAAGCAAAAACATTGGAGCATAACATGGAAGCAATGAAACTATACAATGAGCTGCGTCGAATTCAGCCTGTTATGGAAGATCTTCAAAAGAAAAACGTAAGTGCGTTGATCAATTGTCGTAGTTTAAGAATACTGCAATCAGAATGATGCTGAATCAAGTCATGGCTTGACAATGGATTTAGAAAGCTATGGAAAAGCAGCTCCGAGAAGCGCAATTGAAGCTTGAAGAAGCAGATATCAACAGCACTACATCAAAGCAAATGCTACAGGCAGAGATTCGCCGACTGTACCAAGATCGGCAGGGGCTTAAAAAAGCCAACGCCGAAAGCGCGCAGGTGTCGATGAATATTGAGCGTAAAACGGAGTTATTTCAAGAAATAGTGGATAAACTTAAATCCGAGAGGTATGAGTTACAGAGGGCAAACTACACTTTGAATAGAAAAGCAGCGGAAATGGAGCGCAAATACTTTGATGCCAAGTTGCAGACACGACGGGCTAATGAAAAGCAGCAAGTTCATCAGCAAACGTAAATTATATGCATATAGAGCGATTTAATGATCAAATGGTGGTTAATTTGATTATAATTTTAAAAATCCAACTTTTTAAATGTGATTGATCTCAGTATTAGGCGGCAATCTTTATCAAAGCAGTCTGTGAATTCTCACATCACAAACTCTGCACCTTGGGAGAGTATCATGTCGTTGTCGCAAGCCTCGCTACCTAGTGTTTTGTCTCCACCTGGAACGATAACTGATGAATGCACGTATATATTTCATAGTACTCTGTATACTAGCATTAGCTGATTGTATTATAATTTTGCTATAATTTTAGCGGATGGCTTATCAAAAGCAATGCCAGACACGCAAGGATCAATTCGCGAAATCACCAAAGTACCAGGTACACTCTTGTATACAAACAAGCATGCCAGGTTGCCAATATGAATCTCATGGATTAAACTAACCCTTGCATTAACCCGATATATTTAGATTTTGAAGCATGGAGACTAAGAATTGATAGTTTAGAAAAAGAAAAGCAGCATCTTTTGAATGAAAACAAAAGGATTCAAGATCAAATCAATGATGTAAGCAAATCCAAAGTATATGTATTTTATCAAACAGTGATATTTACTGATATTTTATTGTAGCAAGCAAACCGTATTGCAAAATCAGAAAGCCGGCTTCTTGCAGAAGAAACGAGACAAAAGATGGATGATGCTCATCATCGCGAGCTTGAAAAAAACATTGACAATCTCAACAAAAGATGCCAGCGTGCTGAAAAGATAGCAGCACATATGGAACAACAAATCAAAGTAATTACTTACTGCAAAGCAATTTTATTTTTCAAACACTGCGCTTTTGAATTGTTACTAACGATTTTCCACCTTGCAATGCTTGATATCGACTGATAGGAAGCAAAACCAAATCTCAAGATCGATTATCAGATGCTTGGAGAATGTGAGCCTTCAACACAATTGCTTGCAGCATTGTTAACTTGGGATTCCACACCTCGAGCAGTAAAATCTTGAGGGATGAGCAGATCGTTTCTGCAGCAATCACCATCCAAACGAGTATTTACCGACTGATTAAATAAAGATCAATGTATTACAGCCGTATTCACATGAAATGGAATACTTGTATTCGTGCATCAACTGCTTCTTGAATTGAAATAAACAATGGTAGCTATTTGTTGTGCTTTCCTATTAGGAATTCTATTATGAATTAGCTGGTTCAATCGACATTCTCAATCCTTCAAACACAACATTCATCATATGTTACACAGGATAGTTTTCAACATAACCTTTTACCTCTTTCAACAGTTGTAGATTGTACAATTACCAAATCTATGCACTTTAATCCAAATACTGAACTCGACTATTGTCAATACAACTCATTCTAAATCCGATACGTTCGCGTTTCAATCCAAGAAACCAAAGAATGCGATTATAATAATCAGTAAAAGTCAGTAGATTACAAGACACTTTAATAGACGATCATTTCACGAGATGGAATCCATTACGCACTCTTGATGATCTTGCACGAACACAACAGAAAATAAAAGCACAAACTAGACAGAATTACTGATAATGCAATCAACCATCAACGAATGGCTGTCATAAGCAATTCAACCCGCCAGTCTCGCCACAAATGTTTCGGCCAAGTAACGTTGATTCACCACCAACAAGACAACATGTCTTTGAATGAGCGACAATCCCACTACAGTCTATGGGGATTGCTCCCTACTGAGCTACATCAACACATTGTTACGCTGGCTGGACCGCTCACTGTCTTCCTGTATTATGGCATTGACGTTGCGATCGAATCCATCAAGACAGACAACTGCAATCTCTGGCATGACGACTACAAGACCAGTTCGGTTCTTGCTACCATCAGTCTAGAGCAACAGCACATCTCTCCGCTGATGCTGGTGTATCGCAGTATATGGCTGGATGCTTTTACTATAGATTGGGACGGTGACTTGTCACTGCTGCCTTGTTATATTCCTCACATTGCTGACCTACGTCAAGTGTGCAGTCGATCCATGTATATGCGTTTATCACACCATCTTCTAAGCATAACAGGACTGGATGCCAACAGAACCGGTGTTGCTGGTCATTCGTCCTCTATATTTCCAGCTACGGATTGCTCTCCACAGTTGCTTCGGAATCTCCTTATACATATTCCCATGCGTCATGTATGGCTCGATGAACTAGACGTCAACCATCTCAAACTTCATATCCACCACTTTGTATCGGATGCTATCCAGTTTGGACATTTGGACTTTCTTATTTACTTGGTTTCAAACTATTTGATAACGATTGATGCTCTCTGTGTTCGGGTCTTGCCTATGGGTTTGCATCCATTGGGTGCTGTTTCGTTTGCAATTATTAATTCGGCTGCTTCGCCTGTTTTTTCTCAGGAAGGCCGTTTAACTTTCAGCTCATCATTCAACGATCTGGACTCGGATTCAGAGAATGGTGACTGGAGCTGGACGTATAATGTTATTGATATTGCTGCATCAAATAACGATATGGACATGGTCAAGTGGTTACATGAGCATGGAAATACTGGATGCACTACAGAGGCAATCGACAAGGCTTCAGAGTATGGATACGTCAACATGGTTGAATACCTTCATTCCCACTTTTCTTTATTACACGACTCTTTATCCGCTTTGGATCATATTTCTGACGAGGACTCGATTATAAGATCTGGTCCATTGATGGGTCGCCAGATTGGAGGCTGCACTCAATGGGCCATGATTGCAGCCGCTCAGAATGGTCATATTGATGTTGTCAAATTCCTGCATGCAAATCGCACTGAAGGATGCACAACAAGAGCCATGGACGAAGCTGCATTACACGGTCATTTGAATATCATTCAATTTTTGCATACTCACCGTACAGAAGGTGCTACGTCGACTGCCATGGATAATGCTGCTGCATTTGGTCATTTGAACATTGTCAAGTGGTTGCATTTCAATCGGACAGAAGGGTGTTCCGTATCTGCAATGGATACTGCTGCTGCTAATGGACATTTGGATGTCATTCAATTTCTTCACTCAAATCGACACGAGGGATGCACAGTCAAGGCTATGGATGCTGCTGCACGAGAAGGCCATTTACACATTGTAAAATGGCTACATGAGAATCGATCTGAAGGATGCACAGTAAATGCTATGGACTATGCTGCATGCAATGGTCATATAGATGTTCTCGTGTATTTACACACACATCGTAGTGAGGGATGCACTGTTCAAGCCATAAATTCAGCAGCAAAGCAAGGCCATTTGAACATTGTCAAGTGGTTGCATTTCAATCGGACAGAAGGGTGTTCCGTATCTGCAATGGATACTGCTGCTGCTAATGGACATTTGGACGTCATTCAATTTCTTCACTCAAATCGACACGAGGGATGCACAGTCAAGGCTATGGATGCTGCTGCACGAGAAGGCCATTTACACATTGTAAAGTGGCTACATGAGAATCGATCTGAAGGATGCACAGAATGGGCAGTCACTTATGCAGCCATAAATGGAAATTTACCGATCGTCAAATGGCTCACAGAATATCGAACAGAGGGTTTTTCGCTGCACGCACTTGCTTGCCAGAACACGGATATTGCCAACCATTTGGTGCAATCGCTTTCAGTTAAAGAACGAAGTGCATTATTACTAAAAGCAATGGAACGTAAAAGTGAAGATATTATAATTAGCAGACTGATGTAACGTTATTATTGGTCATATATTTAATGGTGCACCTGGATAGTGCAGTCGAAATTCATGTCTGCAGTTATTTTGTTCCATCTGAACAGGTAATTTTTGGAATGTGTTTTATACTAGTAAAAATGAAACGGTTGCTGTATGTCTTTATAATATTTTTGCAAATACACAGTTATTATTTATTGAAACTCTATTTATTGATTTTTTTATAAAATAAGTTGGATTGGTTATTGTTTGATTTGTCTTTACACGATGCTAGTATGTGTGTAGTACTTTCCGAGTGACGTGTACTGTTGTAATTAAAGAGGTGATTGATACAAGTCTCATTTTACATGAATACGACTCGGAAATCAACCATGGTTAAATATCCGTTACTCTTTCTAGTACAGAATGACAGCATTGCTTCTTTCATCATACGATGCCCACAAATCAAACTGTAGTCTTGAACTGAAATTGTCCTTTTTCAAGTCATGTATTGTATCATCACAATCAGGATATTAGGCTTGATGCTATCAATTAAGCTCACAGATACGACTGTGTTCAAAAACCAATAATTGTATATTCCAGGAATACAGCAATCCTTTTCATGCTAATCACCAGGAAAAATCAGTAAGCTTACCAAGCAATCCAGAAAGCACAATGTTATTCAGTAAATGTGGCATCAATTATCATTACGAGACTGGCAGTTTATTATGTGCTTTGACACTCTTATTTGGTGTTCCATTTTACGTGAATACAGCAGTAGTAAAGAGAATTCATTTCAGAACTTGAAATCTTTGGTCTTGTCTCGCTTGTTACCACTTGCATTGCTAGATTCATCTTTCTTTTGTCGCTTTTTAGCCTGTTTTTGAGCATTTTCAGCAACCATATCTGAAAAGTCTTCGCGTCCAACAGCCGCCTCGGCACGTACTGCTAAAACCTCTTGATCGAATTTACGCTTAAGGGTTCCGTCATCCAAACCATCGGCAAGATCATCTGGATTAAGTGATACTTGGATGGCTGAAGAAACTATTCCCAATTTGCGCTTGGCAGCAGATGCTTTTGATGCCGCTGATTCAACTGCTGCGCCAGATCCCGAGGACGCAGCAGTGACATTAGACATATCGTATACATGCTGGCTACCCATAAATCCTTTGATTGAAGTCTCTTTTTGCTCTACAACCGTGTAAAGCTGTTTAGGTGGCCCAGCGGGTTCACCCATCGGCCTATCATACATTTAAATTCAGTTTCCCAAATGAACATAGGCATGAGTAACTTTGATGAGCAATTTTAAAATTCAAGACTAAACGAGTTCATACCGTTTACGCAATTCAATAAAGTTGGGTGTTTCAAGACCGCTTGGTACGCTAGCAAGACCACTGGGTGTAACTAATCCGTCTGGAGCCGGTGGTGCACTAGAAGAATCATCGTTTTCTTCGTCATCTTGATCTTCTTCCTCCTCTTCTTCTTCCACTTCCTCTTCTTCGTCAGATTCTAGTTCAGCCCACAATGTTCGTACAATTGGTGTTATAAGCTTTAAATGTATAGATTAGTCATATGCGTTGTCTAGATCAGTCACTTTGATGTCAACTTGAGTAGAACAATACAATGAGCAAACATTACCTCTGAATTGGTCTGATCTATACTTGTACCGAATACATCACCATACAGCGGACGATTAAACTCGTCTACTGGAGGTTTTCCCCAACCACCTGGATGATAACCCCATTGAGCACCGTCGGGAATAGGAGCATTTAAACCAGGAATCTTAAGTTGCGGATAGCTGGGTGGAGGTCCGTATCGCTGCATGTTAATCAACCACGGGGGTGGTGCGAGTGGTGGAATGCCAAGTGCCATAACAAGATCATTAGAAAGATTACCAGGCTTCTTTAGCTTTAGTTTAGTTTCAAACTCTTTTCCTTCGAAATATCTAAATCACGCAGCATTGAAGGTAAGACGCCATGCTTTTAAAAAACTAGATCTCCGATCCAATAAAAAGGAATTCAAATGCCAACCAGAAATTCAAGCACAGATACATACACGTCACCAAATATCGACAGTTTGGGTTTTGTTTGCCATCTAAAGAATGCATCGTGCAACTTTTGATAGTCGATTTCCAACTTTCCCATCTTGGGTTGATGTCGCTCACGAGTTTTACTCTTCAGTTTAGTAGCGTCTTCCTTTTCCTTGACAGCATCTCGCATCTGAGTAATTCCGGTTTGCTTGATAAAGTCTAGAGATTAATGAAATCAAGTAAATAGTAAGCCAGTGGTTATCAATGGTGAGTGAAATTGAATGTCATTTATAGAATAGCCTATACTTTTGAAAACATTACACTAATTGTTTCGCATAGTACCTGGAAGTTCAAATGGCATTTTCTCAACACCTCGCTTTCCCTGCAAATATTTTCGCTTTTGCATCCAGTGAATTGGAACAGAAACAGTGTTTCTAGATGCTTTGAGATGAACCAATAGTTTTGGATCTGCTGCCGTAACATCAACCCACTATACACAGCAAAGACAATCCATTTCAGTATATACTCTGATAGATTTACACGACGCATCTACCAGTTTGAATCAAGCATTTGAATCACTCACGTCAACAACTTCGGGTTTGGTTACAAGCTGTTTGAGTTCAGCAACAGTCAATCGACTAACTTTGCGTTGTTTCTTTTTAGACATGGATTTCCTGTTGTCGCCATCGGCCAAATCATCATCCTGACTGTCATTGTCTGATCGATCGAGTTCCATATCATCTCGTTCATCTTGATCACCATATGGATGTTTTTCATTCGCTTCACCATCACCGTCGCCCGTTTCTGCTGCAGGAACAAACTTGGCAAACACTTGAGCAAAAGTCTCGAATGGTGAATCCTGTAACTGAATGCCAATAGTTTCTGGCACATACTCGACAATGGCATCAATCTGATCAAATATCAACAAAAAGAGTGTTATTATAAGCGACATTGAAATAGATTTTATCCAGATCAGCAGATATGACTAGAACCAGCTGCTGTATACTGCTTGAATGGCAGTAGATAATATAGCAGACTATGTTATCAAGACGAATACTGACCTCGTCATCCTGGCTTGTGTGATGTGTACGATCCAGTCCATTTGACGAGTCTTTGGCAGAACCATCAGTCTTGTTGCCATTCTTTTGACGAGCAGCACCATTAGATGTCTTTTTTCTACGATGTTTTTTGATAGAATTGTTATGTTCAAGACTTGCTGGTTGAGTGGTCTTGGATTGCGACAGTCCTGTGCCTGCTGAGCAAGTGGTTCGAATATGTCGAGCAATACGGTCAATCAGAGTCTTTCTTGGACCAAGACTGTCCAGACCAAACGATGTAGCATGACGACGCAAGTCTGCATCTGGCAATAGCTTGATGTCTTTGATTGCAACCACTGCAGTCATGAATCCCGGTAACAAACTGTTCAAAAGCGTTGAATCAAGCAAAGTTGTAAGATAGCGTCGAGTTGACCCTTTACAAAGTGCTGGCGGACAAGTATTCTGTCGTATTCACGTAAATGAATTACTTTTATGATTCTGAATGACTTTAAAGTCAATCACGAATGCAAGCCATGATTTGAACTTGCTTTTTGTAGTCATGCATTGTACGATCGTCAGATATTGTTTTCAGTTGTTTCGATGCTGTTCAACTTGCTTCGCTTTACGTGAACGCGGCTGTAAAGAGTTCGAGGCATTAAACAGACTGAATCAATTCATTGTTGGTTCAAGATTTACTCGTCCATAACATTTATGTTGATGAAACTGGTTCTGCTCATCACAAGTATCTTGATCTTCGTATTCCATAGCAAGTTGTGTAAAAGGTATTTTTATTCTATTCCAATTGTCTGTAAAAACCTAACATGAGTTCATAAAGCATAAACATGGCAGTACTTTGCATGCCTGTCCAAAGCATACGCGGCCCAACACCACTAAACAATCCACTGATTCCAGCTCGTCCATAAATACCTCGTCCAGCAGAGATCACACCTGCATAGGTTGGTGCGTTGTTGGGTGTTGGTTTGGCTGGTAACACAAATGAAGTGGATCCTAACTTTGATACTAATCGATGCGTCAATTGATCTGTCGATTTTGGTATACTTGAAGGCTCAGTCGATTCAATAAATGTAGTACGTGGAGGCAGACGTCTTTGTGTCATCAAATATGTTTTAATTACATCTAGTGGAGTCGTCACACAACCAGCAACAACTCCAGAAATTCCACCAGATGCCATATCGTGCCACGTTGTTAGTTTTAAAGGATCGTCGTCGCAATGAGTGTGAACAAAAAATGATTTGAGGGTCTCGTAAAGAGTAAACTGAATTGCTGTAAAAGGTACATCTCGAATCAATGTAGCACCCCATCCATGATACATTCCAGCAATGCCTCGTTTTTCTAAAATCTATTTCCATAGCACTGTTTCAATACAAGTTGATACACACCATAATTAAATCTGTGCTTCAAACTTCAGTACGTTACCGTTGTTGATGCATGAAAGGTGCTACGATAATTATGTGCTGATAAGCTATGCGGATTATTATAATGTCCTTGAAGTTGAAGACGAGTTTTTAAAACCTATTACCATGTACAAAGCACGAGATTGATGTCTTGTTAGTTGTTGATGTCATCAAAATATTTGGATTGAAACTACACTTGGACTTTAACATGGATGTACCTCGGAAGGAACATAAAACACGCTGGCTGCCACATCGCCAAGACCCCCAGCAATAAAATAGCTGGCCTCGGGATTGAGTCCTGATGAAATCAACTCTCGTTTGATGGCTTCGTACGCCGCAAAATACACTCCATGAGAAAGAAGTGATCCAATAACGGCTGCTGTAAATCCACCATATAAGCCTCGTACCCCTTCTTCTTTTAAAATTGTTCGATAAGCTTGTGCCATGCCTAATGATATTGTATAGCCAAGTCAATAAAATGAACCAAGTACAAATATTGCAATTTAAACCGTTTGCTTAAACCATCGTAACATGCCAAAACCAAGCAGATTTTAGATTTGAACCAACATCACCTTGATACTTTTCACTCCGTGCAGTCAGTTGTCCTTGTAGACGAGTCTTGACAGTGTCAGTACTATGTTGCTAAAAATGTCAATCCAGCTGCATACTTAATGCAATAAGATACACAGCAGATAGCAATCGAAAATAGCCGGTCATTAAACAATATATTACCTGTGCATGACAGCATCTGCAAGTGCACCCCCTACACCACCGCCAAAAATGACCTAGTACACGGATTGCCAAATGCAAAATCAATTAGATCAAGTCGTTGTATTGGGTTCAATAGTTAACCCAGAGTGTAGAATAACTCGAGTTTTAAAAGTAAATCAAGCAAGTCAAAAAGAGTTGATTATGGATTGCTATTCAACTCTTGTTTTGACATGGATTAGTTGAATTGGCTCACGATGGTGCAAGATACATAAACAGTGCTGATTTGGCACTGTTTATAGAGCGACCTGACCATACTTTTCATTCGAGTAGTTCAAATTTATAGCTACAACTGGATTGCAAAAACAAACCGTCAGCACTCACAATAGATAATGAATCATTGGCAATGAGCATAGCTACTTGGACTCTAACAACAGTGTTGGATTGGAATAAAGAATTGTCAAATAAAATTAAACGATTTCCTGTCAAATGATCCAATTTCACCACAACCAACGTTGCTCTTATTGCCAAGTCAGAATAAAACTACAAACTCAAATCTTGAGCATCGTACAAAAATCTACATCTAGTAAAGCAATCATCAGTGTATTTATTTTAAATTATCCAAACTTTTGGAATTCTTCAAACTGCGAAATCAGAGCATCTGTTTGAGCCAAACTCATTGCCTTTTCTTGCTCCCCTACAGCATGAAAAACCTTGTTGTCTTTGGGTTGGAGTGCACCTGTAGACACATAGGAAGGATAGAATTGGTTAACAAATTGAATAAACTCGCATTGCTTTTGCTCTTGTTGGCGAATCTCGGCAATCTTTGCTGGCGTAAGATTCATTTGAGCTGCAAAAGACTCTGAAAGTGGTGTAGGACACCTAATACGATTTGTCACTGTTCGATCGGTATCTGGTGGTGTTATTTCACGAGAAAGCATGCGTCTTTTGCCTTGAGCTGGACTGAATGTTCCAGATGTCGAATTGGCCTGATTGTTGGCTAGTGAGGAATCTGCATATATAGTTGGAGTTGATCTAGGAGGATAGGCTGCAGTATATGAATAAGCCATTGCAATGACAAGTAGAGTATGTATCATATACATTTTTAAAAGTAAATGCGTTGGTAAACTGTTGAGTTGTAAAGAATAATAGCTCGCGTTGAGTGGTGTTTAAATTGAATGTGGGAGAATAAAAGTATAAATGATGGGGTGGATAGTAAAACTTGACTCGAATATTGAAAGCTGGGTTTTTGTTGTGGATGACTGGCAGTGTAACTTCAGACTATTCGACTAAAATATGATAAACTGTCAGTCTCATGAAATGATGATTCCTATCACATTTACTGGACAATATTGTATTCTGAATTTGTTAAAACTCGCTGGTCTTTTCCTCACTCTTATTCTTGCATAAAATAATTAAATGAATATTCACATCTGTTGCAATACATCCCATATCCTTGACATTTGTTCAATCACTTGTCCTTTTTTTCTCAAGCGTTGGGCGATTGGCATGGAAACAATGTTGCATTTCTAAAGCATGCAACTTTTTGAATTAAAGCGTGGGCGTATCTGAGATTAGAATATACCATAAATGGGTTGTGGAGCTGAATTGACAGCATCAAACAGTCAACCTCGATATCCGAGTCACAATGGACACATCCAGTGTCAAATCTGGTGACTGCAATGTATGGTTATATCAAATATAGATAATCAGTTTAAAACTAGTTTAATTGTGAGCATCATATGATGGACGCCATGTTTATTGAATAATTGAGAATGTCTATTGAATAAGCAGTCAGTTTGTAGTGGGAAGGCGCAATGAAGATCTAATCATTGTCTATTCCAAGGCAAAAAGGCAATGACTGCAGCATAAATACAGAAAAGTGGCATTTTACGTGAATGTGGCGGTGAATATTAGAAATTATATCAAGCCATTTGTCTAGATCAGCGAGTTAAATCAAACTGTATTGACAGGTAATACCGAGTGTTGAAAGTGAAGACCTTGGGGAGTGACAGAGATGGTGGAATATGTTCCAGAGCACCACGTAGAAATGAATCCAGCAACAGTATTGACAGGTGTGCATGCAATATTAGAAGTAGCTGAATGTGTAGAGGTATTGGGTTCGTAAGTTGTGGTCAGGGCAGAGTTTGCTGACGAAACCCGATAGCGACGCAGGTCACGAAGGGAAGAATGTGCAGCATTGCATCCAGAAGACTGCAAAGATACAACGGACGGGGTAGTAGAAGAGGAATCATCCTGTAATTCAGTAGAGCCCAGCGAGTATGTATATGAGCCTCTCAAACTGTTTCCAAGCAAAGAGGCTGAAAAGGCATCTGCCTCTGTTCGAGATAGCAAGGCAGCATCATATTCAACAGAGATACGAGCCTGTAGTCGGTTTGTAAAGGACTGCCATAGCATATGATTGCCTGCTGGCATGGTGCGTGCACCCCACAACGACCACAAAGCAACAGAGTGCATGACTTGTAATACATGCAACTCTTCAGCACAAAGAGCGGAACGCAGATCTGGAAAAAAGAGCACCACATCACACAGAGTGATCTCGGGTAGCTCAAGACCACTCATGCTGACAATGGCACCAAACAAGATACGAAACCTACTCCAAAAAGCCCTGACTGGTGGACATTCAAAAAATACATGTTCAATCGACTCGAGTTCAGAATCGCATCGAGAGCAGCCACGAAAGATGACTGACTGCTCAGACTTTTCAAGCTCGGGAGAAGCTGCTGGTTGTTTTATAGTACGCAGATATTGGTTCACGGGAAGACGACGGGCCAAAAGTTTCCAATATAATTGAGATTCAAATGGGGTTCTGGAAGCATGGTCAACAAAGGAGAATAGAGCAGACCATGAGATGGGAGTGCCCAATGTATTCGTCCATCGAGTTTTTGCAACCCGGGCTTGGCGATCAAGGCAATCTCGAAGTTTCTGCGAGACACCGGTAGCAGGGAGATTCGTACCAGTAGGAGCGAAAAAGGTAGTAGATTTGCACACATCAATATGGTGAGGAGGGGTGGGTGAAGGAGCCGGATTCAATGTTGGGGATGGAGTAGCTTCAAAGGATCTGAATACTGTTGAATTTGGAGCTGTGGCTTGAGTTGACAATCTAAAAGGTAGTTGCGGCGTTAACAATGGCGAAAAGGGCGAAGCAGGCGAATCAGCTAGGGACAAAGATTGCAATTGTACAGACAGTTTCATAGATGCTCTTTTGGCTGAAAGAGGGGATGGTAGACCAGACATGTCTGAAGATGTGTTGATTGTGGACAATGCTTGAGGAATCTTGCTACGAGCAACAGTCATATTAGACGCTGGTGGCGATGAAGGACGAGAAGGCATTTGAGATATTAGCGAGATGGCTGCGAAAATCGAAAAGTTGGAAACAGTGCACTCGATGGTTCTACAAAAACGTCAGACCAAACGCCAGAATTAAGAGTGTAGTAAATAAAAAGGATACAATGGGATATACAGCACAGGATTGCTGTAGGCAGAAGAGTTGCTGTCAACTAGTGAATGCCGAAAACGAGATATAATGTAAGAGAAAATGAATATAATCAAGTTGAACAATTGACAAGGAACAAACAGGACACGGGTATTTATGTAGTAAGATGAGTTGAATGGCGCATAAGCTAATCATTAAAGAGAGATGCTTGATATTTTGTTGCATTGATCAATTAGAGGGTTTATTATGACATTGCATTAGGTTTTCTATGAAACATCAACAAACAAGAATTCATGACAACTAGTAATGACTTTACTGCAAGCCTTGTGGTTGATCCGTAACCCGCATCAATGATCAAAGCAAGTTTTGTAGTTTCAAACAAATCGTTCTGTTTGGCTCCAGACACGTGTATAACTGATTCAATGCTGGTTACCCCATTCATAATGCTTTGCACCAGTCATTATTGTATAAAATGAAACATTTATATTGTAGACTGTATTTTGCTTTGGAACACAATGCTTCAATGTACATTGTGCTTTCCAATTGAAAATTGAATGCATTGTTCAATAGATATTCTCAATCAACACAATGACCATTATATGATGCATACACAATCAATTATAGTTTTGAATCTGCTCTTTCTTTGTTTTTGGCATAACCAACGCTAAGATCACCAAGTCTGAAACCAGATGTATTGTGGTCCAGATATTGGGTTTGACTTGTTAATAAGGCTTGTATTGTATTCATGAAAAGTACAATCTTAAACTGGAGTGTACATCTCATGAATACAATCATATATGTCGATCACCAGGAGAAGGACCAGTAAACAAAAGTTTAAGACAATGCAAACCAGTAAATTTGGTGATACCGACTATTTCATAAGTTGATTGTTTATTATGCAGTTTGGTACTCTTGTTGTATGAATATGACTGTAAGCAAGATTAAAATCAAGTGACTACTCAAGACTTGAACTCCATCAATAAGCAATATGAATCACATGTGCAGTCACTTGCATTTCCCAACTGATTATGGAATGGTTTGGCTGTATTAATCTAAATTGTCAATCGATTACAAGATTTACAGAAATGTTTAAAACAATCCAAACAAAGCGTACAATTGTCTTTAACCGACACTCGAACTGCAAGTCAGAAACTCGGCTGATTGTAGCAGCACATCAATGACAGTGTAATTGTGAATGGATTGAGTTGACTTGATTTTCTTGTCGCTATTCTTACCAACATGCCACGCGAGATTATTACTTTACAAGCCGGCCAGTGTGGAAACCAGAGTATGTTGATGAACTTGCATAGGATAATAGCAAATGCCATTTACTGGTTTGTCATACCCTTTGGATTTATTGGGTTTTAACTGAGTTGTGTCCGACTTTGGTTTTATATTCAATATTGGGTTGGTTTAGTCGGACAAGAGTTTTGGTCTACCTTGTGCAATGAACACGGCATTCGTCCAGATGGCATCCTAGAAGACTTTGCAACTGAAGGTGGAGATCGAAAGGATGTTTTTTTCTATCAGGTACTATAGGCATATGTAGATCTTCAACTTGTTCTAATGAGCGACTGGTCTTGACAATTCATCATCATATGTTCATATGTTCATTGGTATTAAACCACTGTATTTATATTCAATAGGCTGACGATGAGCATTACATTCCCCGAGCCATCTTGATAGACTTGGAGCCTAGGGTAGTATAGTTGTCTTGATTCTTGCTCTATCGTTATACATGTCGGTTATTCATGAATCAATCTTTCTAAACTCAGCTTGGTTTATATTCACCAGATATCATCAATAGACTAACTGTTCTCAACCAAATTTACTGTATATCAGGTTATCAACAACATCCTTCAATCACCATATGCAAATCTATTCAATCCAGAAAATATTTCACTTTCAAAGGACGGAGGTGGTGCTGGTAATAACTGGGCATATGGACATTGCCAAGGCGAGAAAATTCATGAAGAGATTATGGAAATGGTAGATCGAGAAGCTGATGGGTCAGATAGTTTGGAAGTAAGTTTCAGTTGTGTAATTATATAGATGCTTCTGTAGCAATCTTTTGGATGCTTGAACAGTGCTGAATTACATCAAGTATTCGTGTTTAAACTCCAACTCGCTTCATTATTGCCATGACTTGAATATTGATGTTATATTTGTCAGGGATTCATGCTTTTGCATTCTATTGCTGGCGGTACTGGCTCTGGTCTTGGATCGTATCTGCTCGAATGCCTCAACGATAGATATCCCAAAAAGCTCATTCAAACTTATTCTGTTTTTCCTAATAATGCCGAGACAAGTGATGTTGTTGTTCAACCTTACAATTCAATGCTAAGTCTTAAACGACTTACAAATAATGCAGACTCAGTGGTAAGACGGCTGTGTTGTTGATCTAGAATCACTCGGCTATCCTCTGTGCCAATCTCTGGTTTCAGCTCCTATTCGTTCAACTCTATTTACATTCTTTTCATGACGTTCATAGGTCGTGCTTGATAATGCTGCACTAAACAGAATTGCGTCAGATATGCTTCACATTCAAACACCAACATTTGCTCAAACAAACCAATTGGTAAAATTATTGAAATGTTAAATTTTGGTGTAGATTGATATGCTAAACATTTTATTATAGGTTTCAACGGTTATGAGTGCTAGTACCACTACATTGCGCTATCCCGGATACATGAACAACGATTTGGTTGGATTGATTGCGTCTCTTATTCCAACTCCAAGATGCCACTACCTCATGACTAGCTACACTCCATTTACTGGTGATCATGTTGATAAGGTATGCGTTGGTATTGAAAAAATGATATGGCTACATTTCCTGCATTTAGCTACCTTGCTGTATATATGCTTCAAATTCATAGTAAACTTACGAATTGCTTGGACACCATTTGTTTAGTCAAAAAGCATTCGAAAAACCACAGTCTTGGATGTTATGCGTAGACTATTACAACCCAAGAACAAAATGGTTTCCACCATTCATTCAAAGCGTAGCTGCTATATTTCTATTTTAAATATTATTCAAGGCGAGGCTGATCCGACCGAGGTTAGTCTTTGACCTATTCAATTTTTTAAATCAGTTTACTTTGGCACTTGCTTGCCATGCACTGTAGCAAATTTCCGTTTGAAATCTAGCCTGGTTTCATGTGTCACTGCGTCTAATGCTTTTTAACGATAGGTTCATAAATCTCTTCTTCGAATTCGTGAACGGCGTCTTGCCCAGTTTATTCCATGGGGTCCTGCCAGCATTCAAGTGGCTTTGGCTCACAAAAGCCCGTATGTGCAGACTCCACATCGTGTTTCTGGACTCATGCTTGCAAATCACACCAGTATTGCTTCAGTAGGCCAATGCTTGATCATTGTTTCTGGTTTAGAGAGTATACTGTCTCATGATTTTTACTGATAACTATCAACTCATTGCCTTTTGTACTGTGCCATTGCATATGCCGATTTTTAGCTTTTTAAGCGTATTTGTGATCAGTACGATCGTTTGCGAAAGCGAAATGCTTTTGTAGAGATGTATAAACGCGAGTCATCGTCCGAAATGGATGCGCTTGAAGAGTTTGATTCATCAAGGTATGTCATTCATTTTGCCATTAAATAATACACGGATGCATGATTATGAGAAACAGACTCATTATTGGTGTTTGAATTGTATAGGGAGGTTGTTCAACAACTTATTTCAGAGTATGAAGCATGCGAAAGCCCCGACTATTCAACCTGGGTAATATACTGTTTAACTTTGATTCTGTTGCATCTTTAATCTGTATGCATGTGTAGCCCATATTGTATCTGAATAGCTTACTCATTTCCCCACCATTACTTGTCTTTTGAAAAATGCATCTATTTGAACAGAGCGCGACTCCAGCAACGACGCAGTATGGAAACATGGGTGCATCAGCTTCATCTGTGGCCCAGGTCGACATTACATCTAGGTTGGGTTAGGCTTAACCAAAAAATTGCTAATTCATTTAATTAAATGATGGAACCGTGCATCTGCCTTCACTTTTATATCACCACTTGTTATGGCAACATAGCTTTAGCCTTGTCTTTTAAAATTAAACTCGATATACTAAATCACTATATGAGAGTTTTGAAAGAGATTGGTTTGTTAAATATTCCATCACAATCCGCTGCTTTTTGCCTTTTCTTTATGAATCCGCTCAAGCCTTGCAATTCTCTGAGTTGTGCACGTGTAAAGTAAACATTCTCCGTTAGCATTGTAGCTTGATATCAACAGAGTTCAAGCAACACTCGTATAAAATACAAGATTAAACTAACCTGAGCAATTTCGCTTTGAATTTGACGCTTATATTGGTCACCTCTTCCGAGAGCAATCATATCGTCTATCCATTGTCGTCGCTCATGAATTTCACCTTGAACTAATGATTTCCATCAGCAATACTACATGTTATCTATAATAATAAATGGATGTTGTTTCAAGTTTATAAGACTACATACTCATATCAAACTCGTCGATTGGCTCTGAATCTAAACACACAAATTGGTTTGGAGCAGGCATGTTTGCCCCACCAGCTTGCCTTCGCGATTGCTTTGCCAAGGAGTCTTTAGGTCGATCGATTCCTTCCAATCGATCTTGAAATACCTCTTTTTGAACACTCATATCCTCTATCCATATTACGAGAAATCAGTATGCCCAGTGTTACAAGGTAAACCCTCTTGCCTTGAATCTATTGCTGATACAAAAGTAGATGGAATGCAAGCCATCTGATCATACACTTACTCATTGGAGTGGTTCGAAATGACTCTTGCTTGTACATTCCCGACTGTTTGATTTGGGTTAAAGTGCGGATACCTGGTTTAGACATCCACTCTGACAATTCAGCTGCGCGAGCAACTGTCCGCCTCTCGCGATCCGAAGCCACTTCCATACCAAAATTCAGTCTAGGTGGAGATGCAACACCTCCACGAGAATGCATACTATTGCTTGGATATGAAGGCAACGATCCTCTATCTATTCGCATAAACAGGCATGGTAAATACACTATTCTGTTAAAATACACATTTTTGCAAAGCAAATGTTTCCTTGGATTCATGTCCACGTATTGTTTTCTTACCGCTAACCAGACTATCTAAATGCCTCTGCTGAGCATAGGTAAGTTTTGAAGACCGCATTATACCTGTCAAAACAGATATAATTTGGTTTATTAAATGAATCTATCAAAAAACCAACATGTGTCCAAAACTTACTAACGCAATCTACAATGAAAAACTAAAAATAGCTTACTTTTTAGTAGTCCTCGAGTACTTGGACTAATATCAGACTCTTTTATACGTCGTGTATGTGTTGCTGAAAATGTCGTAGAATGTCGTGATGCAGACTGCAAAGGATTAAGCTGTGAGTTGTTAAACGACCATGGACTGTCACTAGTATTTCGCAAGGTTTTCTGTGAAATGCCAAGTACGCCACAACCCAGTAGTGATGTTTTATGTGCAGTGGACAAAAATGTTTTATCATGAGCTACACTTGATACGGAATCCATTGGTTAGCTGTATAGGCAACGTATTGCTTTCGGTCAAGTTTCCTTCAAGTCGTCAAAACTTTTGTGCTGTCTTCGCGTAAATGGAATGCTAAAATATGATAAACTGTCAGTCTCATGAAATGATGATTCCTATCACATTTACTGGACAATATTGTATTCTGAATTTGTTAAAACTCGCTGGTCTTTTCCTCACTCTTATTCTTGCATAAAATAATTAAATGAATATTCACATCTGTTGCAATACATCCCATATCCTTGACATTTGTTCAATCACTTGTCCTTTTTTTCTCAAGCGTTGGGCGATTGGCATGGAAACAATGTTGCATTTCTAAAGCATGCAACTTTTTGAATTAAAGCGTGGGCGTATCTGAGATTAGAATATACCATAAATGGGTTGTGGAGCTGAATTGACAGCATCAAACAGTCAACCTCAATATCCGAGTCACAATGGACACATCCAGTGTCAAATCTGGTGACTGCAATGTATGGTTATATCAAATATAGATAATCAGTTTAAAACTAGTTTAATTGTGAGCATCATATGATGGACGCCATGTTTATTGAATAATTGAGAATGTCTATTGAATAAGCAGTCAGTTTGTAGTAGGAAAGCGCAATGAAGATCTAATCATTGTCTATTCCAAGGCAATATAGCCAAAGATTCCTGCTTTTACAGTGAGTATCAGATCAGTCTATGATAAATGCGGCAAGCCATATGATTGATGCATGCTTCAGGTGAGCTAGCGGTAAATCACTTCAGCCGTGTACTACCAGTTTCCAGTATCCGGTTAAAAGGTGGTCAATTATAATCTAAATCACCATATTGCTGGGGCTTTACAGACATATCTTGTGGCAAATAATAACGGGGTTGGGGCCAAGTATATGAATTTAATCATTAATCATTCACCATCTAAACCATTTAAATGAGTAGTTTGCCAAAGTCGGGTTGAGGCTGCGGGTACTTTTATGGGCTCTGATTATTTTTAGCTGTTAACCAATATACAGCAATAGGTTGTTTGATGCCGGCTCCCATCAGTCTTACTGGGCAACATTGTGCCCTTTGAACCCATTAGAGTTTACTGGCCTTTGCTCATTTTTGTACGAAAATGCAAGGCGAATGTTCACATCATATCCCTGGTCCAATGTATTCATATCTTTTCAATCTTTTTTTTATCCAGCCCAAACATTGGGTGATCTGCATAGAGACAACAGTTGCATTCCTGAGACGTTCGATCTTTGGTTTCCTGGGCTAAAGCGCAAGCATATCTGATATTATGATACAACAAAACTTGTATAGAAGAAATAATTAATTTCTAGTAGGAAAACAACGAATACTTAACCATTGTTTATTTCAGAGCAAAATAATCAGCCCAAGATAAATATAGAAGAGTATTTTATTTTACGTGAATACGGCTTTAAAAAAATTATATCGGCTACAATATTTCAGCCTCATACTGAGAATCTCGCTGTAATTTATACACATTATTTTACAATATAAAGGCTACCTTAAACATATATTTTGTCATATATACCCAGAGACTTGTAGACTTTGTACTGTTGCATAATGTCTTCCGACTATCATCCTGAATTTCTCATCACTCTGATGTTCATTTCAGTGTCAGCCATCATTGCCAATACCCTAATGGCCATCGCGGTAATGCGCAATCAAGCAATCCGAACAGCAGAGTATTTTTACAATGTAAATGTTGTTTTAAGCGACTTGGTATTTGCTGTCATGGTGCTGCTGGTCACAATTATTTCTCTAGCCAATGGTATCCCTGCCGTAACTAATTACATTGGCTGTCAAGCCGTCGGATACGTGCTACAATCTATGGGAGCCTCGAGTGTTTTGACTATTGCCTTGATTACATTAAACCATTATCGGGTCATTGTTCTTGAAAAGCCTAGACTTACATACCATGATGTGGCAGTCCATCTTGGGGGGCTTTGGCTAATTTGTCTAACCACTTCCACTATACAGTTTGTTTTTGGGGAAAAATTCATTCCGCGGCCTGCACATCTCCATTGCCATTACGATTACGCATCTAAAGATCTCCTGATTCGGATTCTGACAGGCCAGTTGATTGTGCATCTTGTTGGGTTACCCATTGTTGTTTGTCTGGCTTACTGGGCCATCTATAGAAAAGTGGCCGAGGTGGAGCAACTCGCTGTAAAAGGGAAATCGCACTATGTGACTACAGAAGTCGCATCAGAGCTTCAATCAAAAGATCATAAGCAAACCATTGAATTGGCACCCATGCAAAACAGCTATACTATTTCTAGGGATGTAAAAGGCAGCAACAGGATTGCCGAATCCAACGATGGAACCGCCACATTTAAACTAACCGTTCCCGACACCAACTCTGAAAATTTCCCAACGGCCAGCGCCGCGAGTACTAGTGCTAGCACTCCAATCCGTCCTCATATTCCTAGCTCGCCCGTTGGTCTAAATGAGGCTTTAAGTAATGTTGCCAAAAGAGGCTTGATGATTTCAATGTCTTTTTCCATTTGTTGGCTCCCTACGTTGGTTGTCTGCATATTGGAAATCTTCACTGGCCAAACTATTCCCTGGCGGGTTGATGCCTTGGTCACAATGATTGCAGCATTTAATACACTGAGTAACCCTATTGTGTTCTTTTACGTCGATCGTCGTCTGTGGAAATCCCTACAGGAAATGGTGAAACCTCTTCATAACTACCACTTGTAAAATGCCACTTGATCTTGTTAGCTTTAGTGTAGGGTGCAATACTATCTTTTATTTACCTTGTTCAGAACAATACTAGTAAATGCCTTTGTTCATTATTATTCAGCTCTATTGATTTTTCAAGATTCGGAATTGTCTATTTAAAATGATTGCTGGTTCATTTTATCGGGTAGGTAGCACATGGATGCTTTTAAAAGAGCATAGAGTGGAGCTAGAATATGACTTTGATAAACATTGCAATGTTGTCAGTACTTTTGGATCCTGACACGATACCATTCAACAATCTAATGAGAGTCAACAGTAACTCCACGTACAAGACCATTTCCAACTCAGCCTATAGTATCAGCTAATGCCATGGCTCGAGGTTTTTCCTCCATCAAAAATATTGGCTATTTGGACTTGAAGTTTAAATTGATTTGCTATTGCTTGCATTCAAGTATACTGCACATGCAATGCATTCTTATTTATAAAGTCCATATTATCAGATTTCCATAATATACATGCTTAGTAAAAGGTTTATTAATTTATTTCCTGGTATAGAATTGATACCAAACAGAGCTGCGAGTTGATAATGACAAAAAATCGCCATATGTTTCAAAGCGTTATTGATAGCCTATTCAATACAAAAACAGTCTTTACCAGTTCATTTAGCTACCACCAGATCCCAATGATGTTGGTAAAATAACCTCGGCAGCAAATTATATGCTTGATGTCATGCTGAAAATACTTTGATTACTGAGATACAAAGACTGTGTTGTTGATGCTGGGTTGTGGTTTTACCATTGACGTACCACGTACAAGTGCAGACAATTCATCGTTTCCCATTCCAGCTGGCTCCAATATTTCGGTCCAGTTAATATTGTCAGGAGTTTGATTGCTTTCTACAAGAGAGTCGCAAACCCTACAACTTACCAATTCGATTAGATGAATGCGAAACAAAATACCAAGTCAATCCATGAAAAAGCAAGCATGCAACTCACGATCGTATAAATACCGAGCAAAGCACCCATTCCTCAATTGCCGACAAGGCTGTCATGCTTTCGTTCAGATTCAGTGTATCAACGATACATAAAAGTTCATACTCGAAATTAAGATCAATGCCATGTCTTTGACGAATAAGCTTCCACCTAAAGTTTTAAAATTAAAATAGTCAGCAAAAGCTTGGCAACTTGTACAATCAGCTCATAGAAATGCTGCATGCAGACTTGATGCTTATAAACCAAATAAAATCAACATACGTTTTAATCATCTTTTCAAAAAAGAATTCTTTTCTTTTCAAAAACTCTTGATTTCCTAGACCAACAAGGCTACTGCGCTCAACGTGTTTTGTTCCTTTAGTGTATTCCACCAACAAATTTAATGTCTTGCAAGTCACTATGCGATCCAGTATCATCCATATACGTGCAAAAAGTGAAAGTAGCGGTTTTGCTTTTTGAGTCGAGGGTTTGAACCAGCCATAATCTGCAGTATCCGTACTTGTTTTTGAGTGTATATCTTCATCGTCACTCTCTTTAGCGTCGCAATAATCCAGTACGTCTTTTGAGTTGCTCACCAAAGCATTTTCAACCACCATTGTTTCTATTGGAGCTTTCAAGTTAGTTTGGCCAGGCGTGTCTCTATTTGGGAGTGGAATGATTGGATCAATAGAGGGCTTCATAGTCTGTTTTAGTATTGATTTGGGCATAGCTAGCGGTAAAATCTCATCTTTTGATTCAGTGAATGCAACGACTGGAATGGTGGGTGTCGACTTTATGAATTCCGGAGCTTCAATTGGATCTGAAAACCGTAGATACTGCAATGTCTTTTTAACACACGGTGGTTTCACTGGTTGATGTTTATCAGGCTGTTGAACTGTTGCAGTAGTTATCGAGTCAATATGATTTTCTGACATGGATATATCATCTGGCTGGACTTGAGAACATATTTGTGAAGAATCAACAATAGTATTTGAAGTATTTTGAACAGTATCTAAAACCATTGATGGACCAGCCATTTTTGGTAATGATGATATCCAAGAAGATTTCGCGGTTGATGACGATAGCCGAGCCAATGATCCCGACTTACTGAAAGGTATAGATTGTGCTCGATACCCCTCAATGAGATCAAATGCAGAATTGGAATGTGTTGATACATCAGTATCCATAGCGCTGATTGACCCATCAAAAGCGAATCCAGCCGTGGCTGATTGGTCTAAACTTGATAAAGCAACAGGCTTCTCAATGATTGGCAAATACGACTCGTCTAATTTCAAAGTCGGCATAGATGTAATCAGAGTGTCAATATAGCTATGAATGGCGTTATGCTGCGATTTTCCTAATGCATTTTCCTGGGAACTTTCCGCAGCTTTACTTGAGCTAGTCAAATCTAGGTTCAATTTAGCTGTATTTTGATCAAAGTGTTCACTGGTATATCAAAAACATCAAATGCTGTCAGTACTAAAACGTATATATTTCACACTAAACCATTTGCTAGTGTACCTAAGTTTTTTTCTTGCAGGTACTAGATCTAAAACAGGCAATTTGGTCACATCACGCAAATACACTGGATCTGATGATAGTTGGGTAGCTAGATACTTGGAAGCAGCAAAACATTCTGAGCAACAAAAAGAATGTATTTCTGTTACATCATACACTTTGCGATCTACTGCTGAAATACGAAATTGTGATTTGGTATTAGTCGACTACAAAAGCAAATCAAAAGAGTTGAATTGTTAGTCGGATATAATCAGGTATGTTATTACAGCCTTGATTCAGTAAATACCTTTAGTTTCATGTCGCATGCTGGATAGCCGCATTGATTATCGGCTGCCCGTTCAACAACGACATCCTGATAGCTTTCTGGAGTGAGAAATTTGCACTGGTCGAATAGAAATCATTTAATAGTTAGTCATGAAAATAACATGCAGTGACGTGCATTAATAAAGCAGTGTTCAATCCTTACAGAATCCTCAAAAGTCTGTACATCAACAGCACCATCAAAGAGAAGTTGCTGTTTTTCAAAGACATGTTTATCCCACTTTCGAAGGTTCCAAGTCGAGTTGAGGACAGCTATTTGTTTTGGTTTCATGCCTGACGACTTTACTGGACCAGTGTGCTTTCCTTTCCTTGACTTCATGTTTGGTCGTTGAGTGGTTGATACTTTTTGTGATTTTTTCAGTAGTTGATCCTGCTCATGATTGTTGGTAGAAGATGTGGATGTTTTCGTAGAAAGCATGCTGCTGGATTGGGAATTCAAGCAAGTTTGGAAAGTTTTAATGTTAATTTTTATGGCTTTATAACCAATGTGTTGCCCATCAAAACTGCTACGTATTAAAGACACTAGTATGAATGTTATAGCGCTATATTTCTCAATCCTTATACTTGATCATATTAACTATGATTCCAATGTCTGAATGCTACGCAACGACTGTTTTGGCTCGTTTAAAGCCAAGATCCGCATCATTATATGTCTGGCTGCCTAACCTAATGTTGAAAATATACAAATATCACTCATGTTTTAACATCAGTTGATATGGGGATACCTGATAAAGTATCTTTATTTTTCAATATTCAGAGTTCTGAGGAATTCGTCAATGATTGCAACCTGCTTTTCAAGAGCTGCAAGCCAAGCCTCGAGCTGTTCCTTCATTTTGGCTGGATCAGACCCAGCAAGCTTTGCGTAAAAATCAGCTCGCGATGGACACACCTTCATAGCAAGCTAAAAGATTGTCATTCCAGATGAAACCAAGATTAGTGGGTTTTGTTAGTACAATTGATTATCCATTGGCAGATTCAAAAAGGCGGTTTTATTAAATCAAAACTTACAGAAAACACGTTACGAATCATAAAGTTGTGGTGTTTTGACAAACCACCCTCGTACGCTTTGTTGAATGATACAGACAGCTCTTCGGTAGGATTGTTCAAGTTACGTCTTAAACCAGAAGCAGTAAATTGAAGACCTCGCTTAAGCCATAAAAGGGCATCAACACCAGTTGTTTCCTTTGCTGCTAATTTGGTTTTGACAAGCTCTTGCAATGTGCCACATTTTGTAGGATCTTTGTCATAGCTTGCACGTATTTTCTAAATCCGTATAATGATATTTAAGTTGTAGAACAGATGGTCTGACAGTTAATAAGTCTCGATTCTTACCGTGATATTACCATGCATGTCAGTGCTGACAATCGAAAATGCAGAACCAAGGTTATCTGAATATTATTGAATAGCAGTCAAGTAACAGTAAGATAAGTTTGGATACAGGAACCAAATCAAAAGTGATTTCAACAGCACTGTCCATGCCAAATACATTAGCAGATACGATGCATAGAATACGAGGCTATACAGCCCACTCAAATCATGTCTGGCTCGTAACTATAAGAGCATAATCACTTTGTAAATGCCAAACTTTCGACAACTGCATTATATCATAAGCTAATAAACAGGAGACGTATTTCCATCCAGTTCTCAAAATTATATCCATGTATCTACATTGGATAGTCCAGCATCATGGTGGCCTGCCAAAACTAGAAGTCTTGGCGATTAACATACACATGGCAAGATACACCACTCACTAAACAGCCTGGTTAGACTATGGGTAGAGTCAAGAAATTGGACAGTAGAAATGGCGTTGTCTGCATTTGAAATAGTGACGGTTGTGTACGAGCTGGGCAGCTCATCAAAGAAAGTAGCATTTTGAAGTAGGCGTTTAGAGAAGAATATTGAAATCCAACCAGACACAGGAAAAGCAAAATTCAATGCGTCGTTGTGCTGCAGCCCATCACAACTTCAATCAGTAACTTGCTGGGCTTTAGCCATGAATACTTGCTGTTAGAAAAACAATATTTGTTCATTTGAACGTATTACAGATTCGGTTGCTGTTTATCACGCAACAATGTATTGTCATCACTAGCAGCGCTTAAGCTCCACAGAATAGTCTGCAAGCTAGGAAATTTACAAAATCTCTTATTCGCAGCAAGTCTATCGAATCAACTGGTATTGAAAAAGTATGTGCTACTATAATTTGTTGTATAGGCAAGTGAAGGCAGCAACGATCTAGCTACACTAGTCAAGATCTAGAGACTACAATCAAAATCTGGCCAGCAAATGCGACGCGGACAACTCATACGATTGTGTTCTATTGTGTAGGTTTGAAACAAAAACAAGTCATAGTTAGTAGGCACTAACTATGCATTGTCAAAAGTTTTTGATTATGATCCACTTGCTTTAAAGCCTTGCTAAAATCAAATCCAACGTTTTCTTTACCTAAACATTTTATTATTTTATAAAGTTGTAATTCAAAATGGGTTGCGGGGCATCAAAAGTACATGAAGAAAGTGTTGTAAAAACGACCATTGCATCATCATCACTGCCTGTTGCTTCTGCCCCATTACCTGCTCAAAATCAATATGCTTCCGAGGCCAGGGTAAATTCGGCCGAGACTGGGCAAAAATGTACATCGATAAAGTTGACCGCACCTGCAGAACTAGTATATGGTATGATAAAACTGATTGATAATAACCTCACACTTTAAGTTTCTACTGTATAGTTTATTTTACCACATTGCAAACTAACGCCTTGTGTTTAATCGATACTGACATATTTGCGATTATAATATGGACGCGTAATTGCAATGAATAATGCATTGATTAGTAGCAGTTGCTCCACTTTCAAAACCAGTCATACCCTCCATCCCCTCCGAAAACATCAAAGGTGTGAAATATAGAATGATTTGTAGATGACAACAGGATACATTTTCATGTTTACCTTGTTGAACTATATGACTTTACGCTAACTGTACGATTTCTTTTAGTAGATGTGATTAAAATTGCCCCCGTAGCATTTGAGATTCCTCTTGACGATCTAGCCAGAGCTCCTAAAAAAACATTGAGTCATTCTGATGAGCCTGCGCCAGCATCTTCCAAATTGTCTCTTCCTAAACTATATATGTCTCCCAAAGATCTTCAAGATAAATTAGCCAACACAGAGGCTCGTTGGAAGGTGCGTGAAGGACTCGATCGTCTCTTGGGTGTGGTGCGTGGAAATCACTATTTAGTCAATTCTTTGATTATTGATTTTTTAGAAGCATCCACCTGGGTTTACATTGAATGGCATTATTTTGTCATCAAATCTTTGCCGACTAAATAATGCCATGTTTTATATCAAACCAAGCAATGCTGCGAATCCCATACTACATTGCAACACAATGTTTATTTTTGCATTATTAACTAAATATTATCATACATTTCAATCTATCTGTCCAATCAAATAATACAGGACCTTGATAACGAAAGCGACACTCGTCGTCGTAAAAGGGGCGACATGCCACAGCTTATTAGTCACAAAGAGTCTGACCCAGATGTTCTTAAGCGACGCATCAAGGAGCGAGAGATTGCAGCTGCTCTCAACCGTCAGCGCGAAATCGAGAAACTGCAGGCTAAATTGGCCCGACAGGAGCAGCATGCTCGTCGTGTCCAAGAAAGAAAGCGGGCCATGGGAGCCGGCTCTAACGAAGAGCTTCGTTTATCATGGGGCGGTGAAAAAGAACTCAACAGTAATTATAATAGTAGCCAGAAACTCGATCGTGATTCCAGATCTGGATCGCTCAGGTCATCTGAAAAGGATAAACCTTATATTTCCAAAGGAGAGCAGAGTGCTATTGGCAAAGGGTCGCACTCTTTATCTGAAAATAGCACTCATGGTGGTATATCAACCCGAGGAAGTAGCGGTCGAAGTACAATTACCGATACCACTGATGTTGGTGAAGATATTTCGTCAAGACAGCCTTCTGCTACTGCGCTAAAGGCTGTAAATCATACACTTGGCCCATACACCAACAATTCCACTTCTGAGATCGTTTTGTAATACCTTTTGTAACACATGGCTTCTGATTAAACCCTTTGATAAAAAGTATTGCTATCTGCATTTGCAATACTCAATCCGATATCATAATACTCTTCATAACCAATTTGCTTTGAATGTCGTTACGTGTTGGTTTATTAGAACTGTAAGCAAATATAAACTTGACTCTTTTGACCACCTAATCAAATGCTAGATGCCGATTAGCTCATAAACCACTTACAGATCCCAATAAACTATGCTTTCCAAGCTGACTGTTTATAATGACAAGTATATCAAACGAATTAGCATGTATATTTACCAGGCTAAACAGCAACTCGACAGAACGGACCAAGTTGAATTTATGAGCACCAGTCTGCCTTGAATACGACTCGTATAGAATGTGTTGGATAGTATTCAGCAGATGGATAAAGTGACTAGAAAACTCGGCTTTGAAACTTGATTGTGAGTTTGTAAACTATTCAACAAGATTGAGATGCAGCTTGTTGCACATGGAAAGCTTGCATTGGCTACACTCACAAGTCTTGAGATAAAGGCAAGAGGGACTCTGGATTCAAACGAACGTTCATTCTCAGTATTGGCTGTTTCTGCTAGTCCAAACTCTAGTGACAGTTGAGTGGTTTTGGTATATCTGAAAGGCTGTTTAAATGGGTTCTTGGATGACCAACTCGTTCATCCAGCTGTCGCAGCCATCTTCAAATAATCAAAGGGATATACGAATATGGAATATATCCACAATCCTGTAAACTGTATACTGGATCAAGTCGACTCCTTCAGTCTCGACTTTTTGATTATTGGATCTTTGGTAGTCTACATAGGCTCGACTCTATTGAGCTATACTAGTGTAGATGTACAAATCATTTGTAGATTGGCAATTCGGATAGTAAAAACTAATTTTCTGGTTGTCATAGCATCCATATCTGGCAGCTGGGATACTGGTGAAGAAACATGGAACACACTTTTGGTATGCTCAATGAATGCAAAATATGCTTTGAATTAGCCTAGACTCGTAATATCCAACCTTGCAATCTAGTCGTTATGCATCGCCAAAAATATAACCATTTGTATTTAGAGTCCTATCAAAAGCGCAGAAAGAAGGTTTCCGAGCCAACCAACTGTGCCATATATGATGTCAATGTCGTATGATGGCTCTTGTGTTGTTTGTGCTTCTCGCCATCAATTTGTGATTTCCAAAATCAAGGATACACCACCCAGCGAGTATGAGCAGATAGGACAAGGATCTGGCTGTGAAGAACCCAGGTTTGAGTTTTTTATAAAATTAAACTTGATAATCAATAGTTTACTTGGATTACACATGTCTGACGTACAGCTGCTGTTTTAGTGAATTTATAACAGCATGTCTTTGCATTTCACTCTATGTTCCTTCTAAATCTGGAAATAACACGTATGTAGATAGCATGACCGTTTAACATACAAATCAGTGTGATGAATAACGTTTATTTTGCATCAATTTGACAGCATGTCAATAGTGGTGGCTATTGGCTATAGTTCTGGATACCTTCGTTTTTTTGACGAGGCAAAGTACTGCGTCTAGATAGAATTGCACAATATAGTAGAATTGCTTGGTGTATCTAACATTCTGAATCTTGATCCTGTTGGTTAGAAAGGAGTATTGATCATTTCGCAACAGCTTCATAATAGCAGAGTGCAGTCGATCAGGGCTCGCACTGTTGTCTCGTTTGACATTCAAGAAAGCGACGAGATTCTTGTAAGCTATAAAGATAAACATGCCATCAGTATTGATGGGACAAGTCTTTGGATGGCTGCACGTTTTGGACAATTGTCAACCGAAGGTATATTAAATTTATTCTATACATTAAATATATTGACCGAGTCTAAACATGCGCATAGCTATTTATTATTAACCATTATCTATGCATTAATACAACCTATTTTATGGACAGATGCACCTGCTTTATCTTACAAAAAATGGATATTTCAAAGCCAAGAGCAAGTTGTTGATATAATTAGCTGCGGTAACACTCACGCATTTAAATTGGCTGGTAATGCATTTACATTGATTTGACATGCATTTGGGCTAATTAGAACGGTTTAAATATATTGTGTACAGGTCCACTTTCTCGTTCAGTTTTTTCGCCCCCTCAGTTCAACAAACTGACAGGCGAGTATGCTCCAGTGAATTACACGGCCAGATATATAGCTGTCGGTAAACCAATGGTAGCATTGTATGCAACAACTGAAACCAGTCGATCACTTTTTGCTGGAATAGTGCCAAGTCGAGTCACTTCTGCAGTAACTAGGTTAGATGGTTTGCTTTATCAAAATTCTTAATTTATACAGATTGCCATGTGTGCAAATTGAATGCACAACTCACGCTATGCTTGGTTGACCAATCTTTTAGTGCTGTTTTTTCATTTGCAAAGACTTTGTGGAATTCACCAAATCAGCCATCGAGTGTTGCAAACCAATCGAAAGAACCAAGTCTCACTACCACTCCGGGCGTAGTAGTTCCTGCCGTAATTGTTTTGAGCGATTCAAATCGTCATATTTTATCCATCACACAGGCTCCAAGCTCAGTCACAACTCCAAGGTCATCACTAGCAGTAATGTCTGACTCACTTGGTCGTGTTTTGGTATTGGATACAGACGAAGGTGAAATTATTCGAATATTCAAGGGAGTACGCGATGCTCAAACAGCATGGATTCAAGTATCCGATCAAAGCGGTCGTATTGACCGGCCTGTTTTGCTTGTACTGGCAATATATTCTTCTCGTGGGGTTCTTGAACTGTATCTGATGCGATTTGGACAACGAATCTGCATCGCTAATGTTGGGACAGGAATTCGTCTAGTTCAAACAACTTCGAGTATTCTAGGTGGTATGTATTGGCGTCTTAACAATCCAACTCAGATTGGTGCACTGGCTAGTTGCTATCTTGTGAGCTCAAATGGAGAGATGCGCAAAATTGTTTTGAATTACGATTCAATTATAAAGTAAGATTTGTAATTAAACCGTACTTTTATGTCTGCAGTATTTACATGAACGTCACCCTGCTGATTTTCCAACTATTTGACTGTAGTTCCAATTATAAGACCGGTGATACAACTTCAATCGCGGAGTTGGTTTCTGAATATGAAAATTTGGCAGAGTCTACATCACGTACTGCTTTGCTAAGCAAAATCAAAGATATGGTTGTCAATCTATCATCGGCACCATTGAAGTTTGTTGTAAGAGTAATCTATATTTTTTATTTGTTTGATCTTTTGCCATTGTTTCTAATTCCATCATTGACTCTATAGGCGATGGACTCATTTTCAAATGCTGTTCCTGTGGAGACGTATTTTGAAATACTTGAACACTTGGCAAAGCTGCTGGAGGTTGAAAATCAATCGCTTACTGATGTTTTACAAAACAGTTTGACTCGTTCAAAAATTCACCAGCAGAGCCAAGATGTTACAAATCGGATCGAGACTACACTAAGGCTTCATATTCTTAAAGCATATCAAGCCATCCAAGAGATACACATGTTTCATACCACTAAACCTGTTTCAGATACTGAAATTTCTAATTTTATACAGGACGAGTTTTGCAAATTGCAGTTTATTTTATCTGAAAAAACAGACTATGCAAAGCTTTTGGCTTCGGCGACAAGCTCCATTGGATTTCGAACTTTTCAGTCAGCATTTGTACTCAACAAACGTTGGGTTCCAAGCATAAATGAACAGCATGCTGCTCCTTTAAAACTTAATGGCGATCTTACTTCCGATATAGTACGCGGAGTTGCTAAATTTTTATTAAATCCTATTTTGAGCAATCGATGTGCAATAACGAGCATGATGTCAAGGCTACTGATTGGTAGAGTAGATTGGATGGTAAGATTAAACCATTCAAATTCAATGTCACTTTATCATGCATAGTATTGATACTTTTATCTGTTATTTTAGACGTTGATTGTATCTCAGCTACAGATACCTTGTGTATCTACGACGTCTGTAAATATACCAATGCTGCAAAGCTATGCCAATTTAATCCAGAGCATTGTGCAAATTCATGGTACTGTCCATCTACAAGCCGTTGAGCTTTTGACAAACTTTGCCATGTCAACCAAATCGGTCAGTTGAATTGTTGCATGAATAATTTAGTAAATATTGTGATATTTAAAACTCAGCTGTTGTACATGCATTTTAAAAACTTACAACATTTATTCTTCAATAGTACGCACTCGCTTTATTCGTGTGTTTGTGTTTGCATTTTCTATTAGATAAGCATAATGATAGGCCAGAGCTGCAAAATTTAATTGCTTCCAAGAATAATTTGAAGCGTATTCTTGTCAGTTTTGAGCAATTTTTTTCTGGATCTTTTGAATATCAGCTCCCATGCGCAGCCAAGGATTTTGAAAAGGTACTTGAATTTTCATGTTTAGATTAAGCTTTAGTCATTTGCTCACCACGCCAATTTTAGACTGAGAAAACCAGTTTAGCGTATCTAGTAGCCCTTTCTCAACTCAAGAAAATAAAAACTACCCCAGCAACCATCAAGGAAACTATTTCGATTGTTAGAGTAAGCGTTTTTTATCTAATGTATGCCATTTGACTTGTTATATGACCTAAAAGTTGCCAACTGAAATGTCGGTTTAGGAGTATATGGCGTCTTCTGGATTATTTGAAACAGATCTTGGTTTGATATATATATCATTTTACTATGCAGATCAATGGATTGAAACGTCAGAGACGGGTAGGGTTGTTTGTTTTGGTCATGTACAGATGCAATAGTAAACAAACCTGGTAATTTTTTACATAGATGCACTGTCACGAGCGGTTTGTTTTGCACAGTCCGTCAGTTCATCAATATTACAACAGGGATTATTGCTGGCATTATTCAACCATTGTTTTTCAACCAAACTGAGGAATATCATAGACATGATTGAAAAGGCGCGACGCGTACCAAAGGATGTGATGTGTGAGCGACTCTGTGGCATGCCAGGTAGGTTTAGATCTTTTACAGTCATTTTACAATACAACATTTTCCATTGACTGTTTATAACTATATTTACTTTTTATACAGCTGCAAAAGTGTCTTGTTTTCTCGAAATATGTATACAGCTGCTCGAGGCACTTGACATTCCTGGAGAAGCTGCAACTTTAGAAGATATTGAAAAATGTATCTGTCAATTGGTATTTAAAGACTCAGTACTTACATCTAATGCACAACGTGAGTTTTTGAATGGCGCATGTGGCATGATGATGCTTTCATTAGGTGACAAGGATCAGCAATCGGGTGCACAAGAAATTTGCAGGTGATTGATCCAGCAGTTGAACTGTGATACATGTTTGATTTTAGCGACATTATTTTTTTGATATTCATAATGTAATTGAAATTTGGCAACACAAATCAATAGGAGATCATTAGCTAGACATATTTTGATGTCGAGTATTTTACGCACTATTTTCATTTATGACCTAAAGTCTATTCGACCGTTGAAACTTTTTGAGCCAAAAGTATTGTTTTGCGATACACTTGTTGCTAGTCGTCAATTGATTTCAACCCAAAGCATTGAAGGGCTAGGTCTTGCTGACGCAAAGTAAGTGCTAGTAGATTTTAATATTTGATCAATTTGAATAGATTTTTGTGGGTCGATTACTCATATGGCCTTGAATGCACACCATCTAGAATATCGGCAGAACGAGTATCGTTTGTTGCAAAAGTAGCAGAAGTGGATATTCATTCAGCAAAAGTGGTTGCAGGAGCATTTGGGATTCAAAGTGACCATATAGGATGATCAACGTTCCATATTGACTTTGGAAATCAAATATAATTAACCAAGTATTCATCTAGTTTTGATTATCAACTGATTGTGTGATGAAACAACATTTTGGCATTTACATCAAGATATTCAAATACTCCAAATAAATGCGGTATCATACTGTAACTCGGAATATGTCTGCATGCATATTAAGCAATGTTGTTGAACCCTAGTGTGTAATTGACTAGACGACAATTCACGGCATAGTTTATTGTCACTGACCCAAATATATATCGCGATAAATGTTTTATTCAAACCGACTAAATTGCTTTTGGAGCAATCTAAAATAGAACGAATGAATTCTGAAAAGTTGCAGTGTTTCATTTAATGCAGTGTTGACAAGGAAAACATCAGTAACCAAGAAAAGCAACTAGTAGGCATATGTCAAACCTACGTGAGTGTGGCTCTGAAACACTAAGATCGAAGTCGACTAGAAATTGAACTGGGACCATGTGATGAATTTGTGCCTATGAAACTTCCAGTACTCATTGCGCTACCAGAACTCATTGAGCTTCCAGCCAAATGAGCACTATCATTAGTAAATGTGAATCCTTTAAAATTCTCCTGCAATGTCTCTGAAATAGGAGCATCTGCTGTAAGTGAATCGACGGGTATAGAGTCGGTAAATGCAGGATCGAAATTGGTTGTATCCAACTCAGATGCCACCTGAGGTTTAAATGGCGGTTGTATTCTACGCTTTGCTAAAAGATTCCAATCAATGTCGATAAGATAAGGATGCCGCTTAATTTCCTCGGCATCTTCCGGTCCAGCACCAAGTCGTCGTTTGGGATCGCGCTCAATCAACTATAATGATTCAAAATAAGAAATTAGATTGGTGTAATCCAATTTGATGCATATATTCGAGCAGATACATACTCCACGGCAAAATGATTGTGCATACGATGGAAATTCAGGTGGAAACACGAGTTCGTTATGAAGGATCTTTTTGTACATTAGATTGATGTTTTCAGAATAGAATGGTGGAAGCCCAGTCGTCATTTCTAATTATATTCAATCACTATTGGTTAGTTTTAACAAATCCAAGACAAGCAAGCATGTCGAAGCACTCACCGTAAAAAAGAATTCCTAATGACCACCAATCTACAGCCTTGCCATATCCTTGACCAGTAAGCACTTCTGGTGCAAGATATCTAAAAGCATCAACATTAGGTGGCGATTCGGCAGCTTGATAAGTTTCGAGTCAATTGTAAACATTACGACTTACTCGGAGGTTCCGCAAAAAGTGTGTGTAGTCTCATCATATGTCATATTTTCTTTGCATAGCCCAAAATCAGTCAATGCAATATGGCCATGGCAGTCCAACAAAATGTTTTCTGGTTTGAGATCGCTAGTATTATAAAAGAGTGTCAATTGACACTAGACAAGAATTGAATCTATCATTACACTGCCACGCGGCAGATTGACTACAAGATTGATATACAAGCCCTACCGATAAACAATGTTGTACTTGTGGAGATGTTGAATAGCCAGGATCAGCTCACAGACATAAAACTTGGCACGTTGCTCACTAAATGCCGTTTCTCGTTGCAAGTAAAAAAAAAGCTCGCCACCATTTTTGTAGTCCAGGATAAGGTATAACTTTTCTGGGGTTTGAAATGAATGTTTAAGACCCACCAGAAAGGGATGCGATGCTTGAATAAGCACATTACGCTCGGATAAAGTATGCTGAACCTCTTGCCGTTCAACAATATCTTTTTTTACAAGAACTTTCATAGCATAGATCCGCCCAGTGTCTTTTTTGCGCACCTGAAGTACTTTTCCAAAACTCCCCTTTCCAAGAACCTTCAAGAGATCAAAATCGGCGGCGGTAAGTGGCTTTTCCTAGTCGTGTGTAGATCATTCAAGACATATTTTAGATTTCGTTTGCGACTATTCGAGCCTGTTTAAATCAAACTCACCTCGATCTGCTGGTATTTGATTTGAACACGAATGTCACCACTAATATTCTCTTTTACTTGTCGTTGAAGAAGCCTAATAGAGTGTTGAGTTAGTAAAACAATACGAATAGTTGATGCAGCAAACATTGAGCAATGAGATTGCTAGAATGCAACTTTAAACTACCAACCTAAACCAATTATCATGACGTTTGTCACCGACTCTAGGAGGTCGAATCTTCATCATTCCCAGAAAAGCTTCTTCGCCATTGACATGCCGTTCCCAAATGGATATTGTGATGTCACTGGCAGTATTGGTGACATCGCTGATAGAATTATAGTTGAACCATGTTATTAGTACACTGCAGTATATGGATCATGGCTAAAGTAGTAAAATTGCAATATGCCAAAGGCATCACAACAGCAGGAATAAAGGCACATTGGCCCTGTGTATCAATCCAGACTAGTGCACGTTCAACTTACAAGCTAGCTTCATGCAGCCAGACAGGACACAGTCCTGGCTGAACATTGTCGACTGGTTCAGGAACAGCAGAAGGAATAAACGATCCTAAAAGTGCAGCAGCTTGAGGACTGACAGGATTGCCATTGATGGCAATTGCCTCGCGAGTCACACACTCGTTCTTGTCAAACTCGATTATGCAATACGGACGAGCAGTAAGACCAGTCATGAGCAGATTGCGAGCTTCCATGACTTTAATCCAAAGACGACCACACACAGCACTTGCAGGAACCGACCATATGTCGTTTGTGGTGTCCATTGCATCATCCATTGGCTGTTTGTGTATTGTTTCGGTCAAGTTTCCTTCATCGTCGAAGCTTTTTATCAAAACTTGACGTTTGAAGTTATTCACGTGTAAACTCGATTCACCGTTTTGTTCATGTAAAACTGCCATTCTTGTAGTAACGATTTAAAAGATTGTTCAACGTTCTTGAATCGTTCGTTGTAAAGTCTTGTGCGATCGTTGGATTCTTTTTTATATTCCAATCCATTGTGTTCGTGTCCAGCATCTCAGAAATACAATTCTGCATATTCATCACAAAAATACCACTTCAAGACATTTAGATGGCACAATACTACTCAGTAAGTTTGGCACCAAACATGACTGTTTATCTGCATTTTGATACCTTTATTTGGTGTTTCATTTTACGTGAATACGGCTGTAAATACCTGCTGACATCATCCAAGATTCTCAAATTACGGCTGTAGTTTTACACACGAGTACACCAATCGATCCTAAGCTCTAGTACAGCAGCTTGTTTTTGATGGTATGTTTGTACTTTTCAGTTATCCTTTCCGTGCCGCTCTGATGGTTGATCTGAGTGTTGGTTTGAAATGGCACTTGGAGCCACCAGCAATTCGTTTTTAATTACAAATCGCATTCATGTGGATTCCTGCCAGTAAAATGCATTCCAACACCACTCCATCAGTACTATGTGAGGCTAATCATGATCACTTTATAAACTGGTTTCAAACAACTGGTGATTGAGTGCATTTTTACATTTATTTGAATTTGAAAAATGGATTTTATCGTTTAAACATTTCAAATTGGTCAATATACTGTTATAGTCGAGTTTCAGTTTATGTTACAAGTTAGATACTAAAGCCATGTGGAATATCAAACACATACAATCATTTTCAATAAAAAACCTACATTATCATGTCTCAAACTCTGTCTTTCCATTTTATCAATAAAAAGAATACCCTCCATATGATCCATTTCGTGCTGAATAATACGTGCAAGAATGCCTTTTGCATTAACAGTGATACTGTTTCCATCTAATCCAAACCCTGTAACATGCACATGATCTGCTCTTCTAACTAGTCCAGAATAGTTGGGAATACTTTCACAAAACTCGTATTCTGCTTTCCATTTGGCAGAGGGCAGTTTATCGAGAATTGTCATGACTGGGTTGACAATAAATGTGCGTGCAACTGGGCCAGGCAGATTCTTTTCTTTAATCAGCTGTGTATCTGTAATTTGGTAGGCAATCAATTGAACGGGGTGACTAATCTGAGCCGCTGCCAATCCAAGTACTGAATGCAATGGCTGTAAAATAATCAGTAGTCTGGCTATACCAAGATCCAACATCTCGCATTAAATATCCATACCGAATCAAACACGGCATTCATGCTCTTGACAATCTTTAGAAATGCTGGGGTGTTAATATCATTCAAAGAAACAGCCTCTGCCTTGGTTCGCAAAAAAGGATGTCCTGAAATATTAATTTGGTTTACAAAAGCAACATTAATAAAGTGGTTCAAACTACAATCTCATATAGAGCGATCGATCCTGCACTACCAAGATTCCGAACATCAGTGGCCATTACCTGCTTTGAGAACCTCTGGACTTCCACCTTTCTATACAATTTATCAGTGCATAGGAATTGTATTGAGTAAACTTGAAGGGCAGTATGCTGAACCTTTTAAAATTCGATATTCAACAATGATCTTTACCATGATTTTTCGAATGATTGTTCTGACTGGCATGGCTTAATGTAGTAATCACGGCCAGACTCTATATTTGAAATAAACAGGAATCAGCGCATGTAATACTGTTTCATACACTCACAACCGCTACATTTATAGTCTGCATACCTGAAATGCTTGAATAGATTAGAAAACCTTGTGAATTGCCAACTCAACAATATTTCATAACCACGTGATCAAATCTGAAATCAAATTGCCATTTATTAAAGCTGTTTGCATCCAACTTACAGTAACAATCCTATACAAACTGGCTGTTTAACCCATTTTATTGGTCTAATCCGATCAATCTGTTTAGAAAATAGCTGGATTTGACAAGTGTCGCATTGAGACTCATTTTGAAGTATATTTTGGTTTTGGATTCGACAATCAGCACTTGATTAAAACTCTCATGAGCTTGACGGTTTCATCCAATTCAAAAGAGCAGCATATATACCAAATAGGATTCAATGGATTCAGTCAGCTAGATCAATGTGAATGGCATGAACCCAGTATTTCTGCACCTGCACTAGTGGCTTCATTCCCAGAACATGATATAATTGGAATCTATGTTGGATTCGAGGCAGCGATAGCTTGGAGTCGTTTGAAAATCCTCTTGTTTGGATGGTCACAACTATTTCCAACTCATCTGTACTATAACTACGGAAATTCGACACATATGACTGGAACCATATTAAAAGATGAGCTTAGCATCAACGGAGAGCTTAAAAAATGTCAAGTTACATCTACAACAGCTACTCGTCCGGTCCTCATCTTGATTCAAACCACCACGCTTGACCTACTACAGATAGAAACAGTGGGTGATATTCAACAGCATCGTTCAAATCGTTCAGATCAATCAAATGAAAAATATAAAACACATTGGATAATGTCTGATTGTATAGAGTTTGCGCATACTGCAGAGTATGGGTCTGCTCAGTTAGTATCTGGACTGATCGTGTATTGGCATTTGGATGATCCTGCTATGGTTCATACACTCGCTGTTTCTGGTTTTGACCGATTACCAAAATTGATCGACTTGTGTGCTGGAGCGGTGCATTGTGTAGCATTGACAGAGGAAGGTGAGGTATGGACGTGGCGAATGGGTTCTGCCACAGCATTGCATGGACAGCTGGGATATATTGATTCGACCGTTCTGGCTGATGGATTTCAAGCTCAGATTGTTGAAGCATTACAAGGAATGCGCATGGCTAGTATATCGGCTGGAAGACAGCATACAATGGTCGTGTCAAAGGACGGTACCATCTATTCATTGTACGTCTACATCTTACACGATCGTGTCGGTTTCTTGAATGCAAACACATGGCACAAGACTAACTTGGTTTTATTCATCTTGCTTGTTATTGTTGATTATTTTGTATGCCAATCAGTGGATCAAATCGATACAGTCAGCTGGGAATCGCCAGTTCTCATGGAAAGCCAGAACCTATAGATTTGGATTTGGAATCAAATTCCAACATAAAATCTGAAATTGCATGTGGATTCCATCATAGTATTGCTACTGATGGTACACGCTTGTATGGGGCTGGATGGAACTCGTACAACCAGCTGGGACGCATGAAAGAACTGGGCTGCATTCATGAGATGCGACAGTTGGATATTCCACTGCCAGCACAGTGCAGTATTGTTGGAGTATATGCTGGTGGATGGTCCACCTTTATTCTTGCAACAGTGCCCTGTCTGCAATCAAACTACCAATCGGAAACTATCACACACAAAAGTATAGCTGTAAAAGAATAATAAAAACGCCATTTTATTGAATGCACTTCATAACGGCAAGACACAAGGAAGGTAAAAGACCCATACCAGAAACAGTATTACCCATGTCTACATTGGCGATTACCGAAAGCAACGTTTCAGAGCTTGATAAAACAAAAACAAGGTTGGTGAGATTAGTCGACTGAAAAAGTAAGTCAAACATTTGGTCGATGCCATCAATTAACAAACCTAATATTTCCATATTGAAGTTCAAACTGTGAAGATCTTAGGCCGCATGGATAGTGGAATAAACCATCATTGTTGCCATCACCGAATCCCATTTGCAGATGAAATCGTGTTTTGCTAGAAAATGCAAAAAATGGACAACGAACAGACAGCGATGATCCAGGCTTGGCTGGTTGTTCAATCGAGATCAAAGGACACATGTGGCGAGTTTGTTCAAACTCGCGCCAAAATACCTTGAGATTTTCAAATGTGTATGCAATGTCGTCAAGCACCTGCATTGAAAGATAATTACATTGAGTTTTGCAAGGCTAAAACATGAAGCTCTAAATCAAACCAATTGTTTGAAATGCCAGCATATATCAAAGTATAAGTACCTGCTTCATTTGAGGCCATTTGTGAAATACAGAGTGGAGCTGTTCGTATTTATCCAGTATATCTTGGATCTAAAACAATCAAAATTATGCAGGTTAACAAAGGCTAGCACTTGCAATCAATACTAGATCAGGTATGTGATGGACACTAAACCCAAAGGTGAAATACATACGTTTTGAGCCCCAATACCATCTACCACTTGAAATCCTGTCTGAGTTTGCAGCCAAGTTTTGGACAACTACAAATAAAAGTCAATATGTTACATGGACAGTAGTATCCAAAATCAAACACGGTGCAAAACAATACCTTGGATTCCTTCAGTTGCTTTAAAAGTGCAAGTTTCAACGAGTATCCATTGCCCTGTTTATAAAAAGCAACTTCAACTACATCATCAAATACAAAAATATGTCTTGCCATAGAAATCTCCAATGGCCGCCAAAGATGTGTCAAAACAATTGTCTTGTACTCGTGGCGAAGATGTGGAAGCTCTTCTGGATCAAACACCATAAGATCTTTTGACACTTCCTCGTACTTGGCAATATCTTGCACCAGTTCAGCAATAAGTACATTTGCTTGAGCAATTGATGCAGTTTCTTCTTGAGACTGAAGGCGTAAATCTTCAAGTTCTCGAGTCAAATGCTCAAGCTCAGCAATTTGTTCTGCCTGAAGCTTGGTCAGCTCAGCGACACGAGCAGTTTCAATCTCAATAGCCTTGGCTTGAGCAGTTTGCATTTCTATAGTCTTTTGTCGAAGAGTATCGCGATACGTAGTGGCACTTTCATTGAGGATAGAGAATTGTTTGACATACTCATCCATCAGTAGCTTGTCCCAACTGAAGCGCTTGCAATTCTCTCCTAGTGCAGCCTGCATAGGATCAATCAGCTGACCGCGCCAACTGTACCATGATTGTTTAGCCTCCAACCGCGCATAGGATTTACTCAGACGAAGACTATTGATCATGTCGTCTCGTTCCTCATGACTAGCATGCTCATATTCAAAGAAAATAAGTGGTGGATTCTTGGTGGCTGATTCCTCAATGTCTTGTAAAGTCAGATTTCCATCGTTGATAGATTGGGTCAGTTCACGACACGCAAATTCGTAAATTTCTAGCTCGGGAAAATAAAGACATGTAGCTTTTAGGTATTCGTGTATTGTTGGACATTCACTGTTTGATTGAAAAGCATTAGTATCACGACGAAGTCGAGTGGTCAGACTGCCCATGAATTCAATGCCAGTAGCAAGCAAAAACTCTTTGAGTGTTTTAATTTGTCCAACTGAAATGGCTTCAGTGTCTTTGAAAAAGGATGATTCTACAACAGACATGTGCTCATCGAGTAAATTGTCTTCATCTTCAATATCGGGAATATCCAACTGTTGCTCTTCTTTAGCAGTATCGTCATCTAGCATTTGCAATGAAGTGTCGAATGCGACTGGACTTTCAAGAGTCTGCTCGATTTGGCAGGCATCAGGATATGATGCAGATTCAACATTTTCTTCAGGAGAAAATATATCCAACTTTTTTGCAGATATCGACTTTCGACTTTTTCGACGAGACTCGGATTTTGAAATTACAGGTGAAGAAACAGCAGCGTTGGATTCAGAACGTGTAGCCAAAGGAGTAGATGTAGCCGATTGATTGACTAGTTTTTTGTGTAAAGAGTTGGTACTTGCTTTATTAGCGGAATGAAATGTCAAACCCTGATGGATAGCAGGCGATTTCATAGTTTTACTTCGACTTCGAGTAATGGGAGAGCCAACGTCAAAATGAACTGCTGTTGGAGTGAGTTCAATCATTTCCTTATTAGTAGATGGTGTTTTTTTCAATACAGATTTTAAGATGGCAGGGGTTGACTGTTTCTTGGAAACACCAGATCTAGGTGATTTAGTGGGCATATCCGGAGCAGGACTTTTCCTTTGGCCAGTTTGACGAGACATGACACGACGCACAGGGGTACTGACAGCAACAGCGTTATTCTGAGTAGTAGTTTCGTATGTGGATATTTCAGGCTTGGATTGTTCTCTAGAAGCCAAAAATTCACTAGAAATATTGCCAGTAGTGGAAGAAGCAGGAGCCGAAAAGAACCGTGTAATAGTGTCGTTGGTATCGACAATATTGGCAAACTTGGTATTTGTATGAGATGCAACCAACCCTTGGGTTTTAGTGGTTTCCAAAACCGAAATATCCATTGAAGATTGCGACATGGTTAGTTCCTGAGTATTACCGGTATCCATAGATGTAGTACTGGACTGAGTAGCAACAATATCTAGTGACATGTCACACAAATCGGTAGGATCCTCATCCACTGACATTTTCAACTCTTGATTGCTTAGTAAAGTATCTTGAGCACAGTCGAGACTCATGGTATTAGACACACTCATATAATGAGATTCTTGAGACGGGGTAACTTCCCCGATTTCAGAAGCTAAATCCATCATTTGGCTTGCTTCTTCCTCAAGATCATCGGAATAAGCTCCAGATTCTACATCTTGAAAAAGAGTGGATTTTGCCAAGGGAGAAGGAGCAGTTTGATTTTGGAAAAAACAAGCTACACTGTCACGACGATTTACAGCAGATTTGGATACAGACACGGGTGCAGGAGACTGATTGCGTCTAGGAGATAGTGGTGGAATGGCTTCCAGTTGATTTTTTAAACTAATGAAAAAGGGAGCAATGCTATCACGACGAGAAAACCGAGAGTTTAAGGGTGAATCTACAATGTCAGGAGAAGCAACAACACTATAAGTCGAGCGGCCAGATATGCGCGGCGTTGACTCGTCTTTGCGCAGTAATTCAGCCAATTTGGTTATTGATTGATTAGAGATAATAGTACCATGAGCTGCTGTCAAGTCCATATCGTCCGAAGATAAACTGTAATTTCCAGAAATAGTAGATTCTTCTGCTGCCTTTGCTGCATTGTAATGGTTCATACCAAATAAAATATTTGGAGACCCTTTGGTGCTGACTTCAAAGCTTTGCTGACTAGAATTCAGTATTAACGTATATTGGCAATTTAGTATTGAATGACACAAAATTACACTAAAAGATAGGAATGGAACATTAAAGCAATATTACAATGACAATCACTTACGCGTCGCTACTAATATCTATGCTAGTATTGGACTCATTCATTGGACTACCCATCTGAGATGTAACATCTCCATTAATTCCATTAGAAAGTGACATTCCAAGATCGTATAAACTTGAAACAGACCACAAAAGTGTATATGTGAGTATAGAATAGTCCTTACAATCCATATAAACAGACAAAATTGAGTGCTAATCTCAATCAAGACAGCCAGAAATTCATTATGTTGAGAGCATAAAGATATACCTGGAGCGCCTGACCGATACAAGATCCGGCATTTGAAATCCTACTGTAGAGTCGGATTCACCAAAGAATTCGCGATCTACTCCAAGTTCATCTGAAGGGTTTTTTGTTTCTAGAAGCCAGTCATCCGAGTCTTTGTCAAAAAGTCTATATAGACAGTAGCATATTTGTTGAGTAGAAAATGTATAGTTTAATGTCAGTTGTTGGCGGAAACATGTGATTTAAAGCGTTGACAAGTACAACTTTTAAATAACTATTTGCAAGGAATTTGAAACCATGATTATGGACACAAGATACCTGACATGAGCAGTAGCCGCAAAGCTAACTCGACGATTTCCAATGCTAGATTTTCTGCGTAGTTTGCGACTTATAAAAAGCATTCAATAGTTAGCATCGGATATTATCTACATTGAAATGCTTGTTTTGGCTATTTTGATATTAGAATCAGCCATAGTATGCACATGACATTGAATAAATGGCTTACGCTTCTATAGCAGACATTGTCATTTCGGAGGGATTTCCAGGATTAGAACTTGCTTGTGAAGATACATGTTCATCAATGGTCGATTTAACAGCTGTATCAGATTTTAACTGAGATTCGGGTTCAGAAAACAATGTATTTTTAATGGTATTGGGAGGGTCATGAGCATCGGATTCATTCATGTCGACTTGGATGAGTTGAAGCTGATAAAATGAAGTTGTTGGATTAGAACATGCAACGACAAGCCAGAAAAATGTCCATCAGTGAAAATATCAATAGTAAATCTCACTCACTGATTTACTTTTGTGTCTGTTGGTTGGCACAAAATACTCCAGTCTTTACAGTGTTATTGGACAAGATCGACTTCAGATTTGTCCGATTGTTCGTTCAACACAATATCAGGTCACGTGTCATATTTTTACTTTCAATATTTTCAAACCAAATCTCAAATCGTGTTTAATGAATTACTTGAATTTAACAGAGTATAAAAAGTAATCATTCTTGGATCCAAAACTATGGAATTAAATACAATGTCTTTGACTTTCCAAAGAGTTGTACTGTCCTGGACAAACTAGACGAGCTCAATCACTTTCATCATCAAGTGCTACGTCTATTTCCCCCAAAATCTTCTCCTCTGCTTCCATATTATTGGTTGGGCTAGGTGAGAGTGCTGGTGGTGGCGGTACTCCTAAAAGATTGAAACGTGCAATAAATTGTAAGTATATTGTATCCCGATTAAAATATAGCCTACATACTAAATTCAAATATCGTCACTTGCCTTGCATACAGTTAAAGTCCCAGGTGGATACCCATTTCATTCGCTGACATTGTACAGGTGTCATTTCAGTACCATATGCTAGTGGTGAAAATATAGAAAAGATCCAGATTACTGCCAAAGCACATCCAATAGCAGCCATGAGTTGGCCATATCGCCTTAATTTCAAAGTGATAACATCAAAGAGTGCCCCAAGCAGCAAGATTGAAAAGTAGAGTGATGGCAGATAATGATGCAGAAACAGCTGTTTAAATATTAGTGTAGCTCATGCCATTGTTTTAAAATATTAGCAAGTTGAAATAATCGAAATACAACTCCGATATTGGTAACCAAATAATACACGATACCTGGCGCTTCATAAAGAAAAAAGGAAGGTAGTGAAGACACCAGCCAATAAAAAAGAACCAAGAAGCGTTTGCTGCTTCCTTGAGAAATCCTAGGCATCATAATAACATGAAAGATTGTGGTTATTAGCAGCGCTAATCTTTAAAATATATGCACTACGCAACGTGTATTTACCCAGGTTGATGAATGCCACTCTACGTTTGGCAGCAACAGCTTCAAATAGCTCATATCCAATGTAAACTATCAATCCAACTAGTGCTGAAAACCAGATAAGGGGATTTCCGAGTAGATAGATTGTTCCCGTGGTGGTTTTCGAGTGCCAAAAACTGATTCCTCGGCGAAGAAATGGCCATACACCTAAAAATTTGCAAAATCCATTCACCAGTTAAACATTCAATTCTTTAAACCGCTAAAATGTGTTGAAACTACACGGTAATAAAACTAACCTGGACGAGAGTCGTATGGATGAGAGCCCTTGAGGCCTTGATTGATTTGCCACATCACTTGATGAACATGAATAAACTTGGAAAAAAAGCCCGGCTTTTTGTAATTGATCATCTCAACATCATCAGGCACTATATCATCATATATCATGTGATAATTAATATCAAACATCACAAACTATTTAAAACTAAGCAAGTGCCAATTTTGAACCATCATACTTTCTGGATGCTCATTATACTCGATACGCCAACTGTGTAATGCATATCAAAGCATGCAATAAAGTAAAATCAAGTTAAAAATCAAAGTATAAAGCACCGACAGACAAAAACCTTCAAAGTCAAAACAGGACATATTTACACTGAGAGTTTCTTCAGACCATTCTTGGCACATGATACTTCTTGTTGGCCAAAGCCTAAACTCACACAGATATATCAATATTAAACGAAATAATTGTCACAGCAAAATTATGTAGATGGTGCAAGTATGGGCAATATTGCAAAAACATACCCCACTCAGGAAGCTTTGTAGCGCGAGAAAACAAATAGCAACCAGTGCCACGATGCTTCAAGCGAATACGATCATGAATAGCCTTGATATTAGGAGGATCAGACGTGGACTTTTGATTTAAAAGCTCAACAACCCAATAGTCGTTGGAGTCTCCTGGATAATCCTTCATTCCATAACCAGAAGCCTCATTGTAGTCCTTGTCATCGTTAAAGCCAGATCTATAATTTTATTGGATGCATAAACCAGTATTAGAAAACACCGATTGGAAATAATGCAAAGCATTACATTCTATACCTAACATCATGACTGTGCAGTTTTTTAAAAGTAGAAACATGTTCTATCAATACAACATATCCATAATGTTAATCACTAGTCCAGCTTAAACAGAATATGGCAGTGAATCATATCAAAATCCTATTGATTTGAATAGTAAACCAAAAACCCAATCCTACCTAGACGAACAACCGAGCCATGCTTAAGACGCTCAAATCCAGTAGGCATGGTATCAACTGCAGTGTCATTAACAAAAGTAAGTTCAGGCTTGACCAAAAACCAACTATTTTCATCTAAAAACGGATATATTGGGTAAGCCATGGTTACATGTAGCGAATCAGCAAACTAAACAATAGCAATGGTAAATTGCCTCTAAAAGGATAGCAAGTCATTTGCTGCTGCTGAGATCCACCAGGATAATTGTGTGCGTGTGAGTGCAAATAACCACCACGAGTAGCCTCATGGCGAAGAGCGATCTTTGATCCATAGGCAACATCTATTAATAGTATAGTTTATAAGCATCCGAATACGAATTCACCAAGTGCCATTAAAATGGAATGTACCTGCACGAGTATCAGCAATCTCACTGCCCAAAAGCGTGGACTGGAATTCGGGACTCATAAAGCCCGACCCGCTCCCTTTTTTATACAGCACTGAAAAATGGATTTGAAAAAGTAACATGTAGATTGCTACAGGAACAATAATAAGACAAATCACTCGTGCATAAAGATGCTTGATAAAAGCACGCTATATCAAAGTAGCAAGCAGTCGAAAGCTTTAAATTAGCCAAACTCATCTGTAACATCACGCATTTATCCAAACGTACGGTCCATGCTAGATGCAGCATTCACTTACTATAGGGACGCTTCCATCAGTGATTAAATTCCAAAGATCTTGCAGTGTAGCAACTCCAATCAATGCAATGGTGAAAAGACCAACCCATTTTACGCTATAACAAATAAATTGAATGTCAATACCAGTCTACAATTATAAACAAAGTTCATAGTACTACAACATCAAATGGAGTACCTAACAGTAAGACCTATACCGATTCCAGTAAATGTCAGTGTTCTCCACCACAAAGGACTGAATGGGCGATCATATACGCGACGGAACTCGGTCCATAGCATAGCAGTTAATCCAGTAAAAAAAACTAAAAAGGAGTCCAGTAAAATAAGACGGAATTGACTAGCGTGTAGAATTGAAACATATAAATGTGTAAAATCAGCAAAAAGACACCAAAGTCGTAGTTGAGACTAAACGATAAGCATATGCATCGAATAACTTCATACCAGACAAAAGCGTTTTCAAATATGACCAAAATACTTGTCAGTACAGATGCCGTTGTAGAAAACCCAAAATTTCTCATTGTAGTATACGAAATCTATATTTAGTTGGATACACCGTAGTGTATTTATCAGTTAGTGTATCCTGGTAAACATCCTTCCCAACACAGCACGCTGGGTTTCTGTAGTGTAAACATACCGGGGATAATAAAGCACCCATAAATGCAGGAACACCACGCATTGCGATATATGGGACTTTGGAGGAGATGTAACTTAGGCCAATTTCCTATTACTGTAGAGTTTAATTTCTGTAGTATTGCTAGATCATGGACATGCATTCAAGCCATGTATTCACCTTGAAAGAAAACGATCCATTGTATCCCAAAAGCACTCCACTACTTGCAACAATCAACTTTCCGAGCTGAGTTTCGACAATAAAAAATGAGTTGGTTAGTGTTTAAACAAGACGCATCAAAAATGTAAAGCAAGATAATCGTACAGGAGGATGGACATCCATAAAGAATTCTGATTTGATATACTTTGTTGCAAATCCGCCTAATTAAAATCAATGGCATTAAAATATGAATCTACATGTACAATTACGGACAGCTCTATTTCAACATAAAGATGGAATGACATGACAAAAAGCATTACCAAAATGAACCTCGTCAAATACAACTTCTGGCGGCTGTGGAAGATTGTACAGTCTGACAGCAGTAGCAATTAGAGTCAGTATCAAAATAATACCCATACTGACTGCTTGAGGACCTCGACTCTCGCTGTATGCAAAAAATGTCTATAATCAATATAATCAATATCATTTGATACAAAAATATCAGCATAGTTTTCGAGTAGTAGTGAATTTCAAGGCATTAGATTTGGAAGCCAAAGACCATGAAGGTTGAGATAAGCAGCCATGCATAGATTGAGCTAGTTCCAGCCAGTATTGATCGACTGCTACAAACAAGCGTCTAGAGAAACAATGAATTATTGCATTCGCCGATCAGTAGCCAGCTGGATAGCTTTGAATGGTCAAGCCCAGTGCACTGGTGGATTTGTCCGACGAACCTCGACTGCAACATATGACAAGACAGTCTCACTATCAACAAGGAGATGCTCACCAGTTTAGGCTCTCTCCCAAAGGGCTGTGGCAGTTGATTTGAATGAGCTTTGCCTGCACGCTTTGGAGAAGTGGAAGAGATGCTGCTGGTTGGAGAGTATTGGCTCAAACTCGAAGAGCGTCTCTGGTGTCCGTGAGACAACTGGCCTTTTGTGCTGGTTAGCAAAGGCGGGGGCGGGGAGGCAGGAGCAGTGCGTCTCATTGCCTTGCAGGATGGTCGAGTGGAAGACCGGAAGTTCGGATAGGTTGATCCAGTTGAATTCCAAAGCAGTTTGATGGCATTCACTGTTGGCAAATGCCAGACGATCTTCAAGACTATAACAATGATTTTATTCAACTTGCAGTGCTGCATGATTAACATGCGCATCTGCTACATAAGCCAAGAACGAGTCAACTCGCAAGCAAGGCAGTGCGGATCTATAGCATGCCAGCATATCTTGATCCTGTTCTGCAGGTTGAACAAACCCATTCAAACAAACACCGCAATCCTTCAACATCTGGATTGATAAACTAAACCGTTCTAACAAGGAGTGATCTAGTGTAGTCCAGAACGCCATGTGGTAGTCGCGAGGATATGCCATCGTCAATGGCAAAATAAGATATTTCTGCAGATGCAACGCACCAAAGGAAACCGCTACAAACTGATTCAGCAAGTCTTGGTATAACTGGAAAAATACTGTACCGCCGTTCATGGCAAGCTCTAGTGGAGGTGAAGCAGTTGCTTGGCTTGTTTCTGAATTCATTTCTGCTGAAGATCTCACTTTACTGCTTGCATGTGATGGCATACATACTGATTTCGCATAAGTGTTGAACGCCCAGTCTAAAATAAATGCAATATCATGATCATGAAAAACTTCGTTACCGTTGTCATCTGAAAGCAAAAACACCTTCATCATGTGTGTAATAATCGCACTTGGCGCTATAGTAGTCAAACAATTGTGTTCTGACATGTCCTTGAAAAAGCCAAGTACGTGTTTAACAATATCAATCACATCAGCTGGAACAGATGAAAGCCCATGCGTCTTGAACTCATGATACAGTCGATCTAAAGGTCCAAAAATCCAATCGCGTCGGATTGGAAGTGATCCTGTTCCATTCAGAGACTCAAAAAACAAGGACCTCAAAACAATCCGATCATCTGCACGGTACAAGGCTTGAGATTGAAGGAGTGTAGAATCAGTAAACAACTCGAGAGAAAAGATGCGCGACAGGGCTGTATCTGGTTTCTCCATTGGGCTGAACTTGTGAGAAAACATACTCCCATTTAGCCAGTCTGCTGCAATATACTCATCTCCGGGAAGAAGTTCAGGAATCCCTACAGCACTTGCAACTACAGCTGCTTTTATGGCCAATTCGATGGTAGGCGTGCGCTCAGTACATTTGCGTGCTAAAACTGATACACCCTTTGTCCATGTAAGTAGCATATTGGGTCGACCCTGTCCAAATACTCGAATCCAACTCTCGTGGTCATAGAGCAGCAATGTGTCAAATTCTTCAGTCAAGAAATGAATCAATTTCATGCATAATGGACTAAATAGTATCGAGTCTGCAGAAAGCTCATTTGGAAAAATATGTCTTTTCACCAACTGACTGGTATCAAGCAATGCTGCTGCTGCGTTGCACAATGCTGTCAAATCAGTAAGCTGGGTTGCTCGGCGTCTCGCGCTTAATTGGCAAAATGGGATGCCTAGCTCCGATTTCAATCCGAAAAGCGGGAAATCAATATTTGATTCAGCATACTTTGCAAAAAATGCAATTGTGGATGGGCTGAACACACAATCTTTAATTTGTGGAATGAGCTGTTCTACTTTGCAGAAAATTGTCATGATTTCAGAACCTGCTTGAAACTGGTATGTAATTGATTTCGAAACATAGTCATTCAACAAATCAAGTGCTGCAGAAATAAATGCTGCGCGTGCAATGGTATCAGTGAATGAACTGTGTGTGTGATGTTCAGGAACAGGAGAGTGGCAGACAGACTCTAGTACATTGACAACAAGCGTAACAAACGGCAAAAGAGCGTCATTCTCCCCTCCAGCATTCATCTCCGATCTGTATCGCATCAACAATGTTTGCAAAACTCGACAGATACTTGTGAGTGCAGAAAGTGAAGCCATACGAATCTTTAACACGTCATGAGTGTCAGTCTGTGATTCAGATAGTACTGGCGATGAAGTAAAACGTAAACACAATAAACTGCATTTTTCTGCACACTCCATCATAAGTGATCTATAGTCGTCAAACACTCTGCCTCCAAGCGTATAGGAAAAAACAACTCCTTGCAGCAGCCAAACCTGAGTCGCAATATCGAGCTTCAAGCCAACTCCATAATTTTTTCCCGCTATTTCAAAGTTGCTAGGAAGCAAAGTAAGATACCGCATTGTTGCTGTGATCAAATTATGCTTTATCAGTGCGACAGTTGCATCTCGACCAGACTGACAAAGTATTCTGAATAAGCGGAGAGTATTTCGAATCAAAGTAAGTTCAACAATAGATGTATCAGAGAGTGGCCATTTTAGCTTGAATACATTTTGAGCAATAGCGTCAACCAGACCAGCACATTCAAGAATGTCTTGAGCACTAATGGCCGAGTGTCTTGCCATGACAGTTAGAATGTCAACAATGTCAATCGCAAACCGAGTAGGCGAGCTGGTATTCTTCAAAAGATACCTCATTCGTACCAAGATATTGGTTTCTTGCAAACCACTTACTGCATCAATGCTGATGAGCTTTGAGATTGACGCAAGGCTATCGTTTTTTTCTGGTAATTCAAAATCTACAGTGTCTTTGCCGCGCGATTTAGCTGCAAAAAGTGCAATGGATTTTGGCGACAAGGAAATGGTACGATATCCTACACGAGCTAAAGATAAGCGACTCCAAATAAATTCTGATGTGTATTCACTTTCAGAGAAAATAGATGATGCACCAAAATACTGTGCAAGTGTCTCGATTGCCTGGAATACAACCGTTTCATGGGATGCATCCACAGCAACTCGAATATGAAGTAGCACATCATTTTTTTTGAAAAGTTTGATGATAGCAGCCAAATCCTTGGAAGAGTATTGCTCCTCGTAAATATTTGTGATAATTCGAGAAATCAGTTGAAGACTCATTGCGCGTTGGGCTGGAACCGTGCTTTTTGACAAATATACAAGTTCCTTGATAGAGTAACCTGGAAGTGAAGGATCATCACCATGATGAAACAAGGCTGAATTGTCAACCGTACTAGTTGGTGTGAGCTGAGTTAAAATAGTTCCTTGGAAATCAAATCTGTACAGCTCTTTTTCGGCACTTGCCAAGTTGCTATTTTCCAAATGTATGCTCGACTGTTCTTCTAAATCCAGCATCCACTCTAATTTTTCTGGCTGAGCGGTAGATGGATCAATAAACTGATCAATATGTGAAAAGGTATGATTTCTAGTAAACATGCATGAAATGCGTTAGGAACAAGCTTTGGCTTACAGTCATACCTTGAAGATTGGCATCAGATCATATAAAAATTTCCTACTCATTTGATCGCTCCAATGAAGTTGTTGCTTTTGTTTTAGCATCTGCATTGCTAGATACCGCAACATCATTCGTTAGTGGTGTGGGTTTGCGACTCATCAAAAAACTTAATATTGCAGGATCCAGCTTGCTTGCAATCTCTTGTTGTGCGTCAGCAATCTCTTCAGCAGACATCATGTCAATCTTTCGAATGTTCTCTTGTGCATAGTCTGGCATGTCAGCAGCATTGGGTGTATCCCGATCAGACACTAAATCTGGCGCGGCACTGCTTTTCGTAACTGCTCTGATGCTACGATGCACAGAAGTAGGAAACCCATCTTTATATATTGGTTTCATATCAAATGCATGCTGATCTGCTTGCGCATTAAAGTCTAAATCTCGCTCAGTGACATTTTTGAGTACGCTGCCAAAGAGGGCATCTGTCGACTCGATGTATGACTTTGGGTAGTGTTTTTGATTTGGGTTTGAAGTTGAGTCGTGCTGAAAATCAGAATTGACAACATCTCGATGTACAGATTTATGATCAACAGGAGTAGTAGATTCAGTAGCCGCAGCCAACTTTGCAATTCGTCGTTGAGCAAATAGTGACATTTTCTTTACTGGCTTGTTGTCGGATACTAGTATTTCTGGAGTTGAAATGGGAGCTGAATCGAGTTCTGGTATTTGATCCAGTGCACTATCCCAAGACACAGATTTTTTTTCAGACTGAAGTGGTTTCAATTCAGCAGTATCTTCATGGTCTGGAGCAATGACAGGAGTTTTAGAGTTTGAAGCAGACCTGACAGCAGGCGGTTTAGAGCGGATTGCGGTGGCAGCACTCTGACCAGAAACACTGTTAAACTCATCCTGCATTCTAACTAGATCATGCTCATCATCTGTAGACTTTGGTCGTTGCACAAACTTGAATGATTGTCCTGCAGTAGATTCGTTCATGTAATTTTCTTTGTCAAGTTGAAATCATTATTTCTATAGCAAATCACATGGTTTTGGCTATTGCTGTATTCACGTAAAATGGAATACTTTTGTATTGATTGCCTCGAGAACAAGGACTGAATCTTCGTTGCGTATTTCTACTGAAACTGACTGTTGTTGAATCAACACAGAATGCATTATACGATGCTTAAAAAATCAAACTTTAAGTTTAATCCGAGATTCTTTTTCTTCTTGTCTAGTATAATCATACATTGTACAATCACCAAGTTTGAATTCAGATATTGAGTTGGATGTTACCAAACTCTTGTATTTTAAATCAGATACGCTCGCGTTCTAGTTCAACAACATGTTAGAAAGACAATTATAATGACAATCTTCAAAACAGTAGAGTTCAATCAACACAATACTCTGTAAACTGACACCCTTATTTAGTTTTATTTTACGTGAATACACTGGTAAACCGAACGAATCCATTCTAAAAGCACTTGTCTAATCATGTCACTGTTTCGTCCTTGTATTGATTTGCACGATGGACAAGTCAAACAGATTGTTGGTGCTAGTCTATCCGATACTGCCCCAGCTATTATGAAAACAAACTTTGTTTCTAGGTACGTCTATTGGCATGTACGATAAATGGAATTCAACTCGAGCGTTTGGGTCGATTGTTGCATGAGCCTATTCATTACTGTCAAGTTGATTGATATTCAAGCCAACTCATCTTTTTAAATGTGTGTTTAGTCATTCGCCTTCATACTATGGCTCCTTGTACAAAGAGAACCAACTTCATGGTGCTCATGTCATTAAACTTGGTGCCAACAATGACGAAGCTGCTAAACAGGCTCTTGCAGCTTGGCCACAGGGACTACAAATAGGTGGAGGAATCACTCTTGATAATGCGGAAACGTGGATCGATGCAGGTGCTGACAAGGTATAATCTTGTTGGACCAGATTGCAGGATTGTCAGCACAAAGCTGATCTTTGTATGTAACGGATTCCTCATTTCTGATTAGATCATCGTCACAAGCTGGCTATTTCAAAATGCAAAGTTTGATGAAGATCGATTGCGATTATTGTCTGAGAAACTAGGAAAACGATTCTTGGTTGTCGATCTCAGGTGAATACAATTTATAGAATTCGTAATTCACACTTGAAGACCTATCAGTAGGATTGAATTGCTTTCTTGATGTTTTTGTTGATAGTTGCAAGACGCTTGATGATAAATGGGTGGTCGCTATGAACAAATGGCAGACACCTACAGATTTAATACTGAGTGAATCTGTGCTTGAAAACTTGGGTTCATATGCATCCGAGTTTCTTGTGCACGCTGCAGACGTCGAAGGGTTGTGTCAAGGAATCGATGAAAAACTAGTTGAAGGTGAGTCTGCTATATGAATAAAATTGTTTAGTCTACTATTGAATCAAGATGTAAAGTTTATATTTTGGGTATAATTTGGTTTGTCTTGAAATAGCACTTGGAAAGTGGTCAAAGATCCCTTGCACGTACGCAGGTGGTGCAAAAGGTATGATTTTAAACAATAGATGAGTATATGCTGTAATGCATTACAGTTGAGTTGTGCTTATTAGATAATTTATAGATTTAAGTGATATGGATCTTGTCAATCGTCTTTCCAAAGGACGTGTCGATTTAACTTTTGGAAGGCATGTGTCTTGATTGTTATTTTTGTAGTCAGTTGTCCATAGACCGAGTTGCTGACTCGATTATCAACTGTATAGTGCGCTGGATATTTTTGGTGGCAGCGGAGTCAAGTTTGATGACCTAGTCGCATGGAACAACACCATCCGCAACACTATTTGCAAATAAATTATTGCCAAATGCTTCATTATTGAATCTTGAATCTCAAACTCTCCAAATACCAGCGTTTTATTCGTGATATTGGATCACACCAAACTTGCCATTGACCATCCAGTTGGCATCTATTTCAGTTAGCTTCTCTGCTTGTCCCTCTACAAGTCCAACAATAGTATCACTTTTGCATGTTCTCAGTAAAACAAACGGAGCAATCTGAGTTTTGGCAAGCGGGCCTATTGCTTCCTCAAGAGTTGTCGTTGTTGGCCATGAAGCATCGTGTACCATCTGAGTACACATGGATCGTATAGTATCGAATGCAAGTCAGTATTCATAGCATCGATACTAGATAGTCTATGCAATAAAAGGCAATTGCCAAGCACTTTCATTTACCTTGCGATAGTTCAAATCTCCTTTGAAAAAAATAAACTTGGCATCGCTTAGTGTTTGCAACAGAACGCATGCCTTATCTGGCATCCTCCAAAACGGAAATGGCGTAGTCCAAAACGGATCTTGTTCAAGTATCCACCTCCCATTCTTCAACCACAGTCGCCAACGAGAGACAGCCTCCATTAAAATGGCACACCCATGTATTTCAGCTTGAGTTTGGCACACATCGAGAGTTTGGTGAAAATCAGAAATGGTAGTATCGCTCACAAACCATCCATACTGCTTGACTTGAAAGACAATTCGACAGTCAGTTGAAAGAGTCAAGTGATCTGCCATACAAAGATCCGCAAAAAGTTCAAATCCTGCATACATTCCAACATACAATGTACACGTATTTAAAGTTTAGAAACATTGATATTATGCATACAAGACTCGAATAATTTATAGACAACTGCAATACCAGCATTATCGAGTACAAACACGACGTCTCCCGTATGAACGGATTGGATCTTTCCAATGACACGATCAATGTCATTGACAATGATATTGTTACAAACAGCTGCCAACTGATTCTTTCCAGATACTTGCAATTTGTGAAGATCATCATGCTTAGCATGCACTAAAAGTGACAAATCAGTCTAAATGAACAGTATTGTGCAAACAGCAGTAAGACAGTGTCAATGAAAGCGGTATATACTATTCAGCAAACATGAATCTACCTGATTTCCCCACAAAGAAAACTGATTGTTGCCATGTCAAATTCATTCAATAAAAAATGTTGGCTTCATTGCATACTATCCATCATCATTGCAACATTTGAATTGTACTGACTATTTACCTGTATGAGCTCTCGCATTAGATCCGAGTCGATTCCATTCGTTTTGGTTCCCAAAGTAGTCGACAATTGCAGAATAGACTGGATCGATCCAATCAATGAAGTCTATTTGACATAAAGTTGAGAAATACAATCGAGTTTGAATTTACAAAAATATGCTCCAACCTGCTTGTCTTGTGCAAACACATCAAAATCCGTCCAGGCATTTCTTGCAGTAATAATCTGTCTTAATGCTCGATACATGTAACATTCGACAAAGAGCCAAGGAGCTTGAAACCAAGTGCATGCCAATGCATCACCAAGCTCTTCCATGGCAGCATTCCATACATTGGAATCTGCTGTTAGACTAGCAACAGCAGATTCAGTCCAATCGCTTGGTGAATGAGAAGAAATGGGTGTTAATGGGCGATCACGCACCATGTTGTACTTGAGCTCTGAGATATCAAACGTGATTTCTTTGAGTTGAGCAAGCTGATCAGGACTAAAATGTACAGTCTTGCCATCAAGTCCTTTATACTGCATGCGAGCAAACTGATCCAGAATCTTTGTAAGAATTACCTTTGAAAACAATGTGATGACCAGCAATGCATTACCAGTAACGAGTCAGAAATCAACTATTGAAAGTGGTTTGATCACACATTGCAATTGACTGCCATTGACTTACTGGCATACGGTCCTTGATAGTCAAGTATGCAAAGGAATCAGTGATGCTACCACACAGTAGTGGTGCATTGGGTTTCTCCAACTGTCGAGTCATTCAAGTTGGATAATATCAGCTAAACTAAAAAACCATTACTCCACTTTCACCGCCATAAACTCATTTTAAATCAAAATCATTCAACAGGCGTAGTCAATCAGTTTGTATTGCGCATAATGGATGAAGGGTTTGACAGTAGGAAGGGGATAAAGGAAGAGTCAGGTATGGTGGAGATCAGAGTAGAGGGAATAGTCCGTAGTAGAAGGAAGGGGTTGAAGGAAATCAGTTTAATAAGGACATGCCTAAACCAAGGTAATAAAGTTGGAAGAGAAGTTCGGAAGCCTGCACGCATAACAGTTAAAATAGCAGAGCAGATTACTTTTCAAAAGTTAAATCCACCTTGAGGAACATTTGCTTGAGCAGAGAATGCAAATGTACCGGTGTTCTGGTTAACTTCTGGTGCAACACCAGCACTCTCGTCATTCTCATCGTTGAAATATTTGTCAATAATAGAGTATGCTTTGCGATAGATTTCCGTGTTCTCGTGCATTTGCAGCTCGTGGATCTTTTCCATACCACCAGCCTCTTCAATGAAAAGAGCCATCTGGTTACCATTGTGTTGTTCTTGCTCGTCCATTTCACCCACTTTGAGAATGTTTTCAAGTCCGTCAAGCGCAACTTGAATAATCTTGTTATCAGGGCAGGTGAGCAAATCACACAAAGGTTTAATGCAACCCTGTTGCACAAGGTATCGAATTTGCTCAGGTTTGTTCAATCCACCAGATGTAGCATTAGAAATAGCCCAGCAGGCTTCTTTTTTAGTCTTGAAATCACCGCGTGCAAGAATGGAAATAAGATGAGGTACCAGGTTAGCCTCAATCACAGCTTGGATCTGATGGGTCGTTCCTGCGGTGATGTTGGAAATTGTCCAGCAAGCCTCTTTGCGAATACCATCTTTGGGGCTGGAAAGCAAAGCAAGCAACGAGTTAAGAGCGCCGCATTGAATAATAGTTTGAGTTTGCATGTCATCACCAGTAACAATGTTTCCAACAGAGCGCAAAGCGGGAGTTTGTACAGAGTACGATGGATGCAACAACAGTTCCACCAAACGACGACAAACACCAACTTCAATAACAGCTTGGATCTTTTCGTTAGACACCTCCGAAACATATGAGATGGCCCAGCACGCATCAGTTAGTACCTCCTCATCGTTCGAGTGGACCAGTTTGGCAAGAACAGGCAAACATGGACGAATCTAGTAGAATGCCAACAAGATTGAAAACGCATAGGATTTTTAAAACCAGAGAAACAATCAAATTGAATAAGCAAAAAATCATAGAATCTCATCAAAACGCATATCTGATAAAATTCAACATACAGTGTTCCAGTCAGGTTGAGGATTTTTTCCACGACAAAAGTTGGAGAGAGTCCATGTAGCGTTGCGTAGCATTGACAGTTTATAGTTTGAGTCGTTGAGAATTTCAAGAAGAGGACGAAGTGCACCAGCAGCAAGAACACGATCACGGCATTCGACACTGTCACCAGCAATATTACCAAGAGCCCAGACAGCCTACAGAGTCCATTAAGCAATTGAAAATAAACCAAATTTTAGTTGGTGTCATTAGTCGTGCCGCAAACTTTGTATAGCGCACCAATCTGACTCCAGTTTAAACATCACACTAATCAACTCACCTGTTCCTTGACATCAGGGGTTGGAGAGCGAAGCAAGTCCACAAAAATGGGAACTGCACCAGCATCAATCACAACTTTTGTCTGATTAGACGAGCCGGATGCAATATTGGTAAGTGCCCATGCCGCTTCAAACTATATAAACGTATATTGAAACAATGTAAGGAATCGTCTGAATTATAACAGAGACAATTGCTGATTAATTAGTTTACCTGAATCAAAGGATTTTCAGAACGTAGAAACTCGACAAAGCGAGGAATCACACCACAATTGATGACTTCTGCAATAGGAGGATTTTTTTCTGTATCCGGTAAAGCCAAGACAACAGCCAAGTTTAGTGTTGCGATTGGAAACAAGTGTAAATTAAATTTGTTAAACAAGTGAACCAAATAACAAGAAATTGTAGCCAGAGAGAAATCAAGGGAAATCATTAGCATATCGACCAAAAAATAAAACTGCGATTACCTTTGGAAAGTAATTTACGGAAACGAGAGGTAGCATTGTACTGATCCTCAACTTCAGACGACATAAGTCCAGCAACCATGGTAGTGAGTTGCTGATGCAGATCCTACAAACAACAGGTCGTAAATAATAAAGTCCGGACAAGATCGATAGATGCAACCAGCACAAGGTCGTTGACAAGAAACCCAAAAGACTATAGCATGGTTCAAATAAAGCATGATGTACTGTAAAGTAGTAGCAAGACCGATATAAAGCATTGCCCTCTTCAACAGCAGGAAGATACTCATTTGAAGAACAAGGGAGAATAGAGGTTCACAAGACATGGCAGGCAATAGACAAGCGACTGATAAAAAACTCAGACCCCATACAGCAAGAACAGATGTGATTCAGTGTAGCACTAATCCATAGCGAGACTAGCCTGGAAACACCACAATCTACACTGACAGCCTATCTGTGCACTCTTCCAACATCTTCAACCAACACAACATGATTAGCAAGTCAAATTCATCACACACCTGCTCATTGACGACCTGGTTGGTAGAAAACCCTTCGTCATCCGACTCGGACTGAGTGCCAGCAATCAGAGCCATATTACGACGCTTGGCAAACGATTCCTCACGCTTCTGTTTGCGCAGCTCTACAGTCATGTCTTCTCGACGACGACGGATCTCATCCTGTTTCATGGCACCTCTATTTTTAAAGGCAGCCATGCGGTTTTCGAATGGTTTTGAACGATCCATATGTGTATATAAGCAATGTGGTTCCAATTGAATTCCAGACAAGTTCAAAGTTGCAGTTTTCACTGGTGTTCAAGTCGCAAAATTTTCATTGAAATTTTCGATTTTCCAAACCACAAACCAGAACAAAGTGAAAACAAGTCACGGGAACAGACTTGCTAAAACAAAACTTTATTTCTTGCTGTTTCGTGCTGCCTGAATCAATGGAATAAGGCTACTTACATGCTCGGCCTTTTTCAAAAATGGATGCTATAGTACCATAAAGTTAGTGCCAAAACATATTTTATCAATCAGTCTAGATATCTACATAGATTAATTGCCCACTCAAAAAACACGTACTGCAAGCAATTCGTCCGTAGACCAACGCTTGTCCACTTCAACTTGTAATGACTTGTCAAGAAAATCTGCAAACTCAGGTCCAACACTATTGGGATCTTGCAATTTGGGTGTTCCATTGGTTGCAATCAGATATAGTGCTCGTAGTGGATTCTCGTTCAGGTATGGAGGCTCTCCTTCCAGCATCTCAATCGCCATAATACCCAGAGACCACACATCTACTTTAGGTCCATATTCCTTGCGTGTCACAACCTCTGGAGCCATCCAATAAGGCGTGCCTACCATAGTCGTTCGCTTTGCTTGGTCATCATTCAATTGTGCGCAAAATCCAAAATCGGCTAAAAATTCAATATGTTACAATAAGCATCAACTCCTATCGCTACTACAGTGCTAGTTTAATCCGATACATACTTAGTTTAACTTGCCCGTCCAGTCCCATTAAAATATTGTCGCTTTTGATATCACGATGGATAACTCCACCTAGGTGCAAATGTGAAAGACCTTCCAAAACCTGTTGTTGATAAATTAATTAGTTCAACTCAAAATAGCATGTACAATTTATCAAAATATTTACTTCTCGGCACACTGTGGCAATTTGCTCCTCTGTCATATAATTACTAGTCACTGAATCTGTCAGCGAGCCACCTTCCATATACTCCATAACAACCTAGAATAAAAACAATCGCCCATAATATAAAAGAATGCATTAGTTTTCAAGTATTAAACTAATACCAAATTCCGAGTAGTTCACTCAAAAATAGTAGTAATCCAGCATACCCATAAATCTCCCTTGTACAAAAAACTGTCAATAAAATTGACAATGTTTTTGTGTTGTGCTGCTTTCATTACAATAATCTCGTTAATAATCAAATCTTTTTTGGGCTGCTCTTCCAGATTCATTTGTTTAATCGCCATTGGAAGTCCTGTATCAACTTGCTTTGCAGTGTAAACGCCGCCCGATGCACTAAATTATTTAATTCGGTTCATATCAAAAAATATGGGATTGAGTTAAAAATAGTCTTTTAAAAATCACTGAGCAACATATAGCAATCTTACCCCTGACCAATCTTGATCAGATTTCTATAAAGTCTCGTAGGGTCGGCTGGATTACAAATGGCTTGAAGTCTTCCAATCACATCCTGTGTTGTTGTTGGTTTAGCACGCTGGCGAGGTACTGGAGCCTTTGCCGTACCAGGAACGGGCAAAGTAGATGCTGCACCATCTGTATTTGATGATCCAGATGTGCTGGGTTTAGTCGGAGTCCCTGATCCTGTAACTAAAAGTCCTGCTGGTTTAGGTGGTGCTATCGGCTCAATGTTTGGTTTGGGTGGTAGTGCTGCTTTTTGTGCAAATGTAGATGCTGTAGCACCTGCAGTGTTGGGTCCTTTGGATAAAAGTGTAGCACATTACAGAATGATACATTAGCGTCACCTCCTTATAATGGTATTCAAACGACTGCATAATACAATACATTATATTCCAAAAATTACCTAAAGGCTCTATCGGTCGAATGTCTGTCGAATAAACACTTAGAGTATGTGCTGGTCGCGCCGGAACAGGTGGTCGTGCATTAGGCTTTGGTAAAGTTTGAGTTGATGGTACAATTGGTCGAGTAGCTCCTTGTACTACAGAAGAGTACGTGGAAGAGTTGGCTGGTGCAGATTGAGCAGAAGAAAGCGGACTCGATACTACTGAATTTGTAGATGGTACTCCAGCAACGCTGCCAATCACAGGCTTAGGGCCAATAATTCCTCCAGTAGAAGCCTTGCGTGGAGGCTTTGCTGGACTGACAGGCCGCTTTGGTAAAGGAGGGCTATTGCGTGGACTGATGTGTGGAGATAGGTGAGGACTACGTTGAGGCAGCTTAGTATTTCCAGTTGCTATCGCGGTTGTTGGAGATGCAATGTCTGGCTGAAGTTGACTGGCATATGCATTTGTGAATTTCGAAAATGCATAATCCGATTCATCCTGCTGCTGACTTTCAGAATAAAACCCAATGACATCCAATATAGCCTGTGGATTGTTTGCCTGATCTTGCTTGGAAATTCCCGACTCTTGAAGCATGTTTACCCATTCCTTTGGCAGGCCCTAATATATTTATATTAGTTTAAAATCAAAAACACAAGTATCGCACAACACTGAAAAAATCATCAAAAGCAGATCTGAACCAAAGTATTCAAACTAGTCTTTGTCATGTCTGAAAATTAGCCTCAACTTACCGTAAACTCTCCAGTATCGTGATTGTAGCCAACATGCGTGATATGAACGGGATTAAATGGCGTAGAAATCGCTGGCCGTACCCCACCGGGAGTCTCATTAGCAAACATTCCTACATGCATGCAAATCACCAGTATTCGACAAAGTCATAAGTCAACAGTATTCAATAAAGTCGTAAACAGATACAACAGCAGATTTGAAAAACATGATTTTTAAATAAAGTTTAAGCACTTACCATGCATTGACGAAACAAAATTGTTAAGCAATCCCTTTACACCATGTGCTTTGACGGCAGCCTCTCTCTCAGCAGCAGTCATGCCAGTAGCAGATCCCTCCTCATTAGAAGTAACGGTCGAACCCAAAGCAGCCACTCCGCTATTGGCCTGAATTTCTCTGGTGCTCGTAGCAGGAGTGTATTTTGTGGCAGATGCCAATATCGGCACATCTGGAGCGGGTACTGATGGTGGTTTAGGCTTTCGCAGTGGCATGGCACGAATTCGTGGATCAGATGTAATTGGATTGGAATCTTTTGTAGATGCGTCTTGAGAGTTATCCACTGCCAAAGAGTACCCAGGGGTAGCAGTAACAGCAGACTCGTTGCTAGAGGGTTCTGTCTGAACAAAGGCTTTAGCCGAAGTATTTTTCAACTCGTTTGGACGTGGCGGCACAATCGGCTTCTGGTTGGGTTTTGAAGATCCTCCATTGCGATGTGGAAGCTTTGGACTGAATTTAAGATTGATGATTCATCCAGTGAAGCCATTCAACATACAAGTTGAATCGATGGTGATAAATAACCCATCATTCCCACCACATAAATACAAAAAAGCCGTCAGTATATGAATATATTGTAGTCATACGTTGTAGTTTCAAGGGATATTACTGAAGATGGGATTAATAGTATCGAGGCACGAGTCGTTGCAAGTTCATTCCTCAATTCAAGGTAAAATAACTGGTAGGCATTCAAGAGTGAAACCACGCTCATCAACTCCATCAAACTATTGCTCTACTACTGATATGCGCACCATATTCCACTAGCAGTCTTGCCGAAAGTAGCAAGATATGCAGATAGAATGCTCATCTATGGCAACACTATATATGATACTTGAAACATTATAGCCAACATCTAGCATGCCTCAACCGCCTATATTCTGTCAATAAGTTTGTGTAGCAACTCACCTAGCTACTTGCGGTTGGCCACTGCTCATAGTAGCAAATGCGTAAAGTTGATGTCAATTGCGAGGCTTTCAAGACACCAATATTCGCATACTTGTCACGTGGGGCTACTTTGAACTGCTCAATGGCATTGCTGGATTCTTTCTAAACATTATTGTACAAGCCAATGACATTTATTTGGAATCACAAACTATCGTGTCAGATCTAGCATAACAGCACTACAGTCATTGCAGTCATTGCAATCCTCGCAGTCCTTGTACCAGTAAAAGTTGTAAATATTAAAATAATTCTAGTTTATTCACCTGATTAAATGTTGGAAATTGCATATTGAGAGCAACTTTTAGGTGAATGGCATCAAAAAATAAAAACCATGATCGTCGTAAAACATCTCAATATGAAAAGGCACGCATCAAGTGCAAAGTTCCTTGATAATGACGCCCTCGACCGATTCTGCAAGAATAGATACCATCTGCTCCATCAGAACAAACCCATATGAACGGGCAGTTTTTACATCCTGTTCAAATACCACATCATCAAAATTCTCATCCGACTCCGATTCGGCCTTCATTGGTTTGGATTTGGGAAGACTTGAATTATCGAGTAGCTCTGTTCGATCTTCAGATTCAATAACATAATAACCAAGGTAGGCTGCAAAACCACGTTTGACATTTGCCATGGAATCTTCATTAGCAACTGCGCGATCAGGAAGATCCTGATTAAGCAGTTTGAACTCGTCAAAATGTCCTGACACAGTGCAGATTTGAAGCAACGTGACAAAAGTGGGATCAGATATCAAGTAGTTGGGATGGTGAGATGATCGGATGGAGTGTGGTGTTGAATGGTGAACTGCTGTTGAATTGGCTATATCTTGCACAGCATGCGCATCTTCTACAGCACAAAGATGTTTGGAAAGACTATAAATACTGAAAATCTATAAAAATTTGCAAATCATACTTGATAAGCAATTTGATTTAAAAGACATCTAGTCAAATTCCTGATTAAAATATACCCTATTAAAAACGGCATTCCACTCTGGCGCACGAGCATGCAGATCAACCGTCTCCCAGCACTGTTGTATAATAATCTTTAGTAGTTTTTCAGTAATTGGAAAATACTCTAAAGTGCATTGTGACTCGATATCCTTGAAAATTCTATCCAGGTGTCTTAAACGTATGGGTTGATTTTTCATCTCTATGACTAATTGAACAAGCTACACATTAAAAAGATGAGCAAGCCCATACAGTTTGAAATTAATGCCAATCTAAAAGTAAATTGTCAATCACAACCAGCAATAAGACAAAACTGACGCACCTCTAGTAAAAATCCCTCGTCAAATTGATAAGGATGAGAATCATGTCGACTACTGGATTTACGATATAATGCCCATGCTCTTGCTTCCCATATATCACGCGTGTCTGTATTGCTACTCTCGCAAAATGCATCGCGACACACACCCATGACTGTAGCAAATACATAGCGATCACTCATTACAGACGTCTCAAATATATACCATGCATAATCATACTCATTGTATGATCTTGCAACAACAAGAATATCCGCCAGCAGTCCTAGTGCGTTTTCCTTTACCGTCAGCAATTCCAGATCCAACTCACTATCGTTGTTCCAGTTAGGAACATCAAGCACACGGACATACCACCGCCATACTTCTTCAAATTTAAGCCGTAAGCGAGTCCAGCGTAGCAATTTGGCTCGATTATCAGGAGAAAGTGCACGACCGTCTGAAGTGTACAGATTGCCTTCTGCCATGGCCGTGATAATACTTGACACCTCTTGTTCAATCTTTTTTGGACTAACGTATGATTTAGATAAAAAGTGCTGTACGCTAGCCGAGATACGGTTTTCGCTTGCAATGACCATGACTGGACGCTTAAGAAGACTACTTGCCAACGACCAGGAATAGCACGCATCGGTCCATTGATCCTTTTGGAGTCTACTAAGAATGCGGAAAATGGCCTTGGTAAAGTATCTACTAAACCGAAGATGGTCAGCAACAGCATAAATCAGTTTGGGATCAATGATAATATCGTGACTGATAATGTACTCGAAGAGATCGTGTGCAATTGCAGCCAAGTGCTCCATCATTTCAGAAAATTGTTGGTGCTGAGCCTGTTGACGTGCTGCTGAGTGAAGTGCCAAAATGTTTTCAAGTAAACCACAATAGAGTCCCGAAATGATTGTTCTGTGCTCATTTAGATGTTTTGAGGCGGCAATACGCGGTAGGCGACATAACAAAGCATCTGCCTCGTCAAGTTCTAGACGAAGGAGCGCATTAGCTAGTTTTTCAACTGCACCTAGATTGATGGTTCTTAAAAAATTTCCTTTTATATCAAGCTCAGATGAGAAATTCAAAGCCGTCATGCCTCTATGTATTAATGTCAAATCTTGATGCGGCGGTTGTTTTTCATAAGATGCAGCTGAAAATAGTGGATGTTGGGATAAAGCTTGAGACTTGACTGTTGTACTTGAATGGTCAAGACCGTGAGAATCGGCCTTTGCTACATCGATATCTTTTTTGAATGAATATTGGCTATTCCATTGTGCTTTGGGGTGCTTTAGGTGCTCAGTATATGTCGATGGTCGAGGGGTTGGATCAGCAGAAGCAGTCATAAGCGTTACTGTCGAGTCCATTTGTTCTTCGTCAGATTTAGCAGTGATGGGTTTGAGAGGATGACTGCTGCTAGCATTTAAACTATCCAAACTATCCAAGCTGTCCGTACGGCCATATCGGTCTCTTCCAGACTTTTTCTCATCAGTAGACATGGACAGAATATGCCTTTGAAGTTGTGGAATCATGGTTGCCATTGTCTGGTAGTATTGCGTGTACGTGTACAATTTTTAGGTGTATAAAGCGCAGATGCCGCGTTAAAAAGTAGATTTTTCCCAACGGCTCTGGCGCGAGTTTATTTGAAAAAACAGTATATTTATGCTTGAAGATGACAAGTAGTTTAAAACGACTAGCAACACCAGAGAAACGTATCATTATCGTGATATACCAACTACGACCTGAACACTTTCAACTTGGCATTTCAAAAAAGTCAAACATCAATTCAGGAAAAATCAAGTTTATTGAAACAAACCGCTTAAAGATATAACTGCAAAAGCTGATATTGATAGCAAAGTGATTACTATTGGCGATGCTGTTCAAAATGGAGCTGCCCCTGATTTTGGTCTGGCTGCAAAGGCATCGAGTGCTGAGAAGGGTTGAATGGCTGAAAGTATGGAGGCTGATCAAAAGCACCTGCCATGGAATAATGGGAAGAAAATGCTCCGTGGGGAAGAGGTGTTTGATTGTGATTAAAAGAATCAAATCGATGATTGAATCCCGGTTGCACTTGTTCATTCAAGTGAAAAGGTGTTGAATGCATCAAAGATGGGGGAGGATTTCTTGAAAATCCAGAAGGTTGATTATACATGGGATGCGAAAGCATATCAAAGGATTGCTGGGGAGGCGGTGGGGCAAGATAAGGAGGAAAGGCTTGATGACGATCTAAGGTTTAAAATGGATTAGCTTACATTTTAATACAACAAATGGATGTTGGAATATTCAAATTGATCACAATACACAAAAACGATCTCACCGAAAAAGGAACCATTTAACCCTCCGCGAGCAGATTCCTGATTAACGAAAAGATCTGGCCTTATTGTATTTGAAGAAAAGACCGCATCAGTATTGGCCTGGTCGTGATTTAGGGGGATATGATTACCAGCAAGTTCAGAAGAAAATTGTGACAAGTGTTGCTGGGAAGGGGGCAAAATGTTTTGGTTGGGTTGTTGGTGTGAAAAAGGAGGCTGGACAGTTAAAGGATCGGCACTATTGAACATGAACGAGTTTTGACTTTCTTGAAATATAGGAAGTGCTGGATTTGCAGTCTAAGCTTGCCAAAATGTAAACAATAGTCAATATATCAAGTTGAACAGTATACACTATGAGTACAATCTACTCTGTAATGGTTACTACACAAGTATCATCCAACTAATTACCTGCGACAGTGAAGCGGCAGTCAGGGTAGCAATAATACGCTCCATGCTCTTCTTGTCTTCTTCTTGGGTTGATTTGCGCCAGTTTTTGCGAGAAACACGGACTCCCATGCGCTCCAGTACCTCTTCCTCTGAAAGTGCAACGGAAAAGGGCATCGAGTTTGAGGTCTGTTGACCCGTTGGAGCAGAGTTCCATTGAGTAGCTGCCAAAGATAGCGTACTTGATGGTGATTCATTTGGATACTCGTTTAATCTTAAATTAGAAGCATCAGTCAGTGGTGATTCCAAAGTTGATCTAGATGGTTTGAAATTGTTGTTTTGTCCTGCAAGAATTGCCCGCATCGCTTCTTCTTCTGAAATTATATGTGGTAAGTCTTGAGAGGACATGTACGGATATTCAGGTATACTAGGCTGTGGAAGAGCAACATGCTGCAATCCAGATAAACCGGATGATTGAGATATAGACGAAGATGACGAGGACAAAGGTTCTTCATCAAAAAGACGTTCAAATCTAGACCGTCTTTTTGTCGTGATATGGGGTCTTGCAGTTTGATCTTCAGAGTACAGCATGCGAGCAGCATCAGAAGCAAGGTCAGACTGCAGTCTCATTGTAGGATCTTTAGGAGAGGAATTAGAGTTCATGAAACAAAGCGATGATACAGATGTATCCAAGTGTGCACCGCCTGCATAAGAAACGGGCCCGTTAGATTTTGAGTTCAATGGCTTGATATTATTCATTCTACTAGTAGCAGTGGTATTGTTATTAGCGTTGATATTATTGTTCATGGCGTTTCGGGAAGCATCAATCTGCTGACTCTTCATCATTGCCTTGAATTTTTGGAACTCGTCAGTTCCAGAGTCTACAGCCGTACTAGAGACTGCATTTGTATTTATATTATCATTTTCCACCAGATTAGGGCCATCTGGTGTAACAGAAAAAGACATCCATTCAGGCTCTGAACGCGAAGAGTTGGCTATAGCATATTTAGAGTGTTAGAAGCTTGACGTTGAGATATTTACAGCAACATGAGCCAACACAATGACCAGATATGGGATTGCAAGACAGATGGAACCAGCAAGATCATTGCACTAGTATTACTTACTTGGTTTTGATGGTATGTATTTGGAAGAGTTTTCTAGATCTGGGCCAGCACCAGGCTCTGAGCGTCTAACAGGATTACGACCACCTCCAGAGAAATGGTTGTTGTAATCTCGAGATTGTGACTTGAGCCAACATCAGTTGAATAGTAAACCGAGTTAAACTACTGGATCTACACATTTCACAACACATGGGTAGACTTTCATATACCTTTGAAGGAGAAGGTTTTGCAGGTATTCCAGCGAGTTGAGCAGCAGTTGTAGATAGGGTAGTGGAGTGAGGTCGAGTCTGAGTTTTGTTGGTAAAAGACCCAGCAGCAGTATATGCAATAGAGCCAGTACGCACTGCAGTGCCTATCAAGTTCATAGTGTTGAGCAAGATGTTGATGCAACAACAGACTGACAAGTGTATTCCTGACTGGTTACAACTGATTTAATCAAGACTTTACCTTTGATAATGTCTGCCGACCGGTTGTGTCGCAATGGAATGACCTTTCCTCTAACCTCACTGACATGCGTATTAGATTGAAATCAGATTCAACATACAGTAGCTTAGTACAGTGACGAAGAAATCAACAGCAAGCTGAACAGATTCGATTCAGTCTAAGCGAATGCACTGAATGTCGTTACATTCAGTCTGAGTGAATGCATTCCGACTTGTGAGAACAGCAACACTTACAATATCTCGGCATGACTGGGCATTCCTTCCGGTCGCTGAACCAACGGACTGTTTCTCAAACTCAACATCTGAGCACTAGTGTAATGATAAATATTTCCATGTGTGGCCATTGCTCGAGTTGATGCCAATTCTGTGAATGGCAATCGTTTTAAACCCTAAAAATATTTCATTTTATCGTTTCCGCTTTTGTCAACTTTGGTTTCATTTCTATAAAAACTTGATGGCCGACATTAATGTGGAGGAGTTGCTGGATGCTCGCTTTGAACAAGAGGTATGGCTGCTGCTGTTTGAATTCCTGCTCAATCCATTGTGTCCACTATACACTGCTAATTTTAGAGTGGTTGTTTAGTGCTTTAAGCCCTTTCCTTTGAGTGGGCAAGTTGCATCGAACATGAATGCATTGGGGTGGTTTCTTGTGCTGCATTCTCATGCTAACTCACTGCTTTATTCTATGCAAACTCTACCTTTTAGCTGGCCAATCCTCAGCCTAAACATCATGATTCTAGCAAGTACCTGGATCGAGACTTGCACGATATGGACATTGAAAATCATTCACGGCATCATCATGCAAACATATCCTATCGAGAGGACGCTTCTCCAGTAGCAAGATATCCTTACGTTAGAGACTCTCGTCTCTCTCCTCATAAACTGTCCTCTTCAATGGCTTTTACTTCTAAAGGCGATCCTGCTGGGTTGTACGCTGCTGATGCTGATATCCTTAATCAGGGTTTAGATGATATTGAGGTCGAGGTGTCTGCTCATCTTAGGAGAACAAGTCGTGGTCATGATGATTTTGACGATCGTCGCTCTCTTGCTAGTGATGCAATGGGTTCTCGCTATGATGGCCACGAGAGTAAATCCAGATCTCATGAGAAACGGTCCCATCGAAGCTCTCGTACTGCTGATCATGACGAACGTCATGAGCGTTACCGTAGCTCTCGTATGAGTGAGCACGATGACCGCTATGAACGCTATGAGCGACGACATCGTGATCGCCAAGCAGAAAGTGAGCGCTATCATCATCCTTGCGAGGATGAGGTGGATCATGAAGGAGCTCGAGATTACGATCGCGACCCTCGCGAGATTTATGAAATGTATGATTCACATTCTCTTCATCCTGATTACGATGAAAGGGACAGACTTTTAGTGTCTGGTCATGACCCTCGTTATGATGAACGTCGGTCTACACGTACTTACCATGATGAAGAAGGATCCCGCCGTAGGTCAACCCGCTCCAGAGATACTCGCTCTCCCTCTCGTTCCTACGAGAGAGAAAGGGACCGTGATCGCAGAAGTCGTCGTTCTGATCGAGATCGTCGCAGTCGACACAGTCGTTCTCCATCTCGCAGATCAAAACGTCGTTCGTCTAGATCTGCTTCTCGCTCTCGCAGCCGTGATGCACCACGGCATCGGGATGAACCAACTAAAGCTCCATCAGCGGGAAAAGAAAGGTACTATTGCTTTTGCATATTTTGTTTGATGCTTTGCTATACCTATCATGTTTGTACATTCTTTTGTATACCAACCACTGTCTTTTCATTTTCATTCTGTAGATCACACGTTGAAACCGTTGAAGATGTCTTGGAGCGTGATAAGCGTACTGTATTCTGCATGCAACTTGCTGCTCGCTTGCGATCACACGAGCTTGTCAAATTTTTTGAAGCTTGTGGTAAAGTTCGTGATGCTAGTTTAGTCATTGACAAGCATACTGGTCGATCTAAAGGGTAATCTGACTTGACAAGCCGTTGTGTTGTATTTTACTGTCCTAGTGCAATGAATTACTAATACGCTGCTATGTCTATAAACTATTTGTGATAGCGTTGCTTATGTTGAATTTTATGAAGTAGAAGCTGTATCAAAGGCACTTGAAATGACTGGTCAGAAATTGTTGGGCATTCCTATTATTGTACAGCTAACTGAAGCTGAGCGTAATCGGGTTGCTTTGCAGGCTGCCTCAAAGTGAGTTACTTAAACAGTTGTCCATTATTGCCAATATACTATGGCTTTGATTTACATGTTTGGTTGGGATGATCAACTAACGCTTTTTTGCTGTTTGTTTCATAGAACTGTAGATACAGCTGCTTCTAGGATTTATGTTGGTTCACTTGATTATAGTCTTACAGAGCAGGATGTTGCAAATGCATTTCAAGGTTTTGGACCTATCGAGTTTATCAACATTCACATGGACAAGGAAACCGGTCATTCTAAAGGATACGCTTTTGTGCAGTATGTAAAAGATGCATGTCTGATAAACATGGAACAAGACCATTCATTTAATCTTGTCATACAACCTTTTTAGATATACACAAGAGGCTCATGCTAGGGCTGCTGCAAACCAAATGAATGGTCATATTCTCATGGGCAGACCGGTATGTACAATCCCAACACACTTTACTAGAATCGAGTATAGGGTTTCTCAACATATTTATTTTAAAACTACAGATTCGTGTTAATCTTATTTCAGAGAAGTCTCAATCTGCTCCAGTTACTAATGCCAGCAATGTTGGTATTGCTAGCGAAAATATTGCTACATTTAACATGGATGATGGTGAAATGGAAGGTTTTCAAATGAATTCGCTCTCTCGGGCTGAACTAATGGCCAAACTGGCTCGCACTGAACCCACTCTTTCCAAAACTTCTGCTTCTGTAGCAGCCATGTGAGTCGAAACGTCAACTGATTGATTGAGATAGTATATTTACTAATACTTACTTTGTGTTTGACAGTTCAACCAAGCCTGCAGTTGTTGTTCCAACCATGGAAACACGATGTGTGCTTTTAAAAAATATGTTCAATCCTGAAAAGTAAGTACTATATGCTTTTAAGCTAATTGGAAGCATGTGCTTGCTTTCTTCTTGCATTCGTTTCTTACTCTGTGTATGCTGGCCATTCAATAGTGAAGTAGAATCAAACTGGGTTCAGGAGATCGAAGAAGATGTCAAGGAAGAGTGCACTAAGTTTGGCAAAATTTTACATATCTCAGTTGATCCTGAATCTCATGGTCATGTTTATCTTAAATTTGATAGTCTTGTTTCATCACAGGCAGCTGTAAAGGCACTTCATGGTCGCTTTTTCGCTGGAGCACGAGTAAGTAAAGATGGCGGTGTTTTTTGGTTTAAATCTGCTGGTTTAATTAAATTCTAACATTTTTAATTTGGTCTAGATTGAAGCACTTTATATTGCTGATCAAGTCTATGATGCTCAGCATCCCTTGGCTGCTGGACTCTAACTCAATATTTTCCTACTGGTTTAGGTTTGGGCTCCAAGCATTTTCAATGGTCAAAATATTGATTGCGGCTGAGCCTTTAAAACTAAGTCCAAAAACTGTCCTTCAATAAACATATTTTTGAACTGTGTTTTGGGTCAATTTGACTATGTATGGGATAGGCAGAATGTATACTATTAATGTCGTTTTAAATTCACCAACAAGCCTAGTTGGTTCTACTAAAAACCTGAAATGTGCACTCATTGCTTGTTTTAAACCACCAACTGATCAAACGCGCTTCAACCAACTTTCAGCACCTATTCCTACACTGCATTCCATTCAAGTCATCCATGAATAGTGATACTACAAAATCATGCATGCATCCAAAGTCTGTAAATTTCAAAGTCGTTGACAACAAGTAAGATATTTGGCCTCGTTTACACTGACTTTGACAACACTTATATCATTTAGTAGATACCATAAATTCAACATAGCAAGCCCAGTTCTTGAAACATTAAAATAACAATAATATGTTATTAGCTTAATTAAAAAGGGTGTTCCATTGACTCAAGCTATATGCCAGGATTTACTTGTAACAGGGCATATTAGCTCATATATGGAGTTTTTTCATATGGCCGTCGAAAACCAACTCGGTATTGAATTTACGCCAGATATGCTGCATGCACTTCAAAATCTGCTGACCATTGCCGAAGACAGTTCAACCCGAGGTATATGCATCCACGTTTAAAGTACTATTCATTCACATACTACATACCCGTCATTTTTTACAGATTCTCTAACAGTAGTGAATATGATGGTACTATGGTTTTAGGCGACGCAAAGGCCATTTATGAATCCAAAAAAAACCTTGCTCAGTATTTTTTATTATCATCCAATTATAACATGGCAATATCCTATTTTCGCGAAACGTTGGATGCAGCTGCTGGAATTAAAGATGACCCGATGGTGGAAATTGAAGCAACCTTGAGTTTAGGCCATGCGTTGGAAAAATCGGGTAGCAGGCAACATGGTTATAGTCGCGATATTGAGAACTTGTGTTTTATTCTAATTCTAGATTGTAAATGTATATACTTTAGAGCATGTCAACGAATCCATCGAATGCTATGAAAACACTCGAAAATTAGCTGCAAGTCGTAACAATTTAGATGGTGAAATCAGGGCATGCCAGCATTTAGTCAGTGGCCACACCCACATGGCCGAAAGTGTAAGCAACTTGCGTATTCCATTCGTCTCAATAAGCCATGCTATTCAAGCTTTGATCAAATACTGACACACGAGTTTGTCAACTGCCAACAGTTTGAGTATTCGGGAGATTATGATCAAGCTATTTTCCATTACACCAAATGTCTCGAATATCTAACGCATCCCGTCTACGATGAGATGACCATCAGCGATATAGAATTTCGTTTAGGAAAAGTTCACAAGGATATTGGACAAATCGAAACTGCCATCAAGGTAGTATTTTGCTATAACTTGATCACCTAAAACAAACGCAAGACTCAGTTTCGATTTGATTAGTACTTGGAAAGATTTGTTGCCAAACCAAATCTAATCAATGATAAAAGTAGACAAGGATGGGCTCAAGCTTCGCTGGCCTCTTGTTACGAAAGGTAAGTACAACATGCCATGGTAAAACTAGTGCTTGAGATGACCATCTCACTGGTTTATTGCAATGGATGTAGTGCTGGAAACCCGCAGCTTGCAGCCTCATATCTTCAGCAGTTTATTTCAGCAGCCGAATCCGATCCGATCCAGCGCGTTGCTGTATCTCAAGCGTGTAACCAACTTGGCATGCTTTTCAACAAAATGGGTCAATTTGAACTAGCAGTAACTTATTTTGAGCGTCACTTTCAGCTGATGACAGAAATCAGTAAAGATGATATGCAGGATTTAGAACAAAATACACACCAGCTGAACGACGGTGACGGAATTAAATCACCGTTGCCTTGGAACAAGACAGGTTCCACGTCAAAGTTATCTACAGTTCGTGTTGGTGGTGCACAGACACAGTTGGGCATTTCAAAAGGAAATGCTCAAATGGCACAGTATTTCGAGACAATCGTCGATTGCAATGGACTTGCATCACTGCTGCTGTGGAAAGCAAAGCGTTCATTTGGGTCCTATTTACCTACTCGTTTAGAAAATATATGATGGATACTGGCACCACCAAACAATTCATTAAAAAGCTTAAATTCATTTTCAATTGAGTAATAAAGAGATAGAGCGGTATATGCAGTAGTTTAGAACATCTTGCAGGCTAATGTTCGTTGTGTGGTTTAGATTCTAGGTCATCTGGATTGCTGCTTTTGTCTGAAAGCTCTTCATCCTCAGTCTCCAAATCATCATCCAACTCATGCTCTGATGCAATATCAACAGCTGTTTGCTCCTCCAATTCCTTTTCCAGAGCTTTGATGCGTTCTGCAGATTTGGATACGCCACTCCAAAGCTTATCAATTAATGCCTTTTGCTCAGCAGATGTAGTGTTCCATTTACTAAAATATTGAACGGTACACAAAACACTGGTTACTATCAAATGGTAGATTCCAACATTGTAAAAATCATCATGCCAAAACAGTTGACTTGCGTGAGTTCTAACGCGCTTTGGGCCTCTAATTCCATAAGAGTATTGGCAAATTGGGTAGCATCTTTCTTGTGCTATAATAGTTGCAGTCAAATGATTCAATACAGTTTTCAGGACCAATGTGTACCTTTATCTGCAAACAACAAAGCCTACCTTTTCTGTTGCCACATGGTATGCAAATTTAAGAAGTGTAATCTGTTTATCCCAAGACTCTGGATCGTACTCCTCCATTGACTGGCAGGCCTGTTCACACATTATGGGAATGCACTCGCTATCAACTTGAGTGTAGTTATCAATACAAGACATGGCATCATTTTGACTATGATCGCATGCAGCGCAATGCTTGCTTTCGGCCAAATTGAAATCACTTGTCTGGGTATCGATATGTCGCAAATCAGAATGACATGTTTTTGATACAAGTTCTTTGTTCTCTTTAAGAGCTTCCTGAAGAGCAATTTTGAGTTCAGCACACTCCAGATGAATACCATTCAGCTTTTGCAATTCCATTCCTTGAATGATAAACTCTGAAGTGATATCACTATTTTTGGTTAGTTCGCGCCGCATGAGTTCTGCATCTTCCTCGAGATCCTTTATTTGGGCTTCGAGTAGATCAATTGCTGTATAAGCCTCTTTAAGCTCCTCAGAGTTGGATTCAGCTGTCTTGTGCACCTATAAAGATACAATACAGCACTAGTTAATACCACAGCAATAGCAGCATAATAATCACAATACATAAAAAGCTGCCATCCATTTCATACCGTTTCATTTTCATCAAGAGTGTGCTTTAGTGCTGTTTCTATTTTGTGAGCATGCTCTTTTACTCTTTCCAGTTCTTTTTCAAGCATAAAATTGACGGATTCGATTGACATGGCAGTGGTTTTCAGCTGTTCGATTTCTGTTTCCAGTTTTAATACCTCAACAACATGCTTACTCTCCTGTTCTTCAAATGTGCTGATCGCGTCATAACAGTCTTTGATTTCCATATTCAAGTTTTCGATTTTGTTGGCATCTTGTAAAATCTGAGCTTCTTGAATTTGAACTTGAGATTCCAACTCTTCTACACGAACCTGCTGAATCCACACATCAGCATAAGCTTGAGGTTGAGATTTCAATGACTCTACTTCTTCGCGTAGTTTTGATACAAGCTGACCAAGCTCATCTACAAGTTGATCTTTATCCTTTAATTTTGCTTTAAAAGCAGTATTTTCTGTAGACCATTCATTCTGGATGTGTTTAACGATTTCCTCACGTTCGATGACTTCGGCACGCAATCGCTCTTCAGTATCAAGCTGTTCAATTTGATCTCTCCGTAAGGATCTCAGTTCTTGCTGCAGCTGCACAACAGAAGACCGAAGGGCAAGCACCTCGGTAGCACGAGCCTCTAGCTCGATTTGAAAACGTATACTTTTGTTGGATTCTTCAGACAAACGAGATTGAAGAGCAGTCATGTCAGTCTCCAGTTTGGTTGTAGAAGGTACATTAGACTCTGCAGCATGGACCCCTTCATCATCAGACATTGGACAGTCGAATGTAGGGTTTTTGTTTATTGCATCCTAAAATAGCAAAATCAATCAACTGGATCCAATTTTAGCTGATCAATGCATGTTTTTAAACATAGTAACCTACAGAAGCATTGCATTGAGATCTGACACTAGATACACTGCGGGATCGAGTAGAGTGGAGTGAATTGGATATATGTGATTGAGATAAAGACTTTGTAGTGCGAGCAGCAGCAGTAGAAGACATGGGTTTTGTAGTTGAAGTCTGAACACTTTTGCGAATAGAGGTTGTAGCATTCTTAGTGTCATGTTTTGGTTTAGTAGTTTTTGGCTATAATTGAATAGAACAGAAGCTGTCAAGTTTATAAACAAGTACTGAATAACAAGTAAAGAATCTTGCCTTGAATGGAGTGCTGCGAGTAGCATTATTGACCAGTCCAGCAAGTGCAGGTCGTTGTGCAGAAGTGCCTGCTTTTGCCTTGGACTTCAAGTCCTGTTCATCCAGAATCAACAAGTTGGCTGTTTAGTAATGCATTTACTATGGCCAGTATCAAGACTTGAAGTTACCTTGAACTGAGCCAGTTTCTCTTCCCTAGTCAATGGTTTAGTTGTAGACTGAAGCAAGTTGTCCATAGAATTGCAGTTTGAAGTAAAATAGTCAAGTGTTCGGACATGTTCAGACATGAATTAACAGTTGATGAATCTGCTGCAGTAACAGCAGATTTGTTCAGATTTTTAATCAATTCAATTGTTCAACAGTTTTATCTGACATTTCAATTCTTGACTGTTGGTCATGAATGGAATGATAAATGCCATGACAGAACCTGAGAATTCAACACAACTCAGCCAGCAATCGTTGCTTTCTAAACCAAATTGCTTCAAGCGGTTTAAACCTGAAATCGCTGACTGCAGTAATGTAATTGTCATGTTTGGGATTTGTTAGTTATCAATTACTGACATCAAATCATATAAATCAGACAGAAACTTTGGTTGCTAAACGCAGGCGCTCTGCCGTGCCAACTGTTCATCACTTGAATGTCGCTCATACCGATACTTGTATTTCAAGCTCTCCGTTCTTGGTTCCTGAAAAAGCTTCTAGACTCTCATTTCCAACCACTTCACTGAATGCTGGGCGTAGGCTGGACAAGTTTCCTAAATCTCCTGCTAGAATAGGCTCAAAGTCTTTATTACGAGGCTTTCTCAGAACCATAACAGACCCAAACATTCCTGATTCTGATATTCAACTCACTGCATCACTTGATCACAAAGATTCCGTATCTGCCGCACCACATCCTCCTGCTCGAGGTGGTCGAGCAAGAAATCCATTCGCTATCAGACAAGAAAACAAAGTATTCAGTTCTTTAAACAAACCAAAAGATCCATTTTCATTACTGTCCGAATCTCTTCAGACTCAATCATGTTCTACTTCCACTGCCATTGAAACTACATTTTCCACTTCCATAAAATCTAAAGATTTGGATTCAGTCCAATTCAAACCATTGTCCCCAATTGATCATCTATGCGTAGCTGATAGATGTGCAGACCAGACCAATCTTTCTACTTTTGCAGTGTCTTTAAATCACCAGCTTGAAAACAATCAAGATAATCTTGTGCACAATACCTCTTCATCTCCAAAACTTTCATCATGTCAAACCACTGCTTTAGATCCTAGCTTTGATTCTCAACACGAAAACGACGCCAGTGATGAGTTGTCCAAAAAAGGCAAGCATAGTTTGTTTTAGAGCAAAGATTTGTAACGAGACTAACTTTTATAGTTTGTTTATAAACGCAGATGCCATCCGTTTCTACGATCTCTTGTCGCGAAAAAAGGATGTATGTGGTTGGTTGACGCTAATGAATCAAATGTTTAATGGCAGTTGTTGCTCACGCTTGATGTTTTGTTGATAATGTAGACTACACGGTTTCAAATAGGTATCGATAAGCTAGAAAAATGGAAGTCGGCGATTTTGATACCATCAGATACTCCCATTATAGATGCATCGCAGAATCCAACAGTTGTAAAAGGTTTCGAGGCAAAATCCGAGGTGAGTTTAGTGTTTGAATATACAAACTAAATAACTCGGTATTGTGGTTAATGATGCTTTGATTTTACTTGTTGACGTAGCGACATATTCAAACTTTGGATTCTCTCCCGCATGTTGATAGCACTCTAAAAACTGAAATTGTGGTGACATCCAATTATTCGCTCGACTGGTGTAATTTCGAAAACTCTTCTCAAGAGTCTAGATGCTTGACTCAGTTTACCTCTTTGTCTGACCCCGCAGTTGTAAGTATCTATTTTGGTTGGTTACAGCATTTATTTGGTTCTTATTTTTTGCTGTTGATAGACTCCATGTGAAAAATTCATGTGCAATACATTCCACTGGTCGTATGGATCTATCCCTGTTTCTCCAACTCTGCAACAATGTAGAACGCGAATTTTTGCTAAACAACGTCAAGGAGTTGCTCTTGCCGATCATGAAAAATTTGAACTAAAGTGTTTCCAAGATTCAGAAGAAGAATGGTGCGTGTTTTGCTATTTCAATTAAAAACTCGACACAATATCACCATACTGACAGTGTAAGATTTGATTTCAACACATGCTGGCTGTAAATTGCTTTTAGGAAGCATTCGTTTCAATCGCTGTATTTTACTTTGAAAAACAGCGAAACGTTGTATTTCTATTATGCAAGTTCTCAGTTTACTGCACTATTTGTTCAGTCAAGTTTAATTTCAAACATTTCTTTGAAACCTAAACAAGTATCGTCCATTCTTAACGGTGCAACATCACCGTTTGTCGTATATCTGACTAGAGTCACTATGGGCACAAGAATTCAGTTGGAAAAAGAGGGTGAGTGGTTTCATTGCTTTTTAATGTGATACTTGAATATACTTATATTTTGATGTAGATATCCAATGGGAGCTAGTCGAATCAGCATCCAATGTTGCTCAGACTGATTTGAAAAGCGATGGGTCCGAAAAAATACTTCAATTGAATGAAACAGACGACGAAAATGTATATGATGGCGAGGATGTATTTATATCTGGACCTCGTAAATGGAAACATGCTCGTAGTTTGGCTACTCTTAGAATTGTTGATTCTAAATCTGTACATGCATTGTTTGACTACATTTTAAACTGGACAGACCCGAGTATTGAAGCACGAGCAAGTTGCCTTCCAACACTTATTTCACCCAAACCCTTCTTGAATGCGCAGTTGAAACGTATGAAGGTAATCTAATCGCATTCATATTTTTTGAATAGCAGCTGCAGTTTACTACATTCCATACTATCATATTGCAAGTTATTGTAGATCAACAATATACTAAACTGATTGTATTTTGGAAATTTCAGGTTTTACGCAATAGCAAAGTACAAGTAGCCCACGAAGACTCATTGACAGGTCAATCCACTATACAACATGTATATAAGCTCCATTTAAGTGGTACGCTTCTTCCTACTCATTTTGAAGCCATGCTACATTGTCTAGTTGAACAGCAACGAAAATCTGCCAAAGAATACGGCAGCACAAGTAATCAAACTTTGTTTTCTGTCAAGGTGACAACAGATCATTCAACCATTGGACTTCCTGCGATATTTTCTTTGGCACGCGATGCACACACTCTATCCAATGTTCAATCCATCACAGCAACAAATGGGTGGCTATTAATGAAATAATATAATATATATAGCCTGTTTTTAGAAACGCTTAGAATCACAAAAAGGTGATTGGATAGGATTGATCTTGAACGGATTTTTAATTTCAATTTACAGTTCAAGTGATATTTTCCTATAACCGTGTTTACGTGAAATGCAACATTTGATGGATTCATCATGAATTGATTAGTTTGGTTGAAAATGAACAGTCGTTATGCTTTTATACTACAATTTGTTCAGTTTTAGCACAAGTCTATTTTGAACCTTTTTAAAGTCGTCTTCACAAAATGAATCTTGAATTTATCTTACAGTCCAATCAGGAATAGACAATGATCAAAGTGTGTTGTTTTGTGGAATGGAATGTTGCATAGCGTTGTTTAGAAAGTCAGAATAGTACAGTCTTGTCGGCTGTTTTGATCCATCTCAAACATACCGACCATCATATGATTACAAACTATAGTTTTGAACTGGTGTGTTTAAATCTTGCACTTTTGTCTTTGTATAGCCATACATTGTACAATCACCAGATTCATTCATTGCAATCTAGACATTTGCTTGAATATTCCCAATAAAGTCTGGTCACATTTCCTTATGATAATCTGTCACTTACAAATGTTGGGTTTTGTACGTAATATGGTTTTCAAGATCATTGGCATTGTTGGTCGAGATATTTGCATTGGGTAAAAGTCCACAAGTACACTTGCAGCATCTCGTCGTCCAAGTGTTGATGATTACAGGTTGCTAAGCCATCAATCAATGTTTGATGACAATATATTATAAAAAGTAGAGATTGATACGTAAAAGGACATGTTTTGAATGCTAAAACCAAAACCCATTTCTAAACAATAATTCAAAAGGACACAATGTTGTCCAATAGTATTGATATTCATTCAATATGAGACTATCATGTATTTTAGCTTATTTGATGTTCCATTTTACGCGAGTATGGCTGTAAATGAATCGGGTAAATATCAACGTCAACAGTGGTCATTTTATACTAATGAATGCATTGTTTTTGAAGAGATTCCCATTACGATCGATATTTAAAGTATCAAAATACATCCTTATTTGTATTTTGGACTGGAAACCATGTGGATTATTTTGCTTCATCCAGTCGATACTAGATTCACCAGTAATACTCAATACATTACTGTATGATATGAAACTAAATAAACAACAGTATCAAATGACTATTCTTGTATATTATCTAAAACAGGTTTATCGTAGGGCAAAGTGTCATTCAAGATCTGCAGCAGTTCCGTTAGCTGGTCTTCAGTAAATCGAATTTCGCATTCCTCGATAATTGCACTCAGTTCAATAGCAGACACTGGTCTCAGATTCAGCAACTGAAGTTTTTCGGCTTTTGTTAGTGACCATGTCTTGATAGCTTCCAAAAATGAATTCACTTGAGGTTTGGTTTGGTCTTTACATGGGAGTGCTGAGAGATATGTTACGACTTCGTATTCGACTGTGTGCAGGTCTTGAAAAGTTGCAGTGTTTTGTTTTTTGGAGCGTCGTTTTGTGCTTTCTTGAAGAAAGTTGAGAACCTCGCTATCGCATACTATATATATGCATTTAAAAATGATATTGTCAGTATAGGTCGATGCTTGAAGAGATGCTCATTATAGTACATACACAATGCAGAATTGATTTGAACTGTATTCATCACAGCTGATGTTTCTAATTAAATGAGCTAGATCGACAATGGTTGGTGTATGAAATTCAAGTCCTACAGCTGTATATGCACTTGCAATAGAAAATAGAATCAGTTTCACCAACACTACACTGTCCAAGAAATGCAATCAATCAAATGGAAAGAATTTACTGCTATATTCACGTCAAATACAACACTTGTGTACAAACTCATCTTTGTATTCTAAAAACTCGGATACATTCTAATTCAAAAAAACAATGATCGCATATATTAGTAATGCAGCTGTTACTTGCATGCCAATCACTCCATGTTTACTTGCAATGTTCATTTTGGAGAATTGGTGATTGAACAAGTGTCAAGGATTTGGGATTGCTAGAATAAAGATGAGCATTCGTTCAGTGTTTTATATTAAAACAAGCCGAGACTAGAGCTAAAGAGTTTACTCGACAGTGCTGTTTAGTAAATCAATTATTTCATCAAACTGTCATGTATTTTGGTCCCTTTATTCAGTGTTTTATTTTACATCAATACGATTATAATTGATATCCAACATCATGTCAGAGTTGAAAGTATTGAAGCAAGGCGCAGAAGCAGTTGAGTCATTCTTGAATGCCTTTAGTTGTGCGTATTGATGGCAGCTTGGAATGGATGAACTGACTATTCATGTTATTTTGGATGGAATGCATTGCTGCTGATAGAGGATTTACAGATGTGATTTCTCTGGCAGACCAGCGATTGCTAAACAAAGATTCAGAAAGACATATAGAAATCCAGTTCTGGATCAGAAACTAACAGCCAAGCGAGTGGTGCAGGAAGCTCGTTGCCTGCACCGACTGCGAAAGGCTGGGATAAATACTCCAGCACTGTATCTGTTGGATACAGTCAATAACACAATCTATATGGAATATGTAGATGGCGAAACAGTGCGTGATGTGCTTTGCAATACAAGTGGTTGCACTGAATGTAAGACTGAATAGTATCGAGTTGTGAGCATGCACTTGAATACTCACTTTTGTAAAGTAAAAGCTATTGCCGAGTCCATTGGATCGGATCTGGCTCAAATGCACGATATGGATCTCATTCATGGTGATTTGACTACATCTAATATTATTGTTCGTCGAGATACTCGCACTTTGGTTTGGATCGACTTTGGTCTTAGCTATGCATCTGCTCTAACAGAGGATAAGGGTGTGGATCTGTACGTGCTTGAGCGAGCCATTCTCAGTACACATCCCAACGAGGCAGCAGAGCTGGTAAGACCAATTGCTTGCTTTGTTTCAGACCATTTAAAACAAAGTCTGAACTCAATGAGTCTAGTTTGAGCACATTGTTGAATGCTACAAATCTAAATCCAAAAACGCAAAGCAAGTACTCGACAAGTTTGAAAAAGGTAAAACTCGCAGTCTATCAGATCCGAATTCGATATTAAAATGGGATACCTTTATTGCATGCTATTCTGGATATTGGTCATTCTGACGGTTTGCTTTTGACAATCATTGGATCTGCAATACAAAATAGTGCGACGGCGTGGACGAAAACGGACAGCATTTGGATAAAAATGATGCTTCATGGATCTGGGTTCCAGCCCAACATACAAGACTTGTTTATTTTGCTTTGCTGAATCAGATATGTCATCAAACATTTGTTAATGGCCACCATCTCCTTCGGCTGATCCTGGCATATGGCCAAATGTGCGTTCTGGGGAAATGAGAGGATTAAGCTGAGCAATGTATGTGATGGCCCACCTAATTAATGAAACATGACAAGTTATATTTTGACCGTATTTATGAAACCATTCATCTGTTGTTTCCAATCTATAAAACTTACATGAGCCAGCAGCTGATGGCTGAAATGACTAGAGAGGTGCGCCAGACACTGATCATGATGGGCCATAACAAGGGCGGGTTAGTTTCTATATTTATCAATTCAAACATTGCAAGTATGGACCAATACATGAATCCGTCACATTAATCCCAACAACTGCCTCCACATCACTGATTAGCAATCAATTTAAAACTTGAATGCAAGCGCGCAGTGAAGGGCAATGGCATATCTAACAGTTGATGTTGCAAGACATGGCGACCAAGCTTCAACGTTATCAAGGGAGGGTTGAAGCGGGGAATAACAACAAAATTGACAAAAGCAAGTGTGTGCAGCGACCAAGAGCATATTACTAGATGAACTAGCATTTGTTCAAATTCAACATGGAAGCTTTCTAACCAAACCCCTGCTTCATCACTGGTGGCCAGATATATAATAAATGCAAAGACATACAGAATATCAGGACCCTTTGGCATGAAAATAAACCCAGCAACAGTAAGGCCAACAACAACCGCCAATGAAATCAACACAGTTAGAGCGCCCATTGTATGCCAGTGGTTTGCAATGCAAGTTGTGTCGTTTGCATATTTCCAGACAGCACACTATATCACGTGTATCCACGTGTTACATTGACTTATATTTGTGATTTTTACACTCCACAGTCAGCATCAAATGTCAAAGAAAGGAGCGGCAGCCAAGTCGACTATTCGCATGATCGTTGGTGCTGGAAAGGCCGCTCCAACACCTCCTGTTGGTCCAGCCCTTGGTCAAAAAGGCGTCAAGGCTATCGACTTTTGCAAACTCTTTAACGACCAAACTAGCCACTACATTCCAGGCATTCCTATCACAACTATTGTTACTGTCAATTCTGATCGTTCCTTTTCTTTCTTCAACAAAAGTCCCCCAGCCACTTGGCTAATTAAGCAAGCAGCAGGATTGGAAAAGGGAAGTTCGCAGCCTCGTATCGTCGAGGTTGGCCAAATTTCACTGAAACATATTTACGAGATTGCCAAGATTAAGCAAGGCGATATTGCATTTAAAGGTGTCTCGCTCGAGGCAGTGTGTCGATCAATAATTGCTACGTCTCAAGGAATGGGAGTTACAGTTATTCATTAAACTCTGGCTGTAATCTATGCTATTTGATTTATGGCTCTCATTTTTCATTTTGCACATACCAATCGAATGAAGCTGGTGATTTTGGATAGAATTAGATCCTGAAATCCATACACTAGTCGGCAGATATATAGCAATATGCTGAATTGTTGTTCATCTAAATTCATTTTTTAGGCAATATTAAGGCTGCGTTGGAAAATAAATAATGATCATTCACCGACTCTCTATGGCAGCCATGTTGGTGGGCGAAAGTGAGAATCGCCATTTTAGTAGATCTTGAAGAATATCTCGCTCGCCATAGTCTTCGTTGCTCACTAAACTTGCTAGCTCCTCCATTATAGGAACTTGTGCCTTTTCTTTGTTTGCTATAAATACGTTTCAAATAGTTTCCATGTTGGATTAAAACTCGGTAGTTTCAATACATTGTATCCCAAAACATCCAGACTTTAACGTGGTTTACTTACAAGTACTAGGATCTGCAAAACAGACAAGAACTTCTGGAAGTTTTGCCTGGCCCAACAGCTGAATTCGAAACAACAGCGAACAAGTCAACATTGATAAAAAAATTAAAAAAGACAATGTAGAGTATACCTTGACCATTTGAATCGATGTTACACGAACTTCACTGTCTGGATCTCTCCACATCCTGACTAATACACGCAAGATATCAAATCGATACTGAGGATTTGTAATGTGTACAACCATTTGCGAAATAAGAATTGCATAATCGGCTTTCTAAAACACAATCGACATGTCAATTCAAACAGTTGCATAAGAGTTGGATCAAAAACGTATAGTAGTTTGATATCAAGAAATAGTATAAATTAGTTATTCAAGTACAAACGCGCAAAAACACACCCTGCGATATAGCATCTGATATCGATTGTTCAGTTCGGCAAAAAGCCTAGACATAACATCATGCACTTTCTCAACAAGAGAGAAATTAGAAGGAATGTCTAGCTGAAGTTCCAAAATCACCCTTAAAGCTTCAACGGCTGTAGATCGTATCCCCCTAATAGTATCGATTCAACAAAATAGCTCAATACAACACTGCTAAAGCATATTGTGCAATGAAAATAAATAAACAGTAAACTAAGACTCACCGATGCTCGTTGCTTAAGAATGTACTGATAAATTCAAACCCCTCAATAAGCATGTTTGATTGAGTAGCTAATTGATAAAGTTAGTGGTTGACCAATCCAATGCAGTTGAACATCTACTAAAAACTGTCATTACATGTTGATAGCGCATAGAATAGACCACATCCAGAAAGAAGATGTAGAGTAATTTTAGTGACTTTTCTAAGCTGCTCGCTCTGAAATTCAGCGAATAAACGTTGAGAGGCTAAAGTTAATAAAAATGCAATGCTTTACATATTGTAAAGACAACCAACTATTTTGTGCAAAAGCGCAAACTAAATATACCTTTGTATCCATACTCTCATTCATCTCAGAACGTTTGCTTTCAATTCCAGACATTTTATCAATCTTGCCTGACTTGATAATATCCAGAGTCGCTTCTTGAGCAGCAGCACGATATTGCTCGATAGAATCAAACCTAAATGCGTTGCAGGTCAGAATAAACATATAACCACTTGTGATTGCCGTTTGAACTGATTAATCTAAAGCACACAATAACTCAACTGCTCATCAGACACAATTGGAATGTCAGCGTATTCGTTGTAGAAATATTTGGAGCGCTCAACATCCATATACAGGGTTTCGCGTAGACTGTCAGCACACTCGTTACAAAACATCAGTGTTTCTTGGAAACGTTTAATCCATTCAAGATATTTGGTACCAACTCCCTCATAAGCAATAAAAAGATTAGATAAAACGTCGATGCGATGAGTGGCCACTTCAATATCAGTATCATCTTCAGCAGAAGCTGTACTGGTCGCCAATGATTCAAGTGGCTCTGGATCGGTGAGTTCGCCAGAACTTAGCGCCAAACGAAACTTGCTTCCTTTATTCCAAAACCAATAAAATTAGTTTATATCTCAATTAGCAATGCTTGTTCAAAAACAGTCGATTTACAGTCAACTCACTACACATAGTGCATCAATACAGCATGCTATTAATTGATTACAATATTTACCTTTTTCAATATCGGCCAATAGACTTTCTACAATATCTGTAGCAATATTTGAATGCAATCCAATCAAATCGTGCAAAATTAAAATTGGATCCAACTTCAACAGCTAAATAGTGAAAAACAAGAAACATTTAGTTGAGTCGGTAAAGGCTGGTTATTTTCAAAAGCATCGACAATAGTAAGCTCGCCTTACCCATTGTAGTTTAAGTAGTGTCTCTGGCGAAGTGACAGCTGTATTGAGTACACGCGCTTCAATACTTGAAATAACACCTTGGGAAGCAGCAGTACTCATTTTCACCATCTGCGATTCATTCAAACCGTACATTTTTGAAAATCTCATACGACGCTCAGAGCCATAATATTTAGAATTAAAGGGGTCTGACTCGATACGTACGGCCTCCCGTTCAATCTAGTTTAAAAATTATACACTTTGTTACTATATGTATCGCCAGTCAAATAGGCGGATTTAAAAAGCTAAATGGCTTGAAAATAAATCATAGTAGATACATACTATAGGTGCCGCATTGGCACTTGGAGCTTCCGGAGTTGAATTCAAAGTTGAAAGTTTGCATGTAGCAAGCAGCTCAGATTTCAACGCATTTTCTTTCACAGTAGCACTATTTCGCTGCAAAATAGCATAGGCGAATTCAATCATCCTGCCCAATGCAATAGCTTCATGCGAAGCTTTTCTTACGTTTGCACTTGGGTCAGCTAAAAAGTGGAATACAAACCACATACAGTCTTCTGTAGATATATGGGGTGCAAATAGGCGAAACACCGATAGGGCTTGTAGACGACGCCATACATGTTTAGATTTAACGTCCTGTTTGGCTCTTGAAAACATGTTGCGAAAAAATGGATGCTTTGGACCAGTTTCTGCCAAAATACGACTTGTAGTTTGATGAATTTGTAATTGTGCCATGTTATTATCCAAAGAGTCAGAAAACGCACCAACTGCATCCAATACTGTTTTTGTGCTTTCTTGTCCACCAACAACACAAAGATCCACTGTAGAATAAATATATTAGTCATGGATTCGGTTGACAATATGCATTATTATATAGCATCAAAAATATTATATTAAAATACACTACAAATGATGCTACAATCAGATTACTGTACCTGCAAGAAATACTGCATAAAGTCGTTTTTTTAATGAAGCTCGAGAGTTGGAAATAATTGGCACAATTTTGTTTAGCAACTCTGGAACTCTGTTGAATGCAGAAACCTTGATGAGCTCAACTAAATACAAGAATCCTAAAAGATCGCCTTCATTGGGTACTGCAGGAGTCAACATTTTACCAAAAAGTATTTTAAATGCATATGTGCTATTGTCTAAAATAGGTTATCGCGATGCAAAAATGTATGAGTCGTTAAAATAACTATCAATATTTATAAGCACAATGCATCAAAGCTAGACTTACTGGATATATTGGACAAGGCTAAAATACACGCTTCAATAACTGGCTTATTTTCTGGAGTTACGTGTTGACTTAAACCGCCAGTCAGCAAATCTCCAATCTCATTCAAAGTGTTATCGTGGAGGCAGCTGAACTCGGATAATACCATTATAGCGCTTGCTTGAAGTAGTGGCTGCTTCTGAATTTCTTGCAAAAAATAAATCACTTCGCTTTGATGTTTGGCTAATATTGGAGATGTGGTAGCTTGAACAAGCACTTTATATCTAGTCATTAGTTTACTAGATACCGTCGGAAAGTTGAATCCGTCATCCTCAACAGGCTAAAAATAAAAGTATAAGCATTAGTTATATATTGGATCATAGATTTGACGAGTCGAACTATTTCAAGCACCAACTCACCAGATCTTGAGATAGGGAGTGTGGATTCAACGCATCAATATCAAAAAGCATGTCTTGAAGAAATTTGCTTCCAACGACCAAAGTAGCGGTATCTGTCAAAATCTCCTCCCAAGACCTTTCAATTTATAATTGTAAAATAAAAAACAAGATCGATATTAAAAACTATACAGCAATAAACCCAAAACACTTGTCAACCTACACCAATGGAGGCACAGTGGAGTCATTGGCGTGAGGTAAAAGACCCTGACATCGTGATTCAACCAGATTAGGCAAATTCCGCAAAAACCGAACAAATAAAAAACGGACATGCCGGCATGGATCAGCATACAGAGGTAGTATGATCCATGTGATTGATAAACTTTCTTGCTGATCCATCCCATGAATCTGGACAGGATTTAGCATGTACACCATATAGTTATTTAACCATCACTTTCATCAGATATAAATATTTAAAAATGAACATACCAAGCTTAAAATTGCAGTGAGAGCGGCAACACGATAATCAGAATTGTTGTGAATGACAAACTTGATTAATCCTTGAGCAACTGCATAGTGACTCCCAAAACCCTCATCAATGACACCAATGCAAGAAATTGAAAGTGAAACAATACCTAAAAATACAATTAGTCAAATCACGTATGATTCAATACCATTGTTTGAATTTACGAAAATAGAAACTTTACTCACGAGAAGCCTCATTTGTAGTCAGCTTTGACACCAATGGATCTCCAGCAAGCTCAAGACCGCCACTAGTGATTGTCGAAATATCGTTCATGAGATACTCATAGAATTGCTGCGCCGACTCTTTGGGAACAGCTCGAAAAATAAGCGGATAAATTCGAGAAGCAGCCTCAATAACACTGGTATCACTGTCTACCAACATTACTCTAAAACCATTGCACAATTGTTATAATTTGACCAATATTTCATCTTAACACAGTAATGCGCATAATTCAGCCATGCAATATATTAATTGCTTAAACAATATCAAGACTATACATGTCATCCTACCTGGTAATATCTCTGACCTCTTGTAGCTTGGAAATCATGGCTTTTGGAAATACCATGAGCAAAATTTCAAAAAAGTTTAATAGGGCCGTTTTAATGACAGCAGATGGAGTGTTGTGAGCAAAATCAATACAAAGATCCAGATATTGATATAAAATAGATTCAGAAACTCCAGGTATTTTTAAACGAATTATCAATCCAAGGATTTCCAATGCAGATCTAATGCAACATAATGAGAGTTTAACATTGCAAAATTAATCAATCGATTGGCGTTGGGATGTTCAAAACAAACACAAAGACTGTCAATATATATTTTTCTTACACTTGAAAACTCCAGTGTTTGTGAGAAAACATTTGTTGAGTAGCATATTCAAGTAAACCACGAAGCATGCCAGGGTTGACATTTAATCCTTTGAAGCAACATCGTACAACGCACACACATGCCGCACGACGATTGATAAAATCTGGAATGCCGACACTAGGTAGCAAGCAAGCCATGTATCCACAAAAAAATCGGCGTTTTCCCGCCGGTGTTGTTGGAATAATGTCCCTGCGAGATCCAAGGCTTGTCTAGTATCACAAAAAGCAAAAATTGTGTATACAAACAACGTATTAAACAGATGTGTATAAAGCACTAAAAGTGTAGCATTCGATGCACTTACTGAAAGAAGAGGAGGAGCGCATGAAAGCTTGGTAAACAAAAGTGACACCCAAAAAGGACTCTGAATCATATTACGCGAGTAGTTGTAATCATCTGGTCGAGCCAACTGATTTTCGGGTACATCAGCAAGATAATACTGCCAAAATTCATCGATTCGTTCATGCAGCAACATTGCGTCTATCAAAGATCGATAGTCTGTTTTGTGTATAGCTAGTGATGTTGCTAATTGATCGTATGCTCTGATTTTGATCTGCAAAGTGCCTTGAAGACTCTCGTTCATTTGATTCAGCTGAGATTGTATTTGAACAAGTGATTGATTTCCAAGTTGATGAATCTTTGATATGACTGTCTGGGCACTATTAAAGTTTAGTTGTAGAGCAAAAAACAGTCGTATATCAGTTTATCAAATCAACAATAAGCTATAAAATACTTGCTTGACCTACCATTTAGTGTTATCATCTCCGATTGCCAAGAAAAGAAGAGCAAGGGCCATATTCATTTGACCACTAATTTTCCAAAACTCGGCCGCCCCTCCAATAATGGTGTATACTTCCATACGAACGTCTGGGTCGTTATAGAATATCAATTTGAAAAGACACGACATGAGTTCTTCGCGGGCTACTGTGTTGAGTTGAATTAGTGGGAAAAACTCGATCAAGTTTAGCACAGATTTAAGAATAACCTAAACCACAATGTCAGCATAAACTGAATCAACTCATGTTATATATGCAATAAGATAAATTGATTAGCCTACCGATCCCAAAGCTGGACTCATCAAAGCTACTATATATGCCCAAACAAAAGAAATATCGGCTTGAGAGGTAGCTAATAGTGCAGGTGTGATAGCGTGGAGAACCTCCAATGCTTTGAGTTGAATGCTCTCGTTACTGCTAGCACACAATGGGGTAATCATTTGAATTAAAAAAGTATCCACCTATACACAACATCAAGTGTTTCAAGAAAAACGCGAACAATTGTTAGCATTGTCATGATTGCTTCAAAAACTGGTTAAAAATATAAATCAGCTATGATGGATCCAAAAAACAAACCTTTTCCGACTTTTTCCCCCAAATTTTAATTAGTTCTAATTGATTTAATATTTCCTTGGATGGAAGATAGTCCAACGCATTTGCAAGCTTGTGCAACAATAGTGGTGCCATAGGTGGACTGTACTTGGCAACAATATCAAGCACGCTTTCTTTTACAATTTTTTTTGTATCTGTAAACAGAGAATTGGCATATTGAATGTCGTATGTAATATTCGTTTGGTTGTTGTTGCGTAGACAAAGAATCGTGTTCCTTAACGCGACAGCATCCGGAAGATCCATCATTTCAATCATTGACAAGTACAAAAAAGCACATAAATAGTCCGTATCCAGCACACCGGCAATGATAAACTGCCAAATATGTTTGTTATCTTTTGCAAAAGAAGGGCATATTTTGATTATAGAATAAAGACTGAGACACGCTCCATACCGAACAAGTGCTGGGGATGCTCGATAGTGATTTGAAAGTGACATGATATAGTCATTTATAGTTGTGGACCATGCTATTGGGGGAACAACAGCAATTCCAGTTTGAGCAGAACTCATTTTTACAGCAAATTCTTGTACTGCCCAAGACAGGAGATCGTACGCCGACTCATCGTGCGAGCCGATAAGATCCTGAAACACATCAAACCCAAATTCTGCAAAATTAAAAATAGCAAATGTAAAGTCAGCATATATACGGTTTGATTATATGAAAAATATCTGTAACAAGTATGTTTCTTACCAGATCTATCCAATTTTTTAGGTAAAGCAGGAGCCACAACAGATGAACTGTTTGAATTTGTTGCGTGTTTGCCACAAATATGATCAAAAATAACTCCAAGCGTCGCTTTTATTACTTCAATTTCGGAGAAAGTCTTGCATAAATAAATTTTTGTTGAATGGTATTTAGTTTATAACCAAGATAATGCAGTGCATGTCATCAAATGTGGCAATATTCACCTTGGTTTTGAGTCGCAACAGCGTGTCAATGATGCTACACGACAAAGCAGTGTCCTCTACAGCATAAATTGGTGCAAGAAGATGCAATGCCTTGACAAATAAAGTTGGGCTTATAGTTAGCGATAATGTAAGAAGACTACGATTTAGCCAATAGAGTGAGGGTGTGTGAGCCAAATAGTTGGTGAAATATCAGTGTGGACATACCTGCAGAATAATGATCCGATCAGGAAAAATGCTACAGATTTGCGGGATCGAGTTTAACGAAAAAAACAAGTTCCAAATTGCAGAAAGTGCATTCAAGAAAATTAAACAAGTACAAAGTCAAAGCTGGCCAAAAGCAGAATATATACATATACTTTGATCAATTTTCAACTGAATGACATGTTTGAGCATGTTGCAATTGGATCAAGTACATTCTCACATTTAAAGCATATAAAAAGGATATGATCGTCATTCAAAAAAGACTGTTTGTTTTCAAACACTAATCGAGCAAGAGCAGCATTGCATATGCCCCGAATATGCCACGATGAACTATTGCGAAAGCATTCCAAGCCAGCAACCATTGATAAAACCATGATGGAAAAGGACGCTCCAGTCAACGTGAATAGCTCATGCACGTACGAATAGTATCCTATTGATGTACATTTTAGATTAAAACAAAAAGGATTGGAGTATTAATTTGATTGGTCAAAGTTTTAACTGTCAGATACATTACGGCTCCATATTTTTGCAACGAATGTTGCTCAGCAAAGGTGTGTTTAAAAACAAGAGCTGATTTGATTTTGAATAGACTTGTATTTTACCTTTATCGTCAGTCTCCAGCCCCATTAAAATACTTTCCAAGTCCTTATCTAGCAAAATTTTGTCACAAATGGTTGCTAGTTCATAAATTAACGATGCTGCTCCTGTACGCACGGATGCTGAAAAATGTCCGAGCAAAGGTATCAGTTGCACCACCATGTGCATAGTGGCAGTTTCTATTAGCTCGTGAATCTGGGGTGAGCTATTTTCGTTTATTTCAGCCTGATGAAGGTTTTCTGAGCTATCCGTATTAACAGATTCAGAAAAGTTTGCATCATTCATGGTTTCAGATAATGGTTTAACATATTGTCCGACATCTCTGACATGAGTAGTATATGTGGTAGGATCAATGTGCTGCAAAATATTAGTATAAAAAGAACGGACAGTGGTTAGCCATGAGCTTGCCAAGGATTTTTGAGAGGTTGAGAACGTGAATGCAAGCTGATGGGGTGGTCGTGGAGGACGATGGCCAGATTGAGGTAGCCCAGTACGGTTTACTTCCATATTGACAAAATTTAGAGTCGGAGAAACGATAATTTAGTTTAATATTGCAGCTGCATAATCACGTGATTGAATGCATTGGAGAATGGCATTCAAGTCATGTGATTGACTGCTGTCAAGTGCGGACAAGCAACTTGACGCGTACTCAGCTTTTCTTGCTACCATTATCGTCGAGGTAACGAGCATTCCATTTGGATTGACATTTGGCATAATTTGATTTAGATTATTGTTGGCGGTAGGTGTTCCTTTTGCTTGGCACTGGTGCGATGGCTGCATTCTTTTACACTACCATCTGAATGCTATTGCATTCATTGTCATCAGCTGCTTATAGGCTGAAAAGCCAGGTCTGACCAAAGTGGAGTAAACCCATGGCAAACCAAATATTCGCAATACTGGAAATACACCAATTCAACCTCCACACCCATCATCAGCAGCCAGTATGGTTGATGGCAGGATTACATGATTTGAATCAGTCTACCAACCCATGTACTCAATAATGGCAATGCATCATTCTTCCAGCCGAAACTTGAGCTAATGTGGGAATTGGTGTATGCTGCAGCCACCCTTTATAGACTTGTGTACACAAGTATACACTAGCATTGCTAATCACCTCTCGGTTTACAATTTAGGTTTGAACGATAGTCTGTAAAGTATCTGTAAGCAAATCCACCTAATTGCATTATCTGACTGTCCTGTACCATACATTATCGACGGCCAAGTTGCTGCCATTCAATTCAATTACAGGTAGGGCTAATCCTTGTATAGCTTTTTGAACTCCTACGCTTTTTCAGGATGCATCAAGCATTAAATACAAAGCCGAGTGTATGATCAATGTGCCATATATTTACTTTCTAGCCGCCCTTGACTATTGTGCACTGACAATTGTCGAGTCGCTCATACTTTGAACTATGCTAGCCTTGATATAAGCAATGATGCCATATATCCATCTATTGATGCGACTGACATGCAGTTATGATATAGTTGTCATGCAATTGGCATGCAGTTGGCATGTCTACGACTGTTATATGAGCTGTCATTATTATGACAGCTCAATAGAGTTGCTTTAAAGACGCATTCCTCTTTTACCAAACAATTCAGACTTGATAGGTCTAGCACTACTTAATAGAAGTTGAAGTCCAAATCCGTTCATAATATATTCTTTGACCCAACAATAGATCTAACCAATCTCTTCATACAGTATTCAAGTTACACCAGCCGGGTCACGCGGTTGATATACAGTCCAGCCATCAAAACACCTAGCGTTTAAATTGGTGGTCAGACTGTAGTTAGTTTAACTGCATCCACGCCAGCCAGCAAGAAGTAAACTGCCGAGTCGTCAGCTGGTTATAGCAACACTTGCTAGAAACATACGGCTGGATTCTGGAAAGACATTTACTTTCTTGTTTCCACACTGTCTGGACCACAATTACTGCACTAATTCGAGGTCACCAATTCAATTCAGACAGTCTTGATTACCATGTCAGAATCTTCCTTTCCTGGCACTGCATTGTTCCCTCTTATTGCTACCATAAACACTTCTGCATCGTCTTCAGAAGCCTTGACACAACAATCTTTGCTATCACATACTGCTTTACAGACCAATTCTACATTATCATTAGCTCAAGAGCCGGCTCTTACTGCTACTGACATCATCCGCTTTTATGACCGCATTATTGATGCATCGGACCGCAAGCTTACCCGGCTAAACACTCTTGGTAGCAAGGCCAAGTCCGAGGGCTATCGCTTGTCTGTGCGGCTGATACGGCAAAATGCATGGTACCAGAAGATGCACTATCAACTGACACTTCCTCCTGTTATGATGGGCGACTCGCTCTCTGCTTCGTTTGGCTTCTCGCAGGATTTCTGGGGTATGTTGGCCTATTCTCCTATCCGATTGAGTGCTCTTGCAATACAGTTTCATACTACTGTCATAACCTGATGCTATTGGCCAACCTCTTATTTTGAATTTTAACTTTACTGACTTGCCATACAAAATTTAATTAGACACCGCCAATACATTGATGGGAGTTGCTTCTTCAGCACTGCCATCGGCTCCAGCTTCCGAATCAAATTCTTCCCTATTTACACCCTCTACAGATGCATTGTTGGAGTCCATCACAACAAACTCTTGGGCCCTCACAACTCAATTCGACACCAGTGGTTCATTTTTGGATCAGTCCGCTTTAATGGCATCTCAACTAGGTGTTTTACGCTCGTCATCTTGCGACTTGAATTCGTCTCCCTTTGAAACTTCGGTTTTTGGATCGCTTTCTGCCATGCAAGCGGAGATGGATTTGGCATTCACTAATTCAACCACCCCTTTTTCAATTGTAAACCAATTACATTCTACTGCATCATCAGTGTCGCAACTACCACATACTCAACCAAATGGTTCTGATAACAAAACTTTTCCAGAATGTGTCAACCCCACAACTTCTGGTATTTCACATGCGGGATCATTTGCTACAGACAAGTTGATGGCAAATTTGTCATTTGCCAATTCCGAGTCTTGCTCAACTGAAAGCCCAAAACAAGGTTCTCATGCAGATCAGTTTTTGAAGTTGGATCGTGTCTTTATATCCGCTGCTGGCAGCGGTGTGTGTGACTTGGACAACAATATCCTATCATCTACTTTTTCCCCTACTACTACGCCTTGCAACGGAGTCATAGTTGCATCATTTCCTTCCAGTGTATCTGATACCTCTTTACCAGATCCTCCGGTTGAACCTGCAGAGGGCGTAATGCCAGAGATTCCCCACCTTCATATTGTCGAGCACCACACCAATATTGCTCAAGAGTCATTATCGATAAAGCCCTTGTCGCCAGAATCTTTCCATCCAAAACGCGGATCCCCACTCAAGGATGCTTCGGCAGAGCTTGACATGTCACTTCCATCATCCATTTTTGTATCTACTACTCCACTAAGCAACACGACGGAGTTGATGACAGATGAAAAATTTGACTGGTTGTCATTAAATTTGACTGAAGCATCATCTACAGCACCGTCTACCTCTACCGCTTCATCTGCTACTACACATGTATTGGAACTTTCAGATGCACCAACTGCTAATCAGAAAGCATCACATATACAGCTAAATTTTTGCCAAGCATGCCCTACGCTTTTAGATAGATCGATGTGTGAGCCTTCCACTCCGCGACTATTGTTTCAAGACTTGACTAGCGACGAGTCTTCGTGCATGGAAGTAGACGATTCAAGTTTTTCTTTATGCTCGTCATCTACTGGCCATAAGCTAGGGTGTTTGGAAGATACTGGCCACGTACGTGTGAATATTCCTGAAAATGCAATGCAACAATTTATTTCAACAATACCAAGATTTGGACAAGATCCTAAATTGTCCAATACTATTTCAGAGGACATTCCATTGGTGCTTTCACTTTCAAAATCCTCGTCTATTTTGTTGGGAAAGCGCCGCAATGAATGTCAATACTATACTGATCCAATTGTATGCGGTTCTGAGAATGATATTCGCGCTTCGTTAGCTTATTCTGTAGTTCCTAACTCTATCTGTACTAAATCTTTGGAACCCCTATATACTACCTCGGCTGATGCTTGCTTCCGATCAAAAGAATCGTTTTTTAGTGATATGATTGCCAATATTTTGCCCTTGTCCAACTCATTGTCAGAAACGAGGCAAGATAAAGGTCGTTTAGCAAAGCGTTTGTGTATTGATGTGCCTGTAACATTGTCTGCACCTGCCGACTTGTGTTTTTTAAAAAAGTATGTACACAAAGAATGCTCTGCCGATCCTGCAACTAAATACGATTGTGATGCTATGGACACGGATGAGATACTTGCAATGGACTGTGATCTTGATACTACTTGTGAAGCTGGTCAAGACTACTCAAATTGCACAACATTAGCAACTCAGCCAACTAACCGAGTACGCATCGACTCTGCCATAGGGGATTCAAATGACCAGAAGGCACAATGTTCGAGTGATCTCTTGGACAACACATCATCGAGCCATCAAAACTCAATAATGGTTAAAATGTTTTGCACTATAGAATCTGATCCATCTGCCACAGTTACCTTGTCGGTCCGAGACAAGAACGAACTGAGTTGCTCGCCCACGACAGACAACATTGTACTGCCAGTCGTCATTGTATCTAAAACACAAAACACGAACCGCAACGCAGCACACAAGAGACTACAGAATGGATCGTCTTATCCATCTCCGCCTGACCCAAACTGATACGTTCACACCACGCTCTCTGTCCAGGGCATTTAACCTTCACATCATCCTAACCCATACTGATCTGTTGTTTGATCGAATTTAAATCTAAAATACACTTCTGGTATATCTTATAGTCTTCATTTTTGAAAACACATCTAATACATGCAATAGTAAATCTGATAGAATGGCATAACTGAGTCTAGAAATATGCCAATATGGATCGAATCGATCTGTCTGGTGTCTCAGCACTTGTAATTGCCATCTGTCTCACTGTCCTGCCATCATTCAGTTGAATGTCATGACTAATAAATGCAAACTTTTCAACCTCAAATTGACTTGTTCCAATACATACCAAAATGCCTATTGGTGAGACATTCGTCTATATATTTCAAGTGTCTCTACCGCAGTCCGTTGTAGAGCATGTCTTTTTGCATTGGTTCTTCATCTTGACTTTCAGATGCCTTGAACATCCCCTGGCTGAAACAGCCATTAAGAAACTTGCAGCAGTTTCACTCCAGTCAATGAACAAATACTCTTTACAAGTGTAAAGAGTCATGACTGCTTCTGTTCATGTTTTGACTGGCTGCTTTAAATCGGACTTGCAGCACTCAATTAGCTGGAACCCATCTGCAGTCTATTGGGTCATTCTAATCTATATTTATTGTTAATTACTTTTATCAAATATTCATTACATACAGACTATAGCAAGTGGGACTCCATAGAGCTCAGCGATGATGAAGACTTTGAGTGTCAGTAAGTACGATCGATTTACGACCAATTCCCTTTGCACCACTATGTCTAGCCCATCATATCTCTTGATCCAATTCTAGATGCATAATTCTATTTTCACAAATCAATGATACTATCAGCCTTTATCCCTAGCTTGATATGGTTAAACTGCGGTATTTTCAAATAATTTATACAGCCGTATCCATGTAAAATGCAACTCCATGTCGTAGCCAGTCTTGTTTTCAATTATATTCAACATTCTTGATGTTTTTACATGAATATGGCTGTAATCGCATTTTGACTGCTTTAAAATTCTAATGACTTTTGGATCTGATTAGTCCAAATGTGGATAAAAAATCCATGGTTCGCTGGAAACAAGCACAAGTCCATAAGGAACGTAAAGAGCGACAGGACCAGTTAGATCTACTTACTCTTGAACATCAGACAACAGAAAAATATTTGGCCGACTTCAAGAACCAGGTCAAGGCAACATTTGAGGCTCTTTCACGTCCAGTTACTGCTTCTGCTATCATAGATACACTCAAGAAAATTCAAACTGATACTGAAAAAACGTACACCGATCCAATGAGAACCAAGTCTATGAGCTGTATGAATGCATGGCCAAGAGAATGGGAGGCTCCTAATTGGGGAACTGTTCTTCGTGAGCATGTACCTTGGCACGATACTGTTGCCAAAATTCAAGAGGCAGTGAGCAAAATTTCTCAGGAACATGCTGGGGATAATCCTGAAAAATTTATCGATTTAACTATGTTGATGATTGCTGAAGCTGAAGCTCGACTGGTCAAGCGCCAAAGTCTCATTGAAACTCAAATCAAGGCATTGAATGTTGAAATGCACAAGAAACTCACAATAGATCATCTTAAAACAGGATTTGACAAAACAGTAAATACTGCTTGGGGTTTTTAATATGAAATATCTGGATAGTGGGCACCTGGATAAACTCACTAACAGATTTGATTAACTTGCTGTATCTGTTTCAGATCATGTCTAAAAAACCTGAAGACGAATCTATGTCTGCTGCACCAGCTGCTGACAAATCTATTGGAAAAGATGCTAAAGCGTCTTGTTCTACCACGATTGAAACCATCAACTCTGTTAAAACTAAAGCAATCGCGACTCCAGAAAAGACAATCCAAGCTGATATTGCTACATATCCGGGAGTAAGTGATACTTGAATTCACTGCGTTGGAAAGACGAGTAGTCTACTACCAATACATGCTTATTTAACCATTTCTTGCTTGGACCTACTTTTCTTAGCTTGCCGAACAAATCATGGAAGAATACAATTCAACTGACGAGGAGCTGATCAATACTCATCCTGAACTTCTTGCCTTTTCCAAGTATGGTGACTTTGGAGATGTTCTTAAAGCTCTTAAAAAGCATTCGGAACTTCAAAAAGAGACTTTTGAAGAAGCGATTTTGATGCGTGCATTGGTTTTGGAAATTGTTGGCAAATCCAAGGAAGCCAAAACCTGTGTCATCAACTCTCTAATTCTCAAGTATACCAGAGCTCTTGGGTCATCAGGCATTGATGTGTTCTTTAGCAAGTAAGTGAACTATGCAATCAAACCTGACATTGCTATTGCCATCGCTTTATTTACATGTTTTATAAATACTCGACCTTTTATTGCCAAACTCAGACTGGAAGCTGGAAAATCTAGTGCACACAACCTATTTTTTTCTGATGTTAGCAAGACGTATGAGCACATTCAGCGTCGCGGAAAGATTCTTCGTGCAGAAAAAATTGAAAGCTACAAGGCTGCTATTAAAGAAAAGGCGGAGCATGAAGCCAACATCAAGAAAATATATGAAACTTTTTTGCAAGCAGATGGAAGTCTTGTGTTTCCTCTGCCTGAGACTCCCACTGAACGCCAGGTGGAGATTAGTCAATGGTTCAATAATTTGCCACACGCTACCAAAGGTAATACTTGATTTATACTATCTAATTGGGCGATTCATTTTAATCTGACCTATTCTGCGCTTTGTAAATGATTTTATTCAACGGCATGCTCTTTTTACTACCGACAATCTGACTTTAGAGGGTTTACTGCTTGAAGATGTTGAAAAGATTAACCAATTTCTTACCACGCTTGGGCCAGACGAAGCTGAAAAAAATGCACAGTTTGCAATCGAGGCTGGGTTTATTCATGTTGAAAAAGAGGACGAATAATTGGTTGTGAATCTTTTGTCTTGTTCGAGGTTTTGTTTTTGATTCAGGTTTCAATATTGGTATTCTTGGGCTGCGTTTACGTAGATGGAATACTGACAAATATGGAGTTAAATATATTTGGGCTTTATTCACAATTAGTTTTTATTCACATTAGTATTTGATGAAAACTTTGATTTAAACTTTTCAGTGGCTCGATATCAATCAATTACTGCTTCTCTATCTTTTTTGGCAAGCTGCACCGACTTTTTGAGATTCAATGGGCCAAGTCCATACACTTGCTGCGTGGTAGATTTGGCAAAGCAGTGAGGTGATTTATTCTGCCCAGTTGCAATGTCCCGCTTGAATGACAGCATATTGTCAATCGAATCCGCTAAATTCATTCTAGAGGCTAGGCTTTTGTGAACAATCGCATCGACATTCAAGTATCCAACTCCTACTGCAGTTTCCTGTAGCTTGGTTTGCTCCTCTGCCGTCATCTATTCAATTTTTAAAGTTTACCAAATGTAATGCATTGTTTAAATACAGTTAGAGTTGAATACTTGCATATTTAGCAAATTCGAACAATGTTGGCATTTAGCTACAATTGGCAACCTACATTGTACTTTCCGAGACCCATCTCAGGAGTATGTTCGTTCCACTCCCATAATCTTACTGGTTGAGATTGACCCCATCGAACAAAACAAGCATAATGATCTTTTGGATGAAAAGCAATATGCACCACCGTAGCGGCTCCAAGCTGTTTAGGACTCATAGATGAAATTCCTGTGGTCTGAAATTGTGATTGTTTTTTGTGTCGATTCAATGTATGCTTTCGAGATTCATTGTCACTGACATCACTATCACTTGTTTTTCTATTTTCTGTGTTTCTGTGGAAGTTGTCATCACCAGCTGGAAAATCAAAGCCGTAGCTGTCATTAGTATCATCCCATTCATGGACATGATGGGGATCGTACGAAGCCACCATTGCGCCTGTTTCAACCCTCCATACATATACCAATCCATTGGTTGGTGCACCACAAATGATCCAACTCCCACAAGGAGATACACATGCTCGGGTAAACAAGCCGCCAAAACGTGTTGATGGCAAATGCGCTGGAGATATATGACTTACAACCATAGATCGTTGTCCAGGTATGGGCGTATCGTTTTTTGACAAAAGATTGTATTCAACTTTTGCAGATGCAGTCATACTAGACAAATTTGGAATAGAATGCTTGGCATCTATTCTTGTGGGGCTTATTGATGCAATACGTTTTGATAGGCTCTCTCCAGCTCCAGGTATGTTGATATGCGTCAAAAATCGGAATATGCGTACATCAAGAGTATGAATAGATACTCCTGTTTGTACAATCAAGCTTCTCCCACCAGGATGCATGATAAGTGAATGAATTGGATTTGGTCCCACTTGAATTGATTTGATACAATCGTAGTCAAGTTTAGCATTCGATACAGATAACGATGCTGCAGGCTGAGAAAGCAGCAACGATCGTGAGCTCCAAATCTTGAGCGTTCCTTGCGCGTCCGCCGAAAAGAGTCGATGTCCTTGTGCATCAAATACAACTGCATTGATATTGCATGCATGACCAACCAATTTGTGAATGGGCTTGTGGAAAAGTAAAGCGGAGGTTGGATAGGGCTGCAATGCATCTTTTGACTGCGATAATGCTTTTGAATCGTGGCTCCAGAATCGAATTATTCCGTCATAGGCTCCAGTCACCAACATTTGTTGCCTACAATTATAATTTAGTCTTCACAATTCATCAAAATTAATCGAGTCAAGGTACAATCAAAAGTATATCACCTACTTATCTGTAGATTCATCTGATATTGGCGGACGAATAGTGGCGGTGTACACAAACGTTGGATGTTGGTATGTAGCTACCATGCAAGCGCTACCGTCACTAAAGAAACGCCAAACACGGACAGACCCATCCGCCGATGCTGAAATCAATTCGGTGTCATCCAGTGTCCATATCAGTTGATACACCAAATCTTGATGCCCTTCAAAGCTTTCCACACGCTCGCCCGTCAGCACATCGTATAATCTGATTGGATATGTTTGTCTATTTGAACACGCTACTGCAAGTAACATTCCATTATGTGAAAATGAACATGCAAATGCACCCCTGCCAATCAATTGATTTTCAGCACATTAGCCATTTATATATCTATGAATGACAGCTAGTATTCGCTATGTTACAGATAAGTATAGCTACTTACATATCACCGCCATTAATGCGATACTTGAGTTTATTGGGGATCTTACATTGGTGGCCTTCTTTGCGTCTCCATGTATGCTATTATTGAAATCAATTATCCAAATACAGTGCTTAATAAGTGTCCAAGATTGACTATGCCTTCAAGTCTAATTATGCACCGTACTTCTGTATGCAAATTTAACAAACTTCTCATTGCATTCTCCATGGGTCGTTTTTTGATACTATACGTTCGTAAAAGCTAGCAATACATAGATGTAAGTAGACGACATTTTCTACACTGAAATCAATCAGTTTTATCTCAACCATAAACTATGTCAAAATTGGAGATTAAACAAATTTCAACAGCATCTACCTGTTCATAGGTCAGCCTTCCTGTCTCTTTTTCAGTGGGACCTATTGGTCTTCGAGTTACTTCTCTTGGCTCAACGCGTCCATGAGCAGATACTTGGACAAAAAGCGTGGATGGATACTTTCGTCGATCTTTGCGGCGCCAAATATGATAAATAAATGGAATTCGATTGATGGTTCGACCTTGCTTCAACCACCAAGGGTATTTAAACAGCTGTAGTCTCACCTAAGTTTTACAAATAGGTATGTTGAGTCATACAACCTATTAAAACTTGATCACTTTAAATATATCAGGTCTATTGAATAAAATAAATACTACCTGTTTTTCAGTGTTGGTTTGCCCAAGTCCACCAACAAGCTTAAGAAATCCCCAGGCAATTCGGTACCATCCATCAGTCCCACTAAGAATCCAAAAATAAATGAATTTTAAACTATCCTGACTATATACAATGCTCAAAGCCGTGCTATTTCATATATCAACTACCTCTTGGCATGCTTAAAATCGCTAAGCATATCTAGTACTTCAAACAATATCATTTGACCTGGACGGACCAAATGCAGATACTCTTCGTTGAGCATAATCGTCTCATCCCACTTTGGAGTCTTTGTATTGTTTTTAAATAGCTCAAAAGGCTTTAAAAAATAAAGTTGTAAACAATACAGTAATAATATTATAAAAATAGTAAACATTATTCTTGGTGTGCATGTATCCAAACCTTTGTTATAACCGGAAGAATGAAATCAAGAGTTGCTGGTTCATTAAACGTGGTTACTGCTCTAGATGGATCTGATTTTAATACATATTGCCCCGAAACCTCATCTTTTGATTACAAAAACAAGACAACAATTTTACTTGATGTGTTAAAGCACTTGTTTACATTCTCAATAAACAATAATAGACATGCACGTCAATGTAGCTTACCAATAATGTGAATCTGAACAAGAGGATGTCGCAAGTTTTTTTCAGACACCAGCGCATCTGTTTGAGCAATATGAATAGTCATGATGCATCCTTCAAAATCGTGGGATTTGCGATTTACATGATCAAACAGGTCTGGTGCATTTTGCCGAACAGGAGATTTGTGCTTTTTTTTCAAATGTTTCTTGCTTGAAACTAATATGCTTTCACTTTGATGATTGACATGTGTCATGTCAGAAATCTCCCCATTTGCCTTGGGCATGGATTGTACACTCTCCTGATTGGATTCTACAACCACATGCATTGGTAAGATTGACTTGGAATGCTTTTTTGCTGATTTTTTGTGGTGCTTTGTTGGTGGTTCTACTGAGCGTTCTGCACGCCTGCCACGACTTACAGATCGAGATCGAGTTGCTTCAGTTTGCGTGTCTGACATGGTTGCACTTTCATGGAGTTCGATGTGTGATGGTATTTGTTCAGCATGTCTATCTTGGGATGATTGTGACGTATCTAGTAGTGATAAGTTGCTTGCATTTCGAGGTCTTGATTGAGATTTTTTGTGTTGCTCATGCAAGGAATGCTCACTATGCTCTTTTTTGAAAGACTCGAGCTTCGAATCAAACAAACTTTGCTTTTCAGAAAATAAAACTTCAGGATGCTGATAGTGTTTGCTATGGTCATTTGAAGAAGCTGACGGCAGTGTAGGAGTGTCTAGATATTTAGATGGTACATTTGATCCTAGATTCAATTCAATGCATTCTTCATGAATAGGTGAATCTAAATGTGACTGTCCATTCATGATGGTCACAAGTTTGGGTGGTTTATTCACTGCCCTTTTTGATGCAGCAGAAGATATACTGGTAGGAGATGGCTGGCTATGCTGTGGTATTTCTGAATTGGAATGTTCATTAGACGAATGAGATGTTAAAGGGCCAAGACTTGAAGCACGATGGGATGAAGGTGGTCGTGGAGGTCTTGATAAAGAGTTCATTCTCGACCCCGAGACTTTGTTGGATACATTGATCGTTCCACCAATACTGACACTTTTTTTAGCAGGTAATGATGCTGTTTGAAGAACAGGATCGTTGCGTAGCTGTGAAGAATCTGTAAATGGTAAACTGGAGCGTGAAGCCTCGCGTCCATCTTGTGACTGCAGTGTTGAAACTTCTAGTGTGGGTGATGGATAGTGGCCAGAAAAGCTCATACTGGTTTTGATGTGGGTAAACGTATACTGAGTGTGCTATGATTTTACTATATTGTATCTTTCTGTGTTCCAATACGCTGACTAATTCTAAATTGCTTGATAATATAGGCTTGCAAAACCCGTCAAAGTGTATCTAGGATGGTTGTAAAGTGTTGGTGCAAAAAAGTGTTTCAATGAAAACTCCGACGTCAATGTTTTTGACTATCTATATCCAGACAGCATCAAGTATAATGTCTATTTTGACGGGCTGTGGCAGCCAAATGCCTTGCAAAGTGATTAGACTAAATCTAAAGGCGAGTCTAAATGCAATGCATGTTCACAATTTATTAGCCATTTTCATGGAATGGTTGGTGTTAAATTTACTAAACAATATTGTTTCAATTCTTTATTTAACCTGTCTTTCTTCTGGTAATTGGTATGGAAACAGCTGTCGTAATCCCAAGACCACAGTAAATCAATTTAGTTTCAAACCTGGTGATTATAATGTCTATTCAAGTCAATTTCTAATAGGAAAGTACAACAAATAGTTAAATATTATTTATTCCAAAAAGACGGTCAATGCAAAATAAATACAAATATTCCATTTTACGTGAATACAACTGTAATCTACTCCATTTTAGCAATTGATTTGTATTCCATTTGCTTGATTTTCTTTCGAACTTCTACTTTTCTTTTACTTTCACGGCTAAGTCTTAACTGATTTCGTGCTTGGTATGCCAAAAACAAAGCAAATATAAACAGTATAAGTATCCCCTGTTTGAGGTTTGCTCCAAGAAGTCTGGCAAGTAAAACTTCAGTCTACGCGCAGATATAATCAATGTGGTTAGAACTTTAAAATAGTAGACAACTTTTGAAACTGAAAACGATTCAAGCAAAGGCGGCTTACAGTAAATATATATGGGCATTCGGTATTCCATCCCTGAACCCAGCATAATGTAGATACACGCATAAAATTAACCCATGCAGCAGATACATTAGCAGCACGCATAGCATTCATCATTGCCATCTGCTCGGGTCCGGTCCTTGGAACAGCAAAAGTAAGCGGCGGCTTGCATACTGCTTCGGCATTCTGAAAGGTGGATGTGACATTTGGAGAGATACTCCAAGAATATGGTGCCGTGTTTAGATCCACACATGCAACATGATATTTGATATCGCAAGACTCGACGACCCATCGGCCGCGAGAAATCAGGGCCAATGCACAGTTGAATCGAAAGTCATCTGATGGCTGCCGCACGTCCCAACTCCAGAGAGTAGCGTTTAGCATACCGATAGTATACGACTGGGTGAATATCGGAGCAAACCCGCATTGGATAATCTCAGATACCATTTCGGCCGTAAAAGAAGTTTGATTAGAGTCTTGAATATACGGAAAGTTCCATGAGACTACAGTGTCGGTTGGTAAAACACTGGTTGGTGGTACTGAATACATAGCGTAATCAAGATCAAATCCTGTTCCTTGCATGGAAAAATTGGCACCTGGACGAGCACACGTTGCAACTCCGGATTGTGAGAGAGCAGTAGTAGATATGAGTGGTACGCCAGCCAATTCGGCTGCAGAGAATATATATGCATTATCGTTTGTAGATTTGTACGATGAGCTGGAGTTTAAAGCAGAGCTGCCTATTGCGACCAGAATGCGACTGGACATGATTGTCTGTCTAGGAAAACTGATTTCCCTCGAGTATGTGCTGGTGTTGGATCGAAAAAAGTAGGGTGATGCAAGAGAATTGTTCACTGCAGTCCGATCCGAAAGAAGCTTTGTAGGAGTATATACAGAGTCAAACAAAGCCACTTGATCGCCCAATGTGCGAAATGATGGAGGAGAAGTAGCAGCAGTCAAGTTTAAAGTTTTTAGATTGAGAACAACGGTAACTATATTATCCGACTCAGTGCCAGTCTGGTTTTTAAGAAAGCCATCGACCGTCTTTAGCACACTATCCAATCCAAATCTATCGGAGGAACACACAATGCCTCCGCCTACATCGACTATGGAAGGCTCAGGCGACGGTGTATTGGATACCGAGTCAGATGTCGAGGATGGCAAGGTTGGCGATGGTGCAGGAAGTGGAAGTGGACACAGTTGCCAAATGAATGACAAACTATCCCAATACAAGTCCACTACTATTCTATTTGCAAAGTTAAGAAGGAGCACAGACAGGTTGGCATGCAGTCTGGTGCTAGTGAAATTGTGGTTACGAAATAGAATAGGAGAGAGATGCACTCCAATTCCAGGCTGACGGGATATAGGAACCAAGCTCGATAGGTCCCGTTGTGTGCGTAATGCTGTGTATAGAATAGATAAATCCTGACTGCCTTGCATTGAGTGTGTTGGTTGAAACCCAATGTCTTGCTAGAATAAATGTTGAATTTTGGAGGTTAATCTGCCATGAAAACAGAATAGAAATCCAGTGTATTTTTGTTAAAATAATAAAAAACTGGGTTTATAATTCAATCTAATGGACTGGATTGATAATTCAATCTGATGGACTGGAGCCAGCAGTAGCATTAGAATGCATGTTCATACAGCCCGTTTGTTAATATACGACACCAATAGTCACAATGTCTGTTGACAAAAACGCTGTCATGTTGCATTAACAAAGTCAGTGTAGTTTTGGCCAGATCACCTGTTTGAGCCGGACAGGAAATCTGGCCGAGTTTGAACCGCAAGCGTGTCTGGCCAACTTATTTTCGGACATAAATCCAATTCAACTGCATTCCTACTTGTATGACTATTGTTGCTACAAGTAAGCAGCTTCAAGACAACTTGCAACTACAAACTATTTATGTCGTAAGTATATGTATGCTACTTTGCTGACCAAGTTTAAATGCTGCTTGAATGCCATCAGCCTACTACTCTACATCATGTATTCTTTTTGGCCTTGCAAACTCGTCTACAAAATTACCTCACGTATCTATCCTTCATTTAGTCCAATCTGCCCATACTTGATAACAAAATGCCATTTTGCTCTATTCAACCCAGAGATCTTGACCCATTTCAAACGGCTGAATATATGCTCAATTAGGTCCTAATTCACCATATATTCAACATTCAACATTTCCTTTTTTTCCCTACTTCTCTTTTATTCCCATCAGCAATCCTGAATCGCCTCCAGTCTTTGTTGAATACCCTTTGGCTTTGTGCTGTGTCCGAGTCTGGTACACACCTTACTAACCAACCATTATTGCTCCTATCACTTTATTCCCAGTGACCGTATCTGGTAAGTCAAACAGAGCTTGGCTCCATACACCATATCCTCTGAAACTTCAATCCCTATTCTCCACCATACATGCTGTGCAATTGTATTGACCCTCAATCTGCCCCTTTCTCCCATTCGCATCATTGTATCTGCTAAACAACTTGAACACCCCTTCACATTTTCTTTTTATTATACTTCTTTACCCTATCCTCCAGTGCTATTTTGGACATGACCCACTCGACTGCTAAATATACATAACATCTAAACACTGCATCTAATGTTATCCCAGTCACGAGCTTTACAAACTCCATTTCTATATTATCCTCACTGTTTCACTCTTGCTCCTTTGCTCGATATTTATTCACTTTAATCTATAGATCTATATCTGACTAACACTTGAACGTTTCCATTCTCTATCCACTCTATAATATCCTTGTCATTTTTGACTGCACCCATCTATTGTTTAGGCACCTTTAGTTTCAACTCATATCAGCCTGTATCCAACGATCGATACCCCATTCTCCGCTACTAGTCAATACCCCAAATTTCCCAATTATCGCCAATAACGTGATGTTTGCTTTCACTATGGCTTCTCCAACCCTTTCTTCTCCTTGCCCACTCAACTCCTCCACTGATATCCTGGGCGTTTCTTCTGGCATATCTAATTCCTCACTTGTCTCTATGGGCTCTACCTGCAACGGTCTGACTCCTTGCTCACCTGTCTCAAGCTCGCTTTCTGGTGTCAGTGATATGGTTGAGTTGACAGGTCTGCTCAACATGAAGTCGCCTCTCTCTGTCCTCGCGAATGACATAGGTGCAAACCTGTTTTTAAAAGCCGAGTAAGTTTCTTTGTACAAGTACTCCGCTATATATCTTGCTTAAATGTGACATTATTGGTGAATCCAAATGTTGGTTACAATATGTGGCGGATATTATTTTACATTGTCACATCTTGTTAGGAGCATGTATACGCTCATTGTGCAAAAGCAGCCTTTGTAGGGTGTTGTATTTGCGCGGGCAAAGGTGTATATATGCTTCCTGGATTACAGGGCCATGCTACTGGATAGAACAGTGGAGGTGCTTAATGAACTTGATTGCGTATTATTTGGATCATGCTTTGCTCATTTCCCAAGTCTATGGAACTGTAATTGTGTTGGTAGCTGCAGTCTCATCTTGCTTGGGAGCAAGTATAGTTTGGCTTGCAGTAGTTTTATCTTTCCGTTATAATACTATTGGGTTGAGCAATCTATGATAAAGTGAAAATATGTTGGATTAGAGTCTTGTATGGAGCGGAGTCCGCGTGTTTGGATAGGTCAGGGCAAAATGAGGCTCACGACTTCAGCTTAAACTCGACGCGTTTTGCGACGCGTCGAGTAATTTTGGGTGGTTTTACAAACTAGAAAATTGAGTGTCTCAGCAACGACTCTTTTTCATCTTCTACCCTGTCCAATTGTAATGTATAGAAATAATAACCATTTAAATATAAATTCAATACAGATCTGAAGCTAAAACACCAAGGAGATGCCTGCTTCAAGACTTGGAGACTGCACTGGAAAGTCCCATGCCAACACCAACATCTACTATTGGAATGTCATACCGTGGAAACGGTAAGATTGATTTCAATGCCATTCTATTTTCAAAAGTATCCAAAACTTATTTGGTTCAAATGTTGCAGCAGCTCGCTCTTATAGAAAACTGACTCGAATGAATACTGCGTCTGGTCGGCTGGAAGCTCAGGGAACTGCGTCACTTTTTGGGGGAAGTTGTGTCAATGACTTGTCAACCAGTTCCCAGATGCTTTTATGCTCTAGCTCCAATAGCTGCGATACCACATCCAGCCACAGCGCATCTTTTTCAGGATCATCCCTCAGCTCTCCGCCTCAGCATGCAATGAGCTCTTCCTCCCCAGATCCATCGTATTCAACTTTATTCCCCACTTTCAATACCTTGAACAAAATACCACATGCTTCCAGAGCTGCCGAAATGAGCTCTTGTGAAGACAGCACACGAATGCAACCAAAGGAGACTCTAGATACCGTTGCTCCTTTGAATCATATGTTTTTGGATCAGAATGCATTTCAGCGCAATGTACTTCCGCTTCATATTGGACGTACACAGCCGCTTTTTACCCAATTTTCTGAATGTAAAACTACAGGAAAATCGACCATGGTGCTTGATGATAGATCGTGTTGTCCCGTCATTGCTTCAAAAAAAGACGAGTCGATAAAATCAACAACATTGTTGAAAAAAGCAGATGATGCATCTACAGATGATACTACTGCATCTAACCATGGCTCTTTTCCAATGAGCCGTGATAGAGACCACCCATTGTCATTCACTACTGCACCATCTAAAATGGAATCTGAAACTGTTTTTCAGACAGCTCCTGCTGCTCGCACTCATGTATCGACCAAACCCTCCAGGATGGACATGTTTACAAAAGGGTATGTTTTCTGTCATACTACCCCACGTGCATAATCTACGTGTTGGTTTGTAATAACCTTACCGCTGGCTTAGATCTGTAACAAATCATATACTGACAGGTGTATGTTTGTATTATCAAGCAACACCTGCTTCTGTCTAATCACCTTGTCGGTTGCTTAACCTTTTATACTAATTGACCAACATTTTTTGTTTTAAACAACCGTAATGTCTACACTTGATATGATACATAGTGGCATATCTCATTGGAACCAACGTACGACCAATACGTTAACAGTGGATAGCACACTAGATGGACAAGGTCATGTCCAGCCAAATTCGTACATGTCATCTCTGCACACTTCTGGCTCAAGTCTGTCAACAGCTTTGCACATTTCTACTTCTTCCAAACCGCCGCGAGCTCCTGCTTTTGGTTATGGAAACGCTGCCTCGAGTGCCGCCAATAGCAAACCCGGTCGATTCAAGTTGGTTACAGATGTAAGCATATGCATTAATTATTGCCATGGTATTTGAATCTGTGCTGGGCTGGTCATAATCCTACTCTGGCTCCTGTGTTGCTTTGTAAACACTGAAGTGGTATCTGCATCACTATACTATTATTGGTATTAGAATTTTGGTAGTGCGTTTCAAGAGATGCAACTATAAACTGGATCAGTTTAACTCTATCCAGTGTCTAAAGATGGTTTATTTAGAAATACTGTTACTAACGACTTACTTTGTTTTTACCCATGCTTTGTAGCAACGCTTGTTTTGTAATCTGTCCAAATCCGACTTTGGCAGCAGTACAGCAGTCATCACTGCAGAAAAATGTGTCTTGTCCGAACATCAGCGACCATCGACTCGACGATCCAAACTGCCACAATCTAGAAAGCAGGTGGGATTGCAACCCCGTTTGCTACACACAAGTGACAACTGCTTCTTGACTGAGCAACGAAATGACACTACTCTGTCCGACTCGACTGCGTCTGACCATAAGTGTATACCTTTACTTTCCAGACGTACCCGTCCAATCTCTACCATGGACATGGATATTGATCTGCGAACAGTAACTACAGCAGTCTGTCGGTCCATTCTTCCGACACAAAAGCATGGACAGCCTCCGATCAAGATGCGACGAGCCAACACTGTCATTGGCTTTGGCCAATCTGAGCATCCTGAGCAACCACATCTTCATCATCAGCCTCAGCTATCCCTGTCTAGTCCATTCTGTACATCGGATGAGACATCATTACTTCCTAGCATGCTTGTTCCAGGCAAAGATATGATTCGACGTATAACAGTGGATACGCTTGCACAAGTTTTGGATGGCAAATTTGATCAAATTGAATCATTTCATCTTGTGGATTGTCGGTATGGATACGAGTATGCTGGTGGACATATTAATGGAGCAAAGAATGTCACTTCAGTTCAAGATCTTGAACACTACTTTACATCTCCACCTTCAAACAACCAGACTGTGATTGTCTTTCATTGCGAGTATTCTGCACAACGAGCACCTCAAATGTATGTATAAATGGGTTTGTTTAGATGAGTAAGCTAAACTGACTAGTATCGTTCTTGTACGTAATACAGGGCACTGCATTTCCGAAGCATGGATCGAAACATTAATGCCATGGCATATCCTAAACTGCACTATCCACATATATATGTGCTTTCAGGAGGCTATCGCGAGTTTTTCAAATCCTACATGGTGAGTTTTATCCCATACAACTATTATGGACAAGAATATTATAGCTGATTTAAACTATAATAGTTTCGATGTGAGCCTCAGGCATATGTTGAAATGACGGATGCACAACATACTGAAGATTACAAGGCAGGTGTAATTCAGAATCGCCGACAATTTCGCAAGGCATTTTCTGATGGGTTTTTGAGATGATTTGGGCAGTGTAATATTTTGCACATATTTTTTGGTTGATGGATACAAGATTGCCAATCAACAAAAAACAGGCATTTTTTGGAATGGTTGGTAAAAGTTTCTAATACACACTGCGTTTATTGACGCAATAATAGTTGAAAATGATTAAATTCTAAAGGGACAGGATGGGTGTAGTTGGACATTGTGGATTCATTTCACTGCCATGTTCACATAGAATGTGATACCAAACAATGGAGTTGAATGCATAATAAACAGCCAGTTTCATGGAATGATGGGTGCCAAATTGCTGGACAATGTTGCATTTTAGACTTTACAAAGTAGAGTTGTGTTCCCGAGACTTTGTTGTCTTGGCTAGACCATATCTGATATTTAGACTACAACAGGAGTCCGAGGACAGTTTAGCCAATATCTGGATTGCAATGAATCAATCTAATGATTGCGCAATGTAAGGTCATGTCAAACGAGAAGAAAGGGAAAAGTTTAGTTGAAAACCAAGTTTGTAGTATGATGGATGTTGTGTTGGATTGGGAATATCAACCTGTAATAGAAAGGAGCAACGAGTAGTCAATGCCAGATGAATACAACAGTAACAACCGAGACACTTGACATGTACGCGGTGGATATTTCTGTTGATGGGAGTTTAGTGCTAAATATCAGACAGAAGCTACAAGTGTAGTAGAGAAGCCTGAAATTTAATGGCTCACATAATCTAGTAGGGAATGAACGCCCATTTGAATGTAAAAACTAGAATTTTTTGTATGATGGGATAGAGATGGATGAGTCGACAACCCATGATATTTCAACCATCAATACAGTGAATAAGTAGGTGTGGCTATGAATTGTATACCCTCAGTAACCAATGCTGTGTTTAGCACATGAAGGCTTACAACCCGCTTGTGTTTGTTTGAATGGGTTAGTTGGTCAGCACTCGTCGTCAAGACCCTAAGAATCGAATGTGTACAATCCAGTCCCAAATCAGTGCCAGCTCTGTCCACCAAGTCCTTGCAACAAGGGTATATTCTCACGAATAGTCTCACGAACAAACCCTTGTTGATGCTTTTGCAATAGTAAAGAAACGCCGTCGACCTCCACCACCCATCATTCATCCACTGCTTTACTCGACCAAAAAAGCGCAATGGCCGCCGTGCTTTTTGCAGGCAATTTTTTGGTTTGCCAACAATTGTCAAACTTGTCAAGTGGTGGTCTTTAGCAGATTAGACTTCTACTGGACAAGTGTTTTGATTTGAAAATACCAACCAGCTTCAGGAATATTTACGACAGAACTGTGCAGCTACAGTCCATTTTATCAATGTCTGGCATTGAAGAAGCTACTGTCTTTCCCTTTTCACAGACTTCTCACGGCTGCTTTCCAAGTCGCCATTCTAATGCTATGTCTAGCGCAACTCATCACTCATGCAACTGCAGACTCGAGCATTGCTCTCACAATCCGAGCAAAGCACTCTCTACTCTTCCACCTTTACTGATGCCAACGTACATGTCTTCTTCCTGTTGTTCTGCTGATCCCTCTCCTGTCTTTGCAAATGGACTGCCTGTACATTTGGCTGGGTCCTACAACTGCCATGTTGCTGCCAATTCCCGCTATTCGGGCAGCTTCTATGGCGATGCGGGTCAACCTGTTGGTCATACCACTGCATTGTCAGGCTGCGCTGGTCGTAACTTTTATAGCAATGAAGATGCTCATGTTCTAACTCCCCCTGGCACAAACTACGGTCCCATATCTGGACCATTCGCCATGACTACTGGGTCGTCATTTCCAGTTACTGAAAATACGAATGGTTTGACTGGTCTATCTGACTGCGCTGCCGCCATGTCTGCCAGAGACTTACCATGGGCTTGTCAATCTCATAAATCTACTCGAGACAACCGTCAGTGCGTGATGACCAAACCACCCTTTAGCAGCGTTGTATCGCAAAAATCAAGTTATCACTCGTGTGATGAATACGAATCTGCTGTTCAGCATTCTGCCATTCCCCAAACTGACTATTACTACAACTACCCCAACGACCACAATTGCTACCCTCCACCTTTTATGCAAACCCCTCAGAACCAACCACAATCTGAATTCAGTTACTGCTCCGCTACACACCCATCTTACTACACCACTCACCAACTACAACTCGCTCGAGCACAATCCTATTCTTCAGCACAAGAAGCATCATCTTCAACAGGCCGGCCCATCTTGTCCGCCAGTTTAAAATCACATCAACGCTCCTTCGACGATCCTCATTGGGATCAATATAGCTATGAGCAGCAGCAACAATATCCCAAATCCCGTCACTTTACTCAACCACCTTTGGCAGTTCCAGAATCTCGTCAATCGTCATATCACTTTACTTGTGGACCCGATCATTTATATACATCTCAGCAACACTATCTTCAGAATGTACCAGGCTCTCGCAATGTTGCTCCATTATACTCGCTCGAATCTGGTGAGCTATCTCCTAGCAACCACACTAGAGAAAGAGCATTTGCAAAGGCCATACCCACTACTTTTTATGCTTATCCCATAGATGATCATTTTGCATCTAGATCCGTCAGTTCGACTCCCAAAGCATGTTCCGTCATGTCTTCCAGACTCGACTGCAATAAACGACGCAGCAACTGTGTTTCGCATGACATATACGAGAGTAAGCGACAAAAAACAGTCAAGACTTTGGTTCCATCTGCTCCACATCACCAACAGCAACTGATACAATCCCATCACTCGGGGACTTTGACTGCATCTGCTGCTGCTGTTCCTTCCCTAGAGCAAGCATCTGCTCCTGTGCTTGTAACGGCATCTCCTTTACTACTTGTATCTTCTCCTGCTCATGGCTCACATTACTATATCAGCACTCCAGAATACACTGGCAAACTGTCTCGGCAGCAAGCGACTGTTTCAAGCAACGAATCCTTTATGTCCAACACTGATACCGAAACGTTTTGTAATGGCTCCATATCACCACGTTCAGTGATTAAACTCGAACCCACTCGTCAATTGACTGCAATGCTTAAAAAGGAGTCTCGATACTTGGTCTCTCAAGATTGGACATCTTCTCTTCTTCGGTCAGAACTCGTGGATCTGGTATTGAAGACATGTCGTGCTCGCCACTATCAGGGCGAGACAGCCTATATATCTATGAATCTACTAGATAGATATGTGTCACATACAAAGGTTAATATGCGTAAACAAGGAAGACTTCTTGCACTATCATGTGTTTATATCGCAGCCAAGATGGCTGAAGAGACTATGGAGCCTTTTACTGGAGATATGGTGCATGACGAGGTGTATGCCTTTCAACGTAAAGACATCAAACGTATGGAGCGCAAGATTAGCACAGCTCTTGAATGGAATTTTGCAATCATTACTCCTCATGTAATCATGCATGAATTCTTCAACAGTCTTGGTACTCCTGATGTACGATGCAGCAACTTTCATCATACATCTGCTGTCACCCGTGCTATGCGCTACAATAACTACCCATCAACATCACATAGACGATCCCCTCCAACAGTAGCCACTAGGGACAGAGTGTTTGCATTACTAGATACTACATTGGAACATATAGCCACATCATCTAGTCTGTCGACAGCTTATACCAGCACAGCTCCATCCGTTATTGTAGCGACAGTGCTGACTTGTATTTGCTCCTTGAAACTTGTTCATCCTACTCAGATTACACTCGAGGACATTGCATCAGTCTTTGGCACCTCTTGTAATTTACCATCTCGATTGTTGTCCAAATGCAAAACCATTTTGACTGCAACTGCATAATCCTTCATCTTGGTCTGTTGTTTTACATTATATTTACATCTTTTTTATATGCATCTTGTGAATACCCTCGGTACTTTTGATCATTTTCCACAACGATCCGACATTGTTACTTGAATTTTGCTTATTTTTTACCTTTATTAATGTTGTCCATTCAAGGTCAGCTTATACAATCTCATTTTTTCATTGCTGCATGTCTATTTTTGCCTAATCATTCTATTACTTTGAGTTGTAAAATCGATATTTGATTACCTGAATATATAGTTGAGGGGCAAACATTTAGTCAACTTTTGTTATTTTGTGGAGTTCATGTACTATTGTTTTAGATTTGATATTGTAGATAGTTGATGCACATCCATGTTGAGTAAGATTGATTAGAGTGTTGAAGATTGAACATGGTACTTTAGATTCGAGTGTGTATTGGACATGATTTCAATTAGCAAATAATCGGCTATTAACTGTACTCGCGTAAAATGGAACATCAAATAAGCTAAAATACATGATAGTCTCATATTGAATGAATATCAATACTATTGGACAACATTGTGTCCTTTTGAATTATTGTTTAGAAATGGGTTTTGGTTTTAGCATTCAAAACATGTCCTTTTACGTATCAATATCTACTTTTTATAATATATTGTCATCAAACATTGATTGATGGCTTAGCAACCTTGTAGTCATCAACACTTGGACAACGAGATGCTGCAAGTGTACTTGTGGACCTTTACCCAACGCAAATGTCTCGGCCAACAATGTCAATGATCTTGAAAACCATATTACGTACAAAACCCAACATTTGTAAGTGACAGATTATCATAAGGAAATGTGACCAGACTTTATTGGGAATATTCAAGCAAATGTCTAGATTGCAATGAATGAATCTGGTGATTGTACAATGTATGGCTATACAAAGACAAAACTGCAAGATTTAAACACAACAGTTCAAAACTATAGTTTGTAATCATATGATGGTCGGTATGTTTGAGATGGATCAAAACAGCCGACAAGACTGTACTATTCTGACTTTCTAAACAACGCTATGCAACATTCCCCAACACGCATGTTATTCTAGACAACATTCCATTCCACAAAACAACACACTTTGATCATTGTCTATTCCTGATTGGACTGTAAGATAAATTCAAGATTCATTTTGTGAAGACGACTTTAAAAAGGTTCAAAATAGACTTGTGCTAAAACTGAACAAATTTATCAAAACTATTATTTTTGCAGTTTACAATTCGGACATTCTAGACTTATGAGCAATCTCAATGACCAGTTACTTGATGAAACTGAATACTCCAAACCAGTTGAACCGTTGCATGTTATTTGCAGAAAACTGCAGCAAGACACTTTACTGGAGTTGATGGGCAAGGTTGATACTCGAATCGTTAATGCCAATTATATCATTGTATTGTCAAGATCCCATAAGCTGACTGATTACTGTCTACCTTTGTCTATTTAGCATCCACTTCAGCTACAGTCTTTGCAACCATCAAATTCACCAGACATGTTTCCTCTGTGTCCATCTTCTATCTATATTTACGGTATGCCATGTACTGGCAAAAGCACAACCTTGAAACACATCCTCTGCAATGATACCTCGACCCGATCGGTTTGGATCAACTGTTTAGAAGCATATACGCTTCGCTTGTTGTTTGAATCGATACTCGATGCATTAGCTGGAGTGGATTCATCTGCTGCAAACGGCTATAGAGCTTATGCTCGCTGTGATACTCTGGACGAGTTTGTTGAACATATAAGAGAGATATGCGGTAGTTCAAGTGCTCAGATGGAAACCAGCTCAACTCTGTTTTTGGTATGTGTGATGCATCCATGCTTTATATTGATTAATTGGGTCTGCAAATAGTTTGAAAAGACGTAAATTGATGTGCATGATATTACCGAATCTAGGTTTTTGAAAAAGCGGATTCATTGCGAGATCTTGGATGTCCGACATTGATTTCATACCTGCTTAATTTATCAGAATGGGTGGGTTGACTATTATGAATGGTTCATCTTGTGCAGTTGGCCCAGTCGTATGACGATACTCATTGCAATCTTTGTATACAACAGAGCGGCGTTCGACTGTGTGTTATATTTATAAGCAATATGGTTTGGGATGACTTTTGCTCAGACTCTCTAGCTAATACATCCATAACCGTCTATTTTCCGCCGTATACCAAAGATAAGCACAATTCAATCTATTGTAGTTGGGTTGTCAAGCGATATGTCAGACTGACATTGACAATTGTTGGTTCTTGATTTATGCTTGGTTTGCGAATAATTACACGAGGCAATGGATATTGTAGCACTTGATTGTCCTAAAACAGAGGCACCTGATTTTTATCTTACGTTTGCAAACACTCTATATGATGTATTTTCATCATCATGCCGTCATTTGACTGAGCTAAGACACATCACTTCACTGCTGTTTCCCAAATACATTGAACCTGTGCTTCAGGGAAAAGGTATAGTGATGATGATTTATTCAATGCAGGATTGTTTCTCTTTAATCCTGCACCACAAAAATTGAGCTGACGTGTATTAATATAGCTACTAGACAGCAAGTCAGTAAACTGTTTGGACTGGCACAGACACACATCAAAGAGGCATTGCACTCGCTTTACTTGCGCGATATTTCATCTTGTGAATGGCAGCGCAGAAGCACAAAGAGTAACGGACTAGTTTCGACAAACGTAGATCTTGGTATGAAAGTGTTTTGAATCATGTAGACTATGGGTAGTTTATCGATTCACATTGAGTCTGATGTCTTGTTTCAAGCACGTTTCTGATTGCATCTACGGTGTGTACTCTATTTTTGATTTAGCCAAATCGTACGACATGCCATATTATACAAAGTTTTTAGTTATTGCATCCTATTTGGCGTCTTTTAATCCACCTCGACTAGACTCGCGCTTTTTTACAAAAGCCAAAGAATCCAAGGGAAAGCGTGTAGGTAAAAAAGGCAGTGTACATAATGGTAGCAAGGTAGAGTTGTTTGTAATTGTATATACAACATGATGGAAATGAGTGTACACATTATATTTTACTAATCCGATTGCATCTTGCTATACAAAACAACGTATAGATGCGACAGCAACTGTTGGGACCCAAAGCGTTTAATGTTGAACGTATGCTGGCGATTTTTTATAGCATTCTTGGTGAAGATGTAGATGTTGGGTTCAATGCACATACACAGGTATATTGATGTTTGATTGTACATGCTGCGTAGATTATGATTCGTCAGGGTTAGGGTTGAGCAACTTATATTTTTTCATGACTAGATCTCCACGTTGGCTTCGCTGCGACTTCTTGTACGGGTTACTACAATGGACAAGATCGATGCAGCAAAATATAAATGCACTGCCAGTTATGAATTTGTGAGCAGCATTGGTAGATCAGTGCGATTTGATCTATCACAGTATTTGTTTGATTTCATCAACGTATAATGAAACTGGTATATTTTCTGGTACAACCATACAGAGTACAATCAAGGCATTGAATTATTTTACAAATAAAGGAAAACGATGCATTTTCATTTGTTGCAAAGTAGATCCGGGCGAGGTTAAAACCACCAAGACAGTGGATTGAATTCCTATTGGCATATTCAATTCTTTGCAGACTCGAGAGACTTGAGGTAGTCGGTAGCTTCGTTTTTGAGAACCTGGTTCTTGGTAGCAGCCTCGACGATGTTGCTGTTTGAAATTTATAGAAAATATATGAGTGAATCAATGTTCAAAACACAATAAACTGGCTCGAAACAACTTACACAATATTGACCCATTTGTCATCGGGAGCTGTAGTTGAGTAAAACCGATATACGCATCAATACAAAAACAAATGGATTAGACAATGGATCGAGAAAAGCAAGGGTGATGAATAGGTCTTTGGATCTTGTTAAAAGGCTTAGACTAGATCAAGTTGTAGACAGCAGTATTGCTAGACTTGAATGTCTTGTAACTGTAACCTAAACAAGATATTACACACTAGCCTGACAACCAAGAGTAAGCTCAGTTGAAGAGGTATCAATTTTTTTCAACAGTAAAGATACTGTCTTCATCCAGAGAGTTGACAAATGGTATTCGACTAGAGTGAATTCAGTCTAATCGAATGATCAAAACTGGTTTATCTCAACATAGTCTGTAGAGTGTAAGCAGTTCAATCCATCCTATGTATGGCTTGTAGAAACAGGTGCAATGTGGTGGTAAGTATTCATTTGAATAGTAGTGCAAGTGGTTTACCATTGGTCAGAGCAGTGTGGATAGAAGCAACACCAAAGTATACGGTTGATCCAGATAGTATGAAAGGAAGATACAGCTTAAGGAAGCTGGTCTTGTAGACCTTCATGCCAAACAGCCTTGGGTAAGAAGCAGCAGACATGATGAACAGTATGGTAAAGAAAGATGTGCAAAAACTTGATTTTATTCACTCTTTGCAAGTGGATTTCCATACAATTGTCAACATGTCTTGAAGTGATTTCAATATTCATTCTCTTGTTTCTCAATCATCGTAATGCATGACTACAGATCTTGACTGCTAATCATAATCATCTCATAGTCTTCTGGCAGTGTAATTCCTTTACATGGGGTAATGAATTCATCATAATCCAGTCTAAACCGGGTATTATACAAACCAGCCGCTTTGGTCAAGTGTTAATTTTATCCTATAAATAGCTGTAATTTCCTTGATTCCTGTTTGCTTTCCGCAAACTCTTGCACATCTCTCGAGTTGTCTTGTAAGCAATCCATCAAGCCTTTGACACTCAGTCTTGCATAACTATTTAAAATGACTCATTTCCGCAGAAACGAAGAAGAGATTCATGATGAGATCCATGAGGCTCTCCATCGTGATGCCCGTGTCGACTACACTAAGCCCATCTTCCGAAATGGTAAAGTATTTTATATCAGTTACTTGTAGTATGTCCTGCAATCTATGTTACTTGTTTCATCTCATAAAGCATCAGCTTTGTCAAGTGCACCCTATACTTGATGTTGAGTACATCTCAACTGCCGTTTAAAACGGTTAGTTGATTGACTTCATTGTGAACAAGGTTGTCATAAGACATGTGTTCTTATAGCTGGCATTTCAATGCAATGAGCTAGAAGTGGTGGGTTAAAAGGGGTGAATTGGCCGCATTGATTTGGTCTGTAATGAGATGGCTGTTCTATTGATTGCGTCCAATGGTCGGGTTATTCCGGTCCTGTGCTGTTTGATTCTGGCCCATCACTCTTACGCTTCACTACTCATCTTTCATTAGATCCACTTCATCTGTCCATCATTATCTGGCTGTGCTTCATAGTGACTACTGGCTGGTCAGTTGGACCCTTGATATTGGCAGCTGACATGGCTAAAGCAATTCTCCTACATCACTCTTATTCATCCAAGACGTTGAAGGATTTTGATATCATCGTTTTGGTTCAGTGATGGGGTTGCTTTTACGGTCTTGTGAACCGTAGGCAGCCAATAACTTTACTGTGGCTTTGCTAAATGTATTGACACCATGTGGCCATGATCATGTGAATGTGATATTCCTTTGCATTCTAGTCTTGACAACTAATCTTATGCTAACATGATCTGTTCAATACAATAGCATCTGTTGCTGCCCTTTACGAGCAAGCACTTGTTCATGAGCCTGGTACTTCCATCACCTCTGCAGGTGCTCTTGCTACAGACTCTGGCTCCAAAAAGGGTCGCTCTCCCAAAGACAAGCGTATTGTTGACGAGGCATCCACCACCAACGATATTTGGGTATGCAATGTTAATTAAATTTGGGTATACCAGATTGTGCAATGTTTTGATTGGGTTGTACTGCATAGTGTGCACAGTTGACTAACTATTCATTTTTACATTAAAGTGGGGACCCATCAACTTCAAAATGGTCGAGAACTCGTTCATGGTCAACCGTGAGCGAGCCATTGATTATCTCAATACTCGCGATCGTCTCTATGTGTTTGACGGTTATGCTGGCTGGGATCCCAAATATCGTATCAAGGTCCGTGTTGTGTGTGCTCGTGCCTACCATGGTAAGTCCAACTATCGATGCTATGCGACTGATTCTAAATTAGAATGAATCGACTAACCAATACATTAATGTTACTGATTTCAACCCATCTATTTAGCCTTGTTCATGAACAACATGCTTATTCGTCCAACTGCTGCCGAACTTGAAGATTTTGGTGAGCCCGATTTTACCATTTTCAACGCTGGTAGCTTCCCTGCCAATCGTTTCACCACTGGTATGACCTCTGACACATCTGTCTCGGTCAACTTTGCTCGTCGTGAGATGGTTATTCTTGGCACCCAGTACGCCGGAGAAATGAAAAAGGGTGTGTTCACCGTAATGCACTACCTCATGCCCAAACGTGGAGTTCTTTCACTTCATTCTTCTGCCAACGAGGGTCCTAACGGTGACGTTTCGCTTTTCTTTGGTCTCTCTGGAACCGGAAAGACCACCTTGTCTGCCGATCCCCATCGTAGCCTCATTGGTGATGATGAGCACTGCTGGTCTGACCATGGTGTGTTCAACATTGAGGGTGGTTGCTATGCCAAATGCATTGATCTCTCTGCCGAAAAGGAACCCGAAATTTTCGGTGCCATCCGCTTTGGATCTGTCGTTGAGAATGTTGTTTATGATCAAGCTACTCGTGTTGTTGATTATAACGACGCATCCAAGACTGAAAACACTCGATGTGCATACCCCATTGAGTTTATTCCCAACGCCAAAATCCCTTGTGTTTCCACTCATCCCAGCAACATCGTCATGCTTACTTGCGATGCTTTTGGTGTGCTTCCACCCGTTTCCAAACTTACTTCTTCCCAAGCCATGTACCATTTCATTTCTGGATACACTGCTAAAATTGCCGGTACTGAGGAAGGCGTCACTGAACCCCAGGCCACCTTCTCTGCCTGTTTCGGTGCACCGTTCCTTGTTTGGCATCCAGTCAAATATGCTACTATGCTTGCCGAAAAAATCAAGACCCACAAGGCCAATGTCTGGCTCATTAACACCGGCTGGAACGGTGGTGCATACGGTGTTGGCAAGCGTATCTCTCTCAAGTACTCGCGTGCCATCATTGATGCCATCCACAGTGGTGAGCTTGCCAAGGCAGAATGGGAAAGCTATCCCATCTTTGGTCTTTCTATCCCCAAAAGCGTTGCTGGCTGCCCATCTGAAATTCTCAACCCCTCCAAGACATGGATGGGCACTGAGGCATCTTACAAAGCCACACTTGAAAAGCTTGCAAAACTTTTCATTGAAAACTTCAAAACCTATGAAGACAAGGCATCGCATGAGATCATTTCTGCTGGACCCAAACTCTAAGCAAAATGCCCACGACTTGACCATGTTTTCTACTTAACTTTTTTCGTTCATCAATGTGCCTTTATGAAATCTATTTGAGCCATATTTGCAATTTACAGCGTATTCACGTAAAATGAAACACTTTTCTGCATCTGACTTGCAATGACTGTTTTGGGATAGTAATTGAATAGTCATGCTTATTAGAAGCCTGCTGTTCATTCAGATGCAAATCCAATACACAACCAAACTCTTGGAATGCATTTGTTGTATTCTAAAAGTGAGATGAAGTATTACAAGACAAATCTATATTTAGTATTCCACATGAATAAGAGTGTAGAAGAGCAATGAATTGGTTCAAACGCACTATTTCCTGAGGATGTCTTGATACCTTGACCTGAATCCAACTACACATTCAAGAATGTGAATTCAACAAGCGATGGTTGCTGAGAGGTCATTAACAAGCTTACGTCTGCCATTTTTATCCATGCCATCCACTCCTCTACCTATGCCTTCTAGCTGGTACTTTATGCGGTTTTTTCAGATTCTTGTCATGGTCAGCTGTCGCATAGAGTCGCTCAAGTTTGAGGCAAGTCAGTAAACGACTGTTGTTCACTGGTCAAGTTAAAGACTGCGCTTTCTTGAGATTCCAAGTCTGTGGTATTCAAGGCAATCTATTTGATGGCTTGAATATATGGGATTCGCAGTCTACAAATAAGCCAAGATGCTTTTTGGTAGATATGCTTTAGTCTATTTCAACCCTTTCCTATTCTTGGTTCATGACTCGCATCCAATGGATCAACAACGGTTTATTCAGTTTCTAGATAATATGCAACTGTAAATCGGGTTTGAAATGGAGAGTTGAATCCATTCACTCAAACTCTGTGTTTCTGGCTTTTCATTCCCATGAACCTGGTTCTAGATCTGTCATAGCATGCTGGATGAATGTGCACTGTGTGTGTGACTTGACTAACATCAACTGTTATCTAAACTCTTGACTTGAACGATTTGTTTGTACAGCAATTCTTGTCACTTTTAAAAACACACACAGAACAAACTCTACATGTCTTTGATGAGTACTTTATTTCTCTCGAGCCCGATTTACTGGATGCGTTTCAGTCATTGCAAAGCGAAATGTGTTTAAAGCATGAGTTGCGTGATGGCATGATACGACTGTGTGAATCTTTCTCTGTCCAATCCCAGGTGTATGATATCTTGCGTAACGCAGATCCAAATCCAGATGTTCTGTTTCAGGTAGAATCACTATTCAATGTGAAACCCCTGTCATGACGTTCAATTCCACATCACTTTAACTTGCATTCCTGTTTGTAGGAGTATTTAGACTGTCTTGATTTGGGATCTATCAATGGACATCACGGTAATATCATTCAAAATATATGGGAGTGGTTTGATCGCAAACTTTCTCCTCGGGATGTGCAGTGTCTGAGAGTAGTGTTTGCTGAAGCCGAGGTTTCACAAGAGTTTGGTAAGATTTAATCTTTTCATATTGATATGACAGGACGCATATACTATGAGTAGTATCAACCCAACTAATGCATCACATACCATGACACGCTGATTCATGATTGTATAGGTATAGATCAGGATGTCATGGCCAAAGCACGACATCTTATTTCCAACGACGCCATCTACCTTGGCATATTGTCGACGCTAACACAACACAACACTCGCAATATACCCTGGAGTGAGACCGTTGGAACTATTCAACATTTGGTAGATGGACATAGCATGGGACTATGGGAATCACTAGAAAATCTATTTGACGAATGGCGTGGTGTTCCATTGTCATTACTACGTATGTGTACCATGATGTTGCTTGACTTGCTGTCATATACTCAAGAACTGCTGACGAGTCATTTACAAATGCATCCATTTACATTTGAAATAGTAGGTCAACAGGGTGATGGAGATCGCACAGAAGAACCTGACCCTTTGGCTATACCACCCATTGGTGACGGTGAATATATCCATCAAGTTGAGGAAGGCTTTAACGAACAAGATACTCGAGATGGTTTTGTATCTGAAGGTTCTTTTGGAACTGATTCGGATATAGATAATACAGGTCGCGACTCGAATAGGGAATATGACATTGACGGATGTGTAAGCTACGTAGGAGAAGATTTGGGACAATATAGAGATCAAGATATCTCTAGTATGTACAAATACAGGGATACCGATGGTGTAGCTATGAATGAGATTTTAGAAGAATCGTATTGCTGGGAGGATCCAGCAGGTCGATAAGAAAAAACAGTCATAATATATGTTTTTATTGGTCAATACACTTTTTTACTATTAAAAACAGTGTTTTGAACAGTTGAAATCACTCGATGAATTTGAATGGCAAGTCGATTGTTCATGAAATTTTCGAGGTTTTTTATTTTTCAACTTCAACTGCCATAACAATCAACCGATTGCCATACTCAACCAGACAGCAACACATTCACAAAAGTAACAGCAGCCAGTCATGTCTACTATAATCGATAAAATCAAGGACATTGAAAATGAGATGTCCAAGACTCAAAAGAACAAGGCTACGGCGTATCACTTGGGCACTCTCAAGGCAAAACTTGCAAAGCTTAGAAGAGAACTGCTTACTCCTACTAGTGGTGCTGGTGCAAGTGGTGTTGGATTTGATGTGGCCAAGACGGGTGTGGCTCGAGTTGGCTTTGTAGGATTTCCTTCTGTTGGAAAGTCGACTCTCATGTCCAAGCTGACCGGCACTGTTTCTGAAGTGTAAGTAATCGACCCTTCACTAAAAAGCATCAAACGTTGCATTGATCTTGTTGGTTGAGTGTGCACTTGTTTCATACTGGATATGAGATCTCATGTCTAGCTTTATGCAGAGATTTAAAACAATCTGAAATTCATACCATTTACAACCGTATTCGCAAAATGGAATGCCATCTCTTGCATTCGTTATTTTGCTTCGGGATAAGCCATCGTTGATCATTCGTTACGCTTTGCTATTAGAAATTGACTTGGACATTTCAACTCTTTGAAACACAATGTCATTATATAATCAAACTATGGTTTTGAACTTTTCTCTTTATTTGACAGCCATGCATTCTACAGTCACCAGATCTCCCATTGAAATCCATGCATTGGGCTCAACTGTTTTCAATCCAATCCTTACAAACTTCCTGCTGTATCCTAAAATCATGTTCGCGTTCTAGTTCATAAAGACAATGTCCAGTAAATTTGACATCAAACATGACTGTTTATTCTGCAGACACCCTTATTTAGTATTTCATGTTACATGAATACGACTGTACAATTTGACTTTTAAAATCATAATACTTATAATTTCAAATCGATATTTAAACTAGTGGAGCATACGAATTCACTACTCTTACAACCGTACCCGGTGTGATTCATTACAAGGGTGCCAAAATTCAAATGCTGGATTTACCTGGTATTATTGAAGGTGCAAAGGACGGTAAAGGTCGTGGTCGTCAGGTGTGTACAACTGTCTTGACGTATTGTTCAATGCCAACCTTGTCAACTAAATCCCCAACACTTTAAACTCTGAAATAGGTTATTGCAGTTGCACGTACATGCTCTCTTATTTTTATTGTATTGGATGTACTCAAACCATTGGGCGACAAAAAGATTATCGAGCGTGAACTTGAAGGATTCGGAATCCGTCTCAACAAAAAACCACCAGCAATTACTTTTAAAAAAAAGGAAAAGGGTGGTATCAACGTCACCAGCACTGAAAAGCTCACACATTTAGATGGTGATCTGATCAAGGCAATTCTGTCCGAGTATAAGATTCACAATGCGGATATTTCGCTTAGATGTGATGCCACTGCTGACGAGCTTATCGATGTGATGGAAGGGTAAATAGTGTTTACAACAAACTTGTTTTTGAATCCTTTTCATTACTAATCATGTGAATTTATATTCAGAAACCGTGCATACATTCCTGCTTTGTACGTTTTAAACAAGATCGATCAGGTATTGCTTTAAATAGTATATATTTTTGCGATGTGCTATACAATTGAACAAATCGTGTCGTTTAACTTTTTTGAAATATTAAATAGATTTCCATCCAAGAACTTGACATCATCTATCGGATTCCTCATTCTGTTCCTGTTAGCTCGCATCACGAATGGAACTTTGATGATTTGCTTGATATGATGTGGAAATACCTCAGTCTTGTTCGTATATATACCAAGGTAGGCTTTTACTCAACTCCAATTGTTTCCAATCTTTATCTTTGGCCTGACATTGTTTTTTAATACCATTTGTTCATCTAGCCCAAGGGACAACTTCCAGATTACTCGGCACCTGTTGTCATGCGAGAAGGAAAATGCACAGTTGAAGATTTTTGTAATTCGATACACAAAGGTCTTTTGCGTGATTTTAGAAACGCTTTGGTATGGGGCTCGTCTGTCAAACACAATCCACAAAAAGTAGGCAAGGAGCATGTCATGTGCGATGAAGATGTTGTTCAGATTCTCAAAAAGTGATGCAACGTGTCACAGTTTGGCTTTGTGAACCTGTGTAGTGGTTTTTATTTCTATCTTGGCTGGTCTATCAAAGTCTGCCGCATAGTCTAGTATCTGTAATGAAAATACACATAATAACTATTTTGTATATGAACACGATTTCATTGCAAAAATAAATGCGTCTGCTGCATAAATGGTTACTGCACTGCTTTCCACTTTTTGTAAATGTCAATCAGAACATCCGAGTCGGATGCTAAAATGAATTCATATCAAAATAGAATAAGTAAAGGCACTGACAAGACCAACTCTATGCAATACTTGCCTGCATACGTAAGTTGACACTGACGAAGTGGTCGACGATTCCAATCAGTGAGTCGAACCCGCTTATCCAACGTCTTGTCCAACACGACCAATACAAGATCTGACAAGCCAAGTTGTTGTTTTTTAATATCATGACGTTTTAACTTGTCAGCAAATAATTCCATGGATAGCTTATTCAAATCAACTAGATTGTACGGTAGTGGCAAATTAGGCATCAAGGCATTCAGTTTCTTGAGATCTTGGACTCCATCAAAACCTGAATGATGTAATGGAAGCATCAGATTTAAATTAGCATCAAGTCATTCAAATCAAAATGCAGTGGATCGTAGGGTTTAAACATGTGATGCCATTACCTAGTGTTGTGATGCGCTTGCTACTAAAGAGAGCCGTCAAAACATTGCATGTTTCCGTCAGATCAAGATTAAACAAATCTAAAATATACACTCGACGACTTGTATCGTTTAAAAGTACTGCAATTTGAAAAATAGACATTCTGTCGGAACCTTGGTTATACCATTCTGCGTCAATGCCAATGTCCACAATATCTGGAATTTTAGTTTTAAAATATTCCAGCTTTTCTTTGGTATTGACAAAACAAATGGGTGTGTCTGTTGTATAAAATGGAATCTGCATGCCCGAATTTGAAAAAGATAGTCTTGATGTGTGGCTTTTATTGCCACCCCGCGAGCAGTTGACATGGTAAGCGGCATCTAGAATGTCGTGTGGGATAAACGTACTAAATCGATTTTTGATCATACCACATAGTGTCGAATCCTTATGAAAGCTGTGAAATATATGATTGAGCGTAAACTCGATCATTTGATCAGCCGATACACGCTGTTTTAAATATTTATATGAAGCACTCTGATTGTCCAACCGTGGCGGGTGATCTAGCGCATGTGTATTGATGGTACGCATAAGGGTTTCCAGAATATCTACAAGACATTCCGTCAGATCGGTATAACTATGATTTGGATCCATATTTTGCTGAGTGATAATATCTTTGACTGACATGATACTCCAGTTAAGGGCTGCATACCGTTCACTAAATGAGATTGCAGAGAAATGAACAGCATCGCTACTATCGACTATATTCATGACTTTTCTGCATGATTTTGACCGCTCCTTTGTAGAATAAGATGGATTGCTTAATGACACAATGCAATTGTACCATTCTTTCTCTACCATTTCGTAGAGTGTATAGCGTGTCCATGGTGTTTTTTTGACAAGCTCGGCCAACAGTTGAGTGTTGGTTTTTTCAAGAAGTATAGTAAAAGCACTCTCAAGGTCCACAAATCTACAGAGCTGATTATCACAAACAATCTTGACGTAGTCAGCCATGGCATGTTGTCGCATCAGGTTTTCAAGTATCCTGTTTACGTGGTAAAAAGACAAAGATGCCTGATATTGGCCAGTAGCGACTTGAGCTGGCGTTTGATCTGAATGATCTTCTTGAGTAGTTTTGGGTGGTAAAAACTGAATAGAAAAAGGTTCAGCTAGCCAATGAACAAACGGACTTGTGCTTGAGTTTTGTAATAGTTTCAAAGTAGTTTGAGTGTGCTGCCGACGCAAAGAGATCTGGCGTGTGCAAAAATCATTCCAGTTTGACAGGTAATCAGAATGTATCCATTTAGAAATATCTGCAGGGCGATCAAAGGAGTCGCTGTCATCCAGATCTTCAGCGTCACTCGTGTCACTAGAAGCACTACGGGAAGTGATGGAACTTGAATCCGCCTTGTCTGGTTTTTGAGGTGGACTTTTTGAAAGTTTTACAGGTGACTGGAGTGATCCAAGAGACTTTCCCATTGTTTGCCGAAAATAGGGGGCAGCTGGAGCGAGAGTTGGATCGACAGCAGCATAAATTCTAGCAATAGTACCACCAAGTCCCATGAATATTTTGCGCTGGATGCATCATTTGAATATTGGTGAATAATGATTAGATATAGTTGACAAGATAATTGATTCGTGAATATTTTTATAAAACAGATTTACAAAACGTGCGTTCAGATGGGATTCACATACCTTGGTATCTACCGAGTATGGATCGCTTACTGCGGCATTCGCAACACCAAGTAATAGTCCGACAGGGTTAGGAGTTGCATTCATGACATATTTTAGAAAACGAAATGGCAAGTGTTGAGGGAGTCTTGGCTTCAAGGGTTTTTTGTTATTTGATTCGTCTGTTATATCAACTGAAGCAATTATAGGAACTGAAAAATAAGTGTTCAACTCTGCAAGGACTCCACTTGAATTTCCTTTGAGAAGCAACGCTTGTAAACGCTGGCTAGCTATATTGATGACCAACATAGTATGAATGCACAAGGTTTAAATAGAGTCAAACCATTAAATGATGAGTAAGATGAAAACATACAATATATTCCCGGCAGTGACATTGTTAATAGTTTGATTGATGAATATAGCCACAATTTAGATAATATAACCACAGAACTGGTTTAGAATGTCTTGTAATATTCACGTAAAACAAGGACACCAAAGTGTTGGATAATTCACACAATTTATTAGACAATCTTTCAAGTTGGATTGTATTTGACATTTTAGAATTGTAATGAATTGAGCGATCGTAATAAAGAATTGAAGAGTTTTAGTTTAAAGTTTAGTTTGTTTTATTACAAGTGTTGAAATTCAATTTATAATTGATTTCAAAACATTGAATTAACAGTTTACAAACAGTTTATAATCTGTCATTCGATATGACAGCAACTGTTTCAACTCAACAGGCAGAAGAGGTCGATGCAGATGTGAGTTATTCTGAACTGGATTGACTATGAATGAATGCTGATTCCTATTATTAGTTCTTGCTATTACCTCCAGTTAGGGTTGAAACTAGCGCTGTTCTTGCTTCCTTGACTTGTGTTCCACACCATTCATCACTGCTGGTATGCTCTGCAAAATACGGACTCACTGTCTATAGCACTATGAATGGCTTTGCCATCGCTTACTCTGCTGATATAGTCAATACCATCAGTAATGCTCCTCAACACTCTAAACCATCGCTGCCATCAGAATCTGTCCTAGTGTCTGTTCAGCTGGATTCCAATCAATCTGTAACACATCTGCGACTTTCTTTTGATCAGAATCTCATTATCGTTGCTACAACTCAGTCTATGATTTTGTCCTATTCTGTACCAGATCTGCTCAAGGTAATTGCAATACAAATCAATTCATGGATGTGTTTTTTAAATATTCACAACCATTTCATGGATCTATCCAGGCATCTGCAGCACCAACACCCAAAACATCTACCAAGGTAGATCGTGGTGACATCCTTGATATTCTGCCTAATCCAGAATTCATGCCCGATATTGTTGCAGTTCTCACTGCAGATTACCGACTTTGCTTCATTCATTTGACTGGCACTGTCACTTTGGTAGATTCTCCAAATATCACTGCCATTAGCTGGAGTCGTAAAGGAAAGCAGATCGCATGTGGTACCAAAAATGGTCATATTCTCAGAATCACTCCTAACGGTGAGGTTAAACGAGATATTCCTAATCCTCCACAACTGGAAACTGGATCTGTATCGCAGATTCTTTGGCTTGAAGATCGTGTATTGGTTGGAGTCTATTCTGAAGCTCAGTCAGATCCTGACTACCCCCCAGCCACCAGTATCTACGTTGTCGAGCAAGATGCTCAGAGCAATACTACTTATACTTTGCTACTAGATCCTGCTGCTGCATTTAGTCTGGACCGTCCCAATAACTATCATATGGATTTACTCCAAAATTGGGGATCGGATGCCAAACACCTGATTGTATTGTCCAACGCCGCTTCAACTGACTACGGCATCATTGCGTGTTCCGATACCAATCAATGGAGCAATTGGAATGTTTTGGAAAAATTTCCCATGACAATGCCGTTGGATTCACAAGAACAAGATACTTGGCCAGTTGGAATGGCTTTTGATTTAACTTCAGTCAAACCACTTCCACCTTCCGCTCCAGACGAACCTGAGATTCCTGCAGCTCCTATACTGATGATTTTAAATAACATTGGCGAACTCATGGCATTTCATTTGATCAACACAAATGCCCCTAGCGCGTATCCCACAATGACAAAGCATATTACCGTCATTCCAAAAATTGAAAAACATGGTGTGACTGCGTCTGAGCCAATTCCTGGTTTAAAAAGTGCAATCAAATTGCCCTCTACCACCACACCAGCTAAATTTGAATCTAGTTCAACTACTGCTACATTTGGCTCTACTTCTTTTGGCGCATTTGGTGCTGCTGCACCGCCAACTGCTAAACCACTATTTGATACGACTAAACCTTTCAACCCAGCATCTACCACCCATGGTTTGTTTGGATCTAACGCGGTAGCTAACTCATCTACACCCGTATTTGGCGGTGCTACTAAATCTGTATTTGGAGCACCTAAATCTATGACAAGCACATCTAGCTCAGTATTGGGTGGTACTGTGCCAGTATCTACTCCTACAAAATCAGATGGTAACACTACTACCCCAAAATTTTCTTTCAGTCAACCAGCCACGGGTCATATGTCTGCCTTGTCTCAAAATCCAGCTGGTAGCTCAGTCAATCCCGCTTTAAAACAAAGTGTTGCTCCTGTATTTGAAAGTAAATCTGAGCCAAAGAAAGTTACACCTGACACTTCTAAGCCCGTATTGCCCAAATCTACTGAGCCAATTAAAGCTGTTTCAAAGCAACTTTTGAACAATGTAAAAGTATCCGATGGTCCAACTCCAACTGCTGCTTCAGATGATACAGTTCAACTCCAAGAAAAACCAAGCGTACTTGTTGCTCGTTTTGATGAGCTCTATAATGGCTTATCAGCTGATTTTGCATCGTTTTGTAAGTTTTCAAAAGACGTAGATATCAAAGTCGAAAAAATGAGAAAGCGGAGCGACATTACAGATCCATCAAAGGATTTAAAAAAATTGGCTCTTGGCGATTTTCCTATTGTCAAATCAATCACAGCAGAGCTTATGAAACGCATTACAGCTGCACGACAATTCAACTGCAACGATGGGAATGTCAAAGAAGAACTGCTATCAGGCATTCTCAATATTGAAGTCAAATGCAAGGAATGTGAATCCCGTCTGAAAGTGATAACTGAGCCTGAATCTACGTGGACTATTTCTCAAAATATCTTGGGTCCAGAGGCTCAGGAGTTGCGTACCAAGATTAATGCCAAACACTATCATGTTCAAAGCCAAATTATGACTATTCAACACAATTTAGAAACGCTTGAAAACACTATTGATGTGCATTTGGCGAAGCGTAAGGAGTTGGCTCGATCAGCTAATTGGAAAATGATATGTTCCACCGTACATCACATCACCAAGGCTGGAATGGTAGCTTCGTCTCGAATCGATCAACTTTTGACAGAATTTCATGCGTTGAACCTTGACAAGTCCAAGGAAGGGCACAATGCAAAAGAAAGAAATGGCTTTAGAGCTTCACCTCAGCGCGTATCTTTCAGTCCCATCATTTCTAAAGCGTCGTCCCGACAAAGCAGCAATGTATTTGGACTACACGAAGAAGATGTCTTTGCTGATGAAAGTGCTCTTTATCCTTCTCTACCAATAGCGACTGACTCTGAAGTGCTTGCCAAACATACAAAGCGACGACAGCATCGATTGATGCTGAAGCAGGTACTGACGCGCACTGGACGATTAGTTCATGTAAATGTTTCTGCTGGGTATAATATCCCACCAAAAGAGTTGATTCGGAAACCATTACCACCACGGCATACCACCGTTACTGCTGAAACCATACCTGCACCAGTTGTTACCACTGCATCCGTATTTTCATCCAAGACTGTAGCTTCATCAATCCCTTCTCAAAGCAAGTCCAATACTTCAAACATTTCAACTCCTGCTGCATTAGGGTTTTCGTTTACTAATCCAAAACCTACTGAATACAACAATGCGTTGAAACCACACCTACCTGCTGAACCAAGCGCATTTGGACAAGCCACGTTTTCTTTTAAAGACTCTCCAGTCACTAGCCAATCCAAAACAGAAGCACCCATGTTAGCATTTCAGTTCTTGCCTGCGAAAAATATGCCAGCGGCTCAATTTATTGACTCGCCTCAAGCCAAAATAGATGATCAAGATGACGACGAACGCGATTCAGAAGACGAAGCTGCTTATGATGAATACTTACTCAAGGATGAACGTGAATCGGATGATCAGTCAAACTCTAAAAATTCTGCTTCTCCCTCACCGGTAAAGTCGATTGACGAAAGTATAGTGGATACTTTGCATGCACCTGTGCACCCATCGGCTCAGAGTCCAATTCAAACTAATTCCAAGCCACCATTGTTTGGTGCATCGCTTTCTGCCGCCAAGATTAATTTTACTCCTGGGTTCTCATTTGATACTATCGGTCAATCCAAAGACACCAAGTCTACCGGGTTGTTTAGTGCTGCCTCGACTACCTTTTCCTTTGGTGCCGTTTCTGGTGGCGGGCCTGGCAAGAATCTATTTGCAAACATGTCTGTTCCGTTGAATAAAGATGCACCACTTGATTTTGGTGCGTCGCCATCTGCCTTTTTTACCTCGACACCTCAATCCAAGCCTACTAGCGGGTTATTTGGCACTAATGTAAAATCAGCAACTGGCAATTCTGAATTGACTGTAACTCAGTCCTCTTCAACTGAACCTGTCTCGACAATATCCAAACCAAGCAAGGTTTTTGTGGAAACCATACCAGCGATGGATAATGTAAAAGCAGAAATTGATTTGGCTGATGATTTAGCTGGACAAACCACAACGTCATCAGTACATACACCAGAATGTTCAACCTCTCTCTCTGTTTATCCTACAGCCGATACCAATGAAAATCTCGAAAGTACCGAGAATGACGAGCTAGTGGTGTCTGAAGAAACTCAGGAATCGCAGTTTTCTAAAACTAATGAGCAATATCAGCCTGTTTCTGAAGCTGATCAAACTCGGGATTGTGAGAATGTTGATAATGAAGCCGATTCTCAAGAATTCCAAGATCAGGATGTTGATAACGAAGCTGATTCTCAAGAACTCCAAGATCAGGATGTTGATAACGAAGCTGATTCTCAAGAACTCCAAGATCAGGATGTTGATAACGAAGCTGATTCTCAAGAATTCCAAGATCAGGATGTTGATAACGAAGCCGATTCTCAAGAACTCCAAGATCAGGATGTTGATAACGAAGCCGATTCTCAAGAACTCCAAGATCAGGATGTTGAGGGGGATGTAGATCATACCGTCGGTGATGATTCAGAAGGTGTGGAGAGCGATCATGAGTCTAAGGATCAAAATGTTGCAGATGAAAACGACGAGGCCGAACCTGAATCTGTTTCTGCTATCCAAGTCTCTACTGACGATGCTCAGTCTACTACCTGTTCCGCTTTTGAAAACTCCAGCTTAGTCTTTAATGTTACTGATTCGCATTCTGATACTGGTATATATGTTTTGCTTTCTACAATGGTGACTGACAGGCCAATTTTGAATTAGACTCTAACTTTATTTGATTATACTAGAGTCGTTTGATATTGTGCGTGATGACATGGATGATCTGCAAGATGACGCCGAGTTATCGGAATCGTGTGTACAAACACCAAACGCACATACTCCTGAAAACATTGGTCAGCCTGTCACCACTTTAAATACCAATCCATTTGGTACTTCTAGTTTCTTTGGTGGTACAAGCTCCATCAAACCACACAATGTCATTAATCCAATGTTTAAAGTTGGCACTACCACTGCATCAGCTACCACCGGTTCTTTTATTAGTCAATCTCCCGGATTCGGGAATTCAGTGTTTGGGTCTAGTTCAACTATGCCAAATACGACAACATTTACAACATCAGCTTTAAATCAGTCACAGTTTGCATCCACTACTTCATTTGGACAAGCCCCTGTAACTAGTCAAGCTTCATCCGTATTTGGGTCCTATTCACAAAATACTAATCAACAGCAGGTGTTTGGACAAAGTTCGTTTGGATCTGGACCGGCGATGATATCTCCCTTTGCTAGTGCACAGCATACACCAGTATTTGGCCAATCTGGATTTGGAGCTGCTTCAAGGTAGATCATTGGTATTTGATTGATATAGATTAGCTTCCATGAATCAATCATGACGATTGCGAATTTTCAGTTTGATTCCAACATACTTGCTGTTTGATTAAACCTTTTTTTATATGTTTATGTTATGTTTCAAACTAGCTCACCGTTTGGCAGTGGACTAGCACCATCAATTGCTACTGCCACTTCTGGTGGCGGAGGATTTGGAGCGTTTGCATCGGGAAATACTAGTGGATTTGCTTCATTTGGTCAGAAGCAGCCACAAGGTGGATCTATATTTGGCTCTGGTGCCGACTCCTCTATATTTGGATCTGCACAGCAAGAGAGATCTGCATTTGGATCTGCACAACAAGAAAGATCTGCATTTGGATCAGCTCGACAACAGGGATCAACGCCTGGTACTTCTCAAAAGTAAGTCTTGACCACCACTCATTTGACACTTGTTTGATTAGTTTTAGTAGTCCAGAAATCTCATTCAATATCTTTATTTTGAACCATGCAATAGCCCATCATTTACTTCACATCGTGGATAGATTTTTCCAGCGACCATCATGGTACTAGCATTGCAATCATTGGCGAATAATTGAATTCAATTAGAGCCAACTGTTTAACTGCATCTACGATTAAATATATGTTGGACTAGGGTTAATAAACCTATCTTATAATTGAAAATCTGATTCTACATTTGAATTCTAATTATTTCTTCAGATGGCCAGTATATTTGTATGCGTTTAGTATTGTATCCTAAAATCAGATGTGCTCACGTTCTAGTTCAAGAATACAGATTGCATGTCTCAGAAATACAACAGTAGCTTACACACTGATCACCCAATATTTAACTTTAAAAGTTCAAGATTAAACAAGTGTGGGATTGACTGAAGCTGTGAATAGGTTATAACAAACCCCAATAATTGATTCAAAATGTACATGTGCATTAATAAGAATAGCAGTTATTAATAATAATATTCAAAAATGTCAAGCCCCTTTAGCTTAGTGGTAGAGCGTTCGCCTTGTAAGCGAAAGGTCGGGTGTTCAATCCACCCAGGGGGCATTTTTGAACAAATTATTTTTGGTTGATTGATTTTTTGCTGGATTTTGAACAAACATACTTGCGTAAAACGAAACGCTTGTATTTTGCTTTGGATTATATAATGACTGAATGTTCGTTATGCTTTCCTACTCCAAACGCAACATCCATCATATGGTTTTAAACATGTCCTTTCTCCTTTGACATGACCACTCATTGTACAATCACCAGATTCATTCATTACAATCCAGATATTGGGTTTGACTGTCAATCAATTCATGCTGAAAGTTTAATAACTCGCCATGACTCGAGTAATATTGACATTCTCGTTAAAGTATCCGCAAGTCCTATGAATAACAAGTTGATTTGATTTTCTATTCACATTCAACACTCCATTACATCATACAACTGCTTTAAACATCCCAATTCATGAATTTATTTCAAATCTAGGCAAGTGATATTTTCCATGATTTGATCACTGGTCCAATGTCCTGTACAGCTCCATCAGATTTGAATTTAAATCCAACAGAAAAGTATTTGGATTTGGTTGTAAACTGTACTTTGCCATTAGGTTCATCTTTGGTTCCAGACACGCCATACGTGTCTGGCTGACCTGGTTGTCCTGGAGTATTCAGCAGTGACTCTGCCTCGCCATTCGAATAAGCATACAAGTACAAGAAATCAAACGTTTCTTCAGTCTTGATAGAAAAATCATATTCAATGTTGATACGAGATCCAACCTCTGCAAAGAAAAATGCTTCTAGCATAGTGTCGACCATACTGGCATACTGAGTGCCATTTCCAGTAACCCAAGTGCCATTTACAGAATTCCATCCATTTCCACTGGGTGTTAGCGGGGAGTTGTATATTCCAACAGATTGATTGGGTCCTGCAAATGTCCATGGTTTGGCGATATTAATGTAGTCGCTCAATTTAGGAATAGTCCGAATGTTGCGATGGGTCTTGAGTTCATGCTTGTCGTTTTTGGCAATAATGGTGACCACGCTGTTTCCAATATCCTGTTGACTACTGTTTGCAGGAAGTTGAATATTGTGATGACCTGGCGACAGGGCGATCTTGTCAGTCAGCGGTTTGTCTTGTGCAAACAATTGAATCGACGTAAATCCATCAATATCCACAGTAATATTGCCTGCTCCAAGAACCGCTTCAATATTAAATGGTTCAGCCAAAAATTTCAACTTGTTCTGGCCAGTCTTTTGACCAATCTTGTCCAAATGATCGGCAATAAAATTATACTGGGAATTGCTATGTTCGCCAGAAAGAACATCTTCCAGTTTTGGTCGGACTACAAAATCAGATACAATGCCAATGTCTTCAATCCACTGTCCATTATGCTTGCCATTACGAACTAATGCTCGATGACCTAAAGTCATTCTGTTGTAAAATGCATCAGTGGCATCAGGTGTCAATTCTTTTTTGAATGGCATTGGTTTAAAGTCGATTGGGTCGAAATTGATAAGCTCTGGATCTAAAATCCAAACGTTTGCGCCACCACCGCCTGTCGTACTATCTTCACCAAACACCGTTCCGACTCCAGATGACTGCACAGATCCCGTCATAACTTCGCATGCAGAAAAGCAATCACCAGTAGTAAATACACCCATTGGCTTGGTATACACTTGACCGTAATCGTTGGCCGACTTTGGATCTATAAGATCATGCAATACTGAGTACTTGCTTCCAGGTGGTGTTTTAGACCAAGCATCACGGGATGTTTCCAAATCTATGGGCGGATTTACAAACATATTGTATGTGACATTGTTCATGAGATATGTTGCTTTAAATGGTTGAAAGTCCGCCTTGAAAAGCTGTGGAATACCACTTGAAAAGCCCATTGCTCCACCACCACCTTCACGAACATCGATCAAGACAGATTTGGTGTCTTTGAGCACAGTGGTCAATAGTTTCCTTACTTCAAGAACTCCTTCAGGAATTCCTGGCACGTTTGTTGCACGAAGTGTGGACCTGAATGATTCCAGTTTGATGATTCCCATGTTTTGCTCGTTGGGGTTCCAAATTGCCCAAGACAGTTCGAGTATATCTGTTTCATGAAATGTAATCTGTGAATCGCGTTTTGATAATCGTCCCACATCTTGATATTGACTGTTTTGATCCTGTTTTTGACTATTACGAGGAATGCGTAAAGACATGTCCAGTTTGAAACTTGTGGCATGATCATCAGTTATTTTGACTGACGAAGCATGATCATTGGTGTCTACAGCAGCTGTGTTGTGTGGATCCATACTAAGAGTCACGCCTGTCAGATTTTTGTAAAGTTGACTAGAGTATTCCCAGCAAGTACGTCGATATGCAGACATGTATGGTGCATCAACTTCATATATGGTACCGTTACGAGATTTGAATTTAAGTTTGATAGAGTCTTCATCAGGAAGTGGAGCATGAGACCCAGATCTGGATGTCAAGTATTCTAATCCTTGACGCTGGCTAGAAGCTTCGCTGTATCCACCGATAGCGTTTCGATTTTTAATTTGCCAGTTGTAGAAATTGAGGCCGTTGATACTGAGAAGTTGATCTCCAACATTAATCTGGCTATAGGTGGTGTTGCTTAGTTGTTTCAATATTTTCTCATTGACAGGTTCCTTGACAATGATTGTCGGGTCTTTGATAACATCGCCCGGACCATCAACAAATCCAAAATCAATGCCTATGGTAGCGAGAAAACAGCTATAAGGACCAGCCGTAACCATAGAAGTATGTCCGTCGCGAGCTCGAATGAATACATCCAATAACCCAAGCTGGAGCTGTTTATCAGTAAGGGTTCCGATATTGTCTCGGATATGCTTGAGACCAGGAAACGGATTTGCCTCTTGGCCATGATGCTTTATTTTTGAATCAAAATTGACCCATGCCTAAACATATTGAATAGTCGGAGTTCAAGTATAATGTGTTGGTTAATAAACTGGGTTGATTATGGTATCAGATTATAATGGACATGACAACTTGCTTTGAAAATATTTTCCGCATTTGATACGAACGTGTCTCGCTGCTCAGGAGTATACGGAAAGAAAGTCAACACTCCAGCATCGCGATCGAGTTTGATGGGTCTATAATCAGACCATTTACTTTTAGTAGGAACAGGTGATGCAGATGTTTCAGCAGATGATGTTGATGTTACAACAGATGATGTTGACGTTACAACAGATGATGCAAATGTTTCAACAGACAATGCAGATGTTACAACAGATGATGCAGATGTTTCAACAGGTCGTGTTGTAAGAGTTTGAGCATTGATGGAAGATACCGCGGCTAGAACTGTTACTAAAAAAAGAATCATTCAGAAAAATAGTTGTGGATGCGAGTTGATTTTAGATTGCCAAATGACTAGTGTTTGAAAGACATATTGACGGTTTAAATAGTAATAAGATTATTAGTAGTGATGTACGCTTCAGGGTTCAATCGAGTTGCATGAATCAAGTTTAAATCTAAGGCTGAGCAGCTTGTAAAGTTATCTTCAATATGTTCAAAGCTTGCTTTAGTAAGCGTTATTGGTCCAAGCATAACAGTATCAGATGCAAATTGTAGTCAATCTACTTTTTAGTCGCTGATTGAAGCTCGAGTTAATGAGATCCACCCTTAGAGTCTATGTGTGTGCTAACATTTTCAGTAAATGCTATCTGTAAGATAAGCCGAAGACCAAGATAAGACTATTGCTGTGTAAGCATATCATGCTTATTTAAAGATGGGCTAGCAAGCAGTCTGATGCGGGATATTTGCATGATTGCGATTCAATTTGATTTTCCTTGTTTAAAATGTTGGACATTTGGTAGTTTTTGCAGTGCTACATTGATTTATGCGAACTAAATAATCATGCATATTATCTAAGCTTACTGCCCGTTTTTATTAATAATTGTGTAGCTGCTATCATTTTTAATATTTGATGGTATGTTTTAGTGTAGTTTGGTGTGCATCGCAAATTTTACGGTCTTAATTTACTATACATGAGTGTCAGATTGGCTGGTGTCATGCTCCCGAGTTTTGACAACTGCTATCATTAGACATAGATATTGCTCATACTTTCTAATCACCTTTCCATACCAAGCTTTTTAAACTATTTTGTAGAATATCATGCTATTGTCGAGTCGAGTTGGATTCCGAATGCTTGGTAAATTGGCAATAACTGGGGTTATATAAGCATAATAGTTTAATGATTGAGATATGCAAAGATGAATAATTTGACTATATCATGTGTCTCAAACGGAGTTGCTTTGAAATAATTGGATATTTGCTTGGAATTCATCAACCTTTACAGCTCAGAAATTGTTCGAGTACATGCATATGTATTGAAAATATATCAACTGGCCAAAGCATTTATGCCATTAGACAGCAAAAGAATCAATATATTGATCAATTACTAGAAACTTGTAACCAATATTTTTGAATTTGGTGGTGACATGCCGATCTGTCCATCACGTTTGTGGCAAGGTTGTGCTGTAGAAAGATGGATGGGATAGCTGGAATAAGAAGCTAGCCATGTGTTGACCAAATCCTGTTAGTATATGTTTGAGTTGTTTGTACTAGATAATCTCGAGATATTCAATGAACGTGTTTGAAGTGGTTATTTAGCAATCAATGACATTCAACTATCCAGATCAGTACCAGATTCGAATGCCAAAATGAAGATACAGCCAATGTGTAACTACCGACTGGCCTCTAAATCCAATTGGTGGCTAGTCCTTATTGTAGTGTTAGCGATTCGAGTGTTTTTTGGGTTTGTCGAAACCAAAACAAAGGAATGCAAAACACCAAGCAACAGCAGTTATATTCGCAGTTGAGGCGATTGGTAGAAAATGGACATTCAGAGCCAACAACCGATTCATTGGAGCAGGCAGTGAAAGTCTGTGACAAATGTATGTGGCCATTCTAATACTGCCTTTATATAAGTGAATTAGAGCAAGATCTAATATTCTACCAACCATTGCTATCGCCAGTATTGGCAATATCCGACACCGATGTAGATGCACTTCGAACAAAGGTAATGTCACTGCCAATCTTACCACGATTACTATGCATTCAACTCTAATTTGATGTTTATATAGCTTGTGGCTCTTGTCAAATTAGAACGATACGCTGATGCATCAAATGCACTATCCACCCACAAGCTATCAACAAAGGGATCCAAATTTAAAAATATGGCAGAACTTTATTTTGAATCTGCTTACTGTCTGTATCGTTCTAATTCATTGGAAGATAGCTTGAAGCTCATTCAGCAGGCGTTATTGGCTGACGAGATTCAAAAGTCGCCACTTTATACTCGATTCATGCATTTAAAGGGTCAAGTGGTAAGGGTTATGTTTTATAGAAATTGAGATTAGATCTACTGTCAGTATATTTAAGTTGCTATTTATCATAACTTGTTAATCTTTGACATGCATTTAGCTGTATAGGCTTGAACGGTTCAATGAGTGCATAAGCTCGGTTTACAAACCTCTATTAGCTAGCGCCAATGACCATTCTGATACATATCGAGTAGAAATCTTGGCCAATATACTGGCTGCTGAAGCTGCTCAAGTACTTGTTGGATCTGAAATGGATACCGACGATGGTGCTGACGATGCAAATACTGAATCTCCCACCTTTGAAATTTTGTATAACCGTGCCTGTAAAGCGATTGGCAAGCATAATTACGATACTGCTGAAAAGCTTCTTTACAATGCACAAGGTAAACTGTATTAGAATGTAATCTGACGTGAAATAGAATCTATAGCGTACATCCATCTCAGTCTAGTCTGACAAGTTTGAACCAATTTTGTGTTTTTTGTAATAGCCACGTGTACCAAGTCCATGAATGCAGATGGTTACTCGAAAGAAGATATTCAAAAAGAGTTGGTTGTCATTAATGCACAACTGGCATATATTAACCAATGTCAAGGCCGTTTTCAAAAGGCACTTGATCAATATACTTGTATCAATCAATCAATGTACGTAAATTACAAATCTACTTGGTCTATTCATTGTTAGGTTCATTGACTTGTACTTATCCGAGTGCCAATATACTTTTTGTATGATGGTTTTTATTTTGGATTAGGAGTGTGGAAAAGAGCATCGCCGCCGTTATACATAACAATCTAATGGCAATTCGTGGAGAACATTACGATCTATTCGAGTCTGCCAAAGTTCATAAAAACTTTATGACCAGTGACGTTCTTTTGAAATTAAATGCCGGCCAACGTAATGTGATGGAAATCAACAATGCTTTGCTTTCTATTTATCTTGGCAAGGTTAGTTTGAATTTCAGTCCGTCTATATTTAATAGTTTTTATAGTCGAGACAGCGCTAATGCAGCACTTGTGTCTAATGCTTGACATGATCAACACATTTAAAATTTTAGAATGGACAAGCAACGAAACAGCTTACTGTACTCAAAGAAAAGTATCCCCATATTGATCGCATTGAATTGGCTTTTGCAGGACTCCAGTTCCGTCAAAAAAAATCCAAAGATGTGACTACAATGCTTGCCTTTCGCAATCAACTTGAAAAGATTGTGGAGCAATTTCCCAGTTCTGCTTCGGCTCAGCTTACCCTTGTTCAAGTGCTTCTCAATCTGGGCTATTATGAAGATGTGGTAAATCAGGTCGAGAAAATGCTGGAGATGGACGTGTTTGCTATGTATCGTCCAGGATTAGTGTCTGTTTTGAGTTGGGTATATGGAAAAATGGGTAATTCTTTGATGGCATTAAAGGTATTGGAGACTGCTGCAAAGGATAAGTTTGTAAGTTTGAAATAGATCTCCAACTACGCGTTTATTCATCCAAGAATCTATGATTGCTTCAGCACAAAGCATGTCTAATTTTATTTTTGTATAATCTAGATCAAGGATATGTCGCTTTTGGCCCAATTGGCAGCATTTAAACTTCGACTTGGACAGTATGAGGCTGCTTCTAAAGACTATTTAGAGCTTGTTCAATTTGATCCGTTGGACGTACGTGCCATTGCTGGATTGGTCATTTCATACTCTCATCTTGATTCTTCACTTGCTGAAGAGTACGCCAAACAACTTCCTACTCCATCCATCTCCCGATCTGATCAAGGTGATGAGAGTATGCATGCATTAAAGATGGATGCAGATGCACTTGAGCTTGCCGTGATGAAACGCAAAATGAACCAGCAACTGCGAATGCAGACTGCTGGTAAAAACGGTGATGCCACGAAAAACAAAGCAGACAAGCCCAAGACAAAACGTAAAAGAAAGCCGATTTTGCCCAAAGTAGTCAATCCTGACATTCAGCCTGACCCTGGTAAGTACTTGTATGGTTTGCATAGGCACAATGCATAGACGAGCCTATTTTTCACTGCGATGCCATTATAGCGTGACAAACTGATTCGTGTATTTCACACTACATCTAATTTGAATAGAGCGATGGATTCCAAAGCAATTTCGTGCAGCTTTTGCTAAAAAGGGCAAAGGCAAAAAGGACATGCTACGTGGATCTCAAGGTGTAAACATGGAGGGTGGTGGAATAGGTAAGCCTTTTACTGTATTCTAGTCCTGTTTATAACAAGATTTGGCCATTATTAGAGTTTGATTGGATGGCTAACGTGTTGATGATTAGGTGGAACAGGAAGTGCTCGTATTGCAGGCATCTCTCGGTCGTCTACTTTAGCGGAGACCGAATCGACTGGTTCATCCACCGTCAATGCTCAGCCATCTCCCCCGACCACCCCAAAGCCTAAACAAAAGAAACGAAAATGAGTTTTATATTGATATTTGTGCGAAATTGGCGAGAAAATAAAATTTATCTTACAATCCAGTCTTGATTTCTTGTGGCAGTATATATTTTCAAAGGATTGTTGAAAAAATGTGAAAGGTTGAGGCAAGAATGGGTTATAGAAGCCAAATGATTCTATGCAGACCTACTAGAGATTGATTGATTGGTTTATAGAAACTGTTGTATTCCAACATTGGATACGTTCGAGTTCAAGAGAACATTTCAAGAATGCAACTGTTGTTTTCATGATGGTCACCAAATGTCATGATGTTTGTTTTGGAAAGAAAAGGTGGAGGTTGAAAAGATGTCGAAAATGTAGAATTTATTGAAACAGAGATACGAACGCTGCATTGAACATTCGTTTATTGTTTTATACAAGGATGAGCACGGAGGAGAAAGACCAATGAACTAATGAGTTCAAAGGGCACAACGTTGCCCAGTAAGATTGGCACCAATCAAACATGAGACTGGCTGTTTATTATGTATTTGGGCACTCTTGGTGTTCCATTTTATGTGGATATGGCTGTATAACACGACTGCCAAATACATCGCAAAAGATGGGATGAATTGGGCAAAAAAGCTTAAAATAAACCATTAGCTGAAAACGACTTCAAGTGCAGAGATTGATTCGAGCAGTATCCTAGCTGAACCAATAGTGTAAGCAAATGAGCTCTTTAAAGATCCAGCTGAAAAGGCTGCATTGTGTACTGTTCAAATGATAGGCTTGGAGAAGAGTTTGAGCGATGCATAGGCTCTTCCATCATTGCATCGTCCGAGTCAGATATCAATAAAGCATCTTCTTCAGGTTGGATTGGGACCATTGAGCTATATATAGTATTCAAGTTGAGTCAATTCATAGCATTCAAGTCTCATGAGGTTAAAGGACTCTACCTGACAGATCTGCAAGTGAAAAACAGCATCCGCTTGAGTCTTTTGTTAAAGAAAAAGTAGTAGAAGCTCCATAGATTGCCCTCTTCTGCATCGGGTTCGAGTTCTCTATCAGGATTGAACGAGTAAATGTCGCAGTCTTTTGTAGTGCAAGCATCGTCAATTGCAGACCATATTGACGAGCCAACAGCTTCGGCGTTTTGAGTGTCTCCCAGATGAACAAGAAGCATATTGTTGACACTGTTGACAACTAGGCCGACAGTGGGGATTTTGGTCAGATACTCAGGCTTGACATCACTGAACAATGGTTCACAAGGTCAGTATCGGATGCACTTTGACATCACAATTTGGATAGACTCGATCATAGCAGCAGTACCTAAAATCATAGTCAGGATATGCAGCATTAAGAGTGGCCAGAAGATAAAAGAGGGTTTTTCTTGAAGTAAGCTGGGCCAATGGGCCATATGGAGATACAGGGGTAAGAATGGGCGACATGGAAGCATCCGGACTGCCAAGATTAGCTTCCTCGCTGTATTTGGACTCGATGTGATGCTTGAGCTTCTTGTCCTCACCAGTGTTTTTGCCTATATAAAGGATCAATACATGACTCTAACAGCTACAGAATGTCTGATATCAACTGCTTACAGGAATAGGCTTCGATACGACCGAATATGCGAGTATCACCCTTGTCGATGCAGGACAACTGATTGTTAATCTTTTCCAGGCTTTCAAAAGCCAAGTATTTCATGGTCGAGGTAGTACTTGTTGGCCAACTCGCTAGTGCTGTAGCAGATTCACCAGTAGCTTCCGAGAGTTTAGTTGGCGTCGCTTTCGACTGTTCGTGCCACTACTTTTACAGCACACACCCCATCAATATACAGTTCACACACTATTCACCATTCATTCAGTTTCATTTCAATACGCATATCAGATCTCGGCACGAGCATTGGCTTCTGCTGGTGTTTCTGGCTTCATTGCAGGCTATACATGTTTATACATGAATTAGTAAACGTAAAAAAATATAAACAATCCGATTCACTTACAAAAGGAAGAACTTCTTTGATGTTGTTGGAATCAGTTAAAAACATGGTTAGTCTATCCAATCCAAGACCCCAACCTCCTGTTGGTGGAAGTCCATACTCGAGAGCATTACAAAACGTTTCATCCACAAGCTGAGCTTCATCATCACCCGCTGCCTTGTCTGCTGCCTGCTGCTCAAATCGCGCTCTCTGATCAAACGGATCGTTCAGCTCAGTATACGCATTGCAAATCTCCTTGGTTGCTACAAAACACTCGAATCGCTCGCAAAGACCTGGTCGATTGCGATGTGCCTTGGCCAAAGGAGAGCACATTTGAGGATGATCTGTAATATAGGTGGGGTTGATGCATTGGTTTTCAATAAACTCTCCAACAAGTTTGTCCAAAAGACGAGCACTGGTACGTGGGGAAGAGCAGTCTACATTGTGCTTTATGCACAGATCCGACAAAAACTTGGTAGCTTCAGGGGTAGCCAGATCTGCGGCAGCTGGGAAAACACACTCTAGCACTCGTTCTAATTCATCAATCATCGAGACTCGACGGAATGGTGGTGTAAAGTCAATTTCCCACTCCGGAGCACCGTCAGCAATGCCTTGTGGATGGTACTTGATCTTGTACCCGCCTGTAAGAGTCTTGACCAGTCCAGATAGAAAGGCCTCAGTCATGCTCATCAGATCATGAACATCGGCATAGGCCATGTAGAACTCACAAGTAGTGAATTCAGGATTATGGGTCAGATCAATGCCTTCATTACGAAACTGACGGCCAATCTCATAAACACGGTCCAAGCCACCAACAATGAGTTGCTTCAAAAATAGCTCAGGAGCAATTCGCATAAACAAGTCCATATTGAGATCGTTGTGGTGGGTTACAAAGGGCTTGGCAGTAGCACCGCCAGCAATCATGTTCATCATGGGAGTTTCTACTTCTAAAAATCCTTTGGAGTCAAGGAATCTGCGCAAGTAATTGATGATCTTGGATCGAGTAATCATCTTATCACGTACATGCTGGTTCATGATCAAATCCAGATAACGCATGCGATATCTCATTTCCTGATCCTTGAATCCATAGTGACTAGTGGGCAACATTCGCAAACAAGGCGCAAGCAAAACAATGTCCTTTGGAAACATGGACAGCTCGCCTCGTTTGCTTCTACCTGCGCAACCTCGGACTCCAACCATATCTCCTCTATGCAATAAAGAATGCACCTGCACAAAGTCTCTCTCTGAATCCTGCGATGATGCCATGATCTGAATCTTGCATCCTTCGGCCTGCAAATCGTAAAAAATAAGACCCTTGGACTGAGTGCGAATGTTATGTATTCTGCCAGCAACAGTGACTTCTGTATCCACTCGTTCACCGTCAGAAAGAGAAGAGTACTTGGCAATGAATGCAGAGATGGATATGGAGACATGGAACTTGTGGGGATAGGGATTGGGCTCCTTGGACTCTCGCAGCTTCATGATGGCCTTGGACCTGTTCTCAAAGTACATGCGAGGATCTATCGAGTCTTGGTCAATCTGGTTCTCGTCAGTAGCAACCTTTTTGGGAGCAGGAGGTGCGGCAGCAGCCTTTTCAGCCTTGACAGCGTCCTTGGCTCTTTGCTTGGTCCGTCGCTTGAGCTCACTAACAACAGCAGTAGGTTGGCCATTCTACAAAACATGGTATTTCCAGAAACAGTCAATACAACCACTTACGACTTGGATATCATTTCTCCAGTGATTTCATCCTTGAAAAGAGTAGAAGTATCAGCCATGGTGCTCGTCAGTTTTAGAATCTGTAAAAGAAATCAGTGGTTGAAATTTGTCATTTTATTTTCCAGTTTGTCAGGAACTACTTGCGAGCAAATCGAGACAAAACCAAGTGCTTATACCTGTGTGTAATCAAAGTAATTTATTGATAAAGCTAGGGGAAAATATGGTCTATTTATAGACTTAGAGAAGAGTACAGCTATGGAGGTGGTAGCATGATTTGAGGAAAATCCCGATTAACAATTACAGGTTGCAATCATCACAGTAAGTCGTGTGTGATGGTGTGACGTGTTCCGTTTGATAAAAGGTCACACCATTAGGAGTTGTACGCCCGCAAAACTGTGAGCATTTCATCATATGACCTTACTAGGTTGTATGGTGTCCATCACATCCTATCCAAACAAATGTCAGTAATAGTTTATCAGATTCAAATCAACAAGTTTCTTGATGGATTTGGTACAACTCACTTTTAGTACGTGTTCGATATTATCGTTGTTTAGTCCTATTTTCGCGGCTTGCTTTAGTATCCTTCGTACCAAATCCACTGAAACTACGCATGAATCTACCATCAATGGTTAAAGCTGCAGTCTTACATGTGTATAGATTCAAAAGCATACGTCTAACCTGGATGTAAAAATTCATGATCAAGCAACTCTTGGATCGTCAATCTTAATTTCGGGTTTCGTTGCAAACAGCTTTGGATAATAAGTGGAAGCATTGTATCCTCAGTTGGTGGGTATATAATTTTGTGTCTTGGATCTACAATCGAATGGAGCTTTTGTATCAATGACATGTGTCCAAACGGTGGATGACCATATACAAACTGATATAGTATGCATCCAAGTGACCATACATCCGATGCTCTTCCCAACTAAAATTCGCAACATGGATAATTGTAAATATTGAAGTGAATCATCACAGATGTTGTTGCAATAGGTAACTATCCAAATGGCTGCTTACTTTTACGTAGCCCTCACGCACACCATTGCTCTCTACAAACACAATCGCCTCGGGTGCCATATAATTGGCTGTCCCGGTCTTGAATCAAATCATACAGTAATTTATGGATGAGCCATGTTCAAATACCGATTTTACTATCATGGCAAAACAAATCAATATTTTACCTGATGATCGCGCTGGATATTGGTCGTGTCGTTTGGTATGGTCTTGGCAATCCCAAAATCAATCAATTTCAAGCATCCTTCCACCATCAAAAAGTTCTACGTTCAATCCAATTCTTTTTATCAGTAAACATTTTCTCTGGAGCTAATGGTACAATCAAGTTGGATCACTTACAGCAGGTTTGAGATCTGAATGAATAATATTTTGATCGTGGATAGCCTGTACTGCTTGCAGCATCTGCTCCCAGTAGTTTCGAATAAAATTGATACTCAGTGGAGCACCTTCGCTTTTTTTTAACAAGTGTGCCAGATCAATCTCCCCATACTCCAATACCTACACATGATCAAAAATATGGAAACAATTAGTCTGGAATCAGACTATTCCTCAAAGATTACAAGCTGCTTGAAAAATAACTCACCATTAGCATGACTCCACTTTGCATATTAATCTCTGCATCCACCAACCGAATGATTCGTTCATGATGCGCAAGTTTTTTCAATAAAGATATCTCATTAATGTACCCATCCACTACACTTGGATCTTGACCCCTCAACTTGACTTTTTTCAATGCATACACTGTGGTTTGGTTGGGCTGTGTTTCGCACAAGACTTTAAAGACTTTACTACTGGCTCCGCGACCAACTAGCTCGATTCGCTGGTACGAAGTGCCATTAACAGTAAACGTATCTTTTTTGTTAAAGGTCGAGGTAAGTGCATCAGACTGGAGTGGTATGCTATATTCGGTGTATGAACAAGATGCGTTTTTTTCAAAAGAATGGTGAGCTGCAGATTGAGATGGCAACGTCGATTGAGCGGGTGTAGCCAACATCACGTTCTGGGACAGGGCTGTTTGAGTCCGATTGGTATCTTGTTCAAAAAAGGTATTTGCAACATCACCAGTTGTAGTATAATTGCGTGGTGTTGAGATTGAAGATGTTCCCGAATCGTTCAAAAAAGTCAATGACGATTTGGAAACTGTTTTTTCAGAGTCTGTAGAGTATTGTGATGTAAAAGAACCATTGATGCTAGAAGTGGCTTGAGCATCGGGTGACTCGGTTGTAGATTTGGATTGACAAGATACCAATGCGGCGTTGCTTACCAATGCCATAGAAGATGATGTGACCGAGTCAGCTGGTGAATGGTGAGTGGAATTACAATTTTTCTGGTTTATCCTGTGTCCATATTCATCTGTATCTGATGCAGACTTTACCGTGTCTGTAAAAGGAACTTTGGATAAGCCAGACGCATCTTCCAAATTGCAACGGTCCCGTTTAAGCTTTATAGATGAGACGATTGGCGTAGATAGACTCGTAGGTACCCTTCGATTATCGGTGAACTGAAGGGGTTGTTCGACATGCTTGAAGATTGCAGGCGCAAGTGTGGTTGACAAATCCATAGCAATATGATCGTCATCGTCCTCTGAAATACAACGCTCATTTGAAAAAACTGGTGAAGCAGGCGTTTGATGAGTCTGCTCAAGACCAAAACATTTATCAGGTTCAGCTGATTTAAAACAAGTTTGAGTAAGTGGGGAGTGCAGGTTGGTTAAAGTATGGTTGGCTGATTCAAGAGTTGTATTTTCGACTTTCCGATACGCAGATCGCAAGCGTTCAATGGGATCAAACAAACTCTTTTGCAAAAGATCATTATTTTCTAAAACAGGCTCATCTAGTGTTGGTTTTTGGATAATCTCTACAGGAGTTTTAGTTACTCTTTCAGGCGGACCTATATTCATTTAAAGCATATTGGATAATCAGTCAAAGCCATCTTCAATCAACATAAACTGTGTACTTGAGTTACTGACTATACCTAGATTGGTTCGCTTTAGAGTCAACCTTGAAAGAGGATCAGAATATTTAGGAGCCGCAGATGATACGGTATTGTTTTGATCTGGAGTAGATACGGGCCTTTCCAGTTTCCCTAGACGTGACCGAGTTTGTTGAATGGATTGTAATGGAGTACTAAACTTGAAGCTAGCTGATTGCAAGAGCGAGTCAGAGGATCGTTTTGTGTGTGAAGGCCGTTGGACAAGTTCAGATATATCAACAGAGGATGAAGATAGGTTGCTGATGGCATCCTTGGTGACTTTGGGTGATATATGAGGCGTGATTTCAGAAATATCAGATTCCTGACTTGATTCTGATGGAATGCTAGACTCGCAAGGTTTGAACGTGGACGTATCGTTGTTGCGCAGAGTCGGAAGTTTCAGTGAATGGAGTTCGGTTTCGCTCGATGGCCGAGTGAGAACATCTTGGACTGTTTTTTCTCGTAATGGACGACGATTAAGCAAAGGTAAATCCTTGATAATGGATACAGATGGATGATTCAGAGTTGAATTTTTGCTAGAATCTGGCAGAATCGATGTCAAAATAGATTTGGATCGTGAACAAGGTGGATCTGGTACATTTGCAGTATTACTAGAAGCAGTATCTATACAAGCGGATGCATCTTTGTGAGAATAGGAATTTTCTTTGTTGCTGTATTCGTTCGATGATACCAGATTTGAAAGTGCAGATTGTAACTCGTCTGAAGGTTGTAATCCAGCAGCAATAGCAGCCGATAGAATGCTTTCTGCCTTGTCCATATGTCCTGAATAAAGAAATTAATGATGACCAAGACATACATTCCAATTCAGATACTTATAAAAGATCTTACCTAGACTAGATTCAAATGCAGCATAAGACAGATGGAATCTAGGAATGGATGCGCCTACACGAGCAGCCTTGAGGAGCTTGAATGCATCAGCAATGGTTGTTACATCATCGGCTTTAGTTGTTTTTAGTAGTGACAGATACTCTAGCCACACATTCAGCAACAGTGGGTCGTTTCTGTACTGGTCCATGGGAAGCCGTTGAGTTGCAGTTTTTAGCAATGCCAAGATGTGGGAGTTACTTGAAGAGTTAGTTCTAGCAGCGGTAATTAGAGAGTACCAGGCAGCAGGAGTCTGTGGATAAGAAGCATCGTTGGCTAGCTGCTGCTGTGATTCCATAGCAGTTGCTGTTTGTGGTTGAATGTCAAGAATTCATTCGGCTGCTCAAATGTTACGAATGGATTGGCTTCAGATTGCATGATTCTCTGCTTATCGTATCAAGTCGGATCGTCTATCATATAGTTTACAATAATATTCTTACAGTTTGATATAGATTTGTCCAGCAGAATATACTGAGTGATCAAGTCATGACATTTAGCTAGCTACGCATACATTATCAAAAGGCAATCGTATCTTTGACTCGCTAGTCTTTGGTATTAGAAATACTCGAGAGTTTATTTCAAGTAAATTCATGTGCAGATAGATTTATAGTTAATTGTGCAAGATGCCACATGCAATCTTGTCAATTACTAAACCAAAAATAAAATTGTCATCAATATTTTATTTACTTTATTCAAGTAAATCATTACTACTATACTCGACCCAATCTTACTGAGTTTTCAGACGTGCTGCAGCTGCATGGGCTTGAGCCTGTAACTGCAGTTGTAATTGTGCCTGGCGTCCTTGCAGGTTCTGTGGTGACTGCATAAACTGTTGCTGTGCCTGCATCATTAATTGTAACTGCTGTTGTTGAAGAGACTGTTGAAATTGTTGTTGTTGCTTTAGCTGTGGAGTCATTCCCTGTCCCATAGCAATGAGTCCCATCTGTTGCATCTGTTGCTGTTGTTGCAACAGCTGTTGCTTGACAAGTTTTGCGTGCGAGTTTCTGGAATTGGTTGGAGTCTGTTGCATTTGCTGCAGTTGTGCTTGACGCTGTAAGATCTGAAATTGGCGCTGATGATATTGCTGGAGTTGTTGCTGATGAGCAAACTGGTCTTTTTGAAGAGTTACAGGAATGGATGCCGCATCCACAGCAAATGCTGCACGACCAATTTGGTTGGATTCATAGGCATGCTGCTTATGATGAGGAAGTGTGCCAGAAAATCCTGGATCATATAAATGAACGATTGACCAGGCATCAGCCAACATTTCACGCGTAGCAAGATTTGATGGGGTTGTCTGTTTAGCAAGAACAAGTAGGTTTCGTTTAAGTGCTTGAGCTATAAAATTATAAAAGTACAGATACGATACAAACTAACAAGTAAGCAACTGTTGTTCAAGATACAAGTATTTAAAGATGAGGCGTACCGTATCTACGTTCCAAACGATTCATATTCCCTGCTCCAGCTGTGCCTTTGGTACGCATCACTTTAATATGGTCTCGATATCGAATACTTTGTAAATCGGCCAACTTTCGAATCAGCTCAGCGTTTTCTGTAAGTAGCTGTGCAGTAGAGATTTGTTCTGTGGGTGTATGGTCATTAATAACAGCATCATCCGCTTGACCTTTACTTAGTGCACAGATGATTGTATTCCAATCAATATCAGGTGATAATCTAGTAAGATCCTCCATGTTCAAATCTGCCAGATGAGGTGCATCTAATCTAGATATCTCATCATCAGTGAGAATCAGCTCTTCTAAAGGATTGAGTGTAGGGAGTACAGCTGCATTGGAATTTAAATCGGCGCCATTAAAAACAGGAAGCGAGTCCAATGGAGGCGGATCAAGTGGTGCAGCTTCATATGTGCATTCAATACGCCGACCAGGTTTGATAATCTGTGTTGATTCAGCAGCGGACATGGATGCCTTGGATGAATCTGACATGGGAGCAAAAGAGAAAAAGACACCATAGTCTTTGAAATCGACTAAAGCAAGTAGAATAAAGTCATATTTAGAAATCGCACAAAAGCGCAAAGGTTGGACATTTTTAAAATACAAGTATACCTGGTGCAGTACGAATCCCCAAAATTGATTTCTTTTTAGCCTTTTGATCCCGAGTTTTCATGGCGAGTTTTGAAGACTGACCTAGACAAGGCACATCAGAGAGCGGCGTAGCCGAAGTGGGAATAATCTTCACCTTGTTCAATTTTACACCTACCGAGAATATACAGATTCAATCAAAAAATGAGATTAGGACAACCATGGTTCGACAAGTGGCCTGACAGATTGATACAGCAATAAGCGTAATGTATTTAATACCTTCTAGAGCGTTTGTTACTGCTTTTAGCTGAGCATTTGAAAAATAAAATGTTCCGTCTGGACCACGCTGGATCAATGCTATCTTTTGGCGTTTCACATCTGCAGCTAAAGCAATAAATCCAGATAAAAATTGGCATTATTATACAATATAGTTTTCAATGGACAACATATCCCAAGCTGATCTGGAGACGGTTGGATAAGCGACACTCACTGGATGTAGTTGCAGTGACTGTTGCTGGATCCACAGTGGCTTTAGTATTAGCAGCTATGATGCTGTTGATCAAACGTGTTCCAAAATCATCTAGATGTAACGCACCTACAAAAGTAATGTCAGTCAATACAAACATATGGTTTTAGTAGAAGCCAATCTTACTCTGATGAATACGATCCAATGGAGAAAAATGTTTCAGTACTTGTGAAATAGCCAAATTAAAGTCGGTCTAAAGTTTAAACTAATGTTAGATTCAATATATGGCATGAATGCATAATGATATTGATTAGCAAGAGCGACATGCCTGAAAATCGGATAGAGATTGATATTCTCCTTTAAGAACTCGAGTAGTCATTGTAAAAAAAGAAACATGGTTCGACTTTATACTCTCCAATGCAGGCCACCTAGTTGCATCCAGTTTAGATGACAGAAAGCCAGTAGTGTCCTCACTAGACATTGCCATGCAGATAACCGTAAAAAAAGAATGATAGGAAAAACAAGCCAAATGTATGCAAGATATTAGAAGCAGATATGCAAGACAGGTCTGCTAGATGCATGCAATGCAGACGAAAACATACGATTTGAGTATAAATAAAAGTTTCTTGAGTGACTTGACCAAGTCAGAGTCGGAGGGTAATGGAAGAGTGTTGTCTAGAAACAGCAAGAATCAGCACAGTCAGCATGAATGCGATACAAACAAGAACAGATTAAATTGCAAACCAAGTCACAGAATAGATGGATAATTCAACAAACGTGTTCAGTAGTAAGAAGAATGATGCTGAGATCATCATCGAAACCATCGAAACAACGCTGTTGTTGCTGTCTGGGACGAACGAGGCAGAAACACAGCAGTCGATAGTAAACACAATCAGCCAGTATCAACACAGATTCAATACACCAATGCGAGAATCCAACCTCCAATCTGGCTGTTCTTGGCTGCTTCCATATCAAATCAACTTGTCAGTTTCTGCTGTCGTTTTGCATTTAAATTCCGTCAAGGCACGTCCTCAGGCCACTTGCTGGTTGTTCTCTAAATTTATACAGTTTGTCCAATCCAACATGCTCTTGCTGCTATCTTCCATTGAGTGATAAAGCCTTTGTTCTTGATAGGTTGTTGAATCAATCTGTTTAAACTCTCTAGAGTTAATGGTTCAATGTTTCGAATCTCGGCAATAGTACGAAATCGTGTCAATGGCTTCAAGTGCATGTGAATTTGATACCATTTTGTTTACTGGCATCTTCACGTAGAATAAAACATTACTGACTTGAGAATAAGTCAGGGTTAAATATTCATCCTACTTTTCTACTAGAAATAAACTTGATATACATTCTGTGGCTGGAATCGCATGTCGTATAACCCCATTTTTTACTAAATATGGACATATCAAACAATTCGCTACCACAGTTTGTATTTAGTGATCTTACTGGTGTCAGAATCTAGAATCAAAAAAACACAATATGCCAAATATTCGAAACAGGGTGTATTGGGTCATTCATTATGGTAAGAGTTGGATCAGTGTTTAAAATAGACGGAAACAGAAGGATTTTGAATGAAATTCTAATCTGCCAAGATATTGAATCAACTTTGGACGAGAACTAATCTCCGATTGCTTCCCAAAAGTAGTTGAATTCATATTGACAAAACAGAAACCTCAATATCTATATATTGTAACTAGTTTACAAAATCATAATACTCCAAATACACCTTTACTCTCTTTGGTTTTCAATTCTTCCTGAACTTCACTCAAATACAAATAATCTGCTGCATCCAAGATGTTGTTGCGTTGCTCAATTGTCATTGACGCACGAGACAAGAGTCCAAGTTTTTCTAGATTTCTCTAATATCATTCGAATAATAAATGAATGTTACTATGGTATAGAATAACACTTGGAAATTCAATGTTTGTAACTAGCAGCCAATTGTCGAGATAGAGTTGGATTTACAGATCTGGTTATGCATCTATATGCTTACCTGCTGAATGTCCATACATTTCATCAGTCGCTCATTCTCCTTGAAACAAGTAGTTCCAATCCATGCTCTATATGCACAACTTTTGTATTCGAATGCCAGATCAGCACAGTTGGCACTGGCTGCATTTTCCAACTGTTTTTTTGAAGCCGAGGTGGAGGATTTGATGGCAGCTTGCGCTTCATTTGACTGATTGCTGATGTAGTCCCATAACAGCTTGCGCTCTTCTGGTGTTTTGGGTGCTTCTTTCAGTGGGTACCATGGATTTTTCCATGCATCGTCAGAGATGGGTTCAGGCACTGGAATGTTGGAGAGAGGGTTTACATTGACAGAACTTGACTCGTGTGATGTGCTAGGAAGTTGATTTGATGGCTCACTGGTGCTGGATCTTAGCCATTGCATCCAAGTGATTTGCTGGGGTTGACTGTCTGATCCCATTTGATGTTTTTAGTGTCCAGTTTACCAATTGGAATGGAAAAAGCGAATCGCTAAACTTTTACATTTTCTTGTAGATTAAAATCAAATCAAATTCCATGTGGCATATCATTGCTAGTCTTGCAGTTGTATTCACATGGATGAACTATTAGAGTTTTAAGAGCACAATACTGTCAAATGAGATTGACTGTTTATCATTCATCTTTTTCCTCCGTGACCATTCTTGTATAAAAACACTAGACATTCAAACCTGTCCCAATATATTCCACATCCTTGACATTTCTTCAACTCTCTTGAACTTGAGCGCATCTAATATTAGAATACAACAGAGCTTGTTCAATGCCATGGTTGTGCGTAAAGTCAATGTCTCCATGTTACGTGAATATCGTCTTGAAACGGTAATTCATTTAAAGATACTATGAGCCTATATCGATTTCACTGGTACGACAGGCGTCGATGAAGGTGCAGTAATTGCAAGAGCCTCTTTTTCTGCCTGTTCCTTTCCACCCATACTATTCAAATATGTTTAAACTTTAGTCAAAAACTCGAATAGTATCAAATGTAGGTTTAGATTAAAGACCAAAAGAAATGGTCTACGTCAGAACAGGATCAAGCCAAATAAAACTCAACTGGTAGTAGTTGTAGTACCGATATCCTTGGAGAATCTGCGCAGATTCATTGACAACATGAACCATCAGCAAAAGATAGTTACGAGGCTGAACTTGCCATGCAAATCGCATAAACAGCAGAGAATATAGAGAGAGTGCTGAATCAATAGATATGCAAGATTAAAATAAGTATAATGTCAAAAACAAGGTTGGGATATCGTTACACAATAAAGCATATCAATTGGATGAAGCTTACCTCCAGTCATCTTGCCACTAATAAACTCGGGTGACTTTTGAGTATCGGCAATGGCGGCAAGCGGAAGCCCCCAATTTGCGACTGGTCCCCAGAAATGCTAAATAATTCAAGCACAGATTGATGAGATACAGTTGGTATATAAATTGGATAAAAGATCATTTAGATCCACCAACAGTTCGTTTATAATATGTAGATCTAGCCAAGACCAGACTATGGATTGTCTAAAATCCAACTCAATACACTGTAGCCTATCAAACGAGCTGATAAGAGACTATAAACCACCCCTGTCAAACGCAATATGCATATCATGAGAGGCATGGTGCTGCATAGAGATGAAAGTAGATGCTTAAACCCTTCCTACCAATATCATACCCATCAGTGAACTGAATCGTACAGAATCAAGTATCCAAACACACAGTCATTGTATAAGCTACCAAACACATTTTGTGAATATAGTTGTCTTACCGTACTAGAAACAAAACATTCAGGTCGAAGAGTTGGTCGAGTATAACGCAACAAGTTGATAAATCATTCAGGTATATCAAGAGTTGATTAACATGAGTAATGATGCTGCTTGCACATGTGTTCAAGTCTCAAATAATAAAAAATACACCTCATCAGATAGGATCTGAAATCCTTGCTCTGGATATACTGAAAAAGGCGGCCTGCAGCGGTTGCCATTATTGCAGATAGGACGTGATAATCAAGTACAAGAGATTTGCTAGACTAAAGACTCGAAAAACATGACAATTGCACAACAGCATAGATCACGTGTGTTGATGTATAAATACGCTGTTGTAATTGATGTTTTATTAGTTATTTGACAAGACTCGAGGGATTCTGAAGTAGTTTGAAATGGGTTCATCTGGGTCTAAAATAGCAGGACGAGCAGCAGAAACTGGTGCTGGAACAGTCAAAAGACAGTTGGGAGCCACTCCATCCACATATATTCCATCCAATAATTCAGTATTGGCAGCTAGGGCTCAGCAACAAACTGCATCTGACAGTGACTACAGTATGAAAATAGCAGAGCAACAAAAAATAGACGGGGATGAGCAAAAGGAGCATCAAAAGATGGTAGATGCGTTCCATCAGCTGCATGCAACAGTGGATAAGCGAGCAATCCCTACTATTGGATATTCCAAGGTACAGCTAATTTTATAATTTAATACGAGTGATTGAAGCTTGAGGCAGATCTAATGTGCTGATATATATTGCTAGCACAATGAGATGTTGAATATTTTGCACAAGCGACAAAGCTCGGATGCAGTAAATAGGTTGTCAGAGCAAGCCAGAGAAAAGATAAGACAGGAGCAAAAGGAACACAAGGCATCTATTATGTCTATTTATCGCATGCTCAAGACTAGACACTCTGGTGCGAGTAATGTTCCATGGAACACCGATCAGGCAAGAGCAGATCTAGGATGGAGAAATGGATCTGGCAGCGAAGAGATTCAAGCAATGATAAAATACTACAATACAGCTGAACCTATTATGCTAGCAGGAGAGGGATCAGAAGTGGTCGAGGCAGTATGGGTAAAGCCCAAGTATTAGTCGTATCCACATAAAATGAAGCACTAAATAAAGATGCCAAAGTACATGAACAGTTTCATGACATGACTAGTGCCAGATTTACTGGACAGGGTTGTGCTCTTTAAACAAATGCTCAAAGTTGCTGGTATTTCTCGTGATGATCGACATGAAATAACAGTTGCATTACTGCAATCGTTGTTTACTTGAACTAGAACGCGAGTTTAAGATTAGGATACAACAGATGAGTTTGTCGAGTCAACTCAATACCTAGATTGCAGTGTATGATTACCAAAAACTATAGTTTGATTGTATAATGAGCGTTTCATTTGAAAAACAATTGATTTCTAGTCAGTATAACGAGTGTTTGACGGTTGTTTATCCCAGATTCCCGAGTGCAAATTCCATTTTATACAAATGCGGCTATAAATAACTGAACAAGTTTGTATGTATCCACGTGATTTGTGGTTGGTCAAAAGCCTGAATTTGGTATTGGATTTGTCATCACAACGACCTAATCCAACATCTATCGACATGGTTCTCCAATACGCTGCCCCTGAGAAATTCCGAAAAGAGCTCGCCGAGACTGCTCGTGCTATTGTTGCTCCTGGAAAGGGAATTCTTGCTGCTGATGAGTCCACTGGCACCATTGGTAATGCATTTCATCATCAACTTGGTATTCTGTTCTGATCTAATCTTTGAATAATGGTATTGTAGGAAAGCGATTTGGTCCTATCAAGGTAGAGAATGTTGAAGAGAACCGCAGAATGTATCGTGAGCTGCTCTTCACTGCTGGTGCTGGTAAGTGACTATGCGATTTATTTTAGGATTGTGTGCAATAGATGCGTTTTAGCCATCATCTGCCTCTGGCTCTCTTTCTGTTCTTGGTTGTTTAATGGACATATCAATCATGACAGGACTTGTGAGATCACCTATTCACCAGTCTCTCTAACGACCCTTGATTCCAATGAATTTGCAATACTCTTTTGGACTGATTAATTTATCCTTTTGGACATTTTTAATAGAACTTTCCCAATACCTCGGCGGTGCCATTCTTTTCGAGGAAACTCTTTTCCAGAAAACTGCCGCCGGAAAGCCCTTTGCTGAGCTTCTCAAAGAGCACGGTATTGCTGTTGGCATTAAAGTTGACAAGGTAATTCCCTAGAATTTACATTGCATTGTTTTGCCGTCATTGATGTTTTGTGATGCTAGGGTACTGTTGAACTGTCTGGAACTAATGGCGAGACGACTACCACTGGTCTTGACGGCATGGCAGAGCGTTGCCAGAAATACTACCAGGCTGGTGCTCGGTTTGCCAAGTGGCGATCTGTTCTCAAGATCGGCCCAGGAATGCCTTCATATCTGTCCGTGATTGAAAATGCCAACGTTCTTGCTCGCTACGCTTCCATCTGCCAGCAAAACGGTCTTTGCCCTATTGTTGAGCCTGAGATCCTTATGGATGGTGATCATGATCTTGAGACTGCCGTTGAGGCAGCCCAGACTGTTCTTGCAGCTGTCTACAAGGTATGTCATTTGCGATCCATCAAGACTATCAATGTGTTGGATATTTATTGTATTGTATTATAATAGGCTCTTGCCGATCATAAGGTTTTCCTCGAGGGTACACTGCTCAAGCCCAACATGGTAATATTATTTGTCGATAGATTGTGACTGTTTATAATACTAGTGATGGTCCAATTGCTCATATTTCAATCTAGGTCTGCCCTGGTGCTGACTGCAAAACCAAGTACTCTCCCGCCGACATTGCTCGTGCTACTGTCACTGTTCTCCGCCGCACTGTTCCTGCTGCTGTTCCTGGCATCACTTTCCTCTCTGGTGGTCAATCTGAGGAAGAAGCCACTGTTCACCTCAATGAGATGAACAAAGTCCCTGAAGTTCGTCCATGGGCTCTTACTTTCTCTTATGGCCGTGCTCTTCAAGCAACTGTTCTCAAGGTCTGGGCTGGAAAGACTGAAAACATTCCTGCTGCACAAAAAGCTCTCCTTGTCCGTGCCAAGGCCAACTCTGAGGCTGCTCTTGGAAAATACAAGGGCGATGCTGCTGGCACTGGTGCTACTGAAAGCCTCTATGTCAAGGTATTTGCCTTGACTCTAAGTTGTAATCTATATTCCATGATTCTAACTTTTAAATGCAATCAATAATAGGACTACAAATACTAAATCAGCATCTCATCCTTTGTTTCACTAAACCCTTGCATAAAGTGTCGAGTAAAATGATTTAGTTCAATTCATTATTATCTTGTTTCTGCTGTTGAGTATATGGATAGACTTTCTATTATTAAGCGTGGATTTCATTTCTAAGCAAAATCCAGTTGATTGCTTTGGACAATTGCATAAATATAAGATAGTTTGACCCTATTGTTGACAGCTGTGAAGATCTTGTCAGTTAATGCGTGACAACTCCGCCATTGTTAATGGGATTTGGCCAATAGTGTTTCTTTCTCCATTCATCAATAGTTCTGGTAGAATTCACATTCTAGTATCATCTACATTCTAGCATTTCTCTTTCTATCACTCCTACTTGACCTTGTGTATCATTCTATCAACAAGCAGTTCAACTTTGAACTTTTCATTATTCAGTCATGACAGATGCATCGACTCCTAAGCCCTCCTTCTCCACTTGCTTTTGGGTAAGTTGTAGCTGTTTTGGGTCTACGAGTTGTCTAGTGCAACACATCATTCTCTAGAATAAATGATGCCAGTCTGGGGCTTGAATAAGCTTTACATTTCAAATCCTAACTCGTGCCTGCTTATTTCTTGCTCATGATTGGATTTTAACCCACACATAGGGTGACCAAAATAAAGGTCTCGAGGTTCTTTTGGTCCGTATGAAGCAGGGAAAACATTTGAGTGAAGAGATCCACGCCATGCTAAAAGAACGCTCTAGTATGGAAGAAGACTATGGAAAACGGCTATCTAAACTAGCCAAAACGTTTAATCCAAAGGATGAACTTGGGTAAGTACTTTGATGTTCTACAATTGCTTTAATCTGTACATCACAATAAAGATCTGATGCTGTGGTTTGGGTTTAGAACACTGAGAGAGTCTCTGGACATTGTGAGGACTGAGCTAGAACGCTCAGCAAGAGCTCATTTGGATCTAGCAAACGAGCTGCGAATAAAACTCGAAAAACCACTACAAGAGTTTATCACTAGCCAAAGCGCACTTCGTAAAAACGTAACACATTTGGTTTGATCATCTATTTCATCATCCTCGCACTAATGCAATCACCGTGTTTATAGCATTCGCGGATTTTGGAAAAGCATTTATCAAACAAAGCTGCACAGGAAGCTTATGTCACCAAACACAAGGAGCGATACGAAACACGATCGCTGGAAGTGTCTCAGCTTCATCTTATGACTCGTCAGCCTCTTGCTGCAAAAGAAGCTGAAAAGGTTCGTATAAAACATGAAAAGATGTTTGCTCTTTCTAAACAGTCTGAGCAAGATTACCGCTCTGGTGTAGACAAATACGGAGATATTCATCGCATTTGGCAAGCCGATATGACCGCTGCTTGTTTGGAATATCAAAAAATGGAGGAAGATCGGTTTCAGTTTATTAGAGGAAACATATGGAACTACACAAACTTTATCAGCGGTATGTGTGTGGCCGACGATGAGGGGTGTGAACGGATTCGAGTATCACTGGAAAAATGTGACTTTGAAAAGGATTTGTCGCTGTTTATTGAGCGCAATTCTACAGGATCATATATTCCAAGTAAGTGAGCGCCATGCCATGAATGTATTCAGTCGTTGCGGTGTTTGGGCTGACTTGAATCTACTAAATTGACACTGTGACTGTCTATGCTGATAGAACCAATGCAGTATATTCCGTTTATGGACGGACGCGACTTGAATGGTACTGTTGAAGGAAATGCAAAAAGTACTTTTGTAACTCCAGAGTATGTGCCATCACTTCAGCCAAATTCCAACAATTCGTCCACAACCAATCGTCCTTCATCTATTTTGGGTGTACTCAGCAATATCAGTGCGAGCTTTACAAGTGCCAGACATTCCAGCACTCACTCATCCAATCCAAACGTGAGTACTGGAGCACAATATTTTCGATCAGACAAGCCCACATCTGCTTCAACAAATGATTGTACTACAAATGCTTTATATGAGAGTGGTCCTGTTGGAAGCGATAATGGGTTACCTCACGCTCGATATGGCAGCAGCTCAAATGCTAGTTTAAATCTCCCCCCTAGCGTTCCCATATATGATCCTGCAGCAGCTGCTTATGACAATCCTCACACACAGCTTGCTCACATGCAAATTGACGAACGGGGAAAAGATACACATGGCAATGGCGTTCCTGGCTTACTATCGGATACCACTCCTGGTAATCCATTTTTACATATGGGCGGGGTTCCAGTCCTTTCTGGTGGACTTGGACCTACTCATGGCGATCAAAGCTTTCACTACAATCCCTTTGATGTTCCCGAAAGTGTTCAGGTTCTTTTCTCAGGTAAAACCACCGTGGATTTGGAATGCCATTGTTGTGACTGTTTGAATTTGAATTTAAAAACATACACTTATACTTTGAGCTGATGGTATTCCTAGTACGTGCACTTTATGACTACGATTCTGGTTCACCAGAGGAGCTCACTGTACTCAAGGGTCAAGTGATTCCTGTAATTGCCACGCATGAAGATGGGTAAGGACTTGATTATCTTTGAATCAGTAAACAGTCTCGATCATTCATACCTTTATTGAAACCCGGTGTCTATTTAGATGGTGGGAAGGACTCGGATCTGACGACGGTCGTCGACGAAAAGGATTATTTCCAAGTAATTTCACTGAAACCGTATCATAAATGCATGTGTGCCAACTCATTGATTGTGTCTACCAGCAGTCTCGGTTATTTCAAAACACATATGTCATCTTTATTGCTCAACGTATTCCCCTTTGTGCATACATTCAAGGGTTTGCCTTGTTTCTATTTTTAGTTGGGGTTTAAATAAAAGGTTGATATCTACCTCACGGGGTTTCAAACGGCAATAGATTCAATGCTGCAATTAGCCCAACACGTTGATGGCAAGCAACACAGCAGTTTTAAAAATGAAATCATGATTGACATTCAAACAATAGGAACACACTACCGACTCAATAACCGTTTGTCAATATTGAATAGCCGTATAGGGCAATTCATTTTATTGAATGACGTAAAACATTGCTTTAGCGTCAACATGCCATGACCTATCCTTGTTTTTAGTCAGTGTACTGAATTAAATATTCTTTCAAGGTAAAAGTCAAAAAGTATGCCTAGTATCATTTATTAGTAAATTATCTCAAAAAGGTTACAACGACTATGTAGACCCTTTCAGACCCTCTAGTTGTATTGCTTCAAATTGCAATAGATCCAACACTATCATTCTTGTCCATCTCTTGATTTAACAGATACGACCGAAATCCCAAATCTAGTACCCACAAGTCATTGAATACTTGAATACCATTGAATCCACCATAAAGAACAATTCGGTGATCCATAAGAACGGCCGAGTGGTATCCTCTACCAGATGGAGCGACGCGCTGTTTTCGTGGCTCGGAGTTGGAAGCAGCGGGTACCGAATTATGATGTGTGGCAGGCATCACAGACGACTCCAAAGGAGGTTTTTTGGAAAGTAATTCAGTTGCTGGTATGCCTTCAGTCTTTGCATTGACTACAAGAGAAGAATCGGCCTGTGTCGGACTCTCGGCAGACGGTGCAGCTCCTGGAAAAGTTGCAGATACAACCGATTTAGGTGTGGCAGACGTCGATTCAGTTTCATTCAAACTGCTGCCATGAACGGCAGTAGTATTGAGTTTTTCAAACGGTTTCGACTGAGATTTGATCTCCATCTCGGTAGGATTGGAAGATCCCACAGGGTTAGCATTACGAGTAGCTTTAGAAACAGACTGTACTGATCTAGATGCATGCTGAATCCATTTGCGCTGCACAACCGTATCATCCATCCAAAACATACTTCGAACATCCAACACTCTGATATCTTTCGAGTACTTGACACCATCGTGTCCACCAACAACCACAAGGAATGGACCTACAGCAATTGCAGAGTGAGCCAGACGAGCGACCGACATGGATGAATTTCCACCTCCAACAGTCATACTGCTCCCACGAGTTATATGGCGTGTCCAGTGCATGGTATCCATATGCAGCGACCACACATCGGAGAAACATTCGCGAGCATCCGATCCACCATAAATCACCAACTGACGGTTGAATAATGTCGCAGTATGGTATCCTCTAGCAGTAGGCACACCTTTGCTAGCAGTGTTTGATTCATTCTTTCCACTTGTACTACTATTTGGTGTAGGTACAGTGTTGGATACAGCAGCAGGGATAGTAGGTATAATTGTCCACTCCAAAATTGGCTCTTTACTATACACGTCCAAGTTGGCTAGACCACTCAGTCTCCAAACGTCCGTCAAAGCACGGGCACCGTCACCACCACCATAGACATAAAAGCAGTCGTTGTAGACCCATGACACATGTGCACGACGTGTGCGTGGACGAACTGGCTCATTATGCAAGCCTTTTCCCTGTGTCGATCCAATAATTAATGGATGAATCCATTGAAAGGTTCTGGTATCCAGTATCGCCACATCGTCAAAATAGGTTGGGCCATCTCCGCCTGCAATAAACTACAATCAGCGACAATACATAAACCATATAGTGCAATACCAACACAATGCTATTGCATACCTCCAAATATGATTAAAAAGTCTTTATACGAGGCAGCAGAATGAGCTCGCCTTGCAAGAGGTTTTTTCCCAAATGTAGAGCGCACTTGCCACTCCATTGTACTCGGATCAAACGACATGATCGTATCTCTACATTCTGTGTCATTGCATCCACCAAACACAAACATGACATCATTGATAAGTGTCGCTGTGTGGGACCGTGTCGGTAAGGGATGAGTGGATTTTGTAGACACTGATGGAGAGGGTTGATGCAGACCTTGAGTCAACGTGGATGAAGCATCAGAATAAGTCAGAGAGCAAGCAGGAGTGGGGGATACAACGAATGGCTGCAGTTTGGTCCATCTCATGGCCATTGGAGATCCTCGGGGAATAGAAAGACTCGGAATGCTTAAAATGGGCCGAATGTCTATAAACGGCACCAGACATACAGGCGAAGCGACTCGATCGGGAGATTCTGGCAGCTCGGGTGTGGGGAGCGGAGATGCATCAACAGCCTTTGATGATCGCGACCGAGTTCTAGCGATAGTGTTGCGAGAAAGTGTTTTTGAAGCAGGAGAAGATGTAGTAGACTCATTTACTGATATAGATGACATGGATTCCTGACATTCTTCGGGATCCAAATCAAGAGCAGTCATCAAAGGGTATAAAGCGCAAGGTTCATGTGTTGCCGATTGCTGTTGGCTGTTGATATACTGGGTAGGCCCACTGATTGCATTTGTTACAGAGGATGCCTTTGACTTGAACAGTTTTGAAAAAGGCGAACGCTGTTGTGGTTGAACCAACACAATGGGCGGGTCAGAAGTTGGCTGTTGTGTTGGTTTCACTAGCAGGGAATGAGGAACCGATTCATGTTGATCAGAAAATGGAATATTATTATACACACCCATTGGCGTAGTCTCCAAGTATTTCAACCGACTAGAATCTGCTGCAGAGGTAGTTCTGGTAGATTGCATGGAAGAAGCTGAAGTCATGGAAGCTGCAACAGTAAAGGGTGAAAGTATTGTATGTGAAGTCGAAACTGAAGTTTGGATATTTGGTTGCAAGGCGGCTGTGTGATATGGTTGGTTACCGTCACAAGCTAAAACTTCGGAAAATCCATAATGGTTTGGAGTGCTACTGGAAGCCTGAACAGGGATGGTCTGCTTGTAGTGAGACTGTGGAAAATCAGTTGCAGAGTAGTCTGTATGTTGGACTATACCAGCTGCGGAGGGTTTAGCACTGTAAAGGGTATGGTATTCAGGTGAGGTGGAGGGATGCGTCGTGGATGTATACTGTTTCGAGATTCCCATCGTGTCTTTTGCAAGTGGGATTGATATGGGTGCGTTGGATGGATTGCTGATGTTCATAAACCCCTTGGATGCACTACTCTGAGGGGTAGTAATGGATGGTTTGGGATGTTTATTATGAGAAAACAGATTCCATCTGCCCAAACTTCTAATACTGGCTTTACTAGATATAGTGGACTGCTCGCTCGTATTGGCAAAAGTATCCGTTTGGATACGATGAGCAGATAAACCACTGCTTGTGTTGCTATTGTTACTGACAGTGCTGATTGGAGAGTCGGAAATAAGCGATGGTATAACAGCATGGTATATATTTTCAGCATCTACTGTAACCAACGACTACAAAGCAGTCGGTATGATTGTAAACATCAAACTGTTAGCAATGGTGCAGGATCAGAAAAGATTCATAAACTATTGAGTGTCATGGCCCGCAGTCTAGAAATCAAGGCCGAGTGGGAATAGGTTGACAATTCAAGTCATTACAAGATCCATTTAGTATGTAAGCTCAAGTTCGGTTGCCAACACTCCCATCCTCACTGTTCTATTCCCAAACAAGTCTAGTATGATACCAAGAGCTCAGTTGGAATATAAACTAGCCTTTTATGCATGACTTTCGTCATGCTATTGGTAAAATTACTGGTTTTACTAATGACTAAAACCAGCTGATTATAAATTACAGCATTATCTACCTTGTTCACAAAACCATCCGTAGCAGGTGTTTCTTTGACAGCATTAGTCGTGTCTGCAGAAGCATAGCCACTTGCAAGTGCACATGGACTTGCACCAGTGGCTAGTGACGTAGATCGGAAAGGCACTCCATTAAATTGCATGGAAACAAGATGGTGCTGGCTGCGATGAACAGGGCTAGATGGTGGCGATTGGGGAGTGGTCAAGGGAGTGTTCGAATGTACATGCATTTGTTATTGAGGGGTAAGTTGAGTAGACTAGTAATGGTCGTACTGTTGCTTAGATATTCACCGCTGTATTCATGTAAATGGACGATTAAATAAGGGTGTCAATATACAAGACAGCCAGTCTCATGACATGATGTCAGTTTATTGGAAACATTTTGTATAAAAAACTAAACGAATGCTCACATCACAGTTTCAGTACATCCCTGACACCTGTTCAATCTTCAACTCTCCAAACATTGAATGATCGGCATCAAAACAACCGTTGCATTGCTGCACTCTGTTTTCAATTAGAGCGCGAACGTATCTGATGTTAGGATACAACAAAAAGGGTTTTGATTGACAGCATTGAAACAGCTGGACCCAATATCTGGATTCTTGTGATCGTACAATGTATGGCTATGCCAAAAAAGACAGTTTCAGTTCAAAACTAGTTATGTGCATCATATAATGAATGTTGTGTTGATTGGAAAGGCAGTCAGTTTTTAGTAAAAATACGCAAGAAATGTTTAACCATTGTTTATCCTAAAGCAAAAAGTAGTAAATGCAAGTACTCCATTTTACATGAATACGGCATCAAATCGTTTACTTGATCCATGCCAGCATTGCCACAACCCCAAAACTCGATCATCAGCCACAGCTTTCGTTGTATACGATTGCAATGGTTGGATGAACATATGGATAGCGGCTGTTAATTGCTGCTTTGATGCCAAGAAACTAGCAATCAAGACACTCCATGAACAACTGAACACTTGTTGGAAATAGATAGACCCAAGTGGCAGTGATTTGCTTGGTTTCAAAATCTAAAATAATAAAAGTCAAACATTTACTGGTTTGAAAGGTTTGCCCATTCACACTATTTCTAGAGTACTGCCATTTATTCTCATTATTGGATCTGACAGCTTAGTTATGACTAACGACAATAGGGATGGGAATGGAGATGAAGCGAAAAATTGCCACTAGCTGTAAATGCAGCTATTATCGGATTTAATCAAGACAAGAGTAGATCTCACTATTAGTTAAGCAGGTTTAAAATGAACCAAATCACCATAAACAAAATTCATTCAGATCAAAACTTGGCATCAAGCTATTTCTTGAACAAAATGCCCGAGTCGTGGCGGTTCAAGACATCGTCGGCCGAATTTCCATCCTCCCACAGCTTGACTTCATCCACATTGACACCCTTGTTGGCAACCAACATCTTGCGACCACGCTTGTGATCATCATAGGAGCGGCCAACACGAGACTGTGGACCAAGATCAGAATTAAAAATAAAATCCCAATGAACCCTCATCCAAGAATCGTGGAACAGCAGCGTATCGTAGAATTCAGGTGCCATGGCTTTAAGAGTCGGCAATTTGCTCCATGGAATCTAAATACAGATACAAACATCAGTAACAAAAGATATAATCAAAAAATGCCATGCATACCTTTGTAAAGTCGTGGTGCTCGTTATGGTAGCCAATGTTCAAAAAAAGCTTATTCAGCCCGCCATAGTACGAATAAGTTTCCTGACCATCAGCAAAGGTAAAGTGTTCTTGAATGAAATGCGCAGCAGCAGGATGAAAAGAGTAACCAAACCAAAGGGAGAGAAACATGTAAAAAAAGCCAATAGGACCACAAAACCTCCAAATCAGCACGTCAGCGACGACAGTGGTGACAACATTGATGTATTCCCAATCGCTGGGAGCCTTTTGCATGGCAAGGCCACGGACTACGTACATGACAGGATACAAGGTAATAAAAATTATTTTTGCAAAAGTGTTTCCCTAAAAACAATAAATTGTAAGTCATTATGAAACAGAGATATCTAATAGGTTCAAGCCATATCAGTGGAATTTAGGTTTGAACAGTTTAGATTGTCGTTTTTTAAATAAACGCCACAATTGCCAGTCAGTCATCTATCAAAGTAGCAATGCATCCATGATATAGCCGACCGATTCAAATATAAAGTGGATAATAAAAGTATTGGATGCATAATGTGATACGGAATCAACTTCGGAAAGAGCCAAGCGGGCGAATGCTATGAGATACTTGAATCAACTCCGATATTGCATAGCAATTTGGTTACCTTGATAAGCTTGACCTCGAAATCTAAAGGAAGGTCGGGATCCTTACCCACAACACCTTGAAAAGCATGATGTTCAAGATGGTAGCGACGGAAGGACTGGGCAATAGGAACAGGGAGAGCTAGATTGGACACAATGCCAGCAATTTTGTTCATGATGGGAGATTCAAAGATAAGGCCATGAGTAGCTTCATGAATTATTACACCAATGAGTTGCGTAATGGTTCCACCTATGACAAAAGCACAAACTATCAAGGCAAGCATAAACCCTTTTCCAGTCTGCCCAGTACTCCATACTTGACCGAAATAATATGCAAGAGCCAGTTGCACCGAGACAATAGTAGCAATAACATATTTGGTAGAGGGTTCAATGCCATACAACGTTTTGATGTCAGGATGGGCAGCAAGCATGGCATGACGACGCTTTATGTGGGGCTCGTCTATATCGTCTATAGCAATGGTATCATCAATGTTGGGGATTGATCGCTTCCAGAAACCAACATAGTTTGGATGGCGAGAGTCGTAGCTAGGTAGTCCATTTTTATCAAGTGTTCCCGTAGGAGTGGTGATTCTGGATTTAGTATCTGTTTTAGCAGCTGTCTTTCTACTGGTTTCTGATGGCTTCCTTCTCACCACAGACTCCTCTGTTGTCATTGCTACAAAAGTTGTCAAGAATGAACATTCCATCTTTTGAGTTTAACGATTTGAACTCATTTATAAGATCACGTGTGCTAATGTGACTTATTCTGACTCTTGAACTCCGACTTTATTACTAGATATGAGTCTGTTATGACTTGTGCTTCCGCTTCTGTCCTCCTCCCGCAGCCTCTGCATTGCGTATCTTTTCTTGCTAGGTTACAAGACACGTTAGCGTTATGTCTACACTCGAGTCCAAGTCTTGTTACTTACCAATCCAATATTCCTTCGTGCAAACAGCTAGTATATTCAACTGTCAGCGTTGAGATCTGTTTCCTATCCATGTTATGCCACTGTTTCTAGTTACCTTGACATCGTCCACTGATATGACGCTCCGCTTGGCGTGTCTATTATCAAACTACATGAGTGAGCATCTTGGATTTGTCAAGCAATGAGCTGTCTATGCTGATAGAATCATCTTACTTGGCAAAGCTCTCCAAATCAGCACCCATGAGTTCTCATTGGCAGTATAATAGACACTCATTAGCTCAGTGCTAATACTGCACTAATTTTGATGGAACCAACGCTGTTACCTGCATGTCGGACAACTACCTCGCCCAATGCATATACAAATTCTGGAGTGACTTGTATCTTTGGATGATCTCTGCTGATTGCATCCATGATTGCCTTTCTGATGAGTACTCGTTGCTAGTTATGTGTAAGTAATCATACTGGCAGGTGCTCTCGATGCATCATATTGTAGGTGCTTCATAGTACTTACTACTTGCATTTCTTCGCCTTCGATAGGCTCTGATAGTTGGTCCTGAATATCATCAATGGGATCCTGACTACAAGCATCTATATTGTCGTCATGCTCTGCCATTGGAGTCAAATTTTGTTATGGCAAGGTTTAAAATACTTTGACAAACTCATAAATTCATTCTAGCCATGTCACTCCATAAACCCACGCCGATAATAAAACGAAAAGCAATTATACGAAAGTATCACTTTGTTATTGAATGGGATAAAAAAGGGTTTGAACCCAAATCTACTCGCGGTGAGTACGAGTGTGACGAGCACCTCCTCCAACAACACGATCGCCAAGAACTGCTGTAGATGGATCGGGCAAAACAACTCCTGGAAGGGATTCAAAGCCAAGTGCCTTGAGAAGAGCCTAATATTCCATTGAAAAAACATTCAGTAAACATTACACATCAAGAGACAATGCACGTCAATTCTTACCGAGGTGTCGGCATCAATCTCAATAGTGTCAACAACAAGTGCAGAGACTTCAGGAACGTAGTTGTCCTTGCGCTCACGCTCCTCTTCCTGGAGTTTGAACGATATACCACGAACAGGACCACGCTGAATACGCTTCATCAAATGAGTAGTGAAGCCAGCAATCTTGTTGCGAAGACGCTTGGAAGCAATAATGGCAACCTCGCTGCAGATCTTCTTGTTGGTCTGGAAGTCGAGGGTGAGACGGGGATAGTACTTCTCAATGAGAACCCGCGATGCCTTCTTGACAGTTTTTGTTCGAACACGGCCCTAGATATGGATTATCGCAATGATTGCAAAGAAAGGTTAGAATGCTAGTGACGGACAGTTTGGTTCAAGACAATCCATGCCATCCAAACATGTATAGTGCGAGCCATGCAACATGGAAATCCAAAAGCAAGTATTCTATTGAACCAAGCTTATTCTTGGACAAATAGACTGAAAATGCTTGCCAATGGTAGTTGTAGCTATTGACGATGATAGCCAATAGATGGCTGTAATTGCAGTATTCCATTCAGGTAATGATCGATTTGTCGTATCCAAGATTGGTCAACAGAGTATTGCATCTGCACTACAATAGCAGTAGTATCCAAGCATAGACACATTGCTCTTCAGGTTATATGCATGGATGGATGGCATTCTACTAGTAACGGCCGCTCTTACCATGATGAATTCAGTGTGGACAAATTCACTCGCTGTAGACTTGAAATCAAGTGGTTCTATTACACGTGATCAAGCATTATCATCACGTGTCATATTTTCACTCATTGTCTCGGCTTGTTGGCGAATTAATCCAAACCTGCCATTGAATTGACTGAAATGGCAGTTGTATTGGCAGAGAGCCAAAATACAAAAAGAATCGTAGACTTATGTTGAGCAGTATAAATCAGAGTATAAATAACCAGTCGATTTTAAGTTAGATTCACCGATTGTGGAGTTTCCCATCAATTTGGAAAGAGTTTATTTTACCAAGAAATAAAGTGATTGGAAACGACTAAAGTCATGGGAAAGGATAGACTCCATTCTACTATTGGCATAACTGGAAATAATCAGGATTCGCTCTCAGGCGCTGTTTCCATCATTCCCAGTATGCTCCATCCCTCATCTGCTCTTGTCATGGAGTTCTTGGCAAAGATTGGCCAGGTACTTTTACGAGAAAGAATCACTACTGGAGCTGTCAACAGCAATGCTATCAGAGATAAAAACACATCTATTCACTCATCCAGCATCACTTCTGAATCTACTCAACAGCAATCTACAGCAACTCTGAAAACACTCGAGTTAGAACAAGGATTCGTGGCGCCAAGCCATGTTCAGACTCTGCGTCATACCAGGACAGTATCAGCACAGACACTGCTGGACTTGCATGCACTCAATGAGCATGTGGAATTTTGGCGCTCGGGAATGCCAGTGTATGTTGATATCGTGGATATTTGCTCGAGTGTCCTTTTAGAACGCTGGATCATTTCATTCGAGTCTGCTGGCGCTACTACAAAGTAATATTGTATTGCATGCCATGCTCGTTTATTATCATGTAACTAATGTTTATCTTGAATTGTCCAATGGGTATTGACTGCCATTTTGTTGAATGGGTTGCTTGTGATTAGTGGCCACAGTCATAACGGCCACCAGAACGAAACAAGGAACGGATATCCAGCGGATAATACGTTGGATGGAAATATTCATATCAGTGGACATAAACCGGACCCAACAAATCTGATTCTTCTAGTTCAGTCATTGTATTTGCAAGTACGGCTTCTACCTTTAGGTGCTGCTTTAGCCGATACTTCCATGCTCAAGTCAGACTTGTCGTATTGGTAAGCTTATTTTGCAGTATTGACACCGCGATGTTGTGCAAATGATTTATTGTATTTATTCCTTGGCATTTCATTGTTAGCATGTTTCTTGTGGATGGGCAGCAAGTATCCCCGCTGGGTAATATGGGTGAGCCTCTATCCGTTCCATCGATGGGGTTTCATCCAACCGCCAAGCTCAAAGTTCATCGACTACGATCTGCCCAAACTACACATGGTTCATTGCATCTATCCGTAGTATATGACCACGCATTTGCAGATACAATCCCTACTGTTCGACCACCACCGCAAACCAAGGCGTTCCAGCAACAATCTGATTCAAATCGATCAAAATCAATGCCAGACTCGAATGTAGCCGGTTCAAACCCAACTCCCACAGACACACCACTATCTGCATCATCCCATATCCCAAAAATCATTAATACCTCCAACTTGAATGCAGATATTGGCCCTAACGGGTCTTTACAAACACTGACTAATCTGCGTAGTTTCACTGGAAGCCCATTTCCAAGTCCTACTATGCAGAAACGGGTGCTAGATATAGCTAATTTGAAACTTTTGCTGGATGAGCCCCCATCTTCGACACTTGATGGTAGTAGTGTTGGTGATGTATCGACTATATCTCAACTGTCTGCAAAACAAACATCAACTCCAGCAGACTCAAAACTATCATTATCGAATCAGCTTGGCACTCCGACAAAATCTAGTTTGCAGTTGTTAAAGGCAGATATTGGATCCATCAAACTTCGATTACCCCCTCATGCTCCTTTGAGTGCGCTACCAGTTATGCGATCGTCACTTGGTCAGAGCATGCTTCTTCGCACCAATTCTGCCTCTTCAGATGATAGTGCAGAGGACTTGATTCAAAACCATGTAAACACACCTTCGCCACTGAATACAGATTCAAGCACAGTTGGTTGTGCAACCACTACTTCTACCAAGGATAAAAAGACCCCACCTTTGATATCTGTACTGATTTCCAATCCTGCGCTCGATACTTGCAAAGAGACTTTCTTTGACGCAGCCCCTATCCATCGACCAATCCCATTGGTTGCACAATCCATCCACACATCAACACCAATGAGAGTCGGCTTGACAGAAAATACCACATCACATCCATTTCATCATCATTCAACAACACCTTTAGATTTGTTTGGGTCATTGGTAGGATCCTATGAAGAATCCATACTGAGTGGAAGAATGTCAACTCTTCCTTCGCGGCCCATTACATTTTTAGCAGAGATTGGAGTAATTGGAATAGGAAAATGCAAGCAATCGCTTAAATGTCCACCCCATCTAACTCTTGCATTTCCAGCATATTTTTATGAGTTGCTGGAGGAAGAATCACCAGCCACACCGTATGTTGGAAATATTGACGTGGAATGGCGATTGGCTGTTCGCGAGGACGCTGATGGAAATGTAGTGTATGTGAAGGATGAAAATAACGTATCGCCTATTACAGTATCCCCACGTCGTTCTGATCCACTGCTGAGACGATATGGGTGTGATATAACAAGTCGATGGGGATTGGATGCAAATCGAAGACGACAATCTCTAACAATGACTGCTGCTTCCTTGCGATGTGAAACCAAGACGAATTCAACACAGTCGGATGTTCCACATGAAACGATCTGGCCAACTTTGCCTGGACCTGGACTGATTTCTAGTGGTGACTCTCCTGTATCAATATCCAACGCATCAACAGTGCAACTATCAAGAACAAAACAACCAGACCATTCTGGATACAGATTACCGTTCAAGGGACAATTACAAGTTGTGATCAAGAATCCAAGTCGAACAGCAGTCAAAGTATTTTTGGTTCCGTATGATTTGCGGGACATGCCGGCCGGAAGCAAGACATTTATGCGACAAAAATCATATGCACTTTTACCAGCAAGATCACCTTTTAAGAATACGGGGGCTGGCAAAGAAGGTAGAGAGGTTCCAGCATTCAACTCATCACAGTCATCAAATGCAGAGTTTCCATCATTTGAAGCCACAGCAAAACCGTGTCAGCAGCAGTCTACACGACAATCATCGCGTGCAAATATCCATACACCCACAAGTGATCGGCTACGGTATGCGATGCATCTGCAATTTGTATGTACAGAAAAGAGACGGTTGTATCTATGTAAGAGTATCCGAGTAGTGTTTTCACATCGCGCACCTGATTCAGATGAATGCTTGCGAAGTGTCTGTGAAGGACCGAGTAAACCAAAGTACATGCGATTAGACGGTGGACCAATAGTGGCGACTGGTGGAGATGGAGGGAATTTCAGCGAGGAAGAGTCCAACAGATTGGATTTACTGAACAAAAAAAAAGATAATAATGTGGGCAGTGATGGGAAATGCATGATGCGATGAACCTTCCAATAGAAACAATAGCAATTGATATTTAAAGCATTTTGAATGCAAGAGCGAGAGCGATCACTAATTGACAATAAAATGAAAATATTTGAACGATTTGAGCCTGAACGGCGGTTAATTTCAAGATCTGCTGCTATTGACCATCAATATATTCTAATTCTACCGATGGATAGTCTTGCCGCTATTTATTCTTCAGAATCTGAGAACGAAACCATTCCAGCCATTATAAAACGACCCAAAGTCGATTTGGCTCCTGCTATTCATTTTCAAGACCTGACTTCAACCACAGATGCATTAATACCTTCCACTGCCAATTCGACCGAGCTAACCATCAATGTTCCTTACAGTCTGATGGTTAAACCGTTTCAAGGACCTGCTAATCCATTTGTTAGTGCAAAGACCATGACAAACAAGAACACTCAGTTGGGATTTGTCGAGGATTGCAATATGGCCAATACCGACTTTAATGAGCTGCACAGGACTTTTGTCAACTTTGGATATACCAGAGATCCTGATGCAATTGACAGCAATGGACTAGTTGGAGATTCCGACAGGATTCATTCTCATGGTGGATTGATGGCTAGTGAGCTTAAAAAGAGCCATATTCCAGCAACCATTAATGCCAAGAGAAAAAGACTTCCACAAGGCGATGCTGCAGATATTGATGGATTTCAAGGTCCATGGGCAGGTTTTGAAGGTGAACAACTATCTGTACCTGATCGAACTGCTGAACAGGAGGCTGATGCCATTGCCGGTATTATCAATACTCATAATGGCGATGATAATCTATCCAAGTCCAAAGGGTCGGAGAAATCTGTCTTTTATGGCAAAAACCTACATGACTACCAAGGCCGTACTTACATGTCCGTACCTCATGATACCGGAGTAGATCTACAATCTGAGCTTGGCTCATTTGAATGCTTCCTTCCTAAAAGATCTATTCATACATGGACTGGCCATACCAAAGGTGTCAATGCAATCAGATTCTTTCCTTCTACTGCTCATCTGCTTCTGTCAGCTTCAATGGACTCTACCGTCCGTCTTTGGGATGTCTACAACGACAGATCGTGTCTACGTTCTTTCCATGGCCACTCAAAGGGAATCAGAGATATCGACTTTAACAACTCAGGATCCAGATTTCTTTCTGCCTCTTACGACAAATTCCTCAAACTCTGGGACACTGAAACTGGCCAGTGCATTTCCAAATTCACTACAAAACGTATTCCATACTGTGTCAAATTCAATCCAGATCCTTCAAAGCAAGACATTTTCCTCACAGGCTGTCAGGACAAAAAGATTTACCAGTTTGATGTGCGCTCTGGAGAAATTGTTCAAGAATATGATCAGCATCTGGGTGCTGTCAATACAATCACATTTGTAGATGATAATCGTAGATTTGTTACAACAAGTGATGACAAAACCTTGAGGGCTTGGGAAGTTGACATTCCTGTAGTGATCAAATACGTTGCTGAGCCTGACATGCACAGTATGCCTGCTGTAACACTTTCTCAAAATAGTAAGTCTTTACAGCCATTTTATTTTGACTGCTTTATATGTTGACTTGTATACAACTATTTTTGTACTTATACTTTATATCTAACGTATCAATAACAGAGAAATGGCTTGCGTGTCAATCCCTTGACAATCAAGTACTGATCTACTCTGCGCGCGACAGATTCAGAATTAATCGTAAAAAGGTATTCAAAGGACATTTAATTGCTGGCTATGCTTGCCAGCCCAATTTCTCTCCCGATGCGAGGTACATCATGTCAGGTGATTCCGAGGGGAAGCTGTGGTTTTGGGACTGGAAGACTTGTAAAGTCATGAAAAAGATCAATGCGCACGACGGTGTTGTTATGGGGTGTGCATGGCATCCTCACGAGACAAGTAAGGTAGCCACGTGTAGTTGGGACGGAACTATCAAGTAAGTTTACCATGCATTTGCCTTGGTAGCTTAGTTGTACAATACATATACTAATGTTTTGTTGTTTTTAGGTACTGGGACTGATTATTTGTAATTGTTTTTAATATATCACTAAATTGTTGATTCTTGATACTTGCAAGTAATTTCGACTATTTTTTCACCCTTTATAATTGTATCGATAGTGCCTGTGGTTTAATCTTACATTTTTAAAGGTCTATTGATGTTATTATTGAAACATCACCTTTACCTATTGGCCGAATCCAACATGATTTTAAAACAGTGCAATCACGACTGATTTTTATTGGGAAATGTACTACGTCAGAATTAAGCACGGCCCATTTATGCTGATTGGCTTGATCAATCAAACCAAATACTTGATACATTTTGCAAATCAGTACTACCTACAAGGTTTAAATGTAACTCGGCTGAGTACGAGAGCATCAAGAACATTCAATGACAGGATACACCACCAATGGTTTGTATGAATGGCAACAAAATACTAACTTGTATGGGCACAATGCCATATTGAAACTAGCATTTTGATTTTATTGAATGATAATGGCTCGGCAAACAAAATAAATATCAATCTATTTTGCATATATAAAATGCCAGATTTCCAAACGCACTGATCAGCCCATTGTAAAAATCAATGTTTTGTAATAATAATAAATCCAAATGTTCAATGAAACGGCTCTAATTTCCAGCTTAAATCTTGATACACCCAGCAAGTACCAATGCATAGTGAAGATCGGAGATCAGATCTTGCACATCTTCAATTCCTACACATAAACGAATAACATCTTCAGGGAGATTGCGCTCTTTTCTGATTTCTGCAGGTATAGAGGCATGCGACATACGACACGGCATACTAAAGAGCAGACAAAAGGGTTGAGAAGAATATCTAAACAATGAACATGGGATTTAAAGCAATGCTACCTGATGAGAGAGTTGACGCTTCCAAAACTGACCGAGATACCCCAAATTTTTGTAGCATTGACCACACTAATACTCCTATCTACACAGTTGGTTCTGAAACTAAGAACAGCACCGCCTCCTTTGGCCATTGACATGTGCAAATCATGTTGTGGATGAGACTTTAAGCCTGGATACCAGGTTTCGATGCCATGCGATTCAAGATACGATGCAATCAGCATAGCTGATTGCTGCTGGCGATCCACACGTACCGATAAAGTTTTAATGCCACGAGCAAGGAGAAATGCGTCAAATGGTGCTAGTCCACATCCAATTGCATTGACCACAAAATAGAGTTTCTACCAAAAACGATGAATAAAAGATGTCAGGTAAGAACATTTTAAAGGTTGAATTCATCAGTCATATAACCCAGTAGATGAAGCTTACCTCGGCAAGCTCAGGATTTTTCACACCCACCGCACCAGCCATCAGATCATGATGACCACTCAAAAACTTGGTCGCGCTATGATAAACAATATCAGCACCCAGATCCAATGGCTTTTGCAAGTATGGACTCATCATGGTATTGTCTACAACCACCAATGCAGAAGGACATATTGTATGAACAAGGTTAGAAATGGATGGTATATCGGCTATCTTGCACATGGGATTGGTGGGAGTTTCCAGCAGGACAAGTTTTGTTAATGGGGTAATGAGGCGCTGAATTGCATCGATATTGGTGGTATCTGTGTGATACACCTTGATATTGTTAGTTTGCTTTACGTATGCGAGCAGCCGGTTTGTTCCTGTAATGTGATTTACAGTAACCAAGGTTAGCGTGATGGCGCGCCTTTCAATAGAAACTCGAGTTTTCCAAGTCTATTGGCTTATGTAATCCCATTACAAGCACTTGGAAAACACCAATCATTTCAACATACCGCCATACACATCGTCGCCAGCAATAATTTCCTCGCCCGATTTGACTAATCTAATAATAATATCTAGAGCAGACATGCCACTTGAAACTGCAAGTGCACTATGAGCATGCATAAGTTTGGCTAGATGCGATTCTATAGATTCCCAAATGGAGCAGGATACAATATTGGTTAGCATTTTCTTTCTCGGCATATACAAGTTTCTAGTCGGAAAAATTCCATTCCAAAACATCAATGTATTGAGTTGGATTTTTGTCCAGGGATTGATTTGTAAGCAAAAATAGATATTTCGTTCAATCTTTGCAGTCCATCACGGCATGAAAACCAAAAATATTTAAAACAAGAGCATACCTAGATGTGTTCGAGTAGGGTTACCAGACCTGGAATAATCATACTCGCCCATCTCAGTCACTCCTGACTGCCTAAACGTAGCAGTTTGGTAAATGGGAACGGAGGATGCTCTGTAAGGGTCGCGAAGGTCGGAGTCGACTAAAACACATTGAGTAGAAGGTCTGTAGGTGGACGCATCTCCCAAGGGGGAAATTAAATTATGGGTCGTTGCAGATGAGTAGGTGCACTGGCCTTGAAATGGTTGCTCCTGAGCAAATATCATGGTCAATATTCAATTTGAAAAGCTTACAATTTCAAAAGCGCGGTTTGCCAAAGCAACAGGATGTATCACGTGATCATAGTCACATGACTTTGAATCAGCTCAAATTGCTAACTCAATCTGCAGCCATCATCAGCAAATACGCAAATGAGATTGACTGTTGTAGGCATACTTGCTACGTTTTGGATCTCAGTTGCTGCTGATGAGCCGCCTACCACTTTGATAATTGATGTGACTCACAAGATTCCTGATGAAGAGTGCATCCACAAGTCAAAGCTTGGAGGTACTTGGATCTACCCAGATTTATAAATCACTGCTATTAGAGTGTATCTGTTGTTTGAGTATACATACTATCTGTAGATAACTGGCTTCAATAGCGAGTTTCGTCTAAAATTACTTGTTTTATCCAATAATGCTCATATACTAGATCAACTGTCGATGCATTATACTGGAAAGCTCTTTTCCAATGGCAAAAAGTTTGATTCTTCCTTGGATCGCAATCAGCCCTTTCAATTCATGTTGGGAGTAGGCCGAGTTATCAAAGGCTGGGATCAGGGCTTAATGGATATGTGTATCGGTGAGAAACGCACACTTACCATTCCTTCAAGCCTGGCTTATGGAAAACAAGGTGCTGGTGGAGTCATTCCTGGAGATGCTGCGTTGGTGTTTACAGTGGAGTTGCTGGATATTCTAAACAAGGACGTTGAGCCTCAGGTTATCGATCTGGACGCTCAACCAAAGGGATCTGTCAAGGATGATAAAAAGGCGGATACCAAAGCTGGAGCAAAAGATTCCAAAGCTCCACCAAAAACACTTCAGATTGGCATCAAAAAGCGAGTCTCGGAAGCCGAATGTACTCGAAAGGCCCAAAAGAATGGTAACTATTTTTATTGTATAGTTGACTGTTGATTCATGTATTACTAAAAGGCTAGAATCAAACCTCACGCTTTCTCGAATGGTCCTATAGATCAACTGTCGATGCATTACACTGGAACGCTCTTTTCTACTGGCAAAAAGTTTGATTCTTCTTTAGATCGCAATCAGCCTTTTGAATTCACTCTTGGTACAGGTCAGGTTATTCAAGGCTGGGATCAGGGTCTGATAGGCATGTGTGTTGGCGAAAAGCGACGATTGACTATTCCTCCCCAGCTTGGTAAGTAATTGTAGTATATATTATTTTTTCGAGTCCAATCTGTTTGCTCATTTAGTTTGTAATCATGGGGATCATGTTCCAATTGGTTCATTTTGACGCTTAGGATATGGCGATCGTGGTGCTGGTACTGATATACCTGGTGGTGCTACACTTGTATTTGACGTTGAGCTACTTGAAATTAAAAATAGCTTTGATAAATCTGACGAGCTCTAAAAACGGAAAGCGAGTTGGAAACATTACGATACGATGGAACCCATTTGAGTCCATTATGCTTTCCCAACATTTGAAGTGTCGAGTTTATTATTGCAATAAATTTTACAGTGGACCCTATTTAGTACTGTGAAAATATAGGTTTGTTTGAAAACTGATTTATATAGACTTGAAAGCATGTGGAATCTATACATAGTCAGATATAAGTATAATCTATACGAGTAGCAAGTACATCTATAGATGCCGCTATGAAGTTGGATCCAGTGACGGTCGGGTCATCATTTGCTTTGGAATCTACATTCTTGTTTCGTTTATTTTGAAGTGCGTTTGCTTTACGAGTTTTCTTGGACAATTCCTTTCTATCTCTTGCTGATAATCGCTTAGGCTTCTGAGATGTGATTGTCTGTGGTGGAAGTGTTATAGGCGGAGGTTCAGATTGCGCTGGTGGGTCTGCATCAGATTGAGCTGACGGATCTGCATCAGATGGTATTACTGCATCCTTGGACTCTTGTTGATCATTTCCAACATTTCCATCATGAGCACTAGAGACTAAAGCAAAAGCACAATCTGCTTCTTTTACAGCTTCCTGATCAGCCAACAACTTATCTATAACTTTTCCTACATCTCCTCTGAATTTAGCAAACAGTTTTCGAACGTGTTCAAGGTCGTCTACCCCTGTGGTCTGCATGGCAATTATTTCTAATTTTGTTGGTGGATCTGTAGGGTCTCTATCCCATAAAGCTTTCTTTTTTGTATCTCGAGAAGTCGAATCGCATTTAGGCGTGATAACGATGCATGGTAACCCTACAAATGGACCATTGACGTTTCTAACTGAACTGTAATGCTCCCAAGAATGATATGCAATATGCAGTACACGCGATTGAGTCTGTACATTGCAGCCTATATCACCAACATCTACAGTTTTGGCTGTTTCAGAAGCATCAGATATAACCCAGATAGGAAGTCCAGCCTGATGTACTGCAATGTGAAGATTGTGATGTCGTGCAAAGGCAACAATCTCGATGTTTCCACCATATATGCCTGGTTTTAGCATCTGTGCAGAGTATTGATCTATAGTGTGGTTGTCTTCTATAAAAGATGCATAGAGGGTTGGGTTGGATCGGATATGTTGAACTGTATCAGTTCGACATCTGTGATGATGTATGGGAGTTCCAAAAAACTGATCGCTCAATGCACTAAGGTTGATGGATTCATATTCGTCAGTATTGACTAAGACGAGAGTTGTTATTGATTGTGACTACATACCGAAACAGACAGTTGCCATCGCCAGTCATGTCCTTGACAGCAAGTCCCAGATCTGCCAACTGTCGTTCAAGTTGCTCCGAGTTGTCATCGGTGTATTCAGATTTTTGATGTTTCTACAAATGACCTCCAATCATACAAGTAAGTATTTATATATGTTCAGGCACTGAGTTAAAGTGAGTTTTACTTTGTAATTCTTTGTGGTGGTGCTCTTGGATGCCTTTTTATGTCCCATAATGGAAAACTCGATAATTTATGGAAAATAGAAACACTCCAATTTGGCCAAAAAACCCAATCATTGAATTGATTCACCAACACATACTAGTCATGAAACCATTTATTCGTTAGTTTGAAATATACATTATATAACCCAATAACTGTATCCTAATGTTAAATATACGAATTCATTTAAAAGCTGCCAGTAAAACGAATCCATTCTAGTCAAAGCAGTCTAAATCTTGATTGTCTCGTACAAGTCAATCTCCATGTGAGCTTCGATAGGATTGCATTTTCAGTAGCAAGAATGGCGCTCGTGGCTCTACATTGACCAGATTATTCTAGCCGCGCTCACGCTCACGCTTTCGTCCAGTCATTAGCCTCTGTTCATCATTCGTCCTGGGTATCTGTTGCTGCGGATTTGATTGTGACTGTGTCTTGACCTGAGAAACTAGACTTTGTTCTGATTGTCGCATCATCTCACTCAAAGCCTTTTGGTTTTCTTCAAGTAGCTGCATTTGTTTTTTTTCTTGCTGCTTACGCAATTTCCTCTTTTCCTTTTGTTTTTGACTCAATGGTTCCTGACGTTTTGAGCTCGACTTTCGTTGAACTCGATCTAAACTATTTCGCCTTTTTTGCTGTTGATCAATTTTCGATGGTGGTGGGCCACATCCTAAAGATTTTCCAAGCCATCGTTCTAGTACCTGGTATGCAGGCACGTCACCGTTTCTCTCTATTTCCATTTTTTCTCGACATTGCATCAAATCAATTGCGTATTTGAGAGTCTTGTCGCGTTCTATTTCCATTTCCATATTGGGCTTTACAATGTCGGACAATCCCGATAATCCATGCTTATCAAACTCGTCTCTGTATGTAACAAGTGTGTCCAGCGACTGGCTAAATAATTGATGTAGATCTTGTGTGCGGTATGACCCGCGTGATATATTGTTTGATGCGTTGGTTGGGTCATAGATCCGAAGTCTGATACGATCATTTTCAAGCAGACCATAGCTGTCGTCACGGACTCGATGGTAGCGAGGGTAAATAAAAAGACTATCAGATTCGACAGCTATGGGTGAATAGCTTAGATTGTCGGAAATACGAATAGCATTGGTGGTGTAGTCAAACGTACGGCCAAAGAGCTCGAAAAATTGCCAAATGAGTCGACCAAGGGATTGAACAGAATGCAAAGGTGCTGAAGACAGTCGAGAGACTCCAGGATCTAAATGTGGTTGAGTATCAGTGTTATTTTTAGCATTCTCTTTGGCACGAGCATCTATTTCGTCTGAACAGTGTTGGTCGCGAATCAAAACAGCTACAATCATATTGAGTAAAGCATAACCGCCTAATCCACCAGTAAATACTTTATCCAAACGGTGCTGCCGAATCAAAAGCTTTAGCACAAGTGCCATGGGAATAAGCGTTGGGTATTTACCCACCCATGTTTTCATCAGTTCAGTCGATTCGTTTCCAGAATCGGTGTTTGCAACAATATCTATTCTGATTTTGCCTAGTTGAGGAATGGACGAGAATTTAATGAGTGGGATTTTTGCAGTAGATATAAACTGGAGGGATTGCTCAGAAATCCAAGTCTGATGTTTTAATTGAGCATATAGTTTATAAAGAATAAGAGATCGATCAGTTTGGGGAACTGAAACTGCAATGTCGATATCTGAATCTGAAAGGTATATGCCGATAGCAGATGATCCAAAAACAGAAACAGAAGCTTTAGACGAGTCAGGCCATATATCGTCGCAAACATTTATAATGAGATCAATTATTATTGTACGCAGTGAACATTCTGGTGGCAGAGGGGCAAGCATTATGGCCAAGTCAATCATGTCTTGAGTGAGTTGGTCATTGAATGTTTTTGGGTTTGAATTCAAGTCCAACTCATTGTGAATAGGCAAGTCGGGAATAGCAGTCACAATATTATTTCTGACCAAATCAATTGCAGAAGCAGTTTCAGTTTCAGTTTCAGCCATGTAAATAATAATAAAATGGCAATAATAACTGACTAATAGGTGATTGAGAAGAAGGAAAAGAAATAAAAATGACAAATTCATACAAAATTCGCTAATGAATAATTTTTAATTGCCAGCAAACTAGTTGAAAAATCTGCCATCCAATGCATCTGCACAGATGTCTTTGATCATTTACAGCAGTATTCATGAAAAATGAAACCTGTACTTGTCTTGCAGTGATTGCTTTAGAATAAAACATGTTTAAATATTTTGGTTTCCTACTACAAATTGGCTTGAACTATCAATTCTTCAAAATAGTGTTGTATTCTAGACTTGAATATTTTCGTGCTCTAGTTTTAGAAAACAAACACCATCTCAGAAATGCTAGTCACACAATATTTTCTTGTAATCAAAGAGTTGGAGATTCAAGTATAATTAACTGAAACTGATGTAAACTCGGTTTGATACAAAAAACACTTGCGTGAATATGGCTGTAATGTTAAATTTTAAACCAGTTTTCACTTTTACCAACAAGTGGTTTTTACATAATTGGCATCGTCCATAGATCAGTGCTGGGCTTACTATCAATAGTGGCAATGATGGATGTCGGCGTTGCTAGAAACTCGTTTGCTCAACTGTTGTATATGTTTATAGTTCAATCTCTGGTTTATCTATATGACTCTCTCCACACATTCAGTCGTACGGCCGAGTTTATGTTTAATAGTATCCACAGCTATTTGACAAGTAATATGGCTGCCACTAGTCATAAACTGCCTCAATCATTTTCAGCGGTTGATTCTATCTATTGGAATAAACTACCTCGCCATGTTGCTGTAGTGATTGACAATACTCTTCTTGAATTCGCTGGTGCAGCATCGGATTCATCTATAATCGATACATCACTTGGCTTGGTCAAAAACACTTGCAATGAATCATCTACTTTTTTACGGCGCAAATCAAATGCATTATTATCAGGGATTCCATGTCAGCCTGAATCATCTATTCATTCGTTGGATGGTATATTTGCATCGATGCTTGATATTCTTTATTTGAACGTGAGTCTAGGAGTTGAGCATCTGACTCTATATGATGAATATGGTAAGTGCTGACCATCATTTATACATTCATTTCTATTACTTATCCAACTCGAGTATCTTTAATTTTTAGGAGTTTTGAAATCGCATGCACGACTCCTTTTACATTTACTTGAAACCAACTCAAAGCTCGAAACAGGCTTTGAGGATGAACTTGTTGCTACTGTCCGCATCATGGTAGATCATTGCTTGGTTTGGGATGGTAAGATCACCATTCGTTCAACACAATCCAAGCAACGAGGTAGTTTATAGCTTTTTCACCATGTTTAAATAACTGTATCAGGTTGCTGACATGATAGTTATTGGATTTGTAGATCTGACGGTTTATTTCAAGTCGCAGTCGGATTCAAAAGATGCCATAGTGCGCGCAGTCTGTGATTTGTCGCGGAATGACTATCCATGCACATTAGAGGACGTTCGAGATCGGTTATTAGAGGGTACTGTTTGACTGTCTGTATGCTGTTGTGAGCTGTCATGCTAACTATACAATATAGATTTTCCGTTGAACAGCGATCCAGATCTGGTGTATATCATTGGAGGCAAGACTGGGTTTCAACTACATAATTATTGTCCATGGTCGATCCGCTTATCCGAATTCCAGTAAGTTGTGGTTTTTATAGCTGACAGTAGTTCAGCAATAGTCTAACACTATGTATTTATTGTAGTCATGTACCGTCACTCGACTATTATGGCAGAGTGGACATGAGGGATATATTTCAAGGAATGAAAGATTATTCAAAGTGTGAGCAGCGCTTTGGAAAATAAAAAGACGAGTTATAGCATATATTTATCGATGGCAGGCTTTGGGATTATATCAAGCAAAACACATAAATCAAATCAGGAATAACTAGTGCTGTAGCTATAAAAATGATGCATAGACACAAGTCAAGGAATGATGGCGGCTAACAAGAGTTGAATCCAATACATTGGGTCATGGTTAGTCGATGCCATCTGTATGATGCTCTAATAAAAATAAGTACCTGAATCAGTTTTTCGACAATCGGAATCTGCTCAATATGGTGCAGATCAGATCTGAGTTTAGACACAGATATCTCCTGATGGTGTTGCCGAGCCAAGATCTGGTTGAGTCTATTTCTAAGATGGAATTCAAACTCTTTCTTGCTATGTAGTTGTTCAAGGTAGGCTTTTGTTCTAGTGAGTGTGCGAAGATACAAGGAAGTAAAAGTCGAAATGCTCTTGGATGTATTGTATATACATTGGAGTTGGACCAAGAGTTCCTATACATATGGTTGGTATCAGTACGAGTATATATTGATGACTAGACTGAATAGAATAACAAGACCTCTTGTAATTCTTGAGTGCGAGTGTTTATCCAGGAAAAATCCGACTGTATCTTCAACACATTCATCCTATCCCTTAAACACTGACAAAGAGTAGAACGAGCATCCTCTACTTGCAGAGGGGAGAGTTGGTTCAGTGCCAGTTTCAGACCCATTTCATCCATGTTAAATTTATCAAGAACAGACAAAGTTGCATCAACCCAAACAGCAGACTAGACTGATAAATTAGCAATACTGAGTTGATACACTTGGCAAGTATCAGTTTATTTGGTAGGATTTACATGTCCACACTTTTTGCATGTTCTCAGATCCTCACTAGCAAAGTATCGCTGGATCACTGGCTTTAGTTGTGTTCCCAGATTTGTGCAATGAAATGACTCCTGATATACAATCTCTGTGCATTGCTCACAGTACCATCTCAGATGATCTACAGTTGCGCACATGTTAGACTACTCGAATGAATAGAATCAACCAAAAATCAGTCCTTACCCAAGGATCCAGCAGGCCTTTTGCGTTCCAAAACTACTCCAACAGTGTTTTCGAATCTGACTGGGTTGTGAGGTACATTGCCTATATACATACAGAGTCAGATCTTGCACTTAGCAATCAAAAGATCAATGCTAAAGCATATACCTGGCAATAAGAACATTTCATTTTCCTTGATGGGAATATCTTTAAACTCTCCGCCATCCACCACTTTCAGTAGCATATCACCCTTGTATTGATAAAACCATTCCTAAAGCGATCCAATTTATTCATTAATCAAGGTGAATCATCGAAACAGTACATTGTTCTACTTGCCTCGGTTGAATTGACATGATAGTCGTTGCGAGCATTTGGGCCACCAACAGCCATGACAATAAAGTCATCCGAGTTCCATAAACAGTAGTTGTTGACGGGAGGTTTTAGCAAATGGGAATTCTCTTTGATCCACTTTTCAAAGTTGAATGGCATAAGCCCAATCCTTGCAGTGTTCTCGCTCATGATGTCCAACTGACGTCCTGCTTGCTTGTCAACTTGAATGAGCTCAAGCCAACTCTTGCCAACTATCATCACGTGATATGCGGATGAATACCAACTCTTGCTTTTTTTTTTGTAAATCAATTGAATTGGATTGTTTCTGGTGAGTCCTGCATAAACTGCTGCCATTCATTCGCTTTTGCTAATTAAATCTAGTTTATAACTACCTTAGAACATATACTATACAAATGGCCAGACCGAGAGTTCGCAGAAAGATAAGGAATCCTTCACAGAAAGTATCTCGCAAGCAGAAAAACCGCATGGACATTTCGTTTGAAAATGCTCATCCACTGGTCAAAGACAATTGGGACAAGAAAAAAACATTACATCAGAATTACGAGAGTATGGGATTGATGGTGTCTTTGAATGGCGCTGCAGGTGGAACTGGTCATGAAGCTGCTGATGTGGTTCAGGAAATGATGCGTGTCGATAAGCTCAAGAATGATGTCGAATGGAGAATGTTGGATGATTCACCGGATAGTTCTGTTGATGACTGCAGCAATACAAAGACTGCATCGACGCACAAATCTTCATCGTCTGCTACGTTATCCAAAAAAACAAAACCTGTTGGCAAGTTTTCAGTCTCCAAGCGATCAAACTCTTTCCAAGCTGATCAACCAGAGCTTGATTTACTCGACTTTACTCCAATAGAAGCAGAGATTGAGGTCGATTCTCGCACAAAACGACTTGGCGTTAAAATGTCAACCAGACGAATGATTGAGCCAACTTCACCAGCCACCTCTGTCAATCCTATCATTGCAACCATGCAAGAGGAAGCCAATAATGTCGTGAAACTTATTCGTCATACATCAAGCAATGAGGATTTGGTGTATGCAGATTTGATTAGCAAGCATGGCCTTGATTATGAAGCCATGAGTAAAGATTTGAAATTAAACAGGTACCAACTGACTAAAGGACAGCTACAGCGCAAAATCAGGACATTGGTATTGGTAAAATAGGCATGGATTGTGGTGAGTAGATTTGCTAGATCTGACCATAAATGAAGACCACTGGAATCGTATGCAATGATTAAAAATGCAAATCAACATCAAGATACTAGTCACGCAATAAACATTGATGCTCTCCACCCCACTATCCTGCTACATTGATTTTATTATCACTAAAAGTTACTCTGGTCTCAACCAATTTTATCGATCTCATCAGGCTATCCTTACATTTTCATCAGTAATAAAAATGGTAATTTGTGGCCATCTACTTCTGCCATAGTAAATGATTTTCATCCTTTATATACTGAACATGACTTTGGCATTATCAACGAATAAGCCATAAACAACAATACTCTGAATATCACACTAACAGTCCAGGAAACTGGTGGATTGAATATTGTAGGCTGATTGTGTCCATACAAATATGACACTGGTCGTCAAGACGCAACAACTTCCGCCACTTCCAACCTCCACAACCAAAACTATTGACATGAAGTCACAACCAGCCAAGGATCAAGACTCTGATAGCGAAAACGAATGCCAAGATATAAAAGAAGGCTCGCCCACCTTTGCTCCACTCAAATTAGACAAGGCAAAGCTCCGTCAGGTTATTACTGCAAGTGTATTGACTTTTGAGCAGGACATGATCGATACCCAAAGTGCTGTTCATTTATTTCTCAACTCTCGAGTCAAGGATGCCGAGACCTTTCTCGTTGAAAAGTACTGCAAGACTCTCCCACACACTCTTGGATATGGAGTGATTCTTTCTCTCAAGTGCTTAATGACCCTCGATCGACACGACATTGACGCTGCAATGGATGCGCTGCATATCACTGTAGAGGTAGCACAGGTTCTACGCAAGGAGCAAACCATTGTTGGTTCGTTGACTGGGTTTGTGTTTGGTGGTGGTCGAGGCGGTAAAGATGGTTTGCATTTCATGAAAATGACTCGTATCCAACGTCATGCCGAGGTCGTCTTTGCCGAGGCCTACCTTCTTCAAGCTGTCTTGTCTCTTCTAACCGATACGAATATGGTCACGTTTGTTCGTGAAGGCTTGAATATTCGTCAAGCCTATTCCATCTTTAAAAGTGGATTTCTGTTTTTGGAGCGTGTTTGGGACGAGGAGGGATCGCATGGATTGATTTCGCATCAGATTGATCAGCATTTTATCAATGCAGTCTATCACGGCATTGGCACATTTAATCTGGTATTATCTGTACTGCCAGCAAGGCTAATTAATCTATTTGAAATGATTGGATTTTCAGGAAACCGCCAGTTTGGCATGAGATGTCTAGAATTGGGTGGAAACTGGCCTGACAGTAATAGTACATCTCAACCCACAAACACTAATTTACCATCAAAAAGCCAAACAACCAAAAACAAAAAATTCAAAAAGTGTATCGAGTTTAAATTTCCAGATGGTAAACAGGCTGTTACTGGTGTTCGATCGTTTTTATGTGATCTCTCGCTACACATGTATCACATTGTCCTTTCCTCTATGATACAAATGCCTGGATGCAATGTTCCGTTATCACGCCAAGTGCTCACGCTCAATCTTCAAAACCATCCAGATTCCTTCCTGTATCTCACACTTCAAGCACGACTTCTTCAAAGCGAGGCCAAACCCGATCAAGCCATTATCAAACTCAATCGTGTAATTGATATACAGAATGATTGGCGTCAACTTGCCCATATCTGTTTTTGGGACTTGGGAATGTGCCATGCTGCATTGGGTAACTGGAAACAAGCAAGCGAGTGCTACAAGATCCTGTTTGAAGAATCTACTTGGTCTCCTGCCATTTATCTCTATCTTCAAGCTGCATTTCTTTATATGCATGACGCAATAGGTTGCAAGCAAGATATTGAAACTATGCTGAAGCAAGTACCCAAGCTGTGCAAAAAAGTTGCCGGTAAATCCATCCCATTGGAAAAGTTTGTCTCTAGAAAATCAAGAAAATATTTCTTGCAGGGAAAAAGACTTTTACTTCCTGGGTATGAGATCATGTATATGTGGAATGGGTTTGACCATGTTCCCAGTGATCGTCTTGTCAAGATCCAAATAGAAGTTGACGCAGCAATCCAGGATCTTGATCTTCAGCTTTCCAAACTCAGCACTGTTATAAAACCAAGTGTTACGAAACCAGCTATACTTTCTAAAACAGCGAGCCAAGTTCTAGACAAACAAAAAGACAATGACATGCCATACGATACATACTATGACGATGTATGTTTGACACGCTTATTCAAAGGTTTAGTTTTGCGTGAACAAGCTTTTCCAACACATCTCACCTTTGTACCTGAATCCTTTATGACTGCCATAACACAAGAACGGATTGGTACCACTGCACAAACGGCCACTCCTGACCAGCAAAAAACATCCAAGCAACTTCACTACTCTGCTAAACAGTTTGACTACATAGCTTTGATAGCTGATCAGGTACATCTTGATCACTGGATTCTCCCCTTTGCACGATACGAACTAGCACAGATATACGTACGTATTGGAGAGTATGAAAAGGCAAAGCGGGAGTATTCTGCTGCATTGAATGGAGGATACGCTGATGATGAAGTTGGGCATCGAAAGCGCAAAGCAAGCATGGAAAACAGCTTGCATTTGAGGGTACACAATGGGCTGTCAAAGCTGAAGATTCTTGACAGAATGAGTATTGGCGTCGAGGACGATGAAGACAATGGAAACGAGAGTAGTTAATGTTATGATCGAGATTCGAATTAAACCATTACTATTTTGAATAGATTTTGTTTAAATGAATGCGGCACAATAGATGTTCATGAAAGCGCTGGACGATGACTAACCAACTTTTAGACAGCTATACAATCTATTCATTGGCCGTGATGAAATTGTTTACGACATTACAAATCACAGCTGGTGACAAAGGAAATAAAGAGATAAATGAGAAATTATCAGTAACCAGCACTCTCAGTGTTGCTTTTTTTCAAACATTGATGAAATATGTTGGTTTGAATGGTAAAGTCATCTACCGACTGTGTTTCTGTGCCGCGACTGGTTTGCTGAATGGACCGATTCTCTTGATTAAATACAGGACACGATCCCATTTAGTCTTGTTCTGGCAAGAACTCCAACATTCCACCTGTAAAGTTTTCTCTCTTGAACTAGATTGCATCTGATATCAGGAGTTTCCAGAATAAGCAATGAAATCAATTTAGAAAAAGTAAAATATTTAACCATTGTTTATTTTGGAGCAAAATAGTTAATCCAAAATACAGAAAAGTTGTTTTACGTGAATGCGACTGTAAAAGGTTTGAAGACCATGATAAAATAACGGCTACTCATCAAGAAGCTTATAAAAAGGCAACAATGGCTGCAATGACAGCAGCACCTGAAAGCATAGTGGAAGAAGCACCAGACTCGATCACATCCTCCTCAGAGTACTTGCTTTTACCTGGAGGGGTAAAGGTTGAAGTAGTGGTCTTGGTTGCGGTCTTTGTAGCGGTCTTGGTGGCAGTTGCGGTCTTGGTAGCAGTAGCAGTCTTGGTAGCAGTTGCGGTCTTGGTAGCGGTCTTGGTAGCAGTTGCAGTCTTGGTGAGCTTGGCAGGAGGCTCGGGATCCTTATACTCCTGATCCTCTTCCTCATCTTCCTCCTCATCCTCTTCCTCCTCTTCACCTCCAGTCTTGGCAGGGGGTTGGGGATCCTTGTACTCTTGACTCTTGGCAGGAGGCTCGGGATCCTTGTACTCTTGATCGTCATCCTCGGCGGTAGCGGCTTCGGTAGACTCGTCCCCTTCCTCGAGATCTTCGTCATCAAGTTCATCGAGTTCATCTTCGATATCTTCACCATCGGCATCTGGATCCTCCTCATCGTCAGCATCCACGGAAGCTTCCTTTGAAGGGCAGTTAGGTCCAGTGCAGGCTGGAGTGGCGGGTGTTGCAGTCTGATTAGTGGTAGCACAATCTTTTCCCTCACATTTGGGAGTGGTAGCTACAACAGTGGCAGCGAGAGCAGCAAGAATAAGAGTAGATGTGAATTGCATTAGATTAATATGTATTGGTATGGTTGATGATTATTAAACTGGGTCATCAACCTTGTCATTTTATAATAGTCGATGCATGACCGCTAAGGGTGATGAAATAATTAAACCTATTCAGCATCATAGCATTGTGTTATTAAGGGCGACTTACCTTGAAAGCATTGCTAGAAAACACACACAAGAGCCTTGAATGTGGCATAGCTGATGTAGATACATGGTTGAAATTAGCTTGATTTCCTATCAAACCAGCGCATCCCTTATGCTTACAAATAAACAACCGCCCTAAAATCATTCATTTAAATTTATTCTCACGATAAGCCACAATGTAATATCGTCCTATTCAAGCAGCGTGGCTAAGAAGGGCTACTGCAATGTATTCATTTCACATGAATATGGTGGTGAAACTTTGATTGCAACTGAAATGTTTAGCTTGTATAGGGTGCAATGCAAATGGTCACAGCTGGTAACAAAAGGGACGAGCATGGAGAGATAAATGAGAAAATACCACCCTTGATGGTGTTTTTTGCGAATGCCAATGAATTGTTTGCTGGTTTGAATGGCAGGAGCATCTATCGCCCATGTATCCTGTCCTGACAACAATCTGGCTTGTTGACACGGCCAGTTTGCCGAGTGACCTGCTGGTTGTCTCAATTCAATACAGAATGTCACTTGGTCTTGTTCTGACATGGATTTCAGTGTTTTATCTAGAGTCTGTACATTAACCTAAACCAATCGTGTGATGCTACAAACGGAAAATTCACGTTTCTAACAGGCTACAATGGCAGCTTGTTGAATGCTGTTCGAGTGTTTTCTAAATGTCATGAATTTGGAGTTTTTTGTGGCCAAATATATTTTTCCGCTCATTCTCATCTCCATTGTTTAAACATTAGCACCAGTATTGATGGATAGGGATCAAGACTGTTGTGCGGGAAATGCCCTGCCCATTATAGCTGAGTTTACGTTAATGCCAACACTCATGTACTTGACCACTATCCGCCAATGCGACTTTAGCTAAAAGGGATTTGCCGAGTCGTCTACACGAACCGTGTAGCATGTTTCAATAATCGAGACCAACCTTCCGCCCAATCATTGCAACCATGCCACGTTTAAAATGAGGGCAGATTGCCATTCCCTGGTTTATAGCAACATATCCTGAACCAGTTTTGAAATGGCCACTGACATTCTTAAGATATTAGCAGGGTTGAAGCTAGACTTGCTATTTGAGTTGAAAGCACTCTAGTGCTAGCCAAGACTTGAGTAATGCTTTCAAAAACTCTAGTCTATTTGATACTAATAAAACACTTGTTATTCTACATTGCATGTCACTGTTACACTGCTTTGCAAAGATGTCAGCATGCAATACTTTTAATGTCATACAACTGGCTGTTTGTTATACACCGACAGTATTTAGAGATTTACATGAATACGGCAGTGAAAAGGCTCTTCTGACTTGATAATTCTAATCGAATTTGAAGGATAAATTGTTTCAGACCTATTATCAATCTCCAATTCCTACAGCCAAACATTGAGTGTTTGGTATATAAATAGTTATATTTCCGAGATGATCTTTGTTTTTTCAAACTCGAGGCGCGAACGTATAATACATTAGGACACAATAGAGGCCACCTTTTTGAATCCGCTCTTCTTTTCAGTTTAAAACTATAGCTTGATTGTATGCATTATATGATGACTGTTGTATCTGAGAATTAAAGATGCCAATTGGATAAGCAGTCAATTAGGAGAACGCAACAAATATTTAATCATTGTTTATTTCAAAGCAGAAAATAGTGACTGCAAGATAGTGATCCATTTTACGTGAATATGGCTGTAAATTTTGATTCAAAATTTAAAACAGGTGCTTATAATTTTTCAGACTAAACCAGAGCTGCCAAACCCTGATTATGATTTGTAGAAAAGGCAAGTTTGTGTAAAGTCGGACATTGCTCCAAATGTCGGGCCTTTAAAATCCATAGTCTGCACGTGTAAAGGGTTCGATCCTACCACTTTTTGCGTTCCCATATGCTTGGCATTGGCTTTTCCTGTATTCTTAAACCACCAAGCCGAACAGGGTAAGCTCAAAGCACATGATGTTTTTTGCATCTCAAGAATACGGCTAATACGCGCCATAAATGGAGATAGGCGTATGGGGCTGCTGATGCTTCAATGAGCTAGACGTGCTCATTACTGTTACAGGATTCGGCCCATAATAACAATATGAGCAGAACTGGTATGTGCGGCGGTAATGGTATTGCTTTTGTTTATGCATTTGGTTTAGATTGAAATCGTTAAAGGAAAGTCGCAAGGACGCTGCTGTTTTGAAGGTTACTGCAATACCAATATACTCTTCAACCCCAGAAAATAGATCTTCCATTGGCGATCACCAGAAATTTGTCAAACTGTTCATAAAACAGGCTGAAGCTCGACCAAATCTCTCAACACTGAGCTACATCCTGCATATATCTGATACCAAGCAAATCAGCACTTGGTTACACTTGTCAGTACCATTGGTTACCCTGGCTGTACAGGCCTTATTGATAATTCAGCATTATACTGCTACACCTTAATCTATTCCGGCTCAACCTACTTGAGCAATGAGTGAATGTACTAATTCTCACTCAGCTCAACAGCAGCAACAACACAGTCAGCAGAATCTTGTAGCCGAAGCTGGCACAAAAGAGCATCCGATTCGAAACAATTTTGAAAAAGACTTTGTGATTCTTCACACATCACCCCCATCAACTGTTGGCAACGTCTATGACGCTCACTACTATCGCTCCAATGGCATAGATCAAGAGTATCATGCACAGGTAATTCAGCAACCGGCATACACTCGATGTAGCGGACTTTCTAATAATGGAGCAATTACTTGTCCCATCGAGCCCTGTATATCTGTCCAGCTGCATGGTGTAGCAATGTCTGGATCATCAGAGAATCAGTAAGTCATCTTTCATTGAAAACTCTTTGTTTGCGCTACACTCGACTCCTGTTTTCACTCCTTAACATTGTTTATTACTCTTGCTATACTTTTGTGGTATATATTCCATGCGCTGATGCTTTTTATAAAAATTTTAAAGAATCCGAGATTATGGATTAGCGATGGTTTGCAGGGATAATGCCAAAATGGTTTTAGATACTTTGTTTACTATTAGTCATCATGGATGCATTTGAACCATCGGCTCAGGGGTTCAAAGCATGCATTTAACGGTTATGTTGAACAGCTTTGCACCAACACAGCCCTGGCTCTGAAACTCCATTATCGAATAGATCCTTCATCCCACCATGTCTGATGTGTCATGCGAATTACTAATCCCAACCACTGCATGGATAAATTCTTGTAAACTCATGATACTATCAATAGGACTGATGTTGGCATTCCAGATATTGATTGTTTAATTGCCCAAGCCTACTTGACTTGTTCAAATGGCACAAGTGATCTCAACTACTATTCTAGAACCATGGCTCGTACTTACTCTACAGCAATGGACCATTCGAAGCTGCAGAATGACGACGAGTTCAAGTCCTTTATTCAAAATACCTCGGTGACTGTTGCTAACAATGCCCGGACGCCTTTAATACATTCCGATGCTACTCAAAGAGTAACTTGTCAAGATGAGGCCGATCAGGCACACTTGGGCTTTTACTCTCAAGGTAAAGTTCATATACTAATGCCAATTCATCAGTTTCAGGATGCCACCTGTATTGTTTAAAGCAAGAAATGTCTTGACACATGAATTGAATCACGTTCACTTGTGGAAATCAGATGTCGACCATCACACATCACCCCATAGTCCACCCTGCATAGTAGATGATACTACATACTTGCCTGATACAGATTATCCACAGTCTCAAGTTCCTGTAGATTTTGCATCCCACACAACACCGCCAAATACTATACAATCTATCAGCGATAAATCAGAATGGAGAGACATTACTAGCCATGTCTTGGTAAATCGGTCAGTGCAAGCACAGATACCTACTCTGTGTGGAAATCAGACTGCTGCCGCCGACATTGCTACTGACCTAGATAACAATCGAGGAGTATTTTTCTTTTTTCCGGATTTGGGAATACGCATTCCTGGCAAATTCAAGATCCGAATCATTATTTCGAAAATACAGCTCGAGTGGGTTAGAGTTGTCTGATTCAGATCTCACTTTGTTGCTTTAACCTAATAACCTGTTGGTTTGTCATGTTTAGTGAAAGCCAGCGTGATGAGCCAATATCTGCAAAAAATATTGTTCTGGCTGAAGTGGTAACCAACGCATTTATTAGCCATTCCCCAAACTCGTGGACTGGCCATCATGGTAAGCTTAACTGCACTTGTTGTTTGTATCCATCACTTGTTGATTTCATTTTGAATTCTATTTTCCTAGCGCCGACACAGCTATCTAAACATTTCTCTCGACAAGGGGTGAGAATCCCCTTGTTCAAGACTAGAAGAAATTGATCATTCCTAAATAAATGATCCACTTATTTTTAGTAATCAGCAGCTTATTAGTATGGCTTTGAATTGAGTGGGTCATTGTCGAATGATCCTTTCAATGTGGGGTAAACTATACAGATTGCTGTTTGAGTCATGAGGAAAATTGTCAAGGATTGACTGAATTCTGCAGTCTACAGCCCTATTCACGCAAAATAGATCACTACATAACAAACAGTCAGTCTCGTCAAATGATGATGTCAGTTTACTGGACAGTATTGTGTTGACTAAACTCCTTGATAGAATGACTGGGTTTTGTTTTCTATGCTGATCCTTGAAAATGTTGGGAAATAGACAGATTCTAATTGTGAATATCTAAAAACTCTCAAATGTTATTCATTATTGTAGTTGTGATGTTTTTCAGTTAAAATCCTGGTAGTGAGCCATTCGGATATACAAGTTGTATGATATTGGTAGTGACAATTTAAAACTGATATGCGAGCATTTTCTTGGAAATTTTATCTACAAATGGGACAGATTTGTTGTGGAAATCAGCCTGCTTGAAATTATACCAGTGGCTAGACTTTTGGAATTCCGGAATAGTCATTAACACACTTTCATCTTCTGAATCTGTATCGCTGACATTGATTTCTTTCTCGCCGTGGTCGTAATTCATGCCTTTGACTGTTCCAAATTATGATACAATGTTGGTTCAGTCAGCCAAAAGTATTTTGAGCATTTGTCTGTTGGAGGAACATTGGCGCACTCTTGACTATCAAAGTATTTCAGAATCTTGGGGATACGGTCTTTTAACATATTAAAAGTCAGTGTACAGTGCTTAAATCTGGGACATTTTGATACCAACTTATAGTATAGACGATAGCGAGCAAAAATCCTAAAAGAATTAGTCAATTCTATAGATTTTTGTAATTTCCCTAGTAGGGGAATATTATTTTGTGGTGTCACTTTTTAGATATGGAAAAGTCTTTTAGCAGCATTCTATCAAACATTTCAATTTCAATCCGCTCCTTTAGCTTTACTAGTTTCTCTGCTACCACAAAATGATGGAGATTTGCTCTCGATTCATTTTCATAGGCCAGATAAAGATTCTCTTTGATATCAATACAGAGTTTAGCAAGTAGTTCTTGTTCTGTTGGTTGTTCTCTAAGTAATTCATTGTATTGAGCTGTAGCAAATACTGGTTGAGGGACTGGTCGATTATCACTGTATCACTGGTACTTTTGCTCCTCTGCGAATGTTCGTAAGAGCCTCTGTACATCTTCAAATTCATTCACTCTAGTTTCTGTTGATTGTCTCCTATTAGTAGTTCTTGGTGTTTGGTATGAATCATTGGAATCAGTGGAATCCATTCTCCGTCTTCTATTTGGGACAAGTTCATTCTGTTGTTCATCACCTTCTTGTTGATTGTTTTCAATTGGTATGGTCATACCCAAATCATTTGTATCGGGATGAGGCAAGTCAGGTCCAGATGACAAAGGAACAGCTTGAGTAATTGGAGGACTACGTTCTTGTAAACTGGATAGATTAAATCCAGACCAAGGAAAGTACAGGTTGTTTGATGATTGTTAATAGCAGGAATGGTCAACAATTGTTTTTTTGCTGTGGTCGAAAGGGAATTGTACTGAAGCATAAATTGTTCTGCTGTCATCACATCTAATTCTCTACACCAATTCATTAGTTTAGCAGCAGGTCGTCATTTCATAGTCGTAGTCGGACTCCATTTTTATCAAGAAATTAGTCGTGGATATACCAAGACAATGAAATTCATATTTCAAATGTGGATATGATAAGAGTCTCCCATTAAGCATCAAGTATGAATCTGGAACAGAGACTCCTAGTATAACTAATGAACTTCCCATTATTCTGTTCTATTCATTTTGACCCAGATTGTGGCGGTGTTTTCACAGAATGAGGTTTCATATTTCTTTCCTAAAATAAAATGGACTTTTCACAAACAAAACTGTTGCTCCAGCAATATTACAACATTAACAGTGAATGCATCCCACAGCAAAGGGAGAAATCGAAATGGAAACCCGAAAACAACTTTGGTTTCTTGCTGGGAGTAATTGCTTTTGGAATGGCTACTCACAGAACTCAACTTCACAGCTTACTGGTTTCTAGGCAATTTAAAGACCAAGAAAACGCTTTTATCGACTCAATGTTTGACTATTATATTCGGCCTTTTCACAAGAGCTACATTACTGATTCAGAAATCTGCCATACTCCCTTCGCAGTTTCTTCAGGGACTCCATCAAGAACTAATTCTGCAGAAGATTTAGGTGGTGTGCCAAAAGAAAAGGAGTTGCTCCACAAGGATTTGAAAAAGGCTGTGGTCAAGAGGGATGTTGTTTGCTTGTTTTGTTGGAACCGAAAATCTCTTACAGGCGCTCATATTATTGCTCAAAAAAATGTCCCAATGGCTTATGACGAAGATTCCCTATTCAAACGAGCTGGAATAACACAAAAACACCAAGTGCAAAATGGGTTGCTGTTATGCAGAAATTGTCACGATGAATTTGATTTGTTGAAGCAATATGTGGACGTTGCTGATGATAAGCTTGTGGTCAAGGTGGTCAACGAGACGAATGACCCAACAAATGACAAGCACAAGAAGTGGATTGAGACAATTGAAGATTTGGAAGTTATCCGCAGAACAAGGCAAAAGAGATGGACTGATATTGATAACCGACAATCAATGGAATCCAATGGAGAAATGGCGTTGTATTTCGTCCAAAACAACCCAACCAAATTACCAAACAGAAACGCTTTGGAATTCCACAAGACAGCCTGTATGATTTGGCGAATGGCTGGCGGTGCCGAAACAGATGATGAATACTGTTCGGATGATGATGATTTGGTTCCAGTAGACACTGCTGCGTTGAAAAGACGGTTTAAAATCCAAGATTCAGACGAAACTCTAAATATCGTTTCTTGACTTTTAATAAATGTAATGCTGTTTATATTGTATACTTTTAGTAAATACGATGCCGTCGCTATTTAATATGAATCAAGTTAAATGAATCTGGAACAGAGACTCCTAATATAACTAATGAACTTCCCATTATTCTGTTTTAAGCTTTCTGACCGAGATTCTATCTCAGATAAATGGTTGTTTTTACAACTTTGGACTTGTGACTGTCGTTTAAGAAAACTGAAGAAGCAATCTCAATGAAAGGAGCACTTAGTATGAGTCTGGCACAAACTAAACACCACTAATCTTTGCTCATACAACTGCCCTAATAACTCAAATCAAAGTTGATGCCACAGGCAATAATCATTTCAACAACATTCCCTAGGTTTTACTATGAGATATAGGCTAAAATACCTGATATCATTTGGTGCCTTATCTATACTACTACTATTGATTGACAGTATCAGTGTGGTCGACCCATCATATGGACTGCGATGCATGAGCATGTGCATGAGCATGTGCCGAACTTGCCGATCGTACAATGTATGACAGCTAAAAGTGGAGAAAAGGATCATTCCAGTTCAAAACTGTTTGCATTTTCGTGCTACAAATTGACTGCTCCAATAGACATTTTCAATTTTTGTTTCAGATACAATGTCCATTACATGATACACACAAAATGTAATTATTACATATTCATAAAACAATACAAGTCACTGAATGAATACAAGCATTTTTTGTGAATATGACTGTAAACACAGTAGTGTGCACGTCAAGCGAATAGGTTGAAATACATGTGTATTCCAACGCCACTTTCAAGATCCAAGCCGTTTCGTGAATCTTGAAATGATAAAAACCTTGATGATTTAATTCGATAGTCTATTCATACATTCAGCAGTTTAAGCTACAACATTGTTTGACACATATAACTTATTAACAATCTATCATGAAGTCATCTATTATTTTTTTAACAGCAAGCTCGCTATGCATAATGATCAACGCAGTACCAGTCGATCCAAATGGCGATGTTTCAAACGTGAAGAAAAATGATGATTTGTCTGATACTGTGCATTCAGGTATAAACGAACAGCATTCTAGCGAAAAGCCGGTAGGCGAACGGTCTGCATCTTCAAATTCTAAGCTATCGAGAAGTCAGAGAAGGCAAATAAAGAAGCAGCAGAAGAAAATAGAGAAGCAAAAAAAGAAGAAAGACCTGCTACTCAAGAAAAGAAAGAAAATGGAGGAAGATTTGCGTAAAGAAGAAGAGAAGCGACGTAGAAAGAAACTTAGAGAGGAAGAAAAGCTACGTAAAAAGCGACAGGAGTTGGAAGAGAAGCAGCGCAAAAAGGAGAATGGTAATTGAACAACAATCACCTTCAACCAGAGCGATCAGCCAGCCAGTCATGCATTTACCTTCTACTTGCTATACGCAACACACCCACTTTCTATTTATTAAACTTGCACTCATCTTAAAATAATATTAATTGAATCAGTTTAAAATAAAATTTGGCAATCATACAAACGAGTAATTTATTTGGAAATACAATATGCAGCCAAACACTACATTGATTTCTGTTTCTTTGTAACAGATGTTGGGATCGGATCATCTGTGTATTGATCCACTTGATCCTCATTGGTATCGCTTTCTTGATAGTCGTCCGAGTCATCACCATGCATGGAACCACATTGTTTCTGGCCAGTACTAAATGGCTCATCAGGTATTTGAGTAAGTATATGGGTCAAGTACTGATTGCATTGCTGTTGAGCCTGTCCCAAGTGCGAGATAAGCTGTCTGACCATGTCCACTGGGTTCGAAATGGATGCAGTACCATCAGAGCCAGTATCCAATGGAATATCAATCGTATATGGTGATGAGTCGGCAGTGTTTTTGTAAACACACACAATCTGTTGCAACATTCTGGTCAAACATTTTCAGCCCTATTCACGCAAAATAAATCACTAAATAACTACATAACAGTCAGTCTCATCAAATGATGATGTCAGTTTACTGGACAGTATTGTGTTGACAACTCCTTGACAGAATGACTGGGTTTTGTTTTCTATGCTGATCCTTGTATAAAAACTGAGCAAATGATCACATTGTAGCTCTAGTCATTTTGGCATTGTGACATTGGTCAATCCACAACTATGCATGTTTACAGACCAAACACTGCAAGTACACATTGATGACTGACATGAAAACAGTTGCATTTTTGTGGCATGTGGTTTGTGTTTTCTTGAATCAGAACGCGAATGTATGTATTTAGAATACAGTAAAAATGAGTCTACAATTGATTGACAGTATCAGTGTGGTCGCCCATCATATGGACTGCAATGCATGAGCATGTGCCGAACTTGCCGATCATACAATGTATGACAGCTAAAAGTGGAGAAAAGGATCATTCCAGTTCAAAACTGTTTGCATTTTCGTGCTACAAATTGACTGCTCCAATAGACATTTTCAATTTTTGTTTCAGATACAATGTCCATTACATGATACACACAAAATGTAATTATTACATATTCATAAAACAATACAAGTCACTGAATGAATACAAGCATTTTTTGTGAATATGACTGTAAACACAATAGTGTGCACGTCAAGCGAATAGGTTGAAATACATGTGTATTCCAACGCCACTTTGAAGATCCAAGCCGTTTTGTGAATCTCGAGGAATTATAAAAAGGTTGATGGTTTAATTCGGTAGTGTATTCATCCATTCAGTATTCAGCAGTATTCAGCAGTTTAAGCTACAACATTGTTCGACACGCACATAACTTACTAGCAGTCTATCATGAAGTCATCTGCTTTTTTTTTAACAGCAAGCTCGCTATGCATAATGGTAAACGCGATGCCAGTCGATCCAAATGGCAATCTTTCAGGCTTGCAAGGTGGTAATCCATTTGGTGCTGTGATTCCAAGTATGGGCGGACAACATCCTAATCAAAATCCGATGGGAGGCCAGTCTGGATCTGGACCATCGAAAGAAGATCGAAAAAGGCAAAAAAAGGAAGAGAAGAGGCGTAGGAAGGAAGAGAGGAAGCGTAGGAAGGAAGAGAGGAAACACAGTGGGGATAGAAGACAGCATAATAATGTACAAGGATGAGAAGCAGCGCAAAAAGGAGAATGGTAATTGAACAACAATCACCTTCAACCAGAGCGATCAGCCAGCCAGTCATGCATTTACCTTCTACTTGCTATACGCAACACACCCACTTTCTATTTATTAAACTTGCACTCATCTTAAAATAATATTAATTGAATCAGTTTAAAATAAAATTTGGCAATCATACAAACGAGTAATTTATTTGGAAATACAATATGCAGCCAAACACTACATTGATTTCTGTTTCTTTGTAACAGATGTTGGGATCGGATCATCTGTGTATTGATCCACTTGATCCTCATTGGTATCGCTTTCTTGATAGTCGTCCGAGTCATCACCATGCATGGAACCACATTGTTTCTGGCCAGTACTAAATGGCTCATCAGGTATTTGAGTAAGCATATGGGTCAAGTACTGATTGCATTGCTGTTGAGCCTGTCCCAAGTGCGAGATAAGCTGTCTGACCATGTCCACTGGGTTCGAAATGGATGCAGTACCATCAGAGCCAGTATCCAATGGAATATCAATCGTATATGGTGATGAATCGGCAGTGTTTTTGTAAACACACACAATCTGTTGCAACATTCTGGTCAAACATTTTCAGCCCTATTCACGCAAAATAAATCACTAAATAACTACATAACAGTCAGTCTCATCAAATGATGATGTCAGTTTACTGGACAGTATTGTGTTGACAACTCCTTGACAGAATGACTGGGTTTTGTTTTCTATGCTGATCCTTGTATAAAAACTGAGCAAATGATCACATTGTAGCTCTAGTCATTTTGGCATTGTGACATTGGTCAATCCACAACTATGCATGTTTACAGACCAAACACTGCAAGTACACATTGATGACTGACATGAAAACAGTTGCATTTTTGTGGCATGTGGTTTGTGTTTTCTTGAATCAGAACGCGAATGTATGTATTTAGAATACAGTAAAAATGAGTCTACAGTTGACTGACAGTATCAGTGTAGTCGCCCATCATATGGACTGCAATGCATGAGCATGTGCATGAGCATGTGCCGAACTTGCCGATCGTACAATGTATGACAGCTAAAAGTGGAGAAAAGGATCATTCCAGTTCAAAACTGTTTGCATTTTCGTGCTACAAATTGACTGCTCCAATAGACATTTTCAATTTTTGTTTCAGATACAATGTCCATTACATGATACACACAAAATGTAATTATTACATATTCATAAAACAATACAAGTCACTGAATGAATACAAGCATTTTTTGTGAATATGACTGTAAGCACAGTAGTGTGCACGTCAAGCGAATAGGTTGAAATACATGTGTATTCCAACGCCACTTTCAAGATCCAAGCCGTTTTGTGAATCTCGAGG